AAAGCTTACCGAAGGTAGTAGGCTTTGTAAGATGCTGGCCCTTCTTTAAATAGGACTGATAGGCCATTGCGGATCAGAAAGGTTCTCAACTGTCAAATAATTGAAGACGTGTGCAGCATTATGATAACAATATAGCGAAAGAGGTAGCAAAGTGCATAAAATCACAAGACTCTCTATCCAGAGGAACTTCCTGAGAAGAAAAGCTACCTTGTATGGGAGAAACTTCATTTTGATCATTAGGTTAGCATCATCATCAGCCAAACCATCCTTTCCCTGTTGACCACCATTTTCACTGGCATCTTTGATCGCATCATCAATGCTATTCATGGCCATCGGATCCTTCCCTTTATTTGACTTGAACAGATTAATATCAACAAAGAAACCTGAAAAGTAGAGACAAAATAGTTGAAGTCTTGCCAATAAATCAGAAAATGGTGCTTAGTTGTGTGCTTTAGTTAGAAAAGAAAAGAAAATTGAAGTGTAAGCAACAAAAAAGTACTTACCTCGATATAAGGGCCACAAACTAGGCATCTGCCTGAAACACGGTAATCATATCGTTGAGTAAACAGAAATATTTTCTTCCTTAGTTTGATCAAATTAAGGTAAAGTAACCAGAGAAGTCTGTGAAGATAACCTCATCTCTTTCTGGTAACGCCTAAATCCTGAATCACTGTGCACGTGGACAACCAATTTATAAAATAGGTTGTCAGGCGATACGTCGTTAGCTCTGTGAAAATTATGGTAACACTTAAATGCGGCTGGAAGACGTTTTTCCTTCATCAAGCGTACCATTTCCTGTTGAATGCAAATGCTTCTAATCAATAATTTCGGAGAGCTGAAACCCACATGCTAAAATCAACAAAGACGCAGACCACAAGTTACCTGTAATTTACTAGTTGAATAATCTACAGGCTGAGACTGCAGGAATTTTGTTACAACAGATTTGTCAGCATTTTTTGAATGAGAATCTACAGATTCATCTCCAAACCAATCCAAGTCACTGGGGCAAAAACTTGAGCCAACACTCCTTAAAATTGCTTTCATTTGCTACAGCACCCACAAAAAAGGAAAACGGACTCTCTAGAATGAGAAATCTTTTCCAAGGGATGACAGCATAGAAATCCACATGATGAAGCTTTCCATATTTAAGTTTGTTTTCGAACCTGTTTCTCATTAGATCTATGAGCAGCACATATCTCTCTTAGACTGAGTCCCAAATCAAGATTAGCTGAAACATTTTTCAAAAAGAAAACAAGGAAAGCGATTTTTTAAAAAATCTACAGGGACTTGATAGACTGGATTATTATGAAGTTAACGTAGAAACTAGACAATGATAAGATAGTGAACCTCCATCGTGGGGTGGTGGAGGATGATCTCTCAAGACATTTTCCATGTTTCTGGTGCTCCCACTGCTCACGATACGAGCCACAAGACCCTCTAATATCTCACCTTGCACCTCAACATGGTCCTTAGAGGCTGCGTATTTCAATCGAAAAGTTTTGTTCAACCAATGAAATTCATCAAGTTAAATTCCTTAAAAGACTAATATGAGTCCTCCAAACAATACGAACTATAAAAAAAGATCACCTGGGACCGATATATCAGCTACTTCATCAAGAGCCCTACAGACTGAAGTTGCTATCCCTTCTTCACAGAGTGCATCAAATGCGGCGAAAAAAGATGTCACTGATTTCCTTTATCAAAATTTTAACAAAAGTATTTCAAACTCTTTGTTCAATAAAGTTATATTTAAAACAACAAGGGCCCAAGGTAAAATGACAGTTCAAAGGAAGATAGTATCAATGACTAGAAAGGGTTTAAGTTACCTTGTGGAAAACAGCCAAACGTGATTGTTTGGTAGACGCCATTTCCGGCAAAATGCAATTATTTCGGAAGTTGAGTAGAACTTGGGCTTACCATTACCTAACTCGGTAACAGCCGTCACTACCACTGCAAGATGCGAACATTTCTTTGTAACTACACATATACTATGAAAGGCATTGAATCTAGAACATCTAAAAAGGAATAAAACTTCACCATAATCATCCGGTGGGCGTTGACCATGATCTCCAAGAACAGCTGTTACCAGTTCCATAGATATGCACATGCGACTTTTCTGGGAGAAAAAAATGACGTTTTATGAGCTAGCCATTTCTGGAAAGTGAATAAGCCTCGAGCAAATGAGAATTTTGGGTTGCTTAAAAGTTCTGTCCATGGAAATACCTCTAGAAAATCATTAAACTCTGCTTGCTTCTCTAGAGCCTTAGTTCCCCAAGCCTCCCTGAACACCCGAGAAAGAACAAAAACACCAACCGCAGTATAACTGCAAACAAAATGTTTGGTTAAGTCTACGATTCTTTGAGGAAACCTCATCATGAATCAAGAACACACTCCATGAAAAACTGAAGCTGGTAACAGATGAGCTTACATGTTACCAAAACTGTTCTTTGCATACGCTCCACCCGTGTTACCAGCGTACATAAAGAGAGAGCCTGAATGCTTAAGAGACACCTATACAAAGATACATTACAAAATGTCCATAGACAGTTAGAACTTCAGAGTGTCAACAGAGGTATTCACATACAGAGTGTATATATATTGTCAATACCTCCATTGTAGCCAACCCTTTAGATACCATCTCAATCATTCTTGTTCTTATCTGCAAAAAGCAAGATAAATGCATCATGAAATAAGGCAAACTCACAATTAGAGCTACATAGAGGAGGCACAATAAAATTTACCTCTTGGTCAGTCTTTTCGTTCTCAAATTTTGGATAGAAAGTGGCTCTGATCTGAGCATTACAATAAGTCGACTTGTCCACCGTAAAATCTTCCAAGAAATCACCTCCGAAGAATTTGCTCTGATTGAGACCAACTTTTTGAGGTGTTGTTGCCGAAGATGATCCACTAACGGTTCCATATGACTTAGGCTTCCATACTAGATTCTGGACGCTGTGATTATTTGTAGATTGAATCGGTAAGACTGGAACATTAGCGTTGCTTTCTTCAATTCTCAACCCACGAAATTGGTTGTTCACTGCTTCTGTAACAATGGATGCTGCTTCAGAAGGAGTATCCATCGTCGGCTTTACTTGCCACTTCTGCTCAGCGTGAGCTCTCTTTTTCTGCCAACACAAACGAAAATAGTCAACTCCTGTATACATATCATATCGTAACCCAAAATCGATAGAGAACTCTCAAAATTCAAAACTATTGCACAGAAAATTTCCGTTTTCAATTCGTAACCAGATAATCAAAACTCCATAGTCGTATTACTTCACCGCGAACTAACTTTCAATTCGCGGCACATTATCAACAAATCAAAACTCTTCGATCGGCTAAATCCCGATAAACCCAAATTTCTAGGAAAACAATCGAGGCAAAATCAGAAAACTGGGAAGAGTAATTATAAGTCGCACACCTGCTTCTTAGGCATATCCGGCGGAGAAAATCTAACTGAGGAGTCAAAACAAAGAGAGCGAGCTAAGGTAACGTAAGGAGAAGATGATCGGAGAAGAGTGGAGGTTCGACGAGTAGAAGAAAGATGGATTCTGAGAGAAAATGAGAAGAATGTTCTGTGTGGGACTGACGACATCCACACGTGGCTTCTTATGGTGCAAACCACGTATATCGGAGAGATGGAGACGACCAAGTTAAAGCTCGACGTGCTTGCTGAGTCACCAACAAGCTGTGGTGGGGTTTATTAACCGGCGAGCAGAAAGAAGGACGGAGACTGAAGAGAGCGTGTTACGGTGCGGGAAAGACTATAACAAAGATGATTTTGTTGATAAAATGGGCCTACGGTGGCCCAGTTTCGCTCATATTGGGCCAGAGGAGGATTGGAAATTGGGAGAAGACTATGGGAAGAACAAAAAGACAAGGAAATTTGGGATGTTCACGGAGATGATTGTGTGAGGTTACGCAATGAAGTGAGAAAACTACGATCAAAGCCACTATTTGATTCACAACACGACCTAAGGACAAAAACTTAGAGAGGAGAACCGAGAACTCACCGGAAGAAGAAGGATAAAGACCAAATCAAATGTATGGCAGAACCGAGAACAGAATCAAATCAAATCCAACAGTTACCAGCAGTAAAAAAGAAAGAGCAGAATTTCGATTGCGGAGAGAGAGACGAGTTTAAGCAGTGTTTGATAACGAATCCGCCGACTTAATTAGACCGGTTATCAACTAAAAACTGAAAGTACTAAAACCAGTAAAACCGGTTTACGAAGAAACCGGTTTTCTGCATAATAGGATGAATTGTACCACATTAAACTCGCTAATGTTTTAAAAATAAGTTTCTGAGAAATGAATCGTCCCAAATTTCACCATGCGTATATTACATTTTAGTGACTTTGACATGCATGATGTATATGCTTTTTTTTTGGTCGGACATGCATATGCTAAATGCTAAGTAAACCGAGTTGATACTAAGCAGCTCTAGATTGAAGTAATCAGATAATGTCCAAAGAGGATCCCACCACAACATTGATGAGTTGGTGTTGGAGTTGTCTTCGAGGTACCCAAAATCATTGCTCTCAACGTTTAATCGATTTTTGTTTATATTTGGGGTTTTTCCCTTTAAGAAATTCAGTTACGTAGCATTGTTCATGATTTTTACTTTCTAAGAGTAAAAAAATGTAACAGTTTCAGCGAGAAGAAAAGAATAGTTGAATGGCCTAATCGAGTTAACGAAGCTAAACCCGCTAAAAGGGCTTAAATCGTAAAGATTGGCTAATTCCAGGCCCACACCTCAGTAAATTGGCCCATACGTTTCGTATATTTCAGAGATAGTTGGACAGAAACCCTAAGACGGACAGATAGAGTGAGAACTTTCGTCTGTAGATCTTTCGATTGAGATTCGATAAGAAACGAGGTCGGTGGTGATTTTGATTTAAACGTGTCAATTCCTCGTTATGCATACATATCTGATGTTTGATTGGAGATTGGAAGATTAGCTAACTGCGATTTGATATTTTGTAGGGTTTAAAAACGAGATGACGCAGAACAAGTCGCCGGCGGCTAAGAAGACGGTGGTCTGGTGGGACATGAATACCTGTCCGCCTCCGGAAGAGTTAGATCCTTATCAGATCCGTCAGAGTATAGAATCGGCGTTTTCACACTACCTTCCTTTCACCATCTCTGCCCATGGCAACCTAAAAGCCATTCCTCCTGGCCTCTTGGAATCGATATTATCCTCGGGAATCATTTTGAAACACGGCCTAGACGGTGAATTTCTTTTCTCAATATGTAATTTTTTGGTTTTGTTTTTACTTTTGTTTTCAAATTAGGACTCATGTGGCCGTATTTTCCAGGTTCGATGCCCGTGGATATGAAGAGGTGGAGAGATGCTAATCCACCTCCGGCTAGGTTGATTCTTATATCCGATTGTGAAGGCATCCGTGGGATACTGCCATTGTTTAAGAATCTTGGATACACGATTATTGGTGTCCTTAAAAAAAATGAGCTTGAGCTTGAAGATCCAGCCGAATACGCTTCTCTAGTCACCTTCTCTTGGGATCATTTATTATCAGGTGTGTTTTTTTTTATCTCTGGCATTGTAATAAGTTATGACTTACCAGTAAATTACGCAGGTGTGTTTCTGATTTCTTTCCCTTTTAATATTATGTATCAGGTTGTCATCGCCGTACTACTGGAGAGGTTATGGATGTTAAGGACAAGTGCAGTGAAACTGCTTGGCTATGCAAGTTATGCATTAATTCTAGCCGCCCTTTTGCTGGGGAAAGCTATGAAAGTTTGACCAGGCATTTCAACAGTGCACAACATAGTTTTCAAGTAAGCATCGTCTTGCCTCCACCTCTGCTTGCATGGAATCATTACTCTTTTTTTTCAGTGTCCAAGTAGAAAAAGTTTGACCCAATCCTTATCTTGATTCCAGGAGTTGAAGCAAAAGGAGTTGAAGCAAAAGAGAAAGGCCCCCCAATCCAAGAAGGCTTCTCCGATTCCAGGAGTTGCCTCCAAAGATAAAGGCCTCTCAACCCAATAAGGATATTACCAAGGCAAGTTTTCACAGCTCAATTTCAAGGATCTTGTGCCACTTTTTTTCTTAATTAAAAGTTTCTAATTTGAATTTCCCTAATTTAAAGTCTGACTCGATGTTATCTTTTTTTCCATATGGTTTTCAATCAGATTGCTAAGATTACCGAGATGAAGAGGCAGTCGATGGGAAGTAGACGTGGTAACGAAGCCCACTCCGTTTCAGGCGTGAGAAGGCGAAGACTGGGTGTTGTTTGTTTCTCTGCAAGGCATTTCTTATGTTTCATATGGTTTGTTCTGCTTCTATCTTTTATTGTGTAATAACTATTACTTCCCTCTCTTCATCGCTTAAAACTGTCGTAATTTAAACAATATATTGGGTACGCGTCCATATGCGGAATGCCCTTGGACAGTTGATTTGTCTGCACCTGAATCTGTTCATCACAAGTCTCATTATCAAGAGTTGTTCAATATCTAGGAAAATGCAATCCACCAAGCAAAATTTACGGTTGCATAGATCCACTAATTAAGATCATCTGGTATCTGTGAAGGACCACCCTTCAGCAGCAATCTTATCACAATACGTTAGCAGTTCTGTGACAGCATCCCAAATAATTATGTTTTCAGAGAAATAATTTGGGAGAAACCCTAAGACGGACAGATAGAGAGATTTTTCGTCTGTAGATCTTTCGATTGAGATTCGATAAGAAACGAGGTCGGTGGTGATTTTGATTTAAACGTGTCAATTCCTCGTTATGCATATCTGATGTTAATTTGATATTGGAGAAGATTTCCATTGGAAGATTAGTGATATAGGAAACTTTACATTATTGAAGAGCCACATAATTGGCTAATTCACTTTTTAAGTTTTAAGTCGGTTTTTGCGTTTCTTTATATAAGGACTTGTAATTCATCTTCATAATAATGTTTAAATCAAGATTCTTTGCAAGTGAGTCCACAAGAGGTGTTCTGTGTTTCTATCAGTTACTTGGAAGCCACGGTTTCCCTCTACCAATTAGCCAAGTGCGATTTGATATTTCACGAGATGATGCAGAACAAGTCGCAGCCGGCTAAGAAGACGGTGGTCTGGTGGGACATGAATACCTGTCCGCCTCCGGAAGGGTTAGATCCCAATCAGATCCGTCAGAGTTTAGAATCGACGTTTCCACACCTCCTTCCTTTCACCATCTCTGCCCATGGAGACCTAAAAGTCATCCCTCGTAGCCTCTGGGAACCGATATTATCGTCGGGAATCCTTTTGAAACACGGCCCAGCAGGTGAATTTCTTTTCTCAATATGTAAATTTTTTGTTTTTGTTTTTTATTTTTGTTTTCAAATTAGGAATTATGTTTTCCAGGTTCGATGCCATGTTCAGGTTCGATGCCAGGTTCGATGCCCAGTGATATGACTAGTTGGAGAGATAATAATCCACCTCCGGCTAGGTTAATTCTTATATCCGATTGTGAAAGCGTCTGTGGGATACTCCGCTTGTTTACGGTGCGTGGATACACGATTACTTGTGCCGTTAAAAATAATAAGCCTGAAGATGCAGCCAAATCCAAATACGCTTCTCTAGCCGCCATCTCTTGGGATCATATATTATCAGGTGTGTTTTTTTTTTTATCTCTGGCATTGTATGTAATAATAAGTAATGATAAATTACTGTTTCTGATTTCTTTCCCTTGTAATATTATTATGTATCAGCTGCTTGGTATGACAGTACTAGTGGCCGACCGGTTATGGACAAGTGCAGTGAAACTGCTTGGGTATGCAACATGTGGATTGATTCTAGCCACCCGTTTGCTGGGGAAAGCTATGAAAGTTTGACCAGGCATATGTCCAGTGCATTACATAGTATTCAAGTAAGCATATGTCTTGCCTCCACCTCAGTGTCCAAACCATTAATAGAAAAAATATCTGTATTTCAAAAGTTTGACCCAGTCCTCTCTCGATTGATTCCAGGAGTCGATATGGATGAACCCTACGCCCTCTTCTGGTTCTCGAGATGAAGAATATGAAGAAAGTGAAGATGATCTTGGTTCTGGAGAAGATGAAGGAGATGAAGAAAGTGAAGATGAACTAGATAAGGAGATGATGCAGACTCGAGAAGAAAGTGAAGATGAACTAGATAAGGAGATCATGCAGAACAAGAAAACAGGGGTGTGGTGGGACATGGATACCTGTCCGCGTCCCCAAGGGTTGGATACCTGTCCGTCAGAGTATAGAATCGATGTTTTCAGAACACCTTCCTCTAAACGTCTCTGCCATTGGCAACCTGAATTCCATCGATGCTGGCGTGTGGGAACCCATCTTATCCGCTGGTTTCTTTACGAAACACAGCCTAGCAGGTGAATTTCTTTTGCTCAATACATTAATTTTTGTTTTTACAATAAGGCTTATTTTAAACTGGCCAAATTTTCCAGCTCCGCGGGACATTTTGGAAGATATTGAGAGGTGGGCATGGAATAATCCATCTCCGGCTACGTTAGTTGTTATATCCGATGATGAACAAGCCTTTCTTACAGATGGGCACCTGCACCACTTAAAAGAAATTGGATACACGATTGTTCGTGTATGTCTAGAATGTCCGGATGTTTCGCCCGAATACGCTTCTCTTAGTTATGCCTGGAGAGACGTACTGTCAGCTAAATTGACTCAGGAGGTTGACAAGTGCAGTGAAACTGCTTGGTTTTGCAACGTGTGCATTCATTCTGGCCACATTTTTGCTGGGGAAAGCTATCAAAGTTTGACCAGGCATTTCAACAGTGCAGAACATACTTTTCAAGTAAGCATCTCTTGCCTCCACCTCAGCAGCTTGCATGGGATCATTACATTTTTTCATTGTCCAACCATTAAATGTTTGACCCAATCCTATCTTGATTCCAGGAGTTGAAGCACGTGCCTCCAAAGTTAAAGGCCTAGGTTCTGGACGCTGTGGTTAACTGTAGATTGACTCGGTAAGCATGGAACATTCGCGTTGCTTTCCTCGATTCTCAACCCACCAAATTGCTTGTTTACTGCTTCTGCAACAACGGATGTTAGGATATGATGTTAGATGTTACGATATGATGTTATCGGGATTTCGTGATCCCGACTGCAAAAACTCTCCATATTCGTCTTACTAAATCATACGACTTTCGTTTCGTTGTTTGAAGCTGGTTTGAGACATAATTTCGATTTTTTTTATACCAGTTCGGGTATGTCTAAAACAGTGATCAACTTTAAACCGGTATACGAAAAATCCGGTTTTCTGCGTATTGGGAAGAATTGCACCACATTAAACTGCTTGTGTTAAAAATAAGGTTCTGACATATGAATCGCCCCAAGTTTCACCATGCGTATATTACATTTTAGTGACTTTAACATGCATATGCTAAATGCTAAGTAAAGTAGTAAACCGAGTTGGTACTAAACGGCTCTAGATTGAAGTAATCAGATCATGTCCAAAGAGGATCCCACCACAACGTTGATGAGTTGGTGTTGGCGTTGTCTTCAAGGTATCCAAAATCATTGCTCTCGAATGACATATTATCTTGTTCTTGGTTTGTTTGGTCCAGGCTATAGATTAATTCTAGTAACTTTGATCTTTGAAGTTGGATATTCACCATCTCAACTTGAGCTTTTGCAAGCTGTGCTTGGAGTTCGCTCACTTGTCTTTGTAGATGGTATATGGCACCCGCACATCCATACACCGGATCTCTAGTCCTAGCTCCGGCTTCATAAACCATACTGTTCACAGCATCAATTCTCTGTGATTCTGGAAGTTCCTGATAAAGTAACGTCATATAGATAAATAATCATCCCTTCGTTAAATGGAAACAAAAAAAAAGCAAATGATAAAAGTTGATAAGCTGCGACTTTTTTTGTATTTGACCAAGAAGAGTAAAGACCATATCCTACAAGACTTTTTCAAAGGTGGTGAATGAAAAGGAAATGTTGAAAATGACCATTTATTTATATCTTTGTTAACGTTGAAAAAAAAAAATACTTGATATGCAATACTTTTTGTTCAACATGCGATGCAGATATTTTTTATGTAAAAAATATTTATATGATAGGGGCATTCCGAGAATTGAACTCGGGACCTCTCGCACCCTAAGCGAGAATCATACCACTAGACCAAATGCCCTATTCATGTGAATCCGCTTTGTAGGAAGCCATTTTACATTACAGAACAAGTGCGGTCTAATTTACACATGTGTATATGAACACGTTTTTTGAAACAACTATCTCACACTAGCTTAGTAACTAGAACAATCTCATATGTTTATTAATGATATAAAATATATATTTGGTCTTTATTGAAATTAAACTTTTTAGTAGTGAAAGAGCTTATAGTTAAATACATCCAACACATAGTTAAGTACCTGCAACAACTTGATGATGTTGCTGGCTCCAAAAACGCGGTGTGCGATGGTGAACTTTGCAGGGTCCGTTGGAGGGAAGTAGGGTGCCAAAACGCATTTCTCTCCGCAACGCCGCCGCAGGATTTTGCAAGCGGCACATGGGCTGAGCACCACGCGCGGTGAAAGCTGTGGTGGAGGAGAAGAACTTTGAGAAGCAGAGACGATAGCGGCAGAAGCGTCACCGTTATTCTCCATTTCAACCATATTATCAAGTTATAAGAGTAGAGTTTTGAGGTGAAGTGTTATTTGGTCGGGAAAATAGAGAAGCGTATATATAGGCAGAGAGACAAAATGATGTAGGGAAGGAGGTGACCACCTGACATCATAATCTCGAATTATGACGTCATATTTTGATTGAAACGTATGTCCCATTATTACGGTGGCTTTAGAGCATGTTTATTGGTGTTACCTCAAAATGTCTCTTAACTATATTATATCAATAAACTTTATTTTACGTTTCTTATTAAGAGACTTTTATTTCCCTTGCTTTAATGGTAAAACTCATTAGGTGTTCTCAAGTCTTAACACACACAAACAATATGTCTACAAACTCAACTCAACACAAAGAAAACAATGGAAAGATTGCCCCAAAACATTACGTACTGCATACAATACACGGGAGCATGCCACTTCTCATCCTCTAGGACAGCTCCAACCTCAAATGTCATCACATGAGCTTCCCTTCCTGTAATTATGTTACAATATAGAAGATCCATTGTACAGGTCTCTTGGTGATAACATCCTCATAATACCATAAGAAGTCAACCTTCTCCCATACGTTGCAAAGTTATTCACACATCGTTGACCCAAATAGCTTGCTCCATCAAAGACTATTCTCCACCAAACAATAACCTCGCACAGGCTCCATCAAATGGCACCACTAGTTTTGGCCATGAAGGCTCCACGGATTTTTCTAGCTGCTCCAATTCAGCTTCCTGGAAAAAATCTCATAAGTAAGAGTTAAACATAAAAACCGTTTCACACAAAAGCTAGATAGTCGATATACCCGAAACATCGAAGAAGCTAATCTAATCATCCAAGTCGATTCGGCAACTAAAAGGACTAAATATACACTCGAAATTTCAAATACGATGCATCAACACAGAGACGAGTAAGTAAGAGAATCGTACGAGCTGCTGCAAAAGAGCACGAATCCCGGGTCCGACATGGTGAGCATCAACTGTGTCAAACGGAGGAAACTCAAAATTCTGCAACAGAGGGTTCGAGGAGAGAGTGTCTTCGGAAGCCATTGAAGGAGACGATGAGAAAGTGAATAGCTGGAGGCAGTGGAGGTGGATCCGAGAAAGAGACAAATGGGGCGAGGGTATGATTTAAGAAAAGTTGACTCTTGCAACGGAAGGCTATCTTCGTCATTGATGTGTCTGTCACGTTAGGACTGCTTCTAACGGCGAGAACCTGAAGATTTGACCATCTATGGACATGTCCAAAATCAGAAAATAGAATCTTGACTCCAGTTTAAGTAAATTCCAAACTTGAAAAGGAGATTTTGAGAGATTACCTATCGGCTGTGTAAGAGAGCGCGAGGTCGCTGCAATGGCGGACGCGGATCTCGGTGAGGCCTCCGTGGCTCCAGTCAACGACTGATCGGAGCATTGAGTCTATTTTCAGCTCGAAATCAGGGGACCACAAACGAGTCGACTCGGGATATGACTCGAACCATGGCTCCAGATCGAAGGTAGACCAGAGATACGTATCTCTACAAACGGTTAGCCACGATTTTCTGACGAACATCGGTCCCGTCCATAGCTCCACGAGTACAGCATCAGATCTCGTCTTCATTGTCCATTGTCTCCGAGTACAGCGCCGAATCGCTTCAACGCAGAGGAAAGAGAGAGGCGAAAAGGGGAAAATGAGGAAAAGAAAAAAAAAAAATTTGACTCCAACTCACTCGGTCCAATCACGCATCGCCACCTGTCAACAACAAACGTCCCTTATTAATTTCAAGACTCTCTAATATAAGAGACGTTTTATGATTAATAGGACATTTATGATTTAATTTAATGAGCCAAAAAGGCTAAGAGACCGTGTAAGTAACAGGAATAAACATGCTCTTATAAATTTGTCCACGCTTTCATGTTTCAACGGTTGTTTGACTTTGGTTCAATTAATTTTCTTCTCTTCCTTTGATTTTTCTCCCTGCTTAGAGTAAAATATCCCAATTAGTCTCTTAAAAGTCTATATAGTAAAAGCTCGCATTGGTTAATATATGGGTCTTCTACTCTACTCTTTACGTCCATATTCTACAATATTCTTTCATTTTACTTCTAACGTGAAGTAGGTAATTATCATCTGTAAAATCGTACATTAAGACTATTTTCTCGTACTACAGAATCTAATTTAGTTTGATCAACATTTGTATTCACTGAGGACATGTAAGTCGTACTGGATTTTTTTTATATAGTAAGTCGTACTTTAGTGATTATCATAGAGAAACTAACAGAAAAGGCCAAGTGATTTTTAGGTTGCCTAATTTTTGATGAATCGTATTTTGTTTTTATTAACCAATATTCTTGGAACTCCTTTGTATTTTAGTTATGTCTATCATCGTCTTATAAAGACTTTCTATCTAAACGACTTGTCTTTCAAAGTGGCGGTCTATGTGAAAAGTACTCCCAAAACACTCTAGAAACTTACGTTAACATTTTTTATCTAAGTGAAAACTGTGTTTAGAAAACATATATATACCAGAGCCTTAATTTCCAGCGGTCCCAAAGCATAGCATCAATTATTCAATACTATCGTCTTCTTCACCAACATTATTAAGAAAAATCTCGATATCAAATAAATAGAAGAATGACACGTATAGATTCAGTGGGATCGCTAGTTATTGGGTGTACTCTTATGTCCACCTTAAACAGCTTGCTATCTCTCTATTACGTACTCTCAACCAATTCTTCGATTTCTTTTTGAAAATGACCAAGATTTTCTTCTATGTTTTGTTTAGAAAAAGTTGTGATAATATGTTTGAAAAAAAAAAAAAAAAAATCAAAAAGAATAGAAAAACCACCCGAACTACTTTCTTTTACGATATGGAATTTAACAGACCTCATTCGAGCAAAATAATGGAAAACAAAATTGTTGGTGAATTTGCGAAAATGTAACATTTATGTTAAAAATGATCATGAGGAGGTAAAACCGTAAAAGTAAAGCCGGTCGTTTTGTCTTGTAGCGTGTTTTGTTATCGTCGATATTTTTGGCATGGTACGTCGGGATATATCATTCGTTTATTACTTTACTTGGAAAAAAGTATACGATATGATTGCACCACTCGTATATATCCACGCCCGTTTGGATACTTTAAATTAGACCCTAAAAAACAAAACAAAAACGACTTTGTAATAGGTTTCTGAGTGGAATATTTTTACGTCTTTTGTTTTAGTCGAATTAAAACTGATATATCACGTTTTCTTCACAACAATGAAGTCTCACTCTTTAAATTTCATAGACTAGTCATGTATAGTCTGATTCATTCAAACTGGTCAAAGATTGTCTTTTGCATCGTGTACACTAGGAGATTGTAACATAGTTTGATTGGGCTCCATAAATGCTGTAACTGTAACAGTATCATCATTATCATTATCCTCAGATCAAATCGTCAATACCTTTTTATCCAATCATTTTCGTAACAAATGATTCCCTCGAAAAAAGGGAAATACAAAGGTGTTGCCAAGTGTTCGTACGCCAAACCACGGTCAAGGGACTATTAGTTGCCCAAATTTGATCGTGGCATATAATGTTAAGTGATGTAATGCATCATGAGATAAGGAAAACTCACAATTAGAGCTACAAACAACTGGCAGTTATAGAGGAGGCACAACAAATTTTACCTCTTGGTCAGTCTTTTTGTTCTCAAATTTCGGATAGAAAGTGGTTCCGATCTGAGCATTACAATAACTCTCCTCATTTGCGGTGGGTGGATACACGATTATTCGTATCTTTAAAAACCTTTCGGAAGATTCACCCAAATAAGCTTGTCTACCTATCTCTTTTGATCATTTACTAGTAGGTGTTTATTCATGTGTGTTTTCATCTCTGGCACTGCTATAACTAAAAACTTATCAGTAAATTATGTTGTTTCTGATTTTTTTTCTCTTTTAATATTATATATCAGCTTCGGATCACCGTATGGAGAAGTGCAGTAATACTAGTTGGTGTTGCAACATCTGTGTGGATTCTGGCCACCCTCATACTACATTTAACATCGAAGCTCCTTCAGCTCCGAAGACTTAACTCTTCTGCGGGTGAGTTCCTCTTGATTTCCTTGAGTAATTAAATATGCAAAATACGTGGTGATTTCCTTGACATATAGGTGACCACCTGACATCACAAGCTCGAATTATGACATCATATTTTTGGTCGAAACATATGTCCTACTATTATGGTCGCTTATAAATTCCTCCACGCTTTCATGTTTTTGTGTGACTTTCGTACAAATAATTTCTTCTCTTGCTTTGATTTTTCTCCCTGCTTAGTCTAAATCTAGTGATGTAAGTTGTAAGTTGTAACCTAAGTTTCTTGCGCACCGCATAAATGATGCGTTTGACTGATCGACTATGATTTCAACGATTTATATGTCTTAAATTTCCTGGTTTCTAAAAGAAAGAAATAGTTAGTTACTTGTAAGGGCATCATGAAGTTTAATAGAGAGCCAGAATAATTGAATAAAAAGGGTAAAACCCGTAGCCGTAATAGTACAAAACGTATAATGTATGATTGTAAAATAGCATATTTCTATTAAGTAGTTGAATGTATGAAACAGAAATATATAATCCAGGAATCTAATCCTCTCCACTACGCATTCAGTTTGACCTAGAAACATGTGTTGATGTATATCTATAGCATTATTTCATGTATCTCTTTGTATTTATATCAATAGCATTACCTATTTGGTCTCACTTAGGACAGCTAATTTCACTTTTTCTTATAGATATTATGATGGTGTTGTTTCTTTTCTTTTGAAGCTATAAATTTATAATTGCTTTCAATTTCTTTTTAGGTTAATGAAAGAAAAAGAATGTAGAAGACAAAAAGTGACCCACACGGAATTGAAAAAGGAGTTCACTAATGTTACAGCCATTTCCCACACAAAAGAACCGCTTCTAACTGTAAACGGTGTGAATGTGTTTCGCCAAAAGTCATTCCAATCTCGCTAGTCGCTACAGTCTCATATTTTCCAAAATATACAATACAATTCGGTGTTCTCTGAGCATTTGAGAGATTGGAAATAAACAGATAATTTTAGCGATTGCATCAAAATTCAAAACCAATATTGAAATAGCGTTGTTGGTGGTTAAGGTGATGATTGGTTCTCCCGCTACCACCCGCAAACGCAGCGTTTGCGGTTCGTAGCGGTTCTTAGCGTTTTATAACAATCACGACAACCGCTTTCAACCGCTCTATACCACTCTGTACCGCTCTATATCGCTGAAAATCAAAAGCTCCTTTCCGCAAGCGTTTGCGGTTGCGGGCGGTTGCGGTTTGAAAAAAAAAAAAAAAAAACATAATATCTCCAAATTTGGAATAAGGGTATATTTTTTTGAAAAATACCATAATTATGTTTAAAAATTTCGAAAATACCCTAAATTTTTTCTGTTTTGAAAAATACACTTTTAAAATGTAAAAAGTATGTTTTGACGTGATTTAAACAAAAAAATAATAAATAATTACAAATTATAAACGAAAATTTAAAAAAATAATAAACTAATAAGTTTTTTTTCAAATAAATATAGTATATGTTAAACTGAAACAAATTTTAATATTTTGGATCTTTATATAAACAACTTAACCTCATACACATTCAAACCAAATGAAACTTTAAATAAATTAAAACTTTACATATATTTAAAGTTTATAAATTATTAAAAATTTAAAAGTGGAGAAATATATCTTTCATTTTTAATGTTTATCTTTTGAAAAATTTAAATATTTTTGAAACTTTGCATAAACAACTTTAATCTCACCCCATTTAAACTTTATATAAACAATCTTATATTTTTATTAAATTGTTTAAAAAAAACTAAACAGGTAATTAGGATGTTAAAATGATACAAAATTATTATCAAATATTAATATTTTATATTTCTTATTTGAATTTCGTTTTTATTAAATTAGGAATAATCATTTTACATATAAAAAGTGTATTTTTCAAAACCAAAAAAAAAGGGTAGTTTTCAAATTAAAAATTCATCAAAAAATATATTTCAAAAAAAAAATTATTAATATGGTTATAAATGTTTTGAATAATTATATATTATTTTTATTTTAGTAACTTTTGGTTAAACCGCTCTTGCACCCGCTGGCTAACCAGTCAAAAATATCCCGCAAACGCAACCGCTATGAATTGCTATACCAGTCGTACAAACAGCTTTTAATCGCAAACTCCCGCTTCCGCAAACTCCCGCAGCCGCAAACTCCCGCAACCGCAACCGCAGCGGTTAAACCAGTCAGACCCTAAGTCACGTTAAAAAACTACTCAAGATTCAAGGGGGTCGTATTGCATATTCGGCACATTTTGAAAACAAATTAACAATCCGACTAGTATCCAGTGCTTTTGTTTATCGCTAATTCGTTTGTACCTTTGTCAAGCAAATTAGTCACACCTCAATCCAACTACTAAGACTAATCTTAGATCCCTTCATCACATACCATTTTAACATAAGAACACTCACTCTAGGACATCAACCAAATTAAATTACTTGAATCTCATTGCTCTAACATCAAATTTAAACTTCACCGAATAGCAATTTAAAAACCTTACTAAACTTCCTCTAATTATGTAGTTAGGTGAACAACTACAGAAGGTTTAGATTATGCGGAAAAAACTTAAAAAATTTGAGGAAGGAAGAAGTGAAGTAATAGTAATAGAAGCTGATTTATTAAAAAGTCTAACGAGAGCAAAGCGAAACAGATCTGTGTCGAATCACAAAGCCCCCCCAAAAAAAAGCAAATCCGAGAGAGTACATTAAACAATCAAATGACAAAGTTCAAATGCAATGCGACCCCTCCAGGCCCCCGACCAAAACCAGCCATGAGTCTCGGGAGATACACACACAGAAATGTCAGCTCATGCATCGGCAAACCTGCAACCAACAGAGAGATTTCAAACTCGAATCACATCGTTCAATCTACATTAGTTTCTAGTGATGATTCATAGATTCAAGAATAATTAATTACCCAAGCTCTGAAAGCTTCAAGTGAGCCTCGGCGTAATCCTCGAAAAACGCATCTTCGTCCTGTTCACATTGTGTGACAAGCAACATGAGTTTTCTAAAACCAAAAGTCTTGAGAAAATAAAAAAGAAAGAAAGAAAAACGATACACATACAGCAGCGTATTTCTCAACCAAAGGACGGAAAACGGGATCATCAACTAGCGCCTTGTCAGTGGCAAGCTTAAGAAGGCCTTCCTTGTCTTCGCTCAACAGTTCCCTATTTTTGAAATCAATCCAATAACATATCAGCCACTGATTCCCTGATGGAGGATTAAAAACTGTTGATTTGCGGAAACTTGGGATACTCACTTGAAGTAAGAGTTGTCGAAAATGAGAGGGTTTGATGTCCAGGGACCTACGAAGCCAGACCTATCCGCGTGAGCTTTTCCCTGTATCACCATCATAATTTGCAAAGCATTCATCACAATTTGTAAACTAAAACCAAAACCATAAAACGTTTCAAGCAGTTTGGGAATGAAACTAACAATGGTGTGTGCTCCAGATAAAACGACAATGTCCTTGTCAGTCAAGCCCATCTGCTTAACGAATACATCTCTCAAGTGGGGACAACCCAGGTTTGCATCAGGAAGACGTCCCTCTGGTGGTGGCTCGGGCTTGTCCTGCAAAACAAGGACATACATCTTTAATATATAAAGTCCCAAAGTAGCAATGACCCACTGTGCATATGATCACCATTCACCAGCAATGACTAACCTCTCTTCCGGGGTGGAATGGAACTTCAGGACCACCGGTGACTTCAACAGCAACAACACCAGCAAGCTGAATCACACCAAAGGGGACATAGTGAGTTATACATTCCAAATCCTGCAATTTCTATTTTACTTTTGGTTAAACCTTGTACCTGGTGGAAGTCAGCAACGGAGATGATAGGGAATTGCTGCCTGATGGGCTCCAACAACCTAACAGCAACGTCGAGACCAGCGTTGGCTCCATGAGCTAGCTCAGCCTCGAACCTCATTGTCCCGAAGGGGCCTCCAGTTTTTGAGGCGCAGTCGAATGTTCCAGCAGAGTGCCATCTGCAATTACAAAAAAAAGCAAACAAAATCAGCCATGAGGAAGTGCAAATCTTAAGAAACCACACGATGTTATGGTTAGTCAGTAACTTACGCGATCCTGACCATGATTGGTGCACAGCTCTTCTCAGCCATCATGCCTCTGAGCTTCCTCCTGCACTTCACAATAGCCGTCTTGTATTCTTCGCTCACAACTGGGTAGTTCTTCGCCATTTTCGCTCAAATCTGTGACCAAATGCACACATATATGAGCAAATATACGCACAGAGACCAAATCTAAATACAGTAAAACCCTGACTGAAACTCATATGGATAACAAACAGAGAAACGTAAATTAAATCAGCTTCAAACGAGTGAAAACCGAAAATCAATCACTAGTAAACAGAAGAGATATGCAAACACCGTTACTAGAAAAATCGGATCCTGGAGAGGATAAATCATAAATCACAAACACAAGCTACACTAAGCAAAAAAAATATCAAAAACACCACGCGAGTGAGCTAAATAAGCCTAATCTCTCAAAACATTCATCGATTCGGAAACTCAGTATAGAAACCCAAGCAAAATCGAACAACAGAACAATCTATGAGAAGAACAAAAATGATGGCTAACGTTAACTGCAGCAACGGATCGAGGATCTACTATGATAAACACAACATTCAGCTCAAATCAAGCCAGAAATGACAAGAATCGGATCGAATTTAAGAGATAAACAGAAGCAGAAACGACGGATCGGAGGCAGAGAGAGAGTTTCGTTTTTACCTTTTTCTCGAGAAAGGGATAGAATCTGGGAAATGCGGGTGGCTGGCACGAGCAGAGCACGAGTATTGTTGGAAGCGTTGAGGAGAGAGTCGAAATATATAGATGGGCTGTTCCCAGAGGGGAAGAGGAAGAGAACGTTCTAGTAGATCTACTAATTGCCGTTAGATGACGGACATCGTGTGGTCAATATCTGCCAATGTAATCGACGGTGAAGATTCAACACACGACTTTGAAACGGACGTTCGGATGTGCGGGTTGGTGGTATATAGATGGGAAAAGAATAATCCCTTCAAAATAATATCGATATAATTGTCAAAAAGTTCTATTGGAGGAAACATGCTTCGTATGGCGGGCCCCCTAACTTGGAAACAATATCAAAAAGGCGTCGATTTTGATTTTGTTATGGGCAAAATGACCAAAGTAACATCGGAGGATGTATACTGCGAACAAGCTCAGTAGTGGTATTTCCGTTATTTCAATTGTCCCAGGTGTGAACGCGTCTCACGCACAAGTAGATTCCATTGGACTTAAGGATATGAATTAATGACATGGGACGAATGATTAGGTTTCTCACCAATATCCCTGATTGGTTTAGAAAGTGTGTGATCATTGGATTCGGGCCGTTGGTTTTTAAGTTTCGGTGTAGCTTAGTTAAATGATGAACCGAAATTCAATTTTGGCTTGGTTTTACTAATTCTTCTCTACTTGTCTTTTACTCCTTTTGAATATTTCCTTTATGATGCACAAGTCAATCTTAATTCTCATTCAAATTTCAAAGTTTGAAGATCAAACAGAAAAAGTTTGTCTTTATTAGGCCCACCAAAAGCAAAAGGTGCCACCATTTTCTCTCCTCTCCCTCATTCATTTGCCTTTTTAAACGCAACAGCTACTAGATTGATGAACAGTCTTAAAACTTGTTTTCTTTTTATTTCTGGTTTATCATCTGAAAACTTGTCTTGATCAGAGTTCTTACAAAGAAGAGATGGAGAAGAACGAAGATGGAGGAATCTTGACATATAACGGTAGATATGTAATGTACAACGTAGTCGGTAACATTTTCGAGCTGTCTTCCAAATATATTCCTCCTATTCAACCAGTTGGTCGAGGTGCCTATGGTATCGTCTGGTAAGTCTTTCTCACTTTTCTTCCATTCTTATAACCAATCTTTTTCTTCATCCCTTTTGTCTCTGACTGCAGCTGTGCAAGAAACTCAGAGACAGACGAAGATGTTGCTATAAAGAAGATAGCAAACGCGTTTGACAACAGAGTCGATGCTAAACGAACTCTCCGGGAGATCAAACTCCTTTGCCACATGGATCACGATAATGTAAATCTCTTCTTCACTGATCCCATCTCGCTTGATGAATGATGACTCACACATATTGTTGACATTGCTACGCAGGTTATCAAAATGAAAGATATCATTGAGCCACCAGAGAAGGACAAGTTCGAAGATGTGTATATCGTTTATGAGTTGATGGATACTGATTTGCATCAGATCATAAGATCCAATCAAATTCTAACAGACGACCACTGTCAGGTGAACACATTTAATCATAGTTGTATTTTTTTTACTTTTTCGTAACGTTTCAATGGTTTTGATATTTTTTCTTTTTACCGCAGTACTTTCTTTACCAAATTTTGAGAGGCTTGAAGTACATACACTCTGCAAATGTACTACACCGAGACCTGAAACCGAGCAACTTGGTTCTAAACACGAATTGTGATCTTAAAATCTGCGATTTCGGGCTTGCAAGAACGTCGACCGAGACAGAGATAATGACTGAATATGTTGTGACAAGATGGTACCGTGCACCTGAATTGCTTCTCAACAGCTCGGAATACACAGGAGCTATTGATATTTGGTCTGTTGGTTGCATTTTCATGGAGATACTCAGAAGAGAAACGCTCTTCCCTGGTAAAGATTATGTCCAGCAGCTGAAACTCATCACTGAGGTAAACAACTTCAAACCAGAATCCAACTTGAATCATTGCTCTGTTTTGTTTGCGTGTGTTATAAGTTAAAAGCATTGCTCTGTTTTGTTTGCGTGTGTTATAAGTTAAAAGCATTGCTCTGTTTTGTTTCGTTTTAGCTATTAGGTTCACCAGATGACTCTGATCTTGACTTCTTGAGAAGCGATAATGCGAGAAAGTACGTGAAACAACTCCCTCACGTTAAAAAACAATCGTTCAGAGAAAAGTTCCCAGACATTTCCCCAGTGGCTCTAGATCTTGCTGAGAAGATGCTGGTTTTCGATCCTTCCAAGCGCATCACAGGTGCATGCCACATTGTTTTATTTATGTGTTGGATGCTATTAAATGGAGTGTGCAAAATTTGAAAATACTAACAAGATGTGTTGATTGATATATGTTGATCGAAGTGGAGGAAGCATTGAAGGAGCCGTACTTGGCGAGTCTCCATGAGATCAACGAAGAGCCGACGTGTCCTTCTCCTTTCAGCTTCGACTTTGAGGAGACAACATTGGATGAACAAGATATCAAGGAGCTTGTCTGGAGAGAGTCTTTATACTTCAAGAATAAGTAATCTCCCAAATTGAAGGCGCTTGAAAGCAAGACCATAATATTATTGTCAGTTATATGGGAATATACCAAGTGTTCTAGTGTGTGTGTGTGTTTTGTTTGATGGTGTATGCAATCCGAATAAAGTGACAAGTTTTTGTGTGTAAGATACATATAAGAACACGATAAAAACATGGATTCGTTGTTAAAAAGGGTAAAGATCAAAGACAAGAGAAGAGAAGAGTTAGCCATCTATAAAATTTTAGAAGTTAATGCAAGTTACATGGTTTTTTTAATTTGCCCACATTCATAAAAAAAAAAATTGTGCCCCCAGTCTTTTTCTTGTTTGCATTTTGTTGATTAAAAGTTAAAACCTAAAAGTCCAAAATCCAAAATAAAATTTAACGTTTTCCTAAGAAATAAGCTGATTTTCCAAGTCATGTGATTGAGTTTAGTTGTTGTTCTAGTGAGTGTGTGTGTGTGTGTGACGTGACGATGGTCGTGCAATCCGAAGAAAGTGTTCACCCAACTTAACCTTTATGTGGTTCCATATATTTTCATACCGACCAATATTAGTCCATTACTAGTCTATACAATTTAAAACTAAATCGACCATACTCAGCCTAATCGATCTAATTTCACCAAATTCTTTAACAAAATCTTCAAATCAGCTTGAAAAAAGTAACCCGATAGCATTCGAAATCATAAACATATATATATATATATATTGTTTCTGTGCCACCTCATCGGTGAACTAGTTTTAATCTTACAATTTAACACCACTATATATCACTTGTAGGATTGTAGAATTTGAATATAAGGACGAAATGGGTTAGCAAACTTTCTCATTCATTATTAGAAAAAAAACTTTGTTAGTCATGATGAAGCTAGCTGGATTTTTAAAAATATTTATCATGCCAATCCATGCCGAAAAAATAATATTCTAGCTGTGTATACTATTGGTAATTTGGTGTGTAATACAAATTGAAAATGGACTAAGCAAGCAAGTCAACATCACTGCATACGCATTTCTTCTATAAATAAACGTGAAAACATCTCTAAACGATAACCATTTTGCTATAAAAGCCAAACACGTCCTAGTTTTATGAATGCTGGTTCCAAATAACTAATAAGCTAAAGCAATGAACCATACATTTTTGTAGATTATGTTCCTTTTCTAATTAAATAATCTGAGCTGTCAAAATAAACTCTAATTTAAACTTATCTTCAGTTCAACGTTAATTAACAACTCTGAGATATTTATACAATATCCAAATTTTAAAAAGGGAATTGACTAGATTTCTTTTATGCTGGATCAAAATAATTATATACTTCAATATTATATTCCTTTGACAATATCATCTATTTTAAAAACAATCAGGGAGACTAGTTAACCAATGTATGATGTGTACAGAGCTAGAGACGTTTTTATGCTGTTGTGTATCAATGGTATTTTTTCTGTAAACGATAATTAATTTTCATTTCTTCAACAAAAAAGAATTAAACCAAAATCTAGCCAAGTAAAGTAAACCATGAGAGTTTGTAAGACAAAATATATACGAAAGGTTCGGAATAATATATGCTGGCAAGAGGCAACATACGATGACTCAAAAGGATCTCGTGCAGTACGTAGGGTAATGTCGGAAAATACTAAGGCAACTTTTATTTTCTTTTGGCAAGATTCACAAGTATAGTATGTTTAGATTTGTTGTTCATCCTCAGAATATATAGTAACTTTATCTCTATGCAGTTAATGCATGAATGACTAAACGCCTCATTTGAAGAAGTTGGTTTTACCGTGGGCTTGGAGTAAACTTACTACGGTAAGCTTGTGGACATTATTCAACTAAACTATTACGAGAATTTAGAGTGGTGTTGTTTAAGTGCAAATGGGCAGATACTCGAGATAGTCGTGGATACAAGAGAGACGGTTTTGGTCATAATATGGTGAATTTCTCTCGTATAATTCATAGCGGTCAAGGTGAGGAAGATGAACCATTTGTATTGGCTTCCCAAGCAAAGATGGTGTACTATATCGAAGACCCGAGTGAACTTGGTTGGAATATAGCTGTTCATATCCAACCTAAGGACTTGTATGATATGGGTTTATCTGATATATCAGATGATCTATTTGAAGATATTGACATAAGTGATTCATGTGCCAATGAGGAATTGCTCATCTCGGATGATATACAGAATGTTCAACTAGTTAGAGATGTTTTAGATGATGATGATGACGTTTAAATAGGTGCGATGATGATGTTTTCTTGTCTTTTTGTTTGCCTTGTTTTAGCTCTTTATGTCTTGTTTGAGTTGATGAATGAATCTCATAATATTTTTGTTGTATATGATGATGTTTGATGATGATGCTATGATGATGATGATGTTTTTTTTGTATGCAGATGGATGAATTTCATGAGACACATTATGGAGAAGGGAGTGAATCATATTTTCAGCATGATGAGCATCTTGAAAATACCAATTTTTCTCAGTTTATGCATACACAAGGACGTGAGAGAGGAAAATGGGTGGTTAACGTAATAGGTACTTACACATAAGCTTTTGTTTGCCATTTTTTTGCAGATTCAGAAATAAACTTACACATAAGCTTTTGTTTGCCATTTTTTTGCAGATTCAGAAATAAACTTACATATAAGCTTTTGTTTGCCATTTTTTTGCAGATTCAGAAAGAAATGTAACCGAGGAACGACTTAATGCCCAAGATATATGGGGAATGGAGAATCGTAAAGTCATTCTTGAGTTTGGGCCATATGATCAACCTGAAGGAGGAAGTGGAGGTCTATTTGGTACGTTTCTAGGACAGCTGAGTAATGACTTGAATAAGTTTCCGATAACTTATGAAGACTGGAGGAAAGTACAGTCATGGAGAAAGGATGATGTATGGGATTACATTCAGGTATAATTTCCATGCTTTCATATGATTTCATATGATTTCCGGGCTTTTGCAGTCTAATAACTTTGATGGTGATTGTGTTTATTTTTGCAGACTAAGTTTGATTTTGATGCCTCAATCAATCGAAAGAAGTTTATCATGAAAAGTCTAAGTCAAAAATGCAAAGGCCTAAAAACACGTTTATGGCGTTCTTGTCGTCGCAATACCCCTGAGGAATCTATGGAAGCTAGACCAGATTTTATTCCAAAAGAGCAGTGGCAAGACTTTGTGCATATGCAATTCACTGAAAGAGCTAAGGTACTGTAAATCATTTAGTTTACTGTAATATACTCTGTTACATGTGATTTAGAGCTAAACTAATGTTGTAACCTGTGATTTGTAGAAACTAAGAGACCGAAATATAAACAATCGGAGCTATTACAAGATACCTCACACTTTAGGGAAGAAGAGCATTTGTCGAAAATCTAAAGAAATTGTAAGTTGCTTATAAGCTAAAAAATTATAAACATTGTAAGTTGCTTATTTCTGATTTGTGCTTGTACTTCTCTAGTTTCTGAAGACAGGTAAACGTCCAAGTAGAGCAGAGATTTTTATTTGTTCACGCCAAAAAGTTGATGGAAGCTTTATTAATGAAGAAGCACAAGAGTTATCAGTAAGTTTTTCACTTTGTTAATGAGATATCAAAGCATTGTTCATTGATGCGTGAGTAATGAAAGATTATGAAATTGTTGCCTTGTTTTGCCCTGGATTATGAAATTGCGTATGTAGTATCTTTCAGCGTAATGAAATTGAGGAGAGTAGCGTATGTAGTATCTCTCAGCTATAGGATCTTGTTGCCTTGTTTTGCCCTGGATCTTGCTGATTTTGTTTTGCTCAGCTATATCATCTCTCAGCTATAGTATCTTGTTTATATAGCGTATGTAGTATCTCTCAGGAGAGTAGCGTATGTATCTTATTTGCTGCCTTGTTTGCTCTGTTTCTTATTCACTTGTTTGCTCTGTTTGTTGATTTCAGGAAAAACTTGCTCATACAAGGACTCTAAATACAGGAATCGATGAATTCTCTCAAGTTTTTGGAGCTGAACGTCCTGGAAGTGTTCGTTGCGTTGGTCTTGGTCCTACTCCTTCCACCTTTTTCAAGAATCGGCCTACAACAACAGCAGAGAAAACAGAAGTTGCTTGCTTGAGGAACAAAGTCAATTATCTTGAAGAGGAACTGGAAAAGTTGCGTGATGTGGTTAACATGATGAAAAGCAGAAGTTGAATTTCTATTACACTTGGAACAAGAAAGCAGAAGGTAAAGTATTTCAACTATATATGCCCTCTTATGGAACAATGAAGCAGAAGTTGAATTTCTATTACACTTTGAACAGTTTGGTTTAAAGCAGTTTGAATAGTTTGGTCAGTAGTACATGTTGGTCCATTTTAACAGTTTGTGATTGTGTTTACTACAGTTGACAATATTTGATGATAATATAGCAATTTGAACAGTTTATTATAGCAATTTGAATGTTTACAGAATGTTATTTTGATTAGTGCTTGTATCTATTTAAAACTGATACAAAAATCAGTGTTTAGAGTCAATTGTGAAAACTGATACTAGAAAAAATTCAATTGCTAGCATCAGTTATGGTAAACTGACTCCAAAATTTGGTATAGCATCATTTACAAGACTGACACTATATATGACTCTAACAATGAATTTTAGAGTCAGTTCTAAAACTGATACAAGATATTTTTAGCATCAGCAGTTTTAGAATCACTTTTTAAACTGACCTTAAAATTATAGTGTTAATTAAAAACTGATGCTAACTACCAAAATAACTGACTCTAAACACAGAACTTCTTGTAGTGCTAAAAGAAACACATGGAATATCAACGGTAAGCAAAAATTCTTGATTACTAGAATAAAAAACATCAAAAAGTTGATCATGGTTAATGCCTTGCGCTCATTGGATATATAGGTGAAAATATGGAGAGGCTCTATACGAACTTTAATTGTTACTATAACAAAAAGATAAGTTTAATTTCCAACAAAGTTTAATTTCCAACAAAAATGTTTGCCAGCAAAAGATAGTCTGTCTCTTAAATTCTCAAGGCCTAGAAGGTCAACATATATTTTGATATTTTAACCTAACTAAGCCTCGTAGGTAGAAGAAATAAATTGGGTCGACTAATCTTGCTGCGTGCGAAGAAGAACATTGATTTCGTGTGCACGTGGTGCTATTCCCTTTGATTTTTGCTTTTATTTGTTCCTCGTAACAGAGAGCCAGCAAGCTGAAACGCGTCGCAGTTAATCACTGTTGGAACCATAAATCGAAAAAGCCATTTTGCATTTAATAAACAAATCCTTCTGTGTAAGAGAGAACTTTTTTTTTTTTTTTGATCAACACTGTGTAAGAGAGAACAAAAACAAGAGAAAGAGAGAAAAACATTCGACAACAAAGCGCGTGGAGTTAAAAACTTGGGACCCACCATGACGTCTTTTTGTTTCACGCCTTATAAAAATCAAACAGTGAGTAATTGGCCGTCGTCTATATGCCAACGTCACCCGTAAGGCGATAGGTGAGACAGCTGCAAAAATGTTCTCATCATCTTTTTAATTAACACACTAAACTTAAAACCATATAGTTCCAAACCTAAATTCAAACTAATGCGTCTACAAATCTAAAAGAAAATATTGAAGCAAGTGTTTTTCTTACAAATGGAATAGTTTATTTTGCTCATCTTTGATATACATAAACTTACATAAAAATCAAAAGTAAATTCAAATATGAGTTTGATTGTGACTGTTACTTGATACGGTGGATACATTAGATGTACAATAGAACGAGTCGTATCGCACGAGTTGGTCGCAGTATGTAAAATATTTTGTGACATAATCACCCAAATCAATCAACCTCCACGTCAGATCGACGGTGGTTGTTTGTATCGAACGGACGGTAGATGACAAATTTACAAGTTGACCAGGCTCAAGTGTTTTGCGCCTTACGTGGCGTCTCGTGATACGCTCTCTTTAACAGTAGCCGTACGTTTCTATTCAGCGGAAAATAAGAAGAAGAGTTTTGTGTAGACGTGGCGTATTTTGATTAGACGCGCATTGTAATGTACCATGGACCTTGTCGTAGATGATAATGTTACGTTTCTCCTTCACTTAAATAACTTTAGATTAAAAAAGGCGAAGAAGAATTAAGCTTTCCTCTGTTTGTCACTAGCTCTTTCTCTCTCTACATTTTTTTTTTCGTCTTCTGAATTTTCTTTCCTTTTTGGTTTCTCTTCCTTTGATTTTCCGTGTTGGGTTTTTCTGAGTTTTTGATTCCTCGACGAGGAAAACCGAGAGGAAGAGGAAGAGAAGAGACAATAGCGAATTGCTCTATTCTCTTTCAAAATTTCTCGATTGTTCGATGGGTTGTTTCGGAAGCAGTAAGAAGTCAAGCAAACGATCGGAGACCAACAAAGGGAAAAACAAAGATACTGTGAAAAATTGGAAAAGCGTCGGTGGTACGAGCATCGCTAAGAGCGATAACAAGCGAGATGATCAGACTCAACCCAGCTCAGGTATCGAGTGATTCCGATTGTCCACTCTCCTCCAGAAGCTCTGTTGAACTGTTCAATTGTGTGGATCGGATTTCTTCTGTTAATGCTATCTGTATCTGTTCCACTGGGAAAGCCAATTTCCTGAAGAATTTTAATAATTTTCCCTGAGAATTTCAATGCATGTGTACTATTCACCATATAACTGATGCTGGGTTTAGAATCGAGTTAGATTTTTGTGTTCTCATGGAGGAGACAAGGAGGTCAAAAATTGGATTTTTTTTTTTTTTGGCCTTTGGTATTCGAATCTTCAATTGCTTTGTATACCTGCCTTATCTGTTTTGGGTGAAGTCACATGATTACTGAGTTAATTGATTCCGTACTCTTTTTCCATGTGATGTAGATTCTACAAAAGTGAGTCCATATAGAGATGTAAAAATTGAAGGAGTTGTTAGGGAGGATCAGTTAGCTCTAGACGTGAAGGATTTGAATTTAAATGACCAAGCCACAGGGAAGAAAGCAAAGACTTTTACCTTTGAAGAACTTGAAGTTGCCACAGGAAACTTTAGATCTGATTGCTTTCTTGGCGAAGGAGGTTTCGGTAAAGTTTTCAAAGGAACTTTAGAGAAACAGAATCAGGTACTTGCAGCACCACTAGTGTCTTTATCTTTCTTGATCAACTTGGCTTGTGACTGTCAGAGTTTTGAACGATTTGGCGTTTCTGCTAGGTTGTTGCAATCAAGCAACTTGACCGTAATGGGGCTCAAGGAATCAGGGAGTTTGTGGTTGAGGTATTGACGCTAAGTCTTGCTGACCATCCAAATCTTGTGAAACTTATGGGGTTTTGTGCTGAAGGTGACCAGAGACTCTTGGTCTACGAGTACATGCCTCGAGGATCTCTTGAAGATCATCTACATGGTATGTTGTAAAACTCAAAACTTTGTTTGTCACTCACTATCCTATACTTGCTTTGTCGATTACTTGACTTTCAATATTGGTTTTTTTTACTGTTTTCAGATCTCCCATCTGGTAAAAAGCCACTTGATTGGAACACTCGGATGAAGATAGCAGCTGGTGCAGCAAGAGGCCTAGAGTATCTACACGATAGAATGAAGCCCCCTGTGATCTACCGAGATCTGAAATGTTCGAATATCTTGCTTGGTGAAGACTACCACCCAAAACTATCCGACTTTGGGTTGGCTAAAGTTGGACCAAGTGGTGATAAAACGCATGTATCCACAAGGGTTATGGGAACGTACGGATACTGTGCTCCTGACTACGCTATGACCGGTCAGCTCACATTTAAATCCGATATATACAGTTTTGGAGTAGTCCTTCTGGAGATTATCACTGGAAGGAAAGCTATTGATAACACTAAACCGCGTAAAGATCAGAATTTGGTTGGATGGGTATGTTTCTCTCTCTCTCTCTCTCAATGATCTTTTGCTGAAACAAAGCTCATTTTGAATTACTTTTCCAGGCACGGCCGTTGTTCAAAGACAGGAGGAACTTCCCGAAGATGGTTGACCCATTGCTTCAGGGACAGTACCCGGTTAGAGGACTGTACCAAGCACTTGCAATATCAGCAATGTGCGTCCAAGAGCAGCCGAGCATGAGGCCTGTTGTATCTGATGTAGTATTGGCTCTCAACTTCTTAGCTTCTTCTAAATATGATCCGAATAGTCCTAGCAGCAGCAGCAGGAAGCACCTTTCTTTCCACAGAGATAGTAGAGATGATGATGAGAAAAGACCAGACCTTGTCAAGGAAACTGAATCTGAAGGGTCTTCATAGGAAAGAGAGTGGTAAAAAGTTAAAAATCAAAATCTAGTTTTTGGCTTCCCTAAGAAAATTGGGGAGATATATAAAAATCAAAATCAGTCACATTTTTAACATCTCTTGTCTTGTGGATGTACATCTTGACTCGGCTTCTTTTGTATGTAAAAATGTTTGTAGAACCAAAAAACCATTTTGTTTCGAGACATATATTATATATATACATATATTGAACAGAAGCAAACATCTATGTATATATTTTCTTATTGATCCATGGTGATGACGATTAATGGCAAAAGTCGTAAATATATAATGAGATGAGAGTATTTCCCGCGCAAAGCCGTTAGATTAAGCCGTTAAATAACGAAACTGATCGAACAAGACTTCATAAAACTCTTTTCTCTCTTCTCTCTCTCTCGACTGGATTTGCGACTCTCAGAAGAAAAGCTGCAAGATAAGACAACAATGACGGAAAGATCGTTCTCTCAGCTCCCGATCTCTTCTTCTCACGGTGGCAGGAGGATGGCAAACACGAGGAGAGGGATTTTCCCGGTATCGGAGTATTGGATCCACGCAATTCCGGTGATCGTTTTCCTCTGCTTCTTCACCCTCTGGATCTTCTCCCACTCAGGTTCATAATCGGATTCTTTAAAGCTTTCTCGTTTTTGTTTGTTGGAACCTTCTGAATCTGTGAATTTTCTCGGGAAAATTGGTCAAGAAAGCTTTCTGATTTTGTTTCCGATGGTGCTTTTTCACAGTGAGCATTGACATGAACGATGGAGAGATAATGTCCGTGCATCGTCTTGAGAAATCCATGGCCGTGAGAAACGAGTCTCATGTCAGTTTGGCGATTCTGGCTTCCTCTGCCGTCTCCCCTGTTTCTGCCAATCAGAATCTGACAGCTCTTCACAACGCAACCGAATCGCACAATGCAACTGCTAAGCCTGAGCTTCGTAACGTGGAAGAGAAAAAGGGGAAAAAAGAGAAGAAGAAGAAGAAGAGTAAGAAGGAAAAGAAAGAGAAAGACATTAACAAGTCCCAATCGGTGGTTGAAGCAAAGAAGCCACTCGCCGGCTAAACTCTCACCGGAGAAAAAGTTTCTTCACGGTGCAATCCTTTCAGTCCTTTACTGGTTTTCTTCCATGAACAATCCAAACAGTTAGTTTTCTTTTAGATATTGCGGTTTTCTTTGTATATGCTATGATAGCAAAGAGTAAATTTGGGTTTTAGATTTCAGATTTGAGAGATTGTAACAAGGATCGTGACAATTACTGTTGTGAACAACAATACAGAGCATTTCAGAAATCTGTAAAAGCTAATTGAAGAAAATTTTACTGAATAATCTGAATGTTACTGTTGAGGATGTTCAAGCTCACTAATCTCTCCGTCTGCGCAATTTCCGACCCAAATATACATCGTCGTGTTTCTCCGACTCGGCAATACTCTGCAACAATCCCTTCTCGGTGACTGCCAACACAATTTCAAACATCCAAAACGTTAGCCAAACCGGTTTATCTAAGAAAGTTTGAAATTCAAATCAAATCCCAAAACGATCCGGTTTTCAGTCAATGGACTAGCCAAAACCAAACCGGTATGACTGAAATTGAAATGGAAATGGGAGTTTTGGACCAACCTTGTGCCATCGGAGAGGATCAGGTCGCTTAAGAATGACGACGGAATCGATTTTCCCAGGCGAATCGATCCTCCACCGGCAGTTCGGAATCCGCCTCGACTTATCCAAGTTATAGTACCCAATCACCTGACGACGACCTTCGTCGTACTTAGCCGAATTCACGTAAAACACGAACGGTCTCTGGCACGGATGTCTCGAAACGGGCCTCGTGTTAAACGCGTAACCAATGTAATCAGCCTTGCGGAACCAGTTGAGGAAAGTCCTCGACGGCATCTCGAGCTCGCGTGGGGAAATGATTCCTCTGATTATCTGAACCGAAAATCCCCACGAAACCGAGATTGACCAGAACCGGCTCTGGTCATAGCAAATCGACTGCTGGAATATGCTGGCTGAGTCAAGTTCTGCTGATGACATGAGATGCCGCAGCGCACGTGACCGCTTCATCTTCGGGAATATCGGCTGCACCACGTCTATGTGGTGCAGCGTCACCAACGGAGCCACCGGGTGGGCCCCTAACAGGCCCAACAAGTCCCCATATACATCGTACTGCATACATTCAAACCGAAATCAAAATTAAACCGGTACGAAACCAAAACAAAATCCGAATTTGGTTTAAAGTTACCTGGTGGAAGCCAGGCTCTTTGGTGAGGGGTACACCGAGCTCAGTCATACAAGCTTGGATGCGATCGTCACTTCCATAGAGACCAGGGTAACGCTGGATGCAACGGTCCTGCATCTTCGAGAGCTCGAGAGCTAGAGCGTAGCTGATTGCGAAGCCACCGCCTCCAAACGCCATCGAGTAAGAGAAGAAGATGTTTTGAACATGAGCCTCCGATGAGCTGCCGACGTAGTAGAACTGAGTGTGGTCGTATTTCGAGAGAACGTTGACGACGTTGTCCACGACGAACACCGTGTCGTCGTCTCCCATGACGAACCACCGCACTCCTTTTTTACCTAGCCGTAGCGTCTCCGTCACCACTCTCGAGATTCTCACCGCCGATCTGTCACCTACCGGGTGCGTGTACCGGAAGCGAGAGGTGTCTTGGGAGATTCTGATTTCCGGGAGAGGTTCGTTTCGGTAAGTACGGACTCTCTTGTCGATCCAGACGACGCCACGTGTCTTGTTCGGTCGCCACCATGATTTGATGTATTCTTTCCTTGTTTCCCATAGGACGGAGGACGCGGCGATTCCGAAAACGACGTGGTCGAGCGTCGTGTTGAACATCCTTGGTCGTCGAGGGTGAAGAGAAGGGACACGTGGAGGGGAGTCGTCTTCTGCTTCCTCCTCTGGGTCTTTGACAGCTGAGGAAGAGTTTGTTTCGTCGACAAGTGAGAGGTGGCGGTAAGTGGAAGAAGGTCGGCAAGGTTTGCGTGCGCCTCCGCCGGTGGTGGAGATGAGAAGCAGCGGGAGGAAGAAGAGGAAGATGAAGAGCCATGGCAGAGGAGATCGGAGGAAAGAGATCCGGGAAGTGGTGGGCTTGAGTTTGTCGTGATGATTATGATGATCTTCTAGAAGTCTGTTTTTCGGGTTGCTCAGATTGAGGTTGGAGCTCGAGCCGTTTCCCATGGCGGATGGGAAGAGAGAAGAGAGAGAGATGATGATGATACTACTTTGATTTTAGTTACATCACTTAGTTAAAAATGAATAACAAAGTTTCGGTTGCAATGAGCTTATTTTAGATAACAAGAAAAAGTCTTCCTGATTTTACTGCAAGAGTACGACCATGGACCAGTTACTAAAAAAAGAGACTAATACAATCATAAAAGCAAACCAAAATTTAGATCCTCTTCTTGGCAACAAAGTTGATGCAGTGAAGCAGAAGAAGGAAGCATTGTTGTGTGTATTAATCCATAGATCAGTGTCTTCTCTGCGAAACATGAAGAATACATTGTTAAAACACAGATGAGATTGACAAAGTAAACTTAGAATAAAAAAAGAGTTAAAAATAAGAATGATTTTACCTTTCTTCTCTTGAATCCTCCTCCTCCCCTATTACGGCCACTGCCACTGTCATCATCTTTATCCAAGAACTTGAATGCGTCGTCAAAAGTCTCAGTTAGTCCATCCAACCTGATTTATGTCAAACATGAGTTGCTTCTCAATATAAAGATCAATAAAAATATCAGACACTTAAAAGTTTCCAACCAATGCACCAAACGTACCCGCTGCGTGATTTCAAGCGCTTCTCTCGCTTCTTGTCCTCCTTGGTGCGATTAGCCCTGATAAAGAGATCTTCTTCTACCTTTTCTTGCCTTTCACGCTGTGCCATGTACTTACTCTGTTCCCTGCTCTCCCCAAAGAACTCTCTGACCTGTTTATATTCATTCATTCATCCATTAAGTTCATACATCAAACTAAATCAACACATAAATCAAACTGCAAAGTAGTTTCCTTTCAACTCACCTCTTCAGGCCTGTCCTCAAGATCGTCCAACACATCTTTCATGTACGAATCTCCAGTGGCTTGCCTCAAAAAGTGTTTCTCTTTTCTCGCAGCATCTCTTTCTTGTTTTGACGTCTTATCATCCATTGCCATGGGAGCAAACTTCCGGGGATGATATATATTATCCTACGTTTTTACACAGAATAAAAGTTTTTAATGAAAAAGAACATACATCATTATCTCTTCACAAGTGTAAGGAGACGATAATAAGACTTACATCTTGTTCATCCTCATTTCTGGGAGCAAGTAAGTCTGGTTTCGGCTTCAAGTTTGAAAGATCTTCAGTTTTTTGGGACGCAGCAGATTCTTTTCCCTCGGAAAGAGCTTGCTCAGCTCCTGACCCACCGGCTGTGGTGAGCTTCTGAATTTGGTACTGAAGTTTTTTGTCTATGGGACGAATCTACACACAAGAAAAACTGTTTAACACTAGGGTCTTGTTGGCTGGTTTAAAGTGGGAAAAAAAGAGAAAAGATGCAAAACCTTTTCTAGAAACATTCGTATCTCTACAAGGCTTCTTACAACAGGATGGCCATCAATGGAGAAACCTTTTGCCTTCCTTAGCAGGTAATATACGAGACACTGGCAATAACTTAAAAGCAACAGATGCTTGGCCTCGAGATAACTCATCCCATCTACTGTTGGATAACTGTTTGCTTTTACCTATGATTTGCAGAAACAGTAAGAAAGTCAGGATGTTGTTAAATATGAATTTACCCTGAAAAGTAAAAACCATTTAGGATGGTGTAAACAAACACCAGACTTCGTACCTTTGCAGTGAGAGTCTCCACTTTGCTCCTAACCACATCTAAGCCTTCCTTCATTTCTCTCAGCACGGATGCTAGCTGTGGAGCTTCTCTGAGACAGTTACAATTAAAATATTTAAAAAGACCATCAAATGGAGAACTGAGACATATCATTTTGTAACAGAAAATCCTTGATTATTCAAGCTATTTCCTTCTTCTTCATATTACTTCTAAAAAATAGATAATTTTGTTTGTGAACTTGTTCATAATGGAATAAGCATAACTCACGTTTTTATTCTTTCGGCAAGGCCCGGATTTGTTATCACCTCCATGATCCTTGCTCAGTATTAGACAGAAGATAAGTCTGTAAAAAATTGAAAAGAAACCAATCCAAATGTTCAGAGATTATCCCTTTTAAATACCAAATAAAAAACCTCGGATAAACTAAAACATGGTACTGAGTTAGAAAATAATTCAATTCCAGCAAATAGAGATATGGCACAGAGTTCAACATCACAAGAACAAAATGCTAATAAAAATTAATGGAAGTTCCAGAAAAGTAGCAGCAATCTACAAGACATCGATTAATCGATCCCACTGTCAGAGGAGGCGGGGGTCGTCGATGTAGGTCCGACGACACAGTACACCGAGATAAGAAGAAGTAGGAACTCACCGGAGATATAGAACTTGACGGTGACGGCCACAGAGAGCGACTCGAGAAAGTTCACGGCCACAGAGAAAAGAAAATCAATAGAAACCCTCCTCCACGGTTTTCCAATAGTCAAAGGTTTATGGAGATGACGAAGTTCTATTTTCTACCCGGGAGTTTTTGGGCCCAATTCTAAATTTGGTGATATATAAACCCAATCATGGGCCTACATCTCATTTTCTCTTTAGGCCCATAAGGGCGGCTAATTTGACAATCCCAATGGTTTGGGGGTGGTTAACCATTTTGCGTAATCATCTTGCTGCTAAATCAGTTTTCGAGATGCTCGTGTATCTCGTAGATACGATCAAGAGAAAATCGAGTAAACTATATGTTAAAACAAAGCTCTGATTCAACTTACCAACATGTGGCTTGAAAGAAACATCAACCATTATTGGTTTACAGAAATGTGCGCATTGCTAACAAACATTTTCTACTGCAAGACACAATTATTTGACCAGTTCCAAAGGACAAGATACCAAGTTGAATACTAGGCGTTACTTCTACTTAGTCTCCAAAAACTCCATTACAAGTGCGAATTGACTCGAGTTTACTGCAACGGGTCACATACCATTGACCATTCTCTTCATCTCGGCTGATCTTCTGGGATCTGGCTCTTCAATTGCTCTCTCTGTCAGCACATGCTTTATGCGGCACATTGACCTCCTCACCTATTATTGTAATCGCAGACAAAGTTGTCATTCACCATTTATTCAGCAACTTAATTGGCATTGAAAGCAATACCGGGATTTGTGTTTACCTTTGGAATGCGTTCAGGGTTTGGAAACTGCATGTTCTGGGCTTGAAGCATCTGACGCTGAGTCATCAACATGTTTTTCTCTTTCAGCAGAACGTACCACAGCTTCTGTAGATCGTCCCATGACTTGAGCCGCAGCTCTGAAGCTTTCCATCCTCGACCTAACACCAAATGATCACAAATGTTCCCATTAACAAACGAAACAAATAGTAATCTAACACTACAATTTCCAACTATTCCATGGCACAGAGGGACAATAGTTACATGACCAAAGCACAAATAGGGAACCGTTAGAGAATAACCACATGAATATAGTGTTGCCGCAGACAAACAATAGGCACATTGATTTCTTTTACCACAGTTCCTTGAGTAGTTTCTTAACTTAAATACACATATAGCTAAGAGAGCGACATGTGAAACAGTGTAAACCAGCATCAAGCAGAGCAAAATGAAATCCTCCAACTACTTTGTACGAGCAAGCAGAAAAACAGAGATTGAGATGATAAAGCTGTAATGTATATCCCATTTGCTAATTCGGAGACATTCATCAATCAAAGAAGAATAAACTCTCTCAAATTGAAGAGACTTTGGAATGACAAGTGAACGCACCGTAGACAACAGGTTTATCTTCGTCCTGGCTTCTATCGAACTCAAAGAACTCTTCGAGAGGGTTATTGGGCGTCCGAACCGTCGAGGCAGCTGCTGCAGAAGTCGACTGAGATCTCGTCGATGCTGCCGCCAAGAATCTCCTCCCGAAAGATCGCGCTAGAAACATGGTTAAACCACTTCCTAAGAGTTTGCTGTTATATAATCCCACCTACCAAAGATCATCAACATCAATCAGAAATGATAAAAAAGAGAAAACGAGATGTGAACAACAGATTGGACAACGAAATGCTCATACGAAGATTTCAGAGTTCCAAATAAGTAATAGGTCGTCTACATAGCAAGCCGCATCTGGAAGCAGAAGAAGAAATGAGAACTCACCGGAGATAGAGAACGGCGACGGTAACGGCCACAGAGAACAAACCCTCTCTTACTAAACGTTTTTCCGAGGGTAACAGGTTTACGGAGGAGGAAATATTAGGCCCAATACGAGACAAGTTCTGTTATGGGCCCAGTTTCAATTTTTCCTTACCACCCAATAAGTTCTGTTATGGGAAGATGAATAAAATGAAGTCCACGTCATCGATCCGTTGTTTCTCTAAAGATGTAACAACCGTTAGATCAACCCATCAACGGTTAGTATGAAAAGCACGCGGATCACCTCTGCTTATATATATACATAAATACATTCCCCGGTCTATTGATATTCTCACTTTCCAATTGCTATCGTCTCCAATCGATATTATTCAGGTATCGTCTTCTTCCTCTCGACGCTTGATACCTCTTTCTGCAAATTTTTTTTCACTCTCGGTTTATTTCTGATTTGCTCCGCAAGGGTTTTACATTATTCCGATTTCAATTTCGATTCACCGATTTGTTGCATTTTCCGAAATCATTTTGAAAGTTTGTTTTTATCGTCGGATTGACATTTCGATTTGTATCACTTACTGAAGGCTACAAGTATGTTGATCCCTGATGCATTTCATTATTTTTGTGTTCTTCAGATCTCTGGAATCTACTGAAACTGTGAGGAGATGTCGGGAAGAGGAAAGGGAGGGAAGGGATTGGGAAAGGGAGGAGCGAAGAGGCACAGGAAGGTGCTGAGAGATAACATTCAAGGAATCACCAAGCCTGCGATTCGTCGTCTTGCTCGTAGAGGAGGTGTCAAGCGTATCAGCGGTCTGATCTACGAGGAGACGAGAGGTGTCCTCAAGATCTTCCTCGAGAATGTTATCCGTGACGCTGTTACCTACACAGAGCACGCCCGGAGGAAGACGGTGACTGCGATGGATGTTGTCTACGCTTTGAAGAGGCAAGGACGTACCCTCTATGGTTTCGGAGGTTAAATCGATGGAAACTGTTTTCTTAAGATTTGGGCGTTAGGGTTATGGAAGTTTGGGGAAGATCATGTTTCTGCAATCCGCGTTATCCATTTGTTTAGCCGAAGTAAATCCCAGGAGTTAGCTTTTCTTTTCTTTTGTGCTTTGTGTGTCATTGGTCAATATGATGTTGTAGTTCAATTCTTGGCAAAGTTTGCTAAGAAAATCTATAATGAAAGTTGAGAATGAAAAATATGCTTAGTTTCTTTCGTCTCTTACTTTCTAGTAATATCCTAAACCCAGGTTTCAACGCAGACGCCAAACAAAGATTGAAAGTAACTGATAGCCATAATTAATCTCTGCTCTGCTCACTTAACTGGGGAATTGGGAAGCGACCACTAATTCACCTTGCAATGGGACTCTTAATTTTATATTCAGTCAACTATTTAACGTAGATAAACGCCATTCGTAGGCGTTAATTTTGGTGTGAGTTCGTCTTTCAAGTCTATCACTTGATCCAATTATCTATGAGGAATTCAGCACATTTGATGGTTTCGTTGGAATGTCTTTTGGTAAACAGCATTCAATACTGCAGAAGGTTTCGTTGATGCAAGTAAACCAAATTGTTCCTCTGATCTGGGTTTGTACAAAAAATCAAAAAACAGCCGATAATATATTCTAACAAATATGATGACTTGGCTGAATATTCATCTTTTTGGTTGGAATCCATGCCAATGCCATGAACCAAACAAGAAATAAGTTAGAAATATTTTAGTCGACCAAAATTATCGTTTAGAAGATTGAATAACCTGGTGATGAGTTAAGAAACAAAGTGAATTTCAGCTAAAACTAGAGTCTAATAATGATGCTTTTGATTTATTTCTTCTTACTCCTCCTTTTGCTTAGCAGAAGGAGTACGAGGCGCGTAGCGGTAGTCACTGGTAATCCTTCCAACGAACTTGAGGACTTCATCTATCAGAATCACAGGTAACGACACAGCCAACACCAGCAGCCACTCGTTCAAGCTCAGCGGCACTATCCCAAACACCTGAGCCAAGAACGGCACGTACAGTATCACAAAGTGGAGCCCGAATGAGATCGCCATCGCCAGGAGCAGCCACGGGTTCACCCACGGTGGCATCGTCACTAGACTGCCGTCTTCTGAGAGAGCGTTCAGGGAATTGAACATTTCAATGGCCACCAACACCGAGAGAGAGAGTGTTGATGCTTTGATTTTCCCGTGGTGGAAATAGTCGCACGGGTTTGAGTCGAAAGAGAAAGTCTGAGAGCCAGCTGTGAAAGGAGACACTTTGAAGCCTTCCCATGAAGAGCATTGGCCCCAGTTTGCGAGCTGTGAGTAGCTCACAAGGCTGTGACCGTCTTGGCTCAAGTCTATGCCCATGAAGCTGCTGTGTGTGAACCATATGATGAATACTCCCACCGTTGCCACTCCCACATACAGACCAATCACCTGTAGATAGCATAAGAGACGAGAGTTCAGAGTTAAAAACAAACCCCCAGAAGATAAACAAACAAGTGAGACAAATCATCGGTGTTTGCTTACCATATAACGGAAGAGGATCCAGGCAGTGATAAGCGAGTCATCGCTCCTACGAGGAGGCTTCTTCATGATATCCTTGTCAGGGGGATTGAATCCCAAAGCAGTTGCTGGAGGACCGTCAGTTACAAGGTTCACCCACAGAAGCTGAACTGGGATCATGCCTTCTGGGATTCCAAGAGCTGCTGTCAAGAATATCGATGCAACCTCACCAATGTTGGAAGAGATCATGTACCTTTTGATTCATCATAGTTCAGATTAATAGGATCAGTATTTATTTATTAGTCAAGCTAACAAAGTACAAATGTAACAATAAAAGACTCACCTGATGAAGGCCTTCATGTTGTTATAGATGGACCTTCCTTCACCAACAGCTGCAACGATAGTGCTGAAATTATCATCTGCTAACACCATGTCAGCTGCCTCCTTTGCTACCTGCAAATATAATCCCACAATTTTTCAGAATGCTGATAGAGCTCTCATCGATTCATCATCAACATACCGTTGTTGCAGATGAGAGAGAAGAGAGACAAATACCTCTGTGCCGGAAATGCCCATAGCGACACCAATATCAGCCAACTTCAGTGCAGGAGCGTCGTTGACTCCATCTCCAGTCATGGCAACCACTTCACCATCTTCTTTAAGAAGCCTAACAATCTCTTGTTTGTGCTTTGGTTCAGCCCTCGAGAACAAGAGCCCTCCGGTTTGTCTAAGGTGATTCTTCTGATCTTGCACGTCCATAAACTCTTTTCCAGTCAAGCTTCTTGAAGAGATATCTTCACCTGCTTCAAAAACTCCAATTTCACGGCAGATAGCTTCCGCTGTGCTCTTGTTGTCTCCGGTAATGACCATGACCCTGATCCCTGCTGTTCTGCAGTCTGCAATGGCTTGACGCACCTCTTTCCTCGGAGGATCCTACAATCATTGAAATGTCGAGCATGAATAATCACCAAACAAGAACAAGAAAATATCAAAAAAATATCACAGTGATCGCGACTCACCCTTAAACCAACAAATCCAACAAATACTAGATTGGACTCAATAGAAGAATAATTGGATGGGTTGAGAAGTTGCTGGTGAGCAGGATGGTCTTCACTGCCATCATAAGTGGCAAAATCTGATGGAACATCTGAGTACGCAAATCCAAGACATCTCAATGCACTCAGGGACATTTCATGTAGACTTTGTAAAATAAGATCCTTGGAGTATTGGTCAAGTTCTTGAACGGAACCATCAAGTAATTGAATATGTGTACTCCTTTCTAGTAAATTTTCTACCGCACCCTGCAAGATTTCAAAATCGATATCTTAGGTACTGAAAAAAAGGGATAAAGGTGTTCTCGACAAAGAACATATGCATTCATGAGCCACATAATTATAGATATGCAACATGATGAAAAAACAGACCTTGACCAGTAGCAGTTTATTTCCTGAGCTGGAATCAACCATAACTCCCATAGATTTCCGGTCACGGTCAAACTCAAGTGTAGCAATCCGTTGCTCTAGTTCACTCCATAGCCCACAACAACCTTAAATAGTATTAAAATGGTAAATTACAGGAGATTAGCATCTCCATAAAACTGAGGAAAAGATGAGAAACAAATATAATTTAGAATACATACGTAAGACATCACCATCAGCCAAAGACGAAGTTTTATTCAATCCTTCTGGAAATCCCATCTTTTCAACCAAAACCTGCTCAAGGAAAAAAAAAACCACCAATATAAATAAGCATGCCGATAATTAACAGGTATCCCCCTTTGAAATTAGAGAACAATGAACAGAACAAGTCTATTTAGTTAAGTGGATAAAGAGCTAGTGTAGTAGAGCACTTTACCTTCAAAGCTGCCTCTGTTGGCATGCCCCTGGACACATATTGCTGATCAGATTGCTCGACACTAGCATCGTTGCAAATAGCAGCAATTTTTGCAATCATCTGAAGATTTGCGTCCATCCAACCTGCGGGCCAATCTTCAATCTTTCCATCTCGAGGATCAAATGAAGTCCCCTCGACACTGAAAGATCGAAGGGTTCCAATCCTAGAACCCATAGCAACAAGCTTTGAAACAGCCATCTGATTGGTTGTCAGAGTTCCAGTTTTGTCAGAACATATCACGGTTGTGCATCCAAGAGTCTCCACACTGGGCAACTTCCTAACCAGAGCATTCTTCTGAGCCATCTTCCGTGTGCCAAGAGCCAAACATGTGGTAATAACCGCTGGCAGACCTTCTGGGATTGCAGCAACCGCCAATGCTACAGCAATCTCAAAGTAATATGTGCACTTCTCAAACGAGAATTTGAAGTTTCTAGGCCAGCCATCAACATACTCCCAGGACAGGAAGTACTTGACATTGATGAGCCACACTAGAATACAAATTAACCCAATGATCAGAGTCAGAACTTCCCCAAACTCGTTCAGCTTTTTCTTCAGAGGGGTATCTTCCTCATGTTGTGCAGCTTCCTGGATCTGCGAGTGTACCCTTCCAATCTCAGTACTCATCCCAGTGTCTGTCACTAAGCATATGCAGTTCCCATTCACAACGGTGGTTCCTGCAAACACCATGCATTTCTTGCCTTGAATATCAGCATTCTCCTCCACAGGCTTGGTGGTTTTGCTCACTGCCTCGCTCTCTCCTGTCAAGGAACCCTGCTCCACTCTGAGAGTCGAGCTGATCAAAGCCACCACACGCATATCCGCAGGCACCTTATCACCGACCCTGAGTTCCACAATGTCACCAGGAACAAGCTCCTTTGCAGGCAAACTGGATACCTTAGTCCCATCACGCATGACAGTTGCCTGCTGAGACTGTATCTCCTTCAAAGCTTCCAACGCCTTCTCGGCATTAGTCTCTTGCCAGATCCCAACAATGGCATTAACAATTAAGATCAAGAAAATCACAAGCGGCTCAACAAATGCGGTGATCCCCATCTCACCTCCTTCTTCGCCATCAAAAAAGGCCAAGACAAAGGAAATAACGGCCGCCGCCAAAAGAATGCGAACCAGTGTATCATTGAACTGCTCCAAAATCAACTTAAAAATTGATGTGCCCTCAGGCTTCTCTAACTCGTTCAAACCATAGATCTGATGTCGCTTCAGCACCTCATCAGTAGCTAATCCTCTCTCGCGGCTAACACCGAACTTCTCCTCGCATTCCCCAACATCTTTAGCCCAAGCAGGAAAACTTTCAGACTTGAGCGATTCAGAACTATTGATTTGCTTATTCCCCAAGTCTTCACCTCCTTTCCCCATTATCTCCCACTACCAAAGAGATCAAATTACACAAATCAGCTTACTAAACCCGGAAGAAAATCTAATTGTTTGCTCCAAGCTAATACTAAACGAAAACAGAGATTGAGATCGAAACTGAAAACGAACGATGAATTCTTAGATAAAAACCGATCAGATTTGAAGTGACTTCGTCTATAAACTTCCAGGCAGTACCAAACAAACTGAGGGAATTGAGAATTCGATTGGCCGCATAAAACAACACAGAGATCAAAATTCCAGCAACAGCTAATACGAAGATTTCAAAAAGCGAAAGAGAAAGTGAAGAACACAGACTACGAGATCGCAAAACTCACCAGAATCGGAGCAAACTCCGTACTGTATATTCGATGCGGAGATCGTACGCCTCTCTCCAGATACTTCTCTTCTTCAGCGAGCGTCTTTACATATATATAAAGGTTATATGATTCAGTATATAATTTTGTTTTTATTATTTATATATTTTAATGGCTTGTATCTTTCCCGGAAAGTGACGCCTGACGAGAACACGATCTCATTAGTTATTGCAGTTTAAGTCCTTATATTTTCTTTGTGACTTGTAAAGTTCTGATCATTTCATTCCTTTGAATATTACTTAAGGGGCTAAAGTATACAATCGATAACTTTTAGGGGCAATCCGTTATTTTGAATAAGCTATTCGTAGTGGAAGCTATGCAATAAATGTATGCGAATATTTGCTTTAGGGAAGCAATTAAAGATTCCAACGTCGATGGGCCGGTTGTACTCCTCCACGTCACGTGGCCACGTCGTTCACATGGAGTGGCTCTGCCACCCCAATTTTGACACGTGGGAAAATATTATTGGTTTCTGGAAATCAGCAAGTTGCTTTTCCCATTGGATCTAACCTTTAAAGTTGAACGGAAAGAAAACTAGTTTGAGAATATTATCTTCGTGATTTGCCAAGTTGAATGAGAAATAATACACCAAAATCAAATCAAATTGGGAAATATATCTCTCTGCTACTATGTAGATCACATTGCTTTACTGAATCTCTACTACATAATTAATCTTCGGGCCCATGTCCTAGGCTTAAAGCCCACCGTTGATAAAACTCGGATGTAGTTATTAGTATTGGGGTTATGGTATGAAGAAATTCTCATGGAGGAAAGTCAGAATTGGAGAAACATAGTGTTAAATCTGTTAAATTTTGGACTGAATCTGCATTGAAAGGTATAAAATATCATACAAATTTCTAACTATATAGAAGGAATAAAATAAGCAAAGTTGATAACTTGCATACCATTATTCCACACAGTCAAACACAAAACACAACTTCTCCATTTCTTATTAGCTTATATATATTTCATTCATGTTAGCAAATGTTTACAAAGTCATCAAACAGGAGAGGATTAATACATATTGGTGAAGTGGTAGAAATTAATGGACCACAAAGGTCAATATTTGGGTGTTAGCTTGCTTGACAAGCATGTCATCGACTGTTATTGTCCCTTCTCACATGGTTGAAGTGGATGGATGTTATGTTATTCCTTTTTTTTTTGGTGCAAAGGATGTTATGTTATTCCTAAACTCAGATTAAAACATCATCTTGCCTTTTAAAAATTTCATTAAAAACAGTAGCCACATATTGGACTATTTCTGCAAAAGTATAAAAATAAGCAATTGATTTAGTTGGATCAAACTTTAGAATGAGTAAAATACGGGAAGTTGATGACTTGTACCCCATTAGATCACGAATTACTTTATGTTTGTTTTGTATATATGGACACACATACAAATTCTCCGGTTACCGTAAAGACAAACTGACCAATCAGCTTTCTAGACCCACCATGTTCTCGTTCCGTACCGTACTTCTTCTGTTTCTCTTCGCTCTGATAGCTATTGTTGGATCCACCAATGGTGCGTATTCACGGTATTATCTTATCACTTAAAAACATCTACAAAACAGTACACACTTGTGTATACCTTTCCTACCTTATATCATGTGTTTAGAATTGAAATGAGTTCACTTGTTTGAAATTTAACTAACGTTCGTGAATTAGGGGAACCGGGGTGTGATTCATCTCCGAGCCGGGAAGAATTGTACGACGAACAGGCGCAACGAAGTTTGGACAATGCGGACAAGTTTGGTAGAATCACTCTCGACTGCGAAACTACTGGTGGAGGCAGCGGCGGAAACAGCGGTTTCGCGACGATTATAGATCTGTCTGTTGGTCTCTTCGTTCTTATTTGGGTCGCCATTGGAATATGGATTGTTTTCGTCGGAAGACAAAAGGCCATGAACGCAGCCGCTATGGGAGCTAAAGAGATGGGTTATGGAATGGATGATAAGACGAAAACAGATGACATGAGTGCTCAGGCAGGAAAGCTTTCAAATGGTGTCACCAATGTTTGACAGCAAGCATTTGAAATCGTTGGATATTCATGATAATCTTTCTCTTGTTGGTTTTTGTTTATATGATGATCGTTCATCGTTGTACTTGTCATCGTCATAATTATTTCACGCACAATTCACATTACACGGATAATTATTAGTTTACTTGTTTATAATTAACGTATTATACTGTATATTGTCCAAATTTAAAACTTCCTTTTTTTCTCTTGGAAACCTCTTGCTACTTGCTGAATTGAAATATATATTTCCCTAAAGTCTATTACATTTTTAAATAAGAGAAGCTTTTCTCTGTTATAACTGACCAGACGCATGCAAACAAGAAACTAAACATTTAAGGGAAACATTTAACCCAAAAGAACATGCGAACAAAGATATTACTATAAATAGCAAAGTCTTCTTCCATACTTCCTTCGTATACTTTCCACATTAGCAAAACACAAGGCAACGATTATAATGGCTTCCAATCTTCATCTCATCGTCCTCCTCGTACTCGTCTCTGTCTCCATAACTTCCGTTTATTCTCGTTCCACACGAGATTCTGTCTTAAAGTAAGAAGAACACCTCACAATCCTACTTTTTACTTGTTACATATGGCTGCAACTATTAACATTTTTTTTTTGTTGCTTTCTCTCTGTTTAGACAAGACGATGAATCATATCCTATGGCTACGAGTGATCAAGGATCATCGATCATTACCGACGTTGAAGATGTAGCGAAAGCTCGAAGTCTTCGATCAAGCTCTAGTCGATGGCTCTAAAGTTGTTGTACATAAATCAACTTCCAAGAGCTCTTCAACCAAGAGCTCTTCAACCAAGAGTAGTAATAAAGCTTTTCTGAACTAAACAAATTCTGCTTCACTTTTATTTTTATTGACCCTTCGATTAGATATTGTTAAGTTTGATATAATAATACGTACAAACTTAATTAACTTGCAGGTTCTTCGAAGAAGAAAAACAAGGGCCATAAAGTAGGATCATTGGATGTTTCAGCCTTTGTCGGAATCACCGCAGCAGTTGTGGTTATAATTCTTATAATCTGTGTTCTGTGCTGTTTTTATGTGAGGCACAAATCATAAATGGCTCAAAGTATTGGACAAGGTATACTACGTTCTATTGAGGTTAGACGTTCTTTATTATTTTCTGTTGCTAATTTGCTAATACACTTTACTTTTGTATTGACGAACAGCTCGGAAACTCGGACTTCCAAAATAGAAGATTGTGTCTAAAACAATATCATCGCTACAATCACCTCGTGGGAGCTAGATATTTAATTTTTTGTTTTCCATTATTTATTACTATTATTTAATTATATATTATTCCCATTGTAATTCGTTTTATTTTCCCGTGCTTATCAACTTTAATGAATCTTGGTTTTAAATATAGAGTATGAAATTCAGTCATGAAATTGATCTAAAGAGTGTCAATTTTAATATTGAGTATCCTAATGAAATTGATTACAATGAATTTGGTCTATACATAGATAGAGTATCAATTTCAATAAAGTATAAAAATAAAAATAAAATTTTCAAGAGTATCAAAATCAACAAACATGTTATACTGGATTTTTTTTTTTTTTTTTTTTTTTATCAAATTGCTACTTTTTCTAACCACTGTTCTGAACAAACGCAAAAAATAAAAAGGTCCCCCCTTTAAACTTTGTTCGCCTGGCTTCCGAGTTCCCAAGCAGGACGGTCCAAAAAAACATAGAGCAAAAGCGAAGACACAAACGGTTAGTTTACTTCATTACTTCACACAATAAACGGATTTGATTTTCCGATTTCTTCGAGATTTTCGATCCTTTGAGCTTCTGAGATTGACTGTAGATTACAAATCTGAATGCTCTAGGGTTTTCACTTTTTGTAAGCCGTCCTGTTACCGATTTCCGAATTGTTGATCTTCCCATTGAATCCATAATCTTGGTTGCTGAAATTAGAATGTTCAATCCACTTTTGTCTATAATTCAAACCCAGTTCCTGAAAAGGGTTTTTGATTGGGGTCATTGCTTGTTTGCTTCAGATGCGTTGAAGTTCTATTGTTTATAGTTCTATGATCGATTCAAAGTTGTTCCCTTTTCATGTAATTTTCTGTTTAGTTTTGTTTTCACTGCCTCACCATTTGAATCCTTCGTTTCAGGCTAATCAATCTTTTCAGTCCTGAGTTCACTGAAGAGTCTCCGCTTGGTTTTGCTTATGAAATTTTGCATGTGGAGTTGATTAATATCTGCAAATGTCAAGTTTACTTAATGTACTTCCACTTATCTTTGCATCACTATTGTCAATGTAGCTTGTAGATTTTACACAATCTTTGTTAACTCCAATGATATATTCTTCTCAGTCCTCAATAAACGGATCTACCTCAAATTTATCAGACGGTTCAGGGAGAACGTTTACTTCTTCTTTCTCTGGTCAATCTGGTGCAGCGTCTCCAGTTTTCCATCATGCTGGTGAGTGGATGTTCTCGCTGTTGTCTCTCTCACAGATGTTTTCTCAACTTATGTATTGGTTCTTTTCTTGATACAGGATCTATTCAGGGACTTCATAATCTTCATGGAAACTTCAATGTTCCCAGCTTGGCTGGTAGCCTTGGATCGAGAAACTCAGGTCTAAATGGAGTCCCTTCTGCTGGTGTCCAACAACAAAATGGAAGTATTTCAAATGGAAGATTTGCATCTAGCAATCTTCCAGTAGGACTCTCTCAGGTGAAGTCATGGATATGTGTTGATATCCTGAAAATAATGTAAAAATGATGGCTCTGCTCTAAATTTTGCTTTTGGATTCTCATCTGCAGATATCTCATGGTAGCTCTCATGGACACTCAGGACTCACTAATAGAGGAGGAGGTATAAATTCTATTGGTAAACTTTGATTTGGTAGCAACACTCAGGAATCTACCTCTGTTGGTAATTGGTTTACTGTTGCAGGATTAGGAGTTTCTCCAATAATGGGAAATTCGGGGTCTCGAATAACGAGTTCTATGGGGAATATGGTTGGTGGAGGCACAATGGGGAGGACTTTGAGCTCTGGTGGAGGATTAGCTATTCCTCCTAGTCTTGGCTCTCGGCTTAACCTGGCAGTAAACAGCGGATCTGGAAATATTGGACAAAATCGAATGATGGGTGGAGTCCTTCCACAAGGTACTACTACAACTACTACATGATTTGTATCCTTTTATGTCATAAGTTGAAATTAGCTATATGCGCATTTGTATGTTTGCTTTAAAATTTCTTTTTCCATATTCGTCTCTCTTTACATCATCTTATATGAGTTTGGTGAAATCTTATCTCCTCCCCTTTCTCTTCAGGATCACCACAAGTTCTTTCAATGCTTGGGAATTCCTACCCTACAGCTGGGGGACTTTCTCAGAATCATGTCCAAGCAATGAACAGTCTAAGCTCTATGGGGTTGCTGAACGATATGAACTCCAACGACCCTTCTCCATTTGATATAAATAATGATTTCCCTCAGCTTACGAGCCGCCCCAGTTCTGCCGGCGCTCAAGGACAATTAGGTGAGTGATGAAAACCCTTTGATTCTATCTTCTTTCATTGATCAGTTTTGAAGCAAATTTAAACTCCGCACTTTTACGAAATTTCGCAGGTTCTCGATTGAAACAAGGCCTTGGACTCAGCCCCATAGTTCAGCAAAACCAAGAGTTTAGCATCCAGAATGAAGATTTTCCTGCTTTGCCAGGATATAAAGGTTTGTCTGCAACTTTTTTTATGGTCCATTTGGATGCAAAATGCCTCAATTGTATTTATGACTCCACTGGCGTAATATTTGGTGTGGAAGAGATTTAGAGAGTGATTTTGTGATTATATTCCAGCTAAATTATTAATCATCTTCATGATCCAGTTTGATGTTACCCTCTTGAATACTCATAACATTCTTAGTACAGAATGTCCTTGTATTTACTTTTCCGAGATTTTCATGGTGGCTGCATTCAGTTTGTTTGTTGTTCTTGTAAAGAGATTTCCGCTTAACGTATAGTCTTGACAAGATTGGTCGGTTTTATACAGGTAGTAATGCTGAGTATCCAATGGATATGCATCACAAAGAACAACTCCATGAGAATTCAATGTTAATGATGCAATCTCAACAATTATCTGTAAGTTTAAGCTTGTCAAAAAATTTCATTGGGTTTAATTTCCTTCCACTGAAGGTTTTCCTCACAGTGTTTACTTTATCCTCTAATGTGGCTACTTGCAGATGGGAAGGTCTGGTGGGTTTAACTTAGGTGGAGCTTATTCGGCACACCGTCAACAACAACAGCAACATGCTCAAGCTGTGAGTAGTAGCGGTGTCTCCTTACATGGGTCTGACATTTTCTCATCCTCTCATCCGTCTTACCACTCGCAGGTATGGTATAGTCTGTAATATTTTTGAAAGCAGGCTGAGATCGTTTGAGGTTCTTACTTAATGAAATGAGTGTTCCTTTTTATTCAGAATGGTGGACCTCCAGGTATTGGATTAAGATCTATGAACTCTACAAACTCTGTCACTGGGATGGGTTATGACCAGCCTCTCCAGCAATATCAGCACCATCAGAACACATCCCAGTATCGCTTGCAGCAGATGTCAGCTGCTAGTCAACCTTACAGAGACGTGGGATTGAAAGCAATGCAGGCGGCACAGTCAAATCCTGATCGGTTTGGCTTGCTCGGTTTGCTTAGCGTGATGAAGATGAGCGACCCTGACTTGACTTCTTTGGCACTTGGGATTGATCTGACGACACTGGGGTTAAACCTGAACTCAACAGAAAATCTTTACAAGACTTTCGGCTCGCCTTGGTCCAATGAACCTTCTAAAGGTGATCCCGAATTCAGTGTACCGCAGTGTTACTATGCAAAAAGCCCTACACCTCTAAATGTAAGTCTCTCTACTCTCTCATAAGCAATTCTCTTGTCCATCTTGGTTTGTGTGTTTCTCATCATTAGCTGTTTTTAATGTTTCATTTCTTCTTTTTGATTGGTGGATGCAGCAAGGGCTCTTTGCAAAACTATCGGTAGAAACACTGTTTTACATATTCTATAGGTATGTCTTTGGAATTGCAACTACGTACTTCTTTTTGATCCAGACAAAAGAGCCATAACGATTTTTCTTGTGCAGCATGCCAAGAGATGAGGCGCAATTATACGCAGCAAATGAACTGTACGTCCTTTTTATCACAAAATTCTTCCTTCTTGTGTCTAGTCTTGTGAATTTGAAATATGCTTCTTTTGGAGTTTAGTCTTCACAATTGACATAGATCGACCTCGGAATATAGATATTACGAGTGTGAAAGCAAAACATCTACTTTTGATTCCAATGCACTGAAGGATTAAAGCTGCATAACTCTTTTCGTTTTGCAGTTACAATAGGGGTTGGTTCTACCACAAAGAACACAGGTTGTGGTTCATTAGAATCGGGGAACCTCTAGTGAAAACAAATGCGTACGAAAGAGGATTGTATCACTGTTTTGATCCAAACTCATTTGAGATCGTTCAAAAGGTAAGTATACATTCAAGTTCTGTTCATCGATTGTATTTTTCTTTCCTTTTCATTTGACTCTGAAGAACACCTAAAAACCATCTCCTTGCAGGAAAACATTGTTCTTTATTACGAGATGCTGGAAAAGAGACCGTCCCTGTCTCAACACGGAGTGTAAACTATCCCTTATTCAGTAGCTATTATGTATATTTCCTACCAAAGTATCCATCGGTTAGGAAATCAATAGAAGAGGAACCAGTTTCCAGCATGTTCGGAATTTAGCTTTTTGGTTAATTTATAACCTAGTCACCTTTGTTGTTGATCATATATAGCTGAAACCTCTCTAAGCTATAGGTTAAATCAATACACATCTCTTCCCCATTCAGAATCTGTGTTACAATATTACTTTCTCTTCCTTTAAGTATCGTCAAAGTCAGATTGCATACATTTTCTTGCACTCGTTTTGAAGAACATCAGTCTCAGTAAGCTGGGGAATTCCCCATGATCCAGATTTACTGTTGATGGAGGATCTTCTTATGTTTCTTGCATTAGCTGCTTCGATCTTGTGCTGTATGATCCAGTAGCACATGGTCCCTAATGTGGTGATCATTATCGTTGCCCCAATAGCAGTCACCCAAATGGCCAGCCACTTCTCTTCTTCACCAACAACGACAAACGACAGAGCCAAAAAGGCAACAGAGATGAGAACACAGGCAAGCCACATGAGTTTGTTTATCACAGCCATCATCTGTTTCTTGGCCTTGCTCTCTATCACCACCACTGATGTCTGAACCACCACAACCGCTAAGGAGATGAAGAGCGCGATGGAGTCAAAGATGAAGAAGATTATGAACGGAGTCGTCGATGCAATATTCGCCTCACCGAGGGATTGACCATCTAGCATCTTGCTTGCGTCTTCTACATACTGCCCCGGGACAGTGAAAATGGCTGCGAAAGCGACCGTGGCAATCAGAACAGCGACCACAGTGTTGGAGTTGATTGCATTGTTAAGACCTTCCGTGTGCATTTTGTTGAGCTGTTTGGCGATTCCTTGAACACGTTTCCTAGTCTTGCGTGTATGCTCAAGCTGGTTGTGAACCTCATGCTTAATATCGCTCACGGTCTGTTTCAGCTCCCTAGCAGGGTTAAACCCTGACGGCTGAATGGTCTTGGCGCTTGGAACACCATGTTTCTGTAAGATGAGAGCCACGTCTGGATTCCCAACCTTCTCTGCTGTGTCAAGCGCGGTCTCGCCTGTTCGGTTAACAGCTTTCGTGTCCGTCATGTTGTTGGCTAGTAGCAGCTTAACGATCTGAGCTCTGCCTTTTCTTGCTGCAATGTGCAACGCCGTGTTTCCCTTTGTGTCTGCTATGTTGATAGACGACCTATCCGCTTTGATAAGCTCTTCCACGACCTCAACATTCGTTCCTTTAACCGCCATGTGAAGCGCTGTTTGGCCCTTTTTGTCCATCCTAATCGCAATCGCCGGTTCCGATGCCAAGAGAGCCCTGACGACTCTGATGTGCCCGTTTCTTGACGCAGAGTGTAACGCTGTCTTACCGTTGCTCTTGGCAATCCCCGCGAGGCTGCTTCCTAATTCCAGTAGAAAGTTAACCACTTCCGTGTGTCCTTGTGTCGCTGCTGTGTGCAGTGCCGTCGTGTTCATTAGATCCACCGTCATCGCTAGCTCCGAATGAGCCTCTGCTAAAACCTTCAACACATCTGCAACAAGTTCGAAAATGCTTAAACCCTTGAAGAGCTCTTTGTGATAGTGATTTTCAAAGAGTTTAACTACACGTACGTACCGAGATCTCCTTGCTTGGCAGCAATGTGGAAAGCATCGAATCCGTTTCTTGCTTTGATCTCAACAAGAGCAAGATCGTAGCGATTGATCATCTCCTTCACAATCTCTACGTGACCATACTCTGCTGCAACGTAGAGTGCGGTTTCGCCTGATTGGTTCTGTTTCCCCAACAGCTTATCCAACTCAGACTGTCTGGTTTTCGTAAGAATCTCGACAACTTCGTCTTTGTTTCCGCGTCTCACAGCTGAATGAAGCGGCGTGTCTTCGCGTTTTCCGGTCAGCTGTTTCGTCATTTTCTTCCTTGGCACGCCACAGTCCGCCACACTTTCTTCCCCTTCCATTTTTTTTGATACAATCACAAAACCCTAAGAAAACCCTTTCTCTTTCAAAATTATCCGAGAAAAACTTGGTGCTCTTGTCAAGATTAAGAAGCTGAAAGAGAGAAGACGAATAAAAGGATTTTATAAGAAATTGAATTTGGACATGAGAGGCACATGTAAAGCAACAGCAATCACTTTTGTATGGCTTTGATCAGCCAATAAAAAGAAAACGAATCTATAACAAAAATATTTGTGCTTTTTAGAAAGGCAGTGACCATGACACACCTTCAACATTATAAATTGTTACTTTCTTTTCTTAAAAGAAGTCTCTACTTATGAATTTAAAATTGTTTGGTTTAAAAGATACCAAGTAAAGTAGATTCGTTTCTTAACTTAGATGTATGATCGTTTCTATATACGTGGTTTGGCGATTAGAACAAAAGTGTAACAGCTTATGCTAGTTATTTTGTATTCCCTCAATTTTTACACGTGGTTTTTCTTGCACCGATTACAGATACTATATACATAATGTACGTGTATTTATGTTAATATACTCATCTGAACATTTGTCATTTGTTCCACTCTTCAAGATTTTGAATCATAGTATGTACTAAATCTTTAATTTCCATATTATTTGAAATAAACGAGACTAATAGTAAATAAAAACTGATATTTAAGATTTAGGTATATTTCCCATCACTCTTTATATTACAAAGTATATATCAAAACGGTGTTTATGCTTTGGTTACTTTTACACAAACGTGAAAGAGATAACACGAGGATGCATACTTTGCTTGGATTATTTAGGAAAATTTGTCGTAAGTTTTGCATCTAGAAATGGGGTAGTGCTGGGGTTTCTTCGTCGTTAATAACGAAGAAGTAGGTGATGATATGAAAACACACGTATAACACATGAATTCACTTTAGTATTATTTCTAATGGAAGACAGAAAATAAATGGTAAAATATGTATGTTCTCATTAAAAAGTCTTAATTAATACATTTTGTTATCCTTTCTTGTACACAAGCTTGCACTAACTTCACCAAATATAACTAACTCATTAGCCATAGTGGCAATCTAACCAAAGCTTTTACACTTTAGGTTTAACTTAACTAAATTGATATCCTTCTTCAATATGTACAAAGGTATTGAGAACATATCCATACTGCAAAGTCATAGATGATAAGTTTGTTTTTAGGTAAAGAGCTTTGCTGATAATGTCAGCAAGTTGAAGCTTTAATTTGTTCGCACATGAGGCAGTTAAAATCACATGTATATGCTAGGGTATGAATATTATGAATCATAATATCATTCAATCCCTTCTATTTTGAATGATATCCTAGTGGAAGTGATGACATTTAGATTTTCTCCCTCACAAAAAAAAGATAATAACAAGTGGATGTGTCCAACGGGCAACGGATAGAGAAACTAATTTGTGCAGCAGCAATAATTAGGAGCAGTTTCTAAATGATTTCTAAGCATCATAACCACTGACACACATGACTTGTAAGAATCAGGAAACAGAACTGATATGCATACAATTTACTCATTAAAGTTTTGGGATGCTCTTGTACCAATTCATTCCAAAACTCCATGTAAGTCAGTATGAGTGGTTATTTATCCTTTCCTTTGATGATACTAAGAACTAACATTAAATTTCGATAGAAACATTAAATTTTGATAACATTTTTGGACACACAAGTCTTCGACCAAAATATACTCTATATAAGTATAATGGACTCCACCACAACCACACATAATAAATTGAATCGGCGCAATAAGTATAATTTCATTTGAAAAATAAAAGACAGTTCAGTTTTATATAAAAGTATCAACGGAACAGCTTCTTTCAAATAATGACGCCTTCAAGTAGGCAAAAATAATTCTTAACCATTTAAATATGTCTGTTTCTCTTTGTATTATTATTTGTATAGATCAGGTCTTACACTTCTCCAAAATCTTCTGTCACTATTCTCTCTTTATAAATCGCTTAACTAGATTATTATTTTGATTTGAACGAAAAAAAAAGATCATTGTTTTGATTGCGCCAATTCTATTTCTATTAAGCTAGCTGTGGCGGCTGAAACTTCAATTAACTCTGAAAAAACATAATTATTTTGGTGAATTTATTGGACCAGAATCGGGTGGTGAAATGAAAAACGAATTTAATGCGTCCACACTAAACAAGCTTTCTTCCCATATTTTCGTCGAAATAAAAGTTATCTTCGAATGCTGGAGTACAATAGCTCATCAAGCACACATTAAGACAGTGGTGATTATTTTTATGTTTGTTTTTATAGAAGAAAATGTTCATTATCGATCACGAACACCAAATCATTATTATTTCTATATAGATTTCCAGTCAATATAATGAATATGTAGTGCGACAACTGACAAGCTTTACTTAGTACATATGTAACCTGAAAATATGAAAAGGGTAACACTACAACAATAAACAACTTATCACACCGAAAAAGTAATCTAAAAAAAAAAAGTATGAGACAAAACTATATGTATAGTTTCTTTGTCATTCATATTTTCTTTCCCATCCAATTAGAAAAAAAAAAGAAGAAAAAAATTGTAACCAAACATAAACCAAGTGATTTTTAAAAAGAAACGAAAAATATATATAGTCACCTTTTTTAGGATTTACGGTTGAAATAAATGTATGTTTATATTTATTACAAGAACGCGTCCGTCACATAATATCTTCGGGGATCTTGAAAGTATCGGGATCTTCTTCACGAATCCAACCATACTTCTCCAGAAAAGGATTCAAAATCGATTTCGGTGGGTATTGATCAATGCAGTGATTCCACACGTTCCCTAAAGACTCTCCAACAGTAAGATCTCTCACAACTTCCCAAACGCAGCTATTGCACTTGAAACCTGCCCCAAAGCTGATCATGAACACACTATCTCCTCTCTTGAGCCTCTTCTTCGCTTCCATATACCCCAAAACATACCACAAGCTACTCGCTGACGTGTTCCCAAACCGGTGCAGCGTCATCCTCGCCGGTTCAAGATCGTATTCGGTTAAGTCGAGGCTGTAACCGATTGCGTCGATAACCGCTTTACCTCCCGTGTGAATACAGAAATGGTCAATACCAGTCTTGAAGTTAATCCCTGCCTTTTGTACTGCCTGAGTCACGTTCGACGCCGCGGAGCCTTTGCTAGGGCTTCTACGAAGCTTCTTGAGAAGAAGACACAACATAAACCTCAAGAGCTCTGTTACCGGAAGAATCTTGGGAGTGATGACTTTGAGGTTGTCCACGAAAGCACGAGTCGCCGCTTTTGGAAGAGTTTTGTCTAAGTGGACACCGACTCGGCCTAGCTCGTCTTCCTTTTGGACACATGCGTTGAATGAATCCTCTCTGGCTCCATGGTGCGTCCTTACCAAACACTTTAGCTTAAACATGGCCTTCCGGCTCAGACTACGCTTGTTCGTCAAGAGAACGGCGCAGCCACCCGAGCGGAACAAGCAGTTGGCTAAGATCATGGAGCGGTTGTTTCCGTTGTACCAGTTAGGACTAAGTGCCTCAGAGGTTACAACGAGTGCAAGCTTGTTCTTGTATGTTTTGAAGATGTTTTTGACTATGTCCACGGAGATGACACTCGCACTACATCCCATCGCCGTCAGGTTGAAAACTTTGATGTCTTCTCTCATCTTGTAGTGGTTAATGATTCTTGCAGCTAGTGAAGGAGTTGAATTGAGCATCGAGACGTTGACTACGAGGACGTCGATATCGGTAGGTGAGAGTTTGTTTCTCTCGAGGAGTTTCGGGATTGTGTCTACGTAAAACTCTTCCATCTCCGAGATCCCATCTTGTAACGTAGGATGCTCTTCACGGCCTTCGAAGAAGAGCCTTGGTGCGTAAGTTTGCTCTCCGATACCGGAACTAACGATGGCTTTGAGGAGGAACTTGTACTCGTTGAGTCGAAGGTATTTGTTTCGAAGGATGACTTCACCGCTGAATTGAGTGCTTACCATACGATCATCGGAGGGTTTGTGTAACTGGTAGTCCAAGATGTAGCAGTTTTGATCTCTCTTGGAGTCTATGCGTTTCCAGATCTTGAAGATGATGTAAGAGATGAGAAGAGAGAAGAGGATACAAAGAAGATCCATCATTCTTTGTTTTTTTTTTTTGAGAATTGTTGGGGTTAAAGAAGAAGTGATGATGTGTATTTAAGTATGCATGAAGATGTAGGCAAGATTGTTGTGGGATTATATAAGAGGACGAAGGAACAGAAAAGGACAGCTCTCATATTTTGACAGCTCATTGTGTGCAAAAGAGTCAATATAAATTGTAAAAACCTGTGTTGGGTTAATTTAATTGGAAAAGTTACAAAGGACAAAATGATGGTAAGAAAATTTGAAAACAAGAAGAAGGCACATTGATGTGGATGTACAAAGTGGACGAAGACTTCGCATGTCCTCTCTATTAAAGTAGTTTATTAAATTTAATACAGTCTGAAAGTGTTATAGACAAAGGCACCAACAACTATTATCCTATTTGTAGAAAAAGATGCGAAACCTCACGTTCTGAAGAGGTGGTCAATTAATTTGTATCACACAGGTGACTTAGTGAATAATCCAACTTCGAGGATCAGTGTGATTTAAGCTAAACAGCTCCGGATTAATATAAGACTTTGCTGCGAGCCTACGAGCACAAGTTTAAGGTACGAAAATAATATTGAACAATAAGATGGAACATTGATGTGCTCCATGTGTTGATGTATATTATACATAGTGGAGAAAGACTTTGCCTGTCTATTTGTTAAATTTAATACACGAGGCAAATTTTGGTACGTTGTGACTTTCAAGCCATCACGTATAATAAATTAATAATACTTTTCTTTGACATTTTTATTTTACAGTTAAATTGAGAAACGAAAAAAAAAAAACATTTTCCGGCTCCAAAAATGGTCTACAAGTAACTTTTGTAATAAGAAAACCCGATTTGTAAAAAAACAAAAAAAAAACAAAGAAAAACCCCCATTTTTTCTGATTACACGTACGTATTTTGATTTAAACTGTAGTTGATATACACCGTTAAAACAAAAGTTGTCCGTAAGAAAGATTCACATAAACAGTTGTACTATATGCTTAACGTCGAAATTAATTGTTTCTAGGGATTCATGAATGTTAGGAAGCACTCGTTTCTTTAACAAACAAAGTAGTACTCGTAAGCTCTAAACATGACTGTATCGATCGACGACGTTTGATGGGCCAAAAGCTTGTAGAAGTCTAGATTTGGAAATTATGTAATGATTTCTTTATTTATGAAATAAATTATGTATGATTTATTTGGGTACCACAATTTCTTTATTTTTATGGTATAGGAATTTGTAGAGGTTGTAGATGAAAGAGCCTTAAAGAGATATATGGTGAGCTGTGAATATATGATGAATTAAGTGATTAATGATAAACTTTCTGGATATAAGTGAGAGTGTTGTGATAAACCCATCTCAACCTCCACCAACTTAGTTACGTATCTCTCTTTTAGACTTTTACTACAAAGTTATCATCAACGCTTACTCACACTATGTGCGTGCGCCAACGTCCTTTTCCTTTTCTTCTTAATTAATCCATTCACATTCAACATCGACAGATTTTATAAGTTTTCAAATAGTTTTCAAGTATGATAGAAATTTATGATTTTTAAAGGTTGTTTTTTCGAATAAAGTGTTCAAATAAATTATAAAATAGTATATATACCGAGAATTAACTCCTGTAAGACTTTTTTCTTTTCTTAAGACTTGCTTTTTTGGATCAGACCCATTAAGACTTACTGCTATTTACACTACTATATACACGTATTGTGTTGAGTAGGTGCACTATGTTGTCAATGACGATGACGCGTTGTCAACGCGTTTACTTTTCTGAGAGCAATAATCAAGAGTAGTCTAGTTAGAGGTTAATGAAGAAGTTAATGTTTGCCGGTGTTTTTAGTTTGTTGGTCATCTCATTTATTTATAAGTTTGATTTTTCTTCATGTTATCCAAATAAACCAAAACTGTCCATTCGATCGTTAGTCACAATTAATTAACGTGATTGAATTATTTATTCAGATGTCTCTTTCGTTGAGTCATAGGACTGTTTGTCTTTATATATGTTGTAAAGAAATAAATGATTGATATTTTGAACACGCATGAATTAACGTGATTTTTTTTATGAAAACAAGAAAAACTGATTTACTGAATGATCGAGTTATTTCCTCAAAGGGAGAAACATAAGAATATAAATCCAAAAAAGAATTTAACGGGGAGAAAAAGAGTGATTTCACATATTTACGTATCCATTTTTGTGATTTTGTGATCATTTTTCTCTATTTATAAACATATTATGTAAGAATCCATGCTATATAAATAACGATATATTAACACCAAAACATAATCAGTTCAACTTCAACTAAATCAAAGGGATACCAAAAGCTAAACCAAAAGTAATAATGGTCACAGAAACATGAAACATCCCAATTAAAATCAGGTTCTGAGGAATGAGATTGACAGTGAGATTATTGTACCAGAACTTATGTGATAGTAATCTTGGCAAAACATGGACATAAAAGTAGTATAAATATAAGGTCTCTTAAAAAAGTATCTTCAATAACACTGAATTGAGTCACTTTTTTATGAGATGGTAACTGAAAAATTTAAGACTACCGCAGATACATCGTGGCCATACTGGTCTAGAAAACATCCTATGTTTGGAGACTTACTCAACTTCCAACCACAATTCTTTTTTTTGTTTTTGTTTTTTAGAGCAAGACTATTGCTGCTGCGAATGATGGACATTTTTAGCAACGACCCATAAACATTTTGTCGGCTATCTATCAACAATTATTTACTTTTAAGATCTAAATCTCTATCTTTTTTCACCTATTTTAACTAAAAGTTAATTTCGTTTTTTTCCTTTCTTTTTTTCACCTCTCGTTGCTTTCTTAACGAAAGAATAATATTGTTTATGACAGTTTCATACTATTAAATAACATGATGATTATAAAAAAGGTGGAAATAATATTAAGAAGAAGAAACTGTGACATTGTAGAACAAAAGTGAAAAAAAAATACTCCAACTTGTTCATCATTCCGATCTTTTAAGGGATAAATGTGGGCTTCTTAGCATTGGGCCGGGCTCTGATCCGTTGGCAATTTGAATTTAAATTTGTTTCGTGTACTTTATTTAATTCAAATCAAACAGTAACTGTAGCTTTACAATTAGCAAGACGTTTAGATATGGATACGGGTACGGATCCGCCCAGGTCAGTAAATAGGTCAGAGATGTAATTATTGAGATCTTCAGGGGTTAATCTGACAACATCACGTGACCCGACCGGGTACTTCTTATAGAAACCCGTATACCCAGGCATGAGCTTTTTAGCAAGGGAGGCGTTGATTTCGTCTCTCAATTTCGGGTCGGGTACGACCCAAGTCTTGTGCTTCTTGTAGACCTCCACAAAAGCTTCGTTGAACCGTTTCAGAGACTCCTCCGCTCTCGCCTCCGCCGTTGACTCTCCGGGGACTGACGCAATCACATCTCCCCACGCCATCTTCTCGTATTTCTCGAGGTACTGACTCACTTTAACCTCGTGATTTTTCACCCAATCGTCTCCCAGGACGACTCTGAGGTCCGATGTGCTGACCTTGGTCACGATGTAATGGAGGTTGTTGGCTAGGAAGAGATACGAGAGAGCCGAATCGTTGTAGAGCCGTGATTTCGTGTCGATTTTGCAGAGCAAGACGAGTATCAACCACGCGAATCTCGCCGCCATCGGAGAACCAGCGTTCTCTGGGTTCTCCACGTTGTTGCTGCTGAAGTAATCCGCCGGCAAAGGCAACGATGACTCCTTGTCCTTGAGAATGACGGTGAGAGAGTCGCTGTAGTCAGCGAGGAAAACGATGAAGTTCATGACATACCTCGTGAGCTGATGGACTCCGCCGCCGGGAATCGGCGATTTCGACGACTCTTTCGTAATCGACGATTGGAATTCTATCATCAACGCGTTCACTGATTCGCCGAGCTTTTCGAGAGACTCAGCCGCCTGCGATCGGACGGAAGCGGTTGAATCGTAGCTGAAAATCTTCTCGATTTTGGGTTTCAGATGCAATATCGTCGAGTAAACGTCAAGCGTGGGAAAGATTTTCTCTGTAGTTTTCCTGCATTTAGCCACGGCTATCGGTAAGACGAAGAGGCTTAACGCGCTCTCTAGCGTAATATCGACGAAGGAAGACTCAGCGAGGGAGGAGGAGAAAATGTGATCGCAGAGGATTCTTTCTCCGTTAAACAGAGTGGTGATTGCTAGTCTCGTCACCGGCATCCATTTTTTTATCTTCTTCTCCAGAATCTCCCATTCCAGTTTCTGCATCTGCGTAGAATTCAATTTCTCGAACCCTAGCCGAGAAAATGCGTCGACGATGATCTTTTTCCTTAGTTTCTTATAGATTGTAAGACAATCCTTCTCGTAACCACAGGAGATCATGCAATTAGCAATCAATTTCAAATCCACAATAGCATCTCCTCTCTCGTTACCCAATTCCGATGAATCAAGCTCTCCATCGGATCCAGAACCTGAAGCGCTTCCACTTGATCCCGAAGTTGTCTTGGAGTCGGAAGACCAACCGGAGACGGATTCCGGATCCAAAACCCGCTTATTGGCTTTCATAATCCGATAAAACTCCTTCTCCAAATGCTTCATAGCTGTACGCATCAAATCCTTGGCTTGACCAAGCTTAGAAGAGTCTGGATTCACCAAGACCACACTCTGAATCGCGTAATGCAACTTGGCGAGAACGTCGAGGAAGCGTCTTCCTTCTCCACGGTTGTCGGCGGAGAAAAGCGAATGGAGGCTGCAGGAAGAAGACGAAGGATCGTGGAGATGTGGAGTAACCCATTCGCGTATGATAGCATCAGCCGCCTCCACGGTATCGCCGATTAGAGACTCGGAGAAACCGCCGCTTTGTTGTGGCCGAGGTTTAGCAGATATTGCCAAGGAAGAAGGTTTCAAGAGCCCCATTGTTTCTTTATTGATGAAAGTGAGGTCGTCGGGTGTGGGAATATTTATTGAAAACCTTTGGTTTGTTTGTTTCGAAGAGGGTTTTTTCTGTTGGAGCCGTTGGTTCTGTTCCAGTCAGTCAAAATGTACACTCTGGTTTTTTTCTATTTTTGACTTTTTTTTTTCTTTAATTGGATAATATATAATTTTGTTTTGTTTTGTTTGAAAGAGTAAATAAACCGGAGATTTGTTGACAACGAACAAACTTCAACGAAAGAGATAAGAAAAAAGCTAGTAAGTAAGATAAACGGAGCACTCCAAAACAGTCTCGAGCCCATCTGTGAACTGGTGAGGCTGCTGCTGGTTACCGGAGCTACCGGTAAAAGTCTTGACAATGGCGAAGCCTCTTGCATTCACAAACTTACCGGTACCACCCATGACACCAAGGTGAGATTCTGATGCAGCCGTTCTATGCACACCGAAGAAGCTGATGCTATCTTCATAACCTCCACTCTCAAACATAGCCGTGAAAGCCATAGTTTGGCTGGTTCCATCCACGGCGCTTGCCACGTAGAAACCCTGGGCTTTACCAAGCAGACCAGAACCAAGTTCGTGTCCTTCCGTTAGTTCGTTGTCCATCACCGTCATTGTTCCAAACATGAGCATCTGAAGAGAAGAACCGGACGGGAGCTGACCGCCGTTAGCCACGGGGAGACCGTTCAAGAGGTTGTTTCCGTTGTTCTGTAGAATGTTGGAAGTGGTTCCGCCGAGCCCGACGAGAAGCGGGACGTTGTTGTTGTTGAGGATTCCGTTGTTGTTGTTGTTTGATGGCAGGCCGTTAGTGACGGGGAGGTTTGCGCCATTGGGCTTGGCGAATGGAAGTTGGCCACTGAGAGCTGCGTTTGCAACGACCCCGGTTACAGCCCTGGCTGTCGGGTTTGAGCCGCCGAGTATATCGTGCATGAAGAAAACCAAAGTGTGGTCAGGAACTGAACCACCAGTAGGCAAGGGACCAGAATTAGCACCCGGTAAAGGACCAGAACCGGCAGTTGGTAGAGGAACGGGGCCAGTAGTAGGCAAGGGACCCGAACTAGCAAACGGTAAGGAACTAGAACCAGTGGTTGGTAGAGATCCAGAGCCAGTAAATGTGGTCAAGGGACCTGAACCGCCTGAGGCTGGACCTGTACCTGAAGTGATACCAGTTGCGGAAACGGAACTAGCAGTTGGGAAGGGGCCTGAACCAGCCGTTGGCAAAGGACCAGGACTTGTGGTAGGAAAAGGGACCAACCCAATATCTTCTTCTTCATTAAGTAGCCGAGCAGCTGAGACAAAAGTAATGGCGAGAGCTAAAACAAGGAAGAAGAATAACTTGCAGCCTGCCATTGACAAGTAGAAACAAGTAGAAAGATCAGAGACTAGAATTGTTGATTTGAATTGGTTCTACTTGTCGTGTGATTATACAAGTTGATTGTGGATGAGCATTTATATGAGAAACGAAGCTAGATTGTTGATAGAAAGAAAAAAAATGGAGTTGATGAAACAGAGTAGGTGACAACTTTTCCATTATATGGTGGTTTGGTTGAAGAAACATAAAAAACGAAAAAAAACCAGAGAGTTTCAGGCTGAATGTATTAGAAGTTCCACTGTATTAACTAGCCAAGGTTTAAACATTTCAGGTCTCTCAGCGTACTAAAGCAAGCCTGCAAATTTTTCCCTCAAAACCAATTTTCTTAAATCAAGAACAAAATTAAAACTCATCCACCTTATTCCAGTTTTAATTCATGAATAAACAAGTATGAGAATCTCACCTTTAAGAGGACACTGCTTAGGTAGAAATCACTTCAGACAAAGCCTCACAACAAGCTCCTCCATCCTTGATGATGCAGAGATCACAAAGTAGATTTTGCCAATCACCAGATCCAAAGCTTAAATTTTTCTTCCCCATCACCTCCAAGACAAAGCAAGCATGTTCCAAATTACCGCCTTTAATCAGCCCAGCAACCATACATACAAACGTCGCAGGTGTTGGAGAGTGTCTGCTTGCAAGCATCGCATTCAAAACATTCAACCCTGAATCAAAATCCCCAATACGACAAAACCCATCAACCATCATTCGGTAAGTAGCTGCATTCGGCTTACAACCTTTCATCTGCATTTCCGTCAGCGTCCTATAAGCCTCCGGAGCTCTACCTTCAGCACAAAGATGATTAACCAAAATGTTATAGATCACAACATCTGGTTTTATCCGCCTTTTCTTCATCTCGCCGAGTAGAATCTTCGCCTCATCGATTTTCCCTCTCTTGCAAAGATCACTCAACAAAACCCCGTAATTAACAAGACCTGGTTTACATCCACGATACTCCATGTCAAACATGAGCTTCTTCGCTTCGTTGTACTCTCCTTTACAACATAAACCTTTCATCAACAACCCAAATGTCACATGATTCGGGCGTATTCGTTTCTGAATCATATCTTCAAACAAGCTTTTCGCCTTAGGAAGATCATCATTTCGGCATAAGAATCCAATCAGGCTATTGTATGTCACAACAGAGGGTTGCACTTCCATCTGAAGCATTTCATCGAACACCTTACACGCAGCTTCCCAATCGCATTTCTCGAGAAACCCTTTGATCAGTATATTGAAAGAGACCGAATTTGGACGCAAACGCATCTCCTTTGCTCCGTCGAAGAAGCTTTTAGCTTTCTCTAACTCGCTGTTATCGACCAAAACGTTGATGAGAGTGTTCAGAGACTGAATCGTACGAACGCAATCAAAGGAGGACATTTTAAGGAAAACATCGACGGCTTTATCCACCGAGCCGGCTTTTCCGTAATGCTGAATCAACGCCATGAAGAGTGATTCTCTGCACCTGACGTTTCGATGGCGGATGAGGCGGAGAACTTGGTCGACGGCGTCGAAGTTACGGGATTTGGCGAGCTTGTAGATGAGAGAAGAGTAAGATGGGTAGTCGTGCCGGAAACCCATCTCCTGGTAATGGTGGAAGAGAGAGAGAGCTTCTTCTGGGTTTTCCGTTTCTTTGAGATCGGTGAGAAACGGAAGCTCCTCCCATGGCTTCCGGGTGACCTTGTGAGTTGTTGTTGGTTCATGGCTGCTGGCTTTCTTTGTTGGTTTGGCAAATCGAGATGTATGGTGATGCTGTTGAGAAGCAAAGCAACGCTTGGTGATTAGAAGATTAGATAGTCTTCTACGGTTTGACATTGCATCTGATTCTCTCCGTCTTCTTCAATGCTCTGTTTCAGCTAATTTATGCGCATTTCAGCTAATTTATACGCTCTGTTTGTTTACTTCATGTTTGTACATCTTATGTATGTCTGATTCATATATTCATTTCTTTAAAAAGTGTGTTGAAAATTTTCAATACATATATGAAAAACTAGTATTCATTTGTTAAACAACTATACCAATCTTCAACTATGATTCTACATTTATAAACACAAAGACAAGAACATCCATCTACCATTGTTTCTTTCCTCGTTTATGATGGTTCTGATCCAAAAGATGGGCTTTGATAGCCAAGGAAGCTTTATAGGCAGTGTGTATTGTCCTCGCGAGTCATGGTCGTCACAGTATGGCCTGCAGGCTTTAAAGAAAACAAAATACACAAAGAAACTGTAAACGAAGCTGGATTAAGAGATACAGAGCATTTTGTTTTGTTAGCAAAGTACCATAGATGTGTGTTTTAAGATGGAGATAGTGCAGTTGTTGTTCCTGTGGTCTCGCGTTAGCATAAGTCTCACGTGTGGGATGCTTTTCCATGTTTCTCCCAGAGCCGGTTTGGTTCTACCTCCTTCTCCAGCACCAACCGTGTGGTTTGTCACCTTCAATACAAAAAAACAGACACATTAGAGAAAAGTGAGCACAATGACACACCCAATGCCCAGAGACTCCATTAGTACCAGTATAGCGATGTTATGTTCATGTGCCAGTTTCTTAAGCATATATCCAACTGCCACCATCAAAGCACGTCCTGCACACACCAAGTTTTGAGTCATTCTTCAAAAATCACCAGCTCATTTGTTAAACCACTTAGGTAAAGAAAAAAAAGCGATGGACGTACAAGGACATGTACCCTGTGAGCCACTGCCTCCGAGGATTGGGGTGATCAGAGAAGAGATTGAATCAACAACTAACAACTGTAACCGGTCCTCATTCACATTCATCTGCGCCTGATAGATGACTAATGGTTAACACTAAGAATATAGTAAATGGGTGTGACAATGAGAAAATTGCATCTTCTAGCTAGCTTTATACCTGCGACCTCAAGGTAACCTCTAGACCATGCAGCATATCAAACATTGTATAGACGTCATAGACCATCTGACAAGATATTCTGCTCAAGACTTTCTGCACATCAACATTTTTTGTCTGCAGATTAAGAACTGATGAGCCGTGATTAACTAAGAACTTGTCTATAGGCTAGGGGCAATAATTGCCAGTGTATAAACCTGTCTTAAAGCAGCATCCGAACTCGAGCAGATAAATTGAGCAATACGTCGAGCAGAAAAAGAGTTCCCCGTGTCTAAATACAAGACTCTGGCACTATACTTCTCTGCCACGCTCGCAGCAGCTTGCATGCAAAACTATTCATTCATAACAAACCACACAATGTAAAGAAAGAGATCGTGACAATGGCTAAGCAAAGACGACAAATCTTACTAGGAACAGCTTAAAACGCTTGAATGAAACATTCCAAAATTCGTCGGCATAAGAATATCATGTGATGCGACAGTAGTAACTAGTATATATGAATAATGTATTTCACACACAAGACAAAAACATGAATAGTAAACGCCTCGCAGAAGAGAAGCATGCAAGTACATACTTGTGTTTTACCAGAAGATGATGGTCCAACAAGTTCTGTAACCTGACCCTCACGGAACCCACCTTGAAGCAATGAGTCAATCCTTATAACGAGACAGTAAACAGAAGCAGAGTGTCAACTAAAAACAAACTCACAATCATAGCTGATAAAGATATGATAATTCCATACCCTTTGTCTCCAGTCGATAGAGTATGTTTATTACGATGAAGATCCTCCAAAAGCTCCATACCGTTTAACCATGGCCGACACTGAAGCTCTATCAAAGAAAGCATGAAAGTGATACCCTGAAGAATCCAAAGGCAAACAAAACATGTAAACATGATATACCTTTGAGCGAGAAAATCGATAGTAAAGTTCAGTAAGAGCTAACCTCCTTCAATCTATCTGCATTTCTCTGTCGTTCAGCAAACGCAGCAAGTTCGTAGAGATCATGAAGCAGAAAATCCTCAACTGCACAATTAACAAAATTTAGAAGCAAATTCGAGTCTTGGTTTTGTATAGTGCCATTCCAAAATCCAATTCCTTTAACCGTGGAAAACAAAACCCAATCAGACGCAATACGTCGAACACTTTATACGCAAAAGATGAAATATCAAACTAAACGGAATCGAAACGAGAAAATGAGGTAAGAAGAAGAGGATGAAGTAGAAGAGAACCTGTTTGAATCCCATGAGAGGCGCAGAAATCTCGGAAACTGGCGTCGATGATTGGATTCTCCCTCTCCACATGCTTGAGAGGCGCCATTTTCTCTACTCCCAAACCAAATGTGACTCCAATTGAAATGGCCTCCGGTTCGTTTCACGACCCAGATTCTGAGTTCCGCTTCAATTCAACCCAATCTAAACCGTAACCCGGAAATCCTAAACCGATAGCCGGTCAGTGGAATTTAAACATAATCTGTACCGTAATCCTGTAAACCGTAATCCGTCTCTGGCAATTTCTAGTCTGGCAGTTTATAATCTGGCTATATACAGTCTGGTAGTGGCTAACCTTGCTGACTCCTCGCTGACTCATCTGCTAATCTCTCCATCTATATAATGGTTTGAACCATCAACACTTCAACATCAAGCTCCAAACATTTTATCTAATAAAAACAAAAGAGAGTTAGGTAGAAGAAATCCTTAAGATTACAAACATGAAGTTCACAACATTAGCATGCATTGCATTTGTGATGGTCGTTGTGGCGACTCTGGCTCAGACCGAAGCAGTCGTGGTTAGCGGCGAAAAAGTGTCATGCAATCCATTTTCACTTCTACCATGCATGCCAGCATCAACTACTGGAAGTCCACCAACGGAGGAATGTTGCGGAGTACTGAAAGATCAAATATCATGTTTCTGTGGTTACGCCAATAATCCACTTGTTAGACAGTTTCTTTCGGTCGATATTGCTAAGAGAGTTTTGAAATCTTGTAACATTCCTTTTCCTACTGATTGTAAGTATTAGATTATCCAAATCATGTGTAATAAAAGGTTGATCATTGATCGTCAATTGCGTCAATGTTTAACCTGATTCAATAAAATGTTTGTTTTCTTATACAGTATTAAATCGTTTTAAACAGAAATGCCAAAAATATACAGTAAATCGCAGATTGAACCCAATCCATTCGGCCATGAGGTGAATATACTTTGCAATCTGAAGTACGTCCATGAAAACTTGTAGTCTTGTGGCATGTGGAGTTTGATAGACATTATTTCTCTCATGCAAACTGGTCCATGTGGTTAAAATTGCCTTATGTTCGTTTTCACAACTCTTACTCTTGGTTCAATATAATCTAATCTACCCAGAAAATCTAAACTAATAGTCAGTTCATGGAATTTAAACCCAATTTGAACAGCAATCCGGTAAATCTTAACCCTTAACACTGGAATCTCAAAAAAAGTATCAGCTGAAATCTGAAAAAAAATATATTGACGAGACAACAATTTTTCCATACTAGTGGATATCTTTCATATTTTTCACATCTTTTATAAACATATCAGGATATTTCTTTTCTTCAGATTAGTAAATAATCTTTTAAAATATTTTAAAAGAAATATATTTTCTTTTTATTTCCTCACTTTCCAAATAATATGAATGATTACTATAAAAAGTTAGTTTTGTACAAATCCAAAATAAACATGTACATGCATTAAAACTGAATATTTGATTTTATTATAATGGTATATTTTTCTTTTTCCTTAACTGAATATTTTTCACTTTCTATAATTTATGTTGAATAGATTTGAAATTGAGCAAAAATTGTTTGAAAAGGCAAAATATATTATCTCGAGTGCAGATATTATTCTGTCACATTACTTGAGTCTAGCAGTCGCCAGTGTGGCAGTTGCCAATAAGGCATTCTCCAATATGAATCTTTCTAAGTTGGTAAGTTATAACCTGGTAGTTTCCAGTTCTGTTGTCACCAGTCTGTCAGTCGACTGTCTGTTACTATCCAATATGATTGTTTCTAGTCTTGTAGTTTCCAATCTTGCTATTTCCAATCTAGCAGTTTCCAGTTTGTCAATCTCCATCTATATAATAGTTTGAACCATCAACACTTCAAAATCAAGCCTTAAACATTTATCTGATAAAAACAAAAAAGATTTAGGTAGAAGAAATCCTTAAAATTACAAAACATGAAGTTTACAACATTGGCATGTATTGCATTTGTCATAGTCGTTGTGGCGACTCTGGCTCAGACCGAAGCAGTAGTGGTTAACAGCGAGAAAGTGTCATGCAATCCATTTTCACTTCTACCATGCATGCCAGCATCAACCACTGGAAGCCCACCAACAGAGGAATGTTGCGGAGTACTCAAAGATCAAATATCATGTTTCTGTGGTTACGCGAATAATCCACTTGTTAGACAGTTTCTTTCAGTCGATATTGCTAAGAGAGTTTTGAAATCTTGTAACATTCCTTTTCCTACTGATTGTAAGTACTGATTATCCAAATCTTATGTAATAAAATATTTGATCCTTGATCGTTAATTGCGTCAATGTTTAACCTGATTCAGTAAAGTGTTTGGTTTTTTATACAATATTAAATTGTTCTAGAAAGAAATGCTACAATGGGCATTAGCACGCAGACTGAACCCAACTGGCATGGAGATGAGTATGTAGACCTGTGCGGGTTTGATAGATTTTGTCTTGGTCATGCCCAGAACCGGTTAAATGAATGCAAGTCATGAAAAGACTCATTAATAAAATAAACACAGGTTTTTGGATGCTTTTTAATCATTTATTTTATTTCTATGAAACCAGAAAAGCTTAACAAAGAGAACAAGAACCGATCCATGGAGAAAAAACAGGAAGAGAATCAAATCCCTAGAAGTATTAAACTAGAAATCCTTCCGTGAATCACAAGTAAAGATAAAGAAAAATCCTGAGGAAACAAAAAAAAACAAACGATGCAGGATAAATGTGGTTCTTGTTCTCCTTTCTTCTCTTTCTTTAGTTGGAAGGAGGGAAGAAAATGGCGTCTGAAGTCCTCTTTGAACGGAAAGAATTCTCCACCTCCGGATCCACCTTGAACGCCGCCTGCAAAACCTCAGGCGACAAAGCCTTCCACACTGATGTCCTTCCGGCCAAATGTGTGAAAATGGGACTACAAACAGACAAAATATCAAACTTTTAGATTCTTTCAATCTAAGAAACTCACAAGGAAAGTGCAGAGAGAGAGGAAAACGAATTCTTACTCAGGAGTAGTGACAATGGAGAACCAAGACATGCCTTCAGAATCAGCAATCTTTGAAACCACAAAGAACCTCGGAACAATGAAAAGAGAACCAGCTTTGATATGAGTCTCAAGAACTCTTTTCCCATCAGCTCCAACCACCTGGACTCTTCCACTCCCACCAACAATGTAAGTCACCTGAAGAGCCGAGTCACAAGAGAAACCAGGCGAGCACATGGAATGTCCATCAATCTGAACAAGATCAGCTCCAAATCCAACTTCACCAACCAAAGGAAGGTTCTTGGTGTTGAGAACAACAACTCTGCCTCCACCCTTGATGTCTACATCGAGAGGAGCCTCCAAGCAATTCAAGACAAACCCCTCACGGTCCTCCTTCTTGGGCTCTGGCATCTTAAAGCTCGCGTCGAGCTTCACAATACCCTTCCCGGTTTGAGAACCGACGAGTGTCTTCACGGTGCTCTCATCAAGGTCCCAAGCTCTGCCAACAAACTCAGTTGAGAAACCGGTGAAGATGCCGTTTGAGCCGGTGAGGTAGAAGTCGGTGAACTGTCCTGCTTTGTGAGCCTTGTGGGTTTCACCGAGGAAGAGGATAACGAGCTCGGCTTCCTCATTGTTGAACCACCACGTCACAACACCAAAAGGAATAGCAATCGAATCACCTTTCTTGATTGCAATCACCTTCTCTTCCTTCTCAGGGAGGACAATCCCGGCCGTTCCAGATCCTGAAACGGATCAACAAAAGTAAAGTTACAATCTTTTCAATTACTTACACGCTAGGTGATAAGATCAACGATGAACACATGATCAGGAAAAAAGCTACCAAAAGAAGAAGCAAAAGACTACTTTTTTTGCACACAGTAACCGTGATCTATTTCACTATTATGGTGAATCGGAAACCTTAATCCGATCATACAATAATCCGATCAGATTAACAGATCGCAGAATCAATATCACACTAAACCACTATAAAGGTGACAACTTTGGAAACGAATCAGAAAGATCAGAACAGAGAAAGTATCAAAAACCCAAAAGGAACATGAAAACTGAAGCAGGAGAGGGCTATGAAGTTTGATCAAGCTCATTGTACAAAAACAAAACATGGATCACAATAAAGTCGAAACTTTAGAAGAAATCAGAGAGAATCCAAACCTTGAAGAACGTATGCGACTTTAGGGGAATCAGAGTAGCTAGGAACAGCGAAACCATGCTGCGCAAGAGCAAGCTTTGAGGCTCCAATGTTACCCTCTTTCAGCATCGGCAACTCCTCTGGGAACCAAGCAGAGTAAGATCCTCCATCACCTCCGTGAACCTTGTTCGGCAGCTTAGGTGTAAGATCCAACTCCATCGTTTCGATTTCTCACTGAAAACTCAAAGATCGGCGACGGAAACGAGAGTAAAGAAAAGATTTGAGTGAAAAATGTGTTTTTGATGTGAGATTGTGAATGGGATACGACGCTTTATATACAAGAGGGAGAGTAAAATCCGTTACTAACGGAGATGGTAAAGATTTGATTGCGATTTGATTTACTTGGAGATAACTATCGTACTTAATTCTCTTATTCAAAGTTTTATCCATTTCTTTATGTCCACGATCTTAATAATAATTTCGTTTCTATAATTATAATCATTGAATTGACTCTACCAAATAATGATGCTTTTGGAAATAATAATTCAGGTTATTTTCACCACGTTCTTCGTTTTCATTAAATAATTAAAATTATTTAATAAATCTACAGAGAGCGATGTATTACTATTTCAATATGTCATCTATTTCTTTTCAGTTTGGTAATCTTAGTTTTACAGTTTTCTTTAACAAAAAAAAACAATGATATTACAGTTTTCTTTTAACCTTTCTTTTAACCTTGATAAAGGGTGTAATGAAAAATCTTATCTAATCTTATCGTGTGTTTATTTCAGGCTACTAATTGCTGACATAATTTGTTTTATTTTATTTTTAAGAATGGGAATCTGCTGACAGGATTGCATATTATCTAAGTTATTTTCTCTACGGAATTATCGCATAATACAATTAGAAACAGTCTGTAATTAACGAGTAAATGGATTAGTTTAAGGATTGGATTCGTTTAAAGATAGCATCCTTGCGAAAAAGGTCAAAGATTTTATCAGAAAGAAGATAAAAGGTCAAACATATACTCTTTTTATCCATTGATATTTTTGACCGCAAAATCTCCATTTACATAATTAAATTACTATATCAAATCTACATATATCTCTCGCACGTAGTTATCTATCCCCAGAAAAAGAAAAAAAAAATCAAAATGTATGTATTATTCAGGCCTAGCTGAAAACCAATTAGAGGCCCATGTGATATAATAATAGAAAAGAACAATAAGTAAAAAGAATGTGGCTGCTGGGATTCGAGCCCAGGTCTCCACGGCCACAACGTGGAATTCTTACCACTAAACTACAGCCACTTTGACGGTAAATGTGATTATGCATATTATTTCACATCGTTAATCAAATCCAATCTGCATATAGAAAACTGGTCTAGTAAGATATAATTCAGGTTAACTATGTTGAATTATCAGATGAAAACATTATCATATTTGATTGAATTCATTCTCCACTACTAAGCGCATGCTTCAGTTTAGGATTTATTGAGCGTTGAAATTCACCAGATCAGATCAGTGGAAAGGAAAGCAACTTGTTGATTGGTTTTAGACAAATTTGCAGGGAGTTTTCTTAAAAGGGAACACTGTGTTGGGTGGGAGAACATACCAACATAACCAAATGCCCAAGAAAATTCAAGTAATAAAATAAAAATGTGAACCAGTTTAAGTAACCTAGTCAAATTGACAGATCGAACAGTGGAAAGGAGTCCAATGAGAAACAACTAGGTAAAGAGTACCTCTCTATCTTTCTACTTTTGTGTCCAGCAACCCATGTTACTCACACGTCAATAGATTAATAATACAAGATACAACAAAAGAGAAAAATAATACCCTAATTTTCTTTTATAAAAAAAGTAGTATTAGTGGGTCTCAGGTCAGATTAGTTAATGGTTTGAAGAATATGCTTGCGAAGATACTCTCTCCAATGACCACTTTTTGGGTCTATAAACCCAAAAAGAAACGTCTCTCTCATTTGGCTTCTCCCTTTTGAGGTCGTAAAAGGCCATCAATGGATGATGCTCATCAAACCTTCTTCTCTCTTGCCTCGTACCAATCTTCACACATGCAGGTACCTATGAGCTCCTACCGCCGGTGATGAGATGAAACTGCGGCGAAGATTTGGCCGGAGACGGGAAAATTATCCGTAAACCATTTTCTAATAAGGCGTGATCGGTTTTAAGGGGAGAAGATTAGAGTTAAAATTTGGGCAACTATGTATCCTTTGGCAGTCGATTCTTGTTTCTTGATGTTCTTGAAGAGTTTTTAATTTTTGTCACATTTCTTGATGATAACAACAGTGATGTGTAATGTGGTTTACCTTTCGTGTCTTGTTTTATTTCTACTCTTATCGGCTAAAATTTATTATTAGTCAATGGCTTTTAGTCCTCATATTAATACAAGGTTTCTTCGTGCAACCATATCTAATTATCTATATCGAATAGTTTCCGACTTACGAAAGTTTATATAATTAATCATTTGGCAACAAGATCATTAATCTGCATTACGAATTTACGATATGCGTGTTAGAGGTAACAATTTGTAATATATGAGAGAATGTAAGAGACTGATACACACTAGAGGCAGGCGTTGAGAGTAAAATTCAAGAAGATAACGGGAGCATTCGAAGTCCAAACGAATCTTTCAATAACTTGAGACCAAAAAGAGTGATTTCAAAACTATCCAACAAAACGTTACCACAAAACTCAAAAGAAAGACACATAAAGTTTCAAAGAAAATTAAATATCACTTGATGAAAATCTCTTTCCCCCATAAAAAACTTCAATAGAAGAAGCCGAGAACCTTGCCTCCAACATTCTTTCTCCTAGCCTCTTCATGGTCCATAATTCCCGCAGAAGTCGTAAGTACAATGTACCCAAACTGCACATTTTACATTTCCATCAAAACCATTCAAGACCCTTAAATCTTTCAGACAAGAAACACAAACTATAGTTGAATAGTTAAGTTATCACGAACCTGTCTGGAAGGAAGTAGACGAGCAGTCCAGCTTTCAATCTCCTTGACACCAACATCAAAACGAGGGCTGATAACACCACACTTGTTCAACCTCCCGTTTAACTCGACAACGATTTTGCCAGATCGGTGGTCATCGACGAACTCGAACTCACCGATGTAACCTGCGTTTTCGATTGGTTTAAGGAACAAGAACTCAAGAGGATATTGGGAAATGACGAAATGTGTATTTGTGAGACAATCGTTACCGTGCTTTTGCATGACGGTAAGAAACTTGATGATCACTTTAGAGGAGGGCCTGATCATGACCTGCCTCTTGCCTCGTTTCTCGGCATTGTACATGCTCTTGAGAGCATCGTTGAGCACACTGATTCTCACCATCTTCCCCTTAGCTCAAGCCTCTGCTACACAAGTCACACAAGCAAGAAGAAGCTTTACGAGTTAGCAGAAGTCAAATAACTAAATCAAACCGAATCCGAAAATCGGATACAGTGCATAGAGGCCTTCATCGTGAAAGTCGATTTCATCATAACAAAATCACAAAATGAATTCGAATTTAAGATTCCATTTGAAAGAATATACACGCTATAAAAAAGCTGAGACTGACGAATTAGCTAACAACGAAATCTAGCGTTCCTAAGTTCACTATGAATGTGTTAACCTAACGATAATGAAATTGTCAAAACAAGGACTGAGATCCTAAATCCTCTGATGCGAAATAAACAAACACAAGATCGATTAGCTATCGAACGTAAAAAAACGAGCTGAATCTGAGCGAATAAGCTAAGGTAGTCATTTGACTATCGTACCTTGGATTGGTAGCTCGAGAGGAAGGGCGCTCAGTGACGGAGAAAAGCAAAGAGAGGAAGAAGAGAAGGAAATCTAGGGTTTTCTTTTCAGTTTTTATACTAGAGCTAGAAAGAAAAAAACCCAAGGAAAATTGATTATGCGCTGCGTTTTTAACTTTAGGCATAGGCCCAATGGGCTTCTTCAATACGACTGGATTTATAGATATCCTTTACTACATTTCTGGATTGATATTTTCCTGTGTTCAAAAATAAAAGGGTATCGTTAATCGGGCGGGTTAGGATTAGCAATTTTTAAAAAATCTAAATTAAATTAGGGATTAATCGGGATGAATTTTTCACATACCTTTTTTTATTTAAAAAAAAAAATCATATATATAACTACATAATATAAGTAACACATCAATATAATATACTCATTTTTCAAAAAAATATATACTATTACAAAAGAGAAAAAAAAATAGTTCTATTCATAATAAAGACCAAAAAATATTGTTTTGATCAATGGACATACAAAAAATATAGTACTTTTGGCTTTAATTCCTGACTGAATAGGTCTATTAATCAGAAATCATTCTTAGGGTTTGTGCTTCAGGAAAATTTCTCAAATCAATTTTAATTCTTACGACACAAGTTACTGATTTTGTTGGCTAATAAGAAAATTTGGTCAAATTCGCAGCAAAGATCCATTTTCAAACGAAAATTGGCAATTAGGCCTACCCTATTACACATATTAAACACTATTTGTTGACTTTAAACGTTGACTGCTCGGTATGCTCCAATTTCCATAAAAGTGTTCGGTGTACCGCCGATGAACGATTTTTGAACCGACTCAAATCGGGTTTATTATCTTAAAAGGGGCCTACCAACGGGTATGAGTTCAATACAGGGATTTGGCTTCGACCAATTAAGTCGGTTCTTCCGTCATCCCACATGTATTTTCTGTTGATATGAAGAACGAATTTTTGCCAAATCCCCCCCCCAACTGTTTTTGCTTTCTAACATTCCAAAAATGAAAAGAGTCCAAATTGATAGAGCAACTTAGTTAAAATGGTGGAATTGAAGATTATTTGCTAATTTAACCTATCAATAATCATATTGTCACACGCAGGGGCATAAGCATCAGATTTAGGTGAACCCAATTAACTATGATGACGAGTTTTGGTGAACCAGAAAAAACATCACTTTCATTATCACTTTCTGCTGACTCAATCCCAAACCCTCATTTTTCTATGCTCCAAATAAGTTAAATGCATAACAATATATCAACTTAATTATGGAAAGAAGAGATTTTTATGTAAGAATTTGTTTTCTGAATGATTTTTATACGTCAATGAAATTGTCGTAAGAAGCAAAGAAAAAATAATGCAAAATATTTGTTTAGTTTTTAGTTATTTGTTTATTTTATAATCTGATTCAAGTTGCTAGATAGTTAATAATATACTTACTGTATAATTTACATAGAAAAGGAAATTAAGGTTTTCAAAATCAATATCGGGCCCTGGCTTCGTGGATCCCACGTTCTTTTCGTTTTCTTATAACAACACCTAATTCTTTTTTTTCTACACGCCAAAAAAACAACCACCTTGATCCTTGAGTTCTTGATCGAAATGTATCACCGTCTTCCGTCGCTAATGGAGCCGTTTCTTCGGAGAGTCTCAACGCGTTGGCCGGCCATCGCTCAGGCTGCTACGTGGACAATGCTCCTCACGTTCACTGTCGCCGTCGCTTCGTTCGCTCCGGAGATGGCGTTTGTGTCGACGGTGTCGTCTTCTTGCGGCGGAGGAGAGGGTTTTGTGAAGCTTCCGATGGATTTTCCGGGGCAGACTGTGTGTGTGCCGTCTCGCATGGTGAAGAGATCGCGTTTCGATTTGTTTTTGCCTTCGATTTTCGCTGCGGTTATGGTGACTGCGTCGGCTTGTTTGATCCGGTCGTGTTGTGGGGCGGAGGATATGGAAGATGAAGATTGGTAGAAATTGTAATTAATTTTGATAGTTTTGTTTTCTTGTTTAATCGTTGATTCGTGTATAACAAACATATATAACACACAAATAAATAAAAACTGTATCTTTATACAGACTAGAGTAAAATGGTTTCCACCATTTTGACATCACCTGCGTCTTCTTCTATGAATTAAAGGACCATTCCACGTAATTGATAACTAGATCAAAACCCTTCACAGAAATCAAACAATGAAACCGTGGAGGAATTACATGGTCTAGTTGATACAAACTGCTGATGACTATATTTTTTGTTTGGCATTTTCTTATTGTGCAGAAAATGTATTTGAAAGTTAATTTGATCATGAAATTTGACCACGAATCGATCTTATTCAAAATTTGGAATTAATTAAACTTATTTTTTTTGGATCTCTTGATATATGTGGTAAATGTGGTCATGGTCAGCTGACCTTATTTGAGACGGAACATACTATATTTTTCAACTAAGCAGTAGTATTATGTTCTAAACATAAACATTTTCAATCCAATAAATTACATAAACTAAAAGTTGACTGAGCTTGTAAGAAAATCCATTTTCGTTTAGAAATTAAACAATCTTTTCAGGATATATAGCCATTACTCATTAGGTACAAATTCATAACCCAGTCAACATGTGATTGGCAAATAAATATCTGGTCAATTCTTTGTTTGCAGTTCATAGAAGTACGGGAATTTAATGGATGGTGTACTCTTAGCTTACATTCAAAATTGACCTCTTTCATATATAAACTCCAACATGCTCAAGTACCATGGTATACCAACTTACTACTCCTATAGTAAAACATATCGATCTTTGTTAACCTTTTATTCTACTCCTTTCTTTCTCTTTTGCTAAACTTATGGTAAAATACGATAATCTCTATCTGATCTGGCTCCAACTTTTCTCTCTTTTTACAAATCTTTATTTTTCAAAATCATGAAACTGTATTCAAAGCAAAACCAATTTATTATATTTAAAACAATGCAGGAGTATTTGTGGATTATTTTGTTGCTGTGTACGATACATTCCGTTTACTCTCAAGACACAAAACATCAAAACACTTTTGATGTCACCGAATACGGAGCCGTTGGAAATCAAAAGACAGATGACTCACGTGTACGCGACATGCCTCTTACCTATACGTATATACACTCTTGCATGTATAAACAAACATATGTATAAGTTTTTTTTGGTGTGTAGGCTTTTCTTAAAACGTGGGCAGCAGCATGTGCGGCGAATACAGCCGAGGTAGCGATTGTAGTCCCCGAAGGACAAACTTTCTTGGTTACGACCACAAAATTTACAGGTCCATGTAAACCGAACCGACTTCATTTTCGGGTAATACTTAATTTCCTAACTTTTGTTGTTTCTTCACATATATATTTATATCATTTTATATCGATCTGTTTTCACCCATAAATTTCAAACACTTTTATAGAGAATTTTAAATTTTCTCAAAAAAACAATGTTAATGGTAAATGAGTATACTTACTGTTAGACTAAAACTAAAACTAATTATAAGAAAACTTGGCATGTAATAAGGTGATCGGTAACATTGTGGCACCAAACACACCGTGGAGTGATAAGAGTGGTACTTGGCTTTCGTTCTATCATCTCAAAGGTTTGATCATTGAAGGCAATGGGAAAATCGACGGCAAAGGAGCCAATTGGTGGAAGCATTGTCCGGTGGTATGTAATTACGGACATATATTGTAATATTCTTGGACTGTTATTGTTGCAAATATGTGTGGGTGTGTGTGTGTGTGTGTGTGGCTTCGTTTCGTAACAATTCTTACGTAATTTGTTTTTCATGTGACCAATCCAGGAGGGGAAATGCACAAGACCCAAGGTAAGCTTGCATAATATTATAGATTATGTGTGTACAGAATTTTTTATTTTTATACTTATATGATATCAACGAAAGACTTTAGTAACTGAATATCAAGCTTAGCTAGCCTTTTTATTTCAATTTTTTTTTTATATCACTGTTTTCTGATATACATAATCTGAATTAAGCCTTAAACTCATTGATTAGATCTGATTAACCTTTTTCAGCAAATGGGATTCTTTGCATGTACGAATATGTTAGTGAAAGGTATACATTTAATCAACAGTCCAAGGAGTCATCTTGGATTCAAATCATGTAGCAACGCTAATGTCACCGGCGTTCAAATCTCTGCTCCCGAATTAAGTCCTAACACAGACGGAATCGATATTGGTTCCTCTGATCATATCTATATCACCGACACACATATCTCCGCAGGTATGCATATATAAATATATATACACATGCATATCACAGCATATGTATGTATATGCATCTAATGTTGACGGTTTTTAATCTATATATACACAGGGGATGATTGTATCGCAGTCGAGAGTGGTTCTTCTCATATCTATATTACAAGGGTAACTTGTGGTCCAGGCCATGGAATTAGGTTTGTGAATATGGAAATTTCATATAATATGATGATGTATCATTTAATGCTATGTATGACATCTAACTTGCGTTCCTATAATTTTAACAGTATAGGGAGTCTAGGACTCAACGGAGATAAAAACGCAACAGTTGAAGAAGTACATGTGAAAGATTCGATTATAAACTCAGCTTCTAATGGTTTAAGAATCAAAACTTGGAAGGTGATGATTAATCAGTTTAATTAATTTTTGTATATAATCATTTCTTGATATTTATTTTGTTACCCTTATATCCAACTAGGGAGCTGGAGGATATGCGAGACACATATCATACAATAACGTTACTTTTGATGCAACTTCCAACCCAATCATCATCGATCAACACTATTGCCCACATAAAAAGTGCCCATCAAGTTCTACAGTACGTAACTCTCACCAGCGAAAACCTAAACCATTCCTTTGCTTAATAAAAATTCAAAAGCTCCAAGATTTATATCAATTTTTTTTTCTTTTTTTTTGTTATAGACAAAGGATTCAAATGCGGTGAAGATCAGCGATGTGTCGTTTACGGATATTAAAGGGACGATAAAAGGCAATGTTGGCGTGATGCTAAATTGTAGCATCGGAGGATGCACTGGACTCGTTTTCAAGGATATCAACTTAACACGGGCTGATGGATCCAATGATATTCCCCTATCGAAGTGTAGTAATGCTTACGGTGAGGTTCATAATGCGCAGCCACCGATTACTTGTCTTTTACCTTAGTCACTTAGTGGCATGAAAGTTTACAGTATACACTATTTTTCAACTAGATAAGTTACCAATATAAATAAATTAAAAAAAAAAAAAAAAACGTGATTTACATTTACGTATATTTGATTTGCGCTAGATTGTCGATTACTTCCGATACATCATGAAAGAAAAGGAGAGAGTTGCAAGTAATTTTGTTTTACATAATACTTCCTACTTGAACTTTTGGGCCATTTTCATTTTAGTATATTAACTTTTTTTCGATATCAATTTTTTCACCTTACACTTGTCTCAAAGATACATTAAACATTTATCAATAACTTTGAATGAATGAATTTTTGTATATTTTAGACTAAAAGTTTGATTATAATTTTGGATTCTGAAAGTTAGATTCATTCAGAATTTGATTATAAAAGTTTTATATTGTAAAAAAAAATAAGTTTGCACGACTTGTTCTAGGCCCAAATGGCACGAGAGGGCATTCGCACGGTGATCATTTGGGCTTTCATTAGCTTCTGTTTGAATGAATCAAACTTTCCGGTTTTAATAAGAAGCTCAATATCTCACAGAGACGTCTCTGCGATTGCTTGCAGCGGGAAGTTCCTTTCTCTCTCGCTCCCTGATTTTTCTTTGGTAAGCTTGTTAACGATCTTCAACTCTTGTTCATCGATTCGTGTTATCCCTTGATTGCGAAATTCTCGTGCCATGTAATCGTTCTCCTTGATTCAGATCTAAATCGAGTCTCATGTTTGAGCTATAGTCAGGTGAAGAAAGTGAGAGCTAATTCTCTCACAGATTCGTCGATCGAATCTTCCTTCATAATTTGTTTGAGACGATGATATCTCAGTTAGATAATAATTTCCTTAGAGTGAAGTGAGATCATTCCTCAGCAAATCAGAGGATCTATCATGGATATTCGTTCTCAAAAATAATTTAATTGATTTTTATTTTTTTGATAATTACAGTGGAATCGTAAGCTTTAGCGATCTTCCGGGAGTTTCTCTGCGGAATTGACGAATTCATGGGGAAAGGATCGGAAGACCTCGGGAAGAAGGAGAGCTTTGAATCTACACCGTCAAAATCAGATAATTTTCCTGCTTGGGCTAAAGATGTTGGGGAATGCGAGGAGAAGTTCGGTGTTAGCCGCGAGAGAGGATTAGCTACTGATGAGGTGCTGAAGCGACATCAGATCTATGGTTTGAACGAGTTAGAGAAGCCTGAGGGCACATCAATTTTTAAGTTGATTTTGGAGCAGTTCAATGATACACTGGTTCGCATTCTTTTGGCGGCGGCCGTTATTTCCTTTGTCTTGGCCTTTTTTGATGGCGAAGAAGGAGGTGAGATGGGGATCACCGCATTTGTTGAGCCGCTTGTGATTTTCTTGATCTTAATTGTTAATGCCATTGTTGGGATCTGGCAAGAGACTAATGCCGAGAAGGCGTTGGAAGCTTTGAAGGAGATACAGTCTCAGCAGGCAACTGTCATGCGTGATGGGACTAAGGTATCCAGTTTGCCTGCAAAGGAGCTTGTTCCTGGTGACATTGTGGAACTCAGGGTCGGTGATAAGGTGCCTGCGGATATGCGTGTGGTGGCTTTGATCAGCTCGACTCTCAGAGTGGAGCAGGGTTCCTTGACAGGAGAGAGCGAGGCAGTGAGCAAAACCACCAAGCCTGTGGAGGAGAATGCTGATATTCAAGGCAAGAAATGCATGGTGTTTGCAGGAACCACCGTTGTGAATGGGAACTGCATATGCTTAGTGACAGACACTGGGATGAGTACTGAGATTGGAAGGGTACACTCGCAGATCCAGGAAGCTGCACAACATGAGGAAGATACCCCTCTGAAGAAAAAGCTGAACGAGTTTGGGGAAGTTCTGACTCTGATCATTGGGTTAATTTGTATTCTAGTGTGGCTCATCAATGTCAAGTACTTCCTGTCCTGGGAGTATGTTGATGGCTGGCCTAGAAACTTCAAATTCTCGTTTGAGAAGTGCACATATTACTTTGAGATTGCTGTAGCATTGGCGGTTGCTGCAATCCCAGAAGGTCTGCCAGCGGTTATTACCACATGTTTGGCTCTTGGCACACGGAAGATGGCTCAGAAGAATGCTCTGGTTAGGAAGTTGCCCAGTGTGGAGACTCTTGGATGCACAACCGTGATATGTTCTGACAAAACTGGAACTCTGACAACCAATCAGATGGCTGTTTCAAAGCTTGTTGCTATGGGTTCTAGGATTGGAACCCTTCGATCTTTCAGTGTCGAGGGGACTTCATTTGATCCTCGAGATGGAAAGATTGAAGATTGGCCCGCAGGTTGGATGGACGCAAATCTTCAGATGATTGCAAAAATTGCTGCTATTTGCAACGATGCTAGTGTCGAGCAATCTGATCAGCAATATGTGTCCAGGGGCATGCCAACAGAGGCAGCTTTGAAGGTAAAGTGCTCTACTACACTAGCTCTTTATCCACTTAACTAAATAGACTTGTTCTGTTCATTGTTCTCTAATTTCAAAGGGGGATACCTGTTAATTATCGGCATGCTTATTTATATTGGTGGTTTTTTTTTTCCTTGAGCAGGTTTTGGTTGAAAAGATGGGATTTCCAGAAGGATTGAATAAAACTTCGTCTTTGGCTGATGGTGATGTCTTACGTATGTATTCTAAATTATATTTGTTTCTCATCTTTTCCTCAGTTTTATGGAGATGCTAATCTCCTGTAATTTACCATTTTAATACTATTTAAGGTTGTTGTGGGCTATGGAGTGAACTAGAGCAACGGATTGCTACACTTGAGTTTGACCGTGACCGGAAATCTATGGGAGTTATGGTTGATTCCAGCTCAGGAAATAAACTGCTACTGGTCAAGGTCTGTTTTTTCATCATGTTGCATATCTATAATTATGTGGCTCATGAATGCATATGTTCTTTGTCGAGAACACCTTTATCCCTTTTTTTCAGTACCTAAGATATCGATTTTGAAATCTTGCAGGGTGCGGTAGAAAATTTACTAGAAAGGAGTACACATATTCAATTACTTGATGGTTCCGTTCAAGAACTTGACCAATACTCCAAGGATCTTATTTTACAAAGTCTACATGAAATGTCCCTGAGTGCATTGAGATGTCTTGGATTTGCGTACTCAGATGTTCCATCAGATTTTGCCACTTATGATGGCAGTGAAGACCATCCTGCTCACCAGCAACTTCTCAACCCATCCAATTATTCTTCTATTGAGTCCAATCTAGTATTTGTTGGATTTGTTGGTTTAAGGGTGAGTCGCGATCACTGTGATATTTTTTTGATATTTTCTTGTTCTTGTTTGGTGATTATTCATGCTCGACATTTCAATGATTGTAGGATCCTCCGAGGAAAGAGGTGCGTCAAGCCATTGCAGACTGCAGAACAGCAGGGATCAGGGTCATGGTCATTACCGGAGACAACAAGAGCACAGCGGAAGCTATCTGCCGTGAAATTGGAGTTTTTGAAGCAGGTGAAGATATCTCTTCAAGAAGCTTGACTGGAAAAGAGTTTATGGACGTGCAAGATCAGAAGAATCACCTTAGACAAACCGGAGGGCTCTTGTTCTCGAGGGCTGAACCAAAGCACAAACAAGAGATTGTTAGGCTTCTTAAAGAAGATGGTGAAGTGGTTGCCATGACTGGAGATGGAGTCAACGACGCTCCTGCACTGAAGTTGGCTGATATTGGTGTCGCTATGGGCATTTCCGGCACAGAGGTATTTGTCTCTCTTCTCTCTCATCTGCAACAACGGTATGTTGATGATGAATCGATGAGAGCTCTATCAGCATTCTGAAAAATTGTGGGATTATATTTGCAGGTAGCAAAGGAGGCAGCTGACATGGTGTTAGCAGATGATAATTTCAGCACTATCGTTGCAGCTGTTGGTGAAGGAAGGTCCATCTATAACAACATGAAGGCCTTCATCAGGTGAGTCTTTTATTGTTACATTTGTACTTTGTTAGCTTGACTAATAAATAAATACTGATCCTATTAATCTGAACTATGATGAATCAAAAGGTACATGATCTCTTCCAACATTGGTGAGGTTGCATCGATATTCTTGACAGCAGCTCTTGGAATCCCAGAAGGCATGATCCCAGTTCAGCTTCTGTGGGTGAACCTTGTAACTGACGGTCCTCCAGCAACTGCTTTGGGATTCAATCCCCCTGACAAGGATATCATGAAGAAGCCTCCTCGTAGGAGCGATGACTCGCTTATCACTGCCTGGATCCTCTTCCGTTATATGGTAAGCAAACACCGATGATTTGTCTCACTTGTTTGTTTATCTTCTGGGGGTTTGTTTTTAACTCTGAACTCTCGTCTCTTATGCTATCTACAGGTGATTGGTCTGTATGTGGGAGTGGCAACGGTGGGAGTATTCATCATATGGTTCACACACAGCAGCTTCATGGGCATAGACTTGAGCCAAGACGGTCACAGCCTTGTGAGCTACTCACAGCTCGCAAACTGGGGCCAATGCTCTTCATGGGAAGGCTTCAAAGTGTCTCCTTTCACAGCTGGCTCTCAGACTTTCTCTTTCGACTCAAACCCGTGCGACTATTTCCACCACGGGAAAATCAAAGCATCAACACTCTCTCTCTCGGTGTTGGTGGCCATTGAAATGTTCAATTCCCTGAACGCTCTCTCAGAAGACGGCAGTCTAGTGACGATGCCACCGTGGGTGAACCCGTGGCTGCTCCTGGCGATGGCGATCTCATTCGGGCTCCACTTTGTGATACTGTACGTGCCGTTCTTGGCTCAGGTGTTTGGGATAGTGCCGCTGAGCTTGAACGAGTGGCTGCTGGTGTTGGCTGTGTCGTTACCTGTGATTCTGATAGATGAAGTCCTCAAGTTCGTTGGAAGGATTACCAGTGACTACCGCTACGCGCCTCGTACTCCTTCTGCTAAGCAAAAGGAGGAGTAAGAAGAAATAAATCAAAAGCATCATTATTAGACTCTAGTTTTAGCTGAAATTCACTTTGTTTCTTAACTCATCACCAGGTTATTCAATCTTCTAAACGATAATTTTTGTTTTGATAAAATTGTTTTTAACATGGCTCTCATTTGTTCGTGAACATGTATGGATACACGTCCCGAAACAGAGATGAATATCTTAGTATAGTTTTGCTTCTTTACTTTACGAAATCTTACGGTAGACCAAATTTGTTTTTTTTTTGTTAGAATAACTTAATTCGTAAATGACTTTGGACAGATGGAAGATGTTCTTCATCATATCAGATGGTTTTACTTGCACAGTTGCACCTAATACCAAAGACGCTACAACACAAAACCATAAACTGTGGAATAGCGTCTGAGTTAGGGATTCACATTACAGGAAATTAAGCTACTGATTCATTCTCAACCTTCGTTTTTTGAATATATCAGCATAAGTTTGCAAAGATTTAACTACAACATCACAAAAGCAAAACAATAGCTAAACTCCTAGGATTTACTTTGGCTAAACAAGGATAACGCGGGTTTCATCTCTCCATTTCCTTTCAAATCCTAAGAAAAACATTCATCGATTTACCGCCGAAACCATAGAGCGTACGTCCTTGCCTCTTCAAACGTCAAAAGATATAGCAGTTAGATTTTGAGCTTTGAGAATTTTGAAAGTACCAACATATAAACGTTTGACATGATACTGAATGCAAGCGAAGAGAGAAAGTTGACGACAAGTGCTCGAAAATTTTATTTAGAAAAAAATCTACTAATAGATATACAAGTAATTATATTTAAATAATTTTAATGCTGTATCTAACGAAATGACTTAAAATAGATATATAATTAATTAACTTTAATCTCAATTCTCAAAATATTTAACTTAATACTATCAAGAGATATTTCATAAGATGATGAGTCAAAATAACTACACAATTGTAAAACAAAGATATAATGTAAACCTTTTGTGAGATTTTATCAAACCATATATTGCCATATTATTATTTATATTTTCAGTTTTTAAGTTACATGCCAAATGTAATAATCTTTGAAAAAGAACAAGACGTTGTGATACTTTTGCAAATTAAAGTATGCACAAATTACTGGTATTTTTACAGGTCTCCAACTTTAAATTTAATGTAAACTTAGTGTAAATTCAGATTTAGAACAAAATATTATAATTATCTAATTTGTTTCTTTCTACATAATTTATATTTATACCTTAAATTTATATATAAACTAATATAGTTTTTTAATTAAAGGTATACAATTCATAATGACTTTTTTTCTTATTCATCATTTATGTTACTAGTATAAAACTTTGTTTTTTTGATTTGGCAGATAACAAAAAAAATTGAGCTATCTCGATAAATTCTTGGATTTCCAAATCCTACAATTATAAAGGAAGAGGAAAGAGAAACAATGCGGGATGAGGATGTAGAGATTTGGAGGATCTACGCTAAGGCGTTTTTCAAGTTTTGTTTTGCATGTGTAAAATTGTACAAGCTTTTTAAGTTTGCAGATCGATACGACATTGTTTTGATGGCCGTCGGGACCATCTCCGCAGTGGCAAACGGCCTAAGTCAGTCGTTTATGACACTAGTCTTCGGCGACATCGTTAATATCTTGGCCTCCTCTTATCCTAGTCACATGGTTGAAGAAGTCTCAAAGGTTAGATTTCTTGATTTCACTCTCTCTTAATTCATTTCTCTCTGTTTAGCAAATGATTTTTGATAAAACGAAATCAGTTTATTTAAATTTCAAATCTAATTGTAGGTTGGTGTGAAGTTTCTTTACCTTGCGGCAGGCACTTGTGCCATCTCCTTTCTGCGTAAGTCCGAATCCTTGTTATTTAATATTTATCACCCTTATTTGAACTTGAGTTGTTCTTCAAGCAAACAAATTAGCTTTTGTGTTCTTCTGCAGAGGTCTCATGTTGGATGGTGACCGGGGCGCGTCAATCCGCTAGGATTCGCAGCCTATACCTGAAAGCTATATTAAGACAAGACATTAGCTTCTACGACACGGAGGCTAACACCGGTGAAGTCATCAAAAGATTGTCCCGATACACCATTCTTATTCAAGAATCCATGGGAGAAAAGGTTTTGTTTTGTATTTGCTTAAAGAGAAATTTTAATAAATTTTGAAAATGGACACTTTAGAGGTGTAATTTTAAAAATGTAAACTCCAAAATGTGTATTTTAAAAATGTCTCCAATTTTAAAACAAAATTCTAGTTTTATAGCTGTTATTTAAACTTAGTAGTGTACTAATAGAGCATTTTTCTCTTTTGAACCAACTTATTAGTATAACAAAAATTCAAATAGTTTTATTTTATTTTATTTATTTTTGGTCTAAGAAACCATACAGCGACACTTAATATTATTTTTCGTTGCTAGCTTATTCTTGCAGCGCATGTTTATCATGTTGATAAAATAGATTTCTTCAGGTTGGGAAATTCATGCAACTTCTATCGACGTCCATTGGTGTGTACACAATTGCTTTGATACAATGCTGGAAACTCGCATGGCGTCCTCTATTTCTGTTCATATATACAATCGTGAACACGGGGTTCCTTATGGGATTGTTGGTGTCATATAATGTTTGGCGTGTTCAAGTCGCTTATAAACAAGCTGGAAACAAAGTAGAGCAAGCCGTTAAGGCAATAACAACAGTAAGTTTTTTTTTATAACAAGTGATGGTATTAGACTCTTAGTTCCCCACTTTATTTGGCCAGTCGAAATTGTGCCTGGTTATTAAAAAATAAAAAGGAAACTTCCATCTTTCTTTATTTTTTTACTATTTACTTTTATTTCCAGGATGCAGAGTTTAAAGGGGAGAAACATGCAAAGGAAAAATATGAGAGGAAACTCGTGATTGCCTACGAATCTAAGGTTGAAGAAGTGGCAAATTCGTGTTTGGCCCGTTTTCTAATGCTTAGTTCTATCTTCTGTTCCTCTCTTTCGCATTTTAGGTTGAGTTCTAAACTGATATCATAGGAAGAATACAGCGGCGCCCAAATCATAAACGTGGTTTTTTGCGTCTTGATAGGAGGATGGTGAGTATATATACCATTACTTGTTCTTCAAGAAATCTCTAGATTCTCTACCCACCAAAACCCCTAGCTGCATGTTTCACATATTTAAGCCACTCTGCAGGTCGTTAAAGCAAACGTTGACGTATCTTCATGTATTTGGAACGGGGCAAGCTGTGGCCTCCAAAATGTTTGAGACGATCAATAGGAGACCAAAGATCGATGCGTATGACATGAGCGGTGAGGTTTTGGAGGAGATTAAAGGCGATATCGAGCTTAGAGATGTGCATTTCCGGTACCCGGCAAGACCTGACGTGCATGTGTTTGCTGGATTCTCGCTGGTCGTACGTAGCGGCACGACCGTTGCTTTGGTGGGAAAAAGCGGGAGTGGGAAATCGACGGTGATCAATCTGATTGAAAGGTTTTATGATCCGGAATCAGGAACTGTTTTAATCGATGGAACTGACTTAAAGAAGCTTCAGTTGAGATGGATCAGAAGCAAGATTGGTCTTGTAAACCAAGAACCTATACTATTCGCGACCACGATCAGAGAGAACATTTCCTACGGTAAAGAAGACGCGACCGAGCAAGAAATTAGAGCTGCGGTTGATCTCGCTAACGCTGATAAGTTCATTGATATGCTTCCACAGGTACTTTAAAACTTTGAAGCAAAATGATCTGACATGTAACTGAGTTATATAATTTTATGCAGAGTCGTCTATTTTTTTTTTTTTTTTTTTTTTTTTTTTTAGGGTTTGGACACGGTGGTGGGAGAGGACGGGATGCAATTATCGGGCGGTGAGAAGCAAAGGATCGCGATTGCGAGGGCGGTTGTGAAAAACCCAAAAATCTTACTTTTTGATGAACCGACAAGCGCAATGAACATGGAATCCGAAGGCATCGTTGATGATTCGCTCTTAAAGCTAATGCCAAACCGGACCATCGTGTTGGTGTCTCATCGCCTTACCACCATTAGAACTGCCAACGTAATCGCTGTTGTTGATCAAGGCAAAATCGTCGAGAAAGGTTAGGGTTTTGTACGGTATCTTGCATGGCAAGTAAATCAGTTTTGATTTTTAAAGTTTCAACTAAAAGTATGTGTACTTACTGATCAGGAACTCACGAGGAGATGATTCAAAATCCCAAGGGCGCATATTCGCAGCTCGTTCATCTACACGAAGGATCTAAAACAGTTAGCCGAAGCAAAAGCCATAATAGGAGTGAGGCAAGTTTTGAGATGGGAGGATCTATAATCCGAAACAGTGTCTCCTGTGGCAACCAAACCACTGAAAAACGAAAAAAAATGTCGTTAAGATGGCTTTCTCTCTTTGAAAGGTTTGATATTCGAGTTCTATTCGTGGCTACAGCGGTTCACGGCATTGCGTACCCTGTCCAAGGTTTACTCCTTTATACCTTCATCACGAACAAGATTTTCTTCGAGCATCCAAGTCATTGGGACGATCCTCGGAAGTATTTTATTTCATGGGCTCTCATGTTTGGCGGGTTCTGTTTAACCACTGCGGCCGCTAATTTTCTTCAAAACTATCTATTGGTTGTCCTTGAGGAACAACTTATCAAACGCTCCCGATCCTTGTCTTTTGACAAAGTTTTTCACGAGGAGATAAAGTTGTTCGACCATACGGCCAACTCGAGGTAAGTGATATATATATATATATCTCTAGGATTATATCTGCCAAATGAGTTTTTGTTGGATGTACGAAAGTTTATATTTTGTGTTTTGTCTAGCGGAGCGATTGGGGAGAGGTTATCAAGAGATGCTTCAAGGATGAAAAGTATGTTGAGAGATTCAGCCTTGATCGTGCAGAATGTAGCAAGTGTAACCGCTGCTTTGCTAATAATAGCGTTTTCTGCTAAGTGGGAATTAATTTTAGCAGTCCTGGTTATCACACCAATCATGGTCCTCGAAGTAGACTTTCAAACCAACTTTAGCGCATATGCAATGGTCAGAATTCAACAATTTTGGTTACGTTTCGGTTTAACCTAGTCTAATTATATGATTTTATTGATGCTGGTCACTCTATTGGTTCAGATGGTGTATAAAGATGCTAGCCAGGTGGCAAGCGACGCCGTGCGAAGTATAAAGACGGTTGTATCCTTATGCGCAGAGGAGAAAGTGATAGATCTATACCAGCAAAGATGCGAGGAACAGAAGGAAATTGGTGCCCGGTTAGGACTTGTGATGGGTTTTGGTCACGGTTTCTTCCTCGCGGCGCTTTATTTCATCTATTTCGTCCTGTTCTACTTTGGTTCTGTTTTGATTCAGCTTGAGAAAGCAACCTTTGTAGAAGTGTTAAAGGTAAAGAGCTGAAGTTATCCGGTCTGGTTATAATCCGGTTTAATTTGAAACATGTTTGTGATATTATGAGTGGTTTGAAACGTTGCAGGTTTTCTTTGTGCTGAGGTTTACATCAATAGGAGTGTCTCAGTCGAATGTTATGGCCCTTGACATAAGCAAAGTCAGAGACTCTATTGCTTCGATTTGTGATATTCTCAACAGTAAACAGAAGATCGACTAGAGAGTTCGACTAGTTAATTTGTATTTTTCTTTTTTTTTTATATATAGATAACCTCTATTGGCTTATTTAATTTCTTGTAGATTTCTTGTTTGTGTGCATTACAATACAATATCAATATATATAGTATTACCATTACCATTACCATTACCATTGATCACCTTTGATAACAAAACTAAGGAGGATAAATAACTTTTTTAAAAACTTGGAACTTAGGGTCCAAAGCCCATTTATAATAATAGGCCCAATTGAAAAATGGAAAAGCTCACGTGGCAGCAATAAGCCTAGACACGAAGCTGCATGAACTCGACCACGTGTTGAGTTCACCGGAAAGAGAGATCTTATGTAATGCAATAGACCTGAAGTTTATTGTGAAGGATCGGATCGGAATCAGAAGGATTTGAAAAAAATGGCGTCGAATGTGATGAGACCGACGTTTGCTTACTCGGTTGTGTACGTGAAGGACGTTGCTAAATCCGTAGAATTCTACTCTAGAGCCTTTGGTCACAACGTCCGTCGTCTTGACGATTCACACAGGTTTGTTGGTTTGTATATTGGTTTTCGTTAGATTCTTTTTCAGATAGAAATAAATGTTTCGTTTAAATCATTTAGTTCGAGAAATTTAAACTTTTGGGCTTTGACATTAAATTAGTGAGATGGCCATGATCAGGTCCGACCCACTGCTTAAGTAATTGTTCTAAGCCACAAAATATATAGAGACACTAAAGTCTTATTGCTTTCATAAAGTAATAGTAAGAAATTTTTCTATCAAAACAAAATGGTAACAAACGAAGGATTCCTCTTAAAAATTGAGAGACTGTAGGGTTGTCCAATGTGGATTTTTTAATGGCAACGAATATTCGGCAGAAAACTATATAGATTTGTGTTCTGGAAAAAAACAACAAAATATGTGGAGTTATGGGCTCAACCATTTTTGTCACATTTTCAATACTAGTATTTTTATCTTGAATGATAATTTGTTGTTTGGGCCACAATCTCCCTTCCGGGTTGATACATGCAGGTGGGGGGAGCTAGAGAGCGGGCAAACGACGATAGCATTCACACCGCTTCACCAGCATGAAACAGACGACCTAACCGGGAAGGTTCAATCTACGCAGTCAGCCCGTGAGAGAGCACCCATCGAACTATGCTTCTGTTACCCCGATGTTGATGCCGCTTTCAAGGTAACTAATTCAACTATATATTCTGTCTCTACGTATGTGCTGATACGAGTGAGATGGTGCAGAGGGCAGTGGAGAACGGTGCGGTGGCAGTGAGCCAGCCAGAGGACAAGGAATGGGGGCAGAAGGTTGGATACGTGCGAGACATCGACGGGAACGTTGTACGCATGGGAAGTCACGTTAAGTGAATACAGAAACAAAGACTCCATCACGGAACATGATCAGTAACTATCTATATATATATATATGCATACAAATAATACGTGATACTGTGGTACTCTTCTTTTTTGTGGTAATGAAATTATCTCTATATAAAGCAAAAGTGGAAAAAGGTGTTTGACAAAGTGGCCCCAGCCTAGTCTCGATTTGGTCTTCTTTTTCTATCGTTACACAAAGTAAGAAACAATTGGACCTAATTAACCAGCCAATTGAGAGGAAAATGGTTTATAAATTTGGCACTCTTGACCACGGATAAAACGAATATGAAGCTCTCCGTCTGAATGCATCATTTGTTCTAACTTTTCACTATTACCAAATCATAAATCCCTGATGTAATTTATACTAGTTTTCTTCAACTATCCGTGTTAATTAATCATTTAATTATGTCTTCACAGCTCAACAAAATAACAAACAAACAAGGCTATAAAGTTAGTTTAAAATCTCTTTTTTTTTTGTCGTAGTCGTAGATGTACATTTGTGAATTGTGAGTACTTTTCTTCTTCCTTAGTGTGACTAACCAATAATGCAAAGAGATGTGTCGTACTTGGTCTTTGATTCCAAAATCAATAGTTTTCTCTTCTTTAACAATATAATTGATTAGACTCGATTATCCGCTGAGAACAAAAACTGGGAATAGTCCAGGACTTAGATATACTACGATACTATACAAGGGTCAATCAATATAGTTTTTTTTTCTGTATCAATATAGCTGTACGTAAGTAACGTATGATCTTTAGAGCAACATGCGATTAGTTATTGCGATCATGTGAGGTCAGGAATTTCTCAAAGTTAATTCAAAATGGTTGGAACAATAATAAGATAAACTAGACGTCCCAGCTTAGATATGAGTTTTTATTATTCAAAATCATCAGAGTTCTAATCACTAAATCGGAGACCAGAGTTTACCAGTTCCATCACAGTTTTCTTTTACTTTATAGAATCACCAGTCTGAATTCTAATAATCTATACAACTTTAATTCAATAACAATACAGCAATGAAATGAAAAAACAAATAAAAATTTGCTGCGTATAATGTAGGGTCTTGTACTGTAATAAAAAAGGACGTGTACATAATAAATTAACCCCATTCTTGGCGTCTTGCTTTATTTATTAGAGAAGTTGTAATTTGTAAATGAAAAAAGAAATAAACTAAAAGTATAAAATAAAATCACAAAGTCCAACAACGTAATTAAATCCTGACGACTGAAGTGGTCCACAAAGCTCATTGCCATTTACCTACTTGGCTACTTCCTAGTTCCTAATTGTCGCTCTCTCTAGAATGTAAGTATTTTCATCAGCTCTTTCATCTCTTACAAGCTTTTATTGGAGAGGTGATACAATATTTTATTCATTACTTTAGAAATGATGGTTTCTTTTCATCCCAAATATTTCATCATCATCATCTTCACACTAATTCTCCATGGCCATCTTGGATTTTCTGACAACACTAGACTCCACGAGGCCGAAGGTACTTTTCTAACTACTCTTCAAAACCACCTTTTTTTTTCCTCAGTCGATTCCAAAGATTCTTCCTTTTCTCTGTCTCTCTGTCACCTTCTGGGTATTGTGAGAAATTTTGAAATCAAAGCACTTTCTTAGTCTCTGATGATGATGGTTGTTCATTTTGATTGAAATTTGGGAAGTGGGAGCACTTAAGGAGATAGGGAAGAAGCTAGGGAAGAAAGACTGGGATTTTAAGAAAGATCCATGTAGTGGTGAAGGCAATTGGGTTGTAACCACTTACACAACCAAAGAGTTTGAGAGTAATCTCACTTGTGATTGCTCCTTTCCTCCTCCTAATTCATCTTGCCACATCATCAGAATGTAAGCTTTCTTCTTCTTCTTCTTCTTCCTCCCCTTATCTTCTTTAGTTTACACTAGATATTGTTGTCGGTGTCAAGTCATATACATGTGGATTTGATTTGATACTCACTGAAACCATTAAACCAACAAGTATAGAGATAAAAGATGTTAAAAAGGGTTAAAAAGCGAAGTAAACAAGTATTGAGATTTCAGTGATAGAAATGCTTTTTCATGGAATATTATTGGTAACTGCATCAGTAGATATAACTTTTACTTTTAGCAAAAAGAGGGAATTTTTAAGATAATACGGTAGTGACAAATTTATGGTCATAATCAATGGGAAACCACTTGCTTCCATATCGTGTGTAGGTTGTAGATTTAATTATCTTCTCATTAATGCACGCGCTTCAATGACAGCTGCTAACTATATACTGTAATTAATCTGTCTAACTACAACAAGACGTAAACGCTCTTACAGAGAATAACATTACTCCTCAATTGTTCTAAACTTCTAATGTTCTATAGTTTCTACTAATTAAAGTCTTAACTTTTAGTTATATCGGTTATAGGATGTTTAAGAGAGCTAATTAAGAGATTGGTGGATGCGCAAAAACACTTGAAAACTAAGGATTGAAAAGTAAAAATCTTTTAGTTTGGTTTGTCTCTTTGCGACGACAAGATTACTTGCCAGGCTGGACATGCAGCTGGTCGTTGACCCGTTGACCAAAAGCTTAAGTAAACGATTTAAAAGAAATTAACGCGTTTACTTTCTTTGAACTCTTTAAATCTTTGCTACTAACTTAAGATTTAATATATACACGATTTGTCCCCCAAAGTTTTAAAGATGCCTCTCTTCGCCCAAAACTTTTAATTCTTTCAAAAAGACCCTTTGAGAATCAATTGCGGAAACTAACAAATTAATTAAGCCACTGGTTAAATCGTAAAAAGTCAAATTGACTGGTTAAACTTAATTACTTAAACCTTAGACCGGTTAAATCGTGAATCGTAAATTGACGATAATCTGTCTGGTTTGGGTTGTTTGTGAGATGATGCAGAGCTCTGAAGTCGCAGAACTTAACAGGCATTGTCCCTCCAGAGTTCTCCAAGCTTCGTCACCTCAAAGTTTTGTAAGTGATTTCAAACTTTCACACTTTCATCGAAGTTTGATTCTGAAAAATTGGTTCTTAACACGATCAATTTGGTGCAGAGACCTTAGCCGTAACTCTCTGACTGGTTCCATTCCAAAGGAATGGGCTTCTATGCGCTTGGAAGATTTGTAAGATCTTCTATATCTGTTTCTCTAATAAAATTGAAATATCACCTTGTTTTGTTTTAATAACTGTTGTCGTTGTGGGGTTTTGTGTTACATACACAGATCTTTCATGGGGAACCGATTGTCTGGTCCATTTCCGAAAGTCCTAACCCGCCTTACAACTCTCAGAAACCTGTATGTTGCTGTTGTTACACCTTAACACTTGTTTCGGTTAATGAATTATGTTATAGCTATTGGAAAACCTGAAGCTTTTCTGGTTTTGTTTTAAAACTAAAGAGAGTGATTTGTGTATTTGAATGATGTAGGAGCTTGGAAGGAAACCAGTTTTCAGGACAAATCCCTCCTGAGATTAAAAAGATGATTCATTTGGAGAGACTGTAAGTTTCTTTTCCCTCCCTTCATTATCTGGTGATCAGTATCAGAATATATCTCAACTAGTCTTTTGGCTTCTTCTCTGTTTTCTCAGTCATCTTCCTTCAAATGCCTTCACTGGCTCATTGCCGGAAGAACTTGGATTGCTCCAGAACATGACTGATATGTAAGAGAGTTTAGTCTTACATGGTTGATATATGACAATAAGAAACAGAAAGTAAACAAATTATGTCGCCTTTTAGATATCTGCTTCAATATAATATTTGATTATTGTATTTGTGGGATGATAGGAGGATTAGTGATAATAACTTCACTGGACGAATACCAGACTTCATCGGCAATTGGACAAGAATAATGAAATTGTAAGATTTTGGAATGTTTCTACACAAGTACTTGAATGTCCTCAAGAAGAGAGAAGACATACTAACCCCAAATAAGTGTTTTTGCAGGCAGATGCATGGTTCAGGTTTGGATGGTCCGATACCTTCCAGTATTTCTAGATTGACTAGCTTGACAGACCTGTAAGCCCCATTGAATCAACTTCTTCTTTTTTCAAATCGAACAATGACACAAAGATCATTTATTATCATAGTTTTACTTTTGTGGGTTGTGATTGGTAGGAGGATAAGCGACTTAGGAGGCAAAGTTTCTTCCTTCCCTCCGCTGAGTAATTTGGACTCTATCAAGTCACTGTGAGTTGAAAAAAAAAGTTACAGTTTTTGCGTTGTGATTGGAATATGGTTTTGGTAGTAAACTGTTTCAATCAATCTAAAAAATTCAGGGTACTGAGGAAATGCAATTTAAATGGCCCACTTCCAAAATATATTGGGCATTTGAAGAAGCTCAAAACACTGTAAGTCGACCAAAGAAGAGCTTTAAAATGATGTTCTTTTTTTTTTTCATATGATTAAACTCTGTAAGATGATTATGTTTCTGTGTAGTGACCTGAGTTTTAACCTCCTAACTGGTGAGATTCCGTCGTCGTTTGATAATTTGAAGAAAGCCGATTTTATGTAAGTACATCAATAACGGCAAATTCCCTTAAAAATTAGCTTTGGAATATTTTTACAATTCTCTTTCACAGTTTTTTGACAGGAAATAAGCTTACAGGAGCTATTCCAAGCTCCTTTGTCGAAAAAAACAAAAACGTGTACGAATATACATGCCTCTGCTATCTTTCCATTGTCCCAACTTAACACAGGTTTACAAAAAAAAACTGTAATTTGTTCTTCTCCATGTGCAGAGATGTTTCTTACAACAACTTTACTGATGCAAGTTCAATTCCCCCTGGTGGTTGTAACAAAGATACTTCGTAAGTTCACTCTTATATTCATAATCATTATACTCTCTTCACACATTCGCCAGAAACAACAATGTCTTGCGTCATTTTTCTAGGAATCTGGTGGAAAGCTTCTCCACGGGGACTAAAGCGTAAGAAACCTTCTCTCTGTAGTATAAATGGCTCTTTAAAGTAAACTGATTGATGCTCATGTTTCAGACGCAAGGATGCTTCCTGTTATCTTCAGCACTTCCCTTGTCTTCGTCCTAAGACTGAACGTAAGCAAAAGTAACGCTTATGCTATTTTCCATCATAATTCTTGTACAATGCAAGCGAATGAGATCATATCTTTTCTTGTAGATATATATAAACTGTACATAAACTGCGGAGGAGATGAAGTGAAAGTTGATAAAGGAACAAGGTATGAAGCTGACAGAGCTCCCAAAGGCGCTTCTATGTTCTCTCTCGGCCCTGACGATCACTGGGGGTTTAGCAGCACCGGGATCTTCATGGACAACGATGATGATGCCGATGAGTACACTGTGCGCAACAAATCCAGACTATCAGTTAACGATTCGTCTCCCATCTCTGAGATCTACAGGACAGCTCGAATCTCTCCTCTATCGTTGACTTACTATGGACTCTGTCTCGGAAACGGGAACTACACTGTCCAACTCCACTTTGCTGAGATCGTCTTTACCGATGACAAGACGTTTTACAGTCTCGGCAAACGTTTGTTCGATGTTTATGTTCAGGTACTCAATAGTGTCATTATTAGAAAGATGTAAATTCATAAGAATATTGTATTCTTGCTCATTTTATCTGCCATGACAGGATAAGTTAGTGATCAAGAACTTCAATATTCAAGAAGCAGCTGGTGGATCCGGTAAGCCAATCATCAAGAAGTTTACGGTGAATGTAACAGACCATAATCTGAAGATCGGTTTGAGATGGGCTGGGAAAGGGACAACAGGGATTCCGATTAGAGGAGTTTATGGTCCTATGATCTCAGCTATATCAGTGGAACCTAGTATGTTTTATTCTTATTGTAGCAGTTTTTTTAAATTATGGATCATGAAAAATCTCATTGTTGATGTACGGTTTTTGCTTGTGGTAGATTTCAAACCTCCGGTGTATCATGACAGGAAAGAGATCATGCTAAAAGCAGGAGTACCTGTTGCAGCAGCAACACTTCTTTTACTGATCATATTGGGTGTCTTTTGGAAGAAAAGGCGTGACAAAAATGCTCTCGACAAAGGTATATATAAGCTTTTGTTCCAAAACTACCATTGCTAATCTTAGTTTCCAACAATACCACAAATTTTGATTTTCAAAAAATACCACAGAAATAAGTTTTTGTTCGAAAAATACCTAAACAACTTAACTCTAACGCTCAAAACTAGACTTATTTTAATGGAATGGTACATGTTCATTTGGTATAAAGTCGCCTAAACTGAATTTTGTGTATGAGTGAACAGAGCTAAGGGGTTTAGATCTTCAAACTGGGACATTCACTCTACGACAGATCAAAGCAGCCACTGATAATTTCGATGCAACAATGAAGATTGGTGAAGGTGGATTTGGCTCTGTTTACAAGGTAATTCACTTTGTATTCCTCAACTTTCTTAATTAGCTCTATATGAATAATTTTTATAGAAGATGAAGAGATTATAGTAAAAAGTGGTGTGCCTTGTCTTGGTGCAGGGTGTATTGTCAGAGGGAAAACTGATTGCAGTTAAACAGTTGTCCGCAAAGTCAAGGCAAGGAAATCGCGAGTTTGTGAATGAAATAGGAATGATCTCAGCTCTGCAACATCCAAATCTTGTGAAGCTATACGGATGTTGTGTTGAAGGAAACCAACTGATATTGGTTTATGAGTATTTGGAGAACAACTGTCTATCTCGTGCACTGTTTGGTATGTCTTCTCGTATTTGCATCTCTCTGTGAACCATGTTTTGGTGTGTCATGAATTGCTCAAAGTCTCTGTCTTTTTGTAGGGAAGGACGTGAGTGAAAGACTGAAACTAGACTGGTCAACAAGGAAGAAGATTTTCTTGGGCATAGCTAAAGGACTTACGTTTCTCCATGAAGAATCTAGGATCAAGATTGTGCACAGAGATATAAAGGCAAGCAACGTGTTACTCGATAAGGATCTCAACGCTAAAATCTCTGACTTCGGTTTGGCAAAGCTGAATGATGACGGAAACACACACATCAGTACCCGCATTGCAGGAACTATGTAAGCCTCTCTCAACTTAAGGATACAATCAACTTATAAGTCATTTTTCTTGATATGTTCATTTGCATATTGCAGAGGTTATATGGCTCCTGAATACGCCATGCGTGGTTACTTGACTGAGAAGGCAGATGTTTATAGCTTTGGCGTCGTTGCCCTAGAAATCGTAAGTGGGAAGAGTAACACAAACTTTAGGCCAAGCGAGGACTTCGTTTACCTTCTTGATTGGGTAAACATTCTCATCACTTTCAATTCATCCACTTAATAAGTATATATAAACCAAAGTATGTAACTTTGTTGCATTTGTAGGCTTATGTGTTGCAAGAGAGAGGAAGCTTGCTAGAGTTGGTTGATCCAACGTTAGGCTCGGATTACTCAGAAGAAGAAGCGATGCTGATGCTGAACGTGGCGCTGATGTGCACCAACGCGTCACCGACACTAAGGCCTACCATGTCTCAAGTGGTGAGTCTCTTAGAGGGAAAGACAGCGATGCAAGAGTTGCTGTCGGATCCGAGCTTCTCAACGGTTAACCCAAAGCTTAAAGCCTTGAGGAACCATTTTTGGCAGACGGAGCTGAGCAGAACGCTTAGCTTCTCCACGAGCGGACCTCGTACAGCCTCTGTTAACTCACAAGCTGATGCTGAGGAGAAGTCTGGACTTTTGGATTAAGTTCTAAACGAGGTTCGTGGGAGTGGTGAAATTGTTCACCTGTGAAAGAGTTTTTTGTTTTTCAAAAAAAAATTGTATATATAATCGCAGTTTGTTTTTTTTTTTTTTAATCTCAAAATTGTGACTTGAAATTAGATTGATGACAAAAGTTAGATGAAATAAGTATACTAGTATTTTGTTCCAGTCATCAAGAAAACTATCACACAAAAAAAAAAAAAAAAACATAATCAAGATTGGTATATACATAATGAAACGAGATTGATGCATAAATGTCTATTACTAGTATTAATTATATGTTTTGGCGGCTACGTCCAAAAGTCACATATAGTACTTGTTTGTTTTATTAGTAAAACATTTCTCTATACATAATTAGGTGTCTTTTTAAACGAAATGTGTTGGAAACAATGGAACCGTGTTTGTTTGATAAAAGTTCGAATTGTACGAATGCAACAAAAAGATAGGTCCCTTAACTTCATATCGAAGAGAGAAGTGAAACAATAGTATTAAGCTAGAATTTAAGAATATGACTACTCTAGTAACTTCTTTCAAGATAAAATATTACCACACTATCTTTAATGATTTGGAACTCTCTATAGTTCGATAATTTCCAACTGGAATGTGTACGTATATCAGTATATGTGTGTGTTAATAATGTATGTGCACGTGCGACGTATCTGTGTAATTTACAGGTTGAAAAGATTAAGGAGTAAGCTTTTGCACAGAAATAAAAAGCTTAGTAAGAGGGGAAAAGCTGAGGGGGGACGGTGCAATTAATTGACAAGGAATCAGATTCCCAAACCACTAATGTTCTTGCTTTTTGTTTCCTGTCCTTATCATTTCTTCCACGTTTTATTTCTATTATTACCATTAATTAACTGATTTAAACTCAACCAAAATCAAATAGTTTATACACGAGACCACATTCTGCAACCCTAAACATAGGCAGACCTAAATGAAAAAAAAAAAAAAAAAGAGAGGAAAAAGAGTCATTCTTGCGTGAACTGAGAACTGTACGGTACGGTTAGATAGATGATTCATATAATATGAAGAGAGTATTTTTTGCATGTTTAACAAAAAGTGGAGAATCTTTTGAATCGATTGATTTTTAAGTAGTCGCACTTTGCAATAAAAGTATATATTGGCTTCAGCAGCAGACGTGAGTACGTGACTTACAATTGTAATATCAAAAAGCTAGCTCCTTAAAAATAAAGGATCGTTCAACACCAACCCTTTCCTTGTTATATGTTAATTAGAAAAGTAACCATTTGTGGACAAATTCATATTATATGTGTGGATGTGCCACTAGTGACTCTTAAAATTATGTTTTATTTCACGGGGTATAAACTAGACTTAATCTAAAATGAGCGTTGATCCGATTTCGAAGAGCAGACGAAGAAACGATAAGAGTATACATAATGGTTTGGTATATGAAAAGGTCAATTCTTGATTGATTCATGCATGAACGTCCTTTTATTTTATTTTTCCTTTTTTGGTTTATTATGAAAACAAATATATGATTAATCGCGGTGGAGGGTTTTGCCCCACTCGAAGCAGTGTGCTATAATAATGTTGCAAGTAGGCTATCTTTGGCGGTCCATTTCTGAAAAAAGGAGACTTCGCAATTTATAAACGAAACGACTGATGACGTCAAAAAAATTGAAACGAGTGATCAACGTAGAGATAAGAAAAAGATCTGATGACGAAGAAAAAAAAGATAAGAGAAAGATCAAAAGGAGAAAAAGGAAAAGATCAGTAGCGATATTGTAGAGACAAACTGCAAAATGTAAAGCTCTTTTAACAAGTAGTACGTTTTGTTACATAATATTTTGGCCCAATAAACAAAAGTTGTAGTTGCTAACGAGCGACTCTTTTTCACTTTGAAAACCAAACTTCACTATCTACTAGAAGACCGGTGACGTCGTAATTCTCTTCTAGTGCTTTAGTTTTAATACAACAGTATATAAGAAAAATCGTTAAAATTTATGAATTTTCATACATTCAATTTATTTATTAGTTTTTTTGTGATGAGTAAGCAACTGGAAAACAACAAGACTGTATACATTTGAAAACTGCAATCTACATGACTACATGTCAAGCTGTATTAAAATCACTGTTACGTTAAATACATAGTATACATATTATACGGCATACACTAAACCACAACCAGTTTAGTTTTCCCATCTTGTTAATTAAACATGGCTTTCATTATCCTTGTGCTCACGGGTACACCACTCGCCTATACTTCTCTTTAGCATGAAGATCGTTTGGTTCAAAGGAACAATTTCAACTTTATTCAGATGTAGTCGACTATATAAAAATACCTAATTGTGGTTAAATTTGTTACTTGCGTTATTTTTAATCTTTAGAATACTGTATGCATTAAAAAACAAAAAAAATAGTATGCCAAAAAACAATTAGTCACCATGTATAATAGACAAGAACCCACCAAAAGTGTAATAGAGAATGATGATGATGTGCTTTATATGTGGCATATGGGGCTTGGAATAATAATAAAGTCATATATTATTTTTGATTATGTATATCCACACGCTTAAAGTCATTAAAAAAATCAAGTGATAACTTCCAACTAATTTCTTTCAGAAAATAACCTAACAACTTTAGTGTCAAATATACCATAACTTTAGGAAAATTCCCAAGTGCTACAAATTTTAGGTTTATGAATCATTTAACACTTATTTATAAACTTTTATGACATCTTCCTAAGTCTATACTTTGTGGTATTTTTGGATCTTTAGACTTTGGTAATAATTTTGGATCTTTTATACATTATGATATCGCCAAGTAATTATGTACCTTTAGTTATCGATCTAATTCTACCCTCTAATATTACTGGGTTGGTTCAAACACAGTTCTTCCCCTATAAATATATGTATTCCATAGACGTCTGGGAGAGGAACCTTATAGGCGAAGAAATGTCCCCACTCAAACCCTAAAAAGGGAATCACAAATAAAATTACACTTAGATATAAGTTATAAACGCGTATGCACATGAGGAAATGAGAGTGGGAGTTATACAAATATATAGAAATCATAAAAAGAATCGAAACTCCTTTTCTTTTACTCGTTAAAAAAAGCATTTTCTTCCTTTTAATTTGTCTTTGTTCTCCTTCTCTCTTCTCACTTTCCTTTTTTGATTTTGTGCTCTCTTCGCGTTTCTCTTTGGTCGTGTTGCTTCCTTTTTTTTTTTGGATTCCCCCACCAAGTTTTTCGTTCGAGTTCTTTCCCCTAAAGATCCATCAAACTTTATTAAAGAAGGAAGAAGAAAGAGATAATAAAGGGTATACAAGAACAATGGATTTCTCATCCAATTGGTCACAGGTTTCACTTCTTTGATCTTCCATTACTAAATGTTCTCTCTGTCTCTCTCTCTTTCTCTTTTTGTAATTTTTATCTTAAATTCTTCACTGATGTTTTGATTCGTTTTAGTAATAATTTTGATTCAATTCCAAAAAGATATTCATATTCTCATCTTCTTTTCTACAATTCGCTTTCTTTAAAATCTCAGCATCTATATATATAGATGGTATTTCTTGCTTTACCAATATAAATTACACAAGGATTTGAATTGGGGGTTTTATTTGTCTCTTTCTTTAATTCTGACTACTTAAATTTTTATTTTTGTGTTTCAGTCTACGAATTTGAATGATCAGCATCATCATCACCACCAGCTTCACGAAAATGGAAGTATAGTTAGTGGCCACGGACTACTCTCTCACCAACTTCCACCTCTCACACAAAACCCTAACCCTAATCACCATCATGTCGCTGCCTCCGGTGGTTTTCCGGCGAGGCTTGGTGGATCGATGGCTGAGAGAGCGAGGCAGGCCAAAGTTGCTCCGCCTGAGGGAGCCCTAAAGTGTCCTCGATGTAACTCCACCAACACTAAGTTCTGTTACTACAACAACTATAACCTCACTCAGCCTCGCCACTTTTGCAAGGGTTGCCGCCGCTACTGGACACATGGCGGCGCCCTGAGGAACGTCCCCGTCGGTGGAGGCTGCCGGAAGAATAACAGGAAGGGCAAAAATGGAAACTCAAAATCTTCTTCTTCTTCGTCCAAACAGTCTTCTTCCACGGTCAACGTTCCAAGTCCTAGCTCAGGACAGCTACGGACAAATCACCAGTTCCCGTTTTTACCGACTCTTCACAATCTCACTCAACTCGGAGGTATCGGTTTGAACTTAACCGCGACTAATGGCACCAACCAGGCTCAGCAGATGGGTTCGAGTTTGATGAACGATCTAGGGTTTCTCCATGTCGGAAATGGACGAAACACTTCAGCTCCTATAACCGGAAACATTCATGATAACAATAACAACAATGAAAACAACCTTATGGCGTCCGGTGGATCGCTAAGTCACTTTGCTCTCTTCGATCCAATGACGGGGCAATACGCTTTCCAAAACGATGGCAACATCGGAATATCTTATTCATCGGCTTCCATGGTTGATTCTGGCGTTTACCAGACAGCTCCGGTTAAGATGGAAGAACAACCGAATCTGGTTAACCTGTCTAGACCGGTTTCCAGTTTGACGTCTCCGGGGAATCAAACAAATCAGTACTTCTGGAACAATTCGGATTTCTCGGGTCCTTCTTCTAACGATCATCACCAACTTTTGTGAGAGACTTTGTGTTTTGTTGGATCATTGATGTATGTTACGACGTAAAGTTTGGTTTAAAACTTTAAATGACTACGAACGGTCAAGATCAGATGCATGCAGAGTACGTGGTGTGCGGGACGATGGTCGTGGAGAAGTACTGAGGAAAACTATAAGGTGTCACAATTACGTTAGAGTTTGTGGTTATATACGACTTAAATTCATAATCAGGTGTGTCATATAGTTTGTTTGTATTGCGTGGTTTCATGGTTGATCTTATTCTGAAGTTGCTATATGTCTCAATTCGTGTGTGTAACAGTCCAAATATATACTCTTTAATTAAACTAAAATTCATGGAATATTTAATATTTATACTCAATATCCGCTGAAAATTCATTTATGTCTGCCTGACCAAAACCGAGTGTTGATGAACGTTGCTAATGATTATCATTTATTGATTGTTAAGAGAAACTTATAGCATAGAAAAGCAAAGGATAATTCATAAAGTAAAAAGGGGTATTGCTGACAAAGGAACTTGATCATACAGTTCTGTGTCTCTATGGATGCTACGTTTCAAAACTCCCATAATCGTCTTTTCTCATATTTTTAGGAGCTTCTTTTTCTTTTACAGTCTTCCTGTACGAATCTGTGTGTCAGTCTGTTTCTCGTTGGTGCATGTTCCTCCATAAATATTCCTTGATTAAAACTATGCATACTTGCTCTAAATTGACCGCTCGTAACTGATCTACTGTAACTAGCTAGCTAGAGGACGAATATCTCTATTGGTTCTCATCAGTCAGTGAATAGTAGAGTCTAAAATGTCTAATGCGATAGCTTTGGCGTCTGATTTACTATGGACATTGCATCTAACAAAAAAAAAATCGGAAGAAAATGCGAAAAACAAATTTGGTTTTAGAAGAAAATGCTACTTATATATATATATATATATATATATATATATTGTGTTAGTAATTTGCAATGAAACCATAATTTTCCAATGATAGAAGAACATATATAAAACGATAGAAGAAAAAGGAGGAGAATATAATGGAGAAAACGTTAAACAAAGATTGACACGGAAAACAATGCGTGCAGAGATTTGTTTGTCCTGACCGGGACCCCCCAACTTTTATGATAGTCCCACTTTTTAACGGTAGGGTTAAAATCAATCATTTCAAATGCTTTTTTGACTCCACCCTTTTTCTTTTACTGAATTATATAGTATGACTGTTTTCCTTAGATGGCGCGTAAAAAAGGTACATATCTACTACGTGATGTAAGCTGAATGATCTACGTTTCATATGTAGGCAACGATCTGCATGGTGTTTGTTTGTTTGTTGCTTATTGACTTATTGGGCCGCCCAATTTGGGCCTATGATGCCCCCGACATGTCCAGAGTTCAATAAGTTTGTAACCTTACGTCGTTTACTCGTTTGGCATTATGGTCTGTCTTTGATGACCTGAGGGAATTGGAGCAGCAGTTGCATGTTCCAGAAGTACCATCTTTCCTTCAGGTTAATTGATCCATTATTCTCAATACTTTGGTAAAGCATCTATTTAGATGACTAGGGTCTTGAATGTTTGTTTGCATTTGCATTTTTCAAATTTCAAAATTCTAAACGTCAAACAATTTCAGTGTTTTATGAGATATGTATGGAAAGTGCAAATACTAAAGAAAACGCATAGATTGCTTTTTGACACAATCGACTTTACCGTGTTTGCATTTGATGTCATATTTTTTTGGTCAACAAATTTCGTACATACAAGGCAAACATACATAGATTGGCGTTTAAAACACTCACTAATCTAACCGCTGGGTGGGTCACGCGCTCAATTGATCGTATTTCACACGTACTTTTAATTGACCCAACGCCACTAAAACGGACTGTTTCTTTCTTCTTATAAAACAAAACGGAAACGAACTGTAGTATTCAAACTTGTTGGCACACTTTTCTTTTAATAAGGTCTAAGATATTTAAATTAAAATCAAAAGGAGAAAAGGGATTTCTACTAAATTAGAAGGTTTAGTTTCGTGGAAATAGTCAAAAAGGGTAGAAACTAAAATTGGACAGCTAACCAAAGGTAAAAAAAAGGTTAAGTCAACATTGTGAAAAGCACATGTAGGGGACTTGAGATAAAGTAAAGAAAAAATAAAAACCAAGTTCCCTGAAATAGAAGAAACATTACCGAAAACAAAGAGATGCCAAAGAATTTTGCCAAAATAATACTAAAATAAATTAAAAACAGAGGGAGAAAGAGAATTAAATGTTATGAAAGTGACTAACTACTTGAACCACAAACAAACTGGTACTCACATCTCATCTTAATTACGAAACTTCTTTCAGTTCCTTCATTTAATTCGTTATTCACATACAGTTAGAAGTTGGAGGAAACTTACGTACATTCAAAGAACCAACATTTTGACCACTAATTTAACACAACAGGCTCCTAATATATCTTCTCATCACATTTGACATGCCAAAACTTTTTTTCTTTAATTTTCTGTTTTTTAACATTATACATAATTCAGAACACACCATTTTGTGTGTGTATGTTGATAAGGATTTGTTTGTTATACACAAGACTTCCACATTCTTCCTTCTAAAGAGATCACTACTATAGAAACATCATCATGGTACCGTCTCCGTTCACCTTGTGGTATCTCCAACAACTCATGAAAATCCATACCTACAAATTAAAGACAGAAAAGTTAGCTAAACAAATCGATTGATTTTCAGACAAAAACAGAATGTAAATTAAGAATCTTCATCACCATTACCAGCTTTCTTAGCAGCTCTAAACAAAAGCTCTTGTACAAGGTGCTGAGCTGGATCCCCTTCAGGCTGTAACGTGATGAAGAGCTCAACCTCTGAAACCGCTTCTTCGTTCGTGAAGTATTGGTAAAGACCATCCGACGATAGTATCAGAAACCGGTCTCTCGAGCCTAATCTGTGGTGGTAGAGCGACGGTAAGCAGCTGATGTACGGAGACTCTCCTTTGTAATCAATTTGGAACATCTCAAGAAGCGCATTGTTCCATCTAGGCTGCTTCAGGAAACCAGCACCAAATGCTCTTGTAACCTTCAAGGAGCCTTTAACACGTTCGTTCGTCACTGCAGTAGCATCATCCGGATGCTCATTTCTGATTCTCTCAACTTCCTAAGAACCATATGAACATAAACAATCAATATCTCTATGAAACCCTCAAGATTTCAAATGACATTTTTTGTTCACTAACCTCTTGAACATTTGTGCTGTGATCAACACTGAGCTGAAAAGCCGACAAACTTTTCAAGTCCTGTCTTATCTCGGCTAATTCGGATTTCTGACCAAGCACAGCTCTACTGTCGCCGACATTCATCACATAAATATCTTCGCCTTTCATCAGCATCGCCAGAACACAAGAGCCCATCAAAGCTAGTTCAGGATTTTCGTCGAGCATCTTATCCGCAGTGTCTAGATATGCTTCTTCCGTCTTCAACAGAGCTTGTGACAATGCCTGTAAAACTTCGGAGTGATTCGTCTCCGTCGGTAACTGACCCGACCCGCTTCTCCGATTGCTCTGTTCCTTTAATCGACGGCTTTCTCGATCCCACTCACATCTCCAATATAATCTCTCACAAGGATTATCATTTTCCTGATCATCGACTCGATTCTCGGATTCGCTACTTGGATCGTCCCATAACAAGCCTTTGAGCTCCCGATGAAGCGTAGGATAAAGATGGGAGAGTAGATAATCCGGTGCATCTGGACCGTTGAATCCGTCGTATATTCCGACGAAAAGCCAACCGTGCTCCTCCGAGACCACCACGTGTACTCGATCCTCACCGGCTTTTCCCTGGGCCCACTGAAGATTCTGGCTTTCAAGCGAAACGTCGTCGTCTAAGGTTCCTTCGCTGCTAAAATTCAAACTATTCACAGTGAGATTCTCGTTGTGCATGTTCCGGCTCTTCTCCGATCTGATTCCCCAATCGGAGTCTTTAACGGATTTGACCGGAGCCACGATCGAGTTTCGCCCTCGGTAAATCGTCTTCGAGATTGCTCGACGGAGGATCCGAACCAAAGACCTTTTCCTTGACCTGACCCGTAAAGCTAGACCATGGGAGAAGCTACGCTGGAACTGGTGATCGGAGCTTGGTTTGTCAAGCGGGCCAGAGAATAACCCGATCCGATCAAGCGGACCCGACATGAATCCTCTCTCGATCGGACCCGAAAGGAACCCTCTTTCGATCGGACCCGAACCCAAGACGATCGGACCGGAGCTCTTAGGGATCGGCTGCAGAGGGATTGAAGGAAACGACGTCGTGCTCTCGAATGCGGCGGCACGGTCGATGTGACCGTACGGATCGTAGAGAGAAGTGGAGAGAGGGGTCGCTGTGTTGGCGCTGACGGAGGCGCCGGAGATTGTGCGAAACATGGTTGTTTCTTCCTCTGAATGGACCTTTGAGGAAGTGATTAGAGTCGGGTCGGGTCGAACGTAGCAGAAGGAGTGACCTAGACCTTCGTCTAGAGGTTCCGGAAGCAGAACGGAGATGTCTTTTCGCCGGGAATGATCTCCGCCTGAGAAACACGTACTCAGTTTTGTCACTCCGTTACCCATCAAGGAAATTTTTCAACTTTTCACAGAAAATCAAGGTCAATAGACGATTTGAGAAAATTCAAACTGCGATTACAATCGAGGTTGCTCCATGACAGAGAATTGAAAGACAGGGAAAGAGAAGACGAAAGAGAAGAAAGAGTAAAGAGAGTTGACTTATGTGCAAAGAGAAAATGATTTTCTGGTTTAACCAATTTATTAATTATCAGGGAAGGGAATATAAGAAAAAAATACTATATAAATGAGATACTATTCGGTTTTTGTCTGATAATTCTGAGAATGTAAATAAAAGTTTTTTTGACAACAGAAATGGATTAAAAACAAATAAATGTCTGACGTCAAAAAGAAGTAAATGAAATCTAATAATTAAACAACGCGCGAAGCGTTGACTAAAAGAGTCTTAAACTCAGGGGTTTCTAACTGGGAAATATGCTTAGGATAAGGACCACTCTCACTCAGGCGCGTGCCTTTTAGTGACCGTATAAAAGAAGTCGAAGACGGATTAAGGCGTTTTAGCAACTAACACACGCATTAAGAGACTTCTTTATAAATTTAGCTGCGGGAAACTAGGAAATGCTAATTAAAGAAAGAATTCTTAAAAAGTCAAAAGAGCCACAAATCCACATTTGTTTTCGTTTGGCAGTGGCCGTTGGATCACGTGTAGTGTAGAGGATCAGGTGGGCTAAGAGACTACCACGTGTCATACTATTACTGACTCCTCGTTTTCTTCAATCCCTCGTCAACTTTCATAATTCCTCTCCCCCACCACTCTCTCCCTCTCGTACGTCACTGATATTAAATTTGGACTTTTCTTCTTTCATTAATTCTTAAAACAAATTTAAATCTAATGTCTTGCTTAGTTCATTTTGATGAGTTTGGTGGTGTATTCATTTACTTTGGTTGGGGCAGTTGTGATCATTACTATACTTAATCACGCCGGTCCAACTAAACTCTTTAACATCCTTTTCTTTTTCCTTTTACGTTTTGTTTAAGATTTAGTTTAACAAAAACTGACTCGTAACTATCTACAAATCACTTAGTATATGCATCGTCTGGTGGCCAACTTGCTAACAAAATGATCTCAGCCTATTTATTGTAGTTCGATATCAAACACATTATTTTAACTTTATATTCGAACAAATATATTGTATCTATTGAGTCGGGAACGATAACAGTTAGTAATGTTCAAAAAGTTAATAAGGAGAACGAGATAATCTAATAATTTAATTCCCTTTGAATGTGTTTGGTAGTCGGAACTTGGAAGTCTTCTTCTCTCAAGTGATTAAGGGGTTTAATCTTCCAGGTCAACCTTGGCTTACACGTCAATCCTGGCTTACTTACATTCGTTATACTAGTTGGAGAATATTATTTTATATCAGATTTACATACAACACCCTATAATCATTGACAATATTAGCATAAAAAAAAACAAAAAAGTCTAAGCAGCCAAAAAGATAGCCTACCTCCCATAAAATATAGAAATTTGCCACAAACACAAGTAGCCTAACAACTACTTATCCTACTTTGTTGGTTGACATACTATACCAGCGCAAGTAGTTTCGGTCTTGTTAAAGTCACCAAGTTCTAGAAACTTTTGCTACATGCAAATTGATCGTATTTTGAATTTTTAATTCTTGCCAAACCAACTAATATTATAACGGTAATCTGTACAACATAATAATATTTTGCATAGAAAAAAAAAGATAAAATCGCTTGATACAGAAAATTATTTACCAAATTTAAAAAGTATATTCTTAATTATAAGTTGAAAATACTAGCTAGATACAAAATTTGATAGGTAGAACAAAAAAACATGTATTTTCTGGTGGCGTGTGGGCGTTATATATATATGAAACAGACATTTGACGATTTTCTACCAGTAGACCGGGCCATATTTGGCAGATAAAGTAGTACCACATAGTAGAACGAAAAGTCTCACTTTCTTGTTTCTTCTTCAAGGTCTTCCTCGTTTTCCTTCTTCTTTCCAGACACCTTCCGTTGCATCATTCAAGCTCTCTTCAGTTTTTTCCTTTTTCTTGTTTCTTGTTTCTTATGTTCTTCGGTTTGTAATGAGTTAAACAGTAACACCTGAATTTAATAGGCTATTTATTGATTGCTGAATCACTTCCTTCTTCTTCTTAATCAGGTTAGCTTTTTTTACCGTATAAACTTTTTAATGGATTTCATTTGGTTCATAAAAATGGATCAAGAAATAGAATCGTTCCATTGATTTGACGATTTCAGACAAGCTTACTAAGTCTGTTCTGACTAATTTGGTGTGCTGTTTTTTTTGTAATACGTCGCTGTTGTTATACTCTGTCTTCACACGTAACTTAATCTTGTTTTTCTGCCGATCCAAGGATTTGAAATGGGGAAGCATTTGAAAAACGAGAGTTCGGGTCCAAGACATGGCAAAAATAATCACAAATTAGGATGGTTAACCGGAATGCTTCATGTTCTTGATTTTCACCGTTGGAGAACAAAAAACCGCCCAATCTGTAATCTAAATTCTTTAATACTCTTTTTCTGAGTAACTTTTATTTTAAAGAAAATAAATTTGCTGAATGATGGGCTACTATGTGTTCATAGGTTGGAAGACTCCAAGAACACATTCCTTGATGCGTGAAACTGATGAACGAGAACCGTTTCTTGTTTCTAAGAATGGAGATTCAAAGATGCTTAGCGTTGTCCCAGAGAAGCCAAAGAAACAACTGAAGAAGATGATGACAACAAAGCAAGTGACAGAGTACGTTGATATTCTTGAAATCTTGAGAAAAGAAGATGTTTTCGTCAAGATACTGAAAGATCCGAACTCAGAGTTCGGGAAGCAAGTGGAGATCAAGTCTAATCCAAGATTCTTGCCCAAGTCAGGCTCCTTTCCTCTCTCACGTTCTTCACGTCCCACTAAGATTGAACACAAGCAGAAGGAGAATTGGTATGCTCCAAAGAAGAACGGTGCCGTTTTGACTTTGAATGTTCCAAAAGACACTTCTTCTCAGGGACAAAAACCAATCTTACCACCTTCTCATGGCTCAGCTGATGATCATGGATTTAATCACGCGGTGATACATGGATTTAGAGAAATCAAGAAGTTGCTCAAGAACGTGCTTAAAGACCGGAAGCACACGAAGACAAAGAATAACAAGTATTTGGCTGTCCCAAAAGATGATGATGTGGGGAGATATTCTCGTCTCTTGGAGCAGAGTTTTAGAAGAGAAGGTGGTGATTTACGTTCCAAGAGCTTGAAACTTTCGTACGAAGATAGAAAGAGCGACTCGAGAGACAATAATAAACCACAATTCTTCAGACGGATTTCGTCCTTGTCCAGCCTTGAAGTTCTTGGTTCATTCCTCAGTGAACTCCCCCGAGACAGTTCTACTAGGGAATCCGTAGATCATGATACTAACTTGGGATCCAAGAAATCTTTATTGTTATCTGAATCTCTGGTAAGAACAGAGAAGGAAGAAGAAAAATATGAGGAGCAAGTAGAGAGAAGCCAAGACAAACACTTAGACAGCCCAAAACAAGATCCAGATTCTGCTCATAGTACCAGTTATCCGGACAATACTGCAAAAAAGACAGAGACTCTACTCTCACAAGGTAAGCTCTTGGAAGAACTACTTCAACCTTTGATGAGAGAAAGATATGCAAATCTCTGCTCTAAGGATGCTTGTTGTACAGGTTTAGGTCTAAACTCATTGGACAATCACAACCATGAAGAAGAAGATGAAGATGTTTACTTCTGTTATGTAAAGAGACTTCTAGAAGTTTCAGGTTTCCTCAAAAGCAATGACAACGGAGAAAAATGGTACTCAGAGGACCAACCACTGAATCCATCACTGCTCTACGAACTAAACATACAAGAAGAAGAAGAAGAAGAAGAGCTGAGCAAAGAGCTTCTGTTTGATTTGGTTAACGAAGCGATCACCGAGACTCACAACCAATCAGAAGTATATTTCCCTAAAACATTATCTTTTGCATACCCAAATGGGAAACATTTTCTTGATGAGGTATGGAGAAGAGTAGAGTGGAGCCTATCTGGGTTAGGAGCAGAGAATAAAGATCGTTCATTGGACGATATCGTGGGAAGAGATCTTACAAAGGTTGATGGATGGATGAATCTACGAGGTGAATCAGAGTGGCTGACTCTTGAGCTTGAAGATATGATTTTTGATGAAGTTTTAGATGAAATACTTTGTGTTTGTTAGTAGTTACAAAACCTCTTTTGCAGTGTTTGGTAGCTTAAATATTAGGAAAACCTGTTTTGTACATTAGATTTTTGTTTTCTTTTTAAATATACTTGTATATAGATTCAAATTCAAGTTTGTTACAGCTTGTGATATCTACCTAAGAGGTACAGAAGAATGTGAGATGATTTTTGCTACCAATCACAGAATTGCATGTCAAAGATTCAAAGCGACATCAGGTGTTCCTCTTGGTTTGGTGGAAGAGCAAGCCAGTAACTTCTTGAGTGGCCCTTTACGGAATTTGCAATCTGCGCGAAAAAAAGGAAGACGCCACTGATGTATTAATATCAAAATGGATTACTAATAGGTCCTGAAGAAGATATGTTAGTGTTCTGTTCAGTTTAGGCGTAAAGCTTACCCGCATTCATCATCTACTGCTTCTCTCTGTCTCTTCACCTTGTTCACCCTCTTTGAGCACAATTGATTCACAAACAAGTGGAAGAGTATTTGGATTACCAAGTCTATTCTCCGGTGATGAACAATTCTCAGAGAGCCGTATACCCCATCCTTTCATTTTGCAGGAAGCGTCACAAGAGAAATGAAACTGTACATCCACTTCATCAGAGAGAAGATCATTCTGACTGTTTACAGGGATATGACAGTCGAATATAAACAGATGACTCCCCTTCTGATTCACCGAGAAGTACTCTTTCTGATAAGTGGAATCAAAGTAGTTGTTTCCGAGCCTGCCTTTGAACCGACAGTGTACATTGATCCATACGCCGTTCGCACCGAATTTGGACAAGGAGCTGAAAACAAACACAGCACCAGCCCTAAATTTGAGGAATGGTTGAAGGAAACGGGTCTTAAGCAGAGAGATGGCCAAAGAGTTTCCAGTAGTTTGGTGAGTGAAGTATAAAGGCACTTTATCACCAGACACTATGAGTTTCTCAAAAGAGATTTGCTGAAGGAGAGCTTCTAGATCCAAGTTGAAACAGTCGACGAAGCTGAAATGGACTTTTGAGACATAATCATCTGGAAGAGAAGAGGAGGCCACCTGAGGCTGAGGGGCTAGTAACTCTGTGTCGGTGGTCTCTGCTTCTATTTCCAGACCACTCGGATAGCCGTTCCATTCAGCACCAGTCAATGCCCCGCAATGTGAAAAGTTGACCAACTCGAGATGTTTCATCTTAGAAAGGTTTAGGTATACGAACTGTAGCTTACTGCATCTTTGCATGACTAAGTATTTGAGCTTAGAGAAATGCTCAACCCACCAAGGAACCTCTTCTATTGCTGTCTCTTCTAGATAGAGAGATGATATGTTTCTTGAGATATCAGGGAAGGTCCTCAACCGCGAGCATCCATTGAGGTTGAGGCGTTGCAGAGATTCAAGGTTGATTCCGTTTGGAAGAGTCTGCAGATTTATGCATCTTGTAATCCTCAGGTCCGTAAGTTTATTGAGGTTTTGAATAGAGAAAGGAAGCTCCACCATATCTGTGATATCCGAGAGAAACAACACCGTCAAAGATGCAGGCAGCGTCGTTCCCATGCGGATAAGCGGCTGAACCAAAAGCAATTTAGAGATGTTAAAAGGAAATAACATCAGATAGCTCACCTGTTGTAATAAATCTAATCCTCTATTTCACAAAATTCAAGTGTTTCTGTTTTTCTAATTATTATACATACATGCACATTTTCTCACAGTAAACACTTTCCCAATGATTATGTGCGTGTCTATGAACAAACTTAAACACTACACTAGTCAAGTTCGACCTAGCTACAATGAATTATTACTTTTTTAAATGCTAGTAAAAGAGGTTGAGAGAATGTTAATTTTTTGAACTGCATATATACCTTACCTGCATTCCTTCCCATAGTTTCTCAATCTTGAAGTTTTCCATGCAAAAATTAGCGACATTCTCAAGACATAAAAGTGAACTTTCCCTGAGATTGAGGCGTTTGGGAGATTCGAGGTTAATGCTGGTTTGACGAGTTTCCAGATTGTCGCATTCTAGCATGCCTATATTTTTCAGATTATTGAATTTTCGAATAGGGGAAGGACGCTGCACCCAACTCAAACGAAAGCCAAGATAAATTTTCTCTAGGTTGATGGCCCTGGAAAGATCTGGGATTGCTCTTAGGTTTTCAGATCCCCACAAATTCACCTCCTTGAGACATGTAAGCTTCTGTGCTCAACAACAACAACAAAAAAAAAAAAAAAAAAAAAACACCGTAACTAGTCAGGAGAAGTTACACATCGAGTGACATGATATTGTCATCCAAACAGTATAATTAATTAAGCATTCTAAACTCACAACTATAATAACGTAATTAACAAATTATTCTCAAAAAACTTACTCGAGATCCTTCCCACAGCTTTTTGAGCTTGCTATTCTTCATTGTAAGCTTGACGAGTTTTTCAGGGCAGAAATCAGAAGGCATACTTTTCATTGGACATCCGTCCCACCACAATAACTTGAGTTTAGGAGGCAAATAGTCAAAGCTATCAGGTAAGTGCAACTTGGCCTTTTTCTCGAACATATATGTATTCGTGAATATTTTTAGGAATCGGAGATTACGCATCTTTCTGAAGGCACTCTCGTGTATATGCAACTCGTCGATCTCATCTATATCTAAAGATATACCTAAAAGTCTATGTGTACCCTGAAAATTACAAGAAAGAGACAATCATTAGCTCAACAACCCCCGACCCGACTGACATATCTTTAATCTTATAGAGTGGAAGGACACTGAAAAACTTACAGTGTTTTCTTCAAGTACATCGCATATGTCCGCCGAATCCACAAGGAACTCCCGTTTCCCAGGATTACTGGACTGTTCACGGACGACCTCTCTACCCATTTTTTGTAACAAAGGGTGCATCTCCACAATTTTCAACCTTACTTGTACGAGTGACTTTGCAATTAGGTTTTCAAGCCCAATATCAAAACCCAAGCAGCTATCGGCGAGTAGCAGCTTGATGTCATTAACTTTCTCCAAATTGAAGAGACATGCTATGTGACGAAATATCGTTTTCTCTTCGCTACTTAAAATATCATAGCTGATTCTCAGTACATTTTCGATTTTCCTATCTAGATTATTTTTAATCATTAGCATCGCTGCCACCCACTCCTCTTGTCCATTCCCCGCAGAGACGAACCCAAAACTTGAAGACCCAGGGGAAGACTACCAACATGGCTTGCAACTTCAACAGAAAGCTTCTCGAAACCTTCAGGTGGAGATTTTTTCTTGAAAGCATTTCTACAGAATATCTCAAGAGCGACCTCTTCAGATGGGATACCAACCTCGTAAATACAGTCAATCCCATGGGACCTTAAAAGATGTTTATCGTTCGTGACCACAATGATTCTGCTCCCACGTCCAAACCATTCATTTTGACCCACCAAGGTATCCAAGACCACTTTATCATCCAAATCATCAATAAGGATAAGAACTTTCATGTCCTTTAGCCTATCTCTCACTGCGCCTAAGTGATCTACCTTTGCGTCTTTTATATTTAATAACTTAGAGAGAAATGTCTTCTGTAAATGCAACTTCATGTTGTAGTCGTCAGTGTTGGCTTTACTATATTTTCTTATACTCTTAGATACGGTAGCACTGTCTATAAATATGCTACCTTGGTAACGACGAGAGAGTCGACTAAACAAAGCTCTTGCTATGGTAGTCTTGCCAATTCCTGGGGGACCCCATATCCCAACCATCCTCACATCCTCGGATTCTAAATCCAACAACAAACTCATCTCTGCGATATGATCTTCGAGACCAGGAAACTCCTCAAAATCGTTTGACGGGGTTAAGCTCAATTTACTCAAAACATCATTGACGATTTTTTCAATCAGTGTAGCTTCGCCATCATCGCTAACGAGAAGAAACAGGAAACAACAAAATAATGTCAGAAGTAAAAATCAGATATATAAACACAAGTAACCATTCATAGATTCGTACCAGTTCTGTGGATGGTATCCAAGGATATTAGCTACATCGGTCAGAGCCTCCTTCCATCGATTTTTCACTTCCTCTGTTTTGTTATTGCAAGTCTTCTCAAAGATCTTTCCAAAGTCTCCCGTCTGTTTCCTCACATCGGAAGGATCCAAACCGTAGAAAACCGGTATCACTATCTGACCAAACTCTTCCTTGCAATTCAAGATCTCTAGCAATTCGTTAAGGCACCAGCTTGAAAAGGCGTAGTTTTTGGAGAACACGACCACGGCGATCTTCGAACCCCTAATCGCCTGTACTAGCTCCGGCCAGATGGAGTGGCTTCTCTCGATCTCACTGTCCTTGAAACAAGAGATCAATTTCCGATCAAGCTCCTTGAGGAAGTGGGTGAGGAAGTTTTTGCGGATGTCTTCCCCGCTGAAGCTCAGGAAGACATCGTATAACCAGTTACGAGAAGAGGAGGAAGAAGGAGTCATGGAGAGATGAGGAAATTAACTAATTTTCAGAAGAACAAAGACTTTTACTATTGAGATTCTGAGATGAAAATCCGAGAAAAATGTAGCACAGCAATACCATAGCCGCCTCTCATGACGATTGAATTTCACAAATGTTTCTCAGATTTTCTGCAACTTCACGGATGTTTCCTAATAGCCTCATAGGTCCATAGGTCCCCATTGACTGTGACTTGCTATGAATGTGGGTTTTGGCTGTTAAATTTTTTGAAAGTAAGATAGGAGTATAAATTTTTTGGGACATTTATTATGAAAAAAAAAAAAAAGAAATATCAGAAATACACTTTTAAAGGTTAATCTCTAGAGTGTTTATTTTCAAAATTATATTTGTTTTCATTGGGTAAAAGAACTCAAAATCTAAAATCAAAACCGTAAACCTTAAAATCTACTAATCCTAAACTCTAAAATATAAACTCTAGTAAAAAGTTTGTGAATTTTAAAAAATGTAATTTTGAAAAATTTCTCAAAAAAAACATTGGTTATAGGGCCGTAGTTTTGGCCGAGCCCATTACGTTAAACCCTTGGCTTCGGTCTTCTCTTTCTTCACCGATCACCACGGCGGCAAATCCCCCGATCGATCATTTTACTCGGCGATCGCACTGTAAACCCACTTTAAGCTCGCCGGAGACCTGCCGGAACTAGATTGATGTGGCTGAGTCGGGCATTTCCCATCCGATATTTGGGATCTTACCGAAGAGCTCAGAAACCACCATGGATGACAAATCCGGTAGTCTTCTACTCAAATTTCTCGGAGAAGAAAGAGAGAGAAGCTCCTTTGCAGGTCGATTCATCAATCTATTCACTTCCCCCCACAAACAAAAAACCTTCTTTGTTGCTTTTTCTTCTTCCTCCTGCTAAATTTCTGATTCCTGTGCTGTGCAGGAGACTCGAATGAGAGATAGGTTTACCCTGTACGCAAGAGGCGGCGAAGGTGGCAGCGGTTGTTCCAGCGTCCGCCGGAGCCGTACCGATCGCTATGGAAAACCCGATGGTACTTTCCTGAATTTGATAATCCAGAAATGTAATCGTAAATTGCAATGTGAATGTACATGAAATGGCAAATTTTGAATGTTTATGTAAATAAACTTAATTAAGGTGGAAATGGTGGGAGAGGAGGTGATGTGATATTAGAATGCACACACGCAGTTTGGGATTTCAGTGGATTACAACCTCATGTTGTAAGTATATATGTCACTCCTCTCGCCAAAATGTCTCCTGAGAATCAGAGAATTTCTCTCTAACTGATTATGTATCTCTACTGTTATGAGTTTTGCAGAAAGGTGGTAAAGCTGGACTAGGAACTTCCAAGAACAGGATTGGAAACAGAGGAGAAGACAAGGTTTTTTATATTTTCTATCATATTAGTAGTGTTCCCTCCTGCGTATTTCTTTTATCGTCTGGAATTTGAAACGTCATGTTTGTGACACCACAGATCTTGCAAGTGCCCATTGGGACAGTGATTCATCTTCAAGCTGGTGAGATTCCATCTGAGGTTCAAATCGACTCTCCAAAACAGTTGGATCCATGGGACCTTCCCGGCACACTAACTGAGGATCCTGCATCCGAGGAGATCCCTGAAGAAGCTACGCAAGAATCTGTTCAAATCGAAGATGAGGAAGAACTTGTACCAAGACATGCACGCACGTCAAAGGAAACTGATTCAGAAGAAGAAGAGATTGAACAAGTCAGGTATAACGTTGCGGAGTTAACAGAAGAAGGTCAGAGAATAATGATTGCTCGCGGCGGCGAAGGCGGCTTGGGAAGCGTTTCCGCTACTCGTTACTTAAGAGGCACCAAGTCTGGTAAAACCGTTACTCGCAAAAGCATTTTGAGGATCATGGAAGGCGAGGCTGATGATAATGATGAGGACGTTGATGAACAACACTCGAGCATTAAATCTGGCTCGCTCGGCTCTGAAGCTATCTTGATACTAGAGCTCAAGAGCATTGCGGACGTTGGACTTGTTGGGATGCCAAACGCTGGTAAAAGCACTCTTCTTGGTGCCTTGTCTCGTGCTAAACCGCGAGTAGGCCACTACGCGTACACGACTCTGCGTCCTAATTTAGGAAACGTGAACGACGAAGATTTCTCCATGACGATAGCGGATATTCCGGGACTCATCAAAGGAGCTCATCAGAACAGAGGGCTAGGGCATAACTTCCTTCGCCACATTGAAAGGACTAAAGTCTTGGCCTACGTTGTGGATTTAGCGTCGGGGCTTGACGGTTGCGAAGGAGTGACACCGTGGGAACAGCTGAGAGATCTGGTGATGGAGCTTGAGTTCCATGAAGAAGGGTTATCGGATAGGTCGTCTATAGTCGTGGCGAACAAGATCGATGAGGATGGTGCGGAGGAGAGATTGAAAGAGCTTGAGAGGAGAGTGAAAGGAGTGAGGATATTTCCGGTTTGCGCGGTTCTTGAAGAAGGTGTACCTGAGCTTAAAGATGGTTTGAAAATGCTTGTTAACAGTGATTGTGAGGGATCAGAGAGATTAAAATTGGAGAATATATGTGTTGACTAGTTTAAATTTTGGTTTGTATTTCTCTGAGTTATTCCATTGGATTGTTCTATGGAAGTGGCTCATCTGTTGTGCAATGAAATATTTTTGCGCTTTCTATTGTGAAATGTTCTTCTGATTTGATAATATCGTGAAACCACCGATACACCTTATAAGACAAAATACAGTGAGCTTTCAATTCAGTTTTGGGTATATACTGTGAAATTGCAACCGAAGAAGCCACACATATATGTCAACACTGTCATAAACTTGGAAGAAATCGTTGAACTGAAAAATTGAAGACTGAAGATGGTAGGGGCCGCGCGAACGCAGGCCCCCTCTGCCACAAATAATGACGCAGGCTCTCCCACATGGGGAGACCTTAAGCTAAGCACCCCTCCGATATGTGCAATGGAGGTCACTAGCTTAGGCCACTCTTCTTCTTGATCAAGAGTCGACCCCGTCCAGGTAAGTAATTTGCTGGATATCTCCACTTCTCATTTTATACAGAGATTCTCCAGTCGTTTCTTCAAGTCTAAGCGATGTGGGATAATTCCTACTTACACACACCTTGCCGTTTGAAGCTCTTGCTATCCAATAACGTGCTGTCTTACATGAAACAGCATGAGTTCATTTGTGTTATATCACATGGGCCGGGTGCTATAGGCCCAGTCAAATGTTTGGCAGGAAAACCAAACATAGTACTCGTGTTTCTACGATCACTATTAGAATCCGATGTGATACAAGACATTTGTGTCTTGTCCCATTACCTTTGCTCTTTTCACATTTGTGTCTTGTCCCATTACTTTAAAAATGAAGAGAGCAAAGCTCAAAGTGTAGACAAAGGTACAGTGAAATCCGAAAAATAAATCTAAAAACAAAACAAAAGGTAAAAACTCAATAAAACTGCAACACTATCCATAGTCTCCAATTCTCCATCCATGTCTATTACTATTAGAATCCAAAAAAAAAAGTCACCTCCACTTTTGAAATAATAGGCCAAATTATTAAGCAAACGAGGTGGGCACGTAGAAAATATGAACGACTAAAATATATTTTCGGATTTGTGAAGACTAAATTAAAGTGAATTCACAAATTCGGACCTTGAAGGGGCAAGAAGCCAACGACCACACGCTACTGCATGTAAGTATTCTACAATGACCCCATCTACCATAATGTGTGATTCCTTGTTTACTTTCTTTTACAAAAAGTAGCGAAGTTTGTGGATTCGGAAGAAACTAGACAGAGACTCAACCCAAAATATGATTGTGTGGTTCTTACTCTTCTGGCGGTTCTCAACATCACTAAAAAAAACTAGAGAAAAAGTGAACACCTATCCAGATCTTTCGGCATCGGTCACATACATAAGGATAAACTTTAGACGATTCAAACACTCGCTATAAGTAGCCGCGATTGCAGAGTCGTCGTCCGTGTCTTTAGATATGTTAACGTGAAGATTTCTAAACAGAGGATTATAAATATAAACCCTTGGTAATCCACAGATAAAAAATGAGAGGTTAATATAAATATAAGTTTCCTGGACGCATGAGATAACACTAGAATAAGATTTGGAAAAGGAAAGCATGATGTTACTCCTCTTCATATAATAAACCACATGTTTATACTTTTCTAATGTCTTTATCACAAGGAGCAGCTTGTTATATATTAAGGAGATGTTAGAGGCATGCTTCATGCCTCTTTTTTGTTGGGTCGGCTGCCGTTTACAAATAAAACCGTAACACTTGTTGCGTGTACGACTTTTTTCTTATCCTGTTCATTTCTTGATAATCATGTTTTATTGCTGGAACTCTAATCAACATTTACTTACTACTTTCTGAAAGTAGAAGTTAGAACAAAATCTAAGATAAACTAAAATAGTGGGCAAGTTGATATTATTTCCATAACTAAGAAAAAAGTTGGTGGTAGATTCTCAATTTCATCGAAAGAAGAAAACGACTTACAACGTCATAATGAAAATCAAAATCTTTAAAAAATAAATTATTGCTATTTTAACCACTTGATGATTTATAAAACGTTTGTTTAAAGGCAAATATCCAAAACTATCACACATCTTTTATAGTATAAACAAAATAAGTTGAATCAGTACTAAATTTGACGACCAGTCTGTTGAAATGCTCTTTGTGATAACTTCTTGCAAAAGCTATAATGTTGATTCTGTCCATACACGAAACGACACGTGTATGGTTGATATAACACCGAATCTGTATCTCCTTCTATAAATAGTTGCCCTCCTCTTTGTTCAAGTCATAAAGCAAATAAAGCATCAAAAGAAGAATCAAAGAAGAAGAAACTACAAAGTTTAAACAAAGCGAAGTAAGAGAAAAAATGGCCGGTTCTACCTGTGGATGTGGTTCCAACTGCACATGTGGTGACTCTTGCAGGTAAGCCCTATATCCTCTCGATCTCTACCTGTTACATATGCATATACGCATGTGGTTGATTAGTCCTTAATTTTCATCATATTTACAAAACTTTTTCTGTTGTGTGATGAAGTTGCGAGATGAACTACAACATGGAGTGCGACAACTGCAGCTGTGGATCAGACTGCAGCTGTGGGTCAAGCTGCAACTGTTGAAGCAATTGATGGTTTAAAACCACAAATATGCAGGAAAACTGGGGAAAAAAATATATGTTTGATGTTAAGAGATCCGTGTGTGTTTTTACTTTTGAATAACTCTCTTAACCTTCACTTTATCCTGCTTTGTATTTTTCTATTTATTGATCGTGTGATCGTGTAATGTTTTCATTTGTAACGTAAGCAAAAACAAATATATATCTATTGACTTTTGTGATTACTAAGATTTGTCTATGTCTCCTCTCTCCATTTCTGGAGCATTAGTCAACTGAATGACCATAAACAATCATTTCTTTAGAGAAATGATCAGATGGTAAATAACTAAATATTAAAGATGTGATTAGGTAGAAAATCATAACCAAAATAATTGAAGTTAAATTAAATAACCAATTCTAAAAACAAACCAAATCACTGTTAACAAAAAAGGCTTTTGGCTTTCTACCAAAAAAAAAAGGGTTTTGGCTCAACATTAAAAAGTAGTAGCCCATAAAAAACAATAACTTGAAAGTTCTAACACACTATGTTATGTTTACGGGCCAGTAAGGACCCAAAAGGAAAAATAGGGAACCATGAGATCTATTTTTGCGGTAATTAGGCAACGACAATATTTCGTTCAGGCAATACGTCGAACAGCTTCCGTGGCATCTTCGCCTCCGGCGGATCAAACAAATTTCCAAGCCTCGACCTTTCTCACTACCCTAATATCTTCGACGACGAAACCTTCCGACGAGACGTGTAGCGAATCAGACGGAGAAGAAGAGCCCAACAAATGTTTGTCTCTGAGAATCGAGAAACTCCAGAAGGGAGTAACTGTTGGCTCTGCGTTACAGAGCTGGATGGGCGATGGAAATCCAGTTCACGGCGGAGATGTTTATCACTCCATCAATCGATTGAGAAAGCTCGGAAGAAACAAACGTGCCCTTGAGGTTCGCAATTCCTACTTCCTTTCTCTCTTCTCTCTACGTTTCTCTGTTTGAATTCGACATGTCTCCCTCTATCGTCGTGAAGTTAAATTAAAGTACCAATTTTTCTTGGGTCTGAATAGTTTTTGGAGATAGAAAGTGAAAAAAGGTTGATACTTTTTGGTCTCAGTTTGACTTTTTCCCAATTGAAACGAGTTCTTGTTGATTGTGAGCTGAAACATTTTGGTATGTTTGATTTTAGTTGATGGAATGGGTAATCAGAGAAAGACCGTACCGTCTAGGCGAGCTAGAATACTCATACTTGCTTGAATTCACAGTCAAGATCCACGGCCTCTCACAAGGTGAGAAGCTCTTCACCCGAGTCCCTCAAGAGTTTCAGAACGAGCTTCTCTACAACAACCTCGTGATCGCTTGCTTGGACCAAGGTGTTATACGCCTCGCACTCGAGTATATGAAGAAGATGAGAGAACTCGGTTACCGTACGTCACATCTGGTCTACAACCGTCTCATCATTCGCAACTCAGCTCCCGGACGAAGAAAGCTCATTGCGAAAGACCTTGCGCTCATGAAAGCCGACAAGGCGATCCCTCATGTCTCGACGTATCATATCTTGATGAAGCTCGAGGCTAATGAACATAACATAGACGGTGTGCTAAAGAGGTTTGAGAGTATGAAGAAAGCGGAAGTTGAGCCGAATGAGGTGTCTTATTGTATATTAGCTATGGCGCATGCGGTTGCGAGATTGTATACAGTCGCTGAAGCTTACACAGAGGAGATAGAGAAGTCTATCACTGGGGATAATTGGTCGACGTTAGATATATTGATGATTCTGTACGGGCGTTTAGGTAAAGAAAAGGAGTTGGATAGAGCGTGGAGTGTCATCAGAGGGTTTCACCATGTTAGGTCAAAGAGTTACTTGCTGGCTACGGAAGCGTTTGCGAGAGTTGGGAAGCTTGAGAAAGCTGAGGAGCTTTGGTTAGAGATGAAGGACGTGAGAGGGCTTAAAGAAACAGAGCAATTCAACTCTCTGCTCTCTGTGTACTGCAAATGCGGTTCGATAGAGAAAGCAATCGGTGTGTTCCGCGAGATGACTGGAGACGGGTTTAAGCCTAATTCTATAACGTATAGGCATCTTGCTCTCGGATGTGCTAAAGCTAATCTGATGAAGGAAGCTTTGAAAAACATTGAGATGGGTTCGAATTTGACGACGAGCAGAAGCGTGAGAAGCTCCACGCCGTGGCTGGAGACGACTCTGTCGATCATTGAGTGCTTTGCGGAGAAAGGTGATGTGGAGAATTCGGAGAAACTGTTTGAAGAGCTGAAGAATGCAAAGTATAATAGGTATGCGTTTGTGTATAATACTCTGTTTAAGGCTTATGTGAAGGCTAAAGTCTATGACCCTAATCTGTTCAAGAGGATGGTTTTAGGTGGATCTAGACCTGATGCTGAAACGTATAGCTTGTTGAAACTTGTTGAACAGTATAAGCCCTGACTCAATCTTGTCTTCTGCATTTTTTTTTTTTTGTCAAATCGTATCTTCCCAAAATTCTTAAAATAGCCTTAAATATCCATTTTTATGGATAAAGAATACTAGATTAGGACAATTGATCATCCATGTTAACTGTAATTTGGCATGTTTTAACTGTAATTGATCTTCTTGTTTTATCGTTGCCGCCTTTCTTCTCATTCCTCTCCGGCAAACTAAAACTAAAACTAAAACTAAATTTGTTTATCTGTTTCTTATAGTTCTAACTTCTAACACACGAAACCAATGAGATGATCACATAATTCAAATCCGTAATATAAGAAACAGCTGAGAAAATCTCCAATTTCGATGATCAATCAAACTTCACGGAAGACGGCGATCGGATTTTAAACAACATAAAAAAATGGAGATAAGTGGCAGCAGCGGTTACGCTTCTGCTACGCCGGTGGCGGCGGAAATGGTAACGGAGAGCGTATCGTTCGCATTGAGGCTTGTGTGCATCGTCTTCTTCTTCGGCTCGGTTTTGTTACTATGTTACTTTATTTACCCGAAGCTGCCGAAGGAACCAGCGGGAGACGAGGAATCCGGAGAGCCGCTTCCTCCGGAGATAATACTCGTGAAGGAATGGGAGAAAGGCGGCGGCTGCGGCGATGACGGTGTGATCACGACGGAGGTTTGCGTGATCTGCTTGGAGGATTTTCGGGAAAACGACGCCGTTAGGGTTCTGGTGAGATGTAGGCACGTGTATCACGTGCAATGTATAGATTCTTGGTGTTTGTATAAGTTGGCGTGTCCGGTTTGCAGAGCTCCGTTCCGGTTCTTTGGTCACTAGGTGATTTATTTTTAGGGCCAAACTAAGTTTAGAGTAGATTATGATTGAGTCATTGAATGGAGATCACATTTGTACATACGTGGAAATAACCAAATCTGTTTTTTTTTGTTTTAGCGTTGGCTTATCATCAATTCATCATGATAGGTCTTTTTTAGTTCTAATATACGAAAAAAAAAATAACATCGAACAAGACTTGAGATTGTATTTGAGTTAGTGATGTTCCAATTCTATAAATATCATCACTACTCCATTTGATTCTCGTTTGTAAAGAAGCTTGTGCGAAAAAAAGATCCCAGAGTTGACATTTCTAGAAGATTTGCTAAGATTTAGGATCATATAACTGCTAACTACTTCGTCACGGGATCAAACTCAAAGGCGGCTATGGAGGGTAGAGCCGCGTAAGTTGATGGAGCCGTGGAAAGGAAACAGTGAATCTTTCTTTACCTACGCGGGAACCACGTGGCAGACATGCTTTCAAGTGGACATTTGGACCTTTGTCTCTCTAGGTCCTACCAATGGGTCAAACATGCAAAAGTCAAACCGTCTAATATTCGTTCACACGGTCACATCCAAAGGTAAATACTAGAAGAAATATAGTATCAGAATACACCAAAACTCTTTTTAATTTTGATTTTAATTCTTTCTGGATAACCAGATTATCCTCATGAAAAAGAATATCTTTACTGTCGTTTATATATTTTTAAAATACAAATGGAATCAGTATGCCATGTTCTCCGTCCATTTAACTAGAACTAACTTGTTCGTTTCCTATTATTGAGAGTTTTTAACTCAAGTCAATTAGTTGAGTCACTGCAAATTCGCTTTAACTCTTTCTACAAAGAAATTGTTCAAGTACTCTATTTCTTTATTTTGTTTTGTAATTTCTGAAGAAAAAAAATTAAACTATTACCAATGGGCTGAACCACTGAGTAAAAGTGAGCCTCTATTTAAAGTTTAGGTTTATTAACTGGGATTAATCCGAAGAGAAAAAAGTTGGTCAAGAACCAAAAAAGCGATGGAGGGGAAAAACAAAAAACAAATCAACAACAGGGGGCCATTGTCGTGGACTCGAGAAAAAAATAGAGGAGACAGAAAAACTTTTGACAGATTTTGTATTTCTTCGAAAATACCATTATACATGAACCTTTTCTAAAAATATCATGTTCAGAAGAAAAAACCCTCGATTTAAGATAAGAGGTTCGTCTCGTTTTTTTTTTTTTTTTCTCTTGATAGTTATACATTTTTCATTCATTTTTCATGATTTTCTCAGCTATTAAGTAGAGTAAATTGGTGAATTTGTATCTAAAACAATATCTTTAAAAATACGAACGTAGTTGAATTTTCGCAAACTCTGCACAAAGCTGCAGTGCCTTTTTTGTTTGTTAGTAACTTTTTCCAAATTACACTGAATATTAGATATGTAAGATTTTCGCTCAGTGCACATGCAGCATATGACATGCCCCATACTTAATTTAAACAAGTGCATCCACCTATGAGCATTATTCAAACTCATAAACCAGCATTGTTCTGAACTTCTGATAGATTGATTACTGGAGTTGCATAAATCACAAATTTTGTAAGTAGTGTATTGAGTATTGAGCAAATTGGTGCATAAAGATATATTTGAAATAGTGTATTGAGCAATATAATAAGTCTAGGAAAAATTGAAAACCTAATGATTCTATGACAATCTTTGTCGGTCTACACTCAATATCTTAATTCTTACCGTATGAAAACTCGAATCATGCAGATTTATAACTTTTAAAATCATACGGAACCTTTAAATCATCTGAACATTCCATATTTACCATGGTTTGCCGACCAGAGAGCCTATACTAAATTAACGCTATAGACGCTAAAATGAGCCGACCCTAGGCCACATCAGCTTGAATTTGCATAGAGAACTACGTACAATGTTTACGTCAGATCCAACGGCTGAGAGCGACTCAACACTCTGTTGGAAGACTAATCTTTTCTGACTTCATCATATATGATTAATAAAGCGAAGATTTGATTTCCGAGAGAGAGAGAGACAGAGAAGAAAAGCTCGAAATCTGATAAACGCTAAAGAGGAAAAATAAAATAAAAAAAGGCGGGACTGATCCGCCATTAATGCCACCACCCAACGGCAACGTTTTTCTCAGTCTCTCTCTCTTTGTGTTTCTCTATCTCTTTGCTGAGATTTGAGAACCAACAAAAAAAAAGGTGAGTAAGAATTTTTCTTTTTTTTCCCCATCATTTGTTAGTTGTTTTAAATTGTGATTGGTTTAATTCAGCAAAAGAGATTGATGAACTTGGTCATACGCTTTATACACTGCATACATTTTGTGGGGATGAGAAAAGTTGTGAAATCTTTACTTTTCAAAATTGGATCTATTTTTCCAACTTAACTTTCCAGCTTCCATTTGATTAAAGTTTCTACCTTTTTTCTTGTCTCAAGTGTGATAAATAGTTGGAGACTGCAGAAAGGTTCCCAATTTGGTTTTCTCTCTCGCAGAATCACTCAAGCATGGGGATTTGCTTGAGTGCCCAGGTCAAAGCTGAGAGCCCAGGTAAAGACAGATAATTTCTTTTAACTTTTGCTCCGCTTTGTCCTTTCACAAACAATGAGACTTCTCATAGGAACGTAGAGGTTAGGTGACACATCCTCTGTTTATCTGTGGAGCCAAATTTCTTAGATTTGATATTTCATTACTCGAAAGTTTTGATTTTTTTTTGTGACAATTTCGATTCTTTTCACTACTCGTATTCCAAAGTTTGGCTTAATCTAACGAAACTACTACGTTCTGCTTTTGTTTCAAATCTCTGTTTAGGAGGAAGTCTAAAGTATATGTGCTCTGACGCCAAGAACACTGGAAGTCTTGGGAGTAAGGGTTCGTCTGTGTCTGTTAGACCAAGTCCTCGAACTGAAGGTGAGATCTTACAGTCTCCAAACCTCAAGAGTTTCAGCTTCTCCGAGCTCAAATCCGCAACCAGGAATTTCAGACCAGACAGTGTCCTTGGTGAAGGTGGATTCGGTTGTGTGTTCAAAGGATGGATCGATGAGAAGTCTCTCACTGCCTCAAGACCAGGCACTGGTTTGGTTATTGCTGTCAAAAAGCTTAACCAAGATGGTTGGCAAGGTCACCAAGAATGGCTGGTAAATAAAGCTAATTTTTTTCTAAAATTTGGTTCTTGCATGTTGTTGTTGTTCTTGAATCTTGATGATTGTTATGTGTTTCGATGGTCTTTCAGGCTGAAGTGAATTACCTTGGCCAATTTTCTCATGGACACCTTGTGAAGCTGATCGGTTATTGCTTAGAGGATGAGCACCGTCTTCTTGTTTACGAGTTCATGCCTCGTGGTAGCTTAGAGAATCATCTTTTCAGGAGTATGTCGTCTTCCCTCTCTGTCTAATTCTAATCCTGTGGCGGCCTCAAACTAAAAGCTCTTTGTGATGTTTTTGGTTACAGGGGGTTTATATTTCCAATCGTTATCATGGAAACTCCGGTTGAAAGTTGCTCTAGGTGCTGCAAAAGGCCTTGCTTTTCTTCACAGTTCTGAGACAAGAGTGATCTACCGTGATTTCAAGACTTCTAATATCCTTCTTGATTCGGTATTTTAAACTTCTCTCATCTTTTGATATGATTTCCAATGAAAAGAAGTGTGAAAGTCTCAAGCTTTAAGTTGAAACTTTCTCGTGGATGATCACAGGAGTACAATGCAAAGCTTTCTGATTTTGGGTTGGCAAAGGATGGGCCAATAGGTGATAAAAGTCACGTCTCTACACGTGTCATGGGTACTCACGGATATGCAGCTCCTGAATACCTCGCAACTGGTAACTGTCAATTTCTTTTTTGGTAAAAGCTCTGTTTCTCTGATTGGCTTCTTCTTATGATTGATGATCACTTTGCATTTTTTCCTTAGGTCATCTAACAACAAAGAGTGATGTCTATAGCTTTGGGGTTGTCCTTCTGGAGCTCTTGTCCGGTCGTCGAGCCGTGGACAAGAACCGACCATCGGGAGAGAGGAACCTAGTGGAGTGGGCTAAACCATACCTTGCAAACAAAAGAAAGATATTCAGAGTCATTGATAATCGTCTTCAAGACCAATACTCCATGGAAGAAGCATGTAAAGTGGCTACTCTGTCTCTGAGATGTCTCACCACAGAGGTTAAGCTTAGACCAAACATGAGCGAGGTCGTTTCTCAGCTTGAACACATTCAGTCTTTAAATGCTAACAGAGGAGGCAATATGGATAGGACAGAGAGACGAATGCGTAGGAGAAGTGACAGCATTATCACCAAAAAGCCAAATGCTGGTTTTGCTCGGCAGACAGCTGTGGGAAGTACAGTTGTTGCTTATCCTTGCCCATCGGCCTCACCACTGTATGTCTGAAGAAGAAATATTAACACGTCTTGTGTTTTTGAGAAAAACTTTTGCAGGACATGAAGTTCCTTTGTCATGTCCTGTCTATGGAATCTGTATGTACAGTTTTGTCTCTGTTAATGTGAGAATTCAGTTTTATACAGATTATTTCTCATTTACAGGACGACAGACAATTACAATTTTTGATCTTTGTAACGATTCATTAACATAAGCATAAGTTGGCTCGTATCTGCTTGTTATTGATATGCATAAGTGACATTAGGTTGCTGTTCAATATATGAATTTACATAGTTCTTGAAAAGCAAAGAGAGAAGAGGGGAGGAGACTAACGTGCCTTGGGGTTCACATCAGTACCGAAGCTTAAATTAATGTCAATGGATCTTGTTGTGTCTATGTCTCTTGTCCTCTTGTTTTCAGATATGAGACACTCTTTTAGCTCATGAACTACATGTGACATGTTGGGTCTTTCTACAGAAGAAGGGTTCACACATGTCATAGCTAATTCAAGAGCTTTCCATGCAGAGCCAGAGTCATATCCCAATTGAAGTTCATGATCCATAATACTGTTAATGTCTCACACTAGTTAGCATAAACTTTACCCATTCTGCTATGTGAGGCATGTCGCGGGTATGATCGATCACCGGTTTGTTTGTGATAATTTCTAATAGCACAACGCCAAAACTGTAGACATCACTCTTCTCTGACAACCTGTTTGTTCGGTAATATCTGCAAAAGACAAAATTAAGTTATATAACTACTTGTAACAATAAAAATTTGAAAGTTTTCATATTTTTTTATAACCATACCGATTCTGGAAAACGTGATCTTTTGAAGATTTCGTCCTGTTGGTAGCAAAATACATAGCACATTGATATAAATGGAAGGATATCACGGTATCTTTGGTTAGAAGGAAGAAGCAGAGAAGTTCGAACTGAAATCGGCAATCAAGGTAATTATGTTTTATCATGACTCCTCCTCTATATAAAAATGAATACTATTTCATATTTCACCTGCTAATCTCTTACATCAGTGCCATGTGAACCTAGAAGGCTCGTATTCAAAGAAAATATATTTAAAGACAAAGTTTTAATGGAAAACAAGCATCAGACATGCAAGAATATATTCGTGTCTCTCGCATTACAAGAAAACTAGGAAAATCCAAAAGGATCGGAAAAGGAAACACTCAAGCACACAAAATAAATGTAAATGAAAATCTTTAAATGTGCAAGAACCACACCAAACCTTTGTGGTCAATCTTTTATTTGAAAGTTTTTAGTAGATTTGACGACAGCAATCACATAATGTTGCATTCAGGTTGACGGGGTGGGGCCGGTTGCTGAAACATTTTCGCCTGTTGATGAACCAGCTGTTCCCTATGGGCCTGAATGCGCTGACTTTCTTCTCTCATCTGACGTATTTCTCTGTCAAGATTTGCTGCATTCTGTTTCTGCGAATCCTCCATACGTTGGCGCCGTAGAATTTCCTCTTTCATCTGACGATTTTCTGCAGTGTGTTTTAGCATATCTTCCATCAGGGGCAGTTGACTTATTTCTCTCCTTTGACGAATGGTTCTTTCATGATTTGCTGCAGTGTGTTTTAGCGTATCTTCCAGCATACGAATCTCTCTTTCATGTGCTTTTGCACTCTCTTTCATCTCTTTTTCATTTGCTACAGTGGAGGGGACGGACATGTCGTCCATCTGACTAAAGACCCGTCGTTCAGTAGCATCATCCTCCCATTTAACTCCCTGTATAGATCGTCTGTCGATATCAATTTTAAATCGATCTCCTTTAGTGCTCTCGAAGTTGAGTGGAAGTCTGGTTAGCTTCGGACAGCCTCTTATCCTGAGATATTCCAGAACTGGAAAGGGTAGAGGATTCCAGTAGATGCTCTCCAGTGCAGGTAAAGCATCTAGGTAGAGGCTAGTTAGATTTTGAAAGGGCTGCTCACTCGTAAGACCCAGCTGGGCCATGGCTTTCTTTTCGCTTATGACTTCTTCCATTTCCGGACAGGAATCTAAACGTAGAAGGCTAAGACTCGGGGCTACTAGCAGCCATGTCAAGTCCTTTAGACCTCTGCAGGAATAAAGATGCACTGTGCGTATGTTCCGGAATTGTTGAATTTTCTCAATGTTGTCAGACTGTAACGTCTCCCTTCTCCAGTCAATGGTTATCTCCAAAGGGAGATTACACACAGAAATATCAAGTTCGCGAAGACCAGACGTCAGCGACGATATTCCTCCCTCGGTTATCTTAATTCCTCTGAGATGTAAACGTCGGATACAACTTGCCAACTGGTGGATACTTTGTAGCCGCTGCAAAACAGTTACTTCTTTCACGGTTAAACTCAACTCTTTCAGACTCTTCAACAGAATTATATCCTCCATTATATCGAGATCCACAGGTACAGCAGACTTGTATAATCTCAGTACTTGCAAATTCAATAAACTTGCTATCACATCAATTCCTTCAAGAAACGGTGTGAACTCCAAATCCAAGTGTATCAGCTTGACAAGTTTTTTCAGACCAGTCGGCAACTGTATTATCGACGTACCTGATAAGTTGAGAAGCTGCAGCGATACCAGGCTTGAAACTTCCTCCGGCAAGGAATAAAGTTTTCCATTACTCGACAAATCCAAGACTGAAAGACTTGTCATCCACCGAAAGAAATCACCCAAGATCCACTTTAAGTTGTGGTTCTGTTTGAGGAAAAGGGTTTCAAGTTGGGAACATTCGGGAGAATCCGATATATTCTCAATCTGAGTAGACGTCACTGCCATCCTTCTCACCATTCTCCAATCATTGACCTTTGGCAGCTGATGATCCTTTTACCGCATTTGACGACAATGTTTTCTGCGTGCCTCCCAGAATCAGATGCTTGTGATGCTATCCACGAGGCCATTTCAAGAACCATATCATGCATCATCTTTACCCCATCTCCAGATTCATTCTCCGTCAAGAAACCCATTATAACCAAATCACCGATCATCTCATAACCTTTCATCTCTGCTATCTCTCTATCTTCATCTTTAACCATTCCCTCGCCTATCCAACAGTCTACCAGTTCTTGTTTGCTTATATCCCAAATTTTCGGAAACAGAGTACAATACATGAAGCACGACCTGATATCTTCACCAGGAAGATTATCGTAGGCGAACTTCAAAATGGGAACTTCGCTACTTGAATTTTTTTTGGTGGATGAAACCAAAACATTAATTGCATGATGCCATTCCCGTACGGTCCTTTTGCACGACATGGTTTTGCCGGCGAGAGTGAGAGCCAGGGGTAAACCACCACATTTCCTAGCGACTATTCTTGCCATTTGGGGTATGTCTGGATGACTTTTTAACGTGGTTTCTCCAACTACCTCTTCAAAAACTTCCCATGCTTCTTCTGGCCCCAAACATGTAACTTCTTCTACAGCATCAACCCACTTGCTTCCACATGCTTCCCGTGAACGAGTGGTGAATACAATCTTACATCCATTCTCCCTGCTCGGCCGTGGAACTCCGATCTCCTCGAGATCCACTTCCTTCTGTATGCCATCCAATAACAACACAAATCTCTTTCTCCTTAACAAATTCCATATCGCTTTTGCCTTGTGGTCTTTAGCTTCTCCTCCAAGTAGTATGTAACATCTTTTGTAGATTTCATCTTGTATACTCTCGACGACCTCGTCAGACGCAACAACAACAAGTAAGATCATATGACCAGATACATCCCCAACTTCTTCGAACTTCTTTTTAATCCGAGTAAGAAGGTTGCTTTTCCCGACTCCAGCCATGCCATAAAGACCCAAAGTTCCACATTGGTTTCCTGCAAGGCATTTCCATACCTTTTCAAACAATATTTCTCTAGAAACAATTTTTTGAAGTGGTGGGAGGATCTTTTTCACGAGAGACAAGGGAGATCTCTCGACCAATACTTTAAAAACTCCCTTAGATCTCAGAGCTTCAACTTCTTTAAGCGTCATGCGCACACTTTCGTTATAACTATGCGTCGAAGAAGAGATCTCGGAAAAATCATCACACTTGGATAAAATATGACATTCTGAGATACTTCCATCAAGGAGATTACTGGCCTTCGTTTCAACCTCTTCCGCCCATGTAATCCATTCGTCAACTTCGGGTAGCGTTTGTAGACCTCTGTCCTTTTCTTTGGACACCCTTTTGGACAACTCATTTATCATTGCATTGAGGTTTTCCACTTCCATCCGCAAAGCATCCATATTTTTCTCCATGCCGTGTAAATACTCCTCTTTCCAACACAAGAAACAAACCGTTTTAGAAAGTTGTGTCTACAGAGTTCCATCTATATTCTTAGAAGAGGTTGCTACATGTATTTTTTTTTTTTAAATAGAGATTGGTATAAGTTATGAACAAGACACTAGAAATTTAATGAGACTAGACCAATAACAACAGTTAATGAGAATTCCTACTAAGTGGAGGAAAAAAAATGATCAAGAACAGCAAGAGGATAGCATTGTCGCTAATTGCAGGAGATGCATCATCCCTGATGATCCATTTCATGAGAAAGAAGAATGGATGAGTATTATGACATGAGAAAGATTATTACCCATATTTTTGCGTTGGAGCAAGAGAATAAAGTCGTGCTAGATCAGCCACCAATCGTAAATCTCCTGTAGGCGAGAGAATTTTAATCTCACTCAAATTCTTGAAAACAAATTCGCCACAATGGTATGCTTGCCCATTGTGCTCAGGGTTTGAGAGAGAAGCAGCATCTTGACACGTTTGGCTTGGTTTAGATGATTTAGTCCACTGCAATAATGTCTCCTTATATGAATAAAAAAAATACAACTCGGTCTCTATTTCTATAATATATGCATTGATGAATTTCACAATCCAAGAGTTTGAATAATATATAAACTGGTGGTGACCCATTACGTTGTATAGTTTACACAAGAGTTTGAATAATGTAGAAACTACTCGATCGTGACCCATCGGTTGCGTACTGGAACAGGTCACTATACTTTATAATATAGTTTACACAAATGACAAATTAATGTCTGTATTAGCTAGCAATAGTATTAATGTATTATATATTGCGTGCATCGAATCACTGGTTGATTAGTACTTGGGAGCCTTTTGGCTTTGGGAGAGTAAAGAGAGATCTCTACAACAAATAATGTCCAAGATGGTTAGGATTCTTGATTGTATTCCTTGATTCAAAGCTAAGCGAGTTTTGAAACGCATGATGCCATGAATAGTCTCAGTTAAAAACTCTTCTAAACTTGATATATATAAAAAACTAAGAAAAGCTGGGCCGGCACTCAGATCCTGTGATGATTTGTCTAGGGTATTTTTTCACCTGAGCTAACGCCACTTGATGAATCTATCATAAATAACAGCTTTTAAAGATTGAACTCAATGAACAGCATCATGAGTTAACTTCTCTACACAAACTTGATTTCAGAAATGCATTCGTACACGACTTTAAGAACGAGTACTAAAAGCCTAATGGGTAAGACTGAAAACCTCAAAACCATAATGAATAAAATGTGCCTTTAGGTTGTAAACATAAAGTAATCAATTGATACAAGACATAAGAATCTGATGTAGATTCAATCACCTGCTGTTTGTTACTTGAAGAGAAGCAAAAACGACAGAGAGGAAGTGTTGAACTGATCAAGATGTTCAGTCGACAACAATACAAACACACGTCACACAACAAATAGTCAAATACTACTATGAAAATTTGGAACATAAAACGGAACAAACATAAAATGTTTCAGTCACATACACACAAGTGGCAAATGCCGCAAAACCAGATCGTATCGTTTTTCACCAAACACCCATTTAAAAGGACACATTACTTCGAATCAGGAGTACCGTCAAAGCACAAAACAGAAGGATGAACTATGAATTGCATCCACTGATGCCTGCTTGTCGTACCAGGTCCTTTTCGGGCTTGCGTGTCTACACCTAACAGATGACAGAAGATAAAAGGTACACATAGTGAGGACTGGAAAAAAACTATAGAGAAAACCGAAGATTCTATAATGGAACATAAGAATTATTTAGTACCGGATGAAGTTAAGAAACAGAAGCTGTGTGGATGGCAAGACGAAATCGATCTTCAGCTCCACTCTCCCATTCAACTCCAACTAACCATCCGTCATCCACTTCTATGCGAAGATCATCAATTCTGTCTACACTCGTGGAATTCAATGGAAGCTTACGTAGCTTCGAGCACTCTGTTATATTGACTTTCTGCAGTCTTGGAAAAGAAAGTGAAGTCCAATAGATGCTCTCAAGTGCATTCAGATAACCCCAAATCAAGAACTTGTAGCTTTTGAAAAGGTTCAACCTCGACATTCCCAGCTTTCTCCTCGTTTATAACTTCTTTCATCATAGGTGCGATTTTGACGCTTAGAGACACGAGATTCGCAGCATACATCAGCCATGTCAGATCCGTTAGACCTACGCATGAGTATATTACCACAGCTGAGAGATTTTTGAACCATGGACTTCTTTGATTGGAAGGAGAAGGAGAAGGAGAAGAACACTGGTGACTTCTGTTTTCTTCCCATTCTGTCTCTGACACTTTGATATCGCAGTCTATCATTTCAAGTTTGGAAAGACTACCCAACTCGCCAAAGGTGGTCGAAAATGACATTTCAATACCGTCGAGGTATAGACCCTGCGTCTTCGCTGCCAAGTTGCTTCGTAAGAAAGCTTCCAAAACATCATTTTTTCTCACAGTAATTGTCAAAAGCTGTAAACCTTTCAAGCGCTTCAACACCTCCAGTAAGGAGAGATTTACTGCAGCAGCGGAACCATAAAATCTTAAAACCTGCAACTTTTGTAATCCTGAAATCAGACTGATGCTACGAAGACTGGATGTGCTCTCTAAATCCAAGTGGACCAGTTTGAGCAATTTTCCGAAACCCTCCGGCAAATCCTTTATCCTCGTCCCTAATAACTTGAGATACCGCAAATTAACCAATTCTGAAATTTTATCCGGCAACTTGGTGATATCGGGATTCGAGGATAGATCCAAAACGACCAGAGTCGACATGAACACAAAGAATTGACAACCAATTTCGACCAACCTGTTATTTTGAAGAAACAAGGTTATAAGCGGAGCATGGTCGGGAAATTCAGGATCATCTGGTATGCCCCGAATCTTATTGTTCATCAGAGACATCTTTGTCACGGCTGTCCACGGGACATCAGGCATTTCGACTAATCCAGCATCTGTTTTCACAAGATACATTTTTCCGTCGCTATCTTTGGAAACCATCGACAACGCCATCTGATGGATCATATTGTGCATATACACTTTCTGATTAGACTCATCATCCTTCAATAACAAACCTGCCCCAACAAGAGTGTTGATTATCTCAATACCTCGACTCTTTGCTTTGTCTCTTCCAAGTCTTACATCTATGATACCCTCACCGATCCAATACTCTACCAGCTCATCTTGTTTGATTTTATATCCCATGGGAAATAAAGCACAATACTTAAAACACGACTGTGCATCCTCCTCTTTTTCTAAATAATCATAGCTCACTTTCAAAACACCAAACATCTTCTTCTCCATACCTTCCACTACATCAGGATAAGAACTCAAAGCATTGAGTACATCTCGCCAGTCATTGTCAGTGGTTTTAGATGACAGACACTTTCCAATGACTTCAAGTGCAAGGGGTAAGCCATAACACTTTTCCGCAATCTCTTTTGAAAGATCAAGCATCTCCCCAGTTGACGTGTCTCTTCTGGCATAATGCGTTAACAAATCCAACGCGTCCTTCTCCGCCAAACATTTAACTTCTCTGTCAATTCCTCCCATCCTTCGACAGACACTGTTAGAGCGAGTAGTAAACACGATTTTGTATTCCCCCTTCTCCACCCACACTGGAATTCCTATTTTGTTGAAACTCACTTCCTCCCATAAGTCATCTAATAACAGCACAAACCGGGGCTTCCTATCTATTAGAACCCTGCCTATGTCAACCCTTTTCTCCCACTGTGTTTTTCCGCGCCAATTCTCGTCATAGAGGCCTAATCTTTTCCCGATATCATCTTGAATCTTCCCGATATCTACATCTTTAGACACTTCAACCCAAATGACAACATCAAAATCATCCTTGACTTCATCGAACTTGTTGCATATTAGAGTGAGGAGTGTAGTTTTACCCACTCCCCCCATGCCATATAGACCCAACATTCTGATATCATTTTCCATAAGAAGTTCCCATGTGCTTTGAAGCTCTGTAACCAGACCAAATGTTTGCTGGACAGGCTCTTTTACTACCACACGAGAAGTAGCTTGTCGAGTCACCACTTGAGAAACGTTTTCAGAAGATAGTTTCTGAACTTCATCCAACATCTTGGAAATCCTTTTGCCAAAGCTGTAGGCTAAAAAGATATTAGAGGAGCAATACCCGTATGTTGATATCCTTTGCTGTACATCGGAAGCCTCATCATTCAGGAGACTGGTGTCTGTTACAACGGTTTGGACTCTTAAACGCCACCTTTTCACTTCATGTAGCTGTCGTTGACCCTTGATTTCTTCATCATTAACCTTGCGCACCACATCATCTCTTTTTGCTTTAAGATCCCCCAAAGCTCTACGCAAATCATTAAGATTATCATCAAACTTGGAAATGTAATCTGCATGAGCTGTCAAGAAACCATAAACAGCTGGAATACCCCCAACAACTGAACAAAGAGCCGAGACATTGTCAGCCGCCATTGTGCTCAGGATTCAAGAAAGGAGAAAGAGAATCAAGATGAAAAGAGCAAATCTTAAAATTGAAATTAGACTAAATGAATGGGGAGCTGCTAGTGGGAAGCAGATCTCTATGCAAGAACATATTGTGTTGACAATGATACTTGTTAGAGCTTGGCATGTTCATCTTGGTTTATTTACTTTAATTAAAAGCAACGATGCAGTACCTCTGTCTATGAATAATAATTACAACTGGGTCTATATATAAACATATTGCACGTCATAATCCAAGAATATGAATAATTTTCTAAAAATTGTCTCTACCCACCGATTACGAAACTGACAACTTATATAGTCTATACAAACCAATGCCTGCATTTTTTTTTCAAAAACAAGAAGTCAACACTCAATGCAGATCAATCCTACCTACAAATACAATTTTCTTATCCCCGTAGATTGTAAAGTATGCAGCTCAATTTGCAATAAGTTTGCAACCATAACATCATGTTGTCCATGTCGTTGTTATTTTAATGTATTTAGCTGTTGAAAGTTTCAGTGCAATATCATTCATTTCTAAGAAGCTACTAGCTAACATCAAATTGCCATTCTTCGCTGTTATTTTAATGTAGTTTTGGTATTGAAAGTTTCAAAGCCACAAAAGTGATCCAACCCAACCAGATACAGTAATTAAGATGTGATATGGGATTCACCTGGATGCGTGAGCACAAGCTTGAGCTTGAAGCCTTGAACTAAGCAACAATGTTTTGATTCCAAGTCACGATCATCCCGTTCCTCCTAATTAAAACTCTGTATAACACAAAGAAAAGAAGCGCGCGCAGTCAAGGAATTCAAAATAGTAGTTATAGAGTTAAAGATCTAAGCTTTATCTGATGCGACGGAAGAAATGGGGAGAAGCTGGGCTGATTATGATGACGAGAATTTGCTCTTGATTCGTGGTTCCGGCGATTTGTGTTTAGGGTTTCTCTAGAGAATCTAAGCCCGGAAGTTTTCCAATTTATCTAGAGAATCAAATCAAGTGCATCACCCAAACACCAAATCGAGCATACATTTCAGTATTTCACGAAATCGAACGCACTAGAGAAGGAAATGGGACATGGCGTTTAGGTTGATCATCTATCCAATTTGATTTTTGATTCAGTTCTATTTTTCTACAATTGTTAAAACCGGTTCGGTTTAATCTGATTAAAGAAGACCGTTTTGTTTTCCTCTTTCCGGCAACCATTCATTAGAGTAAAGGCCCATCCGTACAATGGAATTCGAAAGCCCATTACAAACCCAAATGACTCACGTAATATATCGATATGCTGCGGACACTAGGTTGTTGTCCAATATATGAATTTACATAGTTCTTGAAAGAAAAAGAAATCAGCAAATAACAAATAACAAATGTAGCAAAGAGAAGACTAACGTGCCTTGGGGTTCACATCAGTACCAGAGCTTAAATTAATGTCGATGGATCTTGTTGTGTCTATGTCTCCTGCCCTCTTGTTTTCATATATGAGACACTCTTTTAACTCATGAACTACATGTGGCATGTTGGGTCTTTCTAAAGAAGAAGGATTCACACATGTCATAGCTAATTCAAGAGCTTTCCATGCAGAGCCAGAGTCATATACCATTTGGAGTTTCTGATCCATAATATTGTTAATGTCTCCTCTAGTTAGCATAAACTTCACCCATTCTGCTATGTGAGGCATGTCGCGGGTATGATCGATCACCGGTTTGTTTGTGATAATTTCTAATAGCACAACGCCAAAACTGTAGACATCACTCTTCTCTGACAACCTGTTTGTTCGGTAATATCTGCAAAAGACAAAATAATTCCTCTTCATTTTAACTGATAGAGAAGATGTTTTTTTCAGAAAAGGGCCATAATTTTGTACTAACTCATGATCAAGATATCCAAATGTGCCAGCTACAAGTGTAGACACATGACTTTCATCTCCTATAGGGAAAGATCTAGAGAGTCCAAAATCAGCAAGCTTTGCATGGAATTGATCGTCCAATAGTATGTTGGAACTTTTTACATCTCTATGAACAATTAACGGTTTGCAGCCAATATGCAAGTACTCCAACCCTGTCTCAAGAATTCATTTTTGTTGATTAGTCAACAGAAAAGTTGGTCAAATGGGTGTTAAAAAGGAAACGAGAATGATAAATGAACCTAGTGCAGCATCGGTAGCTATGTTTAATCTATCTACCCAGCTCATCACGGAGTTACCTGCATGTATTAACATAGTTATGAATGTCATGTCAATTCATTTCCATCACAAAGATGGGTATATGAATATTTATGTTTTACCTGACAAATGTTGTTTCAAATCACCATTGGACATGTACTGGTAGATGAGGGCCAAATGGTCCTTTTCATCACAATACCCAACAAGACTTACCAGATAAGTGTGGTAAACCCTTAGAAGAAGTTCTACCTATCCAAACATGTACAGTATAACATACATCAACTTGTACATTACAAAAGAATTAGTAAAGTAATAATGGTGCAAATGCAAAAACCTCTGTTTTGAACTCTTTATAGCCTTGAGATGATGAGGGAGAGAGTAGCTTAACCGCGACTTGTTCGGTACCATTTATATAACCATGGTAGACCATCCCAAATCCTCCTTTACCAAGAACTCTCTCATTGTTATTTGTCATCGCAAGAACTTCGGCGTATGTAAATCTTCTTCTTTTTGTCTCTATTGATGGACCTAGAACTGTACGCAAATAATTAAAAACAATTATCAAATTCTCTACAACTTTTAACATACACACACAGATGTATCTTAATGGTTTGATGACTGCATGTGTTCCACATACCTTTTCCTCTTGATGTGCGTCTCTTTTTACAAACAAGAAGAAGAGTGACCCCTGCTATTATTGCAGCCAAAGAAACGAGTGATGCTACTATAACTGGTAACATGATGCTACTTTTCCTTTTGTGGCATGAACTGGAAGAACAGAGGTTCTGATTTCCTTGAATGCTGTTATTGTTAATAAGCTAGTTAAGTGTTAGTGAAGCCATAATTAATACAAATTGAGATATGGATTCTTGATGAGCATACTTCAACTTCAGGCCTTGTTTCATTTTATCAAGAAGAGCTTGAGGGACTGAACCACTAAGATTGTTTCCGCTTAAGTTTCTGTCAAAGTAAAATGAAAGAAAGAGTATATAAACATCAAGAGACTGGTAAAATAAATATTTAAATGTGTTGGTATAGCTGACCAAGTAGCTTACATGTCTAACAGTGATTTCATTTTGGCTAGAAATTCAGGTACTCCTCCGGTCAAATTATTATTTGACAAGTCCCTATCATTTATAAAAATTGTCAGTTGGATCTTTTTTTCCTTTTTTGAACAGAGTGTTTCTGTAAAAACTAGACACTTACAGTTTTTTAAGCTGGGTAAGATTTTGGATCTCAGGAACTATAAGTCCAGTTAATTCACTTGAGGACAAGTCTCTGGCGTTAAGGTCAGAAAGACATGAAATGTGTGTAAGATATTAAGACAGTGTAAAGTTTGGAAAAGATAATTTCAAGTCTTACGAATGACCATCACACGTACAAGGAATGGATTCTTGGTGGTGTAGACATATATTGGTGTACTCGCATGTAAGACCATCCCACAAGAATTGCTGAGGAACACATGGATCTCCTTGCCAACTACTTCTACTTAATCCATAGCTTGTTTCTATACTCTTGATAGCAACAACTAACAAAATTGCAGAAAGAAAACACTTAGTAAGTATATATCAAAAGCATATAGATACTCACATTTCCGGTAACATACCGTCGTTTGCATGAGTTTCAGTCTGCGGAAACTCAACTGTTATGAAAGCCTCAAGAGCATTTAGGAGAGGAGGAAGAGTTGAATTTGGAGTTCTTATCAGTTGCAAATTGCATATCCATCCTTCGCACTTAACAGGTGATGTGTTGAATAGATTATACACTTCCGACTCCTCAGGACTAACTGGTCCGTAACTAACATTTTGGCCTGCTCTAATGTTGAATTCCCTGCTATCATTTCCTTTTAAGGATTGGATCTCGGTGACGTGGAGGTATGCATAAACTAAGTCGTCAGGTGTTTCCACATTCCAAGAAATAGTCAATGGTGAACTAACATTTGCAGGAGTAGCTGCCGTAACCAACACGTCTCCCGGTATGGCATATTCGTTATCAGAAGCGTTGACCGAGAGAAGGCTTGTCCTTAACAGTTTCCATTCCGGCATGAAGAATGGACTCCATAGACGGTCGTGGACATCTTCTGGATACCTGAAGATATATGATTAAGCCTTAAACTAGTAGTCTTTACTTACCAACCAACATTTACCGGATTAGGCAAGGTTGACTTATTTACCGGATTGTGTCTTTTGAATCGGTCAAATAGACGCGGAACAATTTCTTCAAAGAACCAGACTGAGGAACATAAGTATCGTTTCTCAGTGGTCGGAGCTCTAAAGCTGATATTAGCGGCGTAGTTGTTCCCGTCTTAACAAGACAAACCTGCAAAGAAGTTGATCTCGGTTTGTGGATTATTTCGGCTCTTGTACCGTTTACTTTTCGTTGCAAATCGACCGTGGTCCATAGATTTGGACCGAGATGAAGGTCGAACTTTGGGTGTGTGTTAAGATCATCGTAGTTCCCATAAGTGAACATGGCTACTATCAGATAGTTTGTGTCTTGTATGACGCTAAGAGTATAGCAGTTACGTACTCCGTACGGAAAGTATCTCAAAACCGTGTATGGCTTTATATAGTCCAAACCTGGAACATTCTGAATCTTGCCGCTTTTTCCGGTTTTGATGAAGTCGGCGTCGGATGTGAATGTTAACTTTGTAATTGGTTCGGTATAAGGAGACTCGTTGGCTTGTAATCCGCAATCCAAATTGATGAATCCTGGTAAGTCAAGAAGAATTAACGAATAAATAATTGGAAAAAATGTTGTCCGCAAACGAAATATAATACCTAGATTTAAAAGGAAAAAATGTTGTACAGCCTGTACCTTGCTGATCTTGTGCTTGAGGAAAATCGGAGATGCCAAAAGACAAAATTAGGAATACCAAAAGAAGTCCTCGGAGATTTTTCATTTTTCAACCTCTGTTCAAAAAGAAAAAAACAGGATCACGAACTACCAAAGTAGCTTGCATATAAAATAAAGATATATAGAAAATCAGTGTTCTAAAAGGCGGTCTATGCGGCCGCCTAGACAGTGACCGTAAGAAAACTGATGAATAACTGATTAGTTTAATTCAACTTCTATTGCTGGTGTAGACTCAAATTAAAAAACTTGTTATAGACTAGTTACTGGTTTTATTCGTGGCACCAACATTGGTCAACGATCGTTTCCAAGAGATTACTCGTTCCATCTTCTATTATTTTATTATCTTTTGGCCGGTGACGTATTCGAAAGTTGACATTCCCAGCATTCACTTTCGGTATTCATAAGAGGGGTTGCAACTTGCAAATATATAACATATTTTGGTTTGATGTATAATGTTTCAAAGTTTTGCGAGTTGCTAAGTTTCTATTAGTTTGATGAGAACAGAGAGGTAGTCGAGAATGGGGACAAGTCTAAACGAGCTTCTGTTTGCTGTGTGTGCGACTTTCTCCATCATTCATCTTGCTCAATCTCAGAATCAACAAGGTACTATTACAATCTTTCACTCTTTTGTATTTTTCCTTTCTAAGTATATCTATTTGGACAGTTACATGATAAGATATAGAAAGTCGTCTATATCATTCATCCTTTGATTAAGCTACTACCTCTAGAATATCGTATGCATTCTCTAGAGTATTGTATTTACCTTATGTACATTATTGATCTCTGTATATAAAGAGAGCTATGTGAATCAATAAAAATAATATTTTCTACCAAATCATTATTACTTAGTCTTCCGGTTTTGCCAGGATTCATCAGTTTGGATTGTGGATTGCCTTCTAATGAGTCTCCATATAACGAACCATCGACCAATCTGACATATATATCTGATGCCGAGTTTATCCACGGAGGAAAAACGGGTACGGTCGAGAAAGATTTGGGGTCACAAGTTATAAAGCCATATAGGGCTTTGAGATACTTTCCAGAGGGAATACGAAACTGCTATAGCCTGAGCGTGACGCAAGACACAAAGTATCTAATCAGGACATGGTTCCTATATGGAAACTACGACGGTCTTAATACATCTCCAAGGTTCGACATCTATGTCGGTCCTAATCTTTGGACAACCGTAGATGTCAAAATATCGGGTTTAGGTGCTACTGAGGAGATCATTCACATCACAAGATCCAAAGTTTTGGAAATATGTCTCGTCAAGACAGGGACAACTACACCACTAATCTCAGCCATAGAACTCAGGCCCTTGCATTATAGTACTTATATTGCTCGAACTGGTTCCTTGAAGTTTGTGGACAGGGCCTACTTCAGCAAGTCGGAAAACGTTATACGGTATGTCAACTTAGTCTAACTAGCTAATATCACAAATTATGCTCATTGAGCTTAAGTATTTATAATACGTCACTGTTGTAGTTATCCCGAAGATATCTATGATCGTTTTTGGTTTCCGTACTCTCCACTGGAATGGACGGAGATAAAGACATCCCTCAACGTTGTTGATTCTTTGAAAAAATACAACCCGCCACAAGATGTGATGAAGACCGCCTCTATACCCAATATTTCCAGTGAGCCAATGAGCTATTCTTGGACTTTGGAAACCTCTGACGACGAGACTTATGCCTACCTTTACTTCGCTGACATCCAAGAAGTGGGAGATATGAATGAGACCAGGGAATTTAATATTATCGCCAACGGTAAAGTTGAATATGATCCTTATCGTCCTATGAAGTTCGAAGTAGACACTTTGTTTAACAATGTACCGCTGAAATGCGAGGGAGGGCAATGTCGTGTGACACTCTCAAAAACCAAGAAGTCGACTCTCCCACCCTTGATGAATGCTATAGAGATTTTCAAGGTCATTGAGTTTCCACAGTCAGAGACTAATCAAGATGACTGTATGTAGCTAAAGTGTTTGATGCATATTGTACATGTTAAATAAGTTGTTACACATGTTGAAGTCTTGATATTCTTCTATCTCATTCCAGACACTGCTATCAAGGATATCCATGCTGCTTATGGATTGGATAGAAGCAGCTGGCAAGGTGATCCCTGTGTCCCAAAACAGTTCTTGTGGACTGGTTTACGCTGCAATGTTATAGATGTGTCCACACCACCAAGAATCATAGCACTGTAAGAACATTCAAACCCATTCTTGTCATCATAACTTAATTAAGCACTTCAATAATTATATTTCTTATTTGATATGCATGTCTCGGTCCATGTAAACAGAGATTTATCTTCAAGTGGATTAAGTGGAGTTATATCGCCTAGTATACAAAATCTAACTCAACTTCAAGAACTGTAAGTATCTCCATGGTTTGATTTCATATGAGGAAGTATTCAGAAAATATGTTTACATTTTTTATTTTCTTAATGATGAAAGGGTTATGGGATTTTTGCCCATAGTCTTTTTGAACCAGAGCCAAAAAAAAATGCGAAATATTCTTACGAATAAACCATATTAGTTTCAACAAATTGCAGGGACTTATCGAAAAACAACTTGACAGGAGAAGTGCCTGAATTTCTAGCAACAATGAAATCATTGATGCTTATGTAAGTTTCCTGAAAAGTACCACAAAGATTTTTCCATCTTAATTGCTAATGATCTACTTACATATATAGAAACTTTAGAGGAAAAGTTTTTTAGTCATTTTAAGTTATAATGATATCTTCACATCCACAGAAACTTAAGTGGAAACAATCTTAGAGGTTCTATTCCTCAAGCCCTTAGGGAAAAAGAAGGACTAAAACTAATGTAAGGTTCTTCTTTGAGGTGATCTTCTTTCTATTATACACCATCCACTTTCAATTAGTATTTGATATCTTCAATAATGTTTTTACTTTTTAGTCTTGATGGATATCCAACGCAATGTAACTCATGCCAAAAAAAGTTTCCTGTGGCGGCGGTTGTTGCTGCGTCTCTTTCTTTTGTAGCCATTATCATAATTGTTTTGGTTCTGATCTTCATTTTCAAAAGGAAAAATCCATCAATCCGCAAAGGTAGTTTAGACAAAATATACGCTCCATTGCGGGATTATGAAATCTCATGGATCTTTCAAAGGATTTTTTGTTTGTTTGCAGTTATACGCCCATCACTAGAAATGAAAAATAGAAGATTTACCTATACAGAGGTCAAGGACATGACTAATAACTTTCAAGTTGTTCTTGGTAAAGGAGGCTTCGGTGTTGTTTGTCAGGGCTTTCTAAATAATGAACAAGTCGCCGTGAAAGTCCTCTCCCAATCATCAACTCAAGGTTATAAGGAATTCAAAACAGAAGTACGTCATTACAGCTAAAATCTGTCACTAAATTTTTTGGGCATTCATGACTTCTTGAATCATACCCTTTTATATTCTTCAATGTTAGGTCGAACTACTTCTAAGAGTTCACCATGTAAATTTAGTAAGCCTCATCGGATACTGTGATGAAGGAAATGACTTGGCTCTCATCTATGAGTTCATGGAAAATGGGAACTTAAAGGAACATCTTTCAGGTAAAACTATTAGATTATGTTGGAATTAATTGAGTTACCTAGCTCTTTTAAGATTAAATGGTTTTTAATAATTCCAAAGATTTTTAACCATCTGGTGAACTTTGGCAGGTAAACGTGGTGGCTCTATTTTGGACTGGCCGAGTAGACTCAAAATAGCTATCGAGTCTGCGCTAGGTTTGTAGAAATTTTTGTTGATTCCAATTGTTATAAACTCCATTTCTATGACAAATACTCGTTAACGTACGTATGACGGTTTTTCTATATACTAGGAATTGAATATTTGCATATTGGATGTAAGCCGCCAATGGTTCATAGAGATGTGAAAAGTACCAATATATTGTTAGGCCAACATTTTGAAGCTAAACTGGCCGATTTTGGACTATCGAGATCTTTTGTAGTGGGAAGTAAAACTCATGTATCAACAAATGTTGCTGGAACTTTTGGATATCTCGATCCCGAGTAAGTTTTCTTGGATATCTTGAACTTTAAAGATGTTGGTTTTCTTGCGTGCTAATTAAAAGAATAATATTGCTACGTTAATGATAATTAAAAGAATAATATAATATCTTTGAGTATTTTTCTTGCAGATACTATCAAAAGAATTGGTTAACAGAGAAAAGTGATGTTTACAGTTTCGGGATTGTGTTACTGGAACTTATCACTGGCCAACCTGTGATTGAACAATCCCGTGAAAATTCTTACATAGTAGAATGGGCCAAGTCTATGCTCGCAAATGGTGATATTGAAAGTATTATGGATCCGAATCTTCATCAAGAATATGACACGGGTTCATCTTGGAAAGCTCTTGAATTAGCTATGTCATGCATAAACCCTTCTTCCTCAGAGAGGCCAAACATGACTCGGGTTGCTCATGAACTAAATGAGTGTTTGGAAACATATGAGAGCTTAAATAAAAGAATGAGTCAAGATGCAAATCCAACAAATTCCACGTCCACGGGACATAGCATAACTTTCATCAGTGACACTCCTTCAGCTCGTTAATATTTTCATATATGTTTCTCTCTTTGAAAGATACTCTCCACATGTGGCATTCAATTTAGTCTGTAATGTGAATGTGTTTAAAAGTTTCATCTCAGGAATTTACTCCAACTCGAGTACCTTCATTAATTTAATTTGTGTATTGCTTGGTCTTAATTTAATTTGAGTAATATTGTGTGGTTATTATACTTTCTCTGAGAGTTTGCATCTCCTATACATCTTGTTACATCGTTGCATGGTTGCGAATAAATGTTCATACAAAAATGCAGCATGTGTTCTTCTGTTAATGATGCCAAAGTCAGATTCATTATGGAGCGCAATGGTTGTGGAAAGTCAGTTTATTGCAAAATAAAAATCCTGAAGGGTGTGAATAATCATCTGAAATTCTGAATTAATATATATTTTTTACTTATGTATTTGGATAAGTTGGAAAGTTTCTTTACCAAAATTGTAGGTCTTTGCAGTACACATCAATCTCATAGTATTTAATTCTCATTTGGTAAACGAATATGAATTTACGTAAATAGTATGACCATTTCTTTCCAAATTCCCAACCAGCCTATATAGTATTTCTTAAAACAATTACGAACCTAAAATTTCATATCACTATCATGAGATTTGTACTATGGGAAATCTATAATTAACAAAATTAAATAATTTTGCATCGGAAAATAAATTGTTTCCCTCAAACTAGAACAAAATTAGCAAATTAGAGAAAAACTGAAAAAGACAATAAAAAGGGAGAAAAAAAAAAGAGAATGACATGGCTTGGACTAAACAAAAAAAAACCTTACATGGCTTTGTGACTCAACGTTTTTGTCGAAGTTGGTGTGTGGTGAAAAAAGCCGCACGATCCGACAGAGACACCACGTGTCCGAATCTGAAGGAAGTGAAAGGAGACAGTGGTGGGTCACCCAAGAAGGAGAAGAAGAACAGGTCTTCAGGGGGTGGGGGTTTACTGGTTATAGCCGGTTATTCGCTCTTCAGACACGTCCTTGTGTTTTTGTTACTCGTATAAGACCACAGGGTTTAAGCCCTTCTTCTCACTTTTTCCTCAAAGGGGTTTTTCGTTTTCGCTCATCCTAAATAAAATAAAAACAACAAAAAAAAAGAGAAAGCCTTTCCTTTTTTTTTTTTTGGGTTTATCCAGTTACATGTGGGTGATGAGGTATTGTGATGAACATTTTGATTCCGGTAGAAAACTCTGTTGATTCCTCTTGTTTATCTATCTGATCGTCGTGCATTTCCTTAGGATATTGTTCCTGCCTTGTTTCTGAAAATCGGTGAGAAAGTTTTGAGCTTTCTTGGATCTGCTCTTCGAATTCAGAGCAGAGCACTGATACGAGAATTTTCCTGTTTGTTTGTTGAAATCTTCACGAGACATGGAATTGTTTGATGCGAATTTTGGTTTCTTAGAAACAGAACTGTGTTTGGTTTCCATGACGTATGTATTTTCAATCACAGAATCTCATATTTTTCTCGAAATTATAAGAAATTCGATGTCTCAATTCTCTCTCTGTTCTCTCTGTTGATCAACTGAGGCTTTAGATCTTGGTAAAATTGAATTTTCCATAACTTGGGTTCTAGTGAGGTTTTACAAAATTTAATGCTAAATCATGTGTGCAGAATGTGAGAGATTTTATAGATCTGTTGGATCCGAATTAACTCATGATCAAATGTCATTAACCTAATTTGTCCTTGTGCAGGGATTAACCGTGTGGGAATGCATTTAATTTAAGATCATGGTGTTGCACAAGAGGCTTGATTATGGATTCAGTGGCTATGAGGTTCCTCCTACACCTCGTGCTGCAAGATCACCAAGAGTAAATACATTCTTCTTACCCTTTTTGTGTGTTTTCTAACTTTCATGTTCCATCAATGTTCGTCCTCTCTGATATGTCTTTTGGGTTTTCTTGTTTTTGCTAGAAGAGTGCTTTCAAGAAGAAAAGCGAAAACAATCAGATATCTTCCTTTGATTTGTTGGCTGCAGTAGCTGGAAAGCTCCTGCTTGAAAGTGGAGGCAATTCTTCTTCCTCAAGTAACAACGCCTCTGGCGATAATGAAGATCACTCTGCAGTTAAGAAAGAAGAGCCTGATCACACCGTGGGAGAAGAGAGTAACTGTGATCATCCTGAGAGGAGATTCTTCGTCTCTGAGATCCTTCCAAAAGCTCATGAAACAGAGAGTTTCAACAGGTCTCCAAGTTCCCTTAAAGATTTCCACTTTGGATCTACTTCTGGTTTAACTTCTGATTCCTCGGAGAAGTTTGGGACACAAGAATTACCCTACGAGGAAACCAAGATCGACAACAATGGTGATTGCTATAGGTCAGGAGGGACTGATCATGATAAGAGAAAATCAATGCTTGGTGGGTTAAGTTGTGAACCAAAGTTATCAAGGAATGATTTAACCAAAGAGGAGCATCATGCACGTAATGGATTCAGGAAACCTATTCCCCAAAACCCTTCGGTTTGCTCTGATGATGATGATGACGAAAACTTCTCAGCGCGTTATGCAACGAAATCGTTTAGGTCAACTCTGCGTATAGGAGATAGAAGAATAAGGAAAGTTTTGGCTTCTAAATACTGTAAAGTCTCTCCAAAGCCGAAAGATACAGCGGTTACAAACTCCGGTGAGCATTTATTGGTTAGTCATATGTACTTTTAACAATGTTTTAATTTGGTTTACTTATGTGTTTTTACTTTCTGAAAAAAATGTCTAGACTTGGATTTGAAGCCTGATTACTACAGCAAGAAACATTGTCTCAAAAGCATAAGATCAGAGAGGAACTATCCAATCAAGAAAAGAAGATACTTTGATGGTTATACAGCTTCAAGATCCGAGGAAACAGATAAAAATGAAGGTCTTTCTAGCTCACCTCCAAAGGGTAGTTATACAGCTACCGGAAGCTAGTCGTTTCAGCTTCATAGGATCAAACCCACATTATGATGATTAACTTTGAGCATTGTTGTTTCTCTGCAGCTTCAGCTTTTCTATCATCTATAGCTTGTCAGAAGCAGCCAGCAGTCCAATCAAGAGATTCTCACGGTACTTTTTCTTTTTTTTTTTGTAAGGTTTTCTAGTTTCTAACACTCTTGAGTTTTGTATTGATTCTGTTCCTTTCTCTTTGTTGTGCTTAGTGAAACTTGGAATCAAGTCATTCAGAGTTCCTGAACTTTTCATTGAAATTCCAGAGACTGCTACTGTCGCTTCGCTAAAGGTGTTACTTCTTTTGCTTTGAATCTTCTGGAAATGATCATTCGTGTTTTTGGATAATGATGATAATACTTTACTTTCTCTTCGGTAGAGGACAGTCTTGGAAGCTGTGACCTCGATACTTGGTGGTGGGTTACGCATAGGTGTTCTTGTTAATGGGAAAAAGGTTAGAGACGACAATAAAATGCTTCTTCAGACTGGAACCTCTCTAGACACTCTTTCAGATTCTTTAGGGTTTTGTCTTGAGCCCAATCCTCCACAAACCACAAAGCCGCTTTCTCCTGAAGATTCTGATTTTGTGCGTCCATGTAATAATGTACCTCACACTCTAACAAGGTTAGTTTGATTCCAGAGATCAATCTTTGCTTCTCTCCTCTCACTCTACAGATTAATGTTTCCTTCTCTCATTTCTTTTTGTGTAGAAGAGAATCCTTTTTGCTGATGTTTTCCGGAACTTCTTTGTTCATTAGGTGTCTCCCAGCACCAGTTAAACATGCTAAACCGAGTAACTCTGTAGAAAGTGACCTTGACTCTAAACCTTCTTCATCAAGTAGGGCTAAACCTGTCTACTCCAGAGCCTTGGTTCCTGTCTCTCCTCTGCATGCTCAGGCTCTAACCGTAGTCCCACCTCGAAAACCTAAGCGATCTGAGGTGGCACAGCGTAGGATCCGTCGACCTTTCTCTGTTGCAGAAGTAGAGGCCCTTGTTCAAGCTGTGGAGAGACTTGGAACCGGAAGGTAACTAATTTTTTCAAGTTACACCAAAAGTAAAAAGACTTCATTTCCATCAAGAATTGGTCCAAGATAGTACTAATATGTGCATGATCTATCTGCAGGTGGCGTGATGTAAAGTTGCGAGCTTTTGACAATGCTAAGCACCGGACTTACGTAGATCTGAAGGTACATTAAAATCTCCCTTTTACACCTCATTCAGGTCTATGTTGCTTTTACACCTCATTCAGGTCTATGTTGCTTGTGCAAGAAGTAATTATGGTTTGGGTTTCGATGTGAATGTTAGGACAAATGGAAGACGCTGGTGCACACAGCAAGAATATCGCCGCAACAGAGGAGAGGTGAGCCAGTACCACAGGAGCTCTTAGACCGGGTACTAACGGCTCACGCCTACTGGTCCCAGCAACAGGGGAAACAACAGTTGCTAGAGGGACACCAGAAGCTCGAGACCAGTCTTGGTCTATAGACCAGGGAACAAAATGTTATCTTCGCGACGTTACAAATGGACGTTAGCGGGATAAACCTGGAATATTTTTCGTTCATATATACTTTTGTTTATTTGTTTATTTTGTTTTGTTATGTATTTTGAGGAGATTCAATGTAAAAGAGAACATGAATATTGGATTGTGGTGAAGAAGAAGAAGAAGAAGAAGATATAGAGGTGAAGATATGTGAAGTCTGGTGTAATTGTCACAGTTCCTGATTATAATAAGAGGTTACTTTCTTTTGTCACATTGCAAAATTTGTCACATATCCTTCCTATATATCTCCCCACAACTATATCTGAATTTGAGACTTGTTGGACACTTTTGCTTATGGAGAGAGTGAGATCTGTTGAACAAGTCAGATATCAATTTCAGAGACGACATAAATCAAGATATACAAGCAAGCATCACTGAGAACTAATTGCAAGGGAGATCATTTGGAGATGATAAAAGTTCTTAATCATAATATGCTGTAAAAACCATAAAGTAGCTCTCTCATACACATGGAGAGTTGAGATAACAATCCTTGACAAGAAAAAAGAAGAAGCTAGAAGTTATAAGAGGAAATGGAACCAAATATATGTGCCAATAACTATTCACTTTGGCTTTTTGTGGTAATAGGCTAATAGCTATGCGACTTTTTCCGATGGCTAAACACATTATTTGGACACATACACAAACAAAAAGGAGAGAGAGAATATGATGGAAGATTCTTGAGGATCTCATCGATGAATGGAGCGAAATAATTGGATATGTCATTTTCATTATTTCACATCTTTATCAAAAGTCGATACCATTGAGTAATCTTTTTGGATGTGATCACGTGGCTACGCTTAAGCCAATGTTACAATGGCAAGCAGAAGTATGGATGGTTATTCATGATATTAAGGAGAGCAACAATGGGACCGTACAACAATTACATTAAGTCCCATGGTGAAATTTTTTGTGTTACAATGATTTATACATACATATACTTAAATCTACTCGAAGCCTGTTACAAATGAAATAGTTATCTAATGGTGACCTAAGTTTTTCCGGTCGGCGATTGCTTGTGCAAAAGTTCTTGTACGGATCTAGTATATGATCACTTTATTTGTCTTATCTTTTTTTTCCCCCAATAATTAGGTATTAGGGTTTGACCCGCGCCCTGCACGGGGTGATGATTTCTGAATTTATATTTTTATTAAAATACTCCATCCGTTTCAAATTAGTTGTCATTTTGGCAAAATGTATCTGCAAATATTTGGACGTATCTAGACATGTTTTGCATTGCAGATACATTGCAGATACATTTTACCAAAATGACAACTAATTTGAAATGGAGGAGTATGTTTTTTGGTAATTTATTAAAAGATGTTTATTTAAATATCCCAAAATTTATGCGACGGATTTTTAATCTTTGTTAGATTATTGTCCTCATTTATTCGTTTATAATATGAAAATTAAGCATTTTAAACTATTTAAAAAAAGGTAAATAGATTAAAGCCATATATTAAATATGATAGATTTAAGCGAGATACATGAAACTCAAATGACTACAGTATAATAAGTTAGTTTAAAGAACAAAAAAGTGAAAATAAAACATTATTCTTTACAAAAATGTATACTGTATTTCATAAAATAAGAAGTCTTAGCTGTGTGCACACGGATTAGAATTATTTTTTTTTCTTTGAAAACTAAAACACGGATTAAAATCAATTTTTTTTTTCTTTCTTTCAAAACTAAAACATGGATTAGAACTATTTTTTTCTTTCTTTCAAAACTAAAACATGCTTCATTATAATTTCAAAACAATTTAACCAATAAGAAGACAATATGCATGATCTAAATTGTTAAAATAACAAAAATATAATTAACTTTATATTGAAAGTTGAAACAGATAGAATAATATTTAAATTTTTAATCAAACTAAATTTATAAAAATAATTTTTTATTCAATTTTATTATAGAATTTAATTAAAACCATATTAAATAGAATAAAAATAATAATTTACCTTTAAATACCTACTAAATGAGGTTATATACTAAACAATTTACATTATTTTGTTTTTAAAAATTCAAATCATAACATATACAGAAAAAGCTTTAGATTTTCTTTATTAGTTTTTTTATATTGTGATTCGTATTATTTCATAAAATAAAGTTGAACAAAGATGATAGGATATATAATGATTTTTAAAAAATGATTATGATAGAATTCAATTGAATTTCATATCTTCCTTATTTACTTATTTTCGTAATTGTCAATTAAGGAAATAAAATAATAATAAAGGGATGGTAAGCATAATATGCAATGGCAAAATTTGTAATTTCTCTAGTAAAACTTGTCTTAATTAGAAATTGGGCTGAGAATGAACCTGGTGATGACACATCAGCAGTGGCACTCTTGTTAATAACACAATGGACAAAGGTTATTTAGTTAGTGTTTTCTCTTTTAATATATTAGGGATTTGTCATATATCCTACTTCCTAGTATATATTGTCATAATCTTTGTTGTCGAATTGTTCAACTAGTAGACGCCACTATCATGGTAAAGAATTTACAATTGGAATCATCTTTAGTAGTCTTCAACATTAAACCAGGTCAAAAAAGTGAGTAAGAATGTTGAATAATCTACTTATTTCGGGAAGAAAAAGGTTGAATGTTTCAATATGGATATTTCACAGTGGTTGAATAATTTTGTCCACTCAATCTGTCATAGTAAAAGTTAAAAAGATAGGTATTGAAAATAGTCCAGATCCGGAAAGAATCTCGTTTTTTCTCGAGAAAAATCGTGATCGACTGAAACCTGTCCGAGTCAGAGAAAAATCATAAAGGCATCTCTCTCTATATTATCTTCTTTCCATTATTTTAAGATATCTTTCGTATAAAACAAACAATTAAGAGATTGTTGTTTCTCTTCTTCTTATCTTTCATTTTCGTTTCCTCTTCTTCTCTCTATATGCTCTCTCTCTCTCTCTACACCACGTAACACAACTGACCTTTTTCCCCAACCTCAAGGCTCTTCCTTGTCATCTTGTTGCCGAATCAATCCACAAGAGGTATGGCTCACTTCTCTCACTCAAATCTCCCTGCTTTCGATTATTCCTATTCTCTGTTTTCCTGATTCTTCTCCACTGCTCTGGTTTTGGTGATTGATCAGGATACTAAAGTCTCCACCTTTATTTGATTTTGAGAAGCTTTGTTCGATCCATGGGTTCCTATTCCGGTGGATTCCATGGATCCTTGGATGGGTTCGATTTCAGTAGCGAGTTTGATGATTTGCCTGGCTCAGACGATGCTCTAGGTTTAGCTGATGGATTCTATCTAGATGAGCCTCTCTTAGATTTCGCATCTTTAGATCATTCATTAGCAATCCCAAATACATATCCTTTACAATCCAACAACAAAGCTGCAACAATAGATCCATTACTATCATCCCCATCCGATGACGCTGATGACTCCGTTTTGAAGTACATAAGCCAAGTGCTTATGGAGGAAGACATGGAAGAGAAGCCATGTATGTTTCACGACGCCTTAGCTCTCCAAGCAGCTGAGAAGTCTCTCTATGAAGCCCTCGGCGAGAAGTACCCTTCTTCTTCTGCTTCCTCTTCCTCTATGGACCATCAAGCTTACCCTGAGAAATCAAGTCCTGACGGTTCTTGTTCAGGCGGTGGCTTCAGTGATTACGCTAGCACCACAACCACCACTTCCTCTGACTCACACTGGAGTGTTGATGGCTTGGAGAACAGACCTTCTTGGTTACAGACTCCGATCCCTCCCAATTTCGTTTTCCAGTCTACTTCTAGGTCCAACAGTGTCTCTAATGGTGGTAACAGCTCCGTTTTCGGAGATGATTTGGTTTCGAGTATGTTCAAAGACAGTGAATTGGCTATGCAGTTTCAGAGAGGAGTGGAGGAAGCGAGTAAGTTCCTTCCCAAGTCTTCTCAGCTGTTCATCGACTTAGACAGTTACATCCCCAAGAATTCTGGCTCTGAGGTTTCTGTTAAGAAGGAGAAGAAAGATGAGACAGAGCATCACAGATTGACTGGGAAGAAAAGCCATTGGCGTGACGAAGATGAAGACTTCGAAGAAGAAAGAAGTAACAAGCAATCAGCTGTTTACGTTGAAGACACAGAGCTCTCTGAGATGTTTGACAAGATCTTGCTGTGTGGCGGCTCTGAGCAACCTGTATGCATTACCAACCAGAAGTTCCCAGAAGAATCCGCCAAAGTCGAGACGACGAGTCACCAAGCTTCGAATGGAGCAAAGAGCCGTGGAAAGAAATCAACTGCTGCTACTAGTACTAATGGTAATGACTCCAAGAAAGAAACTGCTGATTTGAGGACTCTTTTGGTGTTATGTGCACAAGCTGTATCAGTTGATGATCGTAGAACCGCAAACGAGATGCTAAGACAGATACGAGAGCATTCTTCTCCTCTAGGGAACGGCTCAGAGAGATTAGCTCATCATTTCGCAAACAGTCTCGAAGCACGTTTAGCTGGGACCGGTACACAGATCTACACAGCGTTATCTTCCAAGAAAACGTCAGCAGCAGACATGTTGAAGGCTTACCAGACTTACATCTCTGTCTGCCCGTTCAAGAAAGCAGCCATCATATTTGCTAACCACAGCATAATGCGTTTGACTGCTAACGCCAACGTGATCCACATCATAGACTTCGGGATCTCTTACGGTTTCCAATGGCCTGCGCTGATTTATCGCCTCTCGTTTAGAAATGGTGATCGTGGTCCTCCTCCTAAGCTTCGGATTACAGGTATAGAGCTTCCTCAGCGCGGTTTTAGACCAGCGGAAGGAGTTCAGGAGACGGGTCGTCGCTTGGCTCGATACTGTCAGAGGTACAATGTTCCGTTTGAGTACAATGCCATTGCTCAGAAGTGGGAAACGATTAAAGTTGAAGACTTGAAGATTCAAGAAGGAGAGTTTGTGGTTGTGAACTCTCTGTTTCGTTTCAAGAACCTTTTGGATGAGACGGTTGTGGCCGTGAACAGCCCTAGAGATGCGGTTTTGAGCCTGATAAGGAAAGCGAAGCCTAATGCTTTCATCCCGGCGATCTTGAGCGGATCCTACAACGCGCCGTTCTTCGTCACGAGGTTTAGAGAAGCCTTGTTTCATTACTCGGCTCTGTTTGATATGTGTGACTCGAAGCTGACGAGGGAAGACGAGATGAGGCTCATGTTTGAGAAGGAGTTTTATGGAAGAGAGATTATGAATGTTGTGGCTTGTGAAGGGACGGAGAGAGTGGAGAGACCGGAGACGTATAAGCAGTGGCAGGCGAGAGTGATCCGAGCCGGGTTTAGACAGCTTCCGCTTGAGAAGGAACTGATGCAGAATCTGAAGCTGAAGATCGAGAACGGGTATGATAAGAACTTCGATGTTGATCAAAATGGTAACTGGTTGCTTCAAGGGTGGAAAGGTAGAATCGTGTATGCTTCGTCTGTTTGGGTTCCTTCTTCATAGATGTTGTTTCTTGTTTCCTAAGTAACTGGGTTTTATGTAGGGCTTTTCTTTTTCTGTTGGATTGGGTTCAGAGATAGGGTTCTTGAACACTTGCTAGTATTGTTATATATGCTTGTGACATAGCTTGTATAAGAGTATATAGCATAAGAGATATTGTAGTAGTACTTGATGCATGAACTTTTGCTATGTTCATGCAAATCTCTTGTTGCATAAATAATGAAAAGCTTAAATTTTTGTCCCAAATAACTTTTGATGAGTTTATTGTCGTTTGCATTTGTAAACCACATTCGAAATACATCGATGAGAAAATTATCCGGATAATGTGTTTTTAATATGACACAAACCCACGCTTCCTACCTGTACCAGTCAACAGGATAACACATGATTTCATCAATTAAAGTTCTTGTATTAAGGATTGAACAACAAACATGATTTGAAAAGCAAAGGAAGAACCAATCCAATAAAGTTTCTTTAGTATATTGTTTACAAGATATTTTAGTGAAAATGTAGTACTAAAACGTGATATCCACTCAGTTTCGAGTTAGAAAGAATATTCTTCATGTACTAGTACAATATTATATGGTGTGAATCTGACAATATATGTCAGAATGACAATGTGAGATCTGGAGGTCCCTTTCACTTGATTTATTTATTGTCGTGGTTCTTTATAATAACTCTCAAGTCACTTCATGTTTTTTTTTTTTTTTTTTTTTTTTTTTTTTTTCTATTTTATGTAGCACTTATCAGCAACTACTGGTCAAATAATCAACTCCACCAGGAATCTTTATTAATCTTGCTCTCCAAGTATTAGATATGAAACTCTCGTTTTTTTCCTTTGGTCAATCTCCTACAAATACGTTCGGAATCAAATTAATAAAATGGTTTAACAAAGGAACTTGTACGAGACACTTTTGACTTTACATCATATATGACTATATGAGAATAATATAACGGAAGTTGATCAAGTACATAATTCATAGTCAATATCAGAATCTTCTCAGACTATTGTCTATAGGGTTTTAAATCTCATTAATGAAACTATGTACTACGTCAAATCTCATATATACAGATAATGAAATCTTGGCAACTACTACTTGCTTAAGCTATCCACAAACATGATCATTTAAGTTTCGTTTTTCTGAGGTCAACAACATATGGATTATGGATTACTAGGTTTGAAGCCCCGCGCAAGCGCGGGGTTGTTTGCGATAGTTTTTTTTTTAGTTTTATTTATATTTTATCTCACATCTTGCGTCATTTTATTTTATTTTATTAGGATGTTAACACCCCACTTTATCTCGAAGTTTTCTATTTTAACATTTTAGCATGTTATAAATATTATGTTTGTTTACTTCTGTTAGACTATAAACATGCATATGTATTTGACTCAACGTTAAAATTTGTAAGTATAATGTAAAATCGCATTTGCACCGAAATAAGATGAAAAAAATAATATATATACTTTTTTACATATCTACTTTGTTGTGGTAGCATATGAGCTCATGACCATTGATTATTTTCTATTATGTTAGTTTTGTAATTGAATATATTTTGAAACAAACATATCACAATCCTTAAAATTTCATGTTTTTCACTGCAATTAAATTTACATATAAAAACTCGACTTCTATTTTTTAAAAAGCAAAATCTAACTCTAATTTCTCATTGGTTTTTTATTATCTTAATTAATTTATATTCAACTTTTTAACTTGTAAACACATTATAACATTTTGAAATAGGATAAATCCTTTTAATAAAAAGGTAAATATATACCATTTCAAGTTAAATATATTTTTACTTATATTCAAACTTTTTGATAACTTTTAACATCAAGTTATCACATACTTTATATTAATTAAGTAATTTAGTTGTGTATTTTTCTTAGTTTTATTTATATTTAAAATATAAATATATGTAAAGAAATATGAATAGTCATGTATTAAATATCTTAAAAACAATTTAATGAATTTTGTGCTGATGTGGATAGCCTAGATGGAGAGAGCAACTCTCCTATTATATATAAGATAGATAGAAGTTAATAATGGGAGGAGTTAGCCAATTAGGAAACAATAGTACAGGGAGTATTAAAGAAGAATTCTTTATCCACTTGCCATAAAAGATGATGATAACTTTTGTTACTTTGTACTAATAACATGACAATCACCACTTGAAAAAAGAAAGAGATGGGCCCAAGCCCACGAATGAGAGACAGGTCAAAAGAGCCGACAAATAAAGTTTTGACTCCTCGGACGAATCGGAAGACTGGTCCTGTCCCCTTCGCGTTGTTCCCCGGGAAACTTCCTCCTCCTTTTCTCTCCATTTCTTGCTGCTGCTGCTCTCACGCATAGCAACAGCCACCACCACCTTCATGTGCATACTTCTCCTCTACTAGCTAACGTAATGATCTCGAAAAGTCCATGCCTTTTTGTCTCCTTCTTGTCCACTTAGCCAATCCCACTTCTTCTTCACAGGTAAGCAATCTTTTCTTCCCTTTTTTATCATATGAAGAAAAGAGCTAAGCAATTAAGCATTCTTGTCTCAAAGGATTCATATTTCTTTGCTCAATCTACCGTGTTTTGTGTTCTTGTAGGTGGGATGTTTTGAAGAGAGGTAACCAAATTCAGTGAATTAGGGTTTTTCATTTAATTTGAGGAAAGAGTTCGTTTATTGATGATGGAATCGAATTTCTCTAGAATGGTCAACGGCTTCGAGTATTATGATTTGAGTTTCTTACCAAATCCGATTCCCGATCTTGGATTCGGCGTTCCTTCGTCTAGCGATTTCGATCTCCGCACGAATCATCATCACCAACCTTCAATTTGGGTTCCATCAACACAAGATCAATACTCTCCTCCATCTGATGAGATCGATTCGGAGAACAGCCTTTTGAAATACGTAAACCAGATCCTCATGGAAGAGAGCATCGCGGAGGAGAAGCAATCTATGTTCTACGATTCCTTAGCTCTACGACAAACCGAAGAAATGTTGCAGCAAGTCATCAGCGACTCCCAAACTCAATCTTACAGTATCATCCCAAATTCGATCAGTAGTAGTAGCAGCAACAGTGGCGGTGGTGATTGTTGGAGCAGTAACAGCAACTCCAGTGTCCGAATCGAGACAGCAGCTAACTCTAACGAGAGCGAAGTCTTTTACGATCCTCTTGTTGACTCTGGTGTTGTGTCTTTCCAAGGCTCAAACTCAAACACGTTGCGTGGATTCGGACAGCCAGCGAACGAGATTCTTGTCAGAAGTATGTTTAGTGACGCTGAATCAGTCCTCCAGTTTAACAGAGGTCTAGAGGAAGCTAGCAAGTTTCTTCCAAACACCGACCAATGGATCTTCAATCTCGAGCACGAGAAGAAAGAAGTCTTCCCAGTGAAGCAAGAGAAAGGGTTTAAAAAGACTCATCACGAGCGAGAAGAGGAAGAAGATGAGCTAGTAGAGTATACAAGGAGTAGCAAACAATCAGCAGTGAACGTTGAAGACGGGAAGTTAACTGAAATGTTCGACAAGGTTCTGCTTCTTGACGGCGAATGCGATCCGCAGATTATAGAAGACGGAGGGAATGTTTCTAGCAAAGCTCAGGTGAACAAGAAAGAAGGAGGCCGAGCGAAGAAGAAGAGCCAAGCGGTTGATTTCCGCACGCTTCTCACGCTCTGCGCGCAGTCGATCTCCGGTGGCGATAAGATCACAGCTGACGATTTGCTGAGGCAGATAAGGAAGCAGTGTTCGTCTGTCGGCGATGCGTCGCAGAGACTTGCTCATTTCTTCGCCAACGCGCTCCAGGCTCGTCTTGAAGGTAGCAGCAGCGGGACGATGATCCAGAGCTACTACGATTCCATCGCTTCGAAGAAACGAACAGGTGCGCAGATTCTCAAATCGTACAGCGTGTTCTTGTCTTCGTCTCCGTTCATGACCTTGATCTACTTCTACTCCAACAAGATGATTCTTGACGCTGCTAAAGATGCTTCCGTGCTTCATATAATCGACTTCGGGATCCTTTACGGTTTCCAGTGGCCGATGTTTATACAGCACATATCGAAGAGCAAAACCGGGCCACGTAAGCTTCGGATAACCGGGATTGAGATCCCTCAGAACGGGTTTCGTCCGACGGAGAAGATGGAGGATACAGGTCGTAGGCTCACAGAGTATTGCAAACGGTTTGGTGTTCCGTTTGAGTACAATGCGATTGCGTCCAAGAACTGGGAGACGATCCGGATGGAGGAGTTTAAGATCCAACCGAACGAGGTTCTTGCGGTTAATACCGTTCTCAGGCTTAAGAACCTTAGAGACGTGACTCCAGGGCAAGAGAATTGCCCTAGAGACGGGTTCTTGAAGTTGGTTAGAGACATGAACCCGGATGTGTTCGTGAGCTCGACGATAAACGGGTCTTTCAACGCGCCGTTCTTCACGACGAGGTTCAAAGAAGCTCTGTTCCATTACTCGGCGCTGTTCGACATGTTTGGGGCGACGCTGTCGAGAGAGAACCCGGAGAGGATACATTTCGAAGGGGAGTTTTACGGGAGGGAAGTGATGAATGTGATAGCTTGCGAAGGAGTGGATAGGGTTGAGAGGCCGGAGACGTACAAGCAGTGGCAGGTGAGGATGGTGAGAGCCGGGTTTAAGCAGAAGCCTGTGGAGGCAGAGCTTGTGGAGACGTTTAGGGTGAAGATGAAGAAATGGGGTTATCATAAAGACTTTGTGCTTGATGAAGATAGTAACTGGTTCTTGCAAGGTTGGAAAGGTCGCATCTTGTTCTCTTCTTCTTGTTGGGTCCCTTCTTAGCTTTTTGTGTTTTTACATCAGATTTTTTTGTGTTTTGTACTTATATGTTTTGTTTATTTGTTTTACTTTGATTCTCTTTAGCTTTGATATATGTACAATGACTGTTTATTATGTTGAAAACTAAAGATGTTAAACTGAATCTTTTGTACGGAGGCAAATTTTCTTGAAAGTATTAATGGTTCCACAAGCAACTAAGCTTAAAGTGCCTAAAGTGAATAAATAAAACTTTCTTAGAAAATCTTTCAATCGCTACAGCATGAAGATACAGTGGCGTGTTTTGTTATTCTCTTTGATTAAAATGTACAATGAGAAACCATTTAGGAGTCTCCAACACCTACGTCGGAACAACCTGTGGCTCAAGTGGTGGAGATCCATCATCCTCAGCAGGCTTCACAGTCACAGTCTCCTCTTGGCTCTTCTTGTCCGTCTCTTCAAATCCAGATTTAAACCTGTCGTAGTTAGTAGTCTCACCCGACTTAAACGGACGCTCACCCAAAACTTTAGAAAGATCATCCTGATGCAGAACCTCCTTCTCTAGCAATAGCTCAGCGATCTGAGCCACTTGCTCTTTGTGTTCCTCTATTAGCTCAACCGTTCGCTTGTACGCTTTGGCCACCCATTCTCTGACCTCTTCGTCAATCATCGCACCTGTTCTGTTGCTGTACGGTTTGGAGAACTCGTCCTCTCGTTGCGGGAACGAGAGCAATCCTATCTTGTCGCTGAATCCGTACACAGCCACTTGCGCGTATGTCATCTTGGTCACTTTCTCCAGATCATTCTGAGCGCCGGTCGATATTTTTCCAATCAACACCTGTATTCAAGCCCCAGCAAACAAACAAGATTCAAAGCTTGAAGAAGAACAATGAAGAGAGATAAATCTTCAGAGATGAGAGTGAAGTTGAGAGAAAGATTTACCTGTTCAGCTGCACGGCCACCAAGAGTCATGCAAGTCATGTCGAAGAGTTGCTCTTTAGTCATGAGCAAGTTTTCATTTGGAACGTACTGAGCAAACCCGAGCGCTGCTGTGCCACGAGGAACGATGGTCACCTTCAGCAATGGCTCCGCATGTTCTAGGAACCACCCAGCTACTGCATGGCCAGATTCATGATATGCAACTGTACGACGCTCCAGTTTACTTACTACCTGTGGTCAAGAATCCACCAAACAAAACAAATAGTACAACATTCAGGTTTCTATTTTCCAAGCTTTTGACGAAAATTGAGATATACAGCTCCAATCACATACCCTGTTTTTCTTCTCTAGACCACCAATAACACGATCGATTGCTGAGTCAAAGTGCGCCATTGTAACTGTTGCACCTTCATGTCTAGCCGCAATAAGAGCCGCCTCGTTACATACATTGGCAATGTCAGCTCCAGCGAATCCAGGAGTGAGAGCTGCAAGCCTCTGTGAGTAATACGAGGGTTCATGATCAAGTTTGATCTTCTTCAAGTATATCTGGAATATCTGATCACGGCCTTTGATATCAGGTTTGTCTATTGTTATCTGCCGATCAAACCTGCCAGGCCGCAACAAAGCTTTATCAAGAATATCCGGCCTGTTAGTCCCAGCAAGGACGACAACTCCAGCTGTAGTACCAAATCCATCCATTTCCACTAGCAACTGATTAAGAGTGCTCTCACGCTCATCGTTTCCGCCAGAGAAACCTCCACGCCCTCTTGCACGGCCAATGGCATCGATCTCGTCGATGAATATTATGCTAGGTGCACACTGTCTAGCCTCTTGAAACAAGTTTCTCACTCTGGAAGGTCCAACACCAACAAACATCTCCATGAAATCTGAACCAGATATCGACAGAAACGGCACAGCTGATTCCCCTGCAGTAGCTTTTGCTAGAAGGGTCTTCCCAGTCCCTGGTGGCCCAACTAAAAGTGCTCCTTTCGGGATCTTAGCTCCTAAATTCTCATACTTCTTCGGGTTCTGAAGGAAATGCACAAACTCCATGATTTCTTGTTTAGCCTCCTCGCATCCCGCAACGTCTTTAAAATATATCTGGCAAATACCAAAAAAGACAAAAGATCAGCTGCAAATCCCAATAGCATCACGAAAAGGGAAATGAGGATGCTGATTCTAACCTTATTCTTTGAGTTTTTATCAGCTCTAGTGATTTGAGCTTTCCCTATATTGAAAATTCCACGGCCACCTTTGCCACCAGGTCCTCCAACACCTCCCAAACCACCTTGCATACGTCTTGCTCCGTAGATAAGCGTACCCAAGAGAAGTAAAGTGGGTGCAAACCTCAACAGTTCTTGGTACCATATCATTTCAGAGACGTAGGTGACAGGAACATAGTCATGAGAGTTAACTCCTAACGATTCTTGGGCCTCTTCGAGTTTCTCCTCAAATGACTCAACACTACCAATATTGAAGTAGTACTTGTACTGGCCACCACGTCCTTTAGCAGGAACCCCATTAACACTACCAGGACCTTGAACCACTTCTTCAGATGTTTGGTTTTTCGGTGTACTCCTCACATAGACTTTAGCGACTGCTTTATTGGAAACATCTATGTGATCCACTAGACCAGGCTCAAGAAGCTTGTTTTTGAACTCCTGGAAACTAATCTGAAACAACAGATAGCTAGGGGAATTAGTTTTCATGTCTCATGCCTAATTCCACAGTTCCACAGATAAATATCCTCAAAAGATAAACAAAGTTTAGCCAAACATGCTTGCCTCTTGCTGTTCACGGGAACCAAGTGAGAAAGAAGATATGATTAAAGCAATGGCCATCAGAGGAATTAACATATTTTGAAAGTCCTTAGTGAACATGTCCCCAAAATTCTCGTTTTCAGTCTTCTTCGAGCCGTCTGCATTGCAACAAAATATATCTCCGATTACAACAATCTTCAAACAAGCTTTCACAATCGTCAAAAGAAGATAATTCAAAGAAATGCTAGCCAATTTTGAGTACTCAGAAGCCAAACCATCAAATAGAAAGACCAAAAAAAGATGACAAATGATTCCCAATACTCACAAAAGTATCAACTGTTCTAATCAATTTCTTCAAATCAATCACAAAAGTTACCTTTGGATTCCGATTTCTGCTCATTCTTTGGTCCTTTCTTAGTACTTTTTGGATAGTAGTTTTCGTAATCTGCACAAAACATAGTCCTAAACAAATGAGCACCCATATCTCTCGAATTAACAGAGCTAGAGCTTTGAAGAGCCATCAAATATAGTCGTAAACCAATATATGAACAGCTATTATGATTCCGTATGTAAAGCTTAGGGCTTTGAGTCATACTCTTCTTCTTTGGGCTTTCGCTAGAGAAGAGCCGACGCAATCTAGGGTTAACGAAAACACGGCTCAAATCACCGGCATCCACTCCCTTCCGAGCAGCTAAAGAGGCAAAGTGCCGCCTCAGAAGCCCTAATCCGACACCCACCGGATTGGCGGCCGCCTCAAAAGCCGGCGGCGCTGGAAGCCTCCCATCTCTTAGAATCGCCGATCTCACACCACCACCATACACCAATCCCTGATTTCGTCAGGAATTTGTTAGAAAAATAGGAAATAAAACACAAAATTTAACAAGCATCTGAAGAATTGAAACATACACAATCAAACGAACCTTAGAACGAGAAGATCGAGCGAAGGAGTAACCAAGCTTGGAGAATATCATTGTCAATTAATCAGAACGAGCAAAAGTGAGCTCGCATAATCTATATATATAGCAACGGAAACAAGAGATCTAATCAAACCCAACGAGAAAGATGGCAACTTTCGTTTCGGATTGCAGCAAATGAGTGATGCAAGGAATAAGGGATGGTTTTTCGGGAGTGAAGAAGATGTGGGCGATCGGAAAATCAATAAGCCCAGAAAATAAATTTGGGATTTTTATGTTGCTTTTGTTGAAAGAGCAGTTATAATGTGAAAATTGAGCTGCTTGGGAGACAAGACACCAACGCGTCTCAGACTCCAACATATATTTCTTTCGTGGATTATTTCAACCGGTTTTCAGCTATAAACCAACAAAATTTTGATTTTTTCGAATCTCAAAGTCCCACTCCAAAAGTGGTTTGATAAACTCGGGATGAAGAAAAAGTCAAAAACAAAAAATCAGCTTGATAGATAGAGAATGAAATCGGATCATGGGCCGAGATAATGCTATAAATGGGCCTGTGCTAAATTAAACGACCCCAATTTTGACTCAAGTCATGTCAAGTGGTGTGGCAACATTTCCACCTGAATTCACCTACGCTTTGGCACGTAGCACTACGTTCGTCCACGTGTCGGATTCTACACCGCAAGTAGAATACAACCCCGAGGAACTTCCAGAACAAGCTACGTCACACCAAAACTAGAGTACTAAAGAAGCAATTAACACTCGTAATTAAGGAACGTTAAAGAAGAGTAAGAGAGAAAGAAAGAAATGGATAACGAGTCCGAGTCTAGTTACTACGACGGAGAGACGATGGCCGTTGATGAGGACTACCACGTGGTATGCACAACTCCGACACGTGATGACTGCCGTATACCAGCTTATCCTCCGTGTCCGCCTCCGGTGAGAAGGAAGAGACCGCTACACTTTGGAAAGAAAAGGGGACCGCCGAAGAACGGATATTTTCAGCCGCCGGACCTGGACCTGTTCTTTGCGGCAGTGGCAGCTTCCATACGGCAAGAAAGCTGCGCCTAGATTGCTTAATCGATCCTCCTTTGACTTTTAGAATTATATGTGTTATATATTGGCCCGATCCTTGATTGATTAAGTTTTTTGCTTGTAAAAGGTTCGGGTTTGAATGCGGTTATGTATGTATATAGATGATGGATACGCTTTAAAATGTGTTTGTATGGTCTTTGTATTGAACATGTGTGTGGTTTTAATGTTTTTCACTTTTTTGGTTTGTTTTCTGTTGGGTAACTTGAGTTGGACTCTTGTTTATGTTCTGTTTTGTGTACAAACAACCGTCTCTCTGTTTTATATGTAGTATTAAACTTAATTTAAATTTTCATAAACGCTTTTTTTGTATGGATAAATTGAATCCTATTCGGTAATATGGCAACATGTTCACAACGAGGGAGCAAACTTTTTGAGTCTTGCAGATTTGATTTATGTACTCGTCCAAGATAAACATAAGATGGTAATGATCGAAATCTGTATTGGCTACACTTTGTTCAAATAGTGTCATGCTCTTAACAACGTGTATTCAGCAATTTGTGTCTTACGGTTATATAGGATCATCATCGCAGATTAAGAACTCACCGAGCCTTGCTCATCTCCTCTTGTCCAAGTTTTTATTATTTCCTTGTATTCCATATGTGAACAGACTTTTCAAAACTTCAAGGCTTTACAGATGAACGTGGGGTTTAAGGTTTATAATGAATTTTTAGCTGATTATAGAGCGAGAATCGCAGAATCGACACCTTTTCAAATTATATAGGTCTCTTATGCAAACAAGAAAGAACTAGGGCATTTGATTTGAAGTATGGTTCATGAACACGAGTAAATTATGATTTAAGCAATTTTCGAAGTCAAAACTTCTCAAAACTCGGTAGATCTGGCGGCCATCTACCCATCACAAGCTTCTCAACGCATCTTGAATCACCTCACCGAGTAAAAAATATGTGAAAAGAATTAGATATTTCGTCAGTACTCATGTGATGTAATAAAAGTGCTGATGTAAGGTTAAATTCGTAAGTTTTCTTTTTATGTGTTCTAAGAATATCGTACTTTCTTTTTCATGTAGTGTTGGATACTTATTGTATAAGCAATGTCTAGTTATCCTTTGTCTGATTATCGTCACCAACTGTCAGATATTAGGTAATGTAATTTCCCACACACACCAGAAAACAAAGTAATTAATTCAGGCTATTTATAACTAACTTTAGCCTGGCGGAAACGTACTCAGAGTTCACATAAACTACAATTAAGATACATAAAGTACGCATAACGTTATAGTAATATACAGTAGTTAATTGAATGGGTGATTTCATGGAAACCTAGGTTGTTTTTCAATAACATAAGTGAAAAAAAACATGTGGAATATTATTAGACCAAAGCTGTCTACTCTTGGTCCCGATTTCAAAATATTTATCGTAAGAAACACTTTTCTCTCCGTCCCTCTTTGCTCCCTTTCTCTCCAAACACTCCCAAATGACATTTTCACAGAAAAGTTAAATGTTTTCGTTTTGAAAATACTCTTATAATTGTAGACCACTTGTTCAATCTATAATTCGAGAGACAAGACCCCGCCTAGAATTTAGAAGTTTGTAGACAAATTTGAAAAAATGTCCCTCTTTTTGTACATCAAACCACTATACAAAAAGAAATATAATAGTAGATGTTCTAGAAAAGTCCATCGTAATTAAAAAAAATTCAAATTTCGTCTAGTCTGGAAGAATTTTATTTAATGACATCATTTAGATGTAATTTTATTCAAGGCACGGTGTTCAAGCGGAATACTTGAGTCACTCGTCAAGAATATTCTTTCTGTTGGATCCTCGTCATTTGACTCAATATGTGTATAGTCGTAGGTGTGATGATTCCACAAATATGTTTTCCATTTCGTGGAAGCGTTACTCTTAAACCAACCAGTTTTAGTAATAGTAATCCTCTACAAATTTTCTTGTCGTTCCCGTCCACTATGCCAGCTTTATTTGTGTAAATATACTTTCAACTATAGACCAATAAGCACATATACACATATACTCAATGAAGCAATGTATACGGATACAATTTCTGATGCTCCCTCTCTCTCTCACGTGACGGTTGATTTGTAGTATTAATTATTAACGTCTTCCCTTTTTATATTTCTTTTTTTGAACTTAAAAAAAAAAAAAAAACCATACTGATTATATTAGTATCCAAAGTTTCGATTAAATTTGGAAACGTGGAAAAATAAAAACAGATGATCCCAAATCCTTTCGCTTACTTCTGAAGTTAAACTAAAACTAAACAAGTAAAATTAAGTAGAACAATGCCAGCCAATCTTGTTAACAACGTCCTTATATAAAAGCAAAATGCATTATGTGCATATATGTACATGCGTACTAAGCGATATTCACGTTTTACTTATAAAGGTAACCTGTTAAAAATATATCCTATTGGTAAGTTTAAACTTTAAGGAATCATGAAAGTAGATAGACTGAAACCTGTAAAGCGTACTTATTGATATGGTTTTAACTAATAAGGCGTAAAATTTTGTGCAGGAGTTACAGTAATTGATAGTACTGGTTTGCACATTATCCGAAGTAAACTATGATTTAAGTTAATTAATTTGAATATTTCAGTTCATTCTTATGCATTCATCGTTTCCACTTAGTATATTTAGGAGGCCCTCACTAATATATAAGCAGAAGGACACATTCCTCTCTCTCTCTCTCTCTCTCTCTCCCTCTCCCTCTCTCTAGATCACTATCTCTCCTTTTAGCTCAACCACCACAAACTCACAATCAAAAACAAAAAAAACAGAGACCCTCCATCTGATTCCAAAGCTCTCTCTCTCTCTACTCCCTCTCTTCTTCAGCAGAGACATGGACGAGAAGTGGAAGCTGTCGAAAAAGGACGCATCAGCTGCGTCGTACTCAGCTTCCTCTTCTTCATCTAAATCCAAGTTCTCTAGAAGCTACTCGACGAGTGCATCCTCTACAAAGGCTCCTGTATTCGTACGGAGTTCGTCCACCAAATGCTCAGTCCCATCTTCTTCGTCCTCCATGTCCAGAAGCTCATTGAAGAAAGAGAAAGGATCATCATCATCTTCCATTACCCAAAAGTACAGCAGCTTGGCCAAAGAACAGAAAGGGAGGTTTTACATTATGAGAAGGTGTGTGGCTATGCTTGTCTGTTGGCATAAACATGATTCCTAGCTTAGATCTCATGCATTTATATTCTTTTTGTTTTGATAATTTAGATCAGTTTGATTCTCTACTCTAGGTTGTTGCTACAAGTTTCTATACTAGTACATTGTAAGAAAGAGATTCTTTTGATAATATATTATTAATTCTGATAAGACAGAGTCATTTATACAGCGGTATATGCAATTTATAATGTGTCGTCTGATGAAGAAAATTGAAAACATCGAACAATTTTATTAAAAAGGTGAAATTTTGATGCCACAATCTGGAGGGTCGATGTGTCGAGACGTACAATTATTTTGTTAGGATTAAATCGAATAGTCACTTTCAATGTCTGGAAAATAATTTAATAAGAACCAATGATAATTTATTTGGTCAAAGATCTGAGGTTGTTTTTCAGTCAACAGATCTGAGTATTTTTCACATACTTCTTTACCAATTTATTTGTCCCTATATGGCCTTTGCAACGTTTATGCTCTTTTTTATAGCCGTGATTAGACTTCAAACAGTATTATTAAAGACGATAATGGCCGGGATAATGGGGTCTTGTTAATATCATGTGGTCAATAAAGTTGCATGATGCTAGTATTAGATTATTTGGAATTGTAAGTTGCAACTCCATCTTTGCCATATTTATATTGACCTACTGAATTAGTACAACAAACACATTTAGATTTGGATAGAAAATTCCCATTTAAGAGAAGGAAGCTTTGTAAACAGAGTTGATAAAATATCAAACAGTAATCCATTTCTGTTAATAAATTTCGATTTACAGAAATCTTTTTCATTGTAAAAAGCTTTGCATTCAGCTTTTCTACTATTCTTTTTACTTTTGTTTTAATTGAAGGAAGATTCCCTCTTGCTAAACCTAACTTTTCTATACATGAAGCCTAAGGACAAAATACATATATGAAACCGTGTTATTTTAAAAGTTTAAGATAGAGTTACTATACTGTACTGTTTATAAGAATGTACGAACTTGGACACTGTTACGCGTTACTGACATGAATGAAATTAATTATAATCTTCTCTCTTAACGCGGGAAGAAATAATTCGAGATATTGAAGAATCCAATGGAAAGTTGTGAACCACTCGATCTTTGTCTCTTTTTGACTCTGACGATAATGTCATGATCATAAGAATTTTGGATTTAATCAGAAAATAAGTGATCACGTTACAGATTTATTTCAAAAGCCTATTTTTCAATTATTGCAAAAACAAAAAATCGAAATAATCGTACGGAGTAATTCTTACGGTAAAAAATATACAAAAAGGCGAAAAAGAAAATTAAAGAAAGAAACTCAGACTTCTCAGGTGAGAAACCAAACACAAAAGTACAAAGGAGATAAAGTGAACAGTGTCAGAAACACACTACACATTTATATTTAAGAGAAAACGAGTTTGGAAAGAAGGATGACATGGCCTTACGTGAGACGTTGGATTCCCCAGAGTCAAAATCTGACGGTGGATGTAACAGCTTCTGATTTTGAAACTGTGAACCAAGTGGTCAATTAGGAATCAGAACTTTTGTGGCGACTGTTCGTTTTGATCGAGGGAAACTTAACTTGGGGCTAGATATTTCCGGACATTGAAATAACAAGGATAAATGCAAGAAATATATTTATGTAAAAAACTAATCGGGTATATGTAAAAATTTGATACTGACGTATGATTTTGACACCGGACATCGAGTTAACACCAACCGAAAAAAAACTAATAATTATATTTATTTCAACCCAAATCATATAAAACTGTCATAGTATTAGACTAGGTTGGATGCAATTTTAAAAAATCATATGAATACTAAAAACAATAACAATAATTAATGGGAGAAATGGACATTTCGGTTTTTTGTTGGTTTTAGTCCGATTAGTTTAGTTCCATAAGTGAGCTCTGAGTTTGTTCGATTTTAGTTGTGTTTGGTTTGGTTTGATTCTGTCTGTATAGAGCTTTGGTTCATTCAGATTATGTTTGCTTCGATTGATAATTCATGCTAGTAATTCGAAACAATATGAAAAGATTTTCGGGGCGTTAATTTAGTTTAATTGATTAATCAGTTAAATATTTTGGTTGATCGGTTAGGTGAAACCAAACAGAGCGTGTGTAGAGAGAGTGTAGACTCTAATTTGGGTTGGGTTCGAGTCGGTTTACTTTTCTTTTCTTGCTGTCGGTATCGGTTTACGTAGACGTCAAAAATAATTATCGCGGATAAACTAAAATAAAAATTATCTGAAAAAGGGTCTCGATGGCGCAGATGATGGCACGTGTCCCTATTGCGATGTGATCTGATCCAAACCTATTTATATTCTTCGTTGCTTTTTCTGTGATGACCGTTCCTCTCAATATCTGATCTCTGATCCCTCTCTCTGTCTCTTCGCTCCGTCGCCGATTTCTGCCAGACTCCGTCTTACCGCCTCCGCCAAACCTCAGGTGAGCGTAACGGGCTTTGATTGGGGTTTATTTGTAACTTTTTTGGGGATAAATTGCCCTGAATTGATGCATTTGATACAATCAGATTTCCGGAGGACGAAATTCGTTTTTCGCCGGAATCAAATTTAGGAGATTTGAGGGGCTGGGAAGATGGCTACAACGACGACAACCAGCGGAGTGTATATCCATGTCATCGAGGACGTCGTCAACAAAGTCCGTGAAGAGTTCATTAACAATGGAGGTCCCGGCGAGAGTGTTCTCAACGAGCTCCAAGGAGTAAGTTTCAATTGCATATTATCCGTCTTCCTTCGCTGTAAAAAGATGGAAATTTGATGTTTTTAGTGGGATCAAGGTTGTGGGTAGCTTGAATTTTGTTCCTACCTATCAGGTAGGGTTTGTGGGAGCTCATTTCTTAAATCCATGATTAATTGAGCTTAAATTCGACTGATGCTGCTTTGTTTTAGATTTGGGAGATGAAGATGATGCAAGCTGGAGTCTTGTCTGGACCAATTGAGAGGTCATCGGCTCAGAAGCCAACACCTGGAGGTCCACTGACGCATGATCTGAATGTTCCTTATGAAGGGACGGAGGAGTACGAGACTCCCACTGCTGAAATGCTCTTCCCTCCGGTGAGTAAACGAAACTCAGGACTTGCTTGGTGTATAGAAATGGCTTCTTTTCCACTTGAGATGTTGTTGTAAACTCTTTTTCTTTCTTGGGCTTGGTTTTGTTTTTCTGTGTGTTTTTGAGCAGACACCACTGCAGACTCCCCTTCCGACGCCGCTTCCGGGTACTGCTGATAATTCCTCAATGTATAACATCCCTACCGGCTCAAGTGATTATCCAACTCCTGGTACTGATAATGGCGGCAACGTTGATGTCAAAGGAAGACCCAGTCCTTACATGGTGAGTTATCATGATTAAAAAATCCTGTGGAGCTGTGTATTGCTTATTTAAGTGTTTCATAAACTTATACTGAGAATATGCTCTCTATTGCAGCCACCACCTTCTCCGTGGCCAAATCCTAGACTTGATGTCAATGTTGGTAAGTATTACTTTTACCAGCACTTAATGTCTCACTTAACATAAATTTGTCTCTGTTTTGTTGTTTGAGATATTAATGTCTGACCTGCTGCTAGCTTATGTGGATGGCCGTGATGAGCCTGAGAGAGGCAACTCTAACCAGCAGTTTACGCAGGTACTTCTAATATTGAGAACCTTGAGTTTTGGGTCTCAAATCTAATTTGCAACAGTTACTTGTGCATTTTCTCACTCTATGGAACTTACTATCTTTGATTGGAATACGTCCAGGACTTATTTGTGCCGTCCTCCGGGAAACGAAAGCGTGATGATTCTTCTGCACAATATCAAAATGGTGGCTCTATTCCACAACAGGATGGTGCAAGCGATGCTATACATCAGGTGTGTGTGTAGAACTTCAAATTTGCATTTGCATTTGCATTTGGAATATAGCTCACATGAGAAAAAAACAAATTGTCGGTAGCACTCTTCATTTCTTATCGACAAAAGGTAGTATACTCGGTTGAGACTTTTCTTTGATTTCCACTTCACAAGTTTATGGATGCCAACCAAAAGCATATACATGCAAGCTTTTGAAACTGATTGAGTGATTCATCTGATTTGAGCACAATTTTGCAGGCAAACCTAAAGGGAAAGGCATTCTCCATAACCTTTATTGGTAATAGAAAGGTCCCACGAGATGTCATCTGCTCATCTTCAAAGATTCCTCAAGCTGATGGGCCAACGCCTGATCCTTATGATGAAATGTTGTCGACACCAAATGTAAATGCCTCTTCATTTAGCTGTCACCCAACTACTTTTGCTAAAGTAATTCCATAAATTTCATTTACTATGTTGCAGATATATAGCGAAGAGTTTCAAGAGGGCAGAACTCCTGCTCCAAACGGTAAGAGAAGCCAAACAAAAATGTTTTAGAGAAAGCAAGTGAATATCATCTGATGAAATTTCTCTTTTTGTTAGAGATCCAAACGAGCACTCCTGTCACTGCACAAAACGACATCATTGAAGACGATGAAGAGCTGTTGAATGAAGATGATGACGATGACGAGTTGGACGACCTAGAAAGTGGTGAGGATATGAACACACAACATCTAGTGTTGGCTCAATTTGACAAGGTAATGATCCTCCTGTTTACTCTGGGTTCCGGAGCTGTGTTTCTCTGCACGTACCAGCAAGACTTATTGTTTGCTGTTGCTATTAGGTGACCCGTACAAAGAGCAGGTGGAAGTGTAATCTGAAAGACGGGATCATGCATATAAACGATAAGGACATTCTCTTCAACAAAGTAATTTTTTTGCCTCTCAATTAACCTTAGTGCTATTCTAGTAACGAATATACTAACACACGCTCTGTCTACTTTTTCAGGCAGTAGGCGAGTTCGACTTCTGATCAACACAATAACAATGCTTTTAGAGAACTACAGTCCTTTAGTGTTCATTGTCTTTCTTTTACGGCCCATATGATTAAGAGCATGCTTTTATTTATGGTTAAAAGTGTACTCCAGTTGGCTTGTTGTACAAAAGTAACATATTTTTCCGACCGAAGAAGCCTGTATCAAACCCTGAGTTGTTTCATATATATCTCTGTAGTTTTTCATTTTTCATATAGTGGGAAATTCTCCAATATATCTGGTTATTATCACAGCATCTTGAGAAATGGGTTTTTAATATTGGATTCGGAAACACCAAAATCTCTTTAACTTGAAGTTGAACTATATAACCAACCAAACAGAATTATATAGTTAGCTTTATTTTGGTTTAGTTTATAGAATCACAACAATTAAAATAAACAATTGGAAGTTCTCAACAAACGATTAACGATTATGAAGAGGGTGAGGTGGTTGTAACTTGTAACGCAGTTGTAGAAAAAACGATAAAAACCAATATCAAAGAGGTTGACCGTTTGTTGGGCCTTTGACCAAACTAAAACATGCCCAAAGGCACACAAAGTAACCGAAGCTAACAAAGTGGAGAAAGTAGAGCCAAAAGAAAAAGGAGGCAACTTTTTAGTTTAGGTAATGACCGTTTCAAAATAACAGCTTTTTCTATTTTCCTTCACATGTTCCACCATAACCGTGACCCTCCTTTTGCGCCATCATCCACAACACACACACACACGAAACCTCTCCTCCCTTTTATTTCCTCTTCACATCACTTTCCTTCCCCTGTCTCTCTCTCTTTCTCTCTTTGCTTCTATACTCATTGGCTCAATATTTATCGTCTCAAAACGTGATGGAGAACACTGTGAACATGTTTCAGAAGAAGAGCGAGACCACAAGATCACCGACTAGGCTGCAGCGGCGAGCACCCACTGCTCTGCATCTTGATCACGTTCCCGAGAATCCCTTTCTGCAGCAGTCTTGTGAAACGGTCGCAACCACAGCTATTCCTCTGCTTTCACCTCTCTTTGTTTCTCCAAATCTGCACACTAGAGAAGAGGACGATTTCAGGTTTCCGGTGGGTTTTACAGACAAGAACGGGTCTCAACCATCAATGGACCACAAAGAAGGGTGGCAATATTCGGCTAAGGCTGACAATAGCAACCAGATGGCCCTCTTGAGTATGTTTCAGACCAAGTTCGTGCTTGTGGATCAATCACAGTGAGGTTCATAGAAATTAGTATGGTCTTTCATGTTTCAGAATCCAAATGTTTTTCAATAGTTTTCATAAATCTCTCTCCCAAGATGCTGTCAAAGAGAGATGTGTAGATATATTGTAAGCAAGATCCAGCTTTTGGGAAGTTAATTTCCCATTATGTGGAAGACAATGATTTAATGAAACAGTCGAAGTTGATAAGCCCTTCTTTGGCCGGAAAATCTCTTGTTTTTGTACAACAAAACGAGAGTACACATTCCCATGATCAATCATGTCTCTCTCTCTCTTAGAGGTTTGTGTTGTCTGAATCGTAATGTAAAAAAAAGACAATGGACATTGAAGGACTGACTTTTCTAGAAGCATTGCCATGGTCAAGATCAGAAGTCGAACTCTCCTGCTGCCTGTAAAAGTAGAGAGAGCGTGTGTTAGTATTATCGTTAACCAGAATAGCACCAATGTTTAATTGAGAGGCACAAATTTACTTTGTTGAAGAGAATGTCCTTATCGTTTATATGCATGATCCCGTCTTTCAGAGTGCACTTCCACCTGCTCTTTGTGCGAGTCACCTAATAAAAAAAAGCAAACAACATGTCTTGCTGTGATTAGAGTTACGTTAGAGAAACACAGATCCGGAAACCAGAGTAAACAGGAAAAGTCATTACCTTGTCAAACTGAGCCAAAACCAGATGTTGTGTGTTCATATCCTCACCACTTTCTAGGTCGTCCAACTCATCGTCGTCATCATCTTCATTTAACAGCTCTTCATCATCTTCAATGATATCGCTTTGTGCAGCAATAGGAGTGCTCGTTTGGATCTCTAACAAAAAGAGAAATTTCATCAGATGATTGATATTCACTTACTTTCTCTAAAACATTCTCCAACGTTTTTTGTTTGGCTTCTCTTACCGTTTGGAGCAGGAGTTCTCCCCTCTTGAAACTCTTCGCTGGGTCCTTGATAGTTGTATATCTGCAGCACAGTAAATGATGTTCATGGAATTACTTTAGCAAAAGTATTTGGGTGACGGTGTAATAAGTAGTATTACTAGATGGCAAATCAAAAGGTTACTGATTTGTAAACATGTCAATGAAGTATATAACTACAGAAATTCCGACTAGTCAATGAAAAGCTGAAGCATTCTTACATTTGGTGTCGACAACATTTCATCATAAGGATCAGGGGTTGGCCCATCAGCTTGAGGGATCGTCGATGATGAGCAGAAGAAATCTCGTGTGTCCTTTCTATCGCTAACAAAGGTTATGCAGAATGCATTTCCCTCAAGGTTTGCCTGCAAAATTGTGTCCGAATCAGATGAATTACTGATATTTTCAATAAGTATATTAGTCTTGTAGGAAACAATAATCTCGTTTTTACAAATACTTTCATGATTATTAAGCAGAGTGAGAGAGAGAAAGAGAAAGAGAGAGGGAGAGATCTTAAGAACAGTGCTCAAGATCATATATTCTAAAAGATTTACAGATGCAAATGTGTGTACCTGAGGCATAGCATCGCTTGCACCATCCTGTTGTGGAATAGAGCCACCATTTTGATATTGTGCAGAAGAATCATCACGCTTTCGTTTCCCGGAGGACGGCACAAATAAGTCCTGGACGTATTCCAATCAAAGATAGTAAGTTCCATAGAGTGAGAAAATGCACAAGTAACTGTTGCAAATTAGATTTGAGACCCAAAACTCAAGGTTCTCAATATTAGAAGTACCTGCGTAAACTGCTGGTTAGAGTTGCCTCTCTCAGGCTCATCACGGCCATCCACATAAGCTAGCAGCAGGTCAGACATTAATATCTCAAACAACAAAACAGAGACAAATTTATGTTAAGTGAGACATTAAGTGCTGGTAAAAGTAATACTTACCAACATTGACATCAAGTCTAGGATTTGGCCACGGAGAAGGTGGTGGCTGCAATAGAGAGCATATTCTCAGTATAAGTTTATGAAACACTTAAATAAGCAATACACAGCTCCACAGGATTTTTTAATCATGATAACTCACCATGTAAGGACTGGGTCTTCCTTTGACATCAACGTTGCCGCCATTATCAGTACCAGGAGTTGGATAATCACTTGAGCCGGTAGGGATGTTATACATTGAGGAATTATCAGCAGTACCCGGAAGCGGCGTCGGAAGGGGAGTCTGCAGTGGTGTCTGCTCAAAAACACACAGAAAAACAAAACCAAGCCCAAGAAAGAAAAAGAGTTTACAACAACATCTCAAGTGGAAAAGAAGCCATTTCTATACACCAAGCAAGTCCTGAGTTTCGTTTACTCACCGGAGGGAAGAGCATTTCAGCAGTGGGAGTCTCGTACTCCTCCGTCCCTTCATAAGGAACATTCAGATCATGCGTCAGTGGACCTCCAGGTGTTGGCTTCTGAGCCGATGACCTCTCAATTGGTCCAGACAAGACTCCAGCTTGCATCATCTTCATCTCCCAAATCTAAAACAAAGCAGCATCAGTCGAATTTAAGCTCAATTAATCATGGATTTAAGAAATGAGCTCCCACAAACCCTACCTGATAGGTAGGAACAAAATTCAAGCTACCCACAACCTTGATCCCACTAAAAACATCAAATTTCCATCTTTTTACAGCGAAGGAAGACGGATAATATGCAATTGAAACTTACTCCTTGGAGCTCGTTGAGAACACTCTCGCCGGGACCTCCATTGTTAATGAACTCTTCACGGACTTTGTTGACGACGTCCTCGATGACATGGATATACACTCCGCTGGTTGTCGTCGTTGTAGCCATCTTCCCAGCCCCTCAAATCTCCTAAATTTGATTCCGGCGAAAAACGAATTTCGTCCTCCGGAAATCTGATTGTATCAAATGCATCAATTCAGGGCAATTTATCCCCAAAAAAGTTACAAATAAACCCCAATCAAAGCCCGTTACGCTCACCTGAGGTTTGGCGGAGGCGGTAAGACGGAGTCTGGCAGAAATCGGCGACGGAGCGAAGAGACAGAGAGAGGGATCAGAGATCAGATATTGAGAGGAACGGTCATCACAGAAAAAGCAACGAAGAATATAAATAGGTTTGGATCAGATCACATCGCAATAGGGACACGTGCCATCATCTGCGCCATCGAGACCCTTTTTCAGATAATTTTTATTTTAGTTTATCCGCGATAATTATTTTTGACGTCTACGTAAACCGATACCGACAGCAAGAAAAGAAAAGTAAACCGACTCGAACCCAACCCAAATTAGAGTCTACACTCTCTCTACACACGCTCTGTTTGGTTTCACCTAACCGATCAACCAAAATATTTAACTGATTAATCAATTAAACTAAATTAACGCCCCGAAAATCTTTTCATATTGTTTCGAATTACTAGCATGAATTATCAATCGAAGCAAACATAATCTGAATGAACCAAAGCTCTATACAGACAGAATCAAACCAAACCAAACACAACTAAAATCGAACAAACTCAGAGCTCACTTATGGAACTAAACTAATCGGACTAAAACCAACAAAAAACCGAAATGTCCATTTCTCCCATTAATTATTGTTATTGTTTTTAGTATTCATATGATTTTTTAAAATTGCATCCAACCTAGTCTAATACTATGACAGTTTTATATGATTTGGGTTGAAATAAATATAATTATTAGTTTTTTTTCGGTTGGTGTTAACTCGATGTTGTAGTTGTATAAATATATGACAGTTGTCGTCGTTGTAGCCATCTTCCCAGCCCCTCAAATCTCCTAAATTTGATTCCGGCGAAAAACGAATTTCGTCCTCCGGGAATCTGATTGTATCAACAGTTTTAGGGGTCAATTTAACTCCCAAAAAATGCCACAAACAGAATTCACACTCCAAGCTAGTTGCGCCTCACTAGGGTTTGCCGGAAGCGGTGGCAGAGATCTCGGCGACGAAGAGGAGAGAGTGGAGAGGAATCAGAGATCAGAGATCGAGAGGAGCGGTCAATAGAGAAAAGCAGCGGAGAATATAAATAGGTTTGGATCAGATCACATCGCCGCAGTGACACGTGCTATCATCTGCGCCATCGAGACCTTTTTTTGTTTTTCCTTTATCTTTCAGATTTTTTACGTTTTGCAAAGCACTGTTTTTATCCAAAGTTAATACTCTAGATTCGAATCGGACAAAAACTATTGATCTCTTGAGTATTTGGTTCGGTCCGAATCTGTAAAACAAACAAAATTAACGAAATCAATATAAAATGTATAAAAGATAAAGTCAAAAATAAATGTATGATAATAAAACCAAAACAAAAACTTTTAAAGAAATTGTTGGAACTTCGTTACCTCCGCTATGTCATTTTATGTTGGAACTTAGTGCGCACTGCGATTGATGTTTCTGAACAATTGTGCAAGTCACATGTTTCGCATATAAACCTAATCATTCTGTGTAACACTTTTTAATTCTATCATTTCTTGACTGATAGTCTACAATGGATAGCCGGTGGAGTCTTGGAGGTATGACCGCTCTTGTAACCGGTGGAAACCAAGGGCATTGGGTTCGTTTTTTCCCTTCAAAATGCTCTCTTTCCTTTCTTGTTTTTGAGGATTAAGTAAATGAGGCTGAAGCTTCAAACATGCATGTAGCTTGTGCTTGAGAATTTGTTTTATTTCCTTGTTAAGTTTAGGTATGCGATAGTGGAGGAACTTGCTGGTTTTGGTGCAAGAGTTCACACGTGTGCCAGAGACCAAAATCTGCTCAACCAATGCTTAAGTGACTGGCAAGCAAAAGGGTTTCAAGTCAGTGGCTCAGTCTGTGATGTTTCCTCTCGTCCCCAAAGAGATGAGTTGATGCAGACCGTCTCTTCTCTATTCTGTGGCAAACTCAACATCCTTGTAAGTTATCCTAAGTTTTTCAAGCATAGTTATACATACACTCAATTGTACGCAGTAGTCGATCACTAACATTACTTGCTATCATGCAGATAAACAATGTTGGCACATTTGTGATAAAGCCGACTATAGAATTTACAGCTGAAAATTCTCACGTCTAATAGCCACCAATTTGGAGTCTGCTTACCATTTTTCCCAACTGGCTCATCCTTTACTCAAGGCCTCGGGATTTGGGGGCATTGTGTTCATGTCTTCAGTATGTGGGCTTGTCTCATCTGGTTTCGTGTCGATCTATAGCTTAACAAAAGGTCCATTTCATAACTCTGCTTTTGAATTGTGTATATAATACACATCTAAGCTTTTTTCGTGTGTGTGTTAATGTAGGAGCTATTAATCAATTGGCAAGAAACTTGGCATGCGAATGGGCAAGTGATGGCATAAGGGTTAACTCTGTAGCTCCTTGGATGACTACAACTCCTCTTGTCCAAAAAGTATGCCAAAACTTCTTTTTCATATAGGCTTTTCTTTTTTAAACTGAATCTAGGTTTAATGTGGACTTTGCAGCGTCTTGATAACGAGAAACTCGCGGAGGCTATTTTTTCGAGAACTCCATTAGGACGTGCTTGTGAGCCGCGTGAGGTTGCGTCGTTGGTCACATTTCTTTGTCTCCCTGCAGCTTCTTATATAACAGGACAAACCATCTGTATCGATGGAGGTTTCACTGTTAATGGCTTCTCCTACAAGCCATAGGTTTAAACCTATAATGTGATGTATGAAACAGAGAGTTGAGAGTGGACTTTAATTTAAATCAGTCTTTGGCAAGCAAAAAACTTATGTATCAACAGATCAATCAATGTAATTACCAAATTGGAATAATAAAACCAAACATTGCCAAATATAACTATGCAAATTCATACAACTTTACTATAAGGATTTCAATAAATTCAGTAATACATTTCTCATAAGACCAATGTGTTTGCCTCTAGCGTGCAATCAAATCATAAACACCATGATTGCAAACGTGCAGATAATGACCATTTTGGTGCGTTTTGCGGTTGCTGAATCCGAAGGAGGACTTGAAATGGGATCAAAGTCATCAGCATCAGATGGCGAAGTGTTCGAAGGCGAAGGAAGTAGAGAGAGATCAAACTCTTTTGCTTTGCCTTCTCTGCTAAAGCTCCATCCAAGAACATAATGATTACTCGTAATGTTCCCCGTGGATGCAGAAAATCCAACATACATATTCTTCTCAAATGAAACCTCAGAGAGATTCATCTTTCTCGACAAAAGAGGAAATTTAGGTTTAGAAGTTTCAAGAGGTGCCAAAGTGACATTGAGAAGCATTTGATCTCCATTGAATTCAATCCAAGCTCGAATAGGGTCTTTGTTCGACAACTTCAAGCTTATGTTCTTGTCTTGACGGTTGGAGTAAAACGCAGCTGGTGCAGATTCAACGGAGACCAAACCGTTCACGTCGATCCCAACGTGGTTGCCGTCGATGTCAAGAAACTCGTTTGACTTCACCGTGTCGAACTCGACCGCGAGGATTCGGTTTGTGGAGTTTCCGTTGTTTGAAGTGTTGAAGAGACCGAGAAACTGGCTGGGCATGGCTCTTGTGAAATCCATGGAAGGAGAGATCAGAAAGGTAAGACCATGACCTGGTGCGTCGATTGAGAAAACGAAACTTGTGGAGAAAGAAAGCGGGTTTGATGCGTTAGGGTTGTTGAAGGGTATAGGGAAGCCATGGAAGGCTTGACCCATTTGTCTCCTTGAGGTGTTTGTGAGCTCCAAGATACCACTTGGGAGGATCTTGGAGGATCCGAACTTGAGTAGATTGGCTTCGAAAAATCCATGGTGGAGAAATTCGGTTTCTTGTTCTTGACTTAACACGCAAGAAACAAAGCATAATTGGGTGATTATGGAAACAAGTATTGATTTGGAAGTAATTGCCATTGATGATGGACAATTAAAAGGAAGTCTGTTTTGTTTATGTGTGAAGTTTGCTTGTTTGAGTTGGTCTCTCGTATATAGGCTACATGGAAAATAAAAAATCTCGACCATTTATATATTAAACTTTTTGATTACTTAATATAAAAAATAATTTATACAGTATTTATTACAAGAAAACCAATCAGCTGCAAGTTCAAACCATGACTGTTTATCAGCTTAGCTTCTCTTATTTCGCACAAAAGAATATAAATTCCAAAAAAAATATTGTTGAAGTGTTCAAATTCTTTGTTTAGCTGATCGTGATGATAAGTCGTAGGGCTTAGCTAACTTGTGGAGATAGATGTCGACTCCCCAAAGTAGCATACAATAAAATCGATCCAGAAGAGCTTTTTGGGAAATATACGTGCAAGTAAGAATCTACATTTGGTTATAAATATAAAAAGGTATTGTTCTCAAACAAGTCATCACTTTAACTAATTGATTAATTAGTATGTAAATCCAACAACCGGCTAAATGTGAGTATTATTGAGATCTCAAAACTCCATTAAAATGCAAGTGAGGAGGCCTAGTTCGTGCACCCAACAATCCAAACCAAAATAACAAAGACTGTTTAGAATTCTAATCATTGGTTAATTTTTGTTATTTTAAAGAAGAACCGGCCGTTTATATTTTTTTTTCCCTTTGTTATACCTCACCTTGATAGAAACTTACAAAAATAAAAAAGACTTGACATGCAATTGCAAATCTTGGAGGAGGAAAGTGAAAAATTCTCATAAATACAAGAACAAACGTAAGTCACGAGTTTCCACGTGTACGTCTCAAGCCAAGTGACAAAACAATAGGTCCACATTTGTTGTGATCAGTCCTTTTCGTTACAGAAATTTCCAAACAATTGTTCAACCATACATGTTTCTTACATCAAAATCATCACCAACCATTAGTCTTATGATCAGATAACTGATTATATCTTTGGTTTGGTTAGAGTGACTTAGTGTCACACACAACAATGGATATTAGTAGGTGGAGTCTTCAAGGTATGACTGCCCTAGTAACCGGTGGAGGGAAGGGAATTGGGTTCGTCTTCGTCCTCACAAATGCTTCTTCTCGAATAAACCAAGTTTGAAACAAGAAGGCTTAACACTTAATTACTGTAGGTATGCGATAGTGGAGGAACTTGCTGGGTTTGGTGCAAGAGTGCACACCTGTGACAGAGACCAAACCATGCTTAACGAATGCTTAAGTGAATGGCAAGCAAAAGGGTTTCAAGTCAGTGTCTCAGTCTGTGATGTTTCCTCTAGACCTCAAAGAGATCAATTGATGCAGACTGTGTCTTCTCTATTTGGTTCCAAACTCAACATCCTTGTAAGGTTCTTCTTGAAGTTTTCTTATGGTCTCATTTAGGTCCTGATTTGTTTCTTAAACATTCTCAATGCTTGACATTTATGAAGGTAAACAATGTTGGCAAGTTCATACTAAAGCCAACTTTAGAAAGCACAGCTGAAGATTTCTCAAGTTTGATGGCTACAAATTTGGAATCTGCTTACCATATTTCCCAATTGGCACATCCTTTACTTAAAGCCTCTGGATATGGGAGTATCGTGTTCATTTCCTCGGTATCTGGGGTTGTCTCTGGCACAGCCTCCATATATGGTGCAACCAAAGGTCCATAGATTACAATTGTTTACAACTAATGCATGTTGGTATAATTATTATGTATAAAATCCACATCTAAGCTTCTTTTTTTAATGTAGGAGCCATGAATCAACTGGCAAGAAACTTGGCATGTGAATGGGCAAGTGACGGAATAAGGGCTAACGCTGTAGCTCCTTGGGTCACTGCTACTTCTCTTGTCAAAAAGGTAAACTATAAATCTTTACTGAGCTTCTTTGTTTACCTAAATCTTGGATTAAATGTGGACTTTTGTCAGTATCTTGATGACGAGAAATTTGCGGAAGCTATGTTCTCAAGAACACCATTAGGACGTGCGTGTGAGCCGCGTCAGGTTGCGTCGTTGGTTACATTTCTTTGTCTCCCTGCAGCATCTTATATAACCGGACAAACCATTTGTATCGATGGAGGTTTCACTGTTAATGGCTTCTCCTACAAGCCATAGGCTTGAAACCTAGAAACACATCTTCAACAATAATTCTAAGATGTATGAACACTTGTTTATATCTCGTTGAACTTTGTTTACTTAATTATGTCAAAGTCTATTCAGCTCAAGCGTATGAAACAGAGAGAATTTCCAAAATCATATTTTGTGTTTGTGAGAGTGAAATTTTTGGATTGGCTCTACGCATGTATCAATGTGAATGGCCAAGTGATAACGTAAGAGCTAACATCTGTATCTCTTTGCGAGTGTGATGTGTCTACTACTATCAGACATAAAATCATTTTTGTTTGTTTTAGCTGACTTTTGTGTTGTAATTACGAAGATACAAGCCTTCTAATTATCGTGGACGATTTGGAGCCACTGAATATGAGATGGTCCCATTCATCATCTTTAACATTTTTCATCTCCTATATGAACCAAGTATTTCTCTTCAAATCTTTCATTTCAATCTGAGATCCTTAGCCGTATGAGAGATATGGCTGGAGCAGAGCAAAGCCAAAGATGGAGCCTTCAAGGCAAGACCGCACTTGTGACCGGTGGAACCAAAGGCATCGGGTTCGTAAATCTTGAGTCAACTCCAAATCTTTTCATATTTCTTGAAATGTCTAGAAGACTTGTTTAAAAACCTATGTATCTTGAATCAACTAGGTATGCTGTAGTAGAGGAACTTGCAGGATTTGGAGCCAAAATACATACTTGTGCCAGAGACGAATCTCAGCTTAACGAATGTTTAAGCCAATGGCAAAAGAAGGGCTTTCAAGTCACTGGTTCAGTCTGTGACGTAACTTCTAGAACAGACAATGAGAAGCTCATGCAGACTGTTTCCTCACTGTTTGGTGGCAAGCTCGATATCCTCGTAAGTTAATCATGTATATAAACCTTATTATCAGTTACCAAGATCTCAAATCTGAATAGAAATTTTTAACAAAACCTTTGATTATTTAGGTAAACAATGTGGGAGCGGCTGTGGCAAAGCCAACAGTGGATTATACAGCAGAGGATTTCTCGTTTCAAATGTCGACCAACTTAGAATCTGCTTTCCATCTGAGCCAGCTTGCACATCCTCTGCTCAAGACTTCAGGATGTGGCAACATCGTCTTCATGTCCTCTGTTGCCGGAGTTGTCGCGTTTACCAACAGCTCTATCTATTGTGCAACAAAAGGTAATATAATAATTAATTACTGAATATTGCCGCCACTCAAGGTACACTGTGGATACCTATAAGTGACTTGGGAAACAATTAAAGGAAAGTTTGTTCGTATTAAGGAAATAAACGACCTCTTCCTATTTGTTAGTATCAACCGTTTTTTTTTTTTTTTTTTTTGAGAAAGATTATACGTAGGAAGAAGTCGTTTATTTGGTCTAACTGTTTTCATTTTATTTTGAGATAGTTCAGGTTTTAAATATGTAAGTGTGTGTGTACAGTGCCGTGTGAAAAGGTTAATTGGGGCTCATGGCAAACTTAAAAATGGGGTCTTTTCAATAAACTTATTTTTTATTAGATGACAACAAGAAGATAGAAATGAAAAAAAATTATTAAAAAGGGTATAACTACACCTTGAACTCAGGTTAGGCACTTCATAATAACATTCTAATGCCACTATAATACAATAACTTTTAATAAATTGGGGGCCTCTATTAAACTATATATTTGGGGGCTCAGTGCAAATGCACTTTTTTTTATTCATGAAGCACGGCTCTGTGTGTGTACATAGGAGCAATGAATCAGCTAGCAAGGAATTTGGCATGCGAGTGGGCTAGCGACGGGATTAGGGCTAATGCTGTCGCTCCTGGAGTCATTGCAACTCCTCTGGCTGAATCTGTGAGATACTATATATGCTCCGATATCTCCTAGAATCATTTTTCTTTCTTGCGTTTGCTACAATATTCCTCCAAGAATAATCTCTCTTTCTTGCTCTTTTTCTGATCTCTTGACTTTTAACAATGTCAATGCTCTTTAGATATATGTTAATGATGAGCTCAAGAAAGCGGTGATATCGAGAAAGCCGTTGGGGCGTTTTGGAGAGCCTGAAGAGGTGTCCTCGCTGGTGGCTTTTCTATGTATGCCTGCAGCTTCTTATATAACTGGTCAAACCATTTGTGTCGATGGAGGTTTTTCTGTCAATGGCTTCTCTTATCAGCCGCCACAAGGTTAAACTCCAAATGTCCAAAAACAAACGAAAAATTTCAACTTTATTAAATTTATTATAATAAGCTGTTTGGCAAAAAACAAATAAGTTTCTATGTCTAGAGTTAGACATTGTATGTCATGATTACAATATTTTATCCTATTTTCGTTGTGTTTTGGATCTTCTCTACGTCATGGCATTACTCTTTCAGAAAGAATGTAAACTGAATTTCTTACAGGAAAGCCTGTAACAAAAAACAGATTATCACCAAGTGTAATTGAAATTTAGATACATTTCCTCTTTTGCCCGGTGAATCCTAGGCCGAAAAAGGCCCAAACAAATCTCCAGACTAAGCCCAAATGATTTTCACCATCCTTATTAAGAAACTGTGGTACAAAATAGATAAGAGATAAATCCTATTTATTCAGATAAAAAGTAGTATTTTGTCCTCCCATCCAAAATAACTCGGTTACATAAACCTCAAGTCTGTAGTCAGTTCTGACATATACCTCATGTCTATGTTTTGGCCGCGAGCTGAACCTTTTCTATTACGTAATTGGTTATTTCAAATTTTTATGGTTACTTCAATTCATGAGTACTTGACTAAATACATTAATTTGAGGCCAATTTAATGAACACACACTTGTTTATTATCCGACTAATTAGTATATGTGTGTATATATGAGACTTTAAAAGATGAACCTCTTCCGATCAGGTATATAATATAGTTCAGCCTTTACATAACCATGATTTCATTTCAATCTTGTAAACTCAAGCTACGATAGAATCCAAACGTTGTTTCATACCCGGAAGTTATTACTTCTTAGTACTAAATTTTTCAATAGAAACACACCGCATACGTTGTTTCAAAAGGTGTAATGTATATCCGAAAGAGTAAACAACTTCTCGACCTTCCAACACTAATAGTTGTCACGATGTAATAAATGTAAATTGGTTATTTGTCTTTTTCTCAACTTTTAAAAAATTTATTTCATAGTTCCAATTTAAGCTGAAAAGTTGAACGAAATCAAACGGAAAAAAATAAAGAGGAAGTGGTGCAAAAATAATAGAGATTAACATAACATGACCACGTAAGTACAAACACCATGGATGTAACGTAGGCCTAGGTCGAGGTGCATGCCACCATGCACAGTACTGAACTCTAGATATTTCTACTAAAATAATAATTTCAACTTTATCAAATCATTTAAAATAATAATAAGGTCATGATAACTCATACGCTAAAATCCAAACACAGAAACCGAATGATTTTGTCACTTACCAATGATTCTAGGAGCTTCAGTGTCGGGAGTCAATTCAAGTGCAGTGGTTTTGGTTGAATTCATGGGTGCACGAACGATGGCCCCATCCAGTCGCTCCCCATTTGTATCTTAATGAGTTTTTGAGATTTCGATAATACTAAAATTATTTTATCCTGTTTTCTGATGATTATATACGTACAACTCTGTGTATTTACTTTTGTCCTCATCTCATTCTGATCTTATATTTGAAGCAATACGGCTCCTCGATCCGAATGAAAAGTGGTTTTTTGTTGTTTGTGAAATTGTTAAGTCATAGAATTACAATTTAAACGAGGCTATATACAAGGGGTGTGAAACCAAAAAGTGAAACCAAAATTACGCGGTGGTAGATTAATGCTTGCTTTGAACGGATACGGATGTTATGAACTTCTGATCCGCAAGAAGAGTACCAAAATGAAAGCTAGATCCTGAGTAAATATATGATCAATCATAAACATGCAACCATCCATTATTCCATTTCCAGTTGAGAAATAAGATTCGATACACTAAATGTTTAATAATTACTTACAACAAAAAATGCGTTATTCATTAAAAGCAAAGCAAGCACCACTTACCATTTACAAAAGAGATCAGTTTGACTTGAGTGAGAGGCATCTCTAATAACAGGAACTATCCTCAAATGAATCCGTAAGAGCTACGATTGTAGCACGTGTACGGTGGAGAAGAGGGAGATCCCTCAGATTCTCTTTTGAAAGAAAGGGGCCCACTCGCCGATATATAACAAAAGGGAAAACGTAGAGGTAAATGGTTGGGCCACTGCTTCACCCAAAAGCCTTTTTCTCTCTTTCTTTTGTTTTAAAATACTTGTTTTGTGCCTTTCAACGGTTAAAAAACTCCTAATTCCAAGACACTAGACAATTACGTGTCCTCTGTACGGCTTCTTTTTCTAACTTTCTACTTCATAGTGACTAGTGAGGCCTCTTTTTCAATTAGTTTTGTTTCTCATCCACGATTATTTAGGTAATCATGAATGTAATTACAGCTTTACAGGTAAACAAATGAGATTGGTTGTTAATTGCGTGAAATTTATTTGATCTCTTTCGTCTATCGAATCTACTTTATGGAGACATATTTGAAATCAGTTTCATTATACCTCTGTATCACGGCTAGACTACCGGAATAAACCATAGTCGATATCGTTTACAATATCAGCAAAATGTAAATTTGTACGCAGATGAATAACGTTAAGATTTGGACTTGGATCTCCTCCTGCACAGAGTTGCGGCATTCAGTTTCGAAAACAATACAAAATTGTTAGCAATATCAAATATCCCGATATTTTTACACTAAGTGACAAAAGTGGTCTCTGAAAACATTTAGAAACTAGCCTACAAAGCTTTTAACCAAACAGTTCACAAGAAGTTTGATGTCAAACTCGTATACTCAGTTTCTGCCGATAAACTAGACGTGATGTTTTGTTTTACAATAAACTAGTGTCTAGTGTAGATCCCCACAAAAATGCACAATGGCCTCAACCTAGAACACTCTTAAACGTGGTAATGTAAGATCTTGTGAGTTGTGATCATAATTGGAAGATGCCCAGTTTAAAGATCATTAATACATCTATTGAGTGACTATGAGATGCATTAAATTTTGGTTTACGTGTCTAATGTAATGTAACCTAAACTTAGTTCACAGTGTATTTAAATTATTTAACTGGAAAGGGGGTCAGTAAACCTGCCGTATATAGTTTTCGTACTTATATAATTCGTTAGGCTTGAAAAGGTTGACCTAATTTAGCTCAAATTAAGGTTAACTACAACCAATTTTAACGTATTAAGGTTAACTACAAGCACATTAAACGTATTTGGGAATTTTATACATAAATATTTTTTTCGTGATTAGTAGGTCTTTCATCTTTAGGGAGACAATTTTGAAAAAAATGGTCTTCGTGAGAAAGGGAGGACCACAATCGTGGCGCGAAAGGAATTTTCTCTTTCTCTTCTGTTGCATTCTGATTGGATCACGTATCTATCCCACCTGATAGTGATGCTTACGTGGTCCATTTATAGAGAGTGTAGTGACCAGATCAACGGTTGAGATTCATCTATTTAGGCACAAGACCAATTACGTCACGTCGCTAGATCAAGATTTTTGAAGGCGGGGAGAAGAAAAATCAAAGTTAAAAGTAAAATGTTGAAAGAAAAAAAAAGGAATTTTAAAATGTTTGTGAAGCGGTAGCGGTAGGGCGCGTGGGTATAAATGGCTCGCCTTGTAACGTGTAAAGATGATATTTATTCAATTGCATGGTATAATCAACAAACACTAATATTCGACTCTTCTTTTGTCAAGAAATCTGGAGAGATTTTGCATTTTTCTCGGAAATCAAATATATTGGACGATCAATAGATTCGTTACCGGAAGAAATCTAGAGAGTTTTTTCAGATGACGGATATTTGTTACGAGGACGAAGCGTCTGCCTGTGAATCGAGGCTGTCGTGGTCGAGCCGGAGGCGGAGGATCGGAGCTCAGCGTTGCAGGATGTCTTCGGCGGAGATGAAACCTCCGGCGGCGGCGACGGAGTTGGACTCGGAGGGGATATATAAGCGTAATAAACAGGAGGAATACGATTTTATGAACTGCGCATCACCTTCTCGAAGCTATCCTGAAGATTGTTCAGAAGCGAACGGGAGTGTATTACTAGAACTGGAGATCGCGAGAGATAACGGCGAAGTCGAAATCTCCGGCGGAAATCCATCAAAGAAAACGGTGAGAGAGACGGATCTGAGGCCTAGATACGGCGCCTCATCGGTGTGCGGGAGAAGAAGAGATATGGAGGATGCGGTTGCGATTCATCCGTCGTTTGTACGTAAACAAACGGAGTTTTCTCGAACACGATGGCACTATTTTGGAGTTTACGACGGCCATGGCTGCTCTCATGTACGACGCCGTTTCACTACTTCTGTTTTCATATTTAAATTCAAAATTTGAATATCGTCAGTTAGGCTGATTCGGTTTGTTACAATACGACGCCGTTTTCCCAGGTTGCGGCGAGGTGTAAAGAGAGACTTCACGAGCTAGTGCAGGAGGAAGCGTTTTCCGATAAGAAGGAAGAATGGAAAACGATGATGGAGCGTAGCTTCACGCGCATGGACAAGGAGGTTGTTCGTTGGGGAGAAACCGTGATGAGCGCTAACTGCAAATGCGAGCTTCAAACGCCTGATTGCGACGCCGTAGGATCTACCGCCGTTGTCTCCGTCATTACGCCGGAGAAGATCGTTGTGGCGAATTGCGGCGACTCTAGAGCAGTTCTCTGTCGAAATGGAAAACCAGTTCCTCTATCCACAGATCACAAGGTCAGTCTCTTCTTTAATATGTTACGTTTTTGGTTAATTTGTTGGGATTTATGGATGAATATAATTCGTGGTTTTGACTAATCTGTTTTATGTTTGAATTAAATAGCCGGATCGTCCGGACGAGCTGGATCGGATCCAGGAAGCAGGAGGGAGAGTGATATACTGGGACGGAGCAAGAGTGTTAGGCGTTTTAGCCATGTCACGATCCATAGGAGACAACTACTTGAAACCGTACGTGAGCTCAGAGCCGGAAGTGACGGTGACGGATCGGACAGAGGAGGATGATTTTCTGATACTAGCGAGCGACGGGCTATGGGATGTAGTGACGAACGAGGCGGCGTGTTCGATGGTGCATATGGTTCTGAACAGAAGAGGCCGTGGTGGTGGAGGAGGAAGACGGCGAGAAACCCCGGCGAGTAGTGAAGAAGGGAAAGAGGAGGTGGCAGTGGGGTCAAGGAGGAACGGAAAGAAAGGAGAGATCACGGACAAAGCATGTACGGAGGCGTCAGTGTTGCTAACGAAGCTGGCGTTGGCGAAGCACAGCAGTGACAACGTAAGCGTCGTCGTCATTGATCTCAGAAGAAGAAGAAAGAGACACGTTGCTTGACACTAATCTCATCACTCTACTCCACCGTTTTTGGTGTTTTAAAAATGATTCTTTTGTTTTTTTTTTTTTTTTTTTTTCCTTGGGTTGAGTGTGTGAGGTTTCATTGAGACGAAGGTAGCTCAGATCTTTCTCCCAACCCAAAAGAGAAAAAAGAAAAAGAAAACATCAGCTTTTAAAAATACCGGTTAAACCGGGAATGGTTGGGTTGGTTTTCGTTCTGAACCATTTTTGGCCTTTTTGCATTGTGTGTAATGAACAAACAGAAAAGAGAGACGGGATATGTCACTGTCAGTGTCACCGTCTGGGTGGAATCGGTTCAGAAATCAATGAATAAAAACATGTACATATTTTTTGCTTTTATGCCAAACCATTTGTTCAAGTACGCGTGTCCTCCTTTGAAAAGAGCAACGGGAATTTTCTTTTGGTAACAAGACTTTTTGTGGGCCTCTTTGTGAGAAGAAATTCGAAATCCCACGGAAACGAAGTGAGAAAGAGAGAAGATAATTAGGGAAGAGGAAGGACGTGTCAAAGAGGCACTAAAAAGAGGACGTGACCCACCAAGGAGAGATACTTATTTTATATGCACATTTGTACGTGTCGGTGTTGGGTAATTGACAATAACTAACTGATCATTCATAATTGATTGATCTAATCTTCTAACTAACAATGTTTTATCTAAACATGATCACTGTTCAGAATGAAAGAGAAGTTACACAAGCTACTTTTCCCAGGGAATGAATCTACGTGTGTCAAATGAATCGGCCCGAAACCAACCCAAGACATTTCGGACAAATGCTTACAGGCTAATTAATTCTAGTAGCATCTAAAACTACTGAGCCGAGGGAAAACGAAAGAGTGGCAATATTAAGCAACATTTCAAATAGATGAGACATACCAAATGCTTCAATTGCCCAAACCCACACACATACTAATTTAAGCTACTCCAAGATTTGAAGTACCAAAATGTATTTCAACGATGCCACATTTGTAGCAATTCTAGACACATAATAAAACTAAAGACACAAAACAGCTACAGCAACACGGAAGCTTAATAGAAGAGAAAGGGAAAGGTTGCAGAATAAGACTTTCCACGGACATGCAAATGGACCCGCGAAAAATGTACTTCTCTGCAATCCAAACCGGCCATTTCACGTTTGTTTGATGTCACCGTTTTCTTTAAGGGTCTTGAGTCTTCTGTAGCCCTTGTCGGTTCCAAAGATCCTGAAGATCACCGAGTCCAATTGTTCACATCTCTTTTCAAAAGCAAAGAGATACTAATTAATAGGTAAGAGGTTTACCAGTCCATATACACAAAGGTTGAAGAGTAGTTGCCAGACTTTGTGTAGAGGAGGCGGTGATGGTAGTCATGGAAGTCAGACCTATAAACCAAATTGTTGAAAATTCCATTATTACAATGTATTATAGATTGTAAGCTCAAACAAAAGAGCTGGCTAGATGAAGAAAGTCTTACCCTCCATACAGTGGAAGAAAATTTGAGAGGCTCCATGGGAAATGATAACCACAATGTGCCTCAACTGTCTCAAGCACTCTCAGCACCATCCATAGCCAGAGAGTAATCAAGTGGGGACCGGTGAGAGCAGGACCGACTATGGTAGCAAATCCCAGGAATAGAATCTCAGCGGGGTGAGCATATTCTGATGTCAAACCAAATGGCGTGGCATATCTGTGATATCATATAATGGTTGCTCTTTCAGAACTTATCTACATAACATTTCCAAGCATAAGAAACTGTAAAAACATGGTGAAGAGTGAAGATTGAAACTTACTCATGATGCACACTGTGCACGTTCTTGTACAGCCATTTAGTATGCAAGATCCGATGACCCCAATAGAAAACGAAATCCTCAATGATGAAGTAGAATAATATCTGGGCAGTCACTTCTTTCCTGCAGGACCATCACCAAAGAGGGTCTTATATACCTGATCAAACATAAGCTCAGGTTCTTTCATGATGCTCAACACTGACATTTTTCTCTTTCTTTTTTCTATTGCCATTTGGAAGAGTTCAACATCAGAACCCAAAGGAAAAAGCTTCAGGACAAAAGAACCTGATAATACCAGGACGGCAGAGGAAAACTGCTTCGCATTCCCATGGCTCTGAAGACTGGATAGGAGGCTATCATCAGGGGCAAGTTTACGCAGAAATGATAAAGCAACAGCCGAGTTATACATTTTCCTTGGGCTTCAGGCGTGTTATTTTTGGTCTGCATATGACCAAAGCAACAACATTTGTTTATCACAAAAGTAATAGAAGCTGAGATATAGTATCAGCTTCACAAACAAAAAGTGACTGATTCTTTGGTTATCAACATCTACAAGATCCTATTGAAACGATCACGCAAAGCTGTAATGTCATACAAAGAAGAGACGAACCTGAATTTTGTACTTGCTGAGGAAGCCTGCCCTTTCCAGATAAATGAAAGGAAGTCCAGATAAGAAAAACACGCTTTCATGGAGGAGGAAACTCCCAATGCACGACAGTTGAAAGTCGCTAAAATGTGTCACAAGGTACTGCAGGAAAAAAAAAGGCTCAGCTGAAGATATTACATTCCGGTAAAAGTAAGCATATTCTGATGGTACTAGCAGAGAATACTGATATCATCAACACTATTGCCTATGAGTACGTGTTTCATTGATCCAATAATCTCAGGGACTAGAAAACCATGCAAAATCCAAAGCAGTGATCCATCTGAACGGCGTTTTTAGTTAGCAATCAATCACAGGAAAGTCCGCAAAGTTAAAACAATCGACCAGAGAGCACGAAAGGGATTCGATAATCATTCATGCGTCAAGGTCCAGTACCAATAGAAAGGAAACTGAAAATACAGATATTCCGGGACAAGCATAGTCAAATTCAGATCTAAAACAGTATCTGCAATCGACAGGAAACCAAATTTAATCCGATGGAATCAAAACAATCTAGAGCGGTGGATCACAACAAACTAAGAAAAAATGAAAACAGAGACGTATCACAATGTATTGAACTGAAGTCAGAGAAGACGGAGTAAACAGGAAGGAATCGCCTGAGAATCGACGAAAACGAAGGAATCGGAAACAGTAGGAGGATCGACGGAGATGAGTACCTGCCAACCGGAGTCGACGAGGGAAGCCATTGATGGATCGATCTATGAGAAAGAGAGATGGGAAGAGAGATGTAGAGAAAGAAAGAGGTTGTCGAGAGGCCACGAGTGAAACAAACAACAGACTGTCACGGAACGAAAAGTAATCTGGAGACTGATAGATATTTTTATTTTTTTGTTCCCACCAACTTTTTAACGTTTTCTCTCTCTCTATCTGTCACGGAGGGGCCCTTTCGGTCTAGTAAATGCTTACGCAGCCCCTCGTGCGCATCACCCTCCACTTCTCCTATTTTAGGTTCACTCATCTGTTTTTTCATTGTTGGTTGGCACAATTTTATCTCTTCATCTTTTTAGGCAAGCAGATATTGAATAAAGAATGTTGTGGAGATCAGTGTCCTTGATTGTTTGATTACTAATTAGCATGTTTAAGTTCTGTGGAGATCATTAAGATGACAATGTAAACAGAGCAGGCCGAATCAGATTAGCAAAAGAGCTTTATCAGTGAATGTGTCTGCGTAAAGATTTTTAGATAGAACAATAAAGAAACAAATCTTCCTTTTGGGAAATGGTGTGAATGATCACAGTTTCAATACAACTAAACAAACTTTCTGTAACATAAATCCAATACGAAAAAAAAGAAAACAAAGAACTGGGAAGAAAAAGGTATGCTATACTTGCTGAAATTAAGCCAAGAAAGAAGAAAAAAAAACTGGTAAAAAGATCAATCAAAAGAGAGATATCCTTGAAAAATCAAACGTGTGATTGATTAGTCATTTGGCTAATAGTTTGGAGGTAACTAGGAAGAACAGCATCCTTTTCTGTTAGTAGCAGATGAATCTGATATGTTAATGGCAGTACCTTGGCCAGGAACAGGAAGAGTACCTGCAGCTTCTTGTGCAGCCAAGGCTTTCTTGCTTATGATATGATAAATCTCAGATAATATAGTCTGAAACGCTTTCTCGATATTGGTTGCTTCTAAAGCAGATGTCTCGAGAAACGACAAACCTTCCGTCTCAGCGAGAGAGCGACCATCTTCGTCGGCAACAGATCTCAGGTGGTTTAGATCCGATTTGTTTCCAGCCATCATGATGACGATGTTGGAGTCGGCATGGTCCCTAAGCTCGCGTAGCCATCTCAGGACGTTGTCAAAGGTTTGCCTCTTGGTTATGTCGTAGACGAGAAGAGCACCAACGGCTCCTCTGTAGTATGCGCTTGTGATTGCTCGGTAACGCTCTTGACCAGCCGTATCCCAAATCTGAGCCTTCACTGTTTTGCCTTCAACCTAAACGGAGAGAGATAACACACAGAAGAAGCATGAGCAAGACGAAATCTCACGGTACTTCAAAATAATTCCAATTGGTGATACAGAAGATCTTCAGATCTAACAATCACATGTTCACATTTCATTTCTACATCAATAAGCCACGCTTGAATCTGAAAACGCCTTACAATGCAAATGCGACGATACCTCAAAATAGAATCTAGCTTAAGAACGATTGATCTGTAACGTATTCGAGTGAAGAGATTAGAAGAGAGATGACCTGTAGAGTCCGGGTGGCGAATTCGACGCCAATGGTGGATTTGGATTCGAGGCAGAACTCATTTCTGGTGAATCTAGAGAGAATGTTGGATTTCCCGACACCGGAATCGCCGATCAGGACGATCTTGAAGAGGTAATCGTACTCGTGATCTATTCGATTCGCCATTTCCTCTCAAATCCTAGCGTCCGATCTCCCGATCAACCTATGAATACACACACATATACGCGTCAACATCGATCGGATAACTGTCTCGGAAACGGAGACAGTGAGATTAACGTTTCAAAGGACTAAATCGGAACCCTAGAAAGGAAAGTCGAAGGAGGAATTGAGTTTTGGGAAAATTTTACCCTTTGAGCAAGCCGGAAGGATCGAGAATGGAAATGTTTTCGTAAATTGCTTTTGTTTTCCTCTTCTTTCTGTTCTCTGTATCTCTTTCCTAATACGTTTGCGAGTTTTGTGCTTACGAGGTGAAAACGGATACACCTAGCTATTTATTCAGCTTTTAATATTGGACGAATTATTTCTGTTTAACAGCGAAAGAAATATAATATTAAAACGAAGAACCATACAGAGAAATGAAGCTAAATTGGCTCAGCCGGAGATCTCAATAGACTTAACTTGAGCCTTCTTCGTCTCAACCTTAGGCACCGTCACAGTCAAAACGCCATTCTCCATGGAAGCTTTCACCTGATCCATCTTCACATTCTCCGGCAGCTTAAACTTCCTCGAGAATTGCCCGCTCGATCTCTCCAGTCGATGCCACGTGTCCTTCTTGTCCTCTTTCTCCACGTGTCTCTCCCCACTGATCTTGAGCACACTGTCGTCCTCTATCTCCACTTTAACCTCCTCTTTCTTCATCCCCGGCAGATCCGCCTTGAACACGTGCGCCTCCGGCGTCTCTTTCCAGTCCACGCGTGCGTTCGCTATCGCCGATGTCTCTTCGGAGAGCGACGACGGAGCTGAAGGGAATGGTAGATCCCAAACGTCGAGTGAGAAGGGATCGAAGTTGCTGTTGCTTCGCCTGTTGTTGCCGAAGAAGCTTGGAATCAGCGACATTCTTACTATTTTCGAAAGTGAAGGAGCTTGCTTGGGGGCTGAGTAAATCACGTTTTCTGATGAATTTGATTTCGATTTCTGAGTAAAGCAACTGAGTCGGATGGCCTATTTATGGTGATGACAAAGAAATCTCCAGAACTTCTAGATTTCTCGGGTCTCAAGTTCTTTAAATTTGGTGGGAGATTTGGGAAAAGATGAGGCGAATCTAGAGAACTCTAGATGCATTTCAATTTTTCAAGTACTCTTTTCGGCTTTTGTGTGTTTGGGCCATAATGGGCTTCTGAGGCCCATCATTCTGACATGATCCGTGAAGAGTTTTGATTAGTTGCTTCATATATTTCGGTTTTCATTCAGTTTCTTCATCTGTATCCTGTAATGTAGAGTGAAAATTTGTGAACCTGTTCAAAACCATATTAATTTTGTTTGGGCAGATTTTAATATACGTGGCAGATGATAGGATATCCAGATTGTGCTTATATAAACATAGTGATACAACACAAATAACACCAAACATGACAACTTTTTAAACAAAGATGAGTACAGTATATGGTTAGTAGTAGTAGTGTGTACCTTGAGCTCAACAACGGAATCAGTTGCAGACAAAATGACGTTTGAAGCGTTGAAGATGATGAATGAATAACTCGACGCGATAAAACCATTCTCTGGACCAGCGTGAGTCAATACAGAGGAACGCAGACAAAGCCAATAACGTGGTGATGTAGACTGCACCACAAGTCCAATAAAACCACATCATATCTATCAAACCATCACCATCACCCTCTTCATCTTCTTCCTCATTGGCCTGCTTCGACGCACTTGGCTCTTGATCTCTCGCAGGGTTGCAACTTATATTGGTTGGAAGGCCACAAAGATGAGCGTTTCCTAAGTAGCTCTTTTCCTCAAAGGTTACAAGATGGCCTTTGAAAGGAATTTCACCAGATAAATTGTTGTATGAGATGTTGAAGTATCCTAAACTGTTGAGGTCAGCTAGCTGAGGAGGGATCTTTCCATCTAGCTTATTGTTGGATAGATCAAGACTCTCTAAGCTCTTCAGCTTCGAAATGCTATACGGTATAGAGCCTGTGAGGCGGTTGCTTGACAAATTCAGGGATCTGATGTTCTGCAGATCTCCAATCTGAACTGGAATTTCACCAGACAGTTCGTTGCTTGACAGATCCAGACCATGCATATACCGGAGAATGTCACCTTGATACTCCTCATATCTGCTTTTCGTCAAGAAATCCACTATGGTTGCTGGTTTCTGTTGATAGCCGTTCCTCACATCATCATCCAAGTTAAGATGTGATGTGTACTGACAGTTTCGCAGAAAAGTAATGTACGAGAGGTCAAAAACTGCATCCAGTGACATGGTACGGTCAGATCTTTCTGCACCAAAAGACATTTTACTCAAACATGATGGTATGGAGCCTTTGAATTTGTTGTGAGATAAGTCCAGGAGACCAACTTCACCCAGCTGACATACTTTCTCAGAGATATGAGTTTGAAAGCTGTTGTTCCGTAGAAGAAGAACACGTAACTTTGATGTCTCGCCAACAGTGCTCAGAATCTTACCAGAAAGATTGTTGTTCCGCAAATCAAGCACCTCTAATGCCTCAGCGTTGAATAAACTTCCCGGAACTGACCCCATAAACTCATTGTTTTGTAGTCTTAACTCTCTTAGAGATGGAAAATCCACATTCCTTGGTATCGAGCCAGAGAAGCTATTGTGTGAGATGTCCATAACCTCAAGCCAAGGACTCTGTAGTTGAAAAGGGAAAGGACCTTTTAGCTGGTTTCCACTCATGTATAGGTAGGAGAGGCTTGACATCTTACCAATCCAAAGCGGAAGCATGCCTGAGAACCTATTATCTGAGATGTCTAAAAGAGTTAGATTCTTTGACTTCAACAAACCCTTTTCAAGACTCCCAGTAAACCTGTTGCCGTCAAGAAAAAGCCCAACTAAACTAGTAAGATTTGCATGCTTCGAAAATATTCCCCCCTGTAATCGGTTGTTGGAGAGCTTTAGAACCTTCAGCGAGTAGCAACCACCTAAAAACGTTGTAGGTAGCTCACCATATAGACCATTAGAAGACATGTCCAAGACTTGTAGACTTTCCATCTCCCCAATCGAAGACGGAATGGTTCCCTGAAAATGATTTGAAGACAAATTCATATACCTCAGGTTTGGAAACACAATCCCTATGTCTTCTTTAATTGAATCATCAATCATATTACTCGAGATATCGAGAACTTGCAAGCCGTGAGCAAGCATAGGTAGCTGAAGCTTTGTCAAGGAGTTCCCACTTAGTAAAATAGTCTGCAGCCTTGTGTTATTCTTCACCAGCCAAGTCGGGAAAGGTCCTGTCAAGTTGTTGTGAGAGAGATCTATGAAACACAAGTCCCGCTGATGCACTAGAAATCTGAGCATTGTGTTGCCAAGACTGCAATTCGATAAATGTAACATCTTCAACTGAAACAATGGAGCCCAAAAACTCTCGGTCTGAACTTGGATCGCTCCGACTACTGATGACAGTTTGAATACCGTTAGTCTTGTTTGATTGACCAGTGAGTTGAACAAGAACGAACCGTTGAAGTTATTATTTAGAAGCGAGAAGTACTCAAGTGCTGATGGTAAACCGGAGACAAAGGAAGACAGGTTTCCCTCTAACTGGTTGTTCGATAGATCAAGAGTTCGAAGATGTGTTAAGTTACCAAAACAATAAGGTAGACTTGTTAAGGCATTGCTGCTCAAATCCAGCTCCCTGAGATTCGTTAGTCTGCAAATCCCCAGATAGCCTGAAATTAGTCAAACAAGAGCGTAAGAAATCTATGTAGAAATAGAGTAATTAGACATATGATTATCTTCTGTTCTCACAACAAATCTACGTAGGAAGGTGACCAAACTGAGGCTCTTCTGTTTAGGCTAAGCAATCCATAAGATAATGAAAGATAGGCTTAGAAGAGATGAAATGATTGTAATATTTCACCTTCGCGGGTCAAAGACAATTGATTCCTTTTGAGATCCAATACTTGTAAAGATGTAGGAATCACTAAACCTGCACTTGGAAGAAGCATCTTCTATATTCAGTTAAGGGAAATATTCTCAACTTGACCCTGAAAAAGTGAAAACCTACACCAAACCAAACAACATCGAGTTTCTATTTCAATTCGTATCTTACCTACGCCATGATCCAAATTTGTGAACCCATTGCCACTGAGATCCAGTTCTTGCAACTTTTTCAGATTTTTCAGTACTACAGCAAAAGAAACATTCTTATGTAAAAAAACAGAAAGACTCAGAATTCATTTGATTGCCTTCTCTACAATTAATACACTTACCAAGAGTAGATAGCGTGTGGTTGAATTTATTGCCTTTTAATCTTAAGACTGCTAACTCTCGGAGATTTTCTAAACCTGGATATCCCGAAAGACACAAGTTATGATTAGAAAGTTGAGACAAATGGAACAAATCAATCTAAGTAGATGGTAAATTCCTTGTAGTCTCGGTCTACCTTTTAGTTGAGAAAAATCTGACAATGGGTTGTAACTAAGATCTAGTGTTTTCAGTTTCGCTGTACTAAACCCTGCACCAACAAACACGTTATGATACCATAACAAATGTTACAAGTCAGCAGAGATAAGCAATTCAAAAACAGAAAGACAAATATATGCAGCCACTCACTGTGACTAGCCTTAGAGTCGTTAACTCCATTGAAACTGAGATCAAGTACTTCTAATTCTCTGAAACCGGTTAAACCTGCATTTCAATGCCTCCCTCGGTCATTTGGTATCAATCCTGTAGTTCTTGGGACGACTGAATAACATAAGGTATTGTTGAGATATTTACCTTGAGCGGATAAGAAGCTGAAACTGTTGTCCTTCAAGTTTAACACTCTCAACTGTGTCATGTTTGCAAGTCCTGCAATACCAGAACAAAAATTCCGTCAAGACCATCTCCAACATAAAACTACATACAAATTCTTCAATAAAGAAAACAAAAATGTTTAGAAGAAATACATAACCTTTAGGAGGAAAGACACCTTCCATATAATTAGATTCAAGATGTAGAGTCCTAAGCGATGTCGCAGCACTTAGAAAAGGAACAATGCTGTTGTCGAACAAATTGTGCGAGAAATCTATTGTGGTGAGCTTCTCCATTCTCCCAAAGCTCTGATAACCTGGAAACATAAATGCAGAAAAATAAAACTCTCTTTCGAGCAAACCGTCGAACACATTATGTGCACTATATACTATCAACCACCAAATTTCATACGCACCCTAACATTTTCTCACGCTATCACCAAAAATCTTAAGTCGAAATCTATACACACATGCACCACTTTTTCGAGGAAACGACTCACTCGATCGATCATCAATGGCTGATCTTAGAGACGAACCATACGGTACCAAAATCTTTGAAAAGACAACTAAGCAGGTTGTTTATATATGTTTGGTTAAGAGCGGTTTAAGACTTAACCGATATTTATAATTTTTGATTTTCAGATATTAATTACAGAGGTTATCGAGTAGGAAATTGATAAAATTTCGGTTATACGGACGTACCATGGATGTGATCAGACAAACCAGTGAACCAATTCCATGAAAGGTTTAAGCTCTGGAGTTGAGGAAAACTATGGAGCAAAGACAGATTCAACGATCGCGTTTGCGACTCAAACGCGACCGGTATGAGTCGACCCAGCGAGAGATCGACGACGTGGCCACCAAAAGCGTCACCGCACTTTACTCTGTCCCAACGGCAGCAATCACCACCATTACGAGTCCATGACTCGAGAATACTATTCCCTTCACCTTGATCTTCGGTGTCAACGAGATTCTTGAGATACCACTTTAGTTGCAACAGACCAGTCCGTTCAGTTTCCACACAGCATTCACATCCTTTCATTTGAAACTGAAGAATCATTGTTACTGTTATCAACACCAAAGCTTTCTGTTTAAATCGCCACCATCTTCTCTCGTATGTTGTCGTCATTGGTTTTTTATCTCTATGTTTTATTAGTTAGGAGGAATTAAGGATATGAATGATCATTTCCAAAGTTTGAAGAGTTTTGATTGAAGACTTTACCAAGAATAGAATTGTGAGATACTAAAATGTGAATGTGAGCTCAACAGGTTCACGTTATTCAACCCGTATTTGACTTCTGCGTTCAACGCCAACCACGAGAATTGACACATGAGTCCATCTCCATCAAAGGTACGCCTCTCACTAGCTATCAACCTTTAAATGGTTTGCTTCTCTTTGTCTTCTATTTTTGTTTAGATGTTGAAGATAGTATGTCAATTTTGTTATTAACATCAACTTTTGTCTTCTAATGTGATGATAAATATGTTTAAACCAATTCCAAATCAGGAGTTAATTTTTTGTGAATCAAGAGTTTTTTTGTTAGTTTATAAAAATCTACCTTCTTTTGCCAACAACATGCATTTTAACAAACTTGAAATCAGACGATGACATTGTAAAATCACAATATAGTTTACTAGGCTCTATGCCTTTATGTGACAAATACAGTTATCGACTAAAGAGATGACACAAGATATTAATTTGAACCCAAAAGCCTGATTCAACTTTGAGTTTAGGCCCAAACTGATATGGACTCGCAACTTTATGATTAAAGTCAACATAGTCATCTTTGACGACCACAACTACCATTAATTAATGAGTCATCATCATCTCTCCACTCACACGCACTAATCTCATTTCTTTCCTTGAACTTTCAGTTTCAGACTCTTCTCCTTTTTCCCTCACTCTCTCTCTTTCTTTTTCCCGCACCAAATTCCTTTCTTCTTCCGCCCAACTTCTCTCCATCTCTCTCTCTCCCCTTGATCTCCCAACAATCCATCAGGTTAGTGATTAGTTTCTCGTCTGTCGTGGTTTTCCGATTCCGATTGAGTTTTTTATTTGAATTTTTCTTCTGTTTCATGTTTGTGATCGTCTATGCCTTGTGATGCTCCTTTTTGGCCTGTGATTTTCCTTCTCAGTTTTGTGTGATCATAGAATTGCATGGTACACTTCTGTTTGAGAATCGGGGATGTCAATTTGATAATTATGACATTTCACCTTTGTGAATGGAGAGTCTATTAGCTAATATTGAATAGAATGTTATTTATGCCAAGAATAATGTTTTTATAGGGTAATGCGAAGTGGTAGAGAACCTTCACCATGATGGAGCTATCTCTAGTCAAACTATGGAGCACTCGCTTTTATAGTTTCTTCTACATATGGACAGTGCTTTTGCTGCTCACCGCCGGAGGAGTTTACTCTCACTCCGAATACTTGATCGGAATGGGAAGCTATGACATCACTGGCCCAGCGGCTGATGTAAACATGATGGGTTATGCTAACATGGAGCAAGTAGCATCTGGTATTCACCTCAGGCTACGAGCTCGTACATTCATTGTCTCAGAGCCTGAGGGGAAACGGGTTGCGTTTGTGAATATCGACGCTTGCATGGCTTCGCAGATTGTCACACTAAAAGTGATCGAGAGACTCAAGGCAAGGTATGCACTTGCCTGAGATCATAGTAGCTTAAGATTGATTTCTTTCACAAAATGTGGAGATTGTGGAACGATTGAACTGTGTTTTGCAGATATGGGGACCTGTATACAGAGAAGAATGTTGGCATCAGTGGTATTCACACCCACTCCGGTCCAGGGGGTTATCTTCAGTATGTGGTGTATATCTTTACATCTCTTGGATTTGTTCGTCAGTCATTTGATGCCCTTGTGGATGGAATCGAGAATAGTATCATACAAGCTCATGAAAACCTTCGTCCTGGATCAATTCTTCTCAATAATGGTAACGACTGATGATACTCTTGGCCGAGAGTTGTACATTTGTGTTGCAGGATGGTTTTTCGTAATGGCTATTCTTGTATGGCTAATGAAGCTTACCTTATAGGTGAACTCTTGGATGCTGGTGTGAACCGCAGTCCAAGTGCGTATCTTAATAATCCTTCAAAAGAAAGGAGTAAATACAAGTACAATGTTGATAAAGAAATGACTCTCTTGAAGTTTGTGGATGATGAATGGGGTCCGGTAGGTAGTTTCAATTGGTTTGCTACTCACGGAACTTCCATGAGTCGTACAAACTCTCTGATCAGTGGGGACAACAAGGGCACTGCAGCACGGTTTATGGAGGATTGGTTTGAACAGAGCACCGGTAAAAGATCCTACTCTGAAGAGTTTGATTCAGATGAGATACCTAGAAGAGTTTCAAGCATAATCGAGAATCATCAGGAAACTCGTAAGTTTTACAACACCTTTTATAACAACTGTACATTGTGTCTTGAAAGATGGAAGAAGAGAAAATGTTCAGTTTGTTTGATACTGACGCAGATCAAGAGTTGCTAGAGCTTGCATCTTACTTTGAGTCACAACCTGGTAGTCCTGCAACTAGAATTTCGAGTTCTGCAAGGCGGGTGAGGAGTGCTCTGAGGAATGCGGACATGCCTGGCTTTGTTTCTGCTTTCTGTCAAACAAACTGTGGTGATGTTAGCCCAAATGTGCTTGGAGCCTTTTGCCTAGACACTGGTCTTCCTTGTGATTTCAATCACAGTACATGTGGCGGGAGAAATGAGATGTGCTATGGGCGTGGACCAGGGTATTCACCTGTCTTTGTTTTTCTGTCGTCTTACAAGATTGGATAGCACAAATTTATTGAGATAAAGTCTCTTGACCTGTTTTGCTTTATCATTGCAGCTATCCTGATGAATTTGAGAGTACACGTATAATTGGTGAGAGACAATTCGAGATGGCTAAGGATCTTTTCAACGAAGCATCTGAACAGCTACAGGGGAAGGTTGATTACCGCCATGTTTACGTGGACTTTTCGCAGCTTAATGTGACACTTCGTAAGAAAGATGGAACTTCAGAAGTTGTGAAAACATGTCCTGCGGCAATGGGATTTGCTTTTGCTGCTGGAACCACAGATGGACCAGGAGCATTTGACTTCTCACAAGGAGATGATACGGTATTCAGTCAAATGTAACATCTGATAAGTAGTTATTGCTTACATGTTTTCCATTTCTGAATTCTACCATTTGCATCAATCAGGGGAACCCTTTCTGGAAGGTGGTGAGAAACTTTATTAAACCACCTCACAAGAAACAAATGGATTGTCATTACCCAAAACCCATCTTGCTTGACACTGGAGAAATGACAAAGCCATATGACTGGGCTGTAAGTAGTTTAGAATTGTGAACTTCCATGAGTACTGTTTACGGTTTTAAGACTATATTCTAACTTTTTTTTCGTGGATTCCAGCCGTCAATTCTTTCATTGCAAATTCTACGTATTGGACAACTTTTCATCCTCAGCGTTCCTGGAGGTAAAGGAGAATCTGAAGATTGGCACACTTTAAAATCATGAGTAATGATGTGATGTTTAATATTCCTGACTATCTTGCTTGTCAGAATTCACAACTATGGCTGGAAGGCGTCTCCGTGATGCAGTCAAGGCTCAGCTTAAAAGCAGTGGTGACAAAGAAATGAGCGGTGAGATCCACGTGGTGATAGCTGGGTTGGCTAATGGATACTCACAGTATGTGACTACTTTTGAGGAGTACCAAGTGCAAAGATACGAGGTAAAATCTTATCACACTGACCCTTTAGAACAAACAGCTCCATCTTGTTCCTCTTAATCTGTATCTGTTGCATTTGTTAGGGCGCATCTACATTATTTGGCCCACACACCCTCAGTGGCTACATTCAAGAGTTCAAGAAACTCTCCAAATCTCTCCTCCATGATACGACTGTTGAACCGGGGCCTCAACCGCCGGATCTCCTAGACAAGCAACTGAGCTTCCTCACACCAGTCGTGATGGACACAACTCCTGCCGGAGACAGTTTTGGGGATGTAATCTCGGATGTTCCCAAAAACTTGTCCTTGAAGAGTGGAAATGACCATGTGACTGTTGTATTCCAGTCTGCTTGCCCTAGAAACGATCTTTTGACAGAAGGTATCATCACTCAACTCACATAGACAAAATGGTTGACTTGGTCATATTTTGATGCTAACACGAGATATACTATGTTCATGGCAGGTACGTTTGCTCTGGTGGAGAGACTAGAGCGGAACGACAAGACTTGGACCCCTGTTTATGACGACGATGATCTATCTCTGAGGTTCAAGTGGTCTAGGCCTAAGAAGTTGAGCTCCCGGAGTGAAGCCACAGTGGAATGGAGAATTCCCGAGTCTGCATCACCAGGGGTTTACAGAATCACTCATTTTGGTGCTGCGAAGAAGCTCTTTGGGTCAGTCCACCATTTCACAGGCTCTTCTAGTGCTTTCGTTGTAACATGAACAAGTAGAAACTAAAGTAGATGTAGATACAACTATACTTGAATGTACTGTCCGGTGCTCGTATACAAGGAGAGCATATAGAATGATGTCACATACTGATGTTGAGAAGTCTAATGAATAGAGTCTTTCTTGTACTTGTTCGCATTACAACTAAGTTTGTCTTAGTGAATTTATCATGTGAATTGAAGTTTGTTGACGAGCCATTATAGTTCCAAAGACAATCAATTTTGCGACGATTGTAATCATAAAACATAATAAGTCAAGAAAACAACTGAATTCTAGAGGAGCATTTAATAGAATCACACAAAAAACATCATCATCACCGAGAAATCTTATGACATTTTAGGATGAATAGAGAAGCGGTGGATACTAATGGGTCTCTTAGGGCTTGGTGTCGTCTTCTTCTTCTTCAATCTTAGGAGCCAAGTAGTAACGAATGTAACCCATCTCAGCTACCTTGTACTCCACCACCACTGGCAGCTCCGACGATAAGCTGATTGTCACCGTCTCGGACAATGGAGTTGCCTTTGTGAAGGAGTTCATGTACCTCAGGGCAAACGAGAGCGACACTGGCTCGTTCATCTCTATCACAATTGCATCTTCCGGCTGCAATACACATACAAAAACCTCAATTCAACATAATCCTCAATGAATCAGCCATAAACGACTGTCAAACTAAGGAATTAGACACAGCCATACCTTGTCTACAGTTGTGTTCTGTCTTAGCACAATGTTAGCTGTTCCAATGTCACCAGCAGTCGAAAACTTAACCCCTTCTTTAGTCACAGAGATCACAACTGAAAATATAATATCAAGCCAGTATTTAGTCTCTCTATAGACAGACTCAAAGACCAACACAGAGATTCACAGTAAAAGCAATGAAATACCTGTGTCACCGATGCTACTGAGATCTTTGCAAATCCTGGAGAACTCACCAGACGGCATCCTCACAATTGAATGGTACTCAGCATCAGGTATTCCCAAATGCTCACTGTCTATATCCATCAGCTTCATCTCAAAATCTGCAATCTTGTCTTGCGCTGTAAATCATCATCATCACACACACAGAGTATCAAAATATGCATACAGAACATGTCACTAGTAACGTTAACACACGTATGAAGTTCTTCTTCTTCAAATAAGGAAGCAACTACTTAATAGATACACTACTGCAAGAAGAGAACTGAAATTACATTTCTAAATCAATTCTCTCACCATTTTCCACAGGTTTAACATATCAATTACTATAAAGCAAAGAGCTTGGGAAGTTTCAATCAGCACAACGAAGATGGACAGAAAAGCCTAAACAAATTTCGTAACCAACAAAGTAGTTTAGATCGGAGAGCTTACTGGGGCTCTCGAACATGAAGGTGACGGTATCGCCGCCGTCATCAGCCTTGATGGTGATGATGTCATCATTTCCGGCGCATTTGAGCATCTTCGACATGTTGCCGAGATTCATCCCCATGGAAAGGTTGCGGTCGCACCTGTAGTGCTCGAAACCTTCGGATCTCAGCAGGAGGGAGACGAGCGCCACGTGGCTCGAATCCATAGCTTGGAGCGAGAACCCAGTGCTGGAGCAGTCGAAGTTCGCATCGTTCACCAGATCCTTGATCGACTCTAGAACCTTCTTCAACAGAGACCCCTGAACAAGACGTAGCTCCAACATTTCCTTCTTTTCTCGAGAATCCGAATCGCTTTTCTAGGGTTTACTGGTGTGACTGCGAATTTGGTAAAGAAGATTGAGATATCAGGGAGTCCAATTTATAAGCTTTTTTCTTTTCTGGCGGGATTTCGCCATTCTAAGACATTTGGTTCCCGCCAATGCGCGCTAGTAGTCAGTTGTCGAAAAAGATGGATGTTTTGGGTAATTTAAATAGTTAAGGGTTTGATTGTATTTGTAAAAGAATAATTGTTAATTTCTCATATTTTGTGAAAGTTACGGGTTTATTTTGCAATATTTCAAAGATAAACACGCACAAAATCCAAATCGACTTTGCCCTAGTAGTAGAGAATACCGTCACCTTCGTGTTCGAGATTGAAATCGAGTGATCCCCAGAAAGGAAGAGAGAATCAGAGAGAGGAGAAGAGAAGAGAATGGCGCATAGAATACTGAGAGATTATGAAGCCGATGGATGGGAACGCACCGATTTCCCAATCGTCTGCGAGTCTTGTCTCGGTGACAATCCGTATGTGCGAATGGTGATTCCTCGATTCCATCTCTCAAACAATCTTTGATTTTTTTATGCTGCTTGTTTCGTTTCAGTAGCTCCTGAATCTTCTTTTCAGTCTCTTGCTCGTTGATGTTTTCTGTATATTGGAGTGGTTAAACTTGGTAATCTTAGGATAAGGGTTTAGGTAGTCATCAAATTCGTCGCAACTTTGGCTTTTTAGATCCAAATTCTTCTATTTTTAGTTTGAATTGGTTATAGCTGCTGATTCTCATTGCTTGCAGCTGCAAGTTGTTTTCGTTAAGTCTTTATGTTACCTTTAGAAATTAGAAGCAATTTTTCGGCTGATTCATTCAAGTGTTGTTTTTTTGGTATGTAGACTAAAGCGGATTATGATAAGGAATGCAAGATATGTACACGACCCTTCACGGTGTTCAGGTGGAGACCTGGCCGGGACGCTAGATACAAGAAGACCGAAATTTGCCAGACTTGCTGCAAGTTGAAAAATGTGTGCCAAGTCTGTCTTCTGGATCTTGAGTATGGTCTTCCGGTTCAGGTCAGAGACACTGCGCTCAACATTAGTACTCATGACTCTATCCCAAAGAGCGATGTCAACAGAGAGTACTTTGCTGAAGAGCATGACCGGAAGGTATAACTTTTAATTTTAGCATTGGATGATTTGAGATTTTTCATAGTTTGATGACTAAGTCTAGTTTTCTCATGGTGACTTATCCAAATAAGTTTTTGTTTTTTGTTTTGGTGTAGACGAGAGCTGGACTGGATTATGAATCATCGTTTGGGAAGATGCGACCTAATGATACAATTTTGAAGCTGCAAAGAACAACGCCGTACTATAAAAGGAACAGAGCACATGTTTGTAGTTTCTTCATCAGGGGTGAGTGTACAAGAGGTGATGAATGTCCATACCGGCATGAGATGCCTGAAACTGGAGAGCTGTCCCAGCAAAACATTAAAGACCGTTACTATGGGTAAGCTCTTCTTTCTGTATGCTTAAGCTATGCAATGTTTGCTCTCGTGTGTTCTTGTGTTCTCTTAATGTATGAATAACTTTGTATTACGAATGTCAAACGTTCGGTTTGAATTGTTTCTCATCTTCTTTTTATCATATTTGCAGTGTTAATGATCCAGTTGCAATGAAGTTGCTTGGAAAAGCTGGTGAGATGGGCACTCTGGAATCACCAGATGACGAAAGCATCAAGACGCTTTACGTCGGTGGACTTAACTCTAGAGTCCTGGAGCAGGACTTACGAGACCAGTTCTACGCTTATGGTGAAATCGAGTCTATCAGAATCTTGGCGGAGAAAGCGTGTGCGTTTGTCACATACACAAGCCGAGAAGGAGCAGAGAAGGCCGCACAAGAGCTCGCCAACAGGCTAGTCGTCAACGGTCAGAGGCTGAAACTCATGTGGGGAAGACCTCAGGCTCCCAGACCTGATCAAGACGGTTCGAACCAACAGGGTAGTGTGGCTCGTAGTGGTTTGCTACCTCGAGCCGTTATATCTCAGCAGCAGAATCAACCCCCACCAATGCAGCAGTACTATATGCACCCACCACCACCTAGCCAAGACAGACCTTATTACCCATCAATGGACCCACAGAGAATGGGTGCAGTGGTTTCAACCCAAGAGGCTGGTGGTTCAAGTGAAAACAGTGGAGCTTCTTCTTCGTCTTACATGATGCCTCCACACCAGCCATACCCGCCACCACCATATGGATACATGCCATCGCCTTACCAGCAGCAGTATCCTCATCCTGGTCCTATGCACCACTATGCCCCGCCTCCAGCAGCTCACCCCTACCCGCAGCAACCTGGTCCATCAGCTGACTCTGCACCTGCTGGATCTGGAGCACCTCCAGGGTCCTCTCAACAACCTCCTGCTGTTCCTACTGCGACTGGTTCGTCTGAGTAGAAGAATTCTTGCTTAAAATGTGCTGCAAGTTTTACGCTAACTATGCTGTGAAATGTCTTTTTATACTCGGAGTGAATCATTTTCTGCTGCTGCTTCTTTGGTTTTGTCTTTGAGAGTTACTCTTAATGAAAGGTATCAGTTATGGAGGCGAATTGGTTCTGTGAAAGTCATTTTTCGTTATCGAACTTAGAGAATGTTTTGATCAAATTGGTCCAGAAAAGAGGCCGCCTACCGACGTTTGTAAATTATACTTATCTATATAGACATATCCTCAACACAGAAATGTAAATAAATCAGTAAAATAAAGCATATATCAGGAACAAAACCATTATCTATTAGTGAGGAATGAGGATTGTTATTAACAAAATCCATTAGCGATGATTTTTCGCGACTCTTTCAGGGATCTTATCCTCGGAAGTTCGAAAATATTATGGTTTGATTAGGTCTCATGAGATATACTCAAAAGATAAAAATTGATACCGAACTAGACCAATTCAATTTAAAAAAAAAAAAAAAACAGAAAGAACAACCTTCTGCTTGGAATTAGAAACTTCAACACTTTACTTAACGAGCCAAAATCTTTAAAAAAGAAACAAAGTTACTTAACAATTGGATGTAAGTGTAAACAGCTACATAGCAGAATCTTATTTGTTTTTCTTTAACAATTAAGAAAAAGCTGAATCTAAACAACCCAAACTAGCTCCAAAGTTTAGAAACCCATAAACCAAAAAATAAAATTAAGAAAACTAGCCAGAAACTATCTTTGAGCAACAAGAAAAAAATTATCAATTCTGCTTAAAGTATCTCTTCCAGAACCAATGCCTCTTCCAACACCGATCGGCCATTTCCTCAATAGAAACACCTCTGGTCTCGGGGAGAAGGAAGATGACAAACAGTCCCATGATAATGTTCATGCATCCGAACATGAAGAAGAGGTGGGATCTCAAACTGCAGAGAGCCGTCAAGAAGAACTGTCCGATGATGAAAGTGCAAATCATATTCATCGCCACAGCGAGGAAGTAGCCTGCATTTCTCACCTCAAGAGGATAGATCTCAGACGGAACAAGCCATCCCAAAGGTCCCCACGACCACGCAAAACCAGATACATAGACGCAAATGAGGATCAGTACAATCAGCGGTACGGAGTGGCCCGAAATAGGTCCCACTAAGTGCAGATTTTTCAATAGCATGCCTCCAATAGTCATCTGCGTAAATAGATAAAACAAAAAAGTTAGTATAACTTGTAACGCAAGCAAAGTTAGGTTAGGTTTTGTGTTTTGTTTTTACCTGTGTAACGGTCATTTGAAGAGCTCCTTCGATCAAAAAGAACCTCCTACCGAACAGATCAACAAAGATAAGGGAGAAGATTGTAGCGACTGCATTCACACCGTTGGTGACGACGGTAGAGATGAGAGAAGCGTTGTTACCGCTTCCCATCGTCTGGAACAAGACTGGAGCGTAGAACATGACCACATTCATTCCGGTGAACTGTTGGAAGAACTGAAGCAGCGTCCCACAGATCAACGGCGGTCTGTTTTGGCGGTTGCGGAAGAGTTCTATGAAAGGGCTTTTGACCTTGTTGGAAACCTCCGTCGCTCGTTTGATCTCTTGGAACTCGAGCTCAATGTCTTCAAGGCCTCTGATCTTCCTCAGGACGTGCTTCCCTTTCTCGTCTTTACCTCGCTCGATGAGGCTAGCTGGAGTCTCGTGGATGAAGATTGATCCTATCAAGAGGATTAAGGCCGGAACAGCGGCACCACCGAGAGAGTATCTCCACCCGTCTTTCTTCATGGACGTTAAGTAGTTTACGTAACTCGCTGCTAGGATTCCAATGGTGATGAGAAACTGGAACATTCCGTTTAGTCCTCCTCTGAATCTAGGCGGCGCTATCTCGGAGATGAACAATGGAACGGTCTGAAAAAAAAGGTGTATTGGTTTCAAATGTTAGAAACAAGACAAAACAGAGGAAACAGAGCATATCTATTCGAAAACAGAGGAAAACGTAGATAGAAAGTTTGAGAATTTCAGACCTGGTTACCGAAACCGATGCCGATGCCGAGAAGAATACGACCACCGATCAACATGCCGAGTTCTTGGGCGAAAAAGTTGAGGATTGCACCGGCGAGGAAGAAGGCGGAGGCGGCGATGATGACTGGTTTTCTTCCGAATCTTCTGGAGAAATATGAAGCGCCTAAACTTGCGAAGATTCCAGCCAAGTAGAGAGAAGAAGTGAACAACTGCAGAAGCATGTCATTGAATTTGCAGTAGTTGTTCTCGTGTGCTCTGTGTTTCTTCTCGTACACGTGCGGGAAAAACTTTAACAGAAAAGTATCCATACTCGTCACTCCTCCTGCAATATTTAATTACACCAATTCATTATTCATTGATCTGATCACAAGAAAAAAGAAGAGTAGAAAGAAGCACCAAAGGCACAAGTAACTAAAATGAAACCTGAGATTCCGATGTCATAACCAAACATGAGACCACCAACAGCAGCAATGAGACAGCAGATCCATACTTGAAACGTCAGCTTTGCAGGGAAGGAAACTTCTCCCTTTTCGATATTAATCTCACCCGCCGCCATTTTTTTGCTCTCTTTCGATCGATATCTCTTGATTTGTTTCTTTCTAATTATGTGTATAACCTAAGGGTTTCGCAATGTTAAGTAGATGTGGAGATGTGTGATTCTTATATAGATGGGTGGGAGAGAGTTTTGGATAAACTAAGATTTTTTCACAGAATCTTTTTTACCGGGATTTTCTGTTTATCTATGTCATATTTTATCTGAATGAAAATGTTTGGATAATATTACCGATTATTACTGCTCAGTAAGGTTTGACCGAGAATCTCTCTACTTAAGTATTCTTTTCAGTTTTTGGTTTAATATTAATATATTATAATATTAAACGGAGTACAATGATCTGACAAAAAAAAGTTTGGATAATATTAAGATTATTACGGATGATTAAGGTTTGATCGAGAATTTTTTTCTTTTCAAAACTTATTTTAATATCAAGATATTAACATTTTAAACGGAATACAATATTCAATTGTTTATCTGAAAAAAATTTATAGATAATATTATTGATTGTTACTGATGATATCAAGATATTGTAATTTTAAACGAAATACAATTAAAATACAATCTTTAACTGTTAACTATGTTCCTCTTAATCCTTTGTTAAATCGTTTATATAAACTAAATAAAGAAAAGGTAATGTCTTTTTTTGTATTAAGAATTTAAAACATTTGCGACCAATCTATTTATGATTAGTCCACAGTCTCAACGATTAACATAATCTGAAATTGTGATAAAAAGATATTATTAAAATAAAAACATTATAACCCTCTACAAATTATAATATTTTGATTTGAAAAAAAATAAATAGAAATCTGATCTGCCGCAAGGATCTAAAATCTTTTATAATCCAGATGTCCGACATTTGGATCATTGGATCTGCGTCATGCTGACACATAACAATGATATTCCAACACCGTTGGTGTCTATAGTGATGATAATGTATCTGCAAAACTGAGAAGATATTTGATTCAAATTTTATTTATGTATTCATTAGATGTTGTAAATGAGTCATAAAATAAATCTTGGATTATTTCTCGTACAATTTCTGATTAACTAATTCTGCGCGCTAAGCCCTACCCTACGCAATTTTTTTAACACAAGTTATTTGAACATAAGTTATAACTATATGTGCCATCCTTTTTTTTTTTCTTCAGATACCAATCAAAATGTTCTTTTATTACCATCAAACAAATGCATGAAATATAATCATTAAGTTATACTTGTTTACACTAGAATATTTGTAGACTAGTTCCTGCAGCTACATTAGCATTTGATCCTAGCAACCAATATGATGTTGATCCTCTTTGTCGATTATATCATGAAAAATCCACAAAAGAAGAAGCTCCAATATTTGTCAGTCCGGAGTTTCGGTCCCGGGTGTTAAGTTTCGGTCCCGGGTGTAAAACAAAGGGACAATGGCATCTGAAGTAGAATCTTCTTCTATAGCTTCCGCACCTACCCTCATACTGTCCCTGTTTTAGAGAACACACTTCATATTTTTGTAAAAAGATGACATTTCAATTCAAAAATGTACAGCAAAGCCATTGAAACTGACTTATGTTTCTAAATTGTTCCTACTACTATAACCACCTAATTGATTCACAGGAGGATCCGGTTCTGGTATTACAGTTGTCGGTTCCAAATCCTCAGAGGCCAAAATATAAGTCCGGTCTAAAGGTAACGACACGTCTGGTAACACTGATGTTGGGGAAGTAGCAGATGCCACTTGATTAACATTTGAAGCTTCAGGATCCGCAGTCTCTTGAGCTGATTCGCCTCCATCATTTCTCCTAACATGCTCTTCGAGTTCTTGATTGCTTCTTCTCTCAGAGGGTTCTTCACGTTCATCAGAGACATAACTTATCTTCAGCTCATCCACCGAGTTTTGGAGAAGATCCTGCGACTCCTGTCAAAACATTTCAAACAGTATTATTAAAATTCAACATTATAAGAACAGATTGAAAACAAAAACAAACTTGTTTCATTAAACTTGACAATAACAAGAACTATGTAACCTCTTCTATTTTCGAAGCCTCTTCGGATATTTGCAATGCTTTGTCTGGATTTTCCAGTAGAGACTGCCTGGATTTTGATCTCTCCTCTTCCTCTGATCTTCCTTTGACATCTGTCCCATCAGACAAACCCTCAAATTGTCTAGCTGCATCATTCAAATATTGATCAAATTTCTCCACTGGTAACATTTGAGAATCTGCAGTTTTATCCAGAATGCTCATCTGTTTAGCCTCATTTCCCTCAGCATTAGAGCCCGTTTCCTTCCCGGTCTCTGATTCGCAGACAAAGGGTGACTTCTCGTCATCAGAAGAATTATTACCACCAGCTGTAGTGGGAGGTGATCCGATCTCAGAAAACTCAACTTGAAGATCCGATTCCACGGATTATGTCACCTTGTGACCCTTTTTATTTGTCCTGTAACCAAAATGTTCCATGTATTTTTGCCTTTCCGCTGCTAACGAACTCGAAAGCGAACCAGTGTTTCTTGGAACTAGACCCACTAGAGAGTTTCCAACACGATGATCACCATTTCGTTTCCCGGGAGCTCCAGAAGACTCTGCTTTATCTGAGACACTGGATTCCATTTCCCTTACCCCAGGAGAAGGCAATGTGTTTGAATCACTCTCAACGATCTCTTGATGAAAACTATCCCCTGAGAGGTTAGGCTTCTCCTCTTGTGGATCATAAGGAATATCAAATGGGTTTTTTGTTGGTAATAATAACACAGAAGGTGCAGACTCAGGCATTTGAAGTCCATCAATCATATAGTTTTCTTCATCCAAACCGAAATTGTTCCTTCCAACAGATATAGGAGGAACTTCCATATCCATTAGGCTTCTCTCAGCCGTCAATGTCCTTGTTCTTCTTCTAGTAATCATATGCTCTAATCTCCTGTTACGTTCAATATCAGAGTTTCCAAGATCCATCAGATTCTTCTGATCATCCTCGGTCCAAGCGAATACCTTTTTGTCTTCAAGGATGGTTTCTTGTTCGCCTTCTGATGATGATGATGATGAACACTCAACTTCGGTTTCGCCACCACCGCTCGTTAGCATCTCCGAAAGATCAACGGCGGAAACATTTCCGGCGGTTGAAGGAGGCTCAAAGGAGATTTCTTCCGACACAAGAAAGGCTCTGTCTTTCTTGAATTTATGGAGTTTGGGAGATTTTCTGGCGTTTTGGGGGAATTCGCCGTAGAGAGTTGTCAAAATGACTTTGTCTCTCTCATCCTCGCTGGCTTGAGCAGAGTCCCAATCTTTCCCAACTTCCTCAACTTTCCTTCTGGCATTTCGTCGAACACTTCGTTGGTGTTTTAACTCAGCCTTCGTTGTTGTGGTTCCTCCCTCGGACACTTTTTGGGAAAATGGTGATGGTAATCCATTCAAAGGCTTGACATTTCGATGGTTTCGAAGATAAAACGCAGAGAATGCGACGAACGGAGAAGAGAAGAGCAGGAAATAGAAAACCCGAGGAAGAAAAGTGTATAAGAGGAAGATGATCGCAGAAACACCAGAAACAAGTGGGTATTTTCTTACGCATGTGTAAACAGAGCTCGTGGAGATTCTGAGAATTTTCCACAAGAGAACTCCTACGTCTTTGGCATCGACTCCCATGGTTTAAACAGCCTTGGATCTCAGAACCATTCTATGGCGGTTGTTCAGGGTGTTCAAACAGATTGAAAGAGGAAAGTGGAAAGAGCATTTCAAAATGAAATTTGTTTTTAGTCAAGCGACGGATTGAAAGGTTAATGGAAGAAGCGAAAATCGAGAAGACAGGAGAGGTCATGTTTGCATTTGAAACAATAGCCAATCAACAACCTTGGAGGTTTTTTCTACATTTTAAATATGGAGGGAGTAAACAGAATTAACGGTTGCTTCACATTTACGGAAGAGTAATTAATCAGATGTGTTACGGTGCACGTAAATGTAATAAACCCTGAACGTAGCTTTGATGTGGGACCCGTTCTTATTTAATTGGACGGCTCACAGTTTAAGATAGGAGGATTTATCGTCTATGCTATTGGATGAGGGAACTTCGTGCCGTTTCAGGGCCACGTCACCAAAAGCAGTGCCGTTTTTTGGTATTCTGAAAAAACAATCACCCTGTCACTTCTAGACACAACCACAAGATGATAAAAAGTTCTGGCATCAGAGTTCAGAGTTTGTCATGAGTCATGACGTATTCCCAAGAAGGGTTTTAAACCATTTTAGCAGCTATCGGAGAAAAATGAGCTAAAATATAGAGTTGTCTGTCACCAACGAATTCTAAAGAAAACATAGTTTTGGTTGTGCTGGCTGCAGCTTTACGTAAACCAACTCACTTATATATCAATAAAAGATGATTCCCTCCAATGGCTGGTGTGTTTTCATGATGTCTAATTTCACTCTTTTTGAATTCTTGATTCGTTGAGAGTTAAACACATAAATCAGCATGAGAAAGAAATTGGAGATGACCTCTCTGAAAAATCTCTAAAATTACATACACATTTCTCTTGTTGCTACAAAAAGGAAAGAGAAGTGAAACTCATAAGCCACTCTTGAAACAATTGGTAGCTTATTCACTCCGCAGCTTCCTCTGACCCTTCATAACACAAAAACAATGTGGAAATGTTTCCATATTAACACATCTTCTCTAACAAACATTTCTCTCCTTAACTAAGATTTCAATTCAAGCAATGAAACCAAACAGCAACGAAGATCAAGCAAAATCAATGTAACAAATTTCGACCCAAAACAAGTTCCTTTCAAGAGCAATTGGGGGATTCGAGAAGGAGACTGTTCAAAACACTAACCTTCAGTGGAATCTTCATCTTCATCTTCATCCTCCTCTTCCGTCTCCACCGCATCAACACCGTACCTCGCATTCAGGAACTCCACCGCCGCAGGAGTCAGCACCAGCTTATCAGAATTCAAAATGTCGAAAAGATTCAGCGTCCTCGGAGTCAGCATCCTCAGCGTTCCAATGTTCCTGCTCGACTTCGCAACGTTCTCCTCCACATCCATCATCAAGAACATGGCTTTCTCCTTGGGGTCCAAACCCCACCTCTCCATCGCAGCTAAGAAGTCCTTCGTCTTCGGCTTCCCGAACTTATCCCCGAACTCCTCCACCACTATCGCACCTTCCGACGTCGCCGCGCTCGAAATCGCCGTCGATATCGCCAGCCTCTTCTCCTTCCGGTTGATTTTAATCGACCAGTCCCTCGGTTTTGGCCCGAACACCACACCTCCGCCGGGACGCAGCGGCGTTCTCTGAGATCCACGCCTCGCGTGACCGGTTTTCTTCTGCGAGTAGGGTTTAATTCCACCACCGCGAACTTCACCGCGGGTCAGCGTCGACGCCGTCCCTCGCCGCTTGTTCTGCAGATCCGTCACGATGGCCCGGTGCACGACGGCACGCGCGGTATCCTCTGGCGCAGTTTTGAGGTCCAGATACGTCTCCCCAACCTTCTCTCCTTCGAATGAGATGATTGGCAGAGTCGCTAGCTGGGATGCGACGGAGAGCGGTTTCGATACTCTGCCGGAGCCGAATTTCGAGACGGAAATGTAGGTTTTCGGGAATTGGTGAGAAGAAGATAAAAAGAGAGAGGATGAGAAGAAAGATAGTGAATTTGCCGCTGTTGCAGAGGAAGCCATTGCTCACTGACCCAATCACAACGAAGAAGAAGAACACTGAGAGGGTGGGTTATCCACTCCTATCTTGTGCTTGGTTACTGGTGAGAATTTGAGCATCTGTTTGGACACAAGGATATAAATATCCTTATTCGGGTCATAAATAACTCCAGCTGTCTCTACTAAGAAAATGTCAAAAGCCTCTTTACAAGCCCAACAGGTTTAAGAAAGACAAAAACTTTGTGATTAACGACGACCGAAACTTTTATACCATTATCTACACTAGATACGAGCGCACGTTAGCTAAGACCGCCGCGTTAAACCACCGCCCGCCTTAGAACCGCACCGTATCATGGCCTCCTCGGAGCCACTAGAGTTAGTCGTTACCGTCGTCTCTGCCAAGCACCTGAAGAATGTCAATTGGCGTTGCGGAGACTTGAAACCGTACGTTGTCCTGTACCTCGATCCTGACCATCGCGTCTCCACCCGCTCCGACGATTCCACGAAACCGGTGTGGAACGAAGGGATCACTCTTCCTCTCACCCGATCCGTCCACGAATCGGTCCTCAACATCGAGATTCTCCATTCCAATTCTTCGGATCTAGCAAAAACCCTCGTCGGATCGGTTCGATTTCCTCTGGCTCGCTTGGTTGACTCGGACGGAGCGAAGATTCCCGAATTGATCAACTCGCTCGAGCTGGTCCGTCCGTCGGGTCGACCGCAGGGGAAGATACGATTGAAGCTCGCGATCAACGAGCGACCGATCCCTCGGCCGCAACATCATCATCCTCCTCCTCCTCCTCCGCCTCCGCGTCCTCAATCTCAACCACAAGATTACTATTGTGCCCCTCAAGGAAACCATTATTGCTCCCCGACCCCTCCTCCACCTCCGATCATCAGTACTCTTCTTCCTCGCGATTACAGGGAATTCTCTCCGTCTCCCTATCCGTTCACCGATCACTACTATCCCGGATTCTATTACCCTCCTCCTCCTCCACCACGCTCGATGTACGACCGTGTCTCCAATTACGGTATGCCAAGTGGTCCGTCTGCTACCTCCGATGCCTTCTCATCCACTGATCACAAGCCGCTTCCTTTAGCTCCTCGGTTTCCCAATTACGCTCCACCGCCTAGTGGGCCATCAGCTCCCGTCGATGCCTTTCCGGTGAACGAGTACAAGCCACAGACTCCTCCTGCAGGCTCGCGATTGTCTAGCTACGGAGTGCCAAGTGGCCCATCGGCGCCGGTCGATTACTCTCCTTATGATCACAGGCAGATGCAGAAAGCGATGGGCGGATTGAGCTTGGAGGAAGAGAGAGCTGTTGCAGAGAGGTCTGAGAGCGACTTTGGAGCTAGGCCTAGCTACAGCTACGGCCGTGATTATCGCCGGGAATGTTAATCGAGGATGTGGGAAAAAGTTGTGGAATTTCATAAGTGTGTGGCGTTTATAAGAATCTGCTATCATCTGATTTTACATTCCATGTTGGTGTTTATAGATCACCAAGATATGGTGTGACTAAAAATATGAATATGTCTATATGTGTTTTCTCGTTTTCTCCAGAATTGATTGTTTGCTTCTTTCTCGTTATTCGGTTTCTGTATGTGTCTGAATAACAAGAGGTACAGAAGGTGTCATCCCTTTTGTACCTTTGTACATGTTTCTAAAATATCTCTAATTTCTTCTCTTCTTTCATCTTCTTGCTATGTTTCTTTCAACTTCTTGGATCAGGCTATTGGGTTCTTAGGGTTAGTTTCCTAATGTGAATCACTTATTTGTTGATTACTGTTTGAAATGAAATTGGCTAAATGTTTGGAATATCTCTCTTGTGAGTTGTGTAATATTGGAACCAATGATCTCCTTGCTTCAAAGTAATGTAATTCACTGTGGAGTATGGTTGGAGTAATGTGTATACATCACAGTACAGAAAAGATGTCTTCCCTCATCGTTTGTGGTGAAATGTTATGTGTACGGTTGGTGTTAAATCTGTTCTGCTCTTGTCTTGACGATGTGACACAGCAATTTTGCTATTGCATTCTTTTTCCCTTTTGGCATTTTTGAAACCTACCATATATGTCAGTCAATCTCAGGCCATTAGCATCTAATCACTGACTCTATTATGCTGGACTTATTGTTCTGATCTCAATGGAATGTTTTCACGAGTAAATTTACTCTCCAGCCTCCAAAGTGTTGATCTTCTATTTATGTCCTGACATTCCCTGGTTATTATATGCTTTCTCATATTCTTGTGTGCCCACCATTAACTTGTTTTTTTCTCTCTTATTTTCCTCCCTTATTTTTTGTAGCCTCAAGAATCATGAAAAGGAATCTACCATCATCCATAAAGGTAAGTTTATATTGACCTCTCCTGGAGTCAAAAACAAATTGTTCTGATAGACACATGAGTGATCATCAAAAAGAAAGAATGATACCAAATGGTTGCTTCATAAAAAAGAGCCTTTTTGTTCACTTAAACAAAGGTTTAATTCCTGTGTGGACCGTAAAGAAAGAAAGAAAAAAATTTAACCTAGTCTTTCTCTTTTTGCTCTTGCCATAATTCTCTTTTTATAGGATCGAAAAGCTACACTTTTTCTTACTTATTTATGTGTTTATGTCTCGAGTGCTTAATCATTGCCTAAGCGTAATGATGTTATGAATACATCTAATCATGTCTTTCCCCGTCTTTGATTGAACTAGCAGCCCACTTGTTCTCAGCATCAGTCCCTTATATATCTCTCAATATCCTCATATTGTTTCCATAAACCTCTCACTTTCCTCTTGTTATGTCAGCTACTGGAGCAAAACGGTCCAGCACAAACACTAGACCGGTTAAGAGAGATGCTTCGACTAAGCAAAACGCTATCAAGGGACCTTATGGTAATAGTCCGGGATGCACAACGAGCTGCGGATTAAGGTTACCGAGGAAAACAGAAGTCACAGCAGCAAAATTGATCAAGCATCTTGGCTGTAAATTTGCTAAAGGATTGCGTCTGGTGGTGATGAGGAAGAAGAGAAAGTCTCCACCAACGAAGGTTTCTTCCTCTTCATCCTCTGGGAGATCTCAGCCGTCGATCATCCCTATAAGAAATGACAGTCATAGAGCAGAGGCCATAGAAGACTGCATACAGTTTATCAACTCCTCATCCTCCTTCACCAGATCAAACTCTACTTCCTAAGTGGCTAAGTCACATCACTCCCAAACCCTTTGTCTTGGTTTGCTCATTGTCTATTTGCTTATTTGTGAGAATGAAACTACATGTAAATCAATGTCTATACAAGTCTAAATGTGACTTCTTGTTATTGTAAACATTTATGCTTTACATCAGTTGTCATTTTTCTTTATCGTTTTACAAAAACATAAATAGTTTTGTCCATCTCCCTCCACACAAGCTCTGTCTATACTCTAGATGTTTTCATGTTGATTTTGGTATTCGTATTTGTTCATGATTAGTCATAATAACATTATTGTAACTGTATCGCACCTTCAGTGAACGAGACACCACGTAAAAGTATATCATGTGTGCGGGTGTGATAATTAATAACTTCATAGGCCTTAAAATGACTTCCCCCTTTATATAGTCTTTATTACCTAATTCTATCTTAACTTTTTATAAGAAAATGATTGCAAATTTTTGGTCGTGCTCGATTAGTTATACACAATAAATACATAGTCTACTAAAAGTATAAATTCCCACTAGTCGTCTATTAAATAATAAGTCCATCTGTTAATGTTGATCCACTAAAATGCTCTAGCTGAAAATCTTATACTATCAAACCAAAAACAAATCAATTACTAGTCCGAGACGAGAAATATGTCGGCAAGTTACTAGTGTGGTGCAGTTACTGTAATAACAAGTGTGGTGATCAGTACAGTTCAATTATGGTGAGTTTTGTTTAGCAGTTTGCTCCGGAGCTAAAGCCCAAACCTTAAAATCTTAAAGCCCAAGCCCATATTCAGAATCCCGAATCGCCACAGCCACCGGCAATCTTCCCGCCAGGAAATCAGCCATGGATTCCGGCGTAGCCTCAAAGCCTAACTTTTTCCTTCACATCCCATTCCGTTCCGGCTGATTTTTTAAAAATAAAAATTATTCATTCCCCAGATTTCAAGAATAATATTGAAGCTGGAGATTGTGAACATGGACGGTTACACTCTCTCAACCTCGGTAATCTCGCTCAGATCCTCCCACGTTCTTATTCGCCTCTTACGCTTTGCGTGTTACCTAAAAAGGTCTCTCCCCTCCATCTTCGCCGGTTTTCCTCTTCACAAAAGCGGTGAACATCTGAATTCCCACTGCCGATCTTACCCTCCAATCGCATTTACGCCGCCGCATTTCGAGGGATTTTCGAGCTGATAAAGTGCAATCCTCTTCCTTACTCTTCTTCTCATTCGTATCTTCGATTCCGCGGATTCAGGACACAACTCTTCTCCGATTCTTCATCAGGTATCAAACTATAATCATCGATTCGTCTTCGTAATTCGGGATGTGAAATTTGAGAATTTTGGCTGTGCAGGGCACAAGATATGGCTGCTGCGAAGCTTGAAGCGATTGTTTGCCATGAACATGATGATGATGATGAATCATCAGAGCTGAATGGAGGTATAAGCGTCGTCTATCAACTTCTCGATCAAATCCACCACAACCACGTTGACAAGAGTTCCGAACGTAGAGGCTTGAGTGAAAGGTTTCTGAGATGGAGACGGAGATATCTTCCTGTTGATGGAGACAACAGACGTGACCACGGTACGGTGAAACAGTCAGGACCGCTTGTGTCTGGAACAGCTTACTGCATCTCTTCCTGCAGCATGATCATCATGAACAAAATCGTTCTCTCTAGCTATAACTTCAACGCAGGAATCTCTTTGATGTTGTATCAAGTAAGCCATTTTCAAAACTTGATTTTCCTTGGGTTTGTGATATGATTTGACAAAACTTATATAGTTTGATAATTTTATTTTCAGAACTTAATCAGCTGTTTGGTGGTAGCTGTACTAGATTTCTCTGGAGTGGTTTCTGTGGAAAGGTTTAACTGGAAGTTGATTAGAGTGTGGATGCCTGTCAATGTTATCTTTGTTGGCATGCTGGTCTCGGGGATGTACAGGTAAGGTTTCAGTGTTTCACCATCATAGAATGTGTGGTGGTACTTTGAGACTAATGCAACATTGCATTTTATATTTCCAGTTTGAGATACATTAACGTTGCTATGGTGACTATTCTGAAGAACGCAACGAATATAATTACGGCGATAGGGGAATTATACATGTTCCGGAAAAGGCAGAACAACAAGGTTTGGGCTGCAATGTTCATGATGGTGAGTTAAACTGTTACTGCACAATTTAAACAAGATTAGAGAAGATATTGGCTAAGAGTTTTGCAATATACAGATCATCTCTGCAATCAGCGGAGGCATCACGGATCTCACTTTCAACGCAGTAGGGTACACGTGGCAGGCTGCCAACTGCATTCTAACCGCAAGTTATTCAGTAAGTTTGTGCTTTTTAAACCAGTGACTGGAATCATCTCTGTCTCTCTTGCTCTATCAATAATGATTGATCTTTCAACTCTTTTGTCAAAGCTTACTCTGCGTCGAGTGATGGACAAAGCAAAACAGTCAACAAAATCCGGGTCCCTTAATGAGGTGTCAATGGTGCTTCTGAATAATCTCTTGTCAATACCTTTTGGCATCATCTTGATCATCTTAATGGGTGAATGGAGATACGTAATAAGCACGTAAGGACTACTAAACAGAGCGACACCTGTCCACAAAATTTATATTTTCTACTAAAATGTTCATTTGTGTTTACTTATACTCTGTTGTGGCAGGGATGTAACAAAAGATGCAATGTTTTGGGTAGTTGCAACAGGGAGCGGCTTCCTAGGTCTGGCCATTAGCTTCACTTCAATGTGGTTCTTGCATCAAACCGGACCCACAACATACAGGTGGGCATCTCTTTCCGACCACTAAACATTTCCCTTCATTTGTAACTGAGGTCAACGTTTATGACATTCTTTCTATTTGTGTGGCAGTCTGGTGGGTTCACTGAACAAGGTTCCAATATCACTTTCCGGTCTTGTACTCTTCGATGTCCCTCTCAGTCTCCCAAATTTGTTCAGCATACTTTTTGGTAAGTAACACGGACTTCTGCAGATACAGAGCACGACCGATGACCGGTTCTGGTTATATGCTCTCTTTCTTTCTTTTTTCATGAGTTAATGTGCATATGAATTGGTGTATAATGTACTTTGGTTTTGCAGGTTTATTTGCCGGAGTGTTCTTTGCCAGAGCTAAAATGTCATAAGGAGTGTTTTCAAGCCAGGAACTCAGAGGCTGAAGACAAATAAACACAAGATTTAGGGATTCACTATTAGTATAAGATATGAACTTAATATTAGATTCTTTGGAAATTTCAATATGCCTTAAAGGGGCGGGAGAGAGGCTTTTATCGTTTATTCAGTTTGGAGAGTTTATTATGGTGCCCACAAGGGTTATTCACAGTAGTTTCTTCGTATGTCTATAACAAAAACACACACACCACCCCATTATAAAGTAAAAAAAAAAAATACCTATATGTACACAATATATAAACTCTACAATCGCTGTTTTCGTATTCAATACAGCATTGTTGATTTAAAACTTGATGAGAGAGATTGTTTTACAAGAAAACTTGATTTTATTAAAATAGTTATAAGAAGGGCACATAATAAATTAATAATCCTATGAAGATTAACGCAAATATAAGAGCAAAAGATGACATGCCCGTTCCTTTCACCTAACTCCAATTTTCGTCCCTATCTTCTTCTGATTCTGATTCTGACGGCCACTGCGCCTCCCAATCTTGTTCTTCGTATGTCTTCAATGGCTCACAGTTACTAATTTGCTTGAGTAGCTTTGCATCGTTGATATTAAGATCCTCTACATGGTTCACAAAGGTGTAAACTCTACGTTTCTCAAAGCCTTCATTGTTAGCTCCAAAACCTTTGACTTCAACACTCTGGAGAGTGTTCCTTTCAGGATTGAAGTAGAAAACATAAAACGGTTGTTTACATGTATAATGAGTCATCGACAAAACAATTTCACCCTTAGCAGTCACTCCGACGACAGCTACGGAAACATAAGAGCCATCATCCAAGAAGAAGTTATCATCCCACAAAGTGTAGGCATATTTGGACCATTCTTGTTTCTCGGAATCCTCTAGAACCCACACACGCAACCCAATGGCATTACCATCGGCCTTATCCTTCCAACGAACGTTTTTATCCTCCCAATAAACAACACCTAATTTACCTTTATAGTTTATCAATCGACAAAAGCCTTCCAGGTAAATAAACTTGAATTTCTCATACCTAACATCAAAGCAAACTATCACAAATTTCTCATCCATCTCATCCTCACCTAAGTAATACAAAACCCCATTGATGCACACTCCTTGACTCACAATCGCATGTCTTAAGGAACACTTTATCGTTCTCCACCTCATTTCTTCACTACCTAGCGTCATAATTTTATGATGACCAGGACCACTTGAGTAAGCCATGAACAATACCTTGAATTGTTTGTCAATCGGATCAAACCCGAAAAAGCTATCGGCCTTTCTGTACCTTCTCAGATAAGGTAAGTTCGCGTACTGTCCCGTTTTAGGGTTACATATCACAGAAAAGAAATCACTGTTTGCGAAATACATGGCATGGAGATAGATCAAACCAGAATCATAGCCACATGAGAATGATCGGACACTAGTACTCATGATCGTCATTTTTCCTGGAGGAAACTCCCTATGAAAATCGGCGACTGCTACAAGAGACGACGACGACTTCTCATATGGATTTTGACGCTGAGGCGACGAGTAAAAGTTCCATTTCTTGCCTTCTTGGACTGTGCTTTCTTGTTGTTTGACTACAAATAAGAGACGTGAACGAGCAGAGGATCTGGTCAAGAACAGCTTGGTGAAATCTGGACGGTTAAACGTGGAACCCCATAGCTTCGACAAGCAATGAAACCTAGCGACTGATTTTTTAGGCAGTCTCGAGAATATCTCGATCATGAGATCATATGGGATGGAACATGATTTCATGATTACTGATCGGTCGGAAAAGAGAGAGAGAGATGTTAAAACCTAGAAACCCTAGCTACGTATATTAACAAGATCTTAGGTAACCATTATATATCGATCGTAAAAGAGTAAACAAAAAATAAAAATATATAATATAAGATATGGAAAACGGCGGAAATGTTAAAAGAAACTAGGTTCGACACAAACCTAAAAGCATGAAATTTTTAAAAATCAAATTGATTTGGGTTTCTTTTTTATTTGTTCACTTTCGTTTTCGTCCGTATTTTGCAACAGGATGAAACCAAAACATAATTTTATCACCAAATTTGGGTTCCAGCATTATTCTTATCTCTAATCTCTGATCTGAGGTTAAGTTTTTCAGTTATTTTCTTATTGTTCTTGGTCAGTTTATTAGGCAGACGCACGCAACTTTAGTGTGAACTACTTATATGGATTTAAACTGGCAGTAGCTTGTGTTCCGCATATTTTAGATTTCCATATATCGTTTTAGTCTTACTACTCTCTGTGGAGTCATTCTAAAGACTCTGTCTCTACTATGATGGGTGCAGGTAAATATAGATACTATGAACATTCCTCCGCCTGAATCAGCTATGACTGCAAAACCACCAAACAAAAAAAATGATCCTTTATAAGTTAATAATGCAACCAAGAAAAACTAAGAGAATCGATTCTTTTATGTCATATAATTATATCTAGTGAAAAGTAAAGTAAACCTTGGTTGGTCATGTAGACAGTAACATTGAAATCCTCTGCGATTTTGATAAAGCCTTGAGAGCATCTGAGGTAGCTTTGGCTGGAAGACGTCATCGAAGAGGTTCTTCAAGTAAACTCAAAACCTATTTTATAGCTAGCATTGAGAGAACTAACTACGTACCTGACCAAAGTCCAAAGAGTAATATAACGTGATTAGAGGTATGTACAAATGGGGTGATGAAAAAAGAGTAATATAATGTGATTAGAGAAAATAAAAGAATATTATAACGAGTTCACGTTAGGATAAATCTGCGTGTATCCGGAAGCTTATTATGGACACAGGAGACACACAAACAAATCTCAACGAAAAAAGAGGATAGTTGATAATGAATGATAAAAAAAAGGAAAGAGAGACGTGTCCCTCTTTTTGGGGTTCACATTCTCACGATCCAATGTGTTGTAATATCTAAAGAAAAACGTGAGATCGGTAAGTGTTTTTGGTTTCTTACAAAATCTACATATATTTCCCTGACTCACTCTCGGTCACTCCTCCTTTTGCTAGTTTTAATGCATTTTATACATTTTTCAATCGAGAATTAGCAATATATATGCATACGTATAAGATAATAATGGTTCAAGCTAAGTACATGAGAAACGTTGGTCCAAACCAGACAAGTATTGATTCTTTTTTTTTTGGTAAATAAATATGTATTGATTCAAATTAATATTATTGTTGCGAATATGAAAAAACGGCCTCTTAAGTTGGATTAAACTTCCACTACAGCGTAAAAATGTCATCTTTTTGGAATCTGTCAAACAGACGAGAAACTGACTGACGCATGGTTTGTTCACGTACAGAACAAGTCCGTGACGGTATCGAGTAATCCACCTAGAAATAATAAAATTTGAAAATATGTACGAACATATAAACAGAAGTTCTCTTTGTTTACATGACATTAGCTGTAGAAAGAAACACAAATGTACATAGACAATTGTTATATGTATGGCTTTTTTTTTTTATGGCTATTTTTTTAGGTGGTGTTCTGTTGTGGTGGAGCATCGAGAGGGAAACACGTGTCATCACCACCGGTGTTCCAAAGGAAATGTGCGTAGTTCGCAGAGTAGAAGGAGTTTGTTGGATCCGCAGAGATCGCTTCTAGAAACGTTTCCTCTGCTCTCCAAATATCGTTTCTCGCTTTCCACAGGAACGTGGCGTACTTATTCAGCGCCTCTGCGTCCGCTGGCTCTGCTTTCGTTGCTCTCTTGAAATACTTCTCCGCTCTGTTTTCGGACCAAAAAGAGAAGAAGAAGCCACGTTAGAATGAGACAAATATCCAGCAGAATTGTGGTTTTGATCATTAGAGTAGAGATAAGATCTGAATATGAGTAAGGCCAAAAGAGGTAAGTGGGAACGTAAGCGAATTGGGTTCTTGCTATAGAATGTGACATATGTATCAAATGAAAATTCTCTAAAATGGACCCTTTATTCATAGACATAGCTCAAATGTCAAAGTACTCTCTGGAGACCCTATCACCAAAAATATCTTTTGGTCTTAACCAGTGTTTAGCGATTTATTACATAAAAACACTAATGGCTTTAAAACCAATGCAAATACATGGGTTGCATTGTTTTAGTGTAACAGTGAGGGTAAAAAAAAAACTATTACAAAACGTTTTGGTTTTGGGTTTTTTGGAGGATAAGTATAATTTGCAGAATTCCACCACATACTCCACTATCAACCAAGTTTTTTCATAATTTGGTGTCCAACCCAAAAAGACTCGAGCTAAAATACAAAAACTTTGGGAAAGAAAACAAGAGTGGCATCATTTTATTTTATTCTGAAATTTGGAGATGTAGATAGATATTCATCTACTAGTTGGCTTCTTTCTCTTAAGTGGCAATGAGAACTGCTGGTTCACTCAATTTAACCCTATCCGATTGGTTCTTATGGTGGTTTGATTATGACATTTCTTAGCTAAAATATCTATCTATCTCTCCTTAATTTCCCAATATAATATCTAAGATTCCGCCTACTTTCTGACTTGCAGCCGGTAAAACTCAAGATTTAGATTCGAATCTAACTCCAAACCAAATCTAACCTCTCTAATGACGAAATCTAAGATAAATTGTACTTTAAATGACATGGTTAATATATAATATGATGGTCAAATGTTAATTACCTGTCGTAGTCATGGATGATTAGGTATAGAAACTGGGCGTAATTAGCGAGGAGAAGAACGTTATCGGGCTGCTGAGACAATCCCGTTTGGTAGAGAAGCTCCGTCTTGAAGTAATCCATGGACTCCTCTGCCTCTAACCGAGCCTCCACCGGAGACACCATCTGCTTCATCGTCTCGTGATCCAACGCCTCCATTTTCTCCGATTCCTCCACGATCGATTTCCACAGCCTAATTTCCTCCTGCCCGGACACAGACGCCTCCGAATCCGCGGCTGTTCCGCCGAGAGATGACGATGGTATTCTGAATTGATCAGATCCGTCTCCGTCTGTTCCGCTCTGCACCGGCGGGATATTGTTGTTCCCTCCGCTGCCACCGCCGACGAAAGATGAAGAAACAGAGAACGTCTTAATCATCGAGGAATCAAATTTATTATCCGATTCGCTCAGCTCCGTCGTCTCGAAGATGAAAGAGACGGTGGCTGCTGCCGGAGGATGAGGCGTTGCGACGGCGGCTAAGGCGGAGTTGCTGCCGATAGAGTAAACAGTGAAATTGGCGAGGAGGATCATAACAGAGACCATCAACGTCGGAGTCGCGGAGAAAACTTGCTGGAACAGCCAGACGAACGACGCGTGCATTTCTTTTCTCACGCGAAGCAAAATTCCTTGCAGATCTTCGAAGAGAAGAAGCTCTCTCATGTGCAGTGCGAAGCTCTGGAGCTCTCGAATCATAAACACCATCGACGAGAAGGCTCTCTTCACAGAGCAGGTCGCTGATTCGCCGACTTGTTTAGCTCCTTCCTCCATCTGTAGCTTTCTCTTTATGATCCGAAGCGAGAGAGGGAGATCGACGCTGTTCGCTTTCCTCTCGATGTTCGACATTTGCACCATCTCCGGCCACGGAGGTTCCATTGAATCTGACCTTGGATTGGATTTGTCAACACCGTCCATTATACTGAATAATTGACTTCCTACGATGTCGATCGATCGATGGTCAACTGAATCATCGGTTGTCTTCTCCGATTCGTCGGAGAGTTGGAATTTGAGAGCGAGCTCCTGCATCTGTTTCGCAAACTCTTCCTCGGAAAACGGATCCACGTTTGGGCTGAAAGCTCTGCGAATCAATTGAGTTTTAGTAGCGGGTCTCGATGATTCCCAGAGCTCACAAGACTTGGAGTGCCGGAGATTCTTCCCGAAGAGAGGGTTAAGCCTCTGGCTCTGCACCACCGAGCGACATGACACGTTTCCGATGCTACGTCGTCTCGAAGCTAGGGTTTGAGAGAGGGAAGAGGAATGATGAAGTGTGGGATGAGACACCCATTGATGGAAGGTGGAGGTTGTTGCTACTTTCACGCCCATTTTTTTTGAAAATTTGAAAAAAATCAGGACAAAAAACAGAGCAAAAGCTGGAGGGGTATATTCGTCTAGAATGCTTTCTCCTCGAGCTTGCCTGCAAATAATGAAGATGAATCGAGTGAGTCAAAATGAATCTCACTTTTCGTTTTTGTATTTTCTCGTAGATACTTGTATGAAAAGTCAGAAATGGAGCAAAAGTTCTTAAATCCATGCACACACTCACGGGAATGAATCATTACAATCCCCATGGAAAACGGATCCGATAAAACTTTAATCAGCACAAGAGTCGATGAATCTCTCATAGTCATACAAAAAAAATTCCGTGCAGCTAATTAGAGAGAGGAAAGAAAGAAGAGACTCACTCTGTAAATGTGCCAAAGATATTTTTCCGGCGATTTTCTCAGAAGGACAAAAAAAACTTTCTCGGGATAATTATAGAGTGGAGCACGAGGCAGACGCTGCCCTTTTATACAAGCGCGATGAAGATTTATCAATTCTTAGATTTTTTATGAATTCTAAAAAATATATTAAAATCTGTTATTATTGGTTTTGGTGATACAAAATCAGTTGTTATTAAGAAAGTTTTTATTTCAATGATTTTATGAATCTAACAATTTATGAAATTATTAAAAAAAATTGTTATTGGGACAAACAATTTAACTCATGATTTCCAAAATATTACCATAACTATTGGATTTTCAAAATATATTATAATAAAATATTTTTATTGATTTTCTTAATATACACTCTCTCCAAATCTAATTTAAAATTTAATTAATAAATCTCTTAACTTTTAAAATTTATAACTCTACATAAACTCATCTCCCAATAAATAAATTAATTAATCGAACAAATTCTCGTAAGTGAGAAATTATGTTTTTTAAGAAAAATAAAAGAAAATATCAAATCTAGCATGTGAAGAGTTTACGTAGATTAGTCAACCGAATATCGTAGAGGAGTACCGGAGAAACCGGTGACAGGTCAAAAGACCGAGTGATGTGGCACCCGTTACAGGAAAATAAGTGAGCGAAAACCAGGAGTTTTTTGAGTTTTTGCTTTTAGATCTGACGGTTCTAAACTGGCCACTTGATCGTACGGATCTGATCTTCTTCTACTGACAAATTTGAAAAATGGAAAGTATATTACATTAGACGACAGATAAAGTTACACGTGTAATTACAGTTACATATTTTTAAATTAAAAAATCAAGTAGGAGTGTGATGATAATAACAGCCTGGCAATAAGGTAGGTCGTAGGCGAAAGAAAGTGGGGTCCTCGTGTCCATGTCACCTGGCAACAACTTTTATTTATTAAGGTAAAGATTATTGCGTCTAAACTCATGTTTCCAATCCGTGATCAATGTTTAAAATTTCTTATAAACTTTGAAGGTCATTATCGTTTTTTCTTTTCTAAACAAGAGTTCACGGTAATTAGAGTTCTCTCGTATGTTCTTAGCAAAAGTTTTCATAATGATTATGGGTACGTAACGGATTCATAAGCCATAAAGTTTCGACATTTGCTATCATTTTTTTGGAGTATGAATGTTAGACATATGCTATCAATCATAGTAGCCTCGAACCTATTTTCATTAGAGAATTTTTTGTTTGTTAATGTCGCATAAGTTTTCAATCGACAGGAGTAAATTAAAACAATAAATTCATGTCCAATTGTACATTTGTACTCATGTTGCCAATTCATATTCCATAAACTGAACTACAGTACGTAGCATAAAGACATACTGAACATCTTCTAATCCTTGCAAAGTATATCGATCTATATTAGTTGCACGATCCTACAGGACAAAGATCATAACGTACTATTTACAATTTATATTCGTTTGGTTGGGACTTGGGAATGAAAAATTATATACGCACGTAAAAATCATATCAAATTAAGAAACGACAGAGTCACAGAGGTTGAAACCAGTGATATGAAAACAGGTTAGTTTGTGTTGGAACGTAGCAATTGAAGGGAGAGGGTAAGGAAGCGACGGTTGAGAAGAAAAGAGAAGTGACCGGGGAGTGGACGAGTGGTGATATGTAACCGGCAAGCACCAAGTTGACGGAAGTTAACGTCGTTAGAGAAAGCAACATCGTATGATAGTGAAGGTAGTGAACAACTGACGGCACGTCGACTGCTGATATCTTATTAACGGCTATATTTGTTGTTCTTTTGTTGGATTCATCCTCTGGGAACTAATTAAATATATGTATGTGTGTGAATGTGATATGTCCTTAACGATTTGTTTCCGTCGTATAATGTTTTCTTTATGATTCTCTTAGCTTATTAAATGTGTTGTAATGTTTGTACGCTGTAATCTACACACATTTTCTTATTACATGGAAACAATCCGTTTATATTTCTGTTGCTTTGACACTGGTTTAAGTAATAGCTGATGGGAAATCCGACAATCAACGATGGAGTTGTGAGACAACTACAAGATATAAACGCTAAATGTACAAAATTGTAGGAAGGGAAACAAAACAAATAGAAAAAAGATAAAACGAACCATGTGATAGTTAAAGGTTTGTTCATTGATATTTTTGTGTTTCCACTTTCAAGTCATACATTCAACTTACCTCGAATCTGTACGGTATATCACCTCAATGTCAAATCAAATAAGTGATGCGCTTATTGTGTCGATACTTTTAAACTATTTGTACCGAATCAACCAATAAGAAATGCTAAAAGGATTTACATCACACGATTATGTGATAACGTACGTGCGTTAATTAAATACTTGTATATCATTGCTTAGTAGTTTCTATTAGTGGAAAAGAATATAATTTTACCTAGTGCCTCTTGATTGGATGCTATGGCCAAATTATCAAAATCATTGAAAGGGAAAGCTAGAGAAGGAGACCTAGAGAGAGAGACTGCCAGAAGCAGCGAGACGGCAAAGGCCACTCTCAGTTCTCTTATCTTCTTTATATACACATTTTTGACACGTAAAATAATCTGTTTTTTTTGGGTACATATGAAAGTATAATATTAGAAATTTGCATGGACAATTTTTCTGCCCAGAGAAAAATATATCAGTTAAGGAGTTTTAACAAAAATAAAATATCTTAGACCGCTTTGAGTCATTGACAAATTTTAATTAAAGTTGAAAAAACTATATTTATAATTAATAATATTGAATATAAGTATACTGACATAGAGCTTAGGGCCCATTATCAAGTAATAGACCATTTAAACAATACGGCCCAAGTAAAAATGCCGCGAAACTGTCTGTTTCAAAACGGGCATCAAAACAAAGGCGGGAGCGGAAAACGTCGCGACTAAACGATTTCCCGCTACTATAAAAATTTTCTTCACACTTCTTCGTTCGTCATCTGCATCAATTCGCCAGAACAATTCGATCTAGATTCCTCTCTCAATTTCGCCTCGGATTCCCTTTTTGTGAACTAACAATGCCTACAGTCGTCGGGCCGAGTTTGTCCTCTTACAAGCACATCGCACCCGCCGGATCGGAGAAATCCGAGAGCATCGAATCCGTCACTTATGAGACTCCTCGGAAGAGAAAGTTGAGATCGGATTCGGCGGCCGAGGCGGCGGATGTGAATCTCCTGTCTGGAAATTCGGTCCTTACCCCGAAGAAATGGAAATCTAATCGACGAATCGCTGCTTCCAATCTCAAAATGCCAGAGAAGGTAAATTGTTGATATTAATTTCATAGAAAAATTCCTCGACAGAGGATCCAATAAATATCAATTTTCACATCCTATCAATTTTGCAGGAAGTTAAGGAAGCCTCCAATGAGAATTTGGCGGTGGAGAAATTATCTGACTGTTTAGGCTCTAAATCTAACTGGAATCTTAGAGGTAAACGTTGAATCATCTAGATTCTACAATAGTCTTCTATTGTCTTTATGTTAATCGATAATCAATGTATAGATGAGGAGCAAATGAGAGCTGTGAAGGAGGCACTCCACGTGTCGAAAGCACCATCAACTATCGTTTGCCGTGAAGGTGAACAGAGAAGTGTTTTCGAGTTTGTGAAAGGCTGCATAGAGCAACAGAAGGCTGCGAGTTTGTACATTTGCGGTTGTCCTGGAACCGGAAAATCACTGTCCATGGAGAAAGTTATACAACAAGTTGGTGACTGGACGAAGCAGGTAACAATACTATATCAATCTTGTGGTTATACCATAATATGTTAGCAATGTAAAAAGACTGAATTGTGTGTGAATTTGATCTCAGGCTGGTTTGCCACTCGCGGATACATTGTCTGTGAATTGCACTTCGCTGACTAAAACAACGGATATTTTCAGCAAGGTATAACTATAGACCTCAAAAGTCTTGGTTTTTTAGTTCGAGATTTGATGCTTATAGGCTTATGTTGTTTCCAGATACTTGGTGAAATAGAGCCCTTGACGAAAGCTAACTCCAACTCTTCTCCACTACAACATCTTCAGAGATTGTTTTCTCAGAAGCAAGAATCGTCCAGCTCGAGAATGATGTACGCTTGTTGTGCTCTCCGTTACCTAACAAGATTTCTGAAAAAAAAAGCAGTGTTAATTCTTTATTGAAACTTCTTTTTGTTTCAGGTTAATCATTGCAGATGAAATGGATTACTTGATTACTAAAGACCGAGGAGTCCTGCATGATCTCTTTATGCTCACAACTTTGCCGTTTTCTAGGTGTATACTTATAGGTACTGTCATTTAGCAGTCAATAGTTATGATTCAGTTCATATCTGTATTCATTTCCTCTGTTCATATCGTGAGTTTCTCTGTCTTTTTTTTATTTTCAGGTGTGGCAAATGCGATAGACCTCGCAGATCGTTTCCTTCCTAAATTAAAGTCCCGTAACTGTGAGAATTTCGTAACTTTGTAATTTTCTTTAGATATTAATTGAGTTGAATTTACCTCTCAACTGCTTTTTTCTACTGTTTCCTTGCAGGCAAACCTATGGTTATCACTTTCCGTGCCTATTCTAATGATCAGATCCTTAGGATACTACAGGAGAGGCTTATGGTAATTCCTTCTATCCCTCTGCATGTTAAGTTTTCTTGTTTGAGACAGAAATTTATGTAACCCAGAGGATTTTCTCTGCTGTTTCTATTAATCACTCTCTAATTCTCAAGTTCTGCTGTAACAGGTGTTTCCACATGTTGTATTTCAACCAAAAGCCTTGGAGCTCTGTGCCAGGGTAAGAATCAAATTCCTTGCTAGTCTGATCTTTTTTCTCAGTGCTTTGTCAACCATAGATGTTGATGATCATCTTGTTTGCATTGTACCAGAAAGTTGCTGCAGCATCAGGTGACATGAGAAAGGCTCTATGCGTCTGCAGGTGATTTCAAGTTTTTTTTTCCCTGAGTTTATATCGTAATGTGTACTGTACAAATCACTACTGTAAAGGTGATACACTGAGACTCTTAGTTAGTAAATAGAAACTTACATTCTCCTTTGAACTAAATTTCCAGGAGCGCTCTAGAAATTTTAGAAACTGAAATAAGAGGAACATCTGGCCAGGAATCTCAAGGTCCAACTCCAGACGATCCAGTGGTTAGTAGTCAGATATTTTCCTCTTATGGACATTGGTCTTCATTGCATAGCCCTTATTGTCCTCAAATGTTGCAGGTGAGGATGGATCATATGGCCAACGCATTATCTAAGACGTTTAAGTCTCCTGTAGTTGACACTATTCAGTCTCTTCCTCAACACCAACAAGTAAGTTACATCACATACACTCATTTTCTAAAGAATATAACCGAACTCATTACATCCTTTTCTTGCCACAATTCACAGATCATTATATGTTCTGCTGCAAAGGCTTTTCGGGGGAGCAAAAAGGATGCAACCATTGTAGAGGTATAGCTTTGTCCAGCAAATGAAATACAAAAGACACATATAACTTGATGAATAAAACCAAAACATTGTTCTGAAATACTCATCTTCCTTGCCACAATTTTGAATGCAGCTTAATAAGTTATATGTTGAACTCTGTAAATCTTGGACGATTTCTCCAGCTGGAATCACAGAGTTCACTAACATGTGTACAGTGCTAAATGATCAGGTATATAACTATACTATCTCTGTCTCAAAATATTGTATGTCCGAAAAATTGCACTTATTAACTGGTCTGAGTCTAAAATGAGTATTGCTGCTTCAGGGGATACTAAAGATTGTTCAAGCCCGTGGGAATAAGGTAAAGAGAGTTAGCCTGAGAGTAGACGAATCAGATATTACATTTGCTCTGCAGGTAAACAGTCTTCTTTTATATTCTATTCCTTAACATTTGATAAAGACACTCTTTCAAGATGAATTTCTGACTCCAAACGCCAATTTCCTTTTCAAAACATGAACAGGGAATACGATTCTTCCGCAACTGTCTTCTGTGAGAAACACTTCTTCATTCCTACAAAGGAAAAAACCTTGTGCAGACAATTCCAGATACTACAGAACTTTATTTGTATTTTTATACTGTTGTATTACACAAACTTATACTGTTAACTCTATTATGTAAATTGGAGGGGATTGAAAAGTGTGCAACTACGCTATTGACATGACATTTTCTGTTAAATAAAACAAAAGTTAGTGCGCCCTTTCTCACCTCTCAGTCGACTTTCTTCGACCGATTAAGTGGCAACTTAATTAAAGTTGACTTGTGGAAAGGGAACAAATTGTCTCATTAATTGTTTAGCAGCCGTTGGGCCACTCCATAAGTCATTGTTATCCTTTCAATGGGAATCGTTAGAAAATTATGGAGAGGAGCTGGTGAGTTGTAGTGGTTTTTAGTGTCCCTCTCGTGGTGGGGGCGTTCTGTATCTCTTTTGGTTTTTTATAACTTTTATCCTAGTTTTCATTAAGTTTTTTTTTTTTTTGTTTTCTCTCTATCTACTATAGCCTACAGGGGATATGTTCAAGCGAACGTAATCAAATCAACTTTGAATCGATTACCAAAAAAAAATCAACTTTGAATCGATGGATTGATATCTCCGCCATCTTTAGTTGAAGATATTTACATATTACGGGGCTGCAAGCTTATTGTAGCCATCATCAATCATTCGCTCATTTTGCTTATATATATACATGAAATCAACTTAGAGACAATAATAGAGAAGAAGAAGATGAGGAAGCAAGAGATCATTATCGTTCCTTCTCCAGGGCCTGGTCATCTTCCAGTCACCATTGAATTCGCTAAAACGCTCATCAAACGTGATGATCGCATCCATACCATCACCATCCTCCACTGGACACTACCTCTCGCTCCTCAGTCCAGTCTCTTCGCTAAATCTCTCATCGCTACACAGCCTCGAATCCGTCTCTTTCCCTTGCCTGAAATTCAAAACCCTCCGCCGTTGGAGCTCTTCTTCAAAGCCTCTGAGGCTTACATTCTAGAGGCCACCAAGAAAACAGTTCCTCTAGTCAGGGGAGCTCTCTCCACTCTAACTTCTTCTCGTGATGGATCCGACCCGGTTCGGGTCGCTGGTTTGATACTCGATTTCTTCTGCGTCCCTTTGATCGAAGTGGGAAACGAGTTTAACCTTCCTTCTTACATTTTCATGACGTGTAGTACTGGGTTTTTGGGGATGATGAAGTACCTACCTGAGAGACATCGGAGAATCGCCTCCAAGCTCGACCTGAGCTCCGGCGAAAGCGAGCATGCCATTCCCGGTTACGTCTGCTCCGTACCGACGAAGGTTATGCCTCCTGGTCAATTCGTGCGAGAGTCGTACGAGGCTTGGGTCGAGATTGCTGAGAAGCTCCCTGAAGCCAAGGGGATATTGGTAAACTCCTTCACGTGTCTTGAGCAGAACGCATTTGATTACTTCGCTCGTCGTCCTGAGAACTACCCTCCGGTTTACCCGGTCGGACCGGTTCTCAGCTTGGAGGATCGTCCGTCTACGGATCCATCTGACCGGGACGGAATCATGAGATGGCTCGGGGAGCAGGCGGAGTCGTCGATTGTGTACATCTGCTTCGGGAGCTTGGGAATCCTCGGATCACCGCAGATCAAGGAGATAGCACGAGCCCTAGATCTCTCCGGCCACAGGTTCCTTTGGTCGATTCGAACAAATCCGACGGAGAAAGTGAGCCCGTACGATCTCTTGCCGGAGGGGTTCAGAGACCGGACGGCGGGTCAAGGATTAGTGTGCGGATGGGCCCCACAGGTGGAAGTGCTGGCTCATAAGGCGATCGGAGGGTTTGTGTCTCACTGCGGCTGGAACTCGGTGCTGGAGAGTTTGTGGTTCGGCGTACCGATCGCCACGTGGCCAATGTACGCTGAGCAACAGCTAAACGCGTTCACGATGGTGAAGGAGTTAGGACTAGCTGTGGATCTGCGTCTGGATTACGTCTCGGCGTATGGAGAGATAGTGAAAGCCGACGAGATCGCGGGAGCCATACGATCTCTGATGGACGGTGAGGATACGCCGAGGAAAAGAGTGAAGGAGATGGCGGAGGCGGCGAGGAAGGCTTTGACGGACGGAGGATCTTCGTTTGTTGGGGTTAAACGATTCGTCCACGAGTTGATCGGCGGTGATTTTTAGTTCTGTTGTAAACGCAGTCGTTTGACATAAGCTTTGTGATCGGACTTGTGTCGGAAAAAATTATGTCGGATCGGACCAATATTGTCGGGAAATGTTTGCGGAACAGGCTGTTATCAAAAGGCCAAATTTTTGTTTGGAAATGGCCCGATAAGAATCCGTTTCGATTGAGATTCGATAAGAAACGAGGTCGGTGATTTTGATTTAAACGTGTCAATTCCTGGTTATGTATGATTTCCATTGGAAGATTAGCTAAGTGCGATTTGATATTTCGTAGGGTTTGAAAACGAGATGATGCAGAACAAGTCGCCGACGGTGGTCTGGTGGGACATGGATACCATTCCGCCTCCGGAAAGGTTAGATCCTTGTCAGATCCGTCAGAGTATAGAATCGGTGTTTTCACACTACCTTCCTTTCACCATCTTTGCCCATGGAAACCTAGACCTTATCCCTCGTTGCCTCTTGGAACAGATGTTATCCTCGGGAATCGTTTTGAAACACGGCCTAGAAGGTGAATTTCTTTTATCAATACGTAATTTTTTGTTTGTTTGTTTTTTTTTTTTTTTTTTCTGTTTTCAAATTAGGATTTGTGTGGCCGTATTTTCAGATACAATTCCCGTTTTGATGGATTTGGAGAAGTGGATAGATAATGATCCACCTCCGGCTACGTTTATTCTTATATCCGATCGCGAAGACCTCTGTGAGAAACTGCCTGCGTTGATGAAGTATGGATACACGGTTTTTCGTGTCGGTAAAACAAATAAGCCTGGAGAACCAGCCAAATACCCTCCTTCTGTAGTCACCGTCCCTTGGGATCATATATTATCAGGTGTGTTTTTATCTATCTCTGGCATTGTAATAAGTAATAACTTACCAGCTGTTTCTGATTTCTTTCCCTGATAATATTATGTATCAGTTTGTGATGGCTTTACTACTCGAGAGGTCAGTGACAAGTGCACAACTGCTTGGCAATGCAAGGTATGCATTGATTCTAGCCTCCCTTTTGTTGGGGAAGGCTATGAAAGTTTTGACAGGCATTTCAAGAGTGTACACCATGCTGATCAAGTAAGCATCGTCTTGCCTCCACCTATCAGCTCTTGCATTTTTTTCCAAAAATATCTCTATTTAAAAAGTTTGACCCAATCCTATCCTGATGATGATTCCAGGTGTCGCTTTATATGCCTCAAGACTATTCTGCATATGTGGAGAAGACGGGGAAGACGAGGAAGACGGGGGTGTGGTGGGACATGGATGCCTGTCCGCCTCTCGACGAGTTATATCCTTATCAGGTCCGTCGGAGTATAGAATCAATGTTTTCAGACGGCCTTCCTTTAAACATGTCTGCCATTGGCAACCTGAATTCCATCGACGCTGGCGTCTGGGAATCCATCTTATCCGCTGGTTTCTTTACGAAACACCTCCTAGGAGGTGAATCTCTTTTGCTCAAATATACATTAATTTTTGTTTTTAAAGTAAGGTTTGTTTTTAACTGGCCATATTTCGATCCAGGTCCGGAGGACATGACGGATGATATTCAGAGGTGGGTATATAATTCTCCATCTCCGGCTACGTTAGTTCTTATATCCGATCATGAACAATCCTTTCATACAACTGGCTACCTGCTGTTCTTAAAAGACATGGGATACACGATTATTTGTGTATATCCAGAATGTCCGGATGTTTCCCCCGAATACACTTCTCTTACGTATTCTCGTACGTATGCCTTGGGAGACGTACTGTCAGGTGTATTGAACCAGGAGGTTGACAAGGTTATATTGAACCAGGAGGTTGAGAATGTTAAGGACAAGTGCAGTGAAACTGCTTGGTTTTGCAACATATGCATCGAATTTGGCCACACCTTTGCTGGGGAAAGCTATGAAAGTTTGACCAGGCATATGTCAAGTGCAGAACATAGTATTCAAGTAAGCTTCCTCTTGCCTCCACCTCAGCTTGCGTGGGATCATTACATTTTGCAGTGTCCAACCATTAAAAGTTTGACCCAATCCTATCTTGATTCCAGGAGTTGAAGCAAGTGCCTCCAAAGATAAAGGCCTCCCAATCCAAGAAGCCTATTACCAAGACTGCGATGCAGTCAAAGGCAAGTTTTCACAGCTCACTTTCAAGGATCTTTTTTCTTAATCCCTTGAAAGTTTCTAATTTTTTTTATATCCCTAATTTAAAATCTGACTCGATGTTATCTTCTTCTCCCTATGGTTTTCAATCAGATTGCTAAGATTTGCAAGATGAAGGCGCAATCAAAGAGACGTAGACGTGGTAACACCTGTTCTTTGGGTTTAGATATTCTAACCTAAATTATGCATTTAATTATTCGAGATTGTGTTCCCCAGTTTGTCATATCTGTGAAATATCCGATTTTGGAATCGAAATCAAAAATAATACTGGCTTTGCAATTTGTGTAGCAACGAATTTCTTTTTACATAGTTATGATCCCCAGGATCAGAGATAAATATAATAAACGTGTTGAATCGCACCCACCTTTGCATTAGCACGAACCATCGTCCAGCAATTCTCCGATGAATCGAGCCGTCGCCAAAGACGATGATCCTCCATCCATCAAAGTCTTCCTCGCCGCATCAGCAATCACCTTCACCTTTTTCCTCTTCTCCTCCCCACCGTCCATCAAAGATCGGACGGCTCTCACGATCTCCTCACAGGTCACCAAACCCCCACGACCCGACACGTAATCCATCCGCAGGTCCACGGCTAACTCCAACTCCTTCACCAACGTGAACGCGTTCAGCTGTTGCTCTGCGTACATCGGCCACGTGGCAATCGGAACTCCAAACCATAAGCTCTCAAGCGTGGAGTTCCAACCACAGTGAGACACGAACCCTCCTATCGCTTTGTGGGCCAGCACCTCAGCCTGTGGGGCCCAACCACACACCAAACCATTTCCCGCCACTCGGCCCATGAACCCCTCCGGCAACACGTCGTTAACGTTCGTCTCTTCGTCGCTTGTTCGGATTGACCACAGAAACCTGCAGCCGACGAGCTCCAGCGCTTGAGCAATCTCCTTCACCTGCGGCTCATCGACACTTCCTTTGCTTCCGAAACAGAGGAACACAACGGAAGACTCAGGCTGATCCTCGAGCCATTCCACGATCCGATCCCGATCCGCCGCCTCCGCGTCCGGGCTCGCTCTATCCTTCAGGCTCAGAATAGGTCCGACCGGGTACACCGGAGGGTAGTTTTCCTGACGAGAGAAATAGTCAAACGGATGCGGCTCAAGCTCCACGAACGAATTTACCAAAATACCCTTCGCATCGCCGAATCTCGGCGCTAGCTCAACGTAAGCCTCGTATGCCTCTCTGTTAAACATACCCGGCGGCATAAATTTAACCGGAATCGAGTTGACGAATCCAGGGATTTGCAATTCCTCATCGGCGGAGCTCAAATCGAGCTCGGAGGCGGTTTTCCGATGCCGATCCGGGATATACTTCATCATACCCAAGTATCGAGCGTTACACGTCAGGAATATGTAAGAAGGGAGATTGAGCTCGTTGCCAACATCGTTGATCAATGAATTGCAGAAGAAATCGAGAACCAAAGCGGAGACACGAACCGAATCTGAGCCTCGACGACGCGACTCAACGATGCCGGAGACTGCGTCCTTAATCAGAGGAGTGGTTTTCTTCACGAGCTGTACAATGTAAGCTTCGGGAGCTCTTTTGTAGAGATCCACCGGCGGAGGATCGTGGAGGGCGGGGAGATCGTGGAGGCGGATTCGCGGCTGAGAAGCGACGAGAGATCTGGCGAAGACGGAGGCGTGAGGGTTAGTGGGTGAACTTAAATTGAGGATGTTGATGGTGTGGATCCGATGGTCCAGATCGAGGAGCCGCTTGGCGAAATCAATATTGACGAGAAGATGACCTGTGGATGGAACTGGAATGAAGATGAGCTCTGTTTCCTTCACCATCTCTCTTTCTTTCCTCCGCTCGAGATAAGCTCTGTTTGTTCAATAGACTGGAAAAGGTAAAGAAGTAGTGGTGGTGTACATTCAAAACTTAGTTGTCACACGATTTGTTTGTTTGTTCAAGAGACGTGTGACAATTTTTCATGTGTAAACCTTTTTTTGGCATAAATATGATGTTTTGTTTTTCCAGTATATCATCTAGGACTGAAATGCTACAGTTCCTAAGCATTCTCCCCAGTAAATGGGGTTTGACCTTGTAAAAGTGGATAATTTTAGAATAATGAGATGTACACTATAATTTTCTCAAAAATTTAAACACAACTTTGTTGATGTGTAATGTGAGATCCCCGTACTTTGATTCTGGTTGGGACTAAACATTCGTCAAAGTTTAAATTGCATGTTCAATCACAGGTTAGAGTCCCTTGACTAAAACCCAACAATTTTGGTGTTTTAGGCGAAAAGTCTCAGCGGCTTCAAGGAAGCATCAAACATCGAGATTCGAATTTAGCTTGATAATAAACAAATACTCTCCGGGAGCAACCATATTGCAAAATCAATTTGAATAATGGACCGAGATTTTTTTTGTGTTTTTTCTATTCTTTTGATTAGTGTTGGTTGCGATTAAGTTGTTGGAAAATGTTAACAGCTCTCAAGAAAAGAATAAGTGAAGAATGAAACTAAATATTTCTCTTTTGGTAATAATGAAACTAAACTAATTCAAATGAAGAGAAATATGAGTAATAATGTTTTTTCAAATCAACTCAAGTAGTGATTAAAAAACGAGATCCAAAGACCCGATCATGTCTTCAAAACAACAAAAAATAGCAAAAAATACTTTTAGTGTCAGCTTTAAGCAATTCATTTCTAGTCACTAGCGAAATTGTGCATGTTAAGTGTAGTTTTCTAAGTTGTTGAAAATAACAATATTGTTTATGAAGTAATCATATATATTCTTTTGATTGGTGTTTTCAAAACTTGTTTCCAATGATAGCCCTAAACAATTGAACAATTGAATAACAATTTCACATGTTTTAGTAAATTCTCAAAAAAAATCCAAAGCCCGGCCGAGTTCATATTGTCATGGAGCTCCTAAAGCAGGAGAATATTGATAAGGGTGTTGAACTCACTTTCCTGGATTTGAAATAAAAACATAATTGTGACGGCTGGATTTGCGATAGGTTAGATCCGGACAACGGAAATCTACCTCCTATACCAGCACAAATAGTTCTTGTGGCGGCTGATGGATAGTACTATGAAAAAGACCAATATATAATTTACCAGTTGGATCCAGATAAGGGTTTTCTTCCTTTTCACTCAATTCTTTATTTGTTCCCCATAGATGTCATACATGTTTTACCTAAGTATAGTAATATCAATGAATTTGAGGTATTTTAGATAAAATTACTCAAAAGTTGTGTTTGAAACATATTACAAAAGTGAACATAAACCTACGAAGTTGCGTTGCCAAAAACATATAACATAAACCTAAACGCAAACGTAACATTTAACTTGAATATTTTCGTTAATTAACACAACCTAATATAGATCATTATGATATTTTCTTTAATAATAATACCACCAAAAACCAAAGCTAGGCCTACCAAACACTCCTCCTACTCACAGTGTGACAATGTCTAATCAGATTAAAGCTCAAAATTAATTTAACCAAAATGTAATAAAATCAAAGCAATAAGTTTAAAAGCTAATGAGGTACCACAATCATGACTTCAAACGCAAAGACGTGAAGGGCACGTAACACGAACCACCCTACCACCAATACTAACACTATACTTCAACAACAACAAGCAAAATCAAACAGAGTTGAAACATTTGAGAATGAAACTGAAATCAGGTTTGATGAACTTAAAATCAAAGATTCAAGATTATGTAACAGATTCATCTCATTGTTCCATGGCCGTTTCCGCAATGTCAACACCACACCATCTTCTTCTTCATCTTCAGCGACTTTGTCGTCTTGTCTATGCTTTCTCAGTATTAATAATGAGCAGAGGATAAGCCAGATCAGACCCAGAAGTTCCCCATGTAATGTAACAGCAAACTCTTTTGTAAACTATTTCGATTGTGCATGTAAACCTTTTATCTTAATTTCATTTTACAATGCCATCAATGCAGCTAGCGAGATCGATGATCAAAAGCTTCTGCAGTCAAGATTGATGCTCCCTTTGGCTATGACGCAAAGGAAAACGAAAGAGAGCACGAGTCAAAGACATGTGTCAAAGGAAGATGCTGCGAAAGAGGCTTGCAGAAGCTTCGAGAACTATATGATCCATATGATCGTTGAAGAAGGGAAACTCGATGACTTGGTGGACATGGAAGAGCTTCTCTTCTATTGGAAGAAACTTAACAGTCCTACCTTCATTGATCTTGTCACTAGATTCTATGGAGAGCTCTGCACAGACTTGTTTCCAACTCCAAGCAACAATGACGGTTAAAAATGATCGACACGGGTTTTTATTATATGTTTATTCTTGATTTTATAGCGAGGGAGAAGTGGAAATAAAGATCTTGCAACGAAATGACTTTTACAAATTATTTGCCAATTAGCAACATACTCTTGAATTGGTGATCAAGGATAGAAAAGAGAATGAGTTATATATCAAACCCGAGACAAGAACTTACATGAAATTAACCACATGCAATAATTTTTGGGATAAAATTCCAAATTTCGGAAAGCTTTTATTTCATTGCATATGAAAATACAACATTGATAAGTTACATCACCGATAAAATCTCTTCTCTGTGTGTGTGTGTGTGTGTGTGTTATTGATAAGTTACAATGAGATTTAGAAGTAACCTTCGATAATTCTGTAATTTTTAGCTGTTCTTTAATCTCATGACAAACTCATCATGGTTTTTTACGAAATAGACTTCTCATACTTTATTTTATATTGTTTATATGGACCAGGTGATCTAAGACACAACATTGTTTGTTTATTCCATCTTACATTTACAACTTTGGCTCCGGAAAAGGATAACTAAAAGTGATCCCCAAGAACATCACTGATAAAATCTCCTGTGGCCACGACAGAAGAGCCACCATCACCAACAGCTTTCCTCGCCACTGCCGAAATCTCCTGAACCTTCTTCCTGACAAGGTTATCACCATCCATCAAAGATCGAACGGCAGTAGCAATTTCATCGGCTGACACGATCTCCAGCGTGACCCTATCACCGTCTGCAACGTAATCAAGCCTTATCTCCACGGCTAAGCCCAGCTCCTTCACCATATTAAATGCGTTCAGCTGTTGCTCCGCATACATCGGCCACGTGGCGATTGGTACGCCGTACCATAGACTCTCCTGTATAGAATTCCACCCGCAATGAGACACGAACCCACCTGTTGCCTTGTGAGCCAAGATATCCACTTGAGGGGCCCAACTGCATACAATTCCACGGCCCTTTGTTCGCTCGACGAATCCTTCCGGAAGCGGCTCATGAGGATCGCCGTCTCCGGCTATGTTCGTACGGATCGCCCAGATGAACCTGAAACCGACGAGCTCGAGCGCGTGAGCTATCTGTTTGATCTGAGGTTCACTGAAGACTCCCATGCTCCCGAAACACAGGAACAAAACCGACGAGTCCGGTTGCTCGTCCAGCCACTTCATCATATTTTCGTATTGAGCCGAAGCTAGACCCGGATTAGTACGGCCCGTTAAGTTGAGAACCGGCCCAACAGGATACACGTGAGGGTAATCTCGTCCTCGCGAAAAATGCTCAGCAGCATAAGGCTCGACCTCTGGGAAGGAATTGACTAATATGCCCTTGGCGTCTTTTAACCGCTCGCCAATTTTGACAAGAGTTGCGTAAGAGAGTTTGTCGAACACGCCAGGCGGCAGAACCTTGGCCGGAACACGGTTCACGAACGCCGGAATTGGCAGCTCTTCTTCGCCGGAGGTCTCGTTGAACTCTGACGAATTCAAACGATGTCGTTCTGGGAGATACTGTAGACACCCCAAGAAACCGAAATTAGAAGTCATGAAGATATACGAAGGAAGGTTTACCTCACGAGCTATGTCGATCAAACCGACGCAGAAGAAATCAAGAACCAAACCGACGACATGATTCGAGGTTTCTCCGGGAGATGAGACCAAGTTTTGGATGGTTTTTCTGAGAAAGGGAATGTTTTTATCGATGAAATCGAGGATGTAAGTCTCGGAGGAAGTGTCAAGAAGCGTAATAGGAGGTGGGTCTTGTATCTCCGGGAGACTGATGAGTCGGATTCCAGGCTCAGAGGCTGTGAGCGACGCGAGAGAAGCGTCGGCGTGAGGAGCGTAAGGGAGTTTCATGGAGAGGATTGTGATCATAGAAATCCGACTGTCCAGATTGATCAGACGCTTACCGAACTCGATCGTCGACAAAAGGTGGCCGGTCTCCGGCAGAGGAACGAATATTAGCTCTGCTTTCTTCATCCTTTATGGTTTTCAATTGAAGAAAATGGTTCAAACCGCAGAGCTTTTTATTTCAGCTATGGTATATGGACATGATATGATAGTCGAGTCCGGTGTGATAAGCTTAAATAAACGAGAAAAACTGTATAATTAGGCTTTGACGGTCAAAAATTTTGACTAAAAAGATAAAGTAGTAGATAGTCTTATTTGGACCAGTGAGCATCAGTCTTATTGAGCATACACTGACAGAACACTAGTTTAGCTAAACTATTGTTTAGTTAGTACTAGTTGTCCGAATTACCCCATTCTACATCTCCCATACTTTCAGAGATGGTGTATGATGAATTGATGATGTGTATCGCTTTAGATATTCAATCGGACCTTTCATATTGTAACCTTCAAATTACAGAGATCATATATTAACCTTTGAGAATGTCAAAATAATTTCATCGATAAATTTCTTTTAAATAATGCAACATATTTTAAATTTCTTTATAAAATCTTTGTTTAAAATATATTATAGTTGGTATGACTTCGACATGTAGATATCTTCTAAGGAATTTGACAGTTAAACTTTTTAATCTAGTATTTGATTCAGGGTTCTCTTTTCATGTATTTGAGATTTTGATTTAAAAATGTCGTTTATTAAACTTTCTAGTTAATCTTGTGACAAAAAAACCTTCCAAGAACTTGTGTTTTAGTGAGGGAAATCTCATTTTTTTGTATCAATAATACCGTTTTATGTCACCAATGAGACCAGTTTTGTTAATGTGAAATGAAAACAAAATGCAAATTCTCTTTATTGGATTCTGAAATAATACTTAAACAAATTAGTCACTTCGTTTCGTATAACCGTCATTAAAAAAAGCCGGGAGTTCTGATTGGTTATTATTATCCTTTGACTGGATTATATGATTTGGAAACTCAAGTCAAATGTAGTTTAAGATATTTTTGTGTCAGTAAAGAAAAGTCACCGGCTTCATCGCTCTCGAATCCAATCGTCTATCTCTTTTTCTCCTCTATCAACAAACTTTTCCTCATAAACCCCTTTTTTCGTTTCTCTCCTAAAATACTCCGCCCAACTTTACCCTTCGGATTCTAGAGCCACCGGTAAATGGCTTTCCGGCGAGTATCTGCCACTATTATTCTCTTCCTCTACTTACTGGTTTCATCTCAGTCTCTCGATTTAAGTAAAACTCGGAAACCCCACAAGATCGATGGACCAATCAAGACCATAGTCGTTGTAGTTATGGAGAATCGCTCTTTCGATCACATCCTCGGTTGGCTCAAATCGACCCGACCCGAAATCGATGGATTAACCGGCAAAGAATTCAATCCCGTTAACGTCTCCGATCCGAATTCGAAGAAGATTTATGTATCCGACGACGCCGTATTCGTAGACATGGATCCGGGCCATTCCTTCCAGGCGATCCGAGAACAGATATTCGGGTCGAACGATACATCCGGCGACCCGAAAATGAACGGATTCGCACAGCAATCGGAGAGCATGGAGCCTGGGATGGCGAAGAACGTGATGAGCGGATTCAAGCCCGAGGTCTTACCTGTGTACACCGAGTTAGCGAACGAGTTCGGGGTATTCGATCGGTGGTTCGCGTCGGTGCCGACTTCGACTCAGCCGAATCGGTTCTACGTCCACTCAGCTACCTCCCATGGATGCTCGAGCAACGTGAAGAAGGATCTCGTCAGAGGATTTCCTCAGAAGACGATCTTCGACTCGCTCGACGAAAACGGACTCAGCTTCGGGATTTACTTCCAGAACATTCCGGCGACTTTCTTCTTCAAATCTCTCCGTCGGATCAAACACTTGGTGAAATTCCACAGCTTCGCGCTCAAATTCAAGCTCCACGCCAAACTTGGGAAGCTCCCGAACTACTCCGTCGTGGAGCAGCGGTACTTCGATGTCGATCTTTTCCCGGCCAACGACGATCACCCGTCGCACGATGTCGCCGTGGGTCAACGGTTCGTTAAGGAAGTCTACGAGACTCTGCGGAGCAGCCCTCAGTGGGAAGAGATGGCTCTGATCATCACTTACGACGAGCACGGTGGGTTCTACGACCACGTTCCCACGCCGGTTAAAGGTGTGCCTAACCCCGACGGAATCATCGGACCCGACCCGTTTTATTTCGGGTTTGATCGATTGGGCGTTCGGGTCCCTACCTTCGTTATCTCTCCCTGGATCGAGAAGGGCACTGGTATGCGATTTTGTGAATTTATGCTCTTACAGTTTTCAGATTCTGCTTGATGATTGAGTTTATATTGATCTTTGAGTTTTGAAAATTTCATATTCAGCTTAATGCAAATGATCTTTGCTTGCAAACTAATATCATATCTCAGTCACATGACATGACACCGGACTTGTGATTTGGTTGCAGTGATACATGAACCTGATGGTCCAACACCACATTCTCAGTATGAGCATTCTTCTATACCTGCAACGGTGAAGAAACTCTTCAACCTAAAGTCGAACTTCTTGACCAAGAGAGACGCATGGGCTGGTACATTTGAGAAATACTTCCGTATCCGAGAATCTCCTCGCCAAGATTGTCCAGGTCTCTTTCTTAGTTTCCCGTTACTTAACATGGATTCAGTTTCTTGCATTAAAGCCATTCATAAAAAAACCACCAAACCATGGTCATCGTGTGTAACTAATGGTTTTGGCTACGCCTAGTGTTGATACAATTGAGAACTATATAGTGATATAACTTGCTTATAGGAATATGTATACTCCAGATGGGGTTTTTATAAATTTCTGACCTTGATGATGACACAGAGAAACTAGCGGAAGTGAATGGATCACTAAGGCCATGGGGAGCAAAAGAAGACGCAAAGCTCTCAGAATTCCAGGTGGAGCTGATCCAACTCGCTTCCCAGCTCGTTGGAGATCATCTCCTAAACTCATATCCAGACATTGGGAAGAACATGACAGTTAGCGAAGGCAACAAATACGCAGAGGAAGCTGTTCAGAAGTTTATAGAAGCAGGAAAGGCTGCACTAGAAGCAGGAGCAGACGAGAACACTATAGTCACTATGAGGCCAGCTCTGACGACCAGGACCAGTCCCAGTGAAGGAACCAACGAGTTTATTTGAAACTATTGAGAATCTATATAAAGAAAGATGTGGTCTATATGTAAATATACGTGGCCTCCTCCATGTTCCCACTTTACTTGCGTTTATGATGTGGAAAAAGTATATATTGGATCATACATTTGGTAACGTAATGTAACTTCTGGCCTCCATCTCCATTGTTGGAATGGATGGAGACTAGTAGTTATACTATTATGCTAATATGTATCCTTATCCAAAAATAGTTAAAGAATCATTATGTACTTATCCCATTTACCAACTCTTTTCTTGAATGTTTTGAGTTTTTAATTAGTAGAATGCAGTGATTAAGGTTGGTAAGACACCAAAATCTATAACTGGTTGGTAAGACACCAAAATCTATAACTGGATTTAATGGAATGGAAGCTAATCTCTTGATGAAAGAAAATAGTCCCAGTAAACATTTTATTTCTCAAATAATATGACAGTGGATATATACTCTTGTAAGATACGTATATCAGTATAGATGTATATATACCTTCCCTGTTAGAATTAAAATAGAAACAAGCTCATGTATTAGGAAAAAGAAAAGTTAACCTCCGCATCGAGCGGTCCACTGTATATCCCTATCAAAAGCAGAGAGAATTTCTGAAGCCATTAATAGAGAAAAGAAAAGGAAACAAGGAAAGAAAAGTTTGGCAGAAAGAAAAAGAAAGAGAAAAAATGGGTCTTCGTCTCCGTCTTCGTCTTCCTCACAAAAGCTCTCCTCGCACACCTTCTTATCTCCTTCTATGCGTTCTTGCTCTCTCCTTCTTCTCCTTCACCGCTCTTCTTCTCTACAAGGTTCTCTTCTCCATCATAACATCTCTATTGCTTCTTTCCTTTCACCAATTTGATACTAAAATTACGCATATCCTTCAGTATTACGCTATTGGATCTATCAGAACCATAGAAATTGGCTTCTTTTTTGTTGTGTGAATTTTTGTTCAGTGAAGGATTTTGTCTGAAAAGCTGACAGGCTCTAAATTTGATACCTTTTTTTGTTTTCTCCGTTATTGATGGATCTGATTGAAGCTGAATTAGCATTTACTGCTCTGTAATCTTACACACGTGACTACTGTACTTCCCGTGATCTTAAGTAATTTCGTCTCATTGGGTAATTTCGTCGAACAGGTTGACGACTTTGTAGCTCAGACAAAAACTCTAGCCGGACATAACTTGGAACCAACGCCGTGGCACGTCTTCCCACGCAAATCCTTCAGCGAAGCCACGAAACGTTCTCAGGCTTACCGAATCCTCCAATGCTCCTACTTCTCATGTCCCTACAACTCCGTCGTCGAACCAAAGCGTCTCCTCTCGGATTCCGGGTCGGGTCGTCGAACCCAGCAACCGCAATGCCCAGACGTTTTCAGGTTTGTCGGAAACGAAACAATTTCAAAATGGGTTTTTCTCACGACTCAGAAAGAATCGAACTTGCGTTAACCATTGATATCGATCGTTTGGTTTGGTGAAAAGCCAGGTGGATTCACCGGGACTTGGAGCCATGGGCAGAGACAGGAGTGACTAAAGAGCACGTGGACAAGGCAAAAGAGAACGCTGCGTTTAGAGTGGTGATACTGTCTGGAAAGCTATACGTGGATCTATACTACGCGTGTGTGCAGAGCAGAATGATGTTCACCGTTTGGGGGATTCTGCAACTGCTCAACAAGTATCCAGGGATGGTTCCTGATGTCGACATGATGTTTGACTGCATGGACAAACCAATCATCAACAAGACCGAGCACAGCTCGTTTCCCGTTCCGCTTTTCCGATATTGCACGAATGAAGCTCATTTGGACATTCCTTTTCCTGATTGGTCCTTCTGGGGCTGGTCGGAGACGAATCTAAGGCCGTGGGAAGAAGAGTTTGGTGATATAAAGAAAGGGTCGAAGAAAAGTAGCTGGGCCAATAAGCAACCTAGAGCTTACTGGAAAGGGAATCCTGATGTTGTGTCGCCGATAAGAATGGAGCTGATGAAATGCAACCATTCAAGGTTATGGGGAGCACAGATTATGCGCCAGGTTTGTTTCACTCACATGCCCTTATCTTAAAGGATAGTTTAATCTAGTATGAGTGATGCAAATGTGTCTGTTTAAATATACAGAACTGGGAAGAAGAGGCAAAAGGTGGGTTTGAACAATCAAAGCTCTCCAACCAATGCAATCACCGGTAAGTCCTAATAGGAACCCAAGTTTGATCAAACATGACAATTGGAAGGATCTGATTTGGTTGAAATTCCTTGTATTATAAGGTACAAGATCTATGCAGAGGGCTACGCGTGGTCGGTATCGTTAAAGTATATCCTATCGTGTGGTTCCATGACACTCATAATCTCACCAGAGTATGAAGATTTCTTCAGCAGAGGACTCCTTCCTAAAGAGAACTACTGGCCTGTCTCTCCCACTGATCTATGTCGGTCCATCAAACACGCTGTGGACTGGGGCAATGCCAATCCCTCTGATGTATATATATACCACAATTTCTCCTCAATATATCAGATATCATTTGTGTTCTTAAGGCGTTTTCCTTTTGACAGGCTGAAAGAATAGGCAAAAGAGGACAGGGTTACATGGAAAGCATAAACATGAACCGGGTTTATGACTACATGTTCCATCTCATCAGTGAGTACGCAAAGCTTCAGAAGTTCAAACCAGAGAAGCCGTCTTCCGCTAAAGAAGTCTGCGCAGGATCGTTGCTTTGCTTCGCTGAACAAAAAGAGCGGGAACTACTCGAGAAATCCAGAGTTGTTGTACCTTCTCTGGACCGACCATGTAAACTTCCAGTTGCAGAAAGGAATAGGCTTGAGAGGTTGATTGAACAGAAGAAGAAAACAATCGAAGATGTTAGATACATGGGGATGACGACAACAGAGAGAGGTTCTAGATAAATTAGTCTTTTTTGGAATTTATCCTCTTTTAGTGGCATATGTGTGTTCATCAGAGCTATAGACGAAATGATATTTGGTTACGACCTGGTTTATAGAATAAAGAAACCATGATTTTACAGTTTACACTGAGGAATAAGATATCGATCAAAACCCCACGGTTCCGATGTAACAAATTTAACAAAATAAGATACAAATCGTAATCCCTTGGTATCGTTAGGAATTTCACGTATTCTCAACATGGTAACATCGGATTATTCCAAAATATCGACCAAAACCCCAGAAATGAAAACTAACCCGCACCAAAGATTCAAAAGAGAGGAGACAGAGAGAGAGGATTCATTGAGGTACGTTGTCAAAGTCATCATCATCGTCAAGCACTTCATACTCGAAATCTTGGTCTCTGTTCTCCATGGTTTTCCCAAACGTGAATGCCTTTGTACCCATTGTTGTGAAAGGCATCAGCCCAAACGCACGGGCCGTTTTGATCTCTCTAGCAATCTTCCTTTGTGCCTTGGCGCTGATGCCAGTCTGTGCAAACAGATAAACAAATAAAAAAAAGAGAGTTTCATCACTCACAAACGTTGGACTAACAAAACTTCATCACAAGCATAGCAGAAACCAAGTCAAGAAACATCCAATATGAACCTGCTTCCTCTTAATGATGATCCCAGCTTCTGTGATGAACTGAGCAAGGAACCTAACATTCTGTCCAGCAAAACATTTTTCATCAATGAGTACAAAAAGAATAAAAGATGTATACTTCATCGAAGATAGAAACAAACTTGCTACACTCAGTCACACTCACCCTGAAATCAGCTTTGTTCAGAACTTCCTCGGTGGTTATCTCAGACTTGATATTCTGTCTAGGTCTTTGTAACTGCTTTTTAAAACTTAAATCCTGCACAAAAGCAAGAAGCAAAATACAACATATTACACATCCAAAGCCTTTGACTGATAATATTCTTGGCTCCGATGCAAATTTACACTACCAATGCAAATCTTAGACCAAGATAGAATGAATTTTCATGTGATTGTTATAAACTGGTTCAGTAACACTCATACATCAAATGATTATAGAACAGTGAATAGAGGAGAAGTAAGAAAAAGCATACCCTAGGGTAGGGATCAAACCCTCGACTGTTGCCATCAGGCCTGAAAGTGTAACCATCCTTGACGTCTTCATCATCGTCGATCTTGTAAAGAAGTGCAGCTTCCTTCAATTTACCATCAACGCCATCGGAGGAAGGATCAAAGATCTCGTCCCTGTTCATGGAACCTCCGCCGGAGAATCTCGACGTGTTCCCGTATTGCCTATTAAAGCCTGAGTAATCGCGCTTGTCTTTCTCCGCTTTACCGAGATGCTGGTAGAAACCGTTGCTGTTGTCATCGTTGCCGGCATTTCCGCCGAATATCCAATCGTCTGACGAGTTTAACAAGGTTCGATTCGTGGTTAGACTAGCGGAATCGGAGAATATCGACGGGGAAATGGTAGAAATGTAGTGGAATTACCTTCGTTGGCGTTGGTCGCGAGGCTTCGAGAGACGAAGGGACGACATGGTCGAAAGGAAGCTACGTCGTTGAGGGACCGAAAAGCGAAACGGGCGATTCTCATCCTTAGGGTTTTTCGAATTTCAATTTTCCGATCTGAGGTTTTGGCAAAGAGGAAAAGTCGCCTGAGAAAGGAACACGAAGACAGACGACGGGAGAGATGCACAGTTCAACGAAATGATTAATGGGCTGATAAGGCCTCACTTTCTTTTGTTTATCTTTTTATCAGCTAGGCCCATTTTTCTCATTAATTTTGGAGAATTTCTTGCACATCTCTAAAAATAGTGTATCCAAATTATATTTTTAGAGTGAAGATGTTTATATCTCAAATTCACAATAATGTATTGGGCAATAATTGCGATAAAGTTTGGTTTGTTTCATGGTTAGGCACATGTCGACCAAATTTTGGATCAAACAAAAACATCTTCAACTTTGGTTTTCCTTTACTCCTTTTCAAAAAATTTACGTTTTTCCGTATTTAAAAATAAATCTTGAGCTTTTTATTCAGTGGATGAGTGAAACTTATGACCTTTTTAGTAAAACAAAACTATAGTTTGGACGTACGAATTATCTAAAAAAAGCAGGTCACCACGCACACTTGACCAATAAATACAGGCACCATGTTTATATACTTTTTTTTTGGGTGCAAATGTTAATACACTTGTCGTTAACTTACATGACAAATATTTCTCCATCTACTAAACATTTATAGTCGTTTTTACATTAGAAATTAAAATCAAACAAGACAAAAAAAGAGTAATGAATGGGATTAGTCAGAAGAAGTAGGAAAAAGCTACGAGATGACACATATGTCAATATCAAATATATGTGTGTGATCATCTAAATGAGCGATAGGTGCAAGTGAGCCATAAGAATCAGATAAGAATAAACCAGGACTTATAACAACCGTGTATTAAATTTATAAACCATTCCAATTTCCAAGCTATGATCACGTATTAGAAAATGATAACGAGATAAGATAAGAATAGGATTGATTTTTCTTTCTCGTAGTTAATCAGTTAAACTCTTCTGATCACATATTAGTGGATTTTTAAAACGTAAGCTGACGAATTGTGGAAGTTTTCTATAAAAAAAGCAAGTGAAGAAAATATAATTGGGGTCAAATCAAAAACCTTTTGATTGGCATCCAATATGCGAAGGGGGGAGTCGGGTATTGGTTGAGAATTTCTGTCCACTTATTTGGTTTTTACGCTTTACTCCTTTTGGACTTATCTTCAAAAGAACGACTAATCCTCTACGACATTTGATTAAGTACACGTGGTGTGATATAAGTGGCTAGACTAATTTAATACGCCATCATTGACCGTGTTAATATGAAATAGCGACGGACCACAGGTCGAATAGTGACCGTTGGTTCCCGCGCGACTTACAGATGTCGTTAGCTTCACTTTTGGCATTAAAACGGTCCTACTGTGTGCTCGACACAGGGGATCGGGGATTAAGGAGGATTCACGTTCAACTATCGAGAATTATTTCTGTCACGTATAATTAGTAAGTAATATCTCTAAGCGAAAAAGGGTTAGTACTAAAAAGTATGTTTCGTGTTAAAAAAAGCTAGAGTAAACATGTAGAAACGTTTTATTGTACTTGCTTGTCCACACATACGTGTCATCAGTGGCGAATCTAGTAAGGAGGATTATACGGTGTCATAATCGCTATAAAATTGTTAAATGTACATGAATACTCAAAAAATACTCTAACAAACATGGTTAAAGTAGCCTATTGACACCTCATATTCTGGGTTCGATTCCCATTAAACCCGCTTCAATTTTTTTCTACATTCGCCACTGCGTGTCATGAGTCAATTCTGTCTTTTTAACTCATGGCTGATGAAGCCATTATTCAGGTGACCAATAATTGGTCAGAAAAAAATATACGTACAAACGCAAATGCACTGGTTAAATATTGTAGGTTTAATGATCGAGTAAAAAGATGCCTTTGCGATCAGGGAACAATAAAAGATGTGCAAAGTAAAGTAAAGCACCAAAATAAATTATCTCTATTGGCTGTGAATGATAAATGACAATGACGCAAAAGAAGCATAAAAGGTAGTGTTTGGGCCCTTAATCACTTATGCTTTTTCCACTTTATCTTATGACATTCACCTAATCTTTTTATAAAGTTGTGTCATTGTCTACTTTTGTTTTCCTTCTACAATTAAGTTGACTTTTATTTGTTAACCCCAAATTCCATTTGGATTGTAAACCAAACACATAATTTATTCTTTACAAATCAAGAAGAAGACGGATCCAAAAAGCATAGAGATGTGACTTTACAAATCGAACCTTTTGAAATGTAGAAAAATTATCTAACAAATTTATAAAGTTTTTGTAGTGGAAGGCCAAAGAGAATCTACGAGCACCACACATTCGTTGAGAAAGAGAGAAACAAAAGAATAAATGAAAATATCAGACAATATATCGGAGGGGCCCCACAAGCAATATACCACCAAAACAGTGACTCCCTCTGCAGTGTGTACATATCCAAAGCGTAAGAATCGAATGCTAAACAAAATCATTTTTAATAACCACTTTTAAGTTAAAGAGACTCGTAAGAGGTTTTTGATTACTTTTCTCATAAATATCATTTCCAGAAAAATTCACGCCTGACTTGTTTTTATAATTTTTTTCTTTCTTGGGTCTCTGATTTTTGTTGGTGGGAAAGTAAGTGGGTTGGTTTGATTGGAGAGGGGCTTTGTGGTGATTTTCTACTTCGATTTTGGCTTTTCCCGGCGATGCCGACGCCGGTGACTACGGCGAGAGAATGCTTGACGGAGGAAGCCGCTCGTGCTCTCGACGATGCTGTGGCTGTGGCTCGTCGGAGGAGCCACGCGCAGACGACGTCTCTCCACGCCGTTTCCGCTCTTCTAACGATGCCGTCGTCGATTCTCCGAGAGGTGTGCGTCTCACGTGCGGCACGCAGTACTCCGTACTCGTCGCGTCTCCAATTCCGAGCTCTGGAGCTCTGCGTCGGCGTTTCTCTCGACAGGCTCCCGTCGTCCAAGTCTACGGCGGCGGAAGAAGATCCACCGGTGTCGAATTCGCTCATGGCGGCGATCAAACGGTCGCAAGCGAATCAGAGGCGGCATCCGGAGACATATCACCTCCAGCAGATCCACGCCAGCAGCGGCGTCGGTGGCTGCCAGACGACGGTTTTGAAGGTCGAGTTGAAGTACTTTATATTATCCATCCTCGACGATCCGATTGTGAATCGGGTCTTCGGTGAGGCCGGGTTTCGGAGCTCCGACATCAAACTCGACGTGCTTCACCCTCCGGTAACGCAATTCTCTTCCCGCTTCTCACGAGCTCGTTGCCCGCCTCTCTTCCTCTGTAATCTTCCGAACTCAGATCCAGGCCGTGAGTTCCCGTTCGGTGGGAGCAGCAGCAGTTTCGACGAGAATACTCGGAGAATCGGAGAAGTATTAGGTGGTAAAGAGAGGAGGAACCCTCTTCTTATTGGAAATTGCGCTAACGAAGCTCTTAAAACCTTCACGGATTCGATCAACAGTGGGAAGCTAGGGATTCTCCCTCCGGAGATTAGCGGGTTAACCATAGTTAGCATTGAGAAGGAAATTAGTGAAATACTATCCGATAGATCAACAACTGACGAGGAGATTCGCATGAAACTTGATGATTTAGTTAGAATCGCAGAGGAAAATGGATCGAAATCGGGGACGATGCTTAATCTGGGAGAGTTTAAGGTCTTAACCAGTGAAACTTACAGTAATGCTTTGGAGAAATTGGTGTCGAAGCTCTCGGATTTGCTGAAACACCAAAGTAGGAAACTCTGGCTCGTCGGGTGTGTATCGAGCAACGAGACGTACACGAAGCTTCTGGATCGGTTTCCTACGATCGATAAGGATTGGGACCTTCATGTTCTTCCAATCACATCCTCTAAACCCTCGAGTCAAGGGGTTTATCCAAAATCCAGGTATATCCTTTTACAATTTGCATTAACATTTAGAACTCGAAAGTTGAAACATGACTTCTTCTTATACTGGGAATAGTTTATTGTTTTCTTCAATGTAGAAAACATTACTCAAATATTTTAATATTCCACTATCATCGTGGGACTTCTACTTCTTTCTCAGCTTTACTGGAAGTAGACATTATATATTTTCCCTCTCGAGCTTGATGTTCCGTATTTGTCAAAACCATAATTCGAGATTTGAAAATGATCAAGTTCCTAAATTAGTATGAACGTGTTGGTTACAGCTTGATGGGATCGTTTGTTCCGTTTGGAGGCTTCTTTTCGTCTACATCAGATTTCGGAGTACCGTTGAGTGGCACAGTGAATCAGAAGCATTCCAGATGTAACCTCTGCAACGAGAAGTATTTGCAGGAAGTAGCCGCCGTTGCCAAAGCCGGTTCGAGTCTCTCTCTTGCTGATCGATGTTCCGAGAAGTTACCTTCTTGGTTACGAGCTGCAGAGACCAATTTGGACAAGGGAACAACAGGAAGTCGTAAGGTGCGTTTTTATCAACTTCTTCCTCACTTGCAGTCGCTTACAATGGTCTTCAACTGCAATATCTTGAGAGAGATTTTGGTTCTGATTCAGTGCAGGCTATAGATGATCCAATCACATTAGGCGCGCAAACCGCAGCTCTGCAGAAGAAATGGGACAACATATGCCAAAGTATCCATCAAACTCCGGCGTTTCCCAAACTCAGTTTTCAGCCGCCGGTGAGCCCGCAGTTCCCAATCTCAAATCCAAAGCATAAGGAGTATGTCACAACATCGGTTGCTAGCCGTATGGTGAGTTCTCCTGTGAGCTGTGTTACTACAGATTTAGGTTTGGGAGTACCAAACACACAGAAAGAGAAACCGATGATGGAGACACTAAACTCTTCTTTGGTACAAACATATCAGAAAGATTTTAAGTCTCTAAGAGAATCTCTCTCTCGTAAAGTCCCCTGGCAGACGGAAGCTGTGAATGCCATAAGCCAAGTGATCTCCGAATGCAAAAGCGACTCTACGAGAAGAAACCACGCAAGTGGAATCTGGCTGGCTCTTCTTGGACCTGATAAAGTCGGGAAGAAGAAAGTAGCGTCGGCTCTTTCTGAGATCTTCTTTGGTGGCAGTGTCAACTGCATCTGTGTGGATTTCGGAGCAGAGCACTGTTATCTTGATGACAAATTCAGAGGCAAAACAGTGGTTGATTACATAACCGGGGAGTTATCAAGGAAACCACAATCTGTTGTTTTACTAGAAAACGTGGAAAAAGCTGAGTTCCCGGATCAGATGAGATTGTCTGATGCTGTGAGTAGTGGGAAACTCCGTGACTCGCATGGAAGAATGGTCGGTATGAAAAACGTGATTGTTATTGCGACTTCTGGGAGCTCCAAGGATGATCATGCCAAGTTTTCCGAGGAGAGAGTTCTCAGCGCAAGAAGGTGGAAACTAGAGATAAAGTTAGCTAAAACCGGGGTGAATAAGAGAAAACACGAGCCAGAGGCAGGGGAACGTGCAGAGAAAGCGCAACGTTCGTATCTTGACCTGAATCTTCCTGTGAGTGAGACAGAAGTTAGCTTTAGCCATGAAACAGAGGACGCAAAGGCATGGTTTGATGATTTCATCGAAAAGGTAGACGGAAGAGTGACGTTCAAGCCGGTTGATTTAGATGGGTTAGCCAAGAAGATTCAGGAGCAGATTATCTCACATTTTGCAAGGTGCTTTGGATCCGAAACACATCTGGAAATTGATAATGAAGTGTTAGTTCAGATTCTGGCGGCGTCTTGGTCGTCTGGGGAAGAAGAGAGAAGGGTTGATCAATGGATGCAAACTGTTCTTGCTCCGAGCTTTGCTGAAGCGAGGCGTAGATACGGTTTGAATCCTGCGTTGGCCGTGAAACTGGTTGCTTCTACAGAGTTAGCTGCCGGAGTAGAGTTGCCGGAGAAGGTGGACGTGATGTGATTACAGACATGTATAAATGAGGTAATGCATAGTTATTTAATCTTGATTGTTTTTGTCATATGAGAGGCCCTGGTTTGGAGTTTTGTGCTTGTGTAAATTATTATGTATAATAGATTACTTAGCTGAGGTATCACTTCACTTGGTACATACAGCATGTTTGTTTAGGAGTTACCAATTTGCCACAACTTTTCTTTTGGCATTTTGAGTTTTTAGGTATCTCTCCTAATTTTGTTGTAAACTCCTTTTGCCCAACTTGAGAATATCTTTATATGCGTTAAACTAGTCTTCTCTGTAACCGAGCTGTATGTTTTTCTGCCGAATCTTGGTGCTGATATACTTGGTTCTTAGTTAGAGGATAAACAAGTTGTTTCTTGGGTTACAGCTTTCTCTCTGATATTAGTGTTAACGTGATCTTATTAAAACAACCTCTAGCATTACAGATAATCATCGGTGAGTCTGTTAGCCATCTCTCTGATATCAGGATTGCCGTGAGACCTAAGCTCTGCGATCTTATCCAAAATTCCTGCGTCCACAATCATCGCCGCGTAGAGATTAACGTCTCCTGTGTTGCCTAGATTTTTCTCGGCTTCACCTACTATCAGAATACCCTCTAGAGCGCCCAAGGTAGTAAGGACGACAGTTGAAATGTCATCTGATATAATAAAATCACACAGCGGTTCAATGCATCCTTGGGCCACAAGAAACCTGCCAGAAATTATTACGGGGAGTTAATTAAATTCCAAGGAAGAAAATATAAATAGCAACCTTTTGAGGAATCGTTTTTACTTGATTTGGTCATGACTGCCAGAATGAATTGCAGTAGCAAGCACAATAAGAGCAGTAGTTCTGATGTTACTAGTGTCTCGAAGCAAGTGAATCAAACGTTGCATAATGCCTGCTTCAATCACTTGCTGCACCTGACTTGTGTTCCCAGATAAAACACACACGATGGTGAAGCAGGTTTTAAGCTTGACTCTCTTGTTGTCCGTGCTTGTCAAAACATTCAAGAGACTAGGAAGGGCTTGGTTGTCAATAACCGCCTGAATATGCGTTGTATCCTCCAGGATGTTGTTGATGGTATCGAGAGTTGGTAACACAATCGATGCCAAGTTCGGTTGACTAACAAAATTTGAAAGAAAAAAACGATATCTCAGTTTAGGTAGACAAGAAAATGAAAAATTTGTTAACTAAACTTACCCTAAGAAATGAATGAGACGAGGAATAAGGTCGATAACGTTTTGTATATTGCCATCGTTGCTGAGACGGCTGAGAGTAAGAGATGCACTCTGGAGAAGAAGATGGTTGGTTGGATCCCACGGGGTAAATAAGAGCAAAAGCCGTTTAACAAGTGGTAACGCTTGATTCTTATGCTCAAGTGCAGGCGGAGGATCTCTACTGCACAAGTGGAATATAGTTATTGAAGCAGTGGTAAGCAACGTGACGGAGGATGACGTTGCATGCTCATTGAACAGAGCCGTAAGAGACATCATGGCCCCAGAATTGAGGACATGGTCACGGCGTTCTGTTGAGCCAGCAGCGATGTTTCCCAATGCCCGAACACCCTGTATAAATAAATCAGCAAGAAATTAACGAAGAGCTATAACAATTATCGTTTCTTGTCAATATATATATATATATATATATATATATATATATATATGATGATAAAGAATCAAGATATGATGATATTTAATACCACTAATTGGACTTCCTCTCGGTCAGAAGTGACAAGTTGGACGAATAAAGGGACTGCGCCACTATCAATAAGGACCGCAATGTGATTAGATGTTCCTTTAGTAATCGTTGCGAGCACGAAAGCTGATTCATGCTATTAAAGTCATACCAAGGACAAAGCAAATCAGCATTCATATAAATCAATTAAAACACGAAGCTACGTACTTAATATATACTACTACAACATCAATATAAAAAGAAAAAGAAAAGGAGGAATATCACCTTAAGCTCAGGGAAGTCATTTGTGGAAGTAAATAGGACAAAGCGATGAACAAGGCCGGATTCAACAACTTCATTGATTGGAGGATCACGCTCCTGAAGCAATAACCGGCAGTTAATCGTCTCCGCAAGTTGTAAATCTCTATCCTCTGACATTACTCCTTCAATCATCCGGTTTAGTCTTCTCAACTACATTAGCAACAAGAAATCTTAGAGTTAAACTCTTAAAACTCTTCGATATGCATAATATCCAATCTCTAAGAACTGCAGGTGTAACGGTATATAACGGTATTAATAACAGAGAGTTTCCCCAATCTTGACCAGAAATCTTTCAATCAGTTTCTAATTCTCCATCGTGAGAGAAGATATTAACTATTCAATCCGAATCAATCCTCTAGATAGTACCAACAAGAAGAACAGAAAGTGAAACAAGAAAATGTGCGAATTACATTCTCTCGTTTTCTCGAAGTAAATATTGATCAGTTCTAATTCATCATCGTGAGAGATTGTCTTTCTTAACAAGTCAATCTAATTCATCCATCTTCATAGAAGATCGCAACCAAAACAAAAGAAAGATAAACAAGAAAATGCGAATTACGTACTCTCGTTCCCGGAAAAAGAGATAGCGAGGAGACATTTTGCTCGATCGAAGTCGTGCGAGGACTCATGTTCGCTTAATTAAACAGAAACCAGCTGGAGAGAACAGCAAATCGTCGATGGAGATTTTGATTCTCAGATTCAGCGAAGAGAAGAGGAAGACGAAGAAGAAGACGAGTAGTAAGAGAATGTGAATTTTTTTGAGTCATGCGAGTATATATACAACAGATGCGGAAGTACGATGTTGGGGCTGGTTTTATTATCAATCACGAGTTTGCCACTGTTATTGAAATTATGGCGCGCTTGCTTTTAAACACAATTAAATTTAGCAGCCAAGTTTCACCCCAACGTTGACTCACTATAAAGTATAAAACATTTATGTAACCCAAATTTATTTTTCCAACTTAGTGCAACAGAATTCTTCAAACTTGTTCTTATATTATAAAAAATGAGAATTAATTTCTCCATAATACTGTATTCACATAAGTCAAACCAGAACATTTAGTTCAAAAAGTCAAAACCCTGCCTTTGCAAAGGCTGAATTTAACTAATTGAGTTGTTCCGGGGAACGACATCGTTTTGGTGATTTCCGTATTAAGGGAGAGAAAGCAGAGACAGAGAGAAAAGTAGTTGGTGGTAGCGTGGAGGAGGAAATGAATCAGATACGGCTAATGTCACGGCCAAAGACGAAAGTGGTGAGCCAATTGATAGCGACATAGAAGCGGTTTCTCCAGCTCACGACTCGAGTCAGATACGCAGACCTCCATATGAACCAGCTCACAAATCCCGCCATTGATATCCCTTTTCCTTCCTGCTCAAGAAAACTCCCAAACATTAGCTATCTAGGGCCTAGGGCCTAGGCTATTGTGTGTTTTGAGGGAAATTGTTGAATGACGTTTTGTATATATTACCTTGCTCTCACGGAGATCAACAAGAGCTTTGTATCTCCCAATTGTAGCCATGCTTCCCATATGCTTATACACAAATGGTTCTCCAAGTTCCATTCCCTTTGCGCTGTTGGCTCTTCCTCCTCCTGCTTTTCCCATCACGTTCAGTAGATTCGCCAAGTATTTGCCTTCTCTCTCAGCCACCTTCATTCATCATCATACTTGGTTACTTAAGACACTTTCAAAAGAGTAAATCCATCATTACAGCAACATTAACTCAGACCTGTGCAAGAGCAGGAAGTGTTGATTTCCCTGTGGTGGCAAGATAACCGCTACAGTCACCAATCGCAAACACGTCTTCTACAGAAGGTACACGCATCCACTCATCGATTCCAATCCTATTTTGGTCATTAAGATATCAGAAACTCTTGTAAGGGGCAATCAAACAGAACAGAGTCTCTCTGTTTTGAGATTGAAATTCAACAATACCTTCCACCTGGATCTTTTGGAAGATGAAGAGACCTCACAAACGAAGATGGACCAACACCTGTTGACCACACTAATAGACCGTAAGGCACTTCGGTTCCATCATCAAGGATCAGCTTCTGTGGCTTCACTTCTTTCACTATCCCACGCACAAGCTTCACTCCAGACTGCACAATCAAAAGCAGAGGAATTCAACATAGAAATTATCCACATTAATCTCTTAAACTAGAAAGCAAATGGATTTCAACGGATGAGCTATAACAAAGAACCTTGTTTAACTGCTTGATGGCATAGTGTCTTAGACGATCGTCGAACGAAGAAAGTATATCTCTTGCCTGCAAATAAACAGTATTGCGGTCAACATTACATTTTATGATCATATATATAGCTTTTTCCATCAATGAACAAGAAATTACCTCGATCAAAGTAACACGAATGTCGTCTTTAACATGAGAATATCTCTGACGAACATCTTTCATGATGAAATCACTCAATTCACCGCTGAACTCCACACCAGTGGGACCACCTCCAACCACAACGCAATGCAACAGCCTCTTCTTTTCGTTTTCACCTATGCCTAATTAATGTAAATGACTTTAGTTTCCAATTAAAGGTGTAGCTGAATAATTTGTGTGTTGCTGTTGTTACCTGGAACTTCAGAGAGCATGAGGTTAAGAAGAAGCTTCCTGCGGATCTCCTGAGCGTGGTGAACCTCACGGAGGAATATGGCGTTTTCTAAGACGCCGTTAATTCCAAACGTGGATGCTTCTGCACCGCAAGCTAGTATCAGTTTGTCATAAGCGATCTTGAACTTCCATGGCTTCAGTGTGCTCAATCCATCGGTCACAGTCTCACAATGCACCTGTTTAAATCCAAGAGAATGATCCACACATGATGAATATAATACAAATTAAGTCATAACCACATTGCTTTCGCATATGTGGCTAACAAGTGAACCACATAGTTAGCCATTTTAAGCAACATTTTTCTTGTTAATTATAAACATCAATAAACAAAACACAAATTTGCAAGGAAAAAAAAAATGAAAATCTAAAAATGTTGATTATTTAGAAAATTTGGATTTCATTTTTTTGTCTAGAACGAAACACAAACGCAAAAATTGCATTTTCTTCTACATTTTACCAAAAGAAATGAAAGACACATATTTATCTGCAAAGTGCAAACCTTTTCTCCAATTTCAGAGCGATAAGCCATAAACCAATATCTAATTTGAGAAAAATTCGAACATCCAGAAAATGAATCAAGTCGAAATCATCCGATTTAGGAATTACCTCATGATTCTCGGAATCAAGTCTCGAGCAATTAGCAAGGAAGTAATAAGAACCGGGTTCTCGTGAAATCGCCGGCTGGATACGAGAGATTGGCTCAGCGACGGACCTGAACTCAAGCGTACCAACGCAAGTAGAAGCCAATAGAGGAGTGAAGACCATGTGGTTCCTCGGAGAGACGCAAACGACGTCGTATATGCTCGTATCGATCCCTTTCATCAGACGACAACCCGCCCAACCCGACCCGAGAACCAGCACTCTCGGCTTCTCTCCCTCTTTAGTCGGAGCCAAACCGTCGTAACGATCTGCCTCCAACCCATTAACTACCTCCGTCGCCGCTTGAACCGTCTCGCTCTGTGGCTGCTGATGTTGCAGAGCGGTGCAGAAACGGGACGAGAGAGTGAAGGATTCGGAGCTCCTGAACAAGTTTCCGACCGACGAAGTCGTCGGAGAGATTCTCGCGAGGTTTTTGATCCAAAGCATGATTCTTTGGTGGATTCGAGTGGCGCTATGAGATTATTTTAAGCAATAAACAATATTGCTTATTGCCCTAAGTTGTTGGAGAATCGAACAACTCTTCTTCAACGAGCCGCCTGTGGTACTGGTATATCACTGTATGCGTATGAGCAAAACCTACGTGCCAGATTTGGAAATGACAGGTGGCACTATCCTTATTTCTCTCCCAAATTAAATGGAATAATTTCGTATTTGTGCCAAAGGAAAATAAAATCTGGATTTTCTTTTGGTAGCCACAGATTTTTTATTACGTTTTTAAGATACGAAGGCTTCGATATATAAACGAAATTGTTACCACCGTACACGATGCCATCATGTGCTATGGCTTTTGATTGGGCAAAAGTACGTTGGGAAAAATTTAAAACCCTGAAAAGTTTAATGGTGTTGAAATTTCTAAATATAAAAAAGAAGAAAAGAAACGTCAGCAGAACTTGATGCGCAAGAAACGACAGTAAAAAACATGTGATTCAGTAAGACTGATGTGGGGCGCAAGAAAAGGACGTCGGAATATTCGTTGACTGTGATTGCCTCGTATCGTAAGGCGTGACGGATTCAGGACCGGAGGCCCAAATCCCATTGCCGTCGACAATTTGTGGCCCAATAGCCCAATTACACATAGATGATTTTATTAATTTGGGTTTTACAAAAACAAAAAGGGGAGTTCGGTTTATTCCCCCATACTAAAAGACTAAATCGGAATCCACCCAGATTTTTCGTCCATGTCTACTTCCACCCAATCTTTTTTTCTCCGTCGATTCCCACTTTTGCGTTTTGTTTAGCGAAATCCAGTTTTTGAAACCGTGATTGCCCGTTTACACACGAATAACCCGAGTTTTCGAAACCTAAACCCGAGATTTATTAGACAAACCCAGACCCGATTCCCCTTTAACTTAACCCGATACCACATTGTACTAAATCAAAATCGATTTGGGGGAAATAGAAAGGGAATTAGGGTTCTTCGTTTCTGGGTTGAATTCGATTTCGAAGTCGTTATTTTCCGTCGTTTCCGTCGTCGTTCTCCTCTCCTCGGCGTCATTACACAACAAGGTAAGCTATCTACGGTTCTGAATTGGTTGAAATGAGGCTGCTTTTGAAATTGGTTGAAATTGGTTGAACCAGAAAAAACAAACACAAGCAAAAACCACGAAACACAAAGACAAGCAAAAACCAGGAGATAAGCGACGACAAGCAAAACAGCAAAACATTAACACTGTTTCCATGTTCTCGTGATTGAGCTTCCACCAAACTCGCTCCACTAAACCACCTTCTATCAAAAACTCCTCACAGAAGCCATCAAAACATGACCAGGTCATCAAATCAGGATCAACAACAATGCCCTGCTTCAAAGCTCCTCCAATATAACTGAATCTACCACTGCTTAACTCCATAACTCCTCCATAATGCAAGTTTAATTTGAAAGTGTCACAATGACTGCCAAACATGTAAAACCATGACACGAAGACTCTAAGTGACTGAAAAACGAATTTAAATGCTAAACGACGAAATGCAGAAACGAATAAACAATACCTCATTGGAAATGCAAAAAGAGGAGAACGAGGAAATGAGGAGAACGACACCGAAACAAGGAGAATGCCCTAATGGAGAGGAGAATGACGAAGAAACAAGGAGAACGCCGCCGAGGAGAGGAGAACGACGACGGAAAACGTTGAATTCGAAATCAAATTCAACCCACAAACGAAGAACCCTAATTCCCTTTCTATTTTCCCCAAATCGATTTTGATTTAATACAGTGTGGTATCGGGTTAAGTTAAAGGGGAATCGGGTTTGGGTTTGTCTAATAAATCTCGGGTTTAGGTTTCGAAAACTCGGGTTATTCGTGTGTAAACGGGCAATCACGGTTTCAAAAAATGGATTTCGCTAAACAAAACGCAAAAGTGGGAATCGACGGAGAAAAAAAGATTGGGTGGAAATAGAGAGGGACGAAAAGTCTGGGTGTATTCCGATTTAGTTTTTACTATAGGGGGGGAATAGACCGAGCTCCCCCTATATATGTGATGTTCCATGTTCATTTTAACTTTGACCAAGCTTTCAAAACAGATTGAGCTAGAACCAATTTAAGAAAACCTCCGACAGAAACTCTATTGAACAGGTTGGAGTCTACTGTTTCGTTTCTCCATATAATGATTTTATCAAAAAAGTAGAGCTCTCACACGTTTTTGTTTCACGAACTTTCTGTGTGCCTAATAATAACATTCAGGAGTAAAAGTTTTTTTACTTCTCAAGAAACGAAGAACAATTATTCAGTATTATAGCCACAAGAAAGCTAGGAGCTGCTATCAAGCAGTTTATTTTTCGATGATTTTATTGTTCAGTATATGGAGATGAAAGTACTGAGAGAATGAGTAAAATTGAAAATATAAATATCCCAAAACATAATGTTGTTTTTTTACTTAACGATAAGAAAACATTTGTTTTTTCACCCTCTGTGACCTCCTCCACGCCTCGGTGGATTGTGTCTGGCGTTGGCCGCTGGCTCATCGTAATCGTCGGTGCTCACCATCAATGATCTACCTCCCACCACCATCTTTTCATTTTCTGTTTTGCATGTAATATTTAAAATACAAGTATTTGACAAGCAGAAACTTAAATAATTAATACGAAAGATAAAACCATACGGTTGACTAATATACTACGAAAGATTCTGGCTATTTCCCTCATCCGAAAGTCTAATCTCTTTGTACTGCTTTTCTTAAAGATAGATCTAAACATTTTTATGGAATTAATGAATTATCATAACCTTCTTGTTAACACTACGATTGATCATTACAATAAAAGAGACTGAGCAATCCAACTAAACTTGTAGATATACAATCTTTATCGTGTGTGGAATATTGATGAGCTAAAATTACTCTAGTTACCTGAAAATGAAAAACGGAGTCGTGTGGAAGAGACGATCGAAAGTGCAAACAAGATGCATAAACACAGCCGGATTATAGAACAATGTCCCATCCTCTCTAATTTATCCTTCTTTTCTCTTTCTTTCTTCTCTATTCAACTATATGTATCTCTCTCGTCACCCTTCTCCTTTTATATACGAAAGATGTTTTACTTAACCTTAGTTTCAAACTACTTTACTATAAATTATTCTTGGGAGAGCGCTAAATATCCGGAATAATTTATTTTTATTTACATGGAAGAGTCTACAAATCTCTTTTTGCAGTGTCTAACTCTAAGTCAACACATTTTAAAGGAATTTGGGCTCTGAATGTTTTAGAGCACAACGAATTTCAAACTACTTCTGAGAAGATTAATTCGATTGAAGAAAAACTACTTATTAGTAATGAATTAGTGTAGTTCTAAAATTAAAGATCCGAAATTCAGAACCTGTTTCGGATGTCCCAACAGCAAGCTGATGTTACCACATGGCATTCTCTTATTAGATATAGAAGTTGACTTTATTTTTTTTACTGCGGGTGTAGAAGTTGACTATTGCAGACAAATTGTGGATTCCACACTGTTAAGTTAACAGTTAACGCAGAAGCGAAGCGATCATGTGTTGCACGAGACGTGGACTAATAGACACCGTACGTTACCAAAAGTCAACGTTTGTATTCTTGGCCAAATAAGGAATTTGGTTTTTAGGGATTTTCCTCACTTTAAAAACGAATATTTCTGACGATCATGTGGGGTTTTCATGTAATGGCTGATTTCCTTTTTTGTCATCCTCAGAGACTCGAAAGTTATTGCGCAAAACACTAAAGTTGACTTTGTACTGTTTTTTTTCATTTTAAGCGAGAGATTTCAAACCGAAACTCACAAGGATATTGTCATTCGAAACATTAACAGTGGTAAACCTTATCTTGAGGGATGATGATGACACAATGTCGCAGAGGAACAATCTCATTCTTCACAACCACTCAAGAGATGTTAAACCAACAGTAACAAGATAACACGTCCGACTAAATCAACGAGATACAAGAGCAATAAACCATAATCTAGAATTTGAACCAATGACTTCAATAACCGGATACGAGTACAGACACTTACCCTAAGGTGCATAATCAAAGATCATCGTTTTTTGAATCCATACTTCTTGCGCTCATAGAACAGATCAGTTTTCGCACTGCCAAGATTGACAATCTTCGGACAACCATCTCTATCTTTCTCCTGCTGTGTACACTCTTTGCAGTAGTAAGCATCTGAGATTCCAACTCCTCCGCATATGACACACCGTCCTTGGAACGAACCATAGTTGCATTCATCGCAAATCCGAACCAGCGTACACGGGCGCACGTAGGAGTCACAGATCACGCATTTACCATCACATTTCTCGCATAATCTCCCAATGGCAATGCCAGGTTGTTTCCGGCACATGATCAAATCAGGATGATGCTTGGCCATGGCTGCTCAAACAACGTTCTTGGTCCTCCTCTGTAAAGATTTTCAACCTGATACAGGTTTAGGAAACATTTCACAGTATTAGCAAATAAAACGATCTTCATATATATCTCATGTACAAGACCATGGGATCTTTCATATCAATGATGATTGTAAATTGAAATAGACCAAGTGGCAGACAATAGAGACGCCTCAGTGTTATATAACACATGACATAGCATTCCAAATCATGCAGCATTGTTCAGCAAAAACTCTTTACTTAAACTATATCATATACAATGAAGTCAACACTAGTATTGCATATACATGACACACAAAAGAAAAGGCAAAACAGAGACAAAGAGCAGATTCCTGAGAAGAGAAATATTGATAACTGAATAAAGAGGATAGCCTTTTTTAGTATTCCATTTCTTAGAGGAATTTCAACGAACACCTACCAGACAGAAATTCTGTTTACAATTCCACTCAGATTGGATTTTTTCTTTCTTTCAGGGCCTCTTCTAGCTAGCGCAATGCAACGAAATAGCTTTTGAAATCGATTGCAGAGTGAAGGAAGAAACAAGGAAAAAGGACAATTCGCTGAATCAAACCCAAATCGATTGAAGTTTTTCACTCTTCATCACGCCACAGAACTAATCAAAACTCTACGCTACAGAATGTATACATAGAGAAACCAGAGATGGTAAAAGTGAGAGATGTTTGAGCTCAACAAAAGGAAATAACAAGATGGAGCGGCTCGATCAGAAAACATGGATACCACAAATCAGAGAAGTAAAAACTGAAAACTAAATCTCAGAAGTAGCTATCACGCATAAATCGAAGTTCAAAAACACCATAAGGAAAGAGGATCTAACCTGACCCTGAAGGAGGAGGAAGAAAGGTGTCACGAGTAGGTTCTAGTTATCCCGGATCTCCCTCCCAATCGCCGATATGAACAAGAAGCGGCCGCAGGAGATGAAAAACAACCGGGTCGGATTCCAAATATCCATATCCATGTCAGACCGATTATGGACTATTTACTGATGGGCTTTTCTTTTTCTACTAATGGGCTTTCTTATTCCATTTTCTCACGATTAAAACACGAGTATCACTTTACACGAGTATCAGCATTTAACCACAATTTCCTTCCTTGACGTTTGACTTTTATTTTCCAAAAAAAAAATAAACAAATTATTTCTGGAAGAATAACAAAGTGGCGTTGGCCTAGAAACCAAAAAAAGGCGGAAAAAATGGACTGTGTGCGCCGGTGGAATCGTGATTTGAAAAGTCAAAGAGGAAGAAGATAGTGGCAACGTTTGACCTTGAAGAACTCACCGATAGACCATGGAGAAAACAGAGGAGACTTGTCTTCTACACATATCTCTCTCTCGTTGACACTAACACAAATTCAGACGACTATAAAGCTAGAAGACGCACAATCAATCATCGCCAAACAAACAAACACTAATACCATCTACAAAAATTTCAATGTCGTGTTCGGTGGCCGTCTGCAACTCGCCGGTTTTCTCACCGTCCTCGTCTCTTTTCTACAACAAAGCGTCCAGCATCTCTCCGGCGCCTGAATCCGTAACTTTGTCTCACTCCCATCTCAATACTCCAGTTTTCTCCTCTCCTTCTCCTTCCGCTGCGTCTCCCGCTTCGCCGTTCTGCCTCCGTCTCCTGAATCCGCCGGCTAAATTAGGCTTTCGATCGGACTCTGGTCCCGGAGGCGTTCTGAAGAGGAAACGACCGACGAGGCTTGATTTACCGATGGCTCCGCTCGGTATTGCAGCTCCGATGCCGGTGAATGCAGAGACGCCGAGGGAGGAAAGTAGTGAAGTGGAGAGGGAAGGTGATGGATATTCTGTTTATTGCAAGAGAGGACGGAGAGAAGCTATGGAGGATCGCTTTTCTGCCATCACTAATCTTCAAGGAGATCCCAAACAGGTAACTTCATTTTTCTTTTCTTATTTCGAATTTTATACTGATTATCACCTTATTAGTATGATTTGCGGTTTGAATACTTAGCATTTAATTAAGAATACAAAAATTGTGTGATATGTGACTATGTGAGTACTCTTTCTACAAAATTTGAGTGAATTTTGAATCAAACTTTTTAAGTTCCATAGAAATAAATCAATTAAATATGACGAATATATCAGTAGATCTTGTGTACAAAGTACCTATGAGTCTATGACACGCAAAATCATATGAAATGTGATCTCAAACGCTGCTTGCTTCTTTCTTTTTTTCTAATGGCAGGCGATATTTGGAGTCTATGATGGTCACGGAGGACCAAGAGCGGCTGAGTTTGCGGCTAAGAACTTGTGTGATAACATTCTGAGAGAGATAGTTTCTCCGGAGAACGATTCAAGGGTTGAAGAAGCTGTAAAACGCGGTTATCTAGCAACTGATTCCGAGTTTCTCAAGGAGAAAGACGTGAAGGGTGGCTCATGCTGCGTCACGGCTCTGATCAACGACGGGAATCTCGTGGTGTCCAATGCCGGGGACTGCCGTGCTGTTTTGAGCGTTGGAGGATTCGCAGAGGCTCTGACTTCTGACCACCGCCCTTCAAGAGACGATGAACGGAGCAGAATTGAAAGCTCGGTATATAATCCATACCTTTGAATAAACATTTGACCTTTTAAGATTGTTTTCTGAAACTTATTATGACATGGTTCTAATTTTGATAATGTCGCAGGGTGGCTATGTTGATACATTTCACAGTGTTTGGAGAATCCAAGGATCTTTAGCGGTATCGAGAGGAATCGGAGATGCTCATCTCAAACAATGGGTGATATCTGAACCAGAGACAAAGATTCTAAGAATCAGTCCCCAACACGAGTTCTTGATCTTAGCGTCCGACGGTCTATGGGACAAGGTTAGTAACCAGGAGGCAGTAGACATAGCTCGACCATACTGCATTGGAACCGATCAGAAGTGGAAGCCATTGTTAGCCTGTAAGAAGCTCGTTGACCTCTCTGTTTCACGAGGCTCCTTGGATGATATCAGTGTGATGTTGATTCCGTTGTGCCGCTTCATCTAACCATCGGAGAGATGCAGAAATTTAAAATGAGATGTTTTTTAACTTCGTTTAACTTATATTAGTTGCTAGGATACTTTCTTACATAACACATAATACCTCTAATGTATAGGTGATAATAACATATTTATCACCTCTAATGTATAGGTGATAAATATGTTAGCTATTAACCTTTTCTTTGGTAAAAAATGTTGGCTATTAACTGAATCATAAAAAGAAAACATTGAAACTCTGAAAGTTTAGTACGGTGTTAAGTACATGATGCAGTGTCATTGTCTTAAAGTTGTTTTCCAAGTGGATTCTCCTCTGCATGCAAGTTGGAAATTAAGGTATGGGGTCACAAAAATCTCCAGATAATATCTTATCTTTTGGACATTTATAGTATCTTATTCAAGCGTAGATGAAATATGAAATTTAGTTGCCCTAAGAGGATATTGAACAAGTGGTGGACCGTTAAAATAACACTTCACGTTCGCGGAAGGTTCAAGCTCTGTCAGACAAACAACCAACAAAAGAATCCGCCAGTATAAAGTTCTCTATCTTTTAGAATTGTTAAAAAATTAGGAAGACTGCTATATTACTAAATTAGTCATTTTCAATATTTCTGAAAAATATTATAGACATGTTCAGTGTGAAGTTATATTGAATAGCTATCTCAAATCCCAAATTATTTTTTCAAATATTGTGATCCAACGGTTAACTTTCAAAAGTAAAAAAGAAAGAAAAAGAAAAAATAGTATTTTCGTTTCTTCGTTTAACTTTTCCCTCTATCCGAGTCGATCTCCGTGATATCTTTGGATAACGTTTTCGAGTAAATTCTTGTCCTTCATGAGATCCCAACAGCAAATATATTTAGAAATATATGTTCACTATGCGTGGAGGATGATCAAGCACGTCAATTCCCAATACCTGTGCTCAGACAACTGGAGAACCTCAACCAACGATTTCATGCCACGTAAGCTCCCAAATGGACCACCGTTTTTTAAATCACACCCCCTTTCGGCAACCTCTTCCCTCATCTCTACCCCTTTTCTGACCACTCCTCGTATTTATTCATATATTCTCTACTTCGCATACATATCGTGTTACTGTGCACTGTCGCATTCTTTTTTGTTTATTGATTACGGAAATCATTTATTTATATGTACTTGCGTATGGTTGGCTAGACATGGTTTGGATTCATGAATCCTTGATAATCATTTGTGTGTGTAAGTCGTATATTCCATGTCTGATCATGTAAGAGTCGACCTAATATCATGCACCAAGAAAAAAAAAGTAAACATATCAATAGTTGCAAATCTACGGCACGTTTTGTTCATTTGTCTTTCCCACGATCCGTCGTCCGAGTACTTAAACCATTTCCTTAATTGTTGTTGTAAAAACGAAAACGATTGCGTGAAGTGAGAGGCAGTGATTTTATCATTTGGGAGTAAAAGATATAAACGGACAAGATCAAACCGCAACTTGATTCTTGTTGGATAAGGATTAAGGCAAATGGGCAAAGTGCTCTTTGTTTTACCAACAGCCCGAGAACTTCTCCAAGTGTCATCACTAGTGACTTGAAACCCGTTTCTTCAAAATTCTAAATTATATTTTCTGATTTCTTTGTAAATAACTAGATTCAAGTGAATATTTTGCTTGGATTTTTGTTTTAAAAGTAATCTGTATAATTTTAGAAAAAAATCTAAAACCTGACCATAGAACATGGTAGAATTTGTGCAAAGATCTAATGAGATAAACTTGAGAGATTGTGTTGTGCATGACATCTCCACGTGGGTTTTTTTGTGTGTTAAAAGGAGACTTTACAAATCGCAAAGACAAGTGTACTAGAATTGTCCATGTCGGAAACAAAAAGCAATTGCAACTTTATTTCCACTTCACATTTTCTGTTTTACAGTTTAGAAAAACACATATAAATAGCCTACATTAGGACAACATAATGAAAGTTGGCGCAAATGGAGAAACAGAGCATCATAAACACTTCTTCTTCTTCTTCTTCTTCTTCTTCAGTGTCATCTTCTTGGGTTCGTGGTACTTGCGTGGGAAGAGGTTGTTTCGGTGCACTTAGCACGGCGGTCAGCAAAACGGACGGTGGAGTTTTCGCCGTAAAGTCCGTGGATCTCACCACGTGTCTCCCAATTCAATCGGAGTCTCTTGAGAACGAAATCTCCGTCCTCCGCTCGCTCAAGCCTCACCCTAACATTGTGCGGTTCCTCGGCGACGGAGTCTCGAAAGAAGGAACGGCGTCGTTCCGAAATCTCTACTTAGAGTATCTCCCAGAAGGTGACGTGGCTAATAACTCCGCCGGAGGAATCGACGACGAGACTCTTCTCAGGCATTACACGGCGTGTCTCGTCTCCGCTCTCCGCCAAGTCCACTCGCAAGGATTCGTTCACTGCGACGTCAAGGCGAGGAACGTCCTCGTCAGTCGGAGCTCCGTGGTCAAGTTAGCGGATTTCGGATCGGCGATCAGATTCGAAAAACCGACGGCTCTGATCAAGCCACGTGGAAGCCCGCTTTGGATGGCTCCGGAGGTGATCAGACGTGAGTACCAAGGGCCGGAGAGCGACGTCTGGTCTCTTGGTTGCACGGTCATCGAGATGCTCACTGGTAAACCCGCTTGGGAAGATTTCGGGATGGACTCGCTGAGTCGAATCGGTTTCTCCGACGAGTTGCCGTTTTTCCCCGTGACGCTGTCGGAAATCGGCCGCGATTTCTTAGACAAATGTCTGAAGCGAGACCCGAGTCAGCGGTGGAGTTGCGACCAGCTTTTGCAGCACCCATTTCTATCTCAGTGTCACCGCTACTCGTCTCCCCGTTGCGTACTCGACTGGGTCAACTCGGAGTTTGAGTTTGAAGACGAAGAAGAGGAGGAAGTTGGGAGAAGCGGGTGGGTATCCGAAGTTGAAACCACGGCGGCGATGGCAAGGATTTGTAAATTGGCAACGACCGGAGGAGCAATTTGGGAATCAGATGGTTGGGTGGAGGTTAGAAGCAACGCTTCAGAAGGGGAAGGGGCAGCAACGGAATATTCGGAATCAACAAGGGTAGAATCGGAATATAACAACACATCATCGGACCCGTACGGTGACGTGGCTGGTGAGTCGGCGAGAATTGACGTTTCTGTGTTTCCGCATAGGCCGCCGGGAAGCCAGGGATCGGCGGCGGCGCTGCCGTATATACTAGTGACGGTTTCACGTATATTAATGGAAATTATGATTAATATTGCATGTGTCTCCGCCGAAATTATTCTCAACATTTGTTGTTCTTATCAATATCATCGTGATACTAATAAAAAGGAACTCCAAATGTTGTCTTTTAATCTCAGCTTCAATTTTTGTTTGTTTGTTTGCACATGCGATTTGGATGGTACGAAACGAACGTTTACACGGTGAGAAAGTTTCCTAATTCGGAACTGTTTGGGTCACAAGTTACAACTGTAGGCTTTAAAAATGAAAGACTGATTTTTCAAAATGCTAGAAAGAAGTGTGATTGAAGAAAATAAAATTTAAGAACTTCAGAAAAATAAAAAATAAAAAAATCACTACAGCCTTTAAAGGTTTATAATCCAGTCGAGATCCTAGACTTGTCGTCATTTCTGCTCCATAGATTTGCATTTTATTGTTTAACCCGTAAATTTTTGACCTAACCCTTATAAGAATAAAAAATCAAAGCTGGTTAATCTGGTGCTCGAATTTAGAATTTTTCCAACTCTGTTCTTTCGGATGATGAGCTACGTGATACCTATAGCTCGGTTTGAACTACCCGAATTTTAAAAATTTGGAAAAAACAGACTGTGAAAATCGGTTTTATTGGGTTTAACCAGGTGGAAGACTTTAAAATATTTAGTAAAGTTCCACCTTAAAGAAAGAAAAAACTTATGAAAGCTTACATGAACTTCTCAAATGTTATGTTGATTTTCGTTTAGCTAGTGTAAATGATAACATGTATGTATCAAAATACTTTTATCTTTCAAGAAGGAGGTAAACTTTCCGAAAAGATACCGACCAAGACAAATACTCAACAGAACAAATCATAATTAAAATTCAAATTAACACAAACAGATCCCAAATATTCAAACATAAAAAAACACCAAAATTCAAACATAGCTGGAAAGTTGAAACCATATAGTCTTCTTGAAACAAATAAAAGGTTGCCTTTTAGTTCATCAAACCAACGGCTAAATCCGAACCAAATCTTATTAGAAAAAGTTAACACTGAATTTCTTCCTACCTTTTGAAAGTTTCATTAGTTTAGCCATCGCTGCTTCTATCTCCAACTTCTTGTTTTCGGGTATCGACAACGTCTTAATCATCACTTTCTTCGTTGCTTTCCTTTTCCTTTGTGTTAGAGATGAAACTAACTCGAATTCTTCCTTGTTTAAACCACTGAAGTTATACAGCCACACAGCTTCCACACGGATATCAATACTGAAAAGCGAACTTTTCCCATTCCACTTTTTCTGCTGTGCTTCCAGAATAGAAGATTCACCTTCTTGCTTAGGGCCATTGTTCTGCTGTATATATACAAGAACATATATATAAATATATAAACATCTATCAGGGAATGAAGATATTAAGGAAAAGTGATAAAAGAGAGAAAATTGATTAACTAGATGTAGCTAAGATTGAAGTTTATATATGATGAATGTACCTTGAAGAAGATCTTAAGATTTTTGATTTTTCGACCCCATTTATCCCATTTAGTCAAGACTCTATGAAGCATGTTAACTTCCTTGGGATTTGTTAAATCCACACTCACGGCCAAACATTTAACCCACGGCAAATAATCGTCAATTTTGCTCACTATGAATTCAGATTCAATGTTTCCCTTCACCTTCAATTAAGAAAAGTATATGTCAAACAATGTAATAATATCATATTATATATATATATGTGTGTGTTTAACTGATTATGTTTGTACCTGATCATCACATGAGATGTTGTAGCTGATGTAAGATACATCTGTGTATGCAGTCCAACAATTTTTCGTCAGCTGGAGTAGTCTAGGGGCAATTAGGGTCAAGTTAGATCTCGTAATATGAAAGTCAACGGAGAAGAAATCCAGAAGCGGTGCAGTTACTTCAATAGAATTAATATCATTGCAAGCCAAATGCAAGATCTTCAACTTGCTGTTCTTAATCTCCAAACAACCAGTGCCGTCATTCCATTCGATATCTAGTAGCAGCACCTTAAGGGAAGGGCACGATGCAATGACTGCGTTGAACACACCAACCTCAGCGCATATTGTAACAAGGTTGAGAATCGTGAGGTTGCGACAATTGTTGAAGGCATGTGCAGCTTCTAAATCGTATCGACGTAGAAGGAGTGATGTGAGGGTTGGATGGGAGAATGTGTTTGGGGGCAAGTGGAGCACACTACGTCTCCAACGGAGATCAGTACAGTTTATAAGTGAGAGATCTTTTGTGCTTTTCACATGAATCAGTGTTTGGATCCAAGTTTCGAGCGTACCGTCTTGCCATTGGTACGGGAAATGCTTGATTTCACAGCATTCTAGATCACCATCGTGATTGTTTATAACCTTGAAAAGAAGTACAAAATTAATGACTAAACAAAACTACACAATCTAGAAAATTATAGGAAAACAATTAAGATATGCGACAGAGACTTCTACGTAAAGATCTTGTATGTGAAGCTAGTTTATCAATTGTTAAATTCAATAAAGTGAAAGAGATTATGATTTCCTAGATTCTCTCGTTAACTATAATATCAATACATTCAACAGTCTATACTCACGTCCTAATCTATCAATCATAAACTTACATTTATTATCTTCGCAGGCAAAATATCGTTATTATTTTTTCCAACCAACTACATGATTAACAATCCATGAAAAAAAAAAAAGAGGAAAAGGAGAGAACCTTGGTTATCAGTTCAGCAATAAAACCGGAACGATGTGCCAGAGATTGTCCGTTGAAGTGTTTATTTGTCTTTTTCATGTCGAAGTTGAGATTAGGAATCTGCTTCCAGACACCCTCCCATCGTGTGGACAACTTACTTGTCTGGATAGCCTCTTCAGTCGACAATTTCCCTAAGATCACGAGCAACACATGGTCAGGGAGTTTGCTGATACGATCAACGTTTTGGACCAGATCGTTGCGCCTCCGTTTGCCTCTTGCATCTGACAGTAGTGATGAATCCATGGATGGAATCGGTGATGAATCCATGGATGGAACCGGTGATGAATCCATGGATGGAACCGTTGATGAAGTGAAGGAGTTTTATGGGAGAGACATGAAGAGAAGAGATGATCTTGAATTGGATACAGAGCTAGAGAATATATGGAAAATGTGAGCGGAGGTAGGTGAAAATGAAGAGATACCAAGGATAGAGACAGCTAGCAAAATATATCTGACTGGCGATAGATTATTTCCTTTCATATCTTTCATATCAGATAAAAATGGAAGAAAATATTAACGTTAAAACGTTTCCTTCTGAAATAGTGTACAGTCATGTACAAAAATAAATTTCGAATCTGGTCAAAACAAAATACATGTCCAAAATAAGCCAACTTTTTTACAGCCAGTACCATATTCGAATTTTTTTATATGCAACAAAAATAACTGCATATAGATTTAATAATGCGTATCTAACAGAGTTAGGCCCACTCCGTTAGACTTGTTGTTTTTTTTTTTTTTTTCTAAAGACTTGTTTTTTTATGAACCCTAAATTGTCTTTGAATTTCCTCATGTAAAAGAATCTAATAAACAATTGAGTTACAATATCAAAACCAACTAAACTTTGAAATATTTACGTGAACTTCCCAAATGTGATGTTGACTTTTGTTAGCAATATAGTGTGAATTGTGAATGATAACATGTTAATATCACAAAACATAGTCAATTCAGACAATATTATGTTATACTCTGCGTAATCAATATACTTTATATTTCAAAAAGTACGTCAATTATTTTGAAAAGGTATTGACCATGAAAGTCATCGTTACTTCACAATCTAACGTTATTCAGTGTGATTGACTACTGTCTTAAACTCTAGCTGTTAGTATCACTGTATCTATGGATAATGGATTTGTGTGTATATAACTGAGTTGATCAGGTAGCACGTCACTGGTGCGCTTGAGAAAGTGGTGCTTTGGTGACTTGAATTTTACGATCACTTATGCTTTCATTTGCCGTTCTCCAATCGGCTTATGAACTCAGTTCCTCGTATAATCGTTTTAAATAAATAAAAAAGTATTGACCACGACAATAACTCAAATGGAACAAAACATAATTTCCAAACGCATGCAAACAAACATATGACGTTGCTCCAACAACAATTTTATCTCTTTGTTATTATTTCCTTTCAGATTTGATAAAAATGGGGGAAACAAAATCAACGTTAATGCATTCCCTCCTGATACAATGCAATACACTGGTCAAAATACGTGTCCAAAATAAGCCAACTTTTTTACTGCCAAAGATTCCCTTTTATTATATAGAAACAAAATAGCTATATGGTTTTGATTATGTGTTTCTAACCACTAAGCCTGCTTTTTTATGTGCCCGAACGAAATTACTGAAAAGAAAGGAAATAAGTCTTTTTTTTTTTTTTGATAAAGAGGAAATAAGTTTTTTTTAGATATACTATGTAACAAAAAAGGATAACTTCAATAATAAAGGAAAAAAAATTTTTAGTTAGGTAGACAAAATCATTATTTTCCGTAGATAATATCAAATATCAAATGAGGAATTTTTTTATTTATAACACTCAATTTTTAGCTGTAATTTTTAACATTTTAAATTTTATAGAACTTTAATTTTTTTCTTTATAAATAAAAAATTGGTATCGTCATAGCAATTAGCAACTAAAATTTTAAAATAATGAATTTAATATTTAATTACAATAAACAAATTTAATATTAAGATTAAACAGTATAATCATTTACGAGGCTTAAAGAATTGTACTTTCCATTTCTGCAAATTCGAGAAAAACTGGATGACTGGGTCTTATATGGGCCACATAATATATTGACAAAAAATCGGCCCATTGTTAGCTTCAATTCGACGCGGTATAACTCCAATTATAAAATGTCATTCTGATTTTCCTCTGTTGCAAAACCCCCAAATTCTCTCTTTCTCATACGCCGCACCGTAGCGAATAAGTGAATCCACGAGAAAAAGCTCGGTAGATACTATGGCAACCAAGGAACCCGAGCACGAGCACAGAGACGAGGAAGAGGCCGGAACTAACGAGGATGAGGACACCGGAGCTCAGGTCGCTCCGATCGTTAGGCTCGAGGAGGTTGCTGTCACTACCGGTGAGGAAGACGAAGACGCCGTCCTAGATCTGTAAGTTTACTCTTAATTGGTCTCTTACGAGTTTTGTGATCTAGCTCAACTGGATCTGATAGGGCTTAGCTTAGGTGCTGCTGAGTGATGGTCTTAAGAATTTTAATATTGAATATTTGAATTGTGGTTGTGAATCGAAGGAAATCGAAGCTGTATAGGTTCGACAAGGATGCGAGTCAGTGGAAGGAGAGAGGTGCTGGTACTGTCAAGCTCTTAAAACATAAGACTAGCGGGAAGATTCGTCTCGTTATGAGGCAATCGAAAACTCTGAAGATCTGTGCTAATCACTTCGGTAAATTTCTCCGTCTAGTGTACTTTCTGGGTTTTGAATTGCCTCTGGATTCGTATTTAGGTTACTGTGTACTTATTTGATCTTCGCCTTGGGAATTTCTGCAGTGAAACCGGGCATGACTGTTCAGGAACACGTTGGAAATGAAAAGTCTTGTGTATGGAACGCTAGTGACTATGCCGATGGGGAACTTAAGGATGAGCTTTTCTGCATCCGATTTGCTACAATTGAGAGTGAGTATTCATTAGAACTGGATTTCGTTACGCACTTAGGTTATCAGTTCATGTGCTTCTGGTAGAATTTACGGCTGCATAGTACTGAAGGATCTTGAACTTATCTTTGTTATATGGATACTTGTTCTTAGAGATCCTCAAAGCTTTAATTATTGTCTTGAAAGTCCACTGATTTGTTCTTAGAGCTCCTCTTCGTTTTTTGGGTGTATATTTCAATGGTTTATGAGCTGTTGATCCACATGAACGGAATAGTTTTGTATTTGTGGAGCTGGAGCTACATGGATAATCAATTCTTATTTTCCTTGACAGATTGCAAAATATTTATGGAAAAATTCAACGAAGCTGGTGAATCTGTGAAAGAAAAAGAAGAGAGCAAAAAAGCTTCTGAAACCGCTGGTCTTCTTGAGAAGTTGAGCGTCGAAGAGACGAAAACAGAGGAGAAGCCTGTGGAGAAGGTCAAGACTGAAGTGGAAGCAGAGGAAAAGAAAAAGAGCGAGGCAGAGAAAGTTGATGAAGAAAAGAAAACCGAAGAAACTGGTTCCTCAACTTAAAGACGCTGCCAAATCGTGGCGAGGTAATTTAAGCCCAAAAGTGTTTTGATGCATCTCGAGTCTACCATTGTCTTGGCGCTATCTATCTTTACACATGTGTTGTCGAGTCATATCAAGTGGTTGGGGGGTCCGGTTTTGCTGAGTCGTTTTGGGTCTATAGTTTTGAGTCAAAAGCGTCGAGTGATATGGTGAGAGATTCGAGGGAAAGATTTTTTGAGTTGGTTTCTTTGAAAGAGTACATTGGTTTCATTGTTTAAGTTTGCCTTATGGATCCTTTTTGTATGGTCTTATTTTGCCATAGAGATGGTGTTTGTTCATGGACAGGAGTCAGATGGGTCTTCAATATATTTTGCTTTTGATTTACAAAATTGAATGATGTTTATGGTATAAGATATGTAAACCTACATCAAATTAAAAATAATTATATATACTAGGAGCGGGTTTATTAAACCAAATATTTTTAATTTAATTATTCAGAACATTAGATTCGAATATATCATTTGTTTTTTACTCGAATATATTAGATTCTGTAAGTTTTGCATTTTGTTTTTTTTCATATAGTTTTAAAATTTAGTTGTTATTTACGTGAAATCTTATATAGACTCATAGTGAATAGTTTCATATGTTTTTTGTTCTTTTATACAATAATTTATCGACTGGAGTTGAGTTCTTCTAATTTTCCTTATACTAACAATCATTATAGATTGATTATTATCCTACAGACTCATAGATAATAATAATTGCAATCCTTTTTAAAAGGAAATGAAATGAGCTAATTAGCCAGTAAGCCCATTTAAAGCTACCATGGAAACGAAGAGGTCCGATAAATAATCAAGCCCATCAAAACGAACAGCATTACACATAATTTTGATTTAGTTTTTTTTTTTTTTAATACGAAAACGACGTCGTTTTGGTGTAAGACGAAAAAAAAAAATAAAGCGCAAAACGACGTCGTTTTGGTGTAAGACGAAAAAAAATAAAAAAAAATAGGCGAAAAAAAAAAAAAAGAGAGTGCCACGTGTCAAAGGCTGGAGATTGTCCAAGCCTTATTAGTTATGTAGATTTACCATTGTGTCTTTATTATCTGTATACAAATGAAAATGAAGAAATTCATAGTAGTAATTGGTTTCAATTCTTACTTAGAAGTTATGTACATTTATTTTTTTATAAAATAATTGGTACATCATAATCAATGGAATAAGATATTGCATATACCTTGTTTAAGGAAAGAAATAATGTTTTTTTATAAGGTATTTAATAAAAAAAAAAAAAAGGTTTTGAAATGGAAAAGTCAAAATTCAGAATTTGTTAAGAATAGTGCGAGCAAATGAATCAAAGCGACTTGTCTAGGCTCAATGTCTGAATGTCAGTCAATCAGTTCACGGCTTCACGCGGCCATACTTGTTGTATTCTTTTTTCGGTTAATGCAAAGGGGCCAAACTATTTATTTCTCTATATTTGTGTTTGCTATCTAAATCGTTTACAACAAATATTATACCCAAAAATTAAGAAAACATCAAAAGAAAATTTAGATGAGTAAATAAACCATATCCAGAAATATTTAAAGTTTACTTTGAAAATAAAACATCTATTGGATCTTTCCGAGCACTTCTTATGAAACCACGTCGAAACTGGCAGCCACTTGTGCCGCGTACCTGACCTTTAAGACTTCTTTAATTCTTTATGTAACCTAGAATCGAAACCGAAATCTATATAAACTGAAGGTAAAAGAACATTGCTGTTCATATACACAGGATAACACGAAATAGAAAATGGGTATAAGAGGAACATCGTGGGTTTTATACATTCTCTTCATCTTTCATATTCAGCACAAATTTCCTTCAGTGAGATCACAACCTTCCTCAGTTGCTACGAACCACGAGACTCTTCCTTTCAGTGCCTCAAAGCCAGAGGTTGTTTGGTCTGAAGTAAAGGCCCGGGAATTAGCTGTCGTTATCAGAAGAGGAGGAGGGGGTGGAGGGCGCGGCGGCGGCGGCGGTAGCAGGGGAGGAGGAGGTCGAAGCCGTTCAAGTGGCGTGGGACGTGTGGTTCCGATCCATGGTGGTGGTGGTAGACCTGGTGGGTCGCATCGTTCAAGCGGCAGCAAGAATTTTCGAGGAGCAATGTGTGCGGTCGGTTGGCTGAGTTTATCGGTTTTAGCCAGTTTATTATTGGTTTAGAAAGGTTTCAGTATTTGTTGACTGTTTAAAATTGGGTTTTATGTTTGAGGTCCGGTTTGGTTTGGTGTGAGATTGATATTGTTAAAGATATGATTCTGATCATCCTTGATATTCTCATATCTCTTTAATGTCTAATATTTGATCTCTGTGTTTTTGGAAGTTTCTGTGAATACCACGGCCTAGACTCTCTACGCTCCTGTATAAATACTCATTGTATCATTCACTGTAAAGATATCAAAAACATATATTCTCTACAGATATTAGGCCAACGTAAGTAGGTCTACTTGTTGATATAATGTAGGCAGCGATTCTCTTATGTTGGTGACTTGATTCTATTCGTATTTTAAATTTTAATGGTGTTCTCTTTTTCTTTTATTTGTTGTATTTATTTTTTGTCGTTTAGTATTGGTAAGAGTTTTAAATGTTGACCATATTCAGCAAGAAGGCGTACTGAAATTCCAGTTTTGGTGAATTCAGCAAGACCAATCATTAGTTTGTAAAAGCATAAAATGAAATATTTCGATAAACTCCTCTGTTACTGTTAGCGTTGTTCTTTAATTTTCTTACTAATAACAAAAACGTTACCTTGTTACAAAAAAGTATATATAATATTAGCAAGAACTTAGCCTTCATTTCCAACAGAAGTATTGTAAAAAATTAAATTGTGTTAAAGAGTACGTATTGTATTTGCTATATTGAAGACAGTGGTGGATCATAACGTTAAGATTTGGATTTGCGATTTTTCGGAATATGAAATATTTTCGGGCATTGCGAGACCACGCATTTATGTTCGGTTCGCTAGATAATTTTGTTTCACAGTCGCCTAACAAAAACATCTACACCTACGAATTTACAAGATACCAAAAAGGAATTTATGAATTATGATGAGGTAAATTTGTTTATCCACGAGAACTCTATTCTCCAAATACTTGTATCCGTATTTTTTTAGCATCACTTTTATTTTTTTAACATCACTTCTTAAAGTTTTTTTCACAGATCTAAAAAGATTTTAATAAATGAAATATGGATAGATATATAAAAATCATTTTACAGATATTTATTAGCTTTTTCTGAGCAGCTTCTTAAAGGACGCTGCTGAGACTACGTCGAAACTGGCAACTACTTTTGCTGCCGCGTCATATTTTTTCATCGACCCTTTTATTTTTCTGTAATAAAAAAAAAAAACCAAATTAATATAAATAGAAAGCAAAAGGGAAAGGTGATAAGACACGGAAACAAAAACAAGCAAGAAAATAAAATGGGTTTTAGAAGAACATCGTTGCTTTTGTGCATTCTTTTCATCTTTCATCTTCAGCAAAATTCCCTTTCCGTAAGCTCACGACCTTCCTCGGTTGATACGAACTACGAGACTCTTCCTTCCGATGTCTCGGAGCCACTCGTTGTTGGAAAGTCTCGGGAATTAGCTGTCGTTATCAAGAAAGGATTTAGTGGAGGAGGACGTGGCGGCGGCGGCAGCAGCAGGGGAGGAGGAGGTGGCGGTAGCAGTAGCAGCGTGAGAGGAGGAGGCGGCACTAGAAGCCGATCACGCGGCGGGGCAGGTGTGATTGCAGCAGGTGGATCACATTCACGTCATTCAAGCGGCAGCACGAGTCTTGGAGTGGAAATGCGTGTGGTCGGCTGGTTGGGTTTATCGGTTTTAGCCGGTTTATTCTTGGTTTAGTATATCTCAAAGTCCGTTTTGGTTTGACCTGAACTTGAATTGGGCTTAACGGTGACGGTAAGTAGGTCTAGATTGTTGATTTATGTAGGAGGCAGATCTTGATGTGGATTCTCTATTTCGTATTAGATGGTTCTTATGTGTGTGTTTGGTTAGTAGTTTAGTTTCGCACTGTTGCCACGTATGTAAAGTGCAAGCGTATTCTATTAGAAGAATGGATTTCGTATTCTCCAGTTGGTGATTCTACAAAGAACAATATTTTGAAACTTGTGAAAGCAAAAATGAACTCCTACATTAGTCTTGTCCATTCATTTCTTTAAGTTATTAGTACCATATAAAGTCAAGAATGGGATTCAGTTTGGTTGATAATTATTGAAATAGAGTCAAAACCAAGACCGGTTTAGCTCCGCGTCAAGATTCAAGAGTCAAGATCCAACTCACCCACTAACTTATCCATGGACCATGATGATGAGTGATGATGCTGACTTCATGAAGACAAGACCCACGTTACAAAAACTAAAAATAAAGTACAATTATGCCAAGTTGGCAACAATACTACTAAATGAGACATGAGCCACACACACACGCAAGATACGCCCAGCACCCATTTATAAACACAAACAGTAAAAACAGCAACACGCTTTCAGAAAAAGCTATTCAAGATACGCATGCAGTGTTGGCGCCTTGGAGGATCATATGGCTCGCAAAGCTTCCAATGTAGTTTAAAAATGTTTTCAAAATTCAGACACTTTTAAGTTTCTATTTAAGTACAGAAGTATTGTATTTTACAATTGGCTGCAGTTTTTATGTAAAACGTAATTAACCTATACCATGATAACTTCATCATAATAGATTTCATAGTTTAGATACCAAAAACTCTTGACTGTACAATTCAATTATATGGACGATATTGATACTGTTGATTACGCAATTATTCGAGTATAATGTAATGAGGAAAATGATATATTGAAATTAATATGTGATATTTGATATGTTTTACATAAGAAGTCATCAATTCGAGTTTCACAATTTTTCAGAAGAAACTAAATATCAGAGGAAAAGGATGGTCATTTAAAAAAGAACTTGCTATTGGCTGGTGCTCAAGACTCAAAGAGTTACACTTAAATCTCTTTTAATTAACTTTAACTTTGAATACGATAACAACTCCGTCCGAGTCTTACACACTCCAACCAGTGCAAGATCTCCGCGTTCGGGTCTCTCTCCACCACCACAACAGTCACCGTGATCTGCATCGCTCCTCTGTACGAGCCCACGCGGCCGCGAACGCGAGCCACGGCTCCGATCCTGACAGCTGCGGCCTGTTTACGCGCGGTGCTTGAGAGCAGCAGAATCGTGGATGGGTCCCGCCGAGAGAAGTAGGAAGACGTGAGTTGGTTGAGCCACAGGACGCACGTGACGCATCCCGTGCCATCGTCGACCTCGAACTTGAGGAACTTAGGTGTCATGTCGCGAGAGACAATTGTGCCCACCGTCTCTACGCGTGAGAACAACGCGCCGCATCCGAGGGAGAAAGAGTTGGCCTCTGTCGGTGACTGTGTCAGGCGGTGGATGTCACGCGCCACGAGCTTCGCGTGTGTGTCTTGGAGGGGTCGATCCATGGAGAGGAAATGATGGACAATGAAGATTATGGCGGGAAGGTGATGTTCTAGTAAGCTAAATTGGCGCCAAACGATATTCGTTAATAATCAAATTAAGGAAACTGAAATAATTTGCTGAAAATTATAATATTTCTGTATATCTGCTAGTTTATGGTAATTGGTGAATAGTCTATTCAAATGAGACCTACGATATTACTTTATGTTGTAAAATGTGATTATAAACATTTTAGGTTGGACCTCAACGTTATTGGGTGTTTACTTTAACTTCTCAACAAGTGGAAAGTGCAGTTAGAGTTAAGTGAAGTGTTGGGAAAAAACCATCGCATGACAGATGATGATTTTAAAATCTTACTATATGATGCAGACCATTTCCAATGAATAAAGCACACTTGAGAGTTGTAAAAGTTTAACAAGACAATGCATTACTCGTTTTTTTGGGGAAGTCTAAAAAAAAAATCTAAAAAGTCTTAAATCAAATGATCTTGACATTCACCCACTACAATAAATACTGTAGTGTTTGTCTAAAAGATATGTACTGTATATTTATACCCACTCTGGATTGGATGTTATAATCTTATTCTACATAAGCTTCGTTATTCCATCATTCTTTTATGTTACCAATCAAAACCATCATCAACAACATTGTGACCAGTAGATTATGAATAACGAATGCCTAGTAGATTTGAACAGAGCAAGGAATTATATATTTGATTTGATTCCAATACTATGAATAGAGTGAGAGATAAATAAATGATGAAAGCAAGAAAAGAAAAAAAGCAGGAGTAGCTATTGTATGGTACGATGTCATTTTCAAGTCTACCTTTGCTTCAGAAACAGAGAATGGTAAAATTCGCAAGTCACACAATAAATGTTTCAACTTTCAAGGACAGTTGATTACTCTCTAGCATATTTACAAGAAGCAAGTACTATTCAATCAATATCTTGGCCAGGACTGCGACTCATGCCAATACTTCAGTACACCATGTTGTGATATATGACAAAAAAAGATATGAAGTTTGCTATCAACGCGTGAAATCAATTTATAATGTTAGGGAGAAGTTAGAGCGAGAGCTTAGTCTAACGTAAGATAATTATGAAAAAAAACACGCATACGTGTTCGCACGAGGTGGACTAAAAGTGGGTAAGAGACTGAGACACGAAACTTGGGAGGCAAGCCACACCCAAACCTAATGGTTCGTTTCCTTACGAACTATAGCTAATGAAATTGCAACATAATAAGTTTATGTGATTAGGAAGGCCAAGTAAAGTATTTGTTTACCTGTGACTTATTTGCGGACCCAGAGGATCTTGTAACTTTTACGCAGCACCAAGTTTTAATATGCTTCATTAAAAAAGAAGAGGGTCACACAAGAGAATACTCTTATTCTGTGGCTACACTTGTAATTTGGAAGTAATCACACGCAAAAGTGAACATCAAAGGTGTAGGTGAAAATATTTATAGCTTCCTCGAGAAGTAATTCATAGGCATGTGATATAAAGGAGAAAAATTGCCTCCAAAGAAAAAATCTAACTCAATTCGCCATCTACTAGGGGAAAGAGATTAGATATGTTACCAAATGGAGAAAGTGATTCGGATCTTATGCGTCTGGTGAAGGAGCTTCAAGCTTCTCTAACGAGGAACGATAAACTGGAGAAGGAAAATCACGAGCTGCGTCAAGAAGTCGCCCGCTTAAGAGCACAAGTAAGCAATCTTAAAGCACATGACAGTGAGAGGAAAGCAATGTTATGGAAGAAGTTGCAGAGCTCATATGATGGTGGCAACACAGACGGATCTAACCTGAAAGTGCCAGAGAGTGTCAAATCTAGCATAAATCCAAACCTGAAGCCAACTATCAAAGAACAGTCTACAGGTACAAATCCGCCGCCACCTCCACCACTTCCGTCAAAAACAACAACCCTTGGAAAAAGGTCTGTGCGGCGTGCTCCAGAAGTTGTAGAGTTGTACCGTGCCCTAACGAGGAGAGAGTCTCATACGGACAACAGGATCAATCAGAATGGAGTTTTGTCTCCTGCATTCAGCAGAAACATGATTGGTGAGATCGAGAACCGTTCCAAATATCTTTCAGATGTAAGTACATGATAAACTTTGTCAATCATAACTTAGAAAAAAAAAAGCTCCTAATGGTGTTACTGTACTTGCAGATTAAATCTGACATAGAAAGAAACAGAGATCTTATCGATGACTTAATCAGTAAAGTGGAGGCTGCAACATTTGCAGACATATCAGAAGTGGAGACGTTTGTGAAATGGATAGACCAAGAGCTATCTTCCTTGGTTGATGAAAGGGCAGTCCTAAAGCATTTCCCTAAATGGCCAGAGCGCAAAGCAGATTCACTAAGAGAGGCCGCTTGCAATTACAGAGGACTAAAAAGCCTTGAAGCAGAAGTTTTGTCATTCAAGGAAAATCCAAAGGAACCTCTAAAGCAGGTCTTGCAAAGGCTTCAATCGTTACAAGACAGGCGAGCATGTATAAAATAATATATAGTTACTATTAACTTCCTGATATTTAGTTAATCGCCTGAGTTAATCATCGCATTGAATCTTCCAATTTTTCAGGTTAGAAGAAAGTGTTCACAGCACAGAGAAGATGAGAGACACTTCAGGGAAGAGATACAATGATTTTCAGATACCGTGTGAGTGGATGCTCGACGCAGGATTAATTGGACAGGTAGGTGAAATTTGTTTTGCTTAGATTCACATTCACCACTACGCTCACAGATTTTTTTTTACCAAATTGCAGCTAAAATACAGCTCACTGAGGCTAGCTCAGGCGTACATGAAGCGAATAACCAACGAGCTAGAATCAAAGGGAGGCGGTAAAGAAGGAAATCTTATGCTGCAAGGGGTTCGATTTGCGTACACAATACACCAGGTACATCAAAGTCATCAAGAAGCCATGTTCATATATCTATTTGGTTCGTTTCCTAACACTAATTCCATTCAGTTTGCTGGCGGTTTTGACGAAGAGACATTAAACATATTTAATGAGCTGAAGAAGATCACTACAAGTGATCATCCCAGAAGATGAGTATATTGCAGTTGATTACTAAAAAGGGATCTTGAGTTGATTTTGGGTATAAAAGACTTGTAATGGCTAAGAGAGTGAACCATGTTATGATCTATCTTTTAAGCTTACTCAGAAGACATGTAAGAAAGTAGGAGTAAATTATTGTACTGTTACATATCCTCATGCTCTTGCTCTATTTCATACCAAATCTCCAATGCAACCAGCACTAAAATCCAGATACTAAAATTGCATTGAAACTTGAAGATACCAATACTAAGCTACTCTGGAGTCATAAATTAAGGTGATCAACATCAACATGAAAAGATAAAAAAAAAAGGCGGCTGAAATAGCGTTAAGTAATTAAAAAATTCCTGAGGATACTAAGCACAAAACAGTATATTAGCACCTATCAAACACAAATCCAATAATGAAATCCAGATTAATTTTCAAGGCGACAAATCCACTAAACAGACACCAAGTCTCAAACCCACGGAAAATTTTCCAGGGAAGACCAAGAAAAAAAATAGGAAGGGAAGGAGCAAACCTCGGATAAATCTTCAAGGAATCGACTGATAAAAGGCTCTAATTCCAGTTTCACTCGGCAGTTTCAACGTTTTGCTCACCATCATCGAATTTTCGAATTCATGGCGCTCAATAGACGAAAAGCAAATTTCAGTTCTGGGTTTGCTGTTGAGGTACTGAGGAGGTTACTGAAGTGACAAGGAGAGTGATCAATATAAGAACCTCAGAGTGAGTAAGATAGGCCCAATAATTAAAGTAATTAAACTCGACAACATAGGCCCAATAAGCAATATAGCAATGAAGTCGACCCGAACGACCCGCCTCGAATCGACCCGAATCAACCCAAACCAAGTAACCAACCACCACGCATTTGCTCTTATCCGGTTATCCCAATGTACCACTGAGAAAAACCGATTTCTTTCTGGGAAAAAAAAAGGAAAAAATGGAATAAAAAAGCTGCGGAGCCGGCTTCGTTTCTTGTCTTTCTCTCAAATCTCTTATCCGTTTGATTCTTCCATTGCACATTTTTCTTCATCTTCTTCTTCATTAATTGAAAACAAATCAAACAGAAACAAAAGAGAACATCGACGGTGGTTTCGATGGGGTCGGGTGCATCGAAGAATACTGAGGAAGAGGAGGATGGTTCCAATGGCGGAGGAGGTCAGCTCTACGTTTCACTTAAAATGGAGAACTCTAAGGTTGAAGGCGAGCTCACTCCTCATGTCTACGGCTCTGTTCCTCTCATCGGCTCCTGGGATCCTTCGAAAGCTGTGAGCATCCGTTGATTGTTGATTTTTATATGTTCTTCGTCTTTGTGCGTTTCCTTCCGTTTCATCCACATCTGGAGAAATTGATAGCGTCTCGTCTTTTGTCGATCTTTTCTTAATAGCTTCCGTTGCTACGTGAATCTGCGTCAATGTCAGAGCTGAGCTTCGTTGTTCCTCCTGATCACGGTATTCTCGTTTAGCCCATTTTTTACCGTATAGTTGAATCCAATTTCAAAATCGAAACTTTGATTTCTGTGAATTACAATCTAAAGCCTTTGCATCACATTCCTTTTGGTTTTGTTTAATGTGTAGAGACTTTGGATTTCAAGTTTTTGCTGAAGCCAAAGTATAGTGAAACGCCTTGCATAGTGGAGGAGGGTCACAATAGGCTTCTTACTGGTGGGTCGTTGCAAGGAGACTCTAGAGTAGCTCTGTTCAAGCTGGAAGGTGATGTGATCGTTGAATTCCGAGTGTTCATCAAAGCTGACAGAGTTTCACCATTTGATCTTGCCGCTAGTTGGCGAGCTTACAGAGAGAACTTCCAGCCTTCTACTGTGCGTGGAATTCCCGACGTCAGCATGAATCCTGATCAAACAGCTATTGAGGTAGTTTGTTATTGATATTGGAAGTTGCACTCTAGAAAAATTGTTACAAGTCCCATGGGGAGATATAAAGGTGTTTTACTAAGCCTGGAAATGAATGTTTGTTTGATGTTTTACAGCATTGTCCTTCAGAAACTTTGGAGCTCGATCTCGAGCATTACGAGGTTCCTGCTCCTGCGCCCTCTGCAAACTCGTCCCTTGTTTATGCGGCTGACAATGCGGAGAATCCACGATCTCTTTCAGCTTCTGGTTCATTTGTTAATGACAATACCACGAACGCAGCATCGAACAGTCCAAGAACTTCTGGTGTTAGCGTTGATGGATCTCCAGCTGCAAAGGTTCTACTCTGATTTGTTGCATGGTAGATGCCGATTCTGCATTAATCAACGGTCATCTTTCTTATATGATCATTGTCATACATCTTATAGGAAATGAAGGTCATTGTTCCCGATACCTCGGATATTGATTTGGATTCAGGAGTGGGGGAGTCAAAGTCTGTGGGGATACTCTCACCAATTCAGCAGAAAGATGGTCAAAAGGGACTCTTTGTTGATCGTGGTGTTGGCTCCCCTAGGCTAGTCAAGTCTATTAGCGCAAGCTCTTTTTTGGCTGATCTCAAACCTGATGCGCAAACCAAGGTTTGGCATGAGCTAGTTTCTACCTTTCAGTGGGGATTCTGAAATTTAGGAGTTTTTAACGTCGCTTCACCCTTTTCATTTAAATTGTTAGAATTCAATTCCAGCCGCTGCAGGAGCTGTTGCAGCAGCAGCAGTAGCTGATCAAATGCTTGGACCGAAAGAAGATAGACATCTAGCAATTGTCCTGGTAATTTTGCCATATAGAAACTGTACTTAGTTTCTGCAGGCCTTTTAGCTCATGTTTCCTCGTTTGACTGTTGGGAGCTATTTTGTTTAACGTATTAACTTTAATGAAAAAAGAGAGACTGAATGTTCTGACTGACACCATTCCCGTTGAATTGTATTAGGTAGGCTTGCCAGCTCGAGGAAAGACTTTTACTGCAGAAAAATTGACAAGATATCTACGCTGGTTGGGGCACGATACTAAACATTTTAATGTTGGAAAGGTTTGCTATTTTGCTGCACTGAATCCTTGATTTCTTTATTTTTCCGCGTGTTAAGTCATTAGCAACACTTGTGGAAAAGATTGACTCCTTATCATTTTTCCATTTCTTTACAGTACCGACGGCTTAAACATGGAGTTAACCAGGTAAAGCTGGAACTTTTCAGTTGGGATTTTATAAGTTTCTGCCCTCCCATTTGGATAATTTGTGATGGACAACGGATTTGCTTTTTGTAGTGTGCTGATTTCTTTCGAGCTGATAATCCAGAAGGTGTAGAGGCACGAACCGAGGTAAGGTTTGCTATTTTGTTGCACTGAATCCTTTGATTCTGTGATCATTGTTAACACTATTTATCTTCTTCTTTGCACATAGTTTTAATATATCACATGCCACTAGGTAGCAGCACTTGCAATGGAGGACATGATAGGTTGGATGCAAGAAGGAGGTCAAGTAAGTATCTTTCCTTTAGATTTTTTTTTTTGCTGGTTTTTGTATCTTGCATTCTAAATAGTATATATCTGTAGGTCGGAATATTTGATGCAACTAATAGCACACGAGCTCGACGGAATATGTTGATGAAAATGGCTGAAGGAAAGTGTAAGGTACTGAAGCTTCGAAATACTGTGATCTAGATTCTCATGCTTTAGTTAACAGTGGGTCTTTTCAAAAAATTCCTTTGTATGACCATCTTTGGCTGATATTAAATTTGTAACTATACAGTAACTGATTTATCTTTTATCTCTTATGTAGATAATTTTTCTGGAAACGCTATGCAATGATGAGCGCATTATTGAAAGGAACATACGTCTTAAAATCCAGCAAAGTCCTGACTACGCAGAAGAGTACGGTGCCCTGTCAGCAACTTAATGTTCTCGTCCTAGTAGAGTTCTTTAATATGTCAACTAAATGCTTATGCTCTTCTGCAGGACGGATTTTGAAGCCGGAGTGCGAGACTTTAGAGACCGTTTGGCCAATTATGAGAGGGTCGCTTTACAAACCTGCAGCTTTGAAACATGCCCTTTTGTACTTTGATAAAGCATAGCTGACCCAGCTTTGATGCACCATTGTTTTCTTACCAGGTTTATGAGCCTGTCGAAGAAGGTTCTTACATCAAAATGATTGATATGGTCAGCGGTAATGGTGGACAGATACAAGTATGTTTCATATATGTGCCTGATGAAGAAATGTGTTACTGATGGCATTTGATACTGATCTCTATAGGATACTCTATAGTTTTGACTCTTCCTGACTGTTATTGATTCTCATTGCAGGTGAACAATATTAGTGGTTACCTTCCTGGAAGAATTGTGTTTTTCTTGGTATGAATTGGCCTTGTCTGTTTCGCTTATTTTCTATTTCTCTAGCCTATTAGTAACATGCAAAACCAGCTTACAAGTTATGCACTTGCTGCCTTGCTGGGGTTATTAATCCCATTGGCTAATTCAATAAGAATAAGTTAAGTGATCACAAGATCATTGTTTCTGAGGAAGCTCATTTTCTCTAACCTTCAATTAGGTGAATACACATCTGACTCCACGACCAATACTACTCACTCGACATGGAGAAAGTATGGATAATGTTCGAGGCCGAACTGGAGGAGACAGTGTAATAAGGTATGTCTTTGCTCAGTAACTTCAGTAACTTCTTATGCCAAATGCTGCTCTGAGCCGATGCAGATGGATTCTATTTTCCCATTCCATATATTTCCATATGAATCCATACCGATGGGTTCTACTTCCTTGTGTGATCAATTATTTTCGGATCGCCTCTTCAGTAATATGCTAACCTTAGCGTGGAAATTGTATTTTTCGTTCGGTGTTCTCATAACCTTTCTCAACTTTGAAACGCAGTGAATCTGGAAAAATTTATGCAAAGAAACTTGCCAACTTTGTCGAAAAGCGACTAAAAAATGAAAAGGCAGCTTCGGTAAGTATTGCAGACTATTACAATTTGTTTGAATTTGGATGTATTGCCAATTGTGTCAAAGAAAGCTTTTTGCTTGACCTGACTACCAAAGAACACACAATTACAATTTGAGAAACTTTATAGAAGTTTCTGGTGGGAGCTGAACTGTGCAACCTCTAAATTCTTTTGAAGTTGTCTATTATAGATTTGGACCAGTACACTTCAGAGAACAATCTTAACAGCGAGTTCCATAGTCGGATTTCCTAAGGTTGGTGTTTACCAACTTGCCAGATTTTCTTCCACTCTTAATGTCTTGTTATAATATCTTGCTGCGAGGGAATCATTTTCTCCTATATACACATATTTAGGTGCAATGGCGTGCCCTGGATGAGATCAACTCTGGAGTTTGCGATGGAATGACATATGAAGAGATAAAGAAGAACATGCCAGAAGAGTACGAGTAAGTGACTCTGGCAAAATCTGCATATAATGTAAAAAAACTTGAAAGGGGCAATAAGCACTTAGAACTTCTCTAACTCATATTGTGGTGCATATGACTGCAGATCTCGGCAAAAGGACAAATTGCGATACCGATACCCTCGTGGAGAGTCCTACCTTGACGTAATTCAAAGGTATCTTCTTCTTTTCTTCTTCCTGCTTCTACGTTCAGTCATAAACTAAACTTCAAGGAAACGTTACTTCCTTGACAATGCAGGCTGGAACCTGTGATCATTGAGTTAGAACGACAACGAGCTCCTGTCGTCGTGATATCTCACCAGGTTATACTCCAAACGATCTGTTTATCATTTAATGACTAAATACCTTTGCTCTGGAGTTTTAAGTAATCGTCCACATGATCAAATTCTCTGGTTTTTTACGCAGGCTGTTCTGAGAGCCTTGTATGCATATTTTGCGGATCGTCCCCTCAAAGAAATACCCCAGATTGAGGTAATCTGAATTAGAAAAAGACGAGATTGTCTGGTGAAATAAAAGCTTTGAGTAGTGAATAAGCTTCTAGAGAGTTTTGGATGTAAGAGTAATAACGTCATTGTTGTTTATGAATGTTTCAACAGATGCCACTTCACACTATCATAGAGATACAGATGGGAGTTTCTGGTGTGCAAGAGAAGCGCTACAAACTCATGGACTGAAGAAGAGTGAAAACAAACCATTACGACGAATCTCAACAACTTTGGTCTCAAATGTTTATATATTTTACTTTACTCTGCAAATAAACAAAGATTTGCAGATATCACTGGGTTGCATTTTGGTAACCTAGTTCTTAATTTATCCACCAAATATTTTTCTTTATACTCCCAAATGTCTTGTAATTCAAACATGTTATACATTCTTCATAATAATGAACTTTCATATTATAGTCAATTGTCTTTTGAGTTTTGAGTGTTTTAATGAAATGTTAAGAACAACGTGAACATAAGTGAGCTTACAATGTTGATGAAATCATGAGAAATGAAAACGGGGTCATTTGGTATCTTCTTCGAACTAGGCTAAAGGTTGGTTTCAAAAAAAAAAAAAAATTAAAACGGACTCGAAATGGTCCCGGCGGGGCTCGAACCCGCGACCTTCGGCTCATAAGACCAACGCTCTAACCAACTGAGCTACGGGACCATTTGAAAGTTTTAGAGATTATAAATAATTAATACCCTATACGTAGAGATATCCTGTTTTACTGACATTACTTGGTCAATGGAGTATTTTTAGACAAAGAACATTATAATTTTAAACATAGCAACAAAAACCACGATCCATACGCTTCATATGTAACATAGCAACAAAAACCACAATCCATACGCTTCATATGTTTTTAACTTTTAACTCATCTCTCTATTACGTATAGATTTCTATCTTTCTATTTTGTCGGATATCCCCTGACGAACATGTATATCATTATCTTACATAAACTCTTGCATATTATATCATTTTTGGGAGTCAATTCTCTTTCAATTTAATTGTAACTTTTGCATATTTGAGGCTCTTAAAAACAAATAAAAAAGGGAATCAAGTTTTGGAACGGACAATTGTGAATTGTGATAGGTATTGAAAAGAGAATCGATCGTTTGATATGATCACCATCCACCAGGCAACAAATGAAATTGAATAGTCGTTATAAAGATACTGATGTGTGTGGGTGGTGGGTCGTAAGCACCAACCAATAATTTGAATTTAATTTTATCATTTTATTCATATTTTATTGTTCATAAACACATTGTGGGGGCAACAACATTGACTTCCATGGCCTCCTAATTAGTACTTATCATAGTGCTAGACAAAATAGGCATCGGATCCTGATCGTTTTGTTGTTTTATTTTTCGCACCATATTATGGTTTTGAATTCTTGCAGTAGCATAAAAAGATGTGCAGTTAGTACGAAACAAACAAATGAAGTAAAACAAGTGAAGAGATATATCATATAGACACTAGTACACTACCAAAGCGTATACAACTTTGAAGTGAATTTAATTAAATGGCATATCGAGAAAATAAATACAAGCATATTGCAAATAGTAAAATTCGAGTCAACGACCAAAATTTTACCTACAACCAAGGCACTTTAGTATACTCTTTAGCTTTCAAGTTTTCGTTCTTGCATGATTTTGTTTTTGGTTAAAGAATTGATAACTAACACTATGTATTTGTTAATTGGAGAATTCCGGGTCGAGATCCACTATAATCTTCGGAGCATGTGAAAAATTGGAATTTTTTTGCCATTTTCTTGTTCAAAGGATTTATGTATACTATTCAAAGCATAATGACCAAAGCTAACGCTAATTTTTGTTTTCTAAACAATGCATATTGTCAAGACGTCCTGTCAATGGGCATACCATGATATTGTGTATATGCTCGAAAGGACAAATCTCTTATTGACTCTTTTAAAAAAAAAAATTATCATGGATAAAACAAATAAACAACAATACACTGATAAAATGGGGTATAAGACTATAAGTTGGGAAAAAAAGGGTATAACTATGGTCGTATCCGACTATCCGCTCATTGATGTTATAAACTTATTATGAATCAATTAGTTTTGATAAACAATGTAAAATACGTATCCGTGCTAGGTTGACCTACTGAAACCTTTTGTTTTGGTTCACTGGTTAAAATAAAAACGTTACTAGCTAAGTAGCTTGCTGCACAAATTTTTTTTTTTTTTTTTTATCTATATGTGAACCAATTATATGACCAAAAGGAAAGATTTAATTATTCTGCTTTTAAGCATTGAATTAGCTTCCTTGGCCAAACTTATTACTACAAGAAGTTTCTCTTTCTCGTAATGATCACTGAAGATTCAAAAGAGTATGGCCTGGAAAAAAAAACCTTTGGCTCGATCAGTCCCGTCCCAAATTTCATGTACCTTCTGGAGCCTGTAACAAAACAAGTACAAGGTAATTGAGATGTCTATGTGACTTCTATAATTTCACACAAAAATAACAAAATATGAAAATATAAGAAAACTTCCAAGCACACGCACGCATATGTAGTGCAGGGTGGGGCCAAATAGTTTTTATTTTTTCCATATATGGATGGTGGAGGTGTACTCGACTCTGGATTTTCAAACTTTTATGTTTGTCAGATTCCAAATAATGTCATTTCATTGATATCTATCACGCAGCACGATGGTCCATCTTTTAATAAGTATTCGGATGCGTTTCGAACGAGTGAAGTCTGAATTTTCGGAAAATTGAACGTTGTTAATTTGTTAACTAAATCATATCGAAAACGAGATCGTAATGAAATGCTTCTGATATTATGATCGAACTCGGGAAAAGTTCGAATGTGTATTCGACTTTACTCTTTACAAACATGCGATTTGATTTGATATGTTAACGACCAGCTAACAGCTACCATTATTAGTTAAGAACTAAAGCAGATGATAACACAGGCTCGAGCTAGAAAGGCTCAAAGACACATAATTTTTGGAAGGTCCGAGAATTCGTCGTTAGCGCAAGACTCATTTGGTACCAGATCGACGTATTATATATAGCTAACATGTACATCAGCTGAGATTATTAATAATACTGTAACAATGATTAGTGAAAGCAAGTAGTAATAAACCACCAACAACTAATTTTCCAAACACAAGGCGGCTTTGGATATATGCAAAACCCTGGATTTGACTATCCAAAATTTTGATTCGGAGGACTTTTGGAAGGAATTAACAAAACAGCATTTCCTTTTTTTCCTTTTTCATGGTGTTGATGTATTGGCATCTCACCACAAAAGTCTATTTTAGATATTTATCTGAGTTACCATATAAAATTCATTAAACAAGAACAACAAACAAGTTAAGTACATATAAACCAAGGAATTTTAAATTACAAGAAATTATGTTCAGATCTATATTCCATAATTGCTATTTCTTGGTTGGTTTACAATTCCAATAACTATATCAAATAATTTCCCCTAATAATAGTGGTATAGATATAATTTTTAAATTTTAAAGTTAAGAGATTTAAGCATAGGCCCACACTCGACCTAAATAGAATAGTAAAAAGTGTCAAGTGGCCTGTGAGTAGGGCCATGACCACGTGATCTAGTTTCCTGCATTTCTATTTTCCACACTTCTTTCTTCATTCTCTACTTCTTTCACAATTCACACCATTAACCCAAAACCTTCTGATTTTTCCTATAATTTTTGTCTTTGAAAATTAAATAAATAAAACCCCAAAACCTAACAAACATTCACACTCTTTATCTCTCTCATCTCTCTCTCTTTTAAAACACTAAACACTTGATTCTCCATCCGCTTTATTCTCGAAACAAACGCTAAATCAAACTCTCCCAAAGCACAAAAAACCCTAATTTTCATGGAATCGGTGGGTTCCGGGTCACAGCGACCCGAACCTGTTAACGGAGACGATCCGGGTCCGTCCCTTGCCACCGGTGCCGTAGTAACGCCATCTTCGCCGCCAGCCACGCCAAGCCGGTACGAGTCACAAAAGCGACGTGACTGGAACACGTTCTTGCAATACCTCAAGAACCACAAGCCGCCTCTCGCGTTGTCACGGTGTAGCGGAGCGCACGTGATCGAGTTCCTCAAGTACCTTGACCAGTTCGGCAAAACCAAAGTCCACGTGGCGGCTTGTCCTTACTTCGGTCATCAGCAACCTCCGTCTCCTTGCACTTGTCCTCTCAAGCAAGCTTGGGGATCTCTCGATGCTCTGATCGGACGGTTGAGAGCTGCCTACGAGGAGAACGGTGGACGGCCCGATTCAAACCCGTTCGCCGCACGTGCGGTCAGGATTTACTTGAGGGAAGTCAGAGAAAGTCAAGCTAAGGCCCGTGGGATTCCTTATGAGAAAAAGAAACGGAAACGGCCTCCGACTGTTACCACCGCTAGAGTTGACGTCGCTCCGTCGAGACAAAGTGAAGGAGACGGTTGTAACGCCGGTGCTCCGTCTGTCGCTGAGACCGTACCTCCTTAGTATAAATTATTTATATTTCTTTATATACATACATACATATTTGTATGAACTCACTTCTTCTTTTGTTCCATAGTAACTGATTATTATTATTTTCTGGTGTTGGTCGTGAATATATATTAAGACGAACAACGAAGATTTTGTTTTTAGTTAAGTGAATCTCTGATGCATTACGTTCCGGAATTTTGAATTCGTATAAATTCGCACACCACACACTTTCAAAGACTAATTAACATGCTGATTTCTTTTCGCGTAATGTATATTTTCTATATATGTATATATATTAATATGCAGATCTTGCTTTTGTGATCAAACGTCAACATCTAAACGATGATCATGAAATTGAAGTTTAGTGTTTCTTCAAGAGTTCAGGGATCAGCGAAAGGTTGTTTTCATTCATTCTGTGTGTACGCAAGAGGTATGTACGTATACCTCTTAATTATTTTGCTTGAAGATATATAATGTCTTCTCTAATAATCAAATTTTGTTTTCAAGCAAATGCATTCTGTTACATAAACGAGTGGTAGATTTTTATCTAAAATACTTTTGCTTTGAAAATTGTGTAAATAATTGCCAATAAACTATCTTTAGTTATTTTTTTGTAATGTGCAGATATTTTGGTTAGCATTTGTGTCTAGACTCATGAATAGCTAGGTGTACGTATGTGCTTTCATATACGTACACACGCACGTGTACGTAAATAACCTTGGAAAGATGGTAAAAGTCACATGAACAGAACAAGATCGTGACTCCGTGAGACGGTATTGTTTGCCACGATTTCCGACCGACACGAGGTCTCGTGTTTACTGTGTTCTTAACTTCTTATACGTGCCTAACCACACGTGTGGATGAATAGTAGCTTACGTGTTTGACAATATTTGATTTAGTCTTTAAAAACAATTTCTAGCAACTGTAATAATGTTGATTAGCTAATGGGTTTTGAATTCGTTTTCATATGAAGTGATGGTAATAAGAAAGAAGTCTTTCGGACTACAAGTTGTTTCCAGATTTCAACATCGACTTTTATTAGTTTATATGTATGATTGTCCTTTCACTTTTTTTCTAGAAGTAGTCATCAAATTTAAACCAAATATGTGATGTATGCATACAAGAAACACACCAATTTGTGTAGTTTACATATATAGTTTTACTATATATTAGTGATGTGACAGTTTTTTTGTTCGTCGCTTACAAATCCTACATACACAAATTTCATATTTAAATTTAATTCGAATTATAGTTCATGATAATACTATTATATATAAATTATTATTAAACGAATTCCGTCTAATGGACGGTATAAAGTACGAAAATTAACTTATGGGAGTATTTTTCTTTCTCGTCAGTAATGAACGTAGTTTTGGTTGACCATCATAAGAACGTATATATAATGTTCGTGACCGTTCTTAGGCCTAAGCTTGTGCATAAAAAAGTCGATGTACCCTATATATAGTTTTGGCGTTTTACATTACGAGTCTATATAATTTGAGACAGTTTTTCCCGTATTGAAGATAGCTAAGATTCGTGGTCCTTCAAAATCATTATCCAAATTTGTTTTGTTCTTAATCACCACATGGGTTTGATAAAGACGAGCCAACAGCCAAGCCATAATACTTTTATTCTGTAAGGATGTAACAAATTAGCAAAATTAGTTACATTTCGTTTTGATCGGAGACTATACCTTGGGATATTCATGGACGTTAAAGTTGATATCGCTAGATTTTCTCTGTGATATCAACAACGAAACTTTACCAACAAGTTGAATAATAAAGCTAATTTGTGATAACTATCGACTGTAATGAGACTAACCATTTACTTTTTTACCGATTCACTCGTAGGATATTTGTAGTACATTTTCACATAAATGTCGATATATTGATGATGTTATGGTCAACGTCAAAGGGAGTAGTGGGTCACGGTCCTCACGTTACTGTTCTCTCTTCAACTCTAATAAACTCTTCTCCTACTAATGATAGGTGTATGACTATTTGGATTCAACCAAACTTAATTAAATTCAAAAATATTGCCTAATTTTTTTTTAACAAAATCGTATTAGATCAAACCAGATATTGTCAGGACAACGCTTGGCTCTAATGAAGTGTACAAGTTAACCGAACAAAAACCAAAATCCAACTAACCGAATTTAACCTAATTAAAACTGAAATATCAACCATATTTAAAATGTGCCATACATCTCTCTTATTGCTTGATTTGAAAACAATTTTGTTGGTCAGCTTTCGAACTTGGATGTCTTTATCGCAAGCACGGTATGCATTTCTGTCTTTTCTTTCCCAACTAGTCTTACTACTAATAACACAAAACTTAAAAAAAGCAGTGCGATTCTTTAAAGGTCTTTCACAAGTCACAAATCACAAATCACACCCAACAAACAAACATACATTCTGATATATATGGGTATACATATTCATCAAACCTCAGAAACTAGACAACTTTTTCAAAGAGTTTTTCTTACATAGCATAAAAGAGCAAGGGGGGTGTTTATAGCAGGCCTGTAATGTCGATGTGTGACAAGAAAGAGGTTTTGATACGTTCCAACCAATCCCACATCGAAACTCCTCTCCGGCAAACCAGAGGAGAGCGTTTCACTTTCACCCTGTGACTGCTCTTGCCCGAAGAATACTTGGCGCACGCGCCCGGGACTTTATTACCTTTGTAAGCCTTGCAGATGTAGCTTACGAAGTTTTCATAATCCTACAATGAACACACAGAGAAAAGACCGAGGTAAATTCAAAGCCAAGAACCATCAAAGCACAAACACACACATACTGACAAGGGAACTTATGTTTCCATCGATCAAGGAACTTTTATTTATATATCACGAGAAAAGCAGAGCATAGTAAACGAACCTCGTAAAGTGGCTGACCATCCACGACTACCCAAGGCACGTATTCATGAGGCGGCTCAAGTGCACTCGTTTCTGCAGCATACTTCAACTCAAGCTGCACCAAGTGAACAAGATTATAAAAGGGATGGATAAACGAGTCTACGAATTATAACACATGAGCTTCAAAACAAGGACATGGTACATCGGATACAGATATCGAACTTGGAAGTGAGTTTATCGAAGTATTAACACTGCTCTAGATATCCTTCTATATTCTTTGCTCAACCAAGTGGAAAAATCGTATCATGTATTCGGTAATCTAACATTCCAATGCTATAGAGCAAATCATCAAGGAAATGTAACTTTTGACAAATTGCGGCGAAACAAACAAGAACACTTAGAAAAAACAAACAACAGGGACTAACCTTGTCTCCATGTCCACTGCTGAGGCAATCGGAAACAGGTTTTGAGTTGAGATTGAGCTTCTCATAACAAGTCTCCCACTCGTCGTACTTGTGTTGAGTCACCAAACTCTCCACACAGTAGATGAACGGGAAATGATCGCTCTGCAACCAAAAAGTGACGCCATTCGAAATGAAGTTATGGTAAAGTATTAAAATTTGTTTCACTATGTTACCAGATCTCATCATCGCACTTACCAATTTAGGCCAAGCATCGATTGCGCAAGCTTCTACGGTGTCCAAGAAGCATTCAAATGCCCCGTGCTGCAACAATTACCAAAAACAGGTTTATGTAATCGCTACAGTCATAATCTTCAGATGCTAATAGCATCTAATAAAAGCCAATTTCTCACGATTTCGTCCACGCCATGAAATTAAAGCTTAAACTAATCGAATCGGAAGCTGAAAGAGAAAAGCAAGGAAGGACCTGGCAAACGACGGTGACGTTATCGGGGCGGAGCTTGGTGTTGCCCCACGGAGAGAGATGGAGATCGACGATCGATATGAGATCATCGTCTTCGAAGAGCTTCACGAGGTGGTTGACTATGAAGGCAGAACAATACGGACATAGAGATTCATAGTAAAAGCCCAAGGAGACTTTTGGTGAGACGGACGAGGAAGATGGAAGAGATATTTCGGAAAGATCGGATGATGATGATGATGCGAAGCCGAGAAGACAAACGGAAAAGCCAAACAGAAGAAGTTTGATCGGCATCGACGCCATGGATGCAAAATGCAAGGTGTTTGTGTAATCGTAGCCTTCTCGTTCTTTGAAGACCAATCAATAAATAAATAGTTTCGGTTACATTAATATGGTACCAATTATTAAACACACGTGTAAATCCAAATGCCACATGTCTCACTGGATCGAATTGATTCTATTAAAATTCGAAACTGACTGAATGATGGTTGGACCGTCGTTAGCTTTGTAACATACGACGAGGACAAAGGAAACGCAGCCTTTGCAAATTTGAGCAAAATAGTGAAACACACAAGATCATCTAGTTTAAGTTTTGAATAAGAAACAACAAATTGTTTCTTCATAGCTTCAAAAATCAAATCAAGAGTCGACAAATTGTTAAGAAAGGGCCACTAACAAAAGACTTGCCGACAAAAAACCAGTTGATGAGCACACAAAGGTTCAAATGTTACTCGGATACATAAACACTCGAACTCGAGCTCCCTGCGAAAACAATCACAGATAATGTTAAAACCCAAACACAATCTGGAACTAGGAAAGAGGATGAGAAGAAACATATAGAGTGAGATGATTTGGATTACCATTGATTTAGGAGGCAAGTTTGAGGTGAATTTGGCTCGAACCACGCCGCTGTTACCGTGAGGCCTTGTGACTTTGCCCCAAATGCATCGGTAGTGACTACCGTTCTTCTTGGTCTTAGCCTTGTAGATGTAAGCCATTCGCTTTCCTTTGTACCATGCCACTTCTTCAGTGGTGTTAACTCCTTCGACTTGGATCAAGGACGTGTTTGGGTACTGGTTCGACTTCGACCTATTCAAATTTACCCATAAGACGTCTTTTAAGTACACAAATTCAACAAATCTATAAAACAGAAAGCAGGCCACTTTGCAACCTATATCACACACTAAGTAGTAGTTAATGCTGTTACTATTTATAAGCCAAAAACTTAATTCCCAATTGATTAAGGTAAAATTTGTCACAAGAGTGACTTTCAGGGAGAATAATAGAGAGCAAAATCATTATGTCACATTTTATACAGAATCCTGAATTTCTATCACATGGTAAAGAAAAAATTGAACAATTTTGTCGGAATTATCAGCATTTGAATCCAATAAGCAACTAATCATAAGGTGTATCAACCAGCGACACTATATGAGCCATATCAAAGATGAATTAATCAAGTAAAAGTTTAAGAAGTAAATATTAGCGCACCTTTTGTAACCAAGGATGGTTCCTCTGACATAGAGTCTGCATTACAGAAAAACAAAATTGAATGAAGCAAAAACTTAATCAAATAATACATGGAGAAAAAAGGTTATAAAAAAAAAGAAGCAAAATGATGCTGCAAATTCAGTAGCCATCCGAAGTTTATAAAGAGATTAAATCAGAGAAAATAGGAGAAATAAGAAGCATCGATGAATAACCTGACACGTTCGCCTTGACGTCCTTTCACCATTTTCTTGATTCGTCCGGTGGATGATGAAATTGGCCTTTGCCCTTCAGAAAACGGAGACAAAACTGGAAAACCCTAATAAGAGAAGTATCACGTCCAACGGCATCGTTTCAACATTAATGGGCCGAGAGTAAATATTAAAATTCATGTCTACACGTACTTACGGCCCATTTCTAATTGTTTCCTTACATTTCAAGGATTTCGTTTAAAAATTCAAATCAAACTCTGAGAACAAAAAATGGCGGACTCGATGATCGCTGATCAGAGTTATCTCTTTCTCAATCGGATACAGGGAAGAAGGTTCTTCGTTTTCTCACGATCACCTGAAAATCTCAGTTTCTCTTTTGTGCTGGCTTGAACCCATTGTGCCTTCTTCTCATTAATTTTGCAGGTTCGATGAAGAAACTCTTCGCATTCTCGAGTTTTCGCTGGTTGCGATGAATTTGAATTCGCTTTCCGAGGTTAGATCCAGATTGAGAGATTTCATGAGATCGGAATCGTCTGCCGTATTAGGTGAGCTCACCGGAGAATCCATCGTTGCAAAGCTCTCCGTACTCGAATTCTTCGCTCGCGCTTTCGCTCTTATCGGTGATATGGAGGTTCGTCCTCTGTTCATTTCGATCTGAATCAAATTCTGAAATTATCTCAGAGCTTCAGATTAGTCGTTTACCATCTTAAGAAGCTTCAGATTTGCTGATGGATTTGTGCTCTTTTCTCGGCTTGATTATCTGTATAGAGTTGTTTGGCTATGAGATATGAGGCGTTAAATTTGAGGGAGCTCAATTCCTCTAGCTGTTTGTGGCTAAGGGTTTCACATTCAGAGTGGACCAATTTTGCAGTCCAGTCGATGGAAAATGGATTCCCTTCTATTGCAGCAAAGGTAATTACTCTTCCTTCTGTAAATTATATAAGCTAGTTTCTTTTAGTAGAGAAAAATTACATTAGAGAAAGGTTTGGAGATTTTTTTAACATCCTCAAAGGAAAAGGAACTTACTGTGTGACATTGTGCTAACGTTTACGTAGGCGTCTGAAAATGCGCTATTGAGCCTTGAGAAGGATAGTTTTCTTGAACCAAAATCAGAAGAGAACTCTGAAATGTTGGATGCTGCTGAGAAAGTGAGGAGACTTAGAGATTCAGCTGCCTTCTTAACATCTGCACATTCAGGTATTTTGATTTGTTTGATGTAAATCTTGTGGTTGAAAATTTTGGTGAATGGATAGAGAGTTTAACAGAGTGATTGTTGGAATGTATCTGATTGTTCTGAGTAATTTTTTTCAATACACAAACAGTTCAGGCACAAGGTGCAGAGTACTTGAGAAGCAAGGAACTCAGGATACTAAGCAGACAGACTCGACCCGTTAAAAACTCAGACTGCACAGGTAGCAATTTGTTCAGAGATGGAATCAGTAAGCGGAATGAACGAAAGTTGCAACATCTTCGTAGCATTTAGATGTTTCGAGACCTATAACCAGTTTTTAACTTCTTTCAAAAGAAATCTATAAATCGGTTTAATGCCTAATATTCCATTAGTTTTGTTTTCACAAATGTGATTTTATTCTCAGTAGTATTAAGATATATATATATTCTCATGTAAAATCTACATGTGGTATATAAGTTTACAAGTGTTTCCATAGATATTTTGAATACTTATATATTATTATAATGCGTGGTATTTAGATTTAACAAACAAAACAATAAATGGGAAATACAATCATATATAGCTCTCTTTTAGGGACTTGGCTTCTAGTATAAAGAGAAGAAGAAAAAAAGAATTTAAATGGTCTCTGGTGAGCTCCAAAGGAGCAGTAAGAGAGGTCCCACGAATGGGTTCCAAGCTGGACTCTCAAAGCCAATCATCTTGGGATTATGCCGTCACTTTTGGGATAAGATGCCACGTCGTATCGATTACATTTCAAATAAAAGTACTAAATAAATAGTCTATATAATGTTTCGTATGATGACCGATAGACAGAGGAAAAAAAAACAGAGAAAAGATAAGGCATATATGGATACACTAAGGTTACCAAAGAAAGAAGAACAAGAAGAAACAGAGGTTAATCATCAACCTTCTTCAACCTTCGAGTCCATTAATGCTTTCTCTCAAGACCAACACAACCATTCTATTGATGATTTCGACGGCATTTTTGACATCACCATTGACGGTTTAAGCTGCTCTCATGAAGTCACATGGGACTTCTGGGAAGAAGAAGATGAAGACGACGAAGAAGAAAAGAGAGTGAGTACTGATCAAGAAGGCTCAAGTTTCGGATTATGGGACAATATGTCGACGGATTATGAAGAAAAAGAGTTGAGCCTCAAGCTGAATCTTAACCATCAAGAAGTTATTGAAGCTTGGTCTGATCGCCAGCAACCTCTGTGGACAGACACTGCAATGCTAATGGCTCCGGCCAGTGCCCTTTATGTTAGTTAGTGTGAATGTTTTACTTGTTGTTCAAGTTATGATGATAAGTGATTATTTGATATATATCAATTAGTATTAATGATTCAGAGTTTATTCAGAGAGGAGAAGTGCCGGTGATGGATGAAGAGAGGAACACAAGAAGAGAAGCGAGTGTGTTAAGGTACAAAGAGAAGAGACAGAGTAGGCTCTTCTCTAAGAAGATAAGGTACCAAGTTCGAAAACTCAACGCTGATAAACGACCTCGTTTTAAGGTAAAACGTCTCTTTCTCTCTTATTACTTCTCTTTGCATATTAGCCTAAACTCATTTCTAATTATAGTTATCTATTTTCGTAAAAGTGCTATGGAACCCTAAACACTGTTTTTCTTATGTAATTAATTACATTGCCATTGATTTCATTTGAATTATTTGTAGGGTCGATTCGTGAAAAGGGAGACTTAAAAGGGGGAAAAATATCTGGAAGACAAATATCTCCAGCCTTCGCTGTGTCTTTGTATTTGTTTATCATACTTTCTGAGATATCATTATCGACATTTACAACTTGGTCAAATTGAAATGAAAAATATCTTCTTGACGACAAAAACAAAAAACAAAAAGAAAGAGAGATGCAAAAATATCTTTTGAGTAAAGGAGTTGAAGATTGCATGAAGAGGACGTATATGGCAAGTCTTTGTCGAATTGGTGGGCCCTGAGGCTAAAAAGGGTTCACCACATGTTTAAATCGATAACTAACCGATCGTTGTCGGGACCACACTATGTATCAACATAAACATCATTTTATAGCGATAAGAGTGATAGTCACTGAATGACATTGCTCCTTTATAACAAGAGTTAGTTGTCAAAGTGCCCGACTAATACAAAATGTTTTGAATGTGTTTTTTTTTTTTATGATTTTTTAACTGTAACGCTTAATATCAAATTCTAAAACTACCTTAACTATTATAAAACTCAATCATTAGTCCACTACCATAAAATCAGATACCTCCAAGAAAAGTACTAGAAAATGATTCCATATCCTTTCAATAATTTGACGAAATTGAAGCTGAACGATCCATATAGTTGACAAACAAATGTTTTTTTTTTAAGAAACCTGAAACTTATGAAGAAAATGTTATGACATCGTAAGCTTCGTCCATCTACATGACCTTCCTTTTATCCCACTTGGGAATGTTGGGGTCGAGCCTCGTGTGGCGTACGTAGTCACTTGTCCAAACGCAATTTGGCAAATGGTATGACATACTTTAATTATCAAACCTTTAGATTTTTTGTTGTTGTTTGGTCAAACTCTTAATTCCATTAAACTATGCTTGGGTGTTTACATAAACTGCAAGGAATTAACTAACCATCCTCTTTCAAAGTACATATAAGTAGTGTGAATCCAAAACCCATTAACACTATAAAAGCCCAAACTATAAATGATAGATCCATCACAAAATAGGTCCACCTTTGTATAAATTGGTGAGGGACCATCGTATGATTTGTCGAAAGTCGCTGTTACGCATCAGCCAGAAACCAAACCTCGTAATGTCGTATGGTTTATTGATTTCTAAAAAGGTAACGAATGATCTAACCTCAATGTCAAAGGATAACAAAAAATATTCAAATGACGATATCGCCACATCAGATGATAAACTCTACTATAGACAGATGTATATACATTTGATACGACACGACTCTGTTGAGAGAAGACAACACGGAACTTCTCTCTCTCTCAATCGTCCTCCATCAAAATCAGTCAGTATAAGATGGGAGCTTTCTCAGTTTCAAACGCTTTCCGGCGTAAAAACCAAGGAATCTCCACTATGATCTCTCTTTCCTCATCGGCCATCAAAGCGTCTCTGGACCACTCTGTTCCTGCTTCATTTCCCCCTCTCCGACTACGCTCACCACTTTCTCTTTCCTCCTCTTCTGGATCTCCGATTCGGCTTCCCAAGCGCGATCTCTCCGTCGTCTCTGCTTCTGTAGGAGCCTCGATGTCAACAAATAATAATCATTCTCGCGGATTGTCTTCTCAGGTCCGTTCTTTTGTTTATCTATCTCTAATCGTAATCAAGACGATGACAAATTTTGCTCACAGTGCCACATTTGATTTATTTTTCGCATTAGTTCTTCTTAATTTTGCTGATTGTTTGGTTTCCCAGGTAGGTGAATCTTTCTTCAGGAGCGTGTTAGGGCAGATGGAAACGGTTTACCTAAACCGAAACCCGACGCCTAAATCCGTCTTGGAACTTGTCAAATCCGTTGACAACGAACAGCTTTGCTATGATCATCTCGCTTTCAGGACTTTCGGGGTATCATTTCTTTGAGTCCCCTTTTTCAAACAACTTTGGAGGTTTAATAAATCAAAGTTAAGTTAACTCATTTGTTGGAGACTTTTAATGGAAATGTGTTAGATTGGTGGTTATGGGATTGATTCGCTTGCAAGCTTTTTCCTAGACCATGGATATACTCAAATGGATGAGCTGAGATTTCCGGCCAAAAAGCTGAGAGCTTTGTGGTTTGCTCCTCCTAAAGTTTCTGCTATTCCTGATGGAAGCGGCGTTAACGGTCCTTTGCCAAGAGTTTTTATATCAGAGCTCCTTGTGGAACAGATGACTTCACAGACTCAGGTATGTATCTGTAGACCTATCATAGACTCAGGTTTGACCCTTTGTGTATGAGCTTTGAAGACAATGTTTCTCTTGTTTCCAGGATGTGATCAGAAAATACACACAAGCAGCACCGAATGGGAAAAAGTATGGTGCTCTTTCTAGTGCTTTAGGTACTTTGCCCTGGGAAAAGCCTCTTTCTTCTGAGTTTGAGCAATTGGCTAGGTACATTCATGGTCTTGTTCTCCTGGTTTTTGGCAAATCAAGCCAGAGCATATTGATTCCTAATTGAAGGTGTGTTTGGTTGATTTGATGTACAGGGAAAGTGAATACGCAGCATGGACTCTTGCTAATGGCTATGCACTTAACCACGTCACCATTTCTGTTCACCGGCTTAAATCTCATCTAAACAGAATTAAGAAGCTCAATCAGTTTCTAGAAGAGAAAGGTTTTAAATTGAACTCAGAAGGAGGAGTGCTTAAAGGTATAGTATCATTACAAGCTGACAGCATAGAAGAAAAGAGGGTTTTTAAGAAAATTGGGACTGACACATATTATTCATTTTCTCAGTTAGCCCTGATGGTGGTTTGTTACAAAGCTCAACTGTAGCAGATTCAATTTCTTTCAAGTTCTCTGATGGTGTCATCAAATCTATCCCTTGTTCATACATTGAGTTTGCTGAACGCCTTGTGCTTCCCCAGTTCCAAAATGTACCCGAAGGCGAGGTGAGTGACAGTTTCTGAATGAATCTCAACTCATTTATGATTCAATGTGATTTGTTGCTTGGTTTGCTTCCCATTGCCTAGAGAATTCTTCTAAGTTGCTATGATAATGTAAAGCTGATTCAAGTTGTTGTAACAACATTGTAAACTGACACTCTTGAAACCTTGAAAACGCAGATAGAAGAGTATCATCGACGAGATGGATTTGAGGTTGGAAATGCTGACAAGATCTTCGAGAGCACAAATCAGGAGCAGCTTTCCCGTCGAACCGGCTGATGGCCAATCATGCTTCCTCGTACATATGTAGAGAATAAGTGCTGCAACTGTTTGTAATGTTGTTAATCATTATATGCAAAGTAATAAAAAAGAGGACTAAACGCTAATGCAAACGCTCTCAATCACATAATGTATTTCGTGTGTAAATCAGTAAATATACTAATGCAAAAACTCTTTAATCATTCATAGAATCCGAGTTTAATTTCTATGAATGTACACATTGTTAGCATATGATCAAGTAAACCGAAATGGCCTAACTTGGGAAAATAAACATCAGTGAATGAGTCATTATCTCAATACTCTCTCTACCTAACGCATCGACAAAACATTAACATTTACAGAAAACATTTCGTGTTGGGTAGTGACGAGGGTCAACACAAATTATAAAGGCCAAAACTTTATAGAATTCCGGTTAGAATTCTCCACCTGAGAACATTCAACAAACCTTTGTCATCAAGGATTTTCTAAACCCAGATAAAAAAAAAAAAGAGGAAACGGGAGATAATGTAATCCACGACAAAACACGAACTCTCCATTACGCCTGTGTAATCGCCGTTTCTCTTGTTCTGTTATTCACATTCCGATTTGGAATCATTTCTCCAGCCATTCCGGAAACCCTACTTTCACTGTCTCTCCGCCGCCGACTGCCAAGGGCTTCCCGATCTACGGTCGAATCCCTTTATGGCTACGGAGGCTTCCACCGCATCCAAATTCCAGGAGCCAGAGCTCCGACCTGTCTCTCAGACACCTGATTTTCGACCGGAAATCGCTCATGACGGCCTCCGGTTCTGGCAATTCATGGTCGCGGGCTCGATTGCTGGTTCCGTCGAGCATATGGCGATGTTTCCCGTCGACACCGTGAAGACCCATATGCAAGCGCTCCGACCCTGTCCGTTGAAACCCGTCGGAATCCGGCAGGCTTTCCGTTCAATTATTCAAAAGGAAGGACCTTCAGCACTGTACCGCGGGATTTGGGCTATGGGTCTCGGCGCCGGACCAGCTCACGCCGTTTATTTCTCCTTCTACGAGGTATCTAAAAAGTACTTATCCGGCGGAGATCCGAACAATTCCGCCGCGCATGCGATCTCCGGCGTCTTCGCGACTGTTTCAAGCGACGCCGTTTTCACTCCCATGGATATGGTGAAGCAGAGGCTGCAGATGGGGGAAGGGACTTACAAAGGCGTCTGGGATTGCGTCAAGAGGGTCATGCGCGAGGAAGGTATCGGAGCTTTCTACGCTTCTTACAGGACGACGGTTCTGATGAACGCGCCTTTTACAGCCGTTCACTTCGCGACGTACGAGGCAGCCAAGAAGGCATTGATGGAGGTCTCGCCGGAAAGAGTCAGCGACGAGGAAGGTTGGTTGGTCCATGCCACTGCAGGAGCAGCCGCTGGTGGATTGGCGGCTGCTGTGACTACGCCGCTTGACGTTGTCAAGACGCAGTTGCAATGTCAGGTAAATGAATCCTTTGATTGTTCTTTATCTCTCATATCTACAGCTTTGGGTTGAATAGTGGAGGCAATGTGATTAGATAGATTACACAGTGGTTTTAATGAGGAACGATAGATATAAGATGCTATGCGTCTTGATAGTTGATGTGCATTGCTGCAGCTTCAGATTTTGGTGTTAGTCACGAAACTCAATACTTGTGCATAGGTCAAAGGCTTGATAGATGGACTTGCTGTCTTCTGTGAATAATGATTTGTGAAATTTGAACTAGATGTCTTTTGCAAGACTTTTATCGACACTAACATAGAGATTAAGGAACAGCAATGCCATGATTAGTTGGGTCCATGTTTCTTTGCTTTTAAAAATAGCTTAAATGGTCTCAATCATATGTTGGTGATGTGCAGGGTGTCTGTGGATGCGACCGTTTCACTAGCAGTTCGATTAGCGATGTACTGAGAACGATTGTGAAAAAGGACGGATACAGAGGACTTCTAAGGGGATGGCTCCCGAGAATGCTGTTCCATGCTCCAGCAGCAGCAATCTGTTGGTCCACTTATGAAGGGGTCAAATCTTTCTTTCAGGACTTAAATGGCGATTCAAACACTGCGTGAGAAATAGGCAAAAGGGTTTGGCGATTCACACTCTTGAGGATCTTGTTTGTTTTTTTTTTGTTTGTAAAATGGTTTTGTCAGGTTTTCATTTTAGATTATTTATTTGTGTTGATGAATGATGATGCTGTCGTCGAGAAATTTTGAGAAAAGAGTTGTAGAAAATTGTGTTACTTCCAAAACTTCTAATAATAACTTAACAAAATATACATGTATAGGAATTAGACTTTCCAACGATCCACACAATACTGGACGTGCCTGCTCTACACCGAGATGAAAGAACAAGTAGACAATTTAGATGTATTGGAAGATACCGTGATATTGATAATATATTTTAATTTTGCTAAACGAACAAGAAGCACCAAGTGGTAGAATAGTACCCTGCCACGGTACAACCCGGTTTCGATTCTCGGATGGTGCTTTGAGCGATGATGAAAATGGTGTAGCGATGTTTGGTCATTCGCATTCATCTGACTTTCGGATGAAAAAACCACACTGCTGAGCTCTTTTCTTTTTTTTGTTTTAATTACTAATTCGGATACTTGATCTTGATCAGATAACCAAACTCTTGCTAGTTCAAATATATATTGTTGATTTTGTTTTTTGTTTTTGTTTTTTAGTTACTAATTCGGATACTTGATCAGATAACCAAACTGTTGCTAGTTCAAATATATATTGTTTGATTGGGGCTTTCTAGAGTGGAGTGAAGTACAAGCAATTATAAGATACGTTAAATTGTGTTTGGTTGATTTAACATAAGTAAGTTACACACACATGTAACGCTCAATTAGAGTTGATGGCTCACTTAATTATGTTTTTTTTGGGGGGACAAAATCCAGCATAATTATGGCTCACTTAATTATATAAGAAGAACTTCATTATCCAGCATAATTATCAATTTGAAAAAGAAAAAAGTTACTTCCAACACCAAATAATATTTGATTACTTAGTTAAACAAAGAAACAACATCACATAACTTAGTATTCAAACTAATACTTAATGGAACGAGCTACACTCTCTCATTTTTTGTTAAAAGAAGAAATTCACTCTCACTCTCAAGATCTTCAAAAATTGAATAGATCTTGTCAAATTTCTCCATGGCTCTCTCTATGGTGTCAATGACATCTTGGAATTGGTAGGGCAAAGAAGCAACCTATAAAAGTCATTGACAAAATCAAAGAATGAAAATGAGAAGAAGAACTAAAAAAATAAACAAAAGAAAACAACAAATAACATAGAAAAATGAAAACTTACATCATTGACAAAGTTGGTGTATTTTTGCAAAGCTTCTTCTATCTCCATGAGTCTTTCAGTCCTTCTACCCATTTCTAGTCTCAATTTGCTTTCACTAACAATTTTTCTTCCAAACGTCATGCAAGTTCTTTTTCTTGTGTCCAAGTTTTGTACATTGCTTAGATCCAAACCAAAAGAAAACATTCCAACGTAATAGTTATACAAGAAGAACTTCAATATCCAACATAATTATCAATTTGAAAAGAAAATATTTCCAACACAACTGATATTTGATTAGTTAGTTAAACAAAGAAACAACATGAGATAATTTGAAATTCAAACTAATACTTTAATGAAACAAGCAACACTCTTTTTTTTATAGAAAAAAACAAGCTAAACTTCATAATAAAACATATTTATTCTTACTCATCATGTTTATCCACTCCTCATCATCAATATCTTCATCGTTGATTGTTTTCACAACCAATTTACTTATCAGTTATCACTCTCAGTCTCACTCTCAAGATCCTCATAAATTGGAGAAATTTAAATTTAGCTCTATTTAAGTAGATATTATAAATTTAAATTTAGATGGCACAACAAGAAGCACCAGTGGTCTAGTGGTAGAATAGTACCCTGCCACGGTACAGACCCGGGTTCGATTCCCGGCTGGTGCATTGAGCGATGATGATAACGGTGTAGCGATGCTTGGTCATTCGCATTCATCTGACTCCAGATGATAAAGCCACACTTCTGAGCTCTCTTTTTTTATTTTTTTAATTGACTAATCAGAATTTCGTAAAATTCGGATACTTGATCAGATCTTTGATTGTTCAGATTATTTGTCTAATTGAATTCCAAACGTTACGACTCTGTTTAGATTTGTTTTTGGGCTCAGTTGTCTTGCTCTTAGATCCGAGTCAACTCAGTGTAACACCACTTTATCGCCTTCTCTCTCGCTCCAGGCGATCTCACATGGAAGGTTCGTCTCTCCTCTTCCTTCTGCTTACTTCTGTTCGCCCTCTCTCTCTTCCTCTAAGCTTTTTGAATTGGGATCTGCTTAACTGGTAGCTCGACGGATTATTTGCAGAGAACAACAACGCGAGCGGATTATTTGCCGAGAACAACGCCGGGAGCGACTCAGACTCCAATTCCGTCGAAGATCCGCAGGACTATTACGAGCCGATCTCAGCCGTTGATCTAGACGGCGGAGAGGACGACGAGGAAGACAATTGTCATCCAATCAGTGGAGATGGCTTCAGCAACGGCCTCTCTAACGGCCATTGTATGATCCCGGAAGCAGCAGACGGAGAAGGAATCTCTTCTATCACCTTAAACGGACACGCAGAGCCGAAGAGTGAGGGGGAAGAAGATACAGAAACAGAGACGCCGGAATCGGAGATCCGCACAGCGTTTGAGGAGGACGAACGGCGTAGAAGATCGCCGTTAGTGGTGGAGAATGCGGCTAGGGTTATGGAGGCAATGCGCGCAATCCCGTTCCCTGGAACAGCTCCTGATTGGGCCTCCGATGTTAATGAGGATCGTTGGGTTGATCAGCTTCGAAGATTGAGATCCACTTCTCAAACTCAATAGTTTATTTCCTCCAAGTGTTTAAGCTCTCTTAGAATTGTTTCTGGAAAAACATTCAGATCTCTGTGGAGTTTCGTTCACCAATATTGAGTGTTGCCTTCGGTGGAAAGTTTGGATAATTTGGCTACTAATCATCACAAAATCCACATTTCGTTGGTGATAGAATGTTATCCATTTATATTAACCTATCTCCAAAAGGTTATAACCAGTGTTTTGCTATACAAACCTTGTGTACTTGATGAGTAACTTATGTTTCTGATGATTCATATACATATATATACACATGTATACATACATAAGAGTTCAAAGTTTGGTGTCACTCAGCTGCATCCTTCTCTCATCTGGGTTTTGTTTGCTGCTTTTTAGTTGATTCTGATAAAACGGTGTGTGACTGTGTGGTTCTTGTCTTGGAAAAAGCTTTTTAGATGTAATCTGCAACCTGAAGTTCATGAAGTCTGTCCCGGTTGCTCCTTATAACTCTGGCTTTGTCCCCTCTTATCTCCAGAACCTGAAGAAACAACAACAGAGTCATCATCTCTGAAGAATATATGTAGCAAAGACATATAAAAGCGACTAATGAAAAGCCAAGTTTGTTAAATACCTCTGGTCTAGAGTCAAGAACACCACTGGACATTCCCACATCAACTCTCCATATGCCGCAACCATATTCACTAACAAGATAAGACCCATTTCATTATAGTGTTGTATAGATCTTGTGATTAATAGATCTTATGGGAGTGACTTTTGATAAATTTACCAGTTAACGCCTGATAACTGGGGAGTATGCCCGACCACCATCGCCTTGGCACCGACAGCTTCAAGTGTTTGTTGGAGAATTGTACTAATCTGATTAGAAAAGAAGTCAGGGAAAGACATTAGTCCAAGCCAATGAGATGATATCTCTGTTAGCAGTTTTGAGAATTTTGGCGATTTCAAATTCAACTTGCCTGGTCAATTTGATAGTCGTCAAGATCAGAGGTCTCTCTTGAGTAAAGTCTGCTCCAGACCACACTGTCATAACCCCGAGTGGCTATGAACGGCATCTGAGGACTGTCTTCATAGTCGTCGGCAGAGCTTCTCATCCAAGTAGAGACTTCTCTGTTTATCCTCTCTACGCCGTATGCAACTGTGCAAAGTACATAACAAGGAGGGGAAGGATGTCAAAACATCTCTCAACGTCAATAGGAAATGTGAAGATAAGACTGATAATCTATTACCATGGTGAGGAAGGAGACCACCGTGGCAGAAAACCCAGTTATTAACACGCAAGATCACTCCATGACGCGACAACTCACATGCTAATCGACCACCTGGTCTGAAAAGAACCGATCTTGCAATCACTCCCTTTTGCCTCTGTCCTAAGAGAATTCCAACGACTTTTGGTTTAACTGACAAAATAAAGAACTTAGAAGACTCATACAGAGCACAGCAAATTGAAGTACCTTTACTACATTCCATTGATCCCAGTAAGTTTGAGAGTTTCTCCTATCTTCTTTCCACTGTCTCGACTCAAAAATCCAATTTTTGAACGCTTTGTCCCAGTTTTGTCCATAGTCTTCCAAGTAGTCAAGAAAGTCTGTACACTCATCAAATGCTCTCGCATCTACGTATCTGTAATCTCCTTCAACATTCATCGTCTCATGGTTCCCATTAACCTTTAACATAAGGACAATTTAATTTCTCTGTGTTAGTCCTATCTATTAATCATTCTAGCTACCTAGTAAATTAATACTCTATACTAAGTGTGAAAGCAATCAAAACCTGGAAAACAGCTCCACCGTTAGCTTTCGCCTGATCATCAAGTGACCTCAATAAGGAGAGTATTGCAATTTCATCATCGCCGCGATCCAGTATATCTCCTACCTGAACTAGTACCTGCATTTATTTCATTTCATTTATAGATTTCACATAAGTTGGATTTAACTCTTAAGGACTTAAAGTCATTAAGATATAAAGCAAATCAAAATCAGTTTCAAAATGCACAATATTGAGCTAAAGAGCAGATACTGTCAAGAGATTGCTTTCAACATAAGCGTTATCTGTACCAATGTAACAGAAAGTGAAACTCCGAATTCAAACTCAGTTTCAATCGTTGAATTAGTGTCACAGAAACTAAGATTATGTCCCAGTAAATGATGATAATAAAAGGGGACATTACAGTGTCTTCGCCGATCCAGTGGTCTAGTCCGTCGGAGCTTAAGACTCCGGCAATCTGAAGCGCATCTCTTGCTTTACTCAGATCGCCGTGAAGATCTCCAACTATGCATACCATAAGAAAACCCAGTAAATAGAAAATTTCACTCAATTTTTACCGAAAAGATTGGATTTTTGTGAGGTTTAGGCTGGCAAACCTGCGATGATACGGCGAGCAGGGGCAGAGACGAAAGTGGGTGGATCTCCATTGACGACGATTGGCTTCAGAGCTACTTCGTTGCAATTGGAAGTGCTCAGCGAAGAGGATGAAGAAGATTCTAGAAGTTTCTGAGGGTGAGAAGAAGGAGGAAGCGGAAGTAAGGAATTGAGGTATAAGGAAGCCATCGGTGGTGGAGGATGAGCGATGATCCACCAGAGTTTTGTAGAAATGTCTTAACATTTGTGTCCGTCGTCTGGACTGAAATTTGTGTGACTTGTCTGCAAATGCATGCCAAGTAATCCTTCTATCTACTGGCTGAGAATTCTCCTCTGTTATATTGGAAATAATAATTTTTTTCTTTTCTTAAAAAAATAAATTAAATAAATATAAGAGGAAGTGAGGAACCACAAGTTTATCTTCTTTTTATCACTTTTGATAAAACACACTATAGTACATTCAACAGATGCATAAAGCTTTATGACAGAAAGACCCACAAAACCCAAAACGAGACAAACATGAGATATTTTAGATCGAGTGAGGAACCAAACGACCGCATTTGGCATCTTGGGAGATCCAACGGCGGAGGCTTCACCGACTCGAGCGGTCCATCTCCATTCTCGACTAGGAAAACCATCGCCAGACCCCATCCTAGATGCGACTCAATGTGACAGTGCATAAACCAAGCTCCTTTAGTGTTATCAAAGCAAACATTGTCAGTAATAAAAGTGGAGTAAATATGTGAGTTATATCGTCCAATCAAAGATTAGTTCACCTGGATTATCAGCAACGAACCGGATGGCCACCCATCCACCGGGAGGGTTTCCGATGGTATTTCTCTCCGGTGGGTCAAAGAGATTGAACCTAGCCGGATCTCTCTTCGGGTTAAAATTCCCTAAACCGGACCCGACAACGTAGAACTGGTATCCGTGTAGATGCATAGGATGGCTCTCGGGGGTAACAATGCTCGTGCCTTGCAACACAATCTGCACATTGGCGTTATACTTAAGCTTGTAGGCTTTTGTTGCCTTTACCGGTTGCCAAAGCCCACGGTTCACGTTTCTTGTATAATCAAATTCAGCCGCAACCTGCGGGAAATCCGCTGTTATGATCCCGGAGATTTCTTGGTAATAGGCTTGCATGACAGAGTAACTCTGAGGTATGACGAACGAGACGTTGTTCATGCTTGCAGCGAACCGCGTCCCGTTTGGTCCCTGGCATCGCTGACTTCTTGGGTTGGGACAGTTTATCAGCCCCAAACCGACCGTGAAAAACAAATCTTCATCGATATGGAGTGGTACCGGAGCTCTCTTCCAGTACCGCATGCGTTTGGCAAAAGCGATTGCGGTAGCGGTGTCATTGAACTCTGGCAAGACCGGGAAAACCGGTTTGATCTGACCGCGTCTACTAGGAGCGTTTGCGTTAGCGTATTCTAAAATAGCGGTTGCGGTGGTGTTGTTAAAGGGAGCATTTCCACTATCGTAGGCACGTGCGGCGATGTAGTATTGGGCGGGGCGTTGGTTAGCGGTTATAAGGACGTTTGTGGTCTGGCCTGGAGCGATCATGACAACGTTTGTGGTGAAAGGCTTAGTGTAAGCGGAATCTACCTCAACTACGGTGAGCTGGTGGTTTGCGACCGCAAAGAAGAGCTTTTGGTTTATGGCAGCGTTGATGAGACGTAGCTGGACCGTCTCACCAGGGAAAATAGAGAACCGGACGGTCTCGGGTCCGGAGCAACGGTAGAGATCCCCCGGTTGGCCGTTGATGGTGTGAGCGTCTGAGACCTTTGGTGCTGCTCCAGTGAGTTGGGCTAGCCTCAGAACATCCGTAGGGTTTCCATCCCACCATTCCCCTGTTCTCTTGAAAAACGAATTAATACTTGTTCAAAACATTTTAAACAAATGGATATAAATATTCTGAAAGTGTTTTTTACATTACCGAGAAGAATTAGAATGTCACGTTTGGGCATAGAGAAAGGGTAAGGAAAACTGAGACGAGGATGAATGATGAAAGCTCCATAGACGGTGGCTCGAAGCCAACCGCTGTGTGCGTGCCACCAAAGTGTGCCTTCTTCGTCTTCGATCTTGATTTTGTATGTATACCTTTGTCCCGGTTGGATTGGACACTGAGTTATGTACTCTGGTCCATCAGCCCACGGGTTACGCAGCTGTCGGATTCCATGCCTGTCCCCAAAAGCAGAGCATATGTCATATTGTTTATTTTTTTTCGTTTACCAAAAATGCTGATTGGATTACTATTTTACCAGTGGATGCTAATGGCGTAACGAGCTTTGTTAACGACGGTGATGGCGAGAGAGTCTCCATTTCTCACCTCTAGGGTTGGACCAGGAAACTGACCATTGACGGTGATGGTTTGGTGAGTTATGCACAGCCTCCTCACTGGCTTTGCCTCTATCTATGTCATTGATATAACGTTAATTTAAACATCAACTTGAAAGAGATATTAATCAAGTGAAGGAGACTTAACTTACGATGAATTCATGGACGTGAAGTTTGGCGGAAGCAAGAAAAGTATAGCAAACTAGAAGGAAAATGAAAGATAGACCGGAGACTTGGCGAAGACTCTTTGGAGAGTGAGACTCCATTAGTGTCCAAGTGTTATAGGGGAGAAAGATTAGATGTAGAAAGTGAAGCTTGTATGTGGTTCAGAGTCAGGCGGTAGCAACAATGTTCATCAGAAAATTTGTTGATTTGGTGCACTCACTAGACTAGTTTTGCACTAGATTCTCTAACTACTAATCACTATCTAACTATTATGGATTGTATATGATAAGAGACTGAATAAATCTACCCGCAAAATGTATTTATCTAAAAAACTTTACACAAAAATGTAATATTTGCTGGAAATCTCCAACTTAAAATAATGTATCCATCTAAAACACAAGTTCTTTGTGAGAATCCAAAACTAATAGATGTCCGTTGGGCCAATTCACCGACGCGAAAATTCAACGTGGTGTAGTCTCATTATGCAACGCTGACTTGGGGCTAAGTACTAAACAAACGCAGAACGCGGTTGGTGAAATGCGTTCACGTTCTGAAAACGTCAAACCATACGAGTACAAAAATAAATAATTTCAAGCAAGACTGTATTTTAATGGAAGCTGCTAATTTATAACAGAAACACACAAGTCAGACATGCTTCCCGCGTCTGATCTTTATTCTTCTACCGAAGACTTCTCCATATTATAGTCTTCCTCTAATACAGAGTTTCGGCTTTATTCCCCGTAATTCCCTCCATAAATTAATATGGCTGAAGCCGGCGACGAGAATCTTTACGCAGCCGCCAGAGACATCGCCAGAGCTCTTGGAAAGGACCCAAGCGCCGCCGGAGATATTTTGCAGATCCTATCCGGCTATGGCGCCTCCGGAAACCGCGGCGGCGACTCCCGACCCACAGCATCCCGCGGTGGCTCTAACCTCAACCTTGACCGATCCCTCAACTCCTTGGAGCGACAGATCTCCGGCTACATCGTGGAGGATGCACCGATCTGGTCCGATCCCGTTGACTCGCGGACTTTCCTCGACGCCGTCGATGAGCTACTTGCGATCGCCGGAGACTTGAGATCCATGGCCGGGGATAAATCCGCCGCCGTCTGTATGTCTCGTGCCGATGTGCTGATTCAACAAGTGATGTTTAGGCTTCAGGAGGAGTTTGAATATGTAATGGACCGATCCCCTGAGTCGTTTGACTCCGACGACGAGTTCGCAGGGGAAGAAGACAACTACGGTGACCAAAGCCACCAGGTAATTAAATTGCTAATTCCGTTTACAAGCTTTTGGTTTACTGCAATTCGGATTGGTTTGATTTTTATCAATTATAATTTGATTTGGTTCGGTTTAAATGTAAGAATTACACACGAATTAAAAATTTAATTGGGTTCATTTGGTTCCATTTGGTTTTGTTAGAGTGGATTTTGGTTCCTTTTTTGGTTAAACAATAAAACCAATCTGGTTATGAATCCGGTTTGATTTCGGGATTATTCGGTTTAGAGTTGATTCGGTACGAAACTGAAATGGAATGATGTAAATATCAACAGGTAATCGTTGCCCATCCAGTGACCGATTACAAGATCGTGATTGAGGCGTTACCATCGAGCACAGTCGGCGATCTAAACGCGATCGCTCTGCGGATGGTCGCCGGTGGATTCGGAAAAGAGTGTTCACGAGTGTACAGCAGCCGACGGAGAGAGTTTCTAGAGGAGAGTTTGTCGAGGTTGCATCTGAGAGGACTAACGATGGAGGAAGTACAAGACACTCCATGGCAAGAACTTGAAGACGAAATCGACCGTTGGATCAAAGCCGCAGCTATGGTGTTCCGTGTTTTCTTCCCGAGCGAGCGTCTTCTCTGCGATCGCGTTTTCTCTGATCTTCCTGTTTCCTCTGTGACAGATCTCTCTTTCATGGAAGTTTGCCGCGGAACAACCACACAGCTTCTGAATTTCGCAGACGCAATCGCTTTAGGGAGCCGTTTGCCTGAACGCTTGTTCAAGGTTATGGATTTGTACGAGGCGATTCAAGACCTAATTCCCAAAATGGAAATGTTGTTCTCCAATAAATACTGTTCGCCGCTAAGGCACGAGGCGGTCGCGATTCATAAACGGTTAGGAGAAGCGGTTAGAGGGATATTTATGGAGCTTGAGAATTTGATCCGTCGTGACCCTCCCAAAACCGCGTTTCCTGGCGGTGGGATTCATCCGATCACGCGGTACGTGATGAATTATCTGCGTGCGGCGTGTAAATCGCGGCAGTCGTTGGAGCAGATACTTGACCAGACCGGGAACGAAACCGGATCGGACACAAGACCTTTGTCCGTGCAAATCAGATGGGTTTTGGAGTTGTTGGAGAGTAACTTGGACGGCAAGAAAAGAACTTACCGCGATCCGTCTTTGTGTTTCTTGTTCATGCTGAACAATGGAAAGTATATTCTTGATAAGGCTTCGGACAACGAGCTCGGTTCGATCCTAGGAGATGATTGGAATGTGAAGCATGCGGCGAAACTTAGGCAATACCATTCTAATTACCGAAGGAGCTCGTGGAACCAAGTGGTGGGATTGCTTAGGACGGATGCTCCTTATCATACGTTAATAGAGAATCTTAGATTGTTCAATGCCCGGTTCCGTGAAGTGTGTGTGATGCAGTCTCAATGGGTTGTTACTGATGGAGAACTGAGAGAGGAATTGAGAAGCTCCATTGCTAAAATTGTGTCTCCAGCGTACTCTGATTTCATCGGAATATTGAAGGCTTCGCCGGGGACTAATGGGATTGTGTATACTGTTGATATTTTGGAGATGAAGATTAACGAGTTGTTCAAGGAAAGCTCAAGTTGATTCAACTAAATATATTTGAAAAACTAAGATATTGTAAAATTTGTGAATCCTGTTAAATAAATATATTTTGGGTGAATTGTCATGGATCGGTCGTCGGCGAAATCTTTGTTGTTGTTGTTGTTCTTCTTCGTTGCTTTGTACGTAAACTTCATTTATTGTTCGAGTTAATGATGATGATACTGACTTATTGACTTGTCCAACAATAATGTCTATATGAGTTGATTACTGTGAACAAATGCATGCATATCTTTTCAAATAGAGTTATCATAATGGTCCCTTTTGATAACTCTCCGATTTTAAATCGGCATGATGATATACGACTGTGAAAATAATACAAATCACTAAACTATACAAGAACTCGATCCATAGTTATGAGTTATAAATTGAATTTAAAAGTGGCAATATACATCATAGCTTAATCAGATGTGATGAACCTAGGGACTACTAATACATGAATCACATAACCAGTAAACACTTCGTAGTTGAGAGTTTTACTGATCAAGAAGCTTGGATATGGAAGAGTAGATAGAACCAGAGAGGTGGTTGTAGGTAGCGAGGGAAGGGTGAATAGAGTCAAAGAACATATACTCAGAGTGATTGGAACGTAACTTAGAACGGGAATTGCACGAGTCACTCGTCTCAAGAAGCCCTGTCCCGCAACACCCTTTCTTCGTTTCCGTAAACCCTATAAGTGAATGAAAGTCCAAAGAAGTCAAGCCGCTAGGGACATGACTTGGGAAAGAAGCAAATGAATCATATATATATAAAATGTAAATTAACATACCGTATTTAGTAGGGTTCTGGAACATGTCCATCAGGGGATCGTAGACATTTGCGTATACGATCCTGCTTCCTGGGAGAGACGCTTCAATAGCAGGCAATAGCTTTTGAAGCTTATCATTGTACAAGACTGCGTCTTTGTTCTGACTTGCTATGCATTTTCTGATTACTCCCCTGCTGATTTTTGAGGTCATTTGGATAGGCAAGCACCCTATCGGCGACAACCCTCCCACCGATATTTTTCTGCTCCCTAAATTGTAAAGCTCCTACGTACACACATCAAAAATATCAAGTTAACATTTATACCTTAAAATGACGTCAGCAAACAAGATTAGAGGGTTACCTTGACGAAGTTCTCAAGTCTCTTGAGCACGAAATCCTGGTAATCAGATATCTTAGGATACTCGAGACGCCTAGTGGGGATATCATAATAGTTCAAGATGAAATCGTTAGTACCCGCACTGATCATCACAATGGCACCATTTATGATCTCCATTGCTTTCTTGTCCCCAACGATACCTTTGAGGCGAGCAATGTAATTCTTGAACATGGTAGGTTGGTATGAGACGGGTATGGCTTTGGTCGTGCGAGTGGTTTGGTCGTCATAGCCTGAACCAGCAGATGCGAAGCTGACCCCGGTGACGATTTCTGCGTCAGAGAGTTCCGGTTGTAGAAAAGGAGGAACTAAGTCTTTGATGTGAAGCTTGGAGGCAACAATGTCACAAAAGAGCTTTCCGTTTGAGAATCTTCCACTCGCTAGTTTCCCTGGGAGATCGACTCCGTAAGGGATATGATTTGCCTTGAAGTTGGACTTGGGGTCGTAGTTGTTGTTTCCGGTGTCGACGGTTGTCTCTCCAAAGATTAGGATTGCTGGGGCAAGCGGTTGCGTTGTGGCGTTTTCCGCCGCGTTGCAAGACACAGCTAGAGTTATTAGGAATAGAACGGCTGCTATGATTTTGGAGGTAGGCATTGTGAAATATTTGAGAATGTTGTAGTTGTAATTGTTACTGTTTATTTATTGTGTCAATTTCTGATTGTGATTGTTATTGATTTATTATCTCGTTTTCCTCAGAGGTGAAGGGTTATATATGTGTTTGAAAGTTGGTTTTCTATGATAAGTGATTGTTTTACAGACTTTTTTAGTTGTAAGTTTGCTTTATATTTGAAAGTATAGTCACAAAACAAACAAAAGAGACAAAATAAAGGTTTTTCTCTTACAAAAATAGAAGGTTTAAATATTGAATCTAATTAAAGAGACTCAAAAGTTGACCAAAACCTGTTGACCAAAAAAAAATGTTGACCATAACCGAATAAAAAACAAACAAAAATAAAACCTAAAAGATTTGAAACTAAGAACGGAAATTTTTGTTGCTCGAGCTAGTGAAGATAAGATCCCAATTTTTTCGCTCGCTCACTTTTTTCATGATGAACTTTCCTCCAAGTTAAAATTATATCTTACTTAAGTTCACAGATCATGAGTCATCCACCCAACTAGTCCTTGGCTATGAAGTCACAATCTCTTAGGTATGATGAGAACATAGAAGAGTACACAACTTACTTTACTCTAATTAAAACATACATTTTATATTTAAAGTAAAAAAATTAAAATCAATGGAGTGCGTGGAGGATCTGATCAACAAGACTGAGACTAATGACGAGGTATGCAAGTTGAGTAGGATGAATATCGTCCCAGAAAAGGAAGTGGTTAGGATCAGGACAAGTCGGAGTTAAAGGATTGCACAAGTACGATAACTCCATCTCTCCTGTCCCGCAACATCCTCTCGTCGTCTCCTTTATTCCTGTCCTCTTCAAAGAAATCGATTCAGTCCTTAAGTTTAATTTGTAAGAAGAAACAAAATACATACATGGTATATATATTAATCTTGAATTTCCTTTTGTAACAGTTGTATTCTCAGTAAGTCATAACCTTAATAAAGACGTAGCATACTGGTTTGTGCTATTATCATTGTTGGTTTGGTGGTATTTTTGGAGAAAAAAACATTTGTGGTACTTTTGGAAAATATAATTAGCCATGGTAATTTTGAAACACAAACTTATTTTGTGTAATTGTTGAGAATTTCCATTTACACCATGTTTCTGTGAATTTTTAATAGAAAATGTGTAATTTATTAACAAGATAAGGGCAAGGAGAGCTTGATTTATTGCGAAACGCAATGTGCATGGGATAAATGAAAACGTTGCGTTACCGTATCTGTGGGGATTAGTAGCCATGTCGAACATTGCTCCGTAGAAGTCGGCATAGAAGATGACACTACCAGTGAGATTGGATTGCATGTCGGTTAGGGACTTCTTTAGCTTCTGGTTATACTCCTGCGAATCTGAGTTTTCTTTGTCGATGCATTGTCTCTCGTTCTGCCTTTGCTTTGCCGCCGTCATCTGAATCGGCAAACATCCGATCGGCGGTAGTCCCAATACCATTATTTTCCGGCACCCAATGTCATATAGGTCCTATATATAATTATATATACATCCACATACCAAATTTTATATTAAAAAAAAAACGTTAAACAAAACGCATAAAACCCTAAAATCGATAACGCGCATATATGTATGATAAGAAATGTTGTTTACTTGAACGAAGTGGTGTACACCGGAGAGGATGAGATTCTGATAACCATCAACGCCGAGATTTTGACGAATAGAATAAAAATCGTAGAGATTTATATCGAAATCATTAGTTCCAGAGCTTACAATCACCAGAGCCTCGCTGAGTATCGTGGCAGCTTTCTCTTCCCCGACGATCCGGCTCAGCCTCGCCGCATAACTTCTGAGCATATCCGTCTGTTTAGCAAGGGATAGACTTAAAGTAGCTACATCTGTGAAGTTGTCGTAACCTGAACCGGCGGAGGCAAAGCACACTCCGGTGAGGATATCGGAATCCGACAAATGCGGGTCTAGGAAAGGAGGGACGGTGTCTTTGATTCCCATGAGAGATGCGATAAAGTCCGGTATGAGTTTTCCGTTGGAGAATCTTCCGGTAGCGTTTCGGCCTGGAAAATTGCAGCCGTATGGAGGGAAATCCGCTCGGAGGTAGGTTTTTATGTAGTTGTTGTTTCCGGTGTCGACAGTGGAATCTCCAAACACAAGGATCGCCGGGAACATTGATATGGTCTCGTTGGTGGCATTTGCATGACATCTCGTCAATATTATGATTATGGTTACGATCTTGAACGTAATAATTTCTTGGACCAACATTGTATATTTTCTTCTCTCTTTTTTTTTTTTGGGTTTTCTTTTTGTGATTATCTTGTTTCTATATGGGACGTCTCGACTGATTATTGGAGAGTCATAATGCGATTATGCGTCATAATGTATTTATATGTAGTAAAATTATTGAGTTTGTGGTAAAATCTCCCGGGGACGGTTTTACATGGGCTAATTAGCTTTAAATGGGCTTCATAGAGAGCCCATAAGTGTGCTAATCTGAAATACATTATGACGCATAAATTGGTGCGTCTTGGTCAGTATAAAATTTAACTGGAAGATATAATCATAAAAAGGTGTGGAGACTTGATTGATATGTGGTCAATGATAAGCCTTACGAATACAACCAAAATACTGCATGCACATATCCTCTGAAACTTTAAAATATTATACGTACAAGGAAACCCAAAAGATCATGCAAAGATTAAAAAATAAACACCAATATTGTATGTTTATGTGCGTGGTTGTTAATGTTGATATCTTTGGTAGAATCTCTTTTGTTTTTTTAAAATGGATTCTCCAAAGTCCTAGCTCAGAAACGAGTTTGGAATAGAAGTACGTGCGGCGGGAGATCAAATTAAGATTACGGAAATCATTTGCGGTCCAAAAACAAAAAGATATTGCACACGAGAGTAAATCTAAACAAACGTGTGCTATAGGCTGGAGATATCTCCAATATCTATGCTAAAGCTTTTAAATTATTCGATTGGTTTGTCTTTATTCGATCAGGTACGTTCCCCTTAATCACTATTTCATCCCTATATAATAATGCTTTCCGTTGGTTACAACAGCAAAAAGAAGATTGGCTAAATCAAATCTTCCTCGGCTTTAGGGAATTAGGGGAAGTATTAATATGTTAGATTCATCAATTACGAAAATATGTTACCCTATGCCATATATATGTATATATCCTATGTTTCATAAATTCGAACTAACGCATGGTGTATAGTAGTCGAAAAGTTCACCCTTCAAATTGAAAGACTAGGGTTCCAGTCCTCTCTTATGGCAAATTTAATTATATTTTATTCTTTCGACTTCCAAAATCTAGTCGTTTAATTTGCTCTCCCCAAGAAAAATACTTAATCTAGATTTTGGTCCGAAATTAAATCCCCACGTAGATTGTAGAATGAGATGGAAAAATGTAAGAATTCGAAGTTTGTAGATGGAGCCAGAAGGTAGACTTTCACTGATTTGACCAAAAACGCCAGCTATACTTCTTATAATATCATTGCTCGTAATTACATTTTGTATAACTTTGGATTCTTTTTGTTTTTCTATTGGCTTCGTATAATAATAGAGCCGCGCATAGAGAGAAGCAACTAAATTAAACTAATCTTGTTTGTAATCAGTATTCCATCAGCTTAAAAGCGTACATCTATTGGTACCCTCCAAAGCGTTCTACGTGAGATTAGTTCGTCTCTCGCAAACATTATAAATGCAATTTTCTGGACATGGCTTATTAGTGGCCAGTCATATCCTTGATTTGGTTTGATTTTGCTAAATAAAAATGGGGTTTGCTTTGGTTTCAGTTTCTTCTTCTTTTCTTCAATAATTAAGCCAATATATTTCTATATGAATTTTTGGTTTGGTTTTAGTTTAAACATTTTGATTCTCTAACGATGCGTAATAATGTAGTCGATTAATAAAAGAGGACAACCATTGACAAACTTCTCTTAAGCTATTTAACACTATTTTTAATACAAACTTGATTAAGTGGTTGGTTAATGATTAACCGTGGAAGTTGTGAAATTGTGGAACAAGACAGGTTTGACTCACGTTCTTCAGTTATGACCCCATTTAGCCCTTTAAAAGATTCATTCAGCCTTTGACACATTGTGGCGCACACATACCCAAAATCTCATCCGTATTCTAATTAAACTCCCCTTTCTCTGATTAGACACATTAATTAAGGAATTACTCTCCAATCTGTTCCGCGCCAATCGTACGTCGTCGGTGCACGAAACCTCCGTACAACGAAGCTTCCTCTTTCGTGTCGTGAAACCATTAGCAAAATTTATTTTCTGCCACAAGATATTTACTTATATAATTTAATAGTGTTTCGGGATTTCAAGAGTTATAGTATACTATTTTAGAAACGATCAAGACATCCGAATTTTATACCATATGATATGTAATACCTACATGCATGCAGTTATAACCTTTCAGGCATGAAAAACATTGTGAGAACCTAATTATTTCACATTCAAAACCTAACTTAAGATTTAAAGACTGAGCTCCTCTTTTTTGGTTTACGTGCTGAGTGCTCCTCTGAAGCTTTCCATTTTTTCTAATTCACATTTAACTATTGATGTGGTCCTGCGGATTACTTGTCCCCTCTCTTGCTTAGTCAAGTAAGCTTAAATGCTTAATTACTCATTGAGAACCCGAGACCAACGGGTCTTCAACTCTGATCTATATACTTTAGCCTCGCAAGTTGCATATATCTTAGTTAAGTATATTTTAACGTACGTACGGTTTTGACTGAAAAAAGTACTCCACATTATATCTTAGTTAAGGACATATTCGTTTTCATTAACAGAGAATCTAAATTAAAAGCAAGAGAATAATTTAAATAATAACGTAAACGAATATACTGTACCTTCAAGACAGCTGTTTTTTTTTTGAAAACGAAAATAGCAAAAAGAAAAATCTATTTCCCTTATTTTATATAATTTCAAAATCGTTCCATTAATGCTGCCTATATCAATATAATTATAAAGTAATCATGGATTGATGGAAATGGAACTACGTACGGTAGGAAATGTTAAAGTTGTGGCCATAGAAGAATGATAGCAATAGTGAACGTGGTGTGTCCGTACTATTATATGTAGTTGACACGAACTAGCCAAGTACACCAAATAGAACAAATGATTCAGAGCAAATTAATACGTCTGTTGGTTAACCAGATGATGACATCTTCGTCTTCTCACCTAACCAATCTGAATCATCTACTTAAATAAACAGGGCCAATTTTGTTTTGTCTTTCAGTTAAGACCCCAAAATTGACGATTAACCTAATTAACCCAAAATAGGACTGCTGAAGCTCTACAACATGAAGCAATCGAAAACTCAATCGTAATGTGACAGGATACGGATCCATAAAACCGTTTAACAATACATACATCAATAAGTTCCTATTCTTTGTACTTGTTGTATTTTTTCGATGTTTTGTATCGAAATCGTCAATAGATAGTTCAGTTTATTAATTTATTTCCAAAAAAGTAGCTTGAGCACAGACAACGATGATATGCAGTTCGCAATAGTAACGATAGAAAAACTTAATTGAGTTAAATTAATGGATTGTTACTTTCAACATTGATATCAAATCCTACTTAAGTGTCCGTGGTGGACACTACGCTTCTGATTTAAATCGATAATCCTTTTTCAGTTTCCAAGTCTTTGGTCATTGTTTCACATTATTATTCACGAGGAATCTATCTAATCCCAACACGCTCCTAGTTTCAAGATTTGGTGTTATTCGTGAAAGAATACAAGAAAAAGTTTATAACTTATTTTTTTTCTCGTCAAAATTGTCACATAGCGTCAGAATATCTTTACTCGGTTTATTTCTAACACTTTTGCTAACCCTTAACTAATTATTTAGATTACTAAAATTAATCTCCACCAGCGCAGCTCAGAGATCTACGACTGCTGATACTGCAGAGTAAACACAAATCACATGCATATAACGGTGAATATATATAGAGTCACATGCTTATATGATAGATGCGTACAGAATCTAGATAATAATGATTTTAATATGAAATGATCGTTATTTAGCTACATTTGGGATGGAGTAGAAATATTCACAGTATTTGTTGTATTTCGTAAATTCAATGTCATATGAAATTTAGTGATAACAAGAAGATAAAAGGGCATTTCAGTCATTCAACTATATGTGGACGTATGGTCAAGCCCGCTTTGTTGTTACGTGAAGTGTTGGCTCCTATATAACCTCGTCTTCTCCAACTTGTTCTTCCCCATAAATCTGATCATCAAATATATAAAATTCAATACCCAAAACAAAGAGAAAGGAGAGAGATAGATAGAGAAATGGGAAACAGCCTAAGGTGTTGTATAGCCTGTGTTCTTCCATGTGGAGCACTAGATTTGATCAGGATCGTTCATCTAAACGGCTACGTTGAGGAGATCACACGGTCAATAACCGCCGGAGAGATCCTTCAAGCTAACCCGAACCATGTCCTAAGCAAACCATGTTCTCAAGGTGTTGTCCGTAAAATATTGATCTTGTCCCCTGAATCTGAGCTCAAGCGAGGAAGCATCTATTTCCTCATCCCTGATTCTTCCTTGCCGGAGAAGAAAAGGAGGAGAAAGGACGTTCATCTCCGGAAGAAGACTCTCAACAACAACTCCAGTGCCCAAGCTGGCGACGGAGACCTTAAAGATGATGACCAATGTGTGAAGTTGAGTGAGAAGTACTTAGAAGAAGACGTGTCGTCGACGTCGACTGGTAAAGAACACCGTCATCGCCGGCGGCACAGCAGATCGGCGTCAGTATCCACGTGGCGACCTCATCTTGACAGTATCTCGGAGGATCTTAATTAATTCCTCTTCATTCTATTTTTTCTTTTGCTTCTAGCTAATGGTGTTTTTTGTCCGGAAGCCGGATTTTTATTTCCAGAGATCTTTTTTTTTTCTCTTACTTTGTTTTTGGGGAAAATCTGTCGAAAGTTTTAGGTAATGTGTATAAGATCTGCGTTAAAATGCTGTTGTAATTTCGACTCACTAAGAAAGATTATATTTCAACTGATAATCATTGATCAAAAGCGAAACATACATAGACCAAACTTTTGTTGCTTTTCTTGACAACGACTACGGCCAAATTTTGTTTGATGTTCATCGTAGTAAATGTGGTCTTATTTTCGCTATTTAGATTTTAACTCCTAAAAGTTTGTGTGATCGAGTTGTAGGCCAAAAAACATCAGTGGAATGATTTATGAGTATGATCAAATGTGTGTTTAACGGAAATAGCACTTTGAATGATTAAACTTAATTATATAAGTTGGGTCGGTATCAAATAATAATAGTTAGTGCGCAGGTTTTCACATGTAGGTGGACCAATCGAAAAGCCTTAAAAACAGAAAAAAAAAACTATTTGTTCCAAATAATTTAAACATTCAATCATATAAACTTGTAACTTGTAAGGCAATGTAGACCATATACATGGGCAAGAAAGTATATCAATGATTATGTATGAGAAAAAAAAGTAAATGATTTTTTTTTTATCTTCTCATGCACCATGAACTCTACCGTGCATAGATTTGTTTTCTCATTTAGCTACCGATAATTAAACATTCTATGTACATGCGTTACCATATAAATAAAATCTATGATTAAGATTCTAAGAGTATCCACAATGGATATCCCCACATGGAGATCTTTAACAATAAAAAGAAAACACTTTTTGAGTTAAAACAAAAATGAAAAAATGAATTTTAAATAAATAATTTTAAAAAAAAAATGAAAGAAAGGAACCAATCACAATATGACACATGGCAAATTGGTGTAAGAGAGACGATTTCTTTGGGCTCTGCTTGTAGAGTCGATTCAGCTCATAAGGCTTGACACCTCATTTCTTTTTACTTTTTTTTCTTTTCTTTTAATTACCAGAACCCCTATGGGGTTGTCCTCTACCATGTTTACGTTAAATAATAATTTATTCAGAATTTTGTAACTGGACAAAAAGGATGGAGATGGCTACAACTACAAGTTAAGTTATAATATAAAAACATTGAATTATTACAATAAAAATATCAGAGTAAAGACTAAATTATTCTTATTCTTATATATAATTAAAAAAAATAAAGATAAATGACAAAAAGGAAATGAAAGCTGGCGAGCCCATCTGAATCAGCTACCTTCACATGGATACCCTCTTCTATGCCCCATCTCTATTAGTCATTCATAATTTTTTCTATTTTATTCCTCTATGTTATTTTCTTTGTATAATGTTTATGCAACTATGCATAATTGCATACACTACTAAGTTGGGTCCAAACAGCCCATCTTCTCCATACGCCTGGCCATTAATGCTTCAAGTTTAACGTACATAAATTGTTACCTTCAAATTTTCGAATTGATCTCGTTACCGTTTATTGTAAATCTAATAGTCCAATCTCCCAGAATAACTTCCAAGATTCCAATCACTTAAATGGGTTGTTCGTAGTTTGAATATGACGGAGGCATTGTTATTTTACGTGTGAATGACCCACTCGTTCTCATAATTATTTGACGCTACTCTCTATCACATCAAAGCATAACGCGTCTATTTATTTCTGTCCACGTACCAACTTTGAGATCCACTATTCAGAGATCTGATCGCACTTTCATTTTCTCCAAATAGTCTTTGGAAAATATCGACCGTTCCATCAAACCAAAAATGAAAGTTACTGAAACTGACCTTTCAGTAAGCTGTGTTCTACAATATCAAGTTGCTTACTTTACAATCTGTAGTTCATATAACAAACACTAAAAACTACACCCTTTATTTTAAAAAAAAAAAAATAGTAGAAAAAAAGGGAGACTACAAATTAATTAACGGTTGTTGTGCATATCAATCGAAGTTTCTTCAACAGAGAAACGTGGGTGTACTTTCGCATCCACAGCCTTAGGAGAAGATTCTTGCAATTTGTAGCTATTATCCATCGCAAGCGAGTCTCCTTCTTGCTGATGAATCACAAGCACCGAGAAATGAAAATCCGACGACGTCAACATGTCTCCGATCACACCTAGCTCAGGGCACTCGCTCCAATCCGTAAGTCCGTACAACACGGACGACTGAAGGTTATGGTCACGTCCCACGACCACCATATCGTAGGTCTCCCCGAGTGTACTAATCACTTGCGTGGTTTCCACGCCATCTCTCACTATCTCTTCTTTGTAATGGACTTTTGGTTTGTTCACCGTGAAGTTCTTGAAATCGTTTATAAGGCGAGACTCAGAGTATTCGCTTTCCTCTTCTGCTGCTGTTTGATTGTCGTCTTGGAGAGAGCTCTTGTGCCGGAAGTGTATCATGGTGACGCTCACTTCCGGGTGCTCTGCTATTCTCATACAGAATGCGAGCGCTTCCGCGTCGTCGCGGCCTTCGATGAAGATTATGGCCACGTTTCGCCACGTCTGTGTCATGAGGACGGAGCGTCTCCCTTCTGTTTCTCCTCGGTCGATGAATATTCCGACTGAGAAAGGTGCCTTGTCAAGCACGTTAAGGTTTATGCTACGGATCGCTGGGTTCACGTGGTCGAACGTTCCGTCTATCGCGTACTGTTTGTGGAACGGGACCACGATGAGCGTGGCTTTCTTGTCGAGGGCGAGAGTGCAAATGTCGTCGTTGATGCTGGAGAAAGGAGCTGCAGCTGTGAAATGCTGAGCCATTAGGGTTCCTTGGTTCTGCTGCTCAAACCGTTGGAAACCATTGACGATGTGAGTTGATTGGACCGTGTTGGGATCGAGTTTGTTCATAAGGTGATGCGGCATGAGCACCGCGTGCGCTCGGCCTTTGAGCTCGACAAGGTGCAGCGTGAAGACGGAGATCGGGCTAAACCGACTCGGGTAAGTAGCTTCAAGAAGGTTAACCATTGAAGGCACGTTTTCAACGTTGTAGACACAGAGGAGGATACGAAACTGAAGGTTTCGTTGTCTTGTATTGAGGATCGTCCGCTTGCTCTTGCTTCTGTAACGCTTCGATGGGTCGTAGAGGCAAACGACGAGGAACCGACAAATGCCGGACACGAACAAGAGTGTGATTATAACAAGATTGAAGCATTCTGTGTTTAGAACCTGCCAACAAACATTTTCATGAAAATGTGTATATACATGGACCGATCTTAGGTTTAGAGACCTTATGATGATTCTACCTTCTCATCTTTCCACATGACGGATGTGTAGATCTCGATGATTCCTTGGCAACACATCAACAAGGACAAAGAAAGTGCGTCTCCGATGGGTATTTTGCAATAAGCGGAAGCGGCTGCGGTTCCGAGGAACTTGCAGACGTAGGTGATGAGGATAACAGCCTCTATGACCTTCACGTGGCTCGCTCCTAGCACGAAGAAATTGGTCTGCAATCCACTAATGGCGATGAAACAAGGCAGGGAAAGGCTCGTTGCAAACATGTCGAGCTTGGTGGCGAGACCGGTCCCTAACGGAGGTCCATCAGGGAGAGAAACTCCGAGCCAAAACGCTCCAAACGCAGCGTGAACACCGAGCATTTCGGAGAGCAGGCTTACTCCTAACAAGACCATTATGATCGGGAAGAACGGGATCTCGTCTGTTTTATCGATCGAAACGCTTCTTTTCTCCGTCAACCAGATGATCAATGGCCTGCAGACGAAAAACACCACGAGGAGAAGAGCGAAGATCCAACCGAAAGACCAAATGCTAGCCATTGTCCCATCTCCCAAGAACATTCTGAAAACGAGTGCCACGACCCAGCTAAAGGCCTCGCAGACAATGGAGCAGTTTGTGGCTAACCGTCCGAGCTCAGAGTTAAGAATGTTGAGCTCGGCTAAGACGGTCGTGGTGACCGGGAACGAGGTCATTGCGCTAAGGGAGATCACTGTGCTGATGCAGTGAACAACGTCCGGCTGGAGCTGAAAAGTGTTTCTCAAGAAGAGAACGGCGAGGTTACCGAGACAGAAGGGGAAGGCGTAGGAGGCTGTACCGATGAGTATGGCTTTGGAACCGGCTTTACGGAGAATGCTAGCGTCGATTCTTAGCCCGAGTAAGAAGAGATGCATGAAGAAACCCACGTTTGAGAGCGTTTGTAAAGTGATTTTGCCGCTTATGGGAAGGAACATCTCCGAGTATGTGCTGTTTTGGCCAAAGAGAGATGGTCCTAGGATTATACCAGCCTGCATGCGTGTAAACAGTTTGGCAAAACTCAATAAAAAACAAAAAAAAGCAGAAATGTGATGAGCTCTTTGATTCCATCGATTATTTACCAAGACTTGGGCAGAGATCATGCCTTGCTTCAAGGGCTTGAGGAGGCGGAAGAGAAGGCGAGAGGTGAGGATGATGGCGGCCATTTGCAGCAAGAGAAGTGGCAATGCGTATTTGAGAGGGTCACTGCCGAAGAAAACGCCCTTTAAGGTTAACATGTGGTTGGTCTCGCACACGATGGTTTCCAACAAGAAGGGCCCATGGACTTTGCCTTTCTGCATCGAGGTCGCCTCCTCCAAGCTTAGCGTTGACATCGCTATTATCTTTTTGTGCGACCCAAAGATGAGTGTGGAGGGAGAGAGCTTGCTCTCTATATATGCAGAGACTACTATATGTGGGAATCTCTTAGTGATATGAAGAACAAAACAGAGGACTCTGTTTTTATTTGGGGAAAATAATGATTAGCTTGTTATCATTAAAATGTAGATTGCTTTCTAGGCTAGGTCAAAAGACCAAAGACAAAAGGGAAGTGAGAGAGAGAGAGAGAGGCAAAGAGAGAGAAAGAGAGAGACGAAGCCATATTTCTTGCTTCTATTTATGATTCTGACTATTTTTTGGCTGGTTGATGTTAATAACCAATCATCTCCCCATTCTAAATTCGTGGTTTTGATTTCCCTTAACTCGTGATAATAATAATAAAGCATTCAAAAGAGAGTTTCCCTAACCAGTCTAGATTCTTTGATCTCATTACATTCCAGTCTAAAGCTTCTAGGTCCTTCAAACTACTAACCAGTTGAACAAAATAAGATAAGACCATTTGGTTTGAACATTTTAACCCATAAACGTGCTTTAAAACAGCTACAAATTAGTATTACTTTACCATCCGCATAGAACTGTTCTCAAAGAGAGCCAAAAACTCTGGTTTTTCACTTCTTGGCGAAAGAGACAACCATTGGATTCTGTGGAGTGATCTTGAAACCCTGAAGAGCCTGCATGGCCATGGATGATTGAACATCGTCTTCAAACTCCACAAACGCAATTCCAGGTTTCGCCTGGATCATTCTTATCTCCTTGAATCCCGGGTACTGTTCAAAGAGCAGCTGAAGCATCATGCTCGTCGTCTCAACGGGAAGATTCTGAATGAAGAGTATGTTGTTTGGTGGCATCGTCGTGTCTTGCCCACTTGGCTGGAACGAAGGCTACAAAATCGCAGAGACAACCATTAGAATGATGCGGAAACGAATACTTACAGACTAAGTTGCGACACTGATGGGAGAACGAGAAATTACCGCAGGCCTTCCGTTCTGAGCGGTTGCGCCATTAGCCATGCTTGATTGTCTGTTATCTTCAGCATTTCGCTTCTTTTCAACTGCAGTTTTGTTAAACATAAGATGGAAAGTATAAGGAAGAGACGAAATGAGATGAGAAAGTTTTAGACTTGTGATAGATTAGAAACAAAAGTTGAAACCTTTCTCTTCTTGCTTCATCTTCTTTTCTCTAGGAACAAAAGTCCCTTCGACTTTAGAAACACAATCCGACTTTGATTTCGCATATTGTATCAGCTGCGCCACAAAACAACACACTTATTATCTCTGCAAATTTTAACGCTTGTAATCTCAGATCTGCAGTGTGAAATAGTCTTCAAAAGACAGGAAAAGGTACCATTGGTTTATCGTAGAATGGAAAGTTTTGCATTTGACGGACAGCATTACTAGCAGCTGTAACTTCAGTGAACACAACCCATGCTTGTCCCCTGAGCTTTGGAGTCTTCAATGCAACCACATCAAGTATCCTTCCAAAGTGTGAGAACAAACAGTACAGAGATCTCTTCAGCTCTGGAAAAAAAACATTGAACAAATAATGGTGGAAACATTAAATCAGTGACCTTCTTCAACAGCATTACCCTTAGTCACACTACAGTTATCAAAACTCAAGCAGCCATAGAGTTTAAGGTCTCCAATTCAATCTTCTCGTTAACAATTGGCCAGTAACCTGGTAGCAATCGATGTTTTATACTTAAGTACTTTATAAAAGCACAAATCTTTCACTTCAACATAGCTCACAAGTCACCAACACTATGGAAGAACACCACAGAATTCCGATGGTTTAAGATTCGATTGGAAATTATAAATCCCTAAAAGTGAGAGAGAATACCTTCTTTGTTGATCTTCTCATTGATATTTTTAATGTAGATTGCCTGATTCGGCGGTATATCAGCCGTTAGCATTCTCAACTGGCTCTGCGAAGACGACGACGACACTGCCCGGAGCAAAATTGAGCGAGACCTAACGTTCTCCGTTAAGGAGGGGAGAAGAAAAGAAATCGTCTCGTTTCCAATTTACAAGCGCCGTCTAATTTGTTTTTATCTAAACTTCTCACCGTTTAGCATTGACTAAAACAGCACGCAGTTTTAAGAGACTATTAAAAAACGTCATTTTTCGATGTTTTGGTAGGCTCTTTATCCCCTTTTCCCATTTCTTCTTCCTCCGCATCTCTATCCTCTTGCCCTTTCTTCTGTTTGTTAAACCCTACGAGCTTACTAGGATCTCTTCACAGTAGAGGGAACAATGAATCCCTCCCTCTTCACCTCCATTAACGCTCCAGTTTCACCTTCCCCAGGCTCTCCTTTACTCTGTCACTTCCTGACTCCTTTACCTCTCCGTTTCTCGAAGTCTGAGTATCTGACTCGCCGTCGTTATCGGGTTTCGTTCCCTCGCAGCTCAGCTACTTCCTCCGACCAACCATTGGTATCTACGCAGGCGAAGAAGCCAGATGTATTCGGAAATAAGAAGGAGCTCACCGGACTGCAGCCAATTGTTGAGAAAATGACGCCGCCGGTGAGGCTGGCAACTTCTGCTGTTGTTCTAGCGGCATCTCTAGCTACTGGTTACGGCCTTGGGCTCCGATTGGCCGGTTCCAGGAATATTGCCTTGGGTGGGGCTGCGGTAGCTGGAGCCGCCGGTGGAGCTGTCGTCTATGCGCTCAACACTGCCGTACCGGAAGTGGCTGCTATCAGTTTGCACAATTATGTTTCCGAAATTGAAGATCCTGCCTCTGTGACGAAAGAGGTTATAGAAATGATCGCTGATAGGTTAGTGCTTGATTGAATTTGAAAATCCTGCATCTGTAAGGAAAAATGACACACAGACTAAGTGTACTTACGATCCTTCAATTATTTTGCAGGTATGGTGTCAACAAAGGAGACGAGGCATTCCAGGCTGAGATTGGTGATATATATTGCCAGTAAGTCGAATTAGAATCCGAAAAACTCGGAATGTTGTCTTTCTCCTTTCTCTTGGTGTGGATAATTCTTTAGTTGATCGTTTGCATCTTAATCTCGATTAGGTACGTAACTTCCGTGCTTCCAACTGAAGGACAGTCTCTTAAAGGGGATGAAGTGGAGAAGATAGTCAAGTTCAAAAAGTCTCTGGGAATAGACGACCCTGATGCAGCCTCCATGCACATGGAGGTGCTTTCTAGATTCTTCTTCTTCGTTTGAATTAGCCTCGAGCCTTTTGCAGTTGAACCTGAAGGATCTTGAATGCAGAAATGACCAATTCCTTGGGTTTGTGTAGATTGGCCGGAGGATTTTTAGGCAAAGGCTTGAGACTGGAGAGCGTGAAGGTGATGCAGAACAGCGTCGGGTGAGTCGCTAGTCCCTAGGACCTAGTATTCGTTATTTTTATTGTACAGAGCACAAGCGTGATCACAAGTTTTATGCTCCCAGTGCAGGCATTTATGAGGCTTGTATATGTTTCAGCTCTTGTGTTTGGAGATGCTGCATCCTTCCTTTTGCCATGGAAGCGAGTATTGAAGGTCACAGATTCTCAGGTAGGCATTTCCAATTTTTGTCAAACGACTCAAACCTATGATTTTGCGCAACAAGATTTTTTTCAAGCTGCATACTGGAAACTTACTTCAACTTGGTACCTGACGCTCTCTGCTAATGTGTTAACCCCTCGTGTGTAGGTTGAGATTGCTATTCGTGAAAATGCAAAGCAGCTGTATGCCGAAAGGTTAAAATTAGTCGGTAGAGGTAATGTTTTTCATTTTAAGATTGGAAGTTATCTTTCACTTTTAGAATGGAGGAAGTTTCTCGAGTTGGTTATATCCACTATTGTGTCACTTCTTGTAATTAGCTAGAAGTGACACAATGGATACTTCTCATTTGACATTGATAACAGATATGGCAAAGCTTTTTTCTTCAGCTTAATGCATGGAAACTTACATGGTTATGATTTGTTAACATGTTCTTGCAGATATTAACGTAGAAAACCTTGTGGACCTTAGAAAAGCACAACTATCATTCAAGCTTTCTGATGAGGTACTCTATATCTTTGCGGCATTGACTTCCTGTTCCTGGTTCCTCTGGTTATAGTTCTTCTGACAGTTTGTGCTCCCTTGCAGCTTGCTGACGAACTGTTTAGAGAACATACAAGAACAGTAGCCATAGAGAACATTTCAGCAGCACTTGGCGTACTAAAATCCCGCACACGAGCAGTGTAAGGCTTTGTATCCTATTGTTTACAGATTTGTACATAGAGAAATCGTATGGAAAAATTAGAATAGATGTGAACAGTGGGTTTGGTAGCTTTGAGTTTTGGTTTTTTCAGAAACTGATCGGTTTTAGTTTTGTTTTTTTTCCAGGAAGAGTTTGTCACTTGTTGTGGAAGAGCTTGAAAAAGTTTTGGAGTTTAACAACCTGCTGGTTTCCTTGAAAAGTCATTCAGAGGCAGATCAATTTGCACGGGGGGTTGGCCCTGTTTCCTTGATAGGTAAATATGCTTTTTGACGGTCTCTTTTCTGAGTAATAATAATAATAGGATCTTAACTTTGGATCCCTGTGGCTTAGGTGGTGAGTCTGATTTTGAGAGGAGGATGGATGATTTAAAGCTCCTTTATAGAGCATATGTCACAGATGCTCTATCGGGTGGGCGCATTGCAGAAAACAAGGTAACTCAAACCTATATTGTATTAGTTATCATACAGTAAAGTGAGTTGAGTTCTTTATAGAGCATGTGCTTCAGACTCTGTATTCTTTATCTCCATCCCAAGCAATGTAATTTCTTGTCGTTTTTATGCTGAATGGTAGCTTGTGGCAATGAGCCAACTGAGAAACATACTTGGTCTGGGAACACGGGAGGCTGAAGCTATTACTGTTGATGTTACGTCCAAGGCATACCGTAAAAGACTTTCTAGCGCTGTTTCTACTGGTGACCTTGAAGCACAAGACAGTAAAGCAAAATTCCTTCAAAAGCTATGCGAAGAGCTGCACTTTGATGCACAGAAGGCAAGCGCAATCCATGAAGGTATACAGGGACCTTATGTTCACAAACGAAGCCTTATGCTCTTACTTTATACATGAGTTATATACTGTTATCTTACAGTTTTAATGTTTATTGGAGTTTTTTATTCCGAGTCATCTGACACCCCCTTCCTCTTCTTCAGAAATCTATAGGCAGAAGCTTCAACAGTGTGTTACTGATGGAGAGCTGAGCGATGACAATGTTGCTGCTTTACTAAGGTTAAGAGTCATGCTCTGTATTCCTCAGCAAACTATTGATGCAGCTCATGCAGAAATCTGTGGAACCATATTTGAAAAGGTAAACCAGCTTATCAGTCTCCTTTTCTCTTTATCCCAGTTTTTCTCATGGTCTTTGGCCTTGGCACTTTCAACGTTGTCTTTTAAAATACTCTCTTGTTAATTGTACATATTTGCTTGTTTTCAATTCGTTTCCAATAACTAGATTTTGTACCAACTTTTCCAGGTTGTCAGAGAGGCAATTTCGTCTGGAGTTGATGGTTATGATGCTGAAACTCGCAAATCAGTAAGAAAGGCTGCTCATGGTCTTCGGTTAACCAGAGAGACTGCCATGTCTATTGCTAGCAAAGCTGTAAGTATCTCACTCTTCTCTTTCCCTATGTTTAGTATTAGGATTTAGTTTCTCTGACAGAAAAAGAAAAACCTTCATCGATGCAGGTCCGTAGGGTATTCACAAACTATATCAGACGAGCAAGAGCGGCAGAGAACCGCACTGATTCAGCAAAGGAGCTGAAGAAGATGATTGCTTTCAACACGTTAGTTGTGACTGAAATGGTGGCTGACATTAAGGGAGAATCTTCTGATAAGGAACCTGAGGAGCCTGTTGAAGAGAAAAAAGAAGTTAGCGAAGATGAGGAATGGGGATCCCTTGAATCGCTCAAAAAAACAAGACCCGACAAGGAACTCTCTGAGAGGATGGGAAAGCCTGGCCAGACTGAGATAACTCTCAAAGAAGACCTTCCCGACAGAGACAGGATCGATCTCTACAAGACGTACTTGCTCTACTGTCTAACCGGAGAGGTAACAAGAATCCCGTTTGGCGCCCAGATCACAACGAAGAGAGACGATTCAGAGTACTTGCTCCTGAACCAGCTTGGTGGGATTCTTGGATTGACTTCGAAAGAGATAGTGAACATCCACGTTGGTTTAGCCGAACAGGCTTTCAGGCAACAAGCTGAAGTGATTTTAGCTGATGGACAATTGACAAAGGCTAGAGTGGAGCAGTTAGACGATTTGCAGAAACAAGTTGGGTTGCCTCAGCCACAAGCCGAGAAGGTTATAAAGAATATAACAAGCACAAAAATGGCAAACGCCATAGAAACTGCTGTTAACCAAGGAAGACTGAACATAAAGCAGATACGTGAGCTCAAGGAGGCAAACGTGAGCCTGGACAGCATGATCGCTGTGAGTCTGAGAGAGAAACTATTCAAGAAGACGGTGAATGACATATTCTCCTCAGGAACGGGTGAATTCGATGAAACCGAAGTCTACGAGACAATCCCATCCGATCTCAGTATTGATGTGGAAAAGGCAAAAGGCGTTGTCCATGAACTTGCTCGGAGTAGGTTATCAAACTCGCTGATCCAATCTGTGGCATTACTCAGGCAAAGAAACGCTAAAGGAGTGGTATGCAAATCCTCTTAATCTCTCTTTTCTAGACATAAATATTTCATCGTTGTGGGTAATGATGATTTGTGAATGCTTCTTCTTCTTCTGTGTTTAGGTGTCGTCGCTGAATGATTTGCTTGCATGCGACAAAGCTGTGCCGGCTGAGCCGCTGTCGTGGGATGTCTCGGAGGAATTAACGGATCTATATGATATCTATTCAAAGAGTGATCCAAAGCCGGCGCCGGAAAAAGTCTCGAGGTTACAATATCTTCTGGGGATAGATGATTCGACTGCAACCGCCCTCCGTGAAATGGAAGAGAGTGCATTATCTTCTGCTGCAGAAGAGGGCAATTTCGTTTTCTAAATCTGTGGTTATTGATACAACGAAACCAAATTAGTCTACCTGTACTAATCGGATTATTGGTCTACTTTAGTTTTATCAATTTCAGATTTTTTTTTTGCCAGCAAACTGTAATTTCAATAAAAGCCCAAAGGGCAAAGAAGCCAGTACAAAGAGTGTTACAACGGCCCGTCAAAGCCCAATATGTATGAGATACAATATGTATCCCAGTCTTTTTTGCAAAGGTTTCAAAATAGCTATCTAAATTCATTTTGATGGATGTGATTTTACATTTTGAAAATTTTATTGAAGATGGAGGAAAATTGAGTTATGAAGTTGAGATTTTACCAAAACCTGTGAAAATTTTGTACATAACCAAACTTCATTTGATTGAGAATAATTTGAAAATCTGCAAACAAGAAATGGACTGTGTATGATTTCCCTCAAAAATTATGCTTTTGCTATTATTTAGACATCTCCTAGAACTTATATTTAACTATAACTGAAGACATAACTTCCTGAAAATTTGTTTGCATCACTATAACTAAGATCAATCAAGAAAAAATTAAAGTTAGATAGAGGTGCATACCTGGAAGACATTTCTTTTAGTCTTCTGGTTCCACGTAACGGATAAGAGCTGACTCATTCACTGAGAAGTTGGTCCATGGGACTTCTGTTTTAGTCACAGTCAACATATCAGTGAGGATATCCTTTGGAAGCGTATTATTTGGCTTGCACAAACTGGACGATTCAGCATTAGCAAGACTTTTTTTTTATCCCAAACTTGTTCGACCTTCCCAACGTGATACTTGTTACTCTCACCATGCACACTAGTATCCTTTGGCGGGCCTGGAAGATGCTTGGAGGACGATTCATGACTTCTAATTTGGACATCGAGCCTAAATCTCATTTGGCTTGCTTCAGGTCAGTCTTGAGTAGACAAAGACTTTTCCGTTTGAAGAGCCTAGAATAATTACTCGAAACAATGCTTGAAAGATAAAATAAAATAAATGACCGTAAGTGAAAGTTATGGTTGTTTATTATGGTCTCACATGACATCACAAACATATGGCCATAGAGAACATGTATATCACGTAATGTTTTTGGGGAAATTATATAAAAAGACATGAATTATTAGAGGATGCATTCGGATTTAGTTTGGTTATTCAGTACTTAAAGCTCCTTTTGTTCAATTGTTTATGACATTTTAACATACAGTGAAGAAAGTTTTTTTCACAGATTTCATATGAAACCAGGAACAGCACTAAGCACTTTCATCTTTCGTGTATGTTTATGAATTTATGATTCAGTCAATCATTCATGGAGATGATACGAATCGAGGTAAGTTTTGTTTCAGAAATTGTTTTCCGATATTACAAAAAAACAGAGAAAAAAAAAAGCAGAATCATTTGAAATCTCTGAGCAACACCTTGACTATGGAAGCGTAACATCCTGATGAAGATTTAGCATTATTATTATGATTAGATCCGTAGTCTAAACTATAAGCCGATCCCAGCCACACTGATCTACGGTTGTTCCTTCCGTTCCTCGAAGGAGAAAATGGCACAGAAGATGTCGAAGACGAGGATGACGACGAAGAAGCAGCCGGAGACGACAAGGCGCTACGATTCTTGGCAAGCAAGGAACGAAAGTGAGAGTTGTTTTTTTTAGGGTTTACGGATTTTGTAGAGGAAGGTGAGGCGTTGAAGTAGGAAGGAGGAGGTGTGAGTGGAGCTGAAACCGGAGAACTGAAATCAGAATCAGAGTCGAAACCGGAAGCTGAAGATCGTTTAAAGAGACGACTTGGAGTTCCGGGCTGAGATTCCCATTTGAAAGGAACCGCGGCCGATGATCCGCCGTAATAGTCTCCATCGACGACGACCAGTTGAGGCATTGGAGACTTTTGTGAGGATGTGGTTTTGTTTTTTGGGGTTTGCTCAATTATAAGAAAGAGACTTGACTTTCCTTTTTAGTTATTTTAATTCATTGGGTTTAGATTCAGATTCAAAAAAGTTGAATTTATTTTGTGGTCTTATTTTATTGTATTGTGTAGAATGTGAGAGTTTTTAACATGCTAAATTCGAATCTCGATGTTTGATGCTTCATGGAAGCCGCTAGAGTATAATCATGTTCCAGATCATCTGAATCTGATCTAACTATAAGTCCCTTTTTTGTAATATCACACTCTTTTTGTATTCTACAAAACTCTCCAAGAACTTAGAACACAAAAAAAGGTTGCACAACTACATTCTCTTAATTGATGTCCTTAAATTTTTGCTTTACACTTTTGGGCCTAAAACACCAAAATTGCTGAAGGTTGTTGAAGTCTTTGTATTTTCATATGCAATGAAATAAAAGCTTTTCATTGGCAAATAATGTGTAAAAGTCATGTCGTTGCAAGATCTTTATTTCCGCCTCTCCCTTGCTATAAAATAAAGAACGAACATATAATAAAACCCATGTCAATCATTTTTTTTAACCCTCATAGTTGCTTGGAAACAAGTCTGTGCAGAGCTCTCCATAGAATCTAGTCACAAGATCAATGAAGATAGGACTATTAAGTTTCTTCCAATAGAAGAGAAGCTCTTCCATGTCCATCAAGTCATCGAGTTTCCCTTCTTCAACGATCATATGGATCATATAGTTCTCGAAGCTTCTGCAAGCCTCTTTCGCAGCATCTTCCTTCGGCACATGTCTTTGACTCGTGCTATCTTTCTTGTTCCTTTGCGTCATAGCCAAAGGGAGCATCAATCTTGACTGTAGAAGCTTTTGATCATCGATCTCGCTAGCTGCATTGATGGCATTGTGGAATCAAATTAAGATTTAAAGAATTAGACAATCGAAATAGTTAATTACGAAAGAGTTTGTTGTTACATTACATGGGGAACTTCTGGGTCTGATCTGGCTTATCCTCTGCTCATTATTAGTATTGAGAAAGCATAGACAAGACGACAAAGTCGTTGAAGAAGAAGATTGTGTGGTGTTTACATTGCGGAAACGGCCATGGAACAATGAGATGAATCTGTTGCATGATCTTGAAATCTTTGATTTGACATTAATCAAACCTGATTTCAATCTCATTCTCATATGTTTCAAGTCTGTTTGATTTTTGGTTGTTCCTGTTAAAAGTATAGTGTTAGTATTGGTGGTAGGGTGGTCCGTGTTACGTGGCCTTCACGTCTTTGCGTTTGAAGTCATGATTGTGGTACCCCATTAACTTTAAAACTTATTGCTTTAAATTTGATTACATTTTGGTCAGATTAAGTTTGAGCTTTAATCTGATTAGACATTGTCACACTGTGAGTAGGAAGAGTGTTTGGTAGGCCTAGTTTGATTTTTGGTGGTATTATAATTAAAGAAAATATCATAATGATCTAGTTTAGGTTGTGCTAAGGGTTAATTAACGAAATGATTCAAGTTAACTGTTACGTTAGCGTTTAGGGATTATGTTCACTTTTGTAACATGTTTTTCACACACAACTTTTGAGTAATTTTATTTAAAGTACCGCATACTATACCTCGGTAAAACCTGTACTACATGTCTACAAGACTACATCTATGAGTGAAAAGCACACGTGTCAGGTGGAGAGACCACAAGTTTATTGGTGGGAAGGAGAGGAACAAGTATTTACAAATGAAATTGTCACCGAGTTTTATGCAAAAATGTCTCTTCTTCTCTTATCCTACTCTACAGCATTTGACACCATTATTGTGACTTTGGCTTAGAGATTGGACCTCAACCTGAAATCTTGTTTAGCCTCTTTTATTGAATCCCTTAGCCACATTCGCCGATTCATGTTTTGGAATTAACGTAAGAGATTTATCCTGTTCACTGTAACACCACTAGCTAATCGACCTACCAGTGACAGATTTTGAGGACAACTTTACAAACAATTTTCAACTAAAAGACATAAAAATTAATAACATGCAAGATGTAATTCGGTTTTCCCGGTTTAGATATGATATTTCACTTCAATTTGGTTTGGTTTAACTTTGTAAATCCGGTTAGGTAGAAAAACCGAAATGGGTTTCGACCGTTTGGTGCAAACAAGTGAACAACAGATAGATATTCTAGGAAGTGGACCCTATTTTTGTTCTTACATTGTACTTCACTTTCTTCTCTCTTTTTATCTGTCACAGAGAAACTCCTGAACTTTATAATAAACTCTACAGATTTTCTCGTTTCTATGAGAAGATCACACACTTCTTTCCAAACAGAGATGAGAGATTATAAGTTGAGATTGCCAGCTATGATCCCAAGTGAATGGTTCCACAAGCTCAAGAACATGACCAAACTAAGAGAAAAACATCCTCCTCCTCCTTACTCCTTAAACACTACCAAGACGAAAAAACATTCCTCTCATGATTCTAAGTCTCTTCCTCTGTCTTTAAGCTCTTACCTTTCCACTCCCTTAGAATCTAAGATCCTTCAAGTTCCACCAAGAAACTCTCTTCACGTGATACAGAGCAAAAGAAAGACTGTTTACAAGCCATCTCCTCCTTCCTCTTCTTCTGTCTCTTCAGGTTTTAACAAGAACAAGATCAAATTTCTTCGAAACCAAGACTCTTCCAACTTGGAACTCAGTTCGTCTGCAGATGATATCATCATCGACATGAATAACAGAGGATTCAAGAAGAAAATGTTTAGAGAGATCAAGGTGTTTGATTCAACAGAGAAAGCCTGTCCTGCAAGTAACCGAAATAAGGAATCTCGTAAAACACATCATCTATCTGTCAAGGTTAACAATAAAGAGAAGGAAGAAAAAGAAGCATGTAGGATGCAGAAGAATTATCAGAAAGCATTGGTTTCTAGTGGAAGAAGATCATCGGCAAACTCTCCAAGGATAAAACTCAGAGTGAGCTCTCCGAGAATTCAAGTCTCAGCTCAAAGAATCAGATCGAGATCACAGAGCAAACAAGTTCTTGATAGTTTTGCAGTAATGAGGAGCTCTCTTGATCCAAAGAAGGATTTCAGAGAATCAATGGTGGAAATGATAGTAGAGAACAACATCAGAGCATCTGAAGACCTGAAGGATCTTCTAGCATGTTACCTTTCATTGAATCCAAACGAGTATCATGATCTTATCGTCAAGGTTTTTGTTCAAGTCTGGGTTGAGGTCATAAACTCTACATTTTCATCAAAGTAAAATCCTGTAGTTGTTGTTACTTTTTAGCTACAAACTTCTGGAATAGTTATGAACAATGAGAAAAAAAGCATTAATCCTCTGGTAAATTGTAGTTCTTGTTGATATTTTCAGAGAGTTTGGTGTAACTGTGGTGATTATATATCTTGGCAAGGACAGTGAAAAAGACAGATGGATAATTCAATTTCTTTTGTTTTATGGTTATGATTGAAATATTTTCAGAACAACAAAGAATTAGTATAATTTATTAAAGTTGAAAGAGTTATACTATGGAAACAAAGGAAAAGCAATATTGAAATAAGATTAAAACCTTGGATTAGTTAGTTTAGCCATCGCTATTACTATGACTTATGAGTAAAGTTTTCGGTTTTAAAAATACAAGAGCGGAAAGGGGAAATGAGAATAACCACGGAACAAAAGAAGGAGCCAATAGTGAATAGACAACAAACACACAGAGACAAGTCGAAACCCAACAAATACGGCGTTGTAATGGGTTCCATTTACTAATGATTAATGAAGCAGGAAACACGAAAATGGAAGCCTGAAAGAAGATAATCGCTAGAGAGAGAAGGAAACTCTGACACAAAAGAGAATGATGATTAAAGTGGAAAAGCAGAGAGAGAGAAAGAAGTCACAAAGCTTAAGGAGATGGAAGAAGTAGCTAAGGGAATTGGCAGGACGCCTAGAGGGATTCTTGAAGAGTATTTTCATCTAAGAGTCGAGAAGTAAAGATCAGCAACGATCACAATTGTACATTCGTTACTATATTTGTCTGCTAAGTTGTTTTGTCTGACCATTATTATTCATAAATCATATTGCTTAAAAGCTTCAATAACAATTTTCTTACATGAGTAATCCTTCAGTAACAATTATTTGCGTTCCATAAATCTATGTTCTGCACTGTTGAAATGCCTGGTCAAACTTTCATAGCTTTCCCAGCAAAGGTGTGGCCAGATTCAATGCATACGTTGCAAAACCAAGCAGTTTCACTGCACTTGTCCTTAACATTCTCAACCTCCTGGTTCAATATAACCTTGTCAACCTCCTGGTTCAATACACCCGCTCAAACTGTTACATTTTTTTTCACTCTTAAATTTACTTGGGTGGCAAGAGAAGGAAACAAAGTAGCTGACGCTCTAGCTAAACGAAGATTACCGGTGGCAACAAGCTTTTATCTTTTATGATTTTGCTCCTGTTTTTATTTGTAATACACTTCATCGTGACTGTGTTTTATCAAGTTAATGAAAAAAATTCAGATGAAAAAAAAAAAAAAAACAAAAAAAACCACGGTTGACAAATTTGTTCATTGAATTATCAATTACACTTTTTTTAATTCTTTTTCCCTTTTTTGCAAACCATCTCAGAGTCTCTTACACTTCTTTAGTTTCAGTTCTAGCTAGACAAAAACACGAAAACCTGAAATAACTTGATGTTGTCGAAGAAAGAAGCCGAGACGTACCCAAATTTTAAAAGGAATCGTTTTTGAAGCGAAGATAGATTCGAGTTCAGTAGACCGTTCAAAAAAAAATCTCTATTACGTACAAATTTGAAATAAAAAACTGTTGATAAAAGTAGTAGTTAAGAAACGAGACTTGGAAACATCCTTTGGCCCTCAAATCCTATTCGTGCCACATGATAACATGAACTACCACCTATTACCCTTAATCGACAATAATTGCAATAAAAGATTGATCTTCAAATATTTGACAATGATACTTTATGTAACTTAGGGGTACAGTAGATAATATGATTGCAAAATACATAAACCGTAGTTCCAATTTTAAAACCATAAAGAGATGGAAGTAATAGTAATAGGAAATAACAAACCATATGAAACCCATAAAATGCCTTGCAGAGGAACAAACAACACCTTATGGGCCATGCAGTCTTCGCCTTGCTCACGCCATAGACGGATTGAAGTTAGAGGGGTTACCACCTCCCATTGATTGCTTCTTAGTCTTGGTATAAAGTATAGAACTTTTACTCTGATTGAAAAACCATATGGAAAAAAGATAACATCCGGTCAGATTTTAAAATGGAGATATTCAAATTAGAAACTCTTTAATTAAGAAAAAAGTGGCACAAGATCCTTGAAACTGAGGCGTTAAAAACTTGCTTTTGACTGCTTCTCCACATCGGGAATACACTTCTTGGATTGAGAGGAGGCGTTTTTCTTTGGAGATAGTTGCTTCAACACCTGGAAACAAGAAAACGGAGATATTCACATTCCAAACACTTTCATCAAAAAAAAAAAAAATATATAGTTAAGAAAAAAGTGGCACAAGATCCTTGAAATGGAGGTGTTAAAAACTTGCCTTTGACTGCTTCCCATTGGGAATACCCTTCTTGGATTGAGAGGAGGCGTTTTTCTTTGGAGTTTGTCGCTTCAACACCTGGAAACAAGAAAACGGAGATATTCACATTCCAAACTCTTTTGCATCAAACAAATATTGTCTCCCTAAAAATTGAGGTGTTGAGACTTGCCTCTGATTGCCCGTTTATAGATTGTGAGAAGGACTGACGCTTCCACTCCTGGCATCAAGAAAACGGAGATATTCATATTTTAAACTCTTTCAAAAAAAAAAATCTCGCAAAAAATTGATGGGTTGGATCAAACTTTTGAAATGGAGATATTTATTTAATTGTGGCATGAATGGTTTGTTGGACACTGAAAAAAATGTAATGATCCATGCAAGGTGGAGGCACGACGATGCTTACTTGATATCTATGCTCTGTACTGTTGAAATGCTTGGTCAAACTTTCATAGCTTTCCCCAGCAAAAGTCTGGCCAGATCGAATGCATACGTTGCAAAACCAAGCAGTTTCACTGCACTTCTCCTCAACCTTGTCAACCTCCTCAGTAGTAAGTTTATACCAAGCTGATACATGTTATTATTGAAATTAAACTTGATTTTGATCAAGGTTTAATTTTGGGTCCATAAACAAATTATTATTAAACCCAAAATTAGGCCCAAGTTCTAGAACTCTCTAGAAACATCATAAGAGGTCATCACTTCCTCAAATTTTCTAGAGAATTCTACTAGATAACTCTCTAGATATTTATGTAGAACTTTCTAGTTCTTGTAAGACAAGAAATCTAGATATTATGTTAGAGAGTTCTAGAGATTAGGATAAACTTGTAAGATAATTTGTAGAAAGTTGTAGAAGAAGAAGAAGAAATATCTAGGACCTAAGGAGGTTATAGAAGAGTGTAGAAACTTTGTAAGTAGATTTGGGAGGCTATAAATACCTCCTCACCCCCTCATTTGTAAATGCACAAGAAATTGAACAAGTTAATAAAGAGTGTTCTAAAGCTAAGTTCTCTCTTGTTCTTCTTAAAAGTCTTTCAAGTATTCTCTTGTGTTCTTCCATATTTCTCTTCATACTTAGAGGGTTTATTGTTTCTTTCGGGTTTCTCGGGTATTACGGTCTTGGGCTAGTGCTAAGCACTATCGGTGCTGGTTTCTCTACATGGTATCAGAGCCATTCTAATCTTGTGCTCATCAAGATCGGGATTTAGGAGAACTCGGGTTTACTCTAAGTATGGAATCAATGGGTCGTGTTGTTGGATTGGGAATGGAGATCTTAAACCAATCTAACTACCGGTTATGGAAGTCATGTATGGAGTCATACTTGGTGAGTGAGGACTTATGGGATGTCGTCGGCGGCAGTAGCACCACACCACCAATGGGAGCTGCTGCGACAGCGGAAGCGACAAAGGAATGGACACGGAAGAATGCCAAGGCGGAGTTTGCATTGAAGAGGTCAATATCCTCGGGAGTATTTGAGCATGTCTCAAGGTGCACATCCGCTAGTTCCATTTGGCAAGCGTTGGACCAACTGTTCAACAAGAAGAATGAGGCTCGTCTACAACTGTTAGAGAACGAGTTGGCGAATGCGAAGCAGGGGGAGTCTTCAATCTCAGAGTTCTTCATCAAGGTAAAGAACCTTTGCTCTGAGATTAACACTCTTAATCCGGAGGAGTCTATTTCGGAAGCTCGGTTAAAGCGGTCTATTATTCGTGGTTTACGACCCGAATATACACCGTTTGTGACTTCCGTTCAAGGATGGGCTACACAACCTTCCTTGGAGGAGTTTGAAAATCTGCTAGCTTCGCAAGAATCCTTAGCCACGCAAATGGCGGGAGTCAAAATCCATGATGACTCGGGGAGCGCTTTTGTAGCTCGGAGGCAACAGAGCTACAAAGGAAAAACCAAGAATGATGGTGTAAAGAATAATGATGGACGGGAAAGATCTTCTACGGGAGACAAGAAGCAGTTCAAGTGTTACCGGTGTGGAAAGCTTGGGCATTTCAAAAAGGACTGTCGGGTCAAGCTGAAGGAAACCAATATGGCGGAATCAAAAAGTCATACTGAAGACGAAGATTGGGGGAAATGTTTCACGGTGGAGGCTGCATCTTCAGGTACATCCACAACTAAAAATCTTGGAAATGATTGGATTGTGGATTCGGGTTGTAGCCATCATATTACCGGAAACGAGAAGTTATTTTCTAGTCTTCAACGTCATGACGGGAAAGAAGCTATTATCACTGCGGATAATTCAATCCACCGGGTTGAGAAGGAAGGGACTATTGTTATTGAAGGAGAAGAAGGAGGCCCAATCACTCTCAAGAACGTATACCATGTCCCTGGAGTTAAGAAGAATCTTCTTTCCGTGGTGAATGCGGTGGACTCAGGTAACTACGTTTTATTTGGACCAAAAGACGTTAAATTCTTGAAGAATATTCAAGAGTTAAAGGCGGACGTAGTTCACACCGGAGCACGGGTTAAAGATCTTTATGTCTTATCGGCCTCAAATTCGTACATTGAGAAGATGAGTACGAATGATAATGCTTTTATTTGGCATGCTAGGCTTGGCCATATAAATATGACTAAGCTGAAGGCTATGGTGAATAAAGATCTGGTTAATGGGCTCCCAAAGTTGAAGATTCAAGATGAAGGAAAGCTTTGTGAAGGTTGTCAATATGGAAAATCACATAGACTTCCATTTGACAATTCTACTTCACGATGCAATGCTCCGTTGGAGAGGATCCATAGTGATTTGATGGGTCCGACGAGAACATCCTCCTATTCCGGGTTCCGCTACATGCTGTTGTTCGTTGATGATTACTCACGGTACACCTGGGTATACTTTGTGAAGGAAAAGTCAGAAGTATTCTCCAAGTTTCAAGAATTCAAGGTTACCGTGGAAGGAGAGTTGGGTCGGAAAATCAAGACCTTAAGGACGGATAATGGAGGGGAGTTTATGTCAAACGAGTTTCTCTCTTTCTGCCGAAAGCATGGTATCAAGAGAGAATTTTCATGTCCATACACACCTCAACAAAATGGAGTAGCAGAAAGGAAGATAAGGCATCTAAGTGAGACGTGTAGAAGCTGGCTACATGCGAAGAATTTGCCTAAGGCTCTATGGGCAGAAGGGATGAGATGTGCAGCCTATGTCATCAATCGGATGCCGCTTAGTCCAAATAATATGAAGTCTCCTTATGAGATGGTTCATGGGAAGAAGCCAACAGTGAAACATCTCAGGATATTTGGATCTATCTGCTATGTCCATGTGTTCGACTCTCAAAGAACCAAGCTGGAGGCAAAGGCGAAAAAGTGCATCTTTGTCGGCTATGATGAACAAAGGAAGGGGTGGAGGTGTATGGATCCAGAGACACACAGATACACTGTATCTCGTGATGTTGTCTTTGATGAAGTGTCTTCATATTACGGATCTCCTCAAGTCTTGGTTGAGCAAGATGGTGCGGGCTCACTTAAAGACGATGAACCAGCTGCTCAGATACCAAGTGATGGTGGAATTTCTGAACCAGAGATGCAAGGTGAAAGGGGGAGCACTAACCAAGAGGAAGAGGAGGAGGAAGATCATGGTTCCTTGGCTAATCAACGACCAAAACGGGACATCGTTAAACCTGCTCGGTACAGAGATGAAAGGTTTGTTACTACTTACTCATGCTACTTTGCATCTCCTTTTGATGAAGAAGAACCATCATCTTATGATGAAGCAAAAGGAGTTAAAGAGTGGGAGACCGCAATGAAGGAGGAGATGGATGCTCTAAAGAAAAATGAAACTTGGGATTTGGTTCCAAAACCCAAGGATGTCCAACCCGTCTCATGCAAATGGGTGTACCGGATCAAGCGTAAGAGGGATGGAAACATTGATAGACACAAAGCAAGATTGGTTGCTCGGGGATTTTCTCAGAAGTATGGAGAAGACTATGATGAGACTTTCAGTCCAGTGGCGAAGATGACTACGGTACGTACACTCTTATCTTTAGCTGCAAGCTTTGGCTGGAAGTTATGGCAGTTAGATGTGAAGAACGCTTTTCTATACGGAGAACTTGATAAAGAAATCTATATGGAGCAACCACTTGGTTACATATCACAAGAGCATCCCGATTATGTTTGCAAGCTAAAGAAGGCTTTGTATGGGTTAAAACAAGCTCCAAGGGCCTGGTATGGAAAGCTTGCTCAGTTTCTTCAGTTTTGCGGTTACTCTCCGTCGAACTCTGATCCGAGTCTGTTCTTCAAGAAGAATGGAGGAGTCCACGTGGTAGTCCTTCTTTATGTGGATGACTTGATAATTACCGGGAATGATGAAGCGGAAATTGCTCGTCTGCAAGAGGATATGTCGATAAGGTTTGAGATGAAGATGTTGGGTGAGCTGAACAACTTTCTTGGTTTGGAGGTTGAAAGGATGAAGGATGGAATATTCATCGGCCAACATAGCTACGCAAGAAGGATTGTAGAGAAGTTCGGGGTACACGAAGGAAAGACACGTACTACTCCGATGGATGCGAACATCAAGCTGAAGCGCGATGAAGGATCCTTGCTACCCGATCCTCGGCCTTATCGTTCTCTTGTGGGAAGTCTTCTATACTTAACCATTACAAGACCTGACATTTCCTTCGCGGTTGGTCTTGTAAGTCGGTTTATGCAGTCACCAAGGAAGCCACATCTAGAAGCGGCAAAGAAGATCTTGAAGTATGTGAAGACAACTCTTGGCATGGGTCTAATGTACAAGTACAATGCCAAGGTCTCTCTCTATGGCTTCACGGATGCTGACTTTGGTGGAGATCTAGATGGTCGAAAATCAACTTCGGGCTTTGTGTTCTTGTGTGGAGACACAAGCGTTTCATGGTGCAGCAAGAAACAAGCAACGGTGTCGCTGTCTACCACTGAAGCGGAGTATAAAGCTTCGACGCTCGCAGCCCAAGAGTGTATTTGGCTTCGAAGGCTTCTTGAAGATTTGTTTGAGCCAATCAACAAGCCGGTTGCCATATATGGAGATAACCAAAGTGCTATCAAGCTGGCTAACAATCCGGTGTTCCATGCAAGGACGAAGCATATTGAGTTGGAACATCACTTCATACGGGAGAAGGTGCTTGATGGAACAATTGAAGCTTTGGAGGTTCGAAGTGAGGATAATGTTGCAGATATCTTCACCAAGTCACTACCAAAAGGTCAGTTCGAGTTACTTCGCTCGAAACTCGGGATGGTTGATAAAATCAAGTTTAAGGGGGAGTATTGAAATTAAACTTGATTTTGATCAAGGTTTAATTTTGGGTCCATAAACAAATTATTATTAAACCCAAAATTAGGCCCAAGTTCTAGAACTCTCTAGAAACATCATAAGAGGTCATCACTTCCTCAAATTTTCTAGAGAATTCTACTAGATAACTCTCTAGATATTTATGTAGAACTTTCTAGTTCTTGTAAGACAAGAAATCTAGATATTATGTTAGAGAGTTCTAGAGATTAGGATAAACTTGTAAGATAATTTGTAGAAAGTTGTAGAAGAAGAAGAAGAAATATCTAGGACCTAAGGAGGTTATAGAAGAGTGTAGAAACTTTGTAAGTAGATTTGGGAGGCTATAAATACCTCCTCACCCCCTCATTTGTAAATGCACAAGAAATTGAACAAGTTAATAAAGAGTGTTCTAAAGCTAAGTTCTCTCTTGTTCTTCTTAAAAGTCTTTCAAGTATTCTCTTGTGTTCTTCCATATTTCTCTTCATACTTAGAGGGTTTATTGTTTCTTTCGGGTTTCTCGGGTATTACGGTCTTGGGCTAGTGCTAAGCACTATCGGTGCTGGTTTCTCTATTATTCAAAAAAATAATCAAGCTACTTATCAGAAACAGTATAATTTGCTTGGTTAGTTATTTCAAGGCGAGAGATGAAAAAAAACACACCTGACAATACGAATCCCCAGGACATGACTATAGAAGCGTATGCGGGATTAAAATCCGGAAATCTTAAATATGCACGAATAATCGTGTACCCCTTGTCTTTTAATCCGGGGAGGAACCCATCTTTAACAAAGGCCTCTTCATGATCGGATATAAGAATTAACGTAGCCGGAGGTGGAGTATTCCATACCCAGTTCCCAATATCATCCGTCATGTCCTCCGGACCTGGATCAAAATATGGCCAGTTAAAAAATAAACCTTACTTTAAAAAAAACAATCAATTATATATTGAGAAAAGAAGATTCACCGGCTATAAGAAACCAGCGGATAAGATCGGTTCCAAGACGTCATCAGAGATGTTGTTTAGGTTGCCAATGGCAGAGATGATGAAAGGAGAGTGCTCTGGAAACGTCGATTCTATACTCTGACGGGCCTGATAAGGCTTAATCTGTTCGGGAAGAAGAAGGGTATCGAGATCCCACCACACCCCGTCTTCGTTGGAGATAGTTGCTTCAACACCTGGAAACAAGAAAACCAAGATGTCCACATTCTAAACTCTATCATCAAGAAAAATATACTCTCGCTAAAAATTGAGGTGTTGAGACTTGCCTCTGATTGCCCCTCCATGGTAGGTTCGTCATGCGTCCACTCCTGGAATCAAGATAGGATTGGATCGATGAAACTTTTGAAATGGAGATATTTTTCTACTTGCGGCATTAATTGGACAATAAAAAAAATTGTAATCATCCATGCAAGACGATGCTTACTTGATATCTATGCTGTGGAGTCTTGGAATGCTTCTTCCAACTCTCAAAACTTTCTCCAGCAAAAGGGTAACCAGAATCTATGCATATGTTGCAAACCCAAGCAGTTTTGCGCTTCTCCTTAACATTCCCCTTAACATTCCCCTTACCATTTTGAGCAGTGACTGATATACATATTATAAAAAAAAGAAAAATTCAGAAAAAGCGTAATTGACTTGTTAGTTAGCTCAATAAACAATCAATGCAAGAGATGAAAAAACACCTGATAATAAATAATCCCAAAGGGTCGATTGAGAAGCGTATTCAGGTGATTTTGCCGGATGTTTTTTAAATGCACGACCAATCGTGTATCCGTCTTCGATTAACCCGGGGAGGATCCCACTATCAACAAAGGGCCCTTCAGCATCGGATATAAGAATTAACGTAGCCGGAGGTGGATTATTATTGGTCCAGCTATACAGATCGTTCGTAACGGACATCAAATCTGGAAAATACAGCCAGTTAGAAACAAACCCTAAATTAAAAACAAAATCATATATATTGAGAAAAGAAGATTCACCGTCTCGGTCGTGTTTCATAATGATTCCGGTGGATAATAACGGTTCAAAGACGTTATCAGGGATGTCGTTTAGGTTTCAAATGGCAGAGATGGTGAGAGGAAGGTGGTTTGAAAACGTCGATTCTATACTCTGACGCATCTGACGGGCCTGACAAGGCTTAAAATCTTCGGGAAGATTACATGTATTCATGTCCCACACCACCCTCGTCTGCATATCCGACGACGACGACTTGTTGGGCATCATCTCGTATTTAAACCTTCGAAATATCAAATCGCAGTTAGCTAATCTTCCAACGGAAATATCAAATATCAAAAGATATCTAGATCGACAGACGAAAGTTCTCTCTATCCGTTTTCTGTCAACTCTCTCTCTGATATATACACGAAACGTATGGGCCTATTTAACTAGGTTTTACTTTCTCTCCTTTTTTTTTCTTGTACTCCAAGCAATATCCAACAACTAAAGCCCTTCACCTGAATTATTTATTTGTTTTTGTTTCGTAACAGCATAATGCGCAACCACTACGAGAGTCTAGTAAGAGGTCTTGATTCTTGAAGATGGTTGAACTAATGAGTAAAGTTTTCAAAACTACAAGAGCGGAAAGGGGAAATGAGAATAACCACAGAACAAAAAAAAGAAGCCAATAGTGAATAGACAACAAACACACAGAGACAAGTCGAAACCCAACAAATTCGGCGTTGTAATGGGTTCCATTACTAATGGTTAATGAAGCAGGAAACATGAAAATGGAAGCCTGAAAGAAGATAATCGCTAGAGAGAGAACGAAACACTGACACAAAAGAGAATGATGATTAAAGTGGAAAAGCAGAGAGAGAGAGAATTTTGACAACCTATAATGCTTTCTTGTTGTCATGGACAACTAAAAGAAGAGGACCACTGTTTTTGCTGCTGTTTCCCAATTATCAACCATAAACTAAAACATTTAATGGAACACCAAACTCAATTTGAACCGTGCGCACTGCTTGTTCCGAATAAGAACGAGGTTTGTTAGGTTTAACCAAGCCAATACAAACCAAGACGGAAAGGAACCTAGCATACTTAACAAAAAGATTCACTAGATATCATCATCATTCCTCTGCACAAAACTTTAAAGACAAAAGGCACAAACTGCTACCGAGTTTTTTTACATTCCATAGATGCCAAATTACGTCCTTGTTCAGCGTTTGTTAATCGTCTACACAAAAAAGGTCTCATGTCTTCTCCAGTTCCTACAAGCAAAGAATAAAAAAACTTTGAATGAAGGGGATAGACACTGCTTCCTTGTTTTTCTCTTGTACAGGTCACAAGTGTGACAGTAATACGTTAGACTATGCATAAGATATTAAGATGTGTAACTCACCTCCTCAAGGTTGGCGGTCTTTCCTCTTCATCTCAACTCGAAATTTATCCTTAAGATCACGCTGCGAGATAATGAGTCTATCATTAGAAACCTGATAAAGTCAACTTTTAAGAGAAATGAATAAAGAACAGAACGATGAGTGAACTCGTGTACATTTGTTCTCCGCTCTAGAACTGAACTCTCTTCTTTGATCCGCTTCCAGTTTGTACCATGCCTAAATCACAAAAGAGCACATCAAAATCAATAGAAATGAAATGAAAGATGTTCATCATACATGAAAGAGAGATTTTAGGTTTCAGTTACGTTTCATATCCTTTCAGCAAGGCAAGCGTTTCTGCAGTAGTCCAAGGAACTGTCGTTCTTCTACCACCTTGGTTTTTCTTCAAAGGAGGCACAACAACTCTGTTACGTTTTGATTTCTTGTTCCTTTCACCATCATCGCCCATTTCTCCTTCTGAATCATCAATTGAGTCTTTCCACTAATCAAACAAACAAACAGAAATGTGATATTAAACTCGTTTGAATATTTAAACACAGTAAGTCCAAATACAGCTGATCTGATGAAAGCAATAAAAACTAACAAACATACCTCATAAGTTTGCGCTGTGGCACGTCGCTCCATCAAGCTAGGTCTTGGTGAAGAGTTTGTTGCAGAAGGATTTGCAACATCATTGTTTAAGTTTGAAGAACTTCCTTTTCCTAAAGCCTCCATCAGATCCATTTTCCTATCTCTAAGCTTTCTGATTGCTTTGTTAACCACTGCAGAGGAAATGGTCTTGAATTGACGGGGTGGAGATTTAGCTTCTGAGGGGCTCTCTGTAACAAAGGTATAAGAAACAGAATCAAAACCTGAAAAAAATAATACTTTCCCTTATCCATCTCAAAGCCAGAAAGCAAAACACCTCACAGCAAATCAAAGCGAATGCATCAGACCCTTAATCAACAAAATCACAACATAACAAAGTTGAGAAAGTGTAGACCTTGGTCTTCCTCCGTAGCTTCAGACGTCTCGGAGATTTGATTGACCACTAGCTCTCTTGCTTCATCCACCATTGGCTCTGTCTCTCCACTTTCTTCGCTAGATTCACCCTCTTCCGATTCATCCATGTCCTCATTTCTATCACCATAGGCAGAATCAAGGTTGGGATGCAGCTCTGAAACGACCTTCCTCAAAGAAACCAGAGCTTCGTCTCTCGTTTTCTCACCCATCAGAGTCTCACAAGCTTTTGCGTCATTGTGGGCCGTCCATAATCTTCGACAGCTATTCAAGAGGTCACGAGTGACCAAACAACTAACCTTATCGCATAGAGGCAATACCCTACGGAGCCATATCGATCTGATTGCTTCAGTATAAGCCTCTTTTGCGTCTTTCTCATTAGCGAGACACCTCGCTGTGCACTCCACGGCGACTTGACAAAACGCTTCCTTCACTGATTCCGGCACCTTAGAACCTTCCTTGCGTAAGATCTCCACTAGATTCTCCAACCGCTCGAGATTCTTCTCCTCTACGACCCCTTCCTCGATCTCCATGAGAATCCCTTCGAGAATAGCTTCCTTCCACTGCGACAGTGCCATTGTCGTCGACAACTCAAGCAGACAATGTTAGGGCTTTTCAGAGCAATCGGCAATTTCTCGTTCGTCGATTCCGTGTCTCGACTTGGATTATACAGGAAAGGTCGATTAGGTTTGTAACATTCTCAATTTCAATTTTCAATTCTCTTCCTTTCCCGGGTTCGATTCCAGAGGCGACGACGAAGCGATTTGGTTGGGAATGGAATGTTGAGATACCAGATTTTGCCGTTTCCGTTTTTCAAAGTAACAACGCGTGTCGTTTTCAATAATATGAAACGGCTCACGTGCTCTGTCTATACAGAGATAACGGCAAGATATTGCAATTTTGATTTTGCGTTTCACTGATTCTAATTTTTCCTTTTTTTTTGGTTTTTCTTATAAAATAAAAAATTCAGAAGAGGGCAATAGCGGCGGAATCGGATTCATTGCTTACAGAAAGGCAAGACCTAAGAAGAGGAAGAAGGAGATACTCTCGCAGCAGCACTTGTTCACGAGTCGCTATCTGCTCAGAAGGAGAGCAATGTCTGCAGCGAAAGCCGTCTCAACCTTGGACAATGTAGTGGTGAAGTCACCGAACGATCGGAGGTTATACAGAGTGATTGAATTGGAGAACGGATTGTGTGCTCTGCTTATTCACGATCCAGATATTTATCCCGAGGGCTCTGTTCCGGATGGCCAGAACACCGACACTGATCAAATTGATGAAGATGAAGATGATGATGATGGAGAAGAGGAAGATAGTGATGGGAGCTATGAAGATGATGAGGATGACGAGAAGGAAGGGGAAGGAGATGAAGAAGATGACGAGGAGGAAGGGGAAGGAGATGAAGAAGATGACGAGGATGAGGATGAGGATGAAGTAAAAGAGAAAGGGGATCACCAGACCAAAAAGGTTTTTAATTTAAGAATTAAGATTTATCAGCTGCTTTCTTACTCTTATCAACGATTTATTTTAAACTCCTATGTTATGTGTTGCGTGTCTCAGGCAGCTGCAGCAATGTGTGTTGCAATGGGCAGCTTCTTGGATCCTCCAGAAGCGCAAGGCCTGGCTCACTTTCTTGGTATTATCATCTTTCTATCAGTCTGAATTCACTTCTTTTGTTTTTTTTTGGTAATTGAATCAGTCTCATGTTTATGTTTCTTGTAGAGCACATGCTTTTTATGGGTAGCACCGAGTTCCCCGATGAAAATGAAGTAAGCATGGCATCATTTTGAGCTATTTATAGGTTCATATGAAATGAAGTACCCTGTGAACTTCAGAATTTTGTAATTTTAATCTTGGATAATGGATAATGGTTTAAATTCTTTCAAACATTGTTTTGTTAGCATGATGTACCTTTGAATTCTTCCGGGTTTGACTTTGTTTTGCTTGTAGTATGATAGTTACGTGTCTAAGCATGGAGGATCCTCTAACGCATACACAGAAATGGAGTATACGTGTTATCACTTTGATATCAAGAGAGAATTCCTTCAAGGTGCCTTGAAAAGGTACAAACTTAGTTTGAGCTGCCATTTCACTTATCTAGGCAGGCTATATATATGTCGGTATGAATGCCTCGAGTTGTTTTCAATTGTTCAATTTTGTGATGATATGGTAAAAGAAAATGCAGAATTCTGTTTATCCTTCTTCCTCCTCAAACATAAATTGTCTCCCTAATATGTGATCACTTGCAATTTACATAAACCATTTCCTATAAAATATTTTCTATAGGCTATACATATTTGAGCATTCTGTTAGGTTTAATCTTTTCCTTCTCGTTTATGTTCTTTGGAAGGCTTATTTGACCTTAGGTTGTTCTCTGTTTATTAGGTTCTCTCAGTTCTTTATTGCACCGCTTATGAAGACTGAAGCTATGGAAAGAGAACTCCTTGCCGTTGATTCAGGTTTATCTTGCCTGTCAATGATACCTTTATTGCTTTGTTAGTAATTATCAAAAGATTCATCTCGATCAACATTTAGATAAATTACCTTTTTTATATAGTAAAAATTGTCTTGCTAATAAGATCCAAAATTTATAGAATTTAACCAGGTCCTCCAAAATGATGCATGCCGTCGGCAACAGTTTCAGTGCTATACGTCTGCAAAGGGTCATCCTTTAAATAGGTTTGCATGGGGTAAGGTCATCTCAGTGTACCTTTCTTGCCACACTTAAGATATTGATTAAAGAAGTTCATGTTAATATGTCATTTGTGTACTCTGTAAGGTAACAAGAAGAGCTTGGGTGGTGCAATTGAAAATGGTGTTGATCTACGGGAATCCATTGTGAAACTATACAAGGAATATTACCACGGTGGATTGATGAAGCTCGTTGTCATTGGAGGAGGTAAAACTCTGTTTGTTATGATATGTTTGGCTCTGATTCTAGGAAAAGAAGTTCTGCTCATTCCTAAATATTGGCCTATGTTGCTGTTTGAGTTTATTGTAATTTAATAGTTATTTTTGAATTTCTGCAGAATCTCTCGATACGCTTGAAAGTTGGGTTGTAGAATTATTTGGTGATGTCAAAAAAGGATCCAAAATCAGGCCAACTCTTGAGGCAGAAGGTCCTATTTGGAAAGGCGGAAAATTGTTTCGCTTAGAAGCGGTTAAAGATGTTCATATTCTTGATTTGGCATGGACTCTCCCTCCTCTTCGCCATGCCTATGTGAAGAAGCCGGAAGATTATCTAGCACATCTATTAGGACATGGTGAGAAACAGATCCCTTTTATTTTATCTAGAGTTTTCTTTACGTGTAAACTGCATACTGAAGAATGTTGTTTACGCCCTTGTGTTTTATAGAGGGTAAGGGAAGTCTGCTTTCATTCATCAAAGGTAAGGGTTGGGCAACCTCGCTGTCTGCTGGTGTTGGGGAGGATGGAATTAACCGCTCGTCTCTAGCCTATGTTTTTAGCATGTCCATATATCTCACGGACTCTGGTTTAGAGAAGGTAACTTAGCATATATCTTATTATTTCTATTTTAATTCATCAGGTTCAATTATATATGTAAGCTCTTTTCTCTGATATTCCAAGTAGTATCTTTAGTGGCTTCTCAACTGAATTTTATAGTTGGCAAGCTGACATATCTTGTCCTTCAACATTCCTATTTTGACCTTGTTATTTTTTTATCAACAGATTTATGACATCATTGGTTACATCTATCAATATCTCAAGTTGTTGCGTGATGTGTCACCACAAGAATGGATATTCAAGGAACTCCAAGATATTGGGAACATGGACTTTAGATATGCTGAGGAGCAGCCTGCAGATGATTATGCTGCTGAGCTCTCAGGTTTGTATTTTAAGGTGCTTAATAGTGGATAGCTTATTATGTTGGGATGTAAAGCCTAAACACTTTCAGAACTTATCATGTTTTGGTGTATCTTGATCATGCGTTTCTTAAATAACCATTGAAAATGTTGTGGTACAGAAAATATGCTTGCGTATCCGGTGGAGCACGTTATCTATGGTGATTATGTATACAAGACATGGGATCCAAAAATGATAGAAGATCTTATGGGTTTCTTCACACCAGAAAACATGAGGATTGATGTTGTTTCGAAATCCATCAAGTCAGAAGGTATTTAAAGATTCGTTAGAGTATGTAAATTTTGGATTGCATATGTGTATTCTTACTATCTTCTTTTAAAAAATTCCTTATTTCAGAGTTCCAACATGAGCCTTGGTTCGACTCTCGTTTCACAGAGGAAGATGTTCCATTGTCTTTGATGGAAACATGGAGCAATCCTTCAGAAGTAGATAAATCTTTGCATCTCCCTTCGGAAAACCATTTTATCCCTTGTGATTTTTCCATCCGAGCCATTAAGTCTGATGTGGATCCCAAAAGTCAGTCTCCTCCTAGATGTATAATTGACGAACCATTCATGAAATTCTGGTACAAGCTCGACGAAACATTTAAGGTTCCTCGTGCAAATACATACTTCCGCATCAATCTGAAGGGGGCATATGCCAGTGTGAAGAACTGCCTTTTGACTGAACTATTTATAAACCTTCTGAAAGACGAGCTAAATGAACTCATTTACCAGGCAAGTATATTATTTCTCAGAAATATCGTTTTAGATGTTTTTTTGTTTGTTTGTATTGACATGAATATCTAATTTTTTTGCAGGCCAGTATGGCAAAGCTTGAAACGTCTTTATCTATGAATGGTGATAAACTAGAGCTTAAAGTGTATGGCTTTAACGAGAAAATTCCAGCTCTTTTATCAAAAATCTTAACCATAGCCAAATCCTTCATGCCAAGCCTGGACCGGTTTAAGGTATGCAAATATTTGCATGTTTAGTTGTCAAAACATTTATTTTCATACAGTCTTGAAGTTCAAACTATGTGTCATTTCTTATCCCCCATTCTTTCTTCATCCAACTACTTTTTCAATCAAATTTTGCAGGTTATCAAAGAAAACATGGAGAGAGGATTTAGAAATACTAATATGAAGCCTTTGAACCATTCCACATACTTGAGACTGCAACTCTTGTGTAAACGAATCTATGACAGCGACGAGAAGTTGTCTGTACTAAATGATTTGTCTCTCACTGATCTCAACAACTTTATTCCTGAAGTCCGTTCTCAGGTAACATTCTGCAATCTGCATCAACCACTTTTAATGTGATTGCCCTTTTACTCAATACTGTACGAGACTACTTGCCTTTGTGATTGCTCTCTGGTTATGTTTAAACCAGGAAAAGGTTAGTAAAAACTTTTGTTATGTTTGCAGATATTTATTGAGGCTCTCTGTCATGGTAATTTGTCGGAAGACGAAACAGTAAACATAGCAAACATCTTCAAAAACAGTTTGACAGTTGAACCGCTCCCAATCAACTGTAGACATGGAGAGCAGATAACGTGTTTCCCTCCGAGTGCCAAACTTGTAAGAGATGTCAATGTGAAGAACAAATCTGAAACAAACTCAGTAGTCGAGGTAAAAGGAAAAATGTTCTGTTCTTGTGATGAGAGTCAGCTAAGTAGAAACGATAGTAGGTTTCTCGGATATAGTCATCATGGTTACGAATTTAAGACTGAATCCTGTTTTGCAGCTGTACTATCAAATCGAGCCGGAAGAAGCTGAGTCAACAAGAATGAAAGCTATGCTGGATCTCTTTCATGAAATCATAGAAGAGCCGTTGTTCAATCAGTTGAGGTTAGTCATCACATGTTTCCCCACTTAGTTTACACAGATCCAAACTGTAAATTTGTATAGTCATATATATGCCATTTTGGTTATAGGACGAAGGAGCAGCTTGGTTATGTTGTCGAGTGTGCCCCTCGCCTAACGTCTCGTGTCCATGGTTTCTGTTTCTGTGTTCAATCCTCTAAGTACGGTCCAGTTCATTTGCTCGGGAGAGTCGAAAATTTCATAAAAGACATTGAAGGGCTGCTGGTAAGTTTGTATTCAAAAAGAAGATACAATATTAAGATTCGTTAAGACATTCCACAAATGTTATTGCAGGAACAACTCGATGAAGAATCCTTTGAAGATTATCGAAGCGGTATGATTGCTAGATTGCTGGAGAAGGATCCCTCTCTCTTGTCTGAGACAAATGAGCTATGGAGTCAGATTGTTGACAAAAGGTGAGATATGGAGTTCCATATAAAAGTTGAATGATTTGCTTCATTCCATATCGGTCACTGACTAATGAGAATGGAGTTTAACTCTTTCACAGGTACATGTTTGATTTCTCACACAAAGAAGCAGAAGAGCTGAGAAGCATAGAGAAGAAAGATGTGATCAATTGGTTCAAAACCTATTTTAGAGAATCATCGCCGAAATGCCGTAGGCTTGCGGTTAGGGTCTGGGGATGCAATGCCAATATGAAAGAAACACAGACGGATCCCAAGTCGGTGCAGGTCATCGCTGACGCTGTGGCTTTCAAGTCAACTTCTCAGTTTTACCCAAGCCTCTGCTAGTGAGTGAGAGAATCAACACTTCAAAAAGTTTTTTGCTTCGTCTTTGATAATTTTTCATTTACTCAATTATTATTACCCAAATCCGTTATACTTTGGGTGAAAAACACCGATAATGCCGTTTTTCTTGTTATGATTTGAGAATATTCATTTACATTATGTTTTGTCGGTTGGTTGAAGTTGAAATCTATTGCTCCAACACAAGCAGGCCAGCTAGTGACCTTTTCATATTTTAATGAATTAGAAATTTAGAATTAAAACCCTCGGGAACACATATCAAAGAAAATTTCCAATAAAGAAGAAGCATTACTAAAAACACACAAACAAAATAATTGAAGTTCATCAGTATACCAGGCATTACCTTATTTTGGAACATTGAATTTTTTACGTAACCAACGGTATAAATGTATCATGAATGTAGATCATGAACTTTTTCGGGTAATTACAATTTTATCCCGCGGTTAATTTTCTGGTGGGGCCTATAGGCATCATCAACGTAGAAAGCGAAAACTATCGTCTTCCTCTCTCTCACTATTTCCTCTGTACGGTGCTGAGTGCAGACCATCATCGAAATTTGCAAAAATAGGATTCTCTCTTTTATACAAAATCTGAATCTCTTCTCCTCCGTCGAAGTTTGAATTCTCTCTGGTTCTCCCGTGAGTTATCTCTCTCTCCCATTTCTCCATTCCTTATCTTCTCCTTGTTTCCTTTCGCGTCTTCTTCAATTTCCGTTCAGCTAACTTCTGATCTCTGTCTCATACCGGCAGATCTAGGGTTTATGGCTTCTGGCTTTCTATAAATCTTCTTCGTTCTCCGAATTCTGTTAATGTTTATCTAACGAGTTTCTATTTTCTTCATTTCTGCAGTCGAGCTGCCCCAGCTTCGATTCTCTCGCATTTACGTATACGTTCTGCACGGATGAGGTTCGTTTTCTCCAGATCGCTCTTGTCTTCTCTTCGTTTTACTTGGCTATCGTATGAATTGATTTCTGAATCGATGTGAAAATTTTGGTGGATAGATCATCGTAGATCGTGATTTAATCGAGAGAAAATTAGGAGAGCGAAGATGAGCGAGGGCCAGAAGTTCCAGCTGGGAACAATCGGCGCTTTGAGTTTGTCCGTTGTTTCGTCTGTGTCTATCGTGATCTGTAACAAGGCGCTTATTAGCACCCTTGGCTTCACATTCGGTAACCTACTCAATTCTTCCTCGCGGATATCCTAGTATCTCAGGCTCCTTTGATAATCCATGTTACTGAAGAAAACATTTCTTCTGGATCTATACGTGTGCTTGTTTGCTAAATTATACTCTTAGCGAATAAGTTGAATGATAGGCTGGAGAAATTTTTAGGTGGTTATCTCCTTCTTCGTTTTTCCCCCTTATGGTCCATAAGAAAAATTGCCTTCGTGATAGTATATTTTTATGCGAGTTTCACATCTCTGGTATGTAGACATAAACGCTTTAAATGTTTGTGACTCTGTGGTTTGTGTGTCCCCAAAAGATTTGGAATTCTCTGGTTACTTTATTAGGTGCTTTTTTACTTTAGCTTTCATGTGGGACTCAATATTTTTATTGTTGGTAGGTAGATACACTGGCAATTCTATGTAGCATTATTACACTGAGAAGGACGCTGATCAACTCTTTTTCAAGCCTGCATCATCATAACTGCTTATATGTCATCATATGTAATTGATCTCATAAGCTATCTGTATTTACTCTTGTTATTTTGTACGTGCAGCGACTACTTTGACAAGTTGGCATCTTTTGGTCACGTTTTGTTCCCTTCATGTGGCATTATGGATGAAGATGTTTGAACACAAGCCTTTTGATCCACGAGCTGTGATGGGATTTGGCATATTGAATGGGATATCCATAGGACTATTAAACCTCAGCCTAGGCTTTAATTCCGTTGGTTTTTACCAGGTATAGCTTTGTCATTCAAGCTGCCACATGATCATATCCTTTTAACCTCTGTTTTTCAAACCCATCTCCTCTTCTGTTGATATTAGATGACAAAACTAGCAATCATCCCCTGTACTGTTCTCTTGGAGACCCTCTTCTTCAGGAAAAAGTTCAGGTCAGTACTTACAATAACCTTTCTATTACCCATAAATGATTATTATTTGGAGGAATCTATTTTGTTTGACATCTATCTTTGCCATGGTCATGCATTTCTAGTTGACTATCAAAGTTCTAATAATCTAATTTAATATACTTGATAGTTGAGCAACTTAGTGATAGTCTTATGTCCCTTTGTGTGGATAATTGGTCCTCAGAAATTTTCATGGCTCCACCTGTTACTTAGGCTAGTCTCTGGTCAAGGACCTAGTTAATGACACTTCTCTTTTTTTTTGTTTGCAGTCGAAAAATTCAGTTTTCACTAAGCATCCTTCTCCTTGGTGTTGGAATTGCAACCGTCACAGATCTTCAGCTTAATATGCTGGGTTCCGTCTTGTCGCTGCTGGCTGTTATCACAACTTGTGTTGCTCAAATTGTATCCTATACTTACCCATTGCTTTATTCTTACGACATTTCTTTATATTCTGTGTTAAGCCAATTCGATGTTGTTATCTTAACCAACTGTGAACAGATGACAAATACCATCCAGAAAAAGTTCAAAGTTTCATCCACGCAACTTCTTTATCAGTCTTGCCCGTATCAAGCAATCACACTTTTCGTCACTGGCCCATTTTTAGATGGGCTCCTAACCAACCAGAACGTGTTTGCTTTCAAGTACACTTCTCAAGTTGTGGTGAGACTTTATTCTGCCAGAGCTTCTACACCACTTATATACTGGTCTTCTTGCTTCCAAGTTTGATTCTACATATTTACATGTGCTTCTTTTTGTTGACTGCAGTTCTTCATCGTCTTGTCCTGTCTCATATCAGTCTCTGTAAACTTCAGCACTTTCCTTGTGATTGGAAAAACGTCCCCGGTCACATACCAGGTTCTGGGACATCTGAAAACATGCCTGGTTCTAGCATTTGGGTATGTGTTGCTGCGAGACCCATTCAACTGGCGCAACATTCTCGGTATTATGGTGGCTGTGATTGGAATGGTGGTTTATTCCTATTTCTGCTCGATTGAGACTCAGCAGAAGGCAAGTGAAACATCGACTCAGTTGCCTCAGGTATATTTCCTCTAGCTATTATCTTTCTGTTTGGCTATATATAGCTTACTAATAGTGAATGCTGGACACCAGATAGATTTGATCCCTGGACCATACTAAGTAGGAATCACTTACTTCCCTCGTAGGACAAATCAATGGTACAATCAAAGAAATAAGTAGATGATTCCCTGAACAATTGATTTATCGATTAGACATCTGTCAGAAAAGCCACCATATCATAATCATTGTTTTGGTTGGTAGAGGTCTGTTTAACAAAGGTCTATGCTGATTTGGTGTTATGTTGTATCGCTGTACAAGAAAGAAAAACAAAAAAAAACTGAAGTTACATTTGGGTTTGGCAGATGAAAGAGAGCGAGAATGATCCGCTAATAGCAGTTGAAAATGGAAGCGGAGTGTTATCAGATGGTGGTGGTGGTGTGCAAAAGACGGTAGCTCCAGTATGGAACTCAAATAAAGATTTTCAAGCCTAAAGCTGAACATCGCTATATTTTTTTATATAAATATATCAACTCTCTTTTGTATCAGATTTGTCAAAAGAAAAAAAAAACTTTTTTAATTCGTCTTTTTTTTGTTTGTTCTCTTTTAAAATCGCATAGCAGAGAAGTAGGGGAGACTGAAAAATCATCAGCTTTCCACAACCGTATGGAAAAGGGAAGAAAGTAGAGAGTGAGGGAGAGAAAAGGGAACAGCTTCGAATTTGATGATCCAATTTTATTGTTATACACAGCAGCTTTTCTTTTGTTTCTCCCTTTTTGGATTTAGTATTGTAACTGTATGACAAAATTGTGACTATTCATCAACACTGTGGAAACATGTATTTGGTTTTAAGACGCCCTCTTTATATACATGGACTATGGATATACACTTGTTGTCGAGAATGATTAAAATGGACGATCGATTGAGTCCATTGTTTGTATCTGGATCGTAGATACAGAGTTTGGGTAATCTAGTACTCAATTTACGCTTATGTTTGACAAGGAATGCCATTACACTGGTTTTTAGGTCTCAACACAACAACAAAAGAATCATAGCAGAAATGTTTCCTTCTTATTTCTTTTCGGATTTCCAAACTGCATTCCGTGTCTTCCATCGAAGTACATTGAACGAAAAAAATTACTTTGTTAGCTTCAGGGCCAAAATGGATGGCACAACCTCATCTATTCAATTTCCTGCTTAATCCTAGGAATCATCCACACACATCTGTAGCGGTCGTGAAACTGTAACAGCTCCCTTTTGGATAACTTGGTCATGGTGTATTGTGTCCGAAACTTTGCTCGGTGGCCAATACCTAAACACGGATCTTCCAATGATGTTCTTTATTGGAAGTGGACCCCTGCGTTGTACATTTGCCAAATCAATCAAAAAAATCAACAGAGGTTCCACAATTTAACACAGAAGAGCCATGAAATTATTAGTCATCTTCCAAAGTAGTTACCAGTTGTGAGAGTCGAAGCTTTTATTGCGGTTATCTCCTAGGACAAAGACATAACCTTCAGGGACAAACTGCAAATAAAGACGAAAAGCCAACTTAGCAACATTGTTCTTTTACAACGTTTTAGGTCGAGAATTATTCAACTAGGACGTGGAAGATCGCTTACCATCGGTTCCATTTCATAGTCGATTGGCTCTAAGACAAAATCTTCCATTTGAACAGTATCATTCACTAAGAGCTTTCCATCACAAACCTATAAGATACAGCATCAATAGGTTAGAGAGGAAAATGATACAGAAACACAAAACAAAGGGTAAGGGTCTGTTTCGAGTAGGCTGGTCATCAAGAGGCCACTACAGATGTAATACCAATAAAGGTGAGCAAAGACTTCAATGGATGAATAGGATCAAATCAACAAGTGGATTAGATATAAGGGCTTACTTCAACCCAGTCACCTTCGCTTGCAACTATCCTTTTTATGAAAACATCAGCACAATTGTAACCATGTTCCTGCAATTTTTCAGACGGAGGATATCAAACACCTTTTACACAGGTTTTACAACATATTAAAATACAAGAGAGGATGATTTGGGACCTACCACCAAAACGGGAGGAGCCTTGAAGATGACTATATCTGAAACCTCTGGCTTTCTAAAAAGGTACGAGACCTAACCAGAAACAAAAGCACATATGCAGATCAATAACTCAGCAATCACTCTAGTGAGGGAGATATCATTCAAAATGCACAATTTATATAGCCAAAAAATCCAGTATTCTCACCTTCTCGGCCATAACACGATCACCCACATCAAGAGTAGGATACATAGACGTTGAAGGAATCGACTTTGGCTCGGCCAATGCCGATCGGAAAAGGAGAGAAACCGTCACAGCCGTGAAAGCTGCCTTAGCGTCCTCCGAGCAGATATTCAACAGCTTATTAACCCATCCGTTTCCAACATTCGAGCCTTTATTACTCAACTCCAGCTTCACTTTTGCATCACACGCCGTTCCTCCCCTACCAATCTCAGCAATATCCGTTGACAGTGTCGCCGGAATGCTACAAGGCATCCACTTAGAGCCCCTAAGGAACGACGGGATCACAGAAGAAGTCTTAAAGGGCGAGATCCCGAGGACGTTCATACCCAAAAGATCTGGAGCAGCTGTCATTTTCATGAGGGAGATCATCCCTAGCATAAGCGGACTCTGGCTTCCTTCTTCGAGGAATTCCCTCGCAATGGTGCTGTACATGGAAGCTGGTCGGACACGAGGGCTTGAGCCGGGAGATTTATCCATATCGGGAATCTGATTGTTGCCGAAGAGCCTGGGACGGACCCAACATTCGTAGCACGAGCGGACATCGCCGGTACCGACGCGAGTCCCGCCGGCTGATGAAGCAATGTTCCTGGCAACATAGCTTGAGTACGTGAAGGTGACCCTAAGCGCCATAGATGCAAATTCGAATACGAAATTGACAAATTAGGGGTGAATTGAGGTTTCGATAGAGAGTGAGGAGGTTTTACGGCCTATGGAAGACCTAGAGAGAATTAGCAAGCGATTGTTTAATCAATACGTAAATTAATCGGATCGGAGAATTGGAAAGTCGATCTCCCGGCGAGAGAAACGGAGACTCGTTCCGCCGGAGAGATCGAGTTTTCAGGTGGCAAAACGAACGGGCGAGGAAGAGAGGAGAGAAATCTGGAGATCCCAGAGAGGGGGAAGGTTGAAAGCAGAGAAAGTCTTGTTCTCTCGAGTATAGAGATGTCTCTGACAAAAATAAGGGCCAGATGGGCCCAACAAAAAGTTTATTAGATTTTCTTTTCGGAGACCTTTATGAAAGCGCATGACAGCAGAGTTTTCATGACAGCAGCGCATACGTCATCTCGTATAAGAGATGAGAATATGAGATGCTTCGTTGATATTTCTTTATGGAAATCACTCTATTTTTTTATTCTTTACATGGACATCGAGTACTTAGTCGTTAACTTAGGGAAGTTGAGTTTGACCAAAGATTGGATTTCAGCTGAGTTCACGATTTGTTTAGCCTTTTTTTTAGGAGTCTCCGAAACAGCCTAAAACGAAAATAATTCTCCAAATGGTTTTAATCAATCATGTTTTGTTTTTCAAATGGTTGAGGGGTCAATTTAGTTGTCCATAGGCCATAGCAAACAAACATGGTATCATATACATTTGATGATGCCATTTTTTTAACTAGAGCATTTATGGCTAAAAGTTGAAACTAAAAAGAATGTTACAATTTAAGAAATGGGTTGTGGCAATTTGCAATATGTTATTTTGGTAATCTGTGTGTGGGCCAATGGGCCTAATTATCATCATAAGAAGTTTCTGATAATTAATTTGTGTATAATAATTTAATAGTTAGTCATAGAGACAACAAAGCACCAGTGGTAGAATAGTACCCTGCCACGGTACAGACCCGGGTTCGATTCCCGGCTGGTGCATTGAGCGATGATGATAACGGTGTAGCGATGCTTGGTCATTCGCATTCATCTGACTTTCAGATGATTACCACACTCCTGAGCTCTTTTTTTAATCCCTTCCGATTTCATGTAATTTTTTCATAAGACGTCCAATTTTAAAAGGCAGTTATACAATGGAAACAAAAAGATGTAAATCTGAGACGGAAGATAGAAAATACAAAAGAGAAAAAAAGGTAGCAAAGCGAAATGAAAAATTATTCATCTCCTTTGTTCCTTGAAGAACAAACAATGGGAGTAGCAAACAATGAAACTCACAATCACCAGACAACATAAGACCAACACAAATTTGTCTGTCCTTTCTTGGTTTTGGCACCTCAAAAAAAAAGAATAATAAATCATCGAAAGTGAATCAAAATGAATTTTAAGCCTATAAACAGATTTGCGGCTTCATTTGTCAATACGCAGAGCTACTCTCACTAGCAGAGAGCGAAGGTCCTTCAGATTTGACTAAGCTCGAGCTATTGCTACTTATCTCTAGCCCTTGCAATCTCCCGTTCTGTAGAAACTCCGATACGCTCTGAGCATTCGACATCTCCATCGGATGGCTTGGATTGAAACCATGCATCTGCATTTCCTGGCCGTTGATTGAGCCGTGATATGGTGGAATCGCCATGAATGTTGATGGGGAATACTGAATCTGCTGCATTCCCATGTCATACGAATCTGAATTACCAGAGATCTCCCCTGTCTCCATCTTCATCCTTTCCACTTCTTTCCTCAATGCTTCATTTAGAGCTGTTTATCAAAAGCAGAGATTGAAAATCATAGAAGCGGAATGCACCAAAAATGAATACAAAGAATTAGGTCTTTTGTTTGTTTACCATTACGAAGCTGAGCTTGTTGCTCCATTGCTTGTAACCTGAGTTTCAGATCTGTGTTTTCGTTTGCCAATCCATTCGTGTCCCTCTGGTCAATCAAACAAACAAAAAACGGATTGAGAGAGTTAAATTCCCAAAATCATTGTTGATGCTCCTAAAACTTCCCTATCAAGCTACATTATTCTGAGGAATCGAAAGTTTTAAAAGGAAACCTGGAAAAGAGTAAGCTGAGCAGAGAGAGTGGTGGCTTCGGTTTGAAGCGATTGAACTTTACGCTCAAGTTCCTGAATGTATCTTGCTTTCCTCTCCTTGGAACGTGCTGCAGATTGCCGATTCGCTAATATCCTGTAATCGATCCCATAATCATTGGAAATTCCAATTGATTTTCAATTCTGTAAATAGATTTGGAAAAGATAAGAGGAGGAACCTTTTGGCGCGTTTGGGATCGATGTTCCAAAGCTCGGAGAGCTTTTCGGGAGGCATGGCTTTCTTTGCGTCCATGATTTCATTGGCATACATGGCGCATCCAGCGTCGACGGAATTGCTGTGGCGGTGGCGAGGGCGAGAGGAACCTGGCGGAGGATTGGCGGCGGAAACGGAGTTAGAGGAGAGAGAGCCGGCGGAGGGATTCGGAAATGCGAACGGCGGATGCGGATTTGAGGAGAGGCTGTCGACATCGATGAACGATGAGAAGAGATCGTCGTCCGAGGGGAGGTCGTCGGAGGAAGGTGGTGCGCCGGAGGAGGAGATGAGCGGATCCATGAACATGAACATTGACATGTCATCGGAGCGAGATCGGCGGTGGAAAGAGGAGGGAATGGGATCGGGATTTGGATTAGGATTTGGATTCGGATCGGAGGGAGGGACAATTGCGGCGAGCTTCGGCGGAGGATCAGATTTCTCCATCGGCTTGATTTAAAATCGGAGAAAGGAATGCTGAGAATTCTGCGGTTGGGGCGAAGGAGCGAAATGAGAGCAAATGTGTCTATGGAGGACGAAGATTGAAGAAGAAGGAGATAATGATGGATATGAAGCTTTCTCTCTCTTTGAAATGAAGAGCGTAGGAGGAACTCAACTGTGAGGAGGAGAGAGAAGTGACGTCACTAACTATAAATTGCCATTGAGTTGAGAAAGAAAGTTAATGAATTATGACCATTTTTTATTGGTCGGTTGATAAAATAATATTATTTTATTTGTATTAAAAATTATTGACGAAAAGTAAAAGGCACATTGACACGTGAAGCATCTCAGCATCTTGTCTCCCTCTTTCTATTTTTTTTTTGTTGGCCATAATTATACTAATCTCTTACGTGAACGTGACTAATAATTCGCTTTTATGTTTTTGAACTGGTTAATTGATCTCATAGTACTGTACCACCATTACGTGCTTCAACATGTTTTCTTAAAAAAGCAATTATTGAGTAACATCTCACCACGTCTGATAATTCGCTTTTATGTTTTAAGCCAAATATGTAAGAAGAACAAAGGCAGAAATGAAGTGGTCAAAAAAGTTGGCATTGGAAAATAATAATTTGGAGAGGAAGAGAAGAAATACAGAAATTTGAGAAACTATGTACAGTGTGTATTGTGTGGATGAAGAATTCACTCAACCATGGCGTCATCTACAAACTATGAAGACTATATCTCGTACTGCGCCTGTAGCTCAGTGGATAGAGCGTCCGTTTCCTAAGCGGAAGGTCGTAGGTTCGACCCCTACCTGGCGCGTTTAGATTTATTTTTGTCCACTTCAGCTTTCTTTTGGGCCTGCTCTACATTGGGCTCATTTGGCAATTAGGGGCATCACTTTATTAGCCAAGTGAAATTATTGTCTGAAACGCCAGAAGTGGACCGGTATCAATTAATAACTCGACCTTAAGGCAATTAAGAAGACTAAGAAGTAATAATGATACTTACTTATTACCAGCTAAAGTTTCTTTTCCTGTTCTTTAATTGAATTGAATTTTTTATCCAAGCAGTAGTTATGACTTTTCTTTCATTTAGAGATAACCTTTAAAGATATCAAAACCTGGAAGACTCAAAGTAGATTTTCTATTGTAGATTTACTGTCAGAAAATGAGTTTTATAAATTTTCAAGAGAGAAACCAATCTGTGTAGGAAAGTTCTCTAACCGTGTAAAATTTCACAATATAAAATAACAATTACTGTCATAATCAACACCATTTTTGATGATAAATTTACAAGCAAAAACAATATAACGACGGTTGAGTTGGTTTCTTATTGCTGTACTATTTGCTAGTGGTATGACTTTTTAATACAAAATAAAATAAAATTACAAGGTGGAATAAGAAAAGACCGCACTCGCACTTGCACGATGTAGCATTGTACCTACTGTCCATTTCTCAAATATGAAAGGGGAGTTTTATAAGTAAAAAAACGACAAAAAGGTCAAAGGGACAGGTCACAAACGCAAACAAACACAAATTAAGAAAGGAAGAAAAAACAGAAAGATAATAACTAAAGGGTGTTTTGACGAAAGCAGAAGAAGGTGGCTGGCGTTGAGTAATGGCGGCGGCGAAAGAGAAACTTTGGTGACGCCCTCGTCGATCCCCTCCACGGATTGAAATAGTCAAAATTAGAAAATGTCGTTTCCTCACTCTTCAATGCTCTCAACAAACTTCAACCACTTTCCTCTTACTTTCTCTTCTCCCTCTGCTTCTGTTTCAGTCTATACCTGGTCATGGCCTTTTCCTTTTAACTCTCTCTCAGTTTCGCGTCTTGGGTCTCCTCTGTTTCCTCCCTCGATATGTGCTCGTCACGTGTCTCTCGTCTCCTACCTCTTCTCTTCTTCTTCTGTTGCTGGTCTTCTGCTTTTGCTCAAGACGCCATCACCAATCCCGTCGAAGGTTTGCTTTACCCGTTTCTTATTGTTGATTCGCTTTCTCTTTTGCTAAGATCTTCAAACAATCTGTGTCTGCGATATGGGTTTTCTTCGCTTGCTCCATCATTTCGTGTTGATTCTTTTTTGGATTCAGTGAGGGCTCTGCGAGCAATAAAAGACAGCTTAAACGACCCCGTTCGGAGACTGCGCAATTGGAGGGGAGGAGATCCGTGCAGTTCGAATTGGACTGGTGTCCTCTGCTCCAATTCCTCTCTTGATGATGGTTATCTTCACGTCCAAGAACTGTATTGTCTTCTTCACTCACTGTTGCTCCTTTGTTTTGTCGATTCTTAACAATTCTCTTCCTTTGAGAGAAATGTTTGAAAATCTTTTCCTTTTTTTTGGTTACTTGAAGGCAATTGTTCAGTATGAATCTCTCAGGGAGCTTGTCACCGGAGCTTGGCCGGTTGACTCGTCTTACTATCTTGTACGTGCTTATACGCCATAAGTTAGCTTCATCTTTTTTACCTGTAATGATCTTCATACCCAATGGTGAAAGAACCTTCTTTTCTCTAATGCCAGGGATTTCATGTGGAACAAGATAACCGGAAGTATACCCAAGGAAATTGGGAATATCAAGTCTTTGGAACTCTTGTAAGTCTTAGAAGTTTTGGCTTATTTATTAGTTTTGGCTTCTAATCTGATGTGACACTGCACTTTTCCCTTTTGCAGGCTATTGAATGGAAACCTTTTAACCGGAAACTTACCGGAGGAGCTTGGGTTTCTACCAAACTTGGACAGAATACAGATTGATGAAAACCGTATATCAGGACCACTTCCCAAATCGTTTGCGAATTTAAACAAAACGAAGCACTTGTGAGTACTTTTAATCTCATGTCATATTCTACATAAGTGTTTTGCTTATAGCGGTTACTTTACACCTCTTTTAAGTATGTTACATTAATTGCCTTCTTTGTCCATCTTATCTTCTTCTTCCAGTCACATGAACAATAATTCAATCAGCGGGCAGATACCACCCGAGCTTGGAAGCCTACCTTCCATTGTTCACATGTGAGTTGGTCCTAGGCTTATTTGAATCTTTCTTTTTAAAAATGTTCTCTTTTTGTACCTAATCTCAGCTTTTATGTCTACATCATGCTTTAAATATCTACAGCCTTCTTGACAACAACAATTTATCTGGCTATCTTCCTCCCGAGTTATCAAACATGCCAAATTTGCTTATCCTGTAAGTTTATGTCACAGTTTCTGTTGATTTCCCTGTGACTCCTGTCACCATACTCACTGGTGATCCATCCATTTATAGTTTTCTTTTGACTTTTTTTTTGGTTTTCTCGTGTTTATTTTGGCAGACAATTAGATAACAATCACTTTGATGGGACCACGATTCCACCTTCTTACGGAAACATGTCTAAACTTTTGAAAATGTAAGTGCTACTTTCACAATGTATATTGAACCCAAAGTCTATTGTCACCTTTGTGTCTCGATCTTTTTGGACATAAGCTGTATTTGTATGATATACTAACATATGCATACTTTTCTACGTGTCCACGGGCAGGAGTCTTAGGAATTGCAGCTTGCAAGGGCCAATGCCTGATCTTAGCAGTATCCCGAACCTTGGTTATTTGTAAGTTTATAACATCTCTAGCTGCTTTCTTCAATAATCCTACAACTCCCTTGGCGAATTAAATTTAATATCATATGTTGCTGATTGTTCGACATGAATTCCAGGGACCTAAGTCGAAATCAGTTGAATGGATCTATACCTACAGGGAAGCTTTCTGATAGTATCACAACCATGTAAACTGCTTAGCTCCTTTTCATATTTCTGGCCTTTGATTTACTCTGAGCTCTGTACTGTGATTAGTATTCCTTTATTTAGTTTTTTTTTTTTTTTGTTAGAAATGGATTGCTTTTAAATTTGACATCTTCTGATGAAAACACTGCAGTGATCTGTCAAATAACAGTCTAACTGGAACCATTCCCACAACTTTGTCAGGCCTTCCACGGCTTCAAAAGCTGTAAGTGTGTCTAAATCGGTGTAATGAGCTGTTGTTCTATCATTTTTGGATATGAAGATGGCTGATTGCATGTTTTGTTTGTCTACCTAATGTGGCAGGTCGGTCGCAAACAATGATCTGAGTGGTTCCATTCCCTCTAGCATATACCAGGACAGAGTCTTGAATTCAACCGAGACTCTTATCGTGTAAGACTGTTTAAAAAACAATCACATCTCCTTTCCTTTGACTTACAAGCTCTCCCAACTTTCTTGCTATTATCTCTTGACGACCGTCGTTATATATCTTTCAGGGATCTACGGAACAATAGGTTTTCAAATATTTCTGGCAGATCCGATCCCCGCCCAAATGTCACCATCTGGTTTGCTTCTATGCCCATGCATACTTATTTCTGCTTTGCATATACATCTCTTTGATCTTGTTGCTCATTATCAAATGTAATACACTCTTTCCACTTTTCTGGCATCAATTTGACATTGTTTGTTTTCCAGGCTTCAGGGGAATCCGTTATGCTCAGTTGGAAACCTGCTTCAGTTCTGTGGAGCTTTAACTGAGGAAGACAAGAATCAGGGACCCACCAATACAACTACAACTTGTTCTGACTGTCCACCGCCATATGAGTTTTCTCCAGATACTCTTAGACGGTGCTTCTGTGCTGCTCCTCTGCTTGTTGGATATCGGCTGAAAAGTCCTGGTTTCTCGGATTTTGTTCCTTACGTATCCGAGTTCGAGCAATACATCACCTCTGGTCTTAGTTTGAATCTGAATCAGCTGCGCATTGACTCATTCCGGTGGCAAAAAGGACCTAGGCTTAGAATGTACTTGAAGTTCTTCCCTGTTTTTGGTTCCAATGCCAACAACTCTTTCATATTCAATCGGAGCGAGGTTCGGCGAATAAGGGGCATGTTCACTGGATGGAACATCCGAGACGAAAATCTGTTTGGTCCTTATGAGCTTATGAATTTCACTTTGTTAGATGTCTACAGAGATGGTTCGTTAGTGGCAACTATATTCGTCCTCTCATGTTTATCTTAAAACAAATAAATGATTGTCCTGCTTCTTTTTTATGTTTTGCAGTGTTTCCTGAAGTTTCTTCGTCTGGTGTAAGTAAGGGTGCACTAGTGGGAATCATTCTTGGTTCCGTTGCAGCTGCGATTACGCTAACCGCTATTATTGCCCTAATCATTTTGAGGAAACGTATGAAAGGATACACTGCGGTTACTAGGAGAAAGCGATGTAAGCACTTTTCTTTTTATGTTCAGAGTAGGTTATCTTGTTTGTTTTTGGTGTAACAATGTTTTGATTCATCCATGGTGCAGCTTCCAAGGCTTCTTTGAAAATAGAAGGAGTAAAGAGCTTCACATATGCTGAGATGGCTCTGGCTACGGACAACTTCAACAGCTCTACTCAAATTGGGCAAGGAGGTTATGGAAAGGTTTACAAAGGTACACTTGGAGATGGAACGGTTGTGGCGATTAAAAGAGCACAAGAGGGATCACTGCAGGGTGAGAGAGAGTTCCTAACTGAAATTGAGTTGTTGTCGAGATTGCATCACAGAAACCTTGTTGCTTTGCTTGGATTCTGTGATGAAGAAGGCGAGCAGGTAACTTTTTTTCCTAAAAACCCTCTTCTTGTTGTGGTCTAAAATCTTTTCTGTTTCTCTTATTGTTTGTATTGTCAAAACGTATAGATGCTTGTTTATGAGTACATGGAAAATGGTACTTTGCGAGACAACATTTCTGGTATGTTTTGCTTATTCACCGAGTCAGTTCTAGTGTTACTTGTTCCATGTGGATAACACTTTAAAATTTGTGTGTGTTTGGCAGTTAAGTTAGAAGAGCCGTTAGACTTTGCGATGAGGATGAGGATTGCTCTAGGTTCAGCCAAGGGAATCCTGTATTTACACACAGAAGCTAATCCGCCGATATTCCATCGAGATATCAAAGCTAGCAACATATTGTTGGACTCAAGATTCATCGCAAAGGTTGCAGATTTTGGACTCTCAAGACTTGCACCAGTACCTGATATGGAAGGCATCTCACCTCATCATGTCTCTACTGTTGTAAAAGGAACTCCGGTAAGATCACAATCCTGCATTGCTTTCTGTATCATTGTTTCTCAAAACTCATGAACTGAGACTTTTTCTTTGCAGGGTTACCTTGATCCGGAATATTTCTTGACGCATCAATTGACTGATAAAAGCGATGTGTATAGTTTAGGCGTAGTGTTCTTGGAGCTTTTGACAGGAATGCATCCAATCACACATGGAAAGAACATAGTTCGAGAGGTAATTCTAGTTATAGATGAGATACTAAGAGCTTTCTCTCCTTCTTGGGTCATTATCTGAGAACAGTTTGGGATGTTCTTTTTGCCGTCAGGTCAACATTGCTTACCAGTCTGGTTCGATATTATCAGTCGTGGATAAGAGAATGAGCTCAGTTCCACCTGAATGCATTGAAAAGTTTGCAACTTTAGCGTTGCGTTGCTGCAGAGAGGAGACCGATGCGAGGCCTTCAATGGCGGAAGTTGTTAGAGAACTGGAGATCATATGGGAACTGATGCCTGAATCTCACACAGCCAAAACAGCGTATCCGTCTGAGACAACGAGTCAGCCATCATCATCATCATCAATCATGAAGAATCCGAATCCTTATACGTCAATGGATGTCTCTGGCTCTGACCTTGTCAGTGGAGTTGTTCCCTCCCTTGCACCTAGATAGCAACTTTCTTGGAATCATACTCCATACATTCCTCTGTTTGATTATTCAGTGGGTTTGTTTGATTTGTTTCTTTGTATTGTTGTATAGGAAGAAATTAGTGTAATCAATGTAAGAGTAGTAGTATATGTTGCAGACAAGTGATTATTTTTGGTCCTTGTGAAATTTGCTGCCAATTATGGTCTTGTTATGTGATTTATGAAGTTTTGTGTGTGTGTGTGTGTTTGTGTGTGTTCTGCTTATTCTGTGTTGTTATTTGGATCATTTGCCTACGAATCAAGGACGAATTTAGCTACTTTCTTCTAGCATAAATGTTCTTGAATTATACACTTTCCCAAGTTACACAACCAATATAAGACTAAAACACATTATAGAGACTTGTCTCAATTTTTTTCATTATTGAAAATACATTTCCATAGGGAACACAAATTTGTTTTTAACATAGATATGGCTTCACGAGGGGAACCAAGGAGCTGCTTAGGTGCATGGACATAACTTCGTTGGTCGAACCAACGAGCTTGCCACCGATGAAGACTGCTGGGACAGCCTTTGGACAGCCTAGCCTCATTAGTGCCTTCTCAATCTCTCGGCACTCTGGGTCCTTGTCGATCTCGTGGATCTTAGGGTTAACCCCGAGATCTTGAAAGAGGACTTGGACCGCGTAGGACAAACAACACGAGCTCTTGCTGAATATAACCACTCCTCTCTCGGACGACATTCTCATAACCTTGTCCATTTTCTTGATTTTACTTGAATTCTTGAAGAATAAAATGAAGATGTAAAAGAAGAAGAAGAAGATGGACTGAAAGGAGCCTTTAGAACAAAGAATTCATGAGATCAAACCTGGTTTTGCTTGTGACTCTAGTTGCTTGAGCCGCAGGCTATTTATAACATGATAAAGGAAGAATCAGAATCCCACACACTGAAAGAAAGGCAGAGATCACAAGAAGATCGTTGAAAATGTTGTTAAGTTTGTTAAAAACGAATTTATTAGGAACATGATTATTCGAGGAGACCGAACCTTTGCTTCGGCTTTACCCATTTTTGCAAGGACCCAAAAAGCTTTGATCTTTCCTTTTAGATGCAAAGATGCGGTCTCAATGATACTCCTACAAGTTGCTAAAAAGAGTCTATTTGATGTTGAATACTTGATGCTTTTGGACCTTTTTTTTTTTTTGAACAACTATGCTTTTGGACCATATTTGATTTATTCTGCAGATTCTATGAATAATGGAATCTTGGTGGGCCAAACTGGAACAAAAAATCCACTTGCATTCAACTTTTCATAGCTATTTGGACTTGATTGGGTCTTAATATAAAAGCCCACACTTTTGGCCTATTCTTGTCTCCAAGACTCCAACGCAAACCTTGCCATGAATTCATGTGTGGTTTTAACTTTTAAATCAAAGGTTGTAGTACACATAATGGTTAAGGAATCATATCAGAAACATTAATTAGGCAATGGGAAAGTGAAGAGCTCAAAATACAATCTCACGAGATAATTCCTAGAAAAATCAGAAAAACTAAAATGAAGAAGAAGAAGAAGAAGAATGAGACTGATAGATAATTAATGGAGAGGAGAGAATCAGATTCACCACAAAATCGTTTTTCGCGCCATATAATTCCGATGAGGATAATCAAAAAGATAATTTTCTAGGCTTTATAGCAAAAAAACCCCTCAACTAAAGATGGATCGCAATAAAACCCCTCAGCTATTAAAGTAATGTAAAAACCCCTCAGGTTTAGTTTTTTTTAATGTTGTGACCCCTCCGTCCTCTCTGTCGTCAAAACTGGACGGCACCCGTTTTACCAAAACGCAGCGTTCTGTTTAATCAGAAAAACGACATGTTTTTAGTTTTAAAACAACACGCTATGTGCTCTAAACAACATGGTGTCTGAAAATCCGATTTTGAAATCTCTAAATACATTAAACCTCTAAAATTCCCAAATTAAAACCTAAATCGACGAACCCTAAATTCTCAAAGTGAGATTGTGTGAAGTTTGTTTGGATTCTTAGTCGATTAGAAGAGATTGGGGGTGTTTTCTTTCTTCAATCACTTCCATTTCTGAAGAAAATCCAGTGAATTTGGAGAAAGAGTTGAAGAGTGTAGGATTCCTGCGAAATCAATTGGGAGAGATTTAATGTTGCAGGAGCTTACACAATGATAAGGTAACTATTTTTTCGTGATTTCTACTTATTGCAGACATGTAGCAATTGTCGACAAACCGGACACAACAAACGCAATTGTAAACTCGATCCGGTGCCTAAACCACCAAATCTGCCTCCAGGGAGACCTTTGAAGAGACAGGGACCTAAACCACCAACTGCAGGAAAACCTTCAAAGAAGAAAAAAATCACCGAATAGCTTTTTAAGAATGGAACATGTTTAGTTAGAATCAGCTCAAGTAAACTCAGCTATTAATGTTGTTTTTTTGGATTTGGCTAAGGTGTTTGGAACCTTTCTTCACAATCTACTGTTTCTTGTCTCTGAAATTTAATGTTATCTTTGTTGGTGTTTTGCAATGAAAATGACACAGTAAACTCAAATTATATTAAGAAGAACAGAGAACAAAATATATAATCAAGGTTAAAATAGCAACTGAAACTAAAACACTAAAATCTCATACTCTAAAACTTACTTCTAAAACTCTCAATCACTTTAATGACCTCACTCATGTCTTGTTTCATATCAGCTATATCTTTTTTTATCTCAGCCAAATCTTTAGCCATCATCAATTGTTTCTCAGCCAAAACATCAAATTCTTTAAGATGAGCTTCATCCATCCACTTGAAAACGTGATTTAGACCCCAAATTGCTCCACATCGATAGAATTTTCTTCCATGATTCTGTTTTGTTGTAGATTCTAACAGAATTATTAATGCTCCACATTGGCACTTCCTAGGTATTCCAGGAGACATTTCCATCGAATATCACCTTCTTCACACTTGATTTACACTTTCTTCACACTTGAGTCATACCTTCTTCACACTTTCTTCACACTGAAAAAGAAAAACAAACAAAGGAAATCAAATTAAAATCTTTTGGACAAAAACAGAAAAGAGGCACAACTGTGGGCAATAAAACTCAGAGCTTCAGTTTGTATTCTACATATATGAGCTCAGTGATAAAATGTCTACCCTAAATTTTGGATCTTGAATTGGGGATTTTTTGTTGAAACTCTCGATGAATGCAAAACATGTTGTTGTTTTTCTGATAAAATAAAACGCTGCGTTTCGATTAAACAGGTGCCGTCCAGACTTGACGACAGAGAGGACGGAGAGATCACGACATTAAACAAAATAAAACTGAGGGGTTTTTTCATTATGTTAATAGCTGAGAGGTTTTATTGCGATCCATCTTTAATTGAGGGGTTTTCTTGCTATAAAGCCAATTTTCTACAAATGAATTGAATTGAAACGGAAAAAAAGAAATATTGAACTGAGACTTGAAAGTACGGTTATCAATCTAACGGTTGTTATACGTTACAATATACAGATAACAAGGATCAACGGTCAGGATTTTAGCCAACAAAAAATGAATTTTTTTCTTTCTCTGTAATCTTCACTGCGAGAGTTCTTTACCAAACATTTTTTCTTCCGTATGATGAAATCAATTTCCAAATTCGGATATAACCCTCTGCTTAAATATAGCCGATGACGAAACTTTTGCTTCATAGCTCTGTTTTGCTTTAGAGTCCTCATTATACAGTGACGACGAACTTATCAGCATGAATTTGCGTTTTCAAAATCCCGTAAAGTGTGGTGACCGGAGTTCCTTATTCTCCGCACTGAAGACCTCGAACCACGCGTATCACAAGCTGGGTTCTTCGAAATTGAGGTTCCACGGTCGAGTTTTAGATAATCGGAAGAAGAATCTAACGGTTACAGTGAAATCTGTTTCTTCAAGTGCGATTACTACCGTAAAGGAGACGAAGAGAGATGCAATCGGCGGAGGAGAGAGCGTGTACGACGCGATTGTCATCGGCTCGGGGATTGGAGGATTGGTTGCAGCGACTCAGCTGGCAGTTAAAGAAGCTAGGGTTTTAGTTCTGGAGAAATATCTGATTCCTGGTGGGAGCTCTGGCTATTACGAAAGAGATGGTTATACATTCGATGTTGGCTCTTCCGTGATGTTTGGGTTCAGCGATAAGGTTAGTCTCTCTTCATCTTCTTCAAAAGTTTTGATTTTTAGATTTTAGTCCCTAAAGTTGAAGCAAATGCCTTAAATTGAAGGGAACAGGGGAATCTAAACTTGATAACTCAGGCGTTGAAGGCAGTAGGTCGTAAGATGGAGGTTATACCTGATCCCACCACTGTCCATTTCCATCTTCCCAATGATCTCTCTGTTCAGATTCATAGAGAGTACGATGATTTCATCTCTGAGCTCACGAGCAAGTTTCCCCACGAGAAGGAAGGGATCCTCGGATTCTATGGAGACTGCTGGAAGGTCTGATGTGATTTGTTTTGAAGTTTTTGACGAGTGTTATGCTGTGTATTTACATTACAAGAGCTTTACTTTGGGTTTTAACAGATCTTCAACTCGTTGAACTCCCTGGAATTGAAGTCGCTTGAAGAGCCTCTCTATCTTTTTGGACAGTTCTTTCAGAAGCCGCTTGAATGCTTGACACTCGGTATTCCTCTATGGGACTCTTAAATCATGTTTGTTGTACAGGGGAACACGCAGCAATATTTACTGTTGTTGTGTTATTATGTGTCTTGTACAGCTTATTACTTGCCCCAAAATGCTGGGGCTATAGCTCGGAAGTACATAAAGGATCCTCAGTTGTTGTCTTTCATTGACGCAGAGGTGAGAAATAACATTTTTGTCTAAACCTGCGCAAGTTGCTTTACCCTAGCGGATTGTGGCATGATGATCACTCACTCTTCATATTTTCCTGCAGTGTTTCATTGTGAGCACAGTCAATGCTTTGCAGACGCCAATGATCAATGCAAGTATGGTATGATTCATGTTTTTTGTTGTTTTTGGTGTCTACATGTGTTTTCCCTTCCGTTTTTGTCATTTCTTATATGTTCAAGGACAGGTTTTATGTGACAGGCACTATGGAGGAATAAACTACCCTGTTGGTGGCGTTGGTGGGATTGCTAAGTCTTTAGCAGAAGGACTTGTTGATCGAGGCGGTGAGATACTCTACAAGGCTAATGTGAAAAGCATAATACTTGATGATGGAAAGGCTGTAAGTTTCTGAATCACTCTTGCTACATTGTAACCTTTCCTTCAACTTTTTAGGTTAAAAATTGTTTTTTTCTTCTCTGGACCTGGAATTTCAGGTCGGTGTAAGACTTGCAGATGGAAGAGAGTTTTTCGCTAAAACCATAATTTCAAATGCTACAAGATGGGATACGTTTGGTAAGAGAGAATAATGGCTTGTGTAGTTGTCGAATATGTGTCTTCTTTTGTAAGAATACTTACAATGTTACTGGCGTGCTGTAGGGAAGCTGTTAAAAGGAGAAAAGCTTCCAAAGGAAGAAGAAAACTTCCAGAAAGTCTATGTCAAGGCTCCATCTTTTCTTTCAATCCACATGGGTGTTAGAGCAGAGGTTCTTCCTCCAGATACAGATTGCCATCATTTTGTGCTCGAGGTTTGTTAGTTTCCTACTAAGATCTTATCCCTTGGCCGAGTTTGGGAATTTTCGATTGCAACTTTGTTCTTTTGTTGCATATGTAGGACGACTGGAAGAATCTGGAGAAGCCTTATGGCAGTATCTTCCTCAGCATTCCAACCATTCTCGATCCATCTTTGGCTCCAAATGGTCGACATATACTGCACATATTCACAACTTCTTCCATCGACGATTGGGAGGTAAGGCTGTGCTTAGAGGAATGAGACCAAGATTTTAATTGCAAATTTAGAAACATTTTCTGGAATTATATCTTTATTTCTCGAAATATCTAAATTTCGGTTAGGGACTCCCTCCAAAAGAGTATGAGGCGAAAAAAGAAGAAGTGGCAGCTGGAATAATACAGAGGCTGGAGAAAAAACTGTTTCCAGGGCTTAGTTCATCTATTACGTTTAAGGAGGTTAGGCTTCTTTTCTCGCCACACAATGTAGAGATTGGTATGTAAGAAGAATCGATCTCTGTAAAAGTAGTTCTTGGTCATATGAAAAATCTGTATATCCAGTACATGAGAGCAAGCATATGCCTTATTTGGGTATATAGCCTGTATTATATATGTAAAGGGTTTTTCTTTTTCTGAGGCAGGTGGGAACACCAAGAACACATAGGCGATATCTTGCCAGGGATAAGGGAACTTATGGGCCAATGCCAAGAGGAACCCCAAAAGGGTTATTAGGGATGCCATTCAATACAACGGTAACACAAAGAAAGATAGATATGATGAGTCCTTGGTTAGTTCTGCTGCTGAAAGAGTGATTTGACAAATGATAATAATAGGCTATAGATGGTCTGTACTGCGTGGGGGATAGTTGTTTTCCTGGTCAAGGAGTTATAGCTGTGGCTTTCTCGGGAGTCATGTGTGCTCATCGTGTAGCTGCTGACATTGGTGAGAAAACGCCGTCCTTATTTTTTTGCAATCTGTTAAATAGACTTGTTGTTGATTACTTTGAGCATAAGAAGCAAATCACATTCATCCTTTGATTTGGTAGGGCTTGAGAAGAAATCACGGGTACTTGATGCTGGCCTTCTTGGTTTACTTGGCTGGTTAAGGACACTCGCGTGATTCTAAGGATGCAGGCGACAAAGCTTGTGAAGAAGATCAATGGAGCTAGTGTTCCCATTCCCAAGTCTATGAAAGCGGCTTTACAATATGAACATGATCATTCGATGATACAAAACCTTTATGAGCCAAAACAAGGAAATCGTATGCAGAACAGAACCATGTTTGGTATTTATCTTGTTCTTTTTTATATATTATTAAAATCAATAATTCAGAGAGTAGGTTTGCTGTGTTCAATTTTTGTGTGTCGACGACATTGGTGAAGCACATTTCAAAGCGTGTTAATATGGTATGTGGAAAACAAACATGCTTAATGATCAATCGGTTTTTCAATGCTGAGCATATACGTCAACAATTTTAAATTATTGCGTTTTTGGATTAAATTTTGATGTGATGTGATTGTTAACCAGCAAAATTTTCTCTCCGAACCTTCTTAATATCGTGACAGTGATTAATGATGGCAACGCAATGAGAAACCAGATTATTGGAGGACAAAAATTAAGTCATCACTAAGTTATTGTATGTTAGTATGTTACGATATGATACAATTGAAAATGATATGCATGCAGCATATGGTCATGTCTTTATTATTGTTTATTGCATGTCTACACGTATATATCAAAGGGTGCAATAAATTTTGCAGTGACTTTTGAAACTCATCAAGCTCTCAACAATGGCGACCATTCCCTCCCACAGCCTTCTTCTTCCAAATCCAGTCAACCTGCAAACAGCTCACTCTTTTCCCCTAAAACCACACTTGCCGCAATCTACTATGATCACTTTTCCGACAAGATCATCGCCGGCGATGGCTATTTCCAGAACCGAAGGAGCTTCAGTATCGCCGAGGGTCGAGCCGGAAAGCTATGGGATTACGACGGCAGAGGATATTCGCCGTCGGGACAGAGAAGCTAAAGAGTCCAAGAGGCTGAGGGACACGTGGCGGAAGATCCAGGGAGAAGACGATTGGGCCGGGTTAATGGATCCGATGGATCCTGTTTTGAGATCCGAGCTGATACGGTACGGAGAAATGGCCCAGGCCTGTTACGACGCCTTCGATTTCGATCCGTTTTCCAAGTACTGTGGGAGCTGCAGATTCACGCGCAAAAAGTTCTTCGACTCGCTCGGGATATTCGATTCCGGTTACGAGGTGGCGCGTTACCTCTACGCGACGTCCAACATCAACCTTCCCAACTTTTTCTCGAAATCGAGATGGTCCAAAGTGTGGAGCAAGAACGCCAATTGGATGGGATACGTGGCGGTTTCCGACGACGACGAAGCCAAGCGCCGCCGTCTCGGACGCCGCGACATCGCCATCGCCTGGAGAGGGACCGTCACGCAGCTCGAGTGGATAGCTGACCTCAAGGATTTCCTCAAACCGGTATCCGGAAACGGGTTCCGGTGCCCCGACCCGACCGTTAAAGCCGAATCCGGGTTTCTGGATCTCTACACTGACAAAGACACGACCTGCAATTTCTCGAAATTCTCGGCGCGAGAGCAGGTTCTGACGGAGGTGAAGCGGCTGGTGGAGAGGTACGGCGACGAGGAAGATGATCTGAGCATCACGGTGACGGGACACAGCCTAGGCGGCGCGTTGGCGGTGCTAAGCGCGTACGACGTGGCGGAGATGGGACTGAACAGAACGCGGGGAGGGAAGGTGGTTCCGGTGACGGCGTTCACGTACGGAGGACCACGAGTGGGGAACATTCGGTTCAAGGAGAGGATGGAGGAGCTGGGAGTGAAGGTGTTGAGAGTGGTGAACGAGCACGACGTCGTGCCGAAATCGCCGGGACTGTTTTTGAACGAGCGTGCGCCTCACGCGCTGAAGAAGCTGGCGGGAGGATTGCCGTGGTGCTACTGCCACGTGGGGGAGAAGCTGGCCTTGGATCACCAGAACTCGCCGTTTCTCAAATCATCCGTCGATCTTTCCACCGCTCATAACTTGGAAGCTCTCCTCCATCTCCTTGACGGGTCAGTTCTTTCTTTTCCTCTTCTCATCCTCACTTTGAAAATGGTTCGAATCAAGTTCATGAAATGCAACAGGACTTTCTTAAATTTTGTTTTCTTTGCATATCATTTTCTCAAACACCATTTTAGGTGTCGTGACATAAACGTTAATTTTGTTATCAGATAATCATTAGGAGTAATAATAATACTAATAATTTAGAGAAAACATGATTACTTAATTAATGTATGAACATAATGTTCTGTCAGATAAGGTAACCTTAGAGAAGTCAAAGACTTTATCGGGACAGATCTCGATTATCTTCGAGATTTGAGCAATCTCACATTTTTCAACAACCTTCTTTAAATAATACGATCGATCTTAAAGAACTAGTCCAAGTACCTTGTGCTCAATAAAATGCGGGTAATGAGAACGTGACCATATAATTTGAATTACTATGTGGCGATGCTTTGTGGGTGGGTGGGTGGTGAGATAATTAATGAAACGAGTTAAATTTTATAGTATAGTTTTAAAATGTTGTTGCCATGTCGTTATCTTCGTGGTATGCTTTAGTTGCTTACTTGCTTTATCTAGATCACTCTCAATGTGGAAATATTACACAACGCATAGATCATTTTAGTTTTTATCACAGAACAAGTACTTGTTTTGTGTTTGTATTATCGAGAAAATCAATTAGCTAAAGAGTGACTATAAATTGGGAAATGTACAGATATCATGGGAAAGGACAGAGATTCGTGTTATCTAGCGGGAGAGATCCAGCGTTAGTGAACAAAGCATCTGATTTTTTGAAAGACCATTTTATGGTGCCACCGAATTGGCGCCAAGATGCAAACAAAGGAATGGTGAGGAACACGGAGGGCCGTTGGATTCAACCAGATCGCATCCGTGCAGAGGATCACCATGCTCCTGACATACATCATCTTCTCACCCAACTCCAATATCCCTCACAACTTCTGTAATTAAATCAGATTTGTTTTCTTTTTTTCATTTGTGTAATTTGTTTTTCGTGTTCCAAAACCAAAAACCAACATATTCGTATTAGGGAATAAAAACATACTTCCTCCCTTTCTTTAATAATTGTCTTTATAATCTTGTAAACACAGATTAAGAAATCATTAAATTTTTGATTCTTTCAAAATAAATATGTTTTATCATCAACTTCAATAGAGTTCAACCAATAAAAATATGCAGAATTTAAACAGTCAAAATAAACAAAATACATTAACTTTTGCATTGATTTGTAAAAAAACCATTTACTTGTGAACAAAAAAATTTCTCTAAAAGGCTAGTTTCAAAGTAAATTTTCTAGTCTTCATCAAGTTGGGGTCAGTCTTCGGTCTCACACGCTTCTGGATCAATCACATCAAAATCCTCCCACCAAGAAACAAGTCCCAAACCATCATCATCCAAATTCCCCTGCACATTTCACCCAAAAAAAGGTTGATAACTGGAACGAAAAAGGCCAAACTTAAAACAAAGACTTTGGTACCTAGAAGAGAGGAAGTGGAATCAGGTGGCTAATCATATATAACCATGCAAAATACAGGTGGAGAAGCTTCAGAGAGTGAACTTACAGTGACCACCATAGGAGCAAAAGGCTTTGCGTCCTCAGCTCGCTCAATTGGGACTGTCGGATAGCTGATGCTCTCAACTCGAAACTTGATCTGCCATTTACAAGGCCACATTATAAAGAGAGGCCGCTTTCGAAAATTAATGCTTAATAGAGAAATCGGGGAACCAAAGTTTAAACCTGACAGGAATCGTCAATATCGTAGTCTTGGCCATCATGTTCCCACACCCATCTCTTTTGATTCCTGTTCACAGATATCCATTTATACTTTTTTTCAAGCTCCTAGTCATAGTTGGAGAGATGAAATATTCCAGGACACATTTTCCTTACCTGTTATAAGGGTCAGCTTCACAGCGGGAGGTGGTCGGTAAAAATGGAGCAGGCACATAAATATCCTCAAAGAATCCAAGTGTTACTGCCAAACAAAAGAGGTATCACAAACTATGCAAATGAAATCATAATATCAAAGCATAAGCTAATATTAATTATGTATGTGCCCATGGATATACTACTCACAGCGCAAGCCATTGGCATCAGATTCTTTCAACTTTGCAGATATGACCTCACCAACAAATGGACGAAACACCACAATTCTAAAACCTACCTACACTCACAATCACACGGGAAAACAAAATATTAACAATACAAGCATGAGATATTTAGTCAAGGCCGTACATATATTTAGCAAAGCCTGCAATCTAAAACATTTACCTGATAGGTCGCAGCACCATCTCCGGGTAAAACAAACCCTCCTTCTACTGATTTGATGTCGTAAACTGATACGCAAAGGCCCAAATTTGCCAAAACCTTTCATATCAAATCCCAATTTGATAAAATTAGCCAATGTATATAAGAAGACAAAGGAGAAAAAAACACAAGGCTAATGACCAAACCTTGTCCAAGAACACATTTTGAAGCACCGACTTAATGGCATCTTCGAGTGGGAGGTTAAGGAGATGCGGAGGCACTCTCACTGTATGTTTGAGCTCGCTAAGATAGAACATTTCTACAGATTCTCAATGTTCGATTCCCAAAGCCACTGTAAAGTTGATGCGTAGTAACAAACAACCAAAGGCGCAGAATCAGAACATTTAAACAATCACATGCCAATCATCGAAGTTCAATATTCAAAACCTAAAACACAGTAGTAGAAATTCAATCCGAAAAATTGAAGAGATTTCATCATTTGGAGTCATCATTTGGGCTCTTATATAATCACTGGAAAACTGCAGAAATTTAGATGGTAAAAGCTCGGAACAGTGTATTGATTACAAACATAAGCATCCCTAGTCAAACAAGATTTAGCAGATCAAGCAAGCATCGTAAAGGTAATTTATAAAAAAACGAATGCAACTCACCTTAAAATTGGAAATCGCTGATCTGATTTTGAGGAAGAAAGCCTATAATTTGGGGATTTCGACGAAGAGGAAGAGAGGCTTCGTAGAATCGATGGCGGGAATAAGCTACCCGTTTAGTGAAGAAGATTGGAACTTTGAGCGAGTGATTGCTCGATTCAAAAAACCCTAAAACACAACAGAGAATTACACAACCGACCTACTATTTATAAATATTTTATAATTGAATCCTGAAGTTTCTTTTGTTTAATCTAAGCCCACAAGTTTTTGTTCTGTTCCATTTGGTTCTGCAACTCATTGAAACGAGAATGTTTTACACAGGAAAAGGTCTCATGATCTTTACATAAATTTTACAAATACAAAGCAATATTTTCGCTTGTGTTCACTAGAAAGGAAGAGAGACCGAGTGGAAGTTTTCAGAGGGAAAGTCCAGAATCCTCATCTTCATCAAGGGAAGAAGCGTATGTAAAGTAAAGAGCCCAGATCAAACCAAACACACCAAAAAGAATCCAGCCTAACAGGTTATTGCTCAGACCAAAAGGTAGTCCTGTTCCTTCCGTCGACATCCTGTCGTCCACCAACGCCATTGCTGGGCTACTACTCATCACCGCCGTCAACATAACCGCAACGGCAGACGCACCCGCCGTTGAAATCTGCTCTTGCTTTGCCTCTTTCGTCTCCATCGAGCATTTCACTCCACTGCTTCTCTTACTCATACGGGGAAGACCTGAACAGTATAGCACGACGTTCATTATACAGTACCAATTCAGATTCATAAGTAGAAGAAGAGAGAATTACGCAAACAGAGGTTTGATAAGAAGAAAAAAGGCGAGAACTAACCATAGACAGGCTTTGTGGAGATGGCTGCGATTGAAGACTTGAGAAGGAGAGTAGGACGAGCGACGGAGGAAGTGAAGCTTGCCATTGTCTCTTCTCAAACTCTCTAGACTGATCAAAGAAGTTTTTGTTTGGTTTTTTGTTATTGTAGCTTAGCAAGTGATGGAAAAGTTTTTTTATCTAAATTGGATATGCATTCTACCAATTGTTTCTCTACACGTCTGAACCCTTTCCTCCACACAATATTTGCCTCTCCACAAATGAAAGTTCGGACAAAAACTGTGAGGACACTTCTACTATACATTGACCATAAGAAACTGTTTGGTGAACATAGATATTTCAAAAATGAAAATGAGAAATAACGTGATTATTCTGTGTAGGTCTCCCAAGGAAGACAACAATCTGTTGCTGTAACTAAGTATAAGATTAAGCTCTGTAAAGTATGAAAAAAAAAGAACCAAAATTTACACCGAGATGAGTTAAAGAATGAAGCTAATCATAATAATGGTAACAAAAAGCCTGTTTAAACAAAAAGAAGAAGAAAAAAAGAATATGAAACTGAACCTAAGTTGTGGGAATTTGGTTTCCGGTATCAAGCGTGAATATTGCATTGTTGCAAGTAGGAATGATAGTAAGGGACATGTATGTTCCAGTAGCTTTTGTACTTCTCTATTCCAATATCCAACCACGGCTTCATGATCCCATCGTAGTGTATAACCGCGGCTTGTTCAATCTCAACCGTTTTGACTCCTGATTCGTGACCTAACCCCGTCACATGCCACCTCTTCTCCAACGGCAATGTTTGCCTATAGAAAGTCAACCAACCTATTGGTAAGCTCCCAGCTTTCCACAAAGGTCTCTTTGTTCCCTGCCAAAGAAAAGCCAAACAAAACCATCTTAGTATTAGCTGCACTTATGTTACAGCTCGTAGTAAGTGCAATGGAGAGTGTGATCTGCGTACCAGGTTGAAGTATTTTACGTATGTAGAAGTCAACTTCCGTCTTCTCCATTCTTCCAGATCAACTATATTCATCCCAAACGCCCACGTGCAAGCTTTAGGACTGAATTTCCCAGCGACCCATGGATCTGAGAAGTTGATAAATTTGCTCATCGAATGGAACGAAGGTTCACCTTCTTGACAAGTCTCTACAGCACCAACCACCTTCCCTTTCATATCAATGCTCCACAGTCTACTTAAATCTCTTTGAACTACTACATCATGGTCAAAGAGAACCAACTTGTTCAGACCGGGGAATATATCAGGGAGATAGAAGCGTGCGTGGTTTAGAGTAGAAATGAATCTCGGGTCGTTGGAGTTTTGCTTCATCAGCAACTGATCATAATCTGAAGGAAGGACATCCATATCATCAACGTTTAGGATTTGGATTGTAGCTGTACTTTGAATGTTTAGCAAAAACCACATTGAGATTGCTGGGTAATTAAGTGAATCAGTCACAACATGAAACACTATTTTCTCCGGTTCCTGCAAACAGCAATCAGAACCCATTTTAACAAGTGGCTGAAGTAAATGAGTAAATATATATAATGATAACCAACTAGAAATTCAGAAAATGACAGCACAATTGGCAAACTGAAACACAAAAAAATGTGATAATTTACCTTTGAAGAAGATATCGTAGAGTTAACAACGACTCCAGAAGCCAAAACATTGTCAGAGAAGACAACATAATGATTGAGATTAGGATCGTTATAATTTTGTTGGTTAGGCATCTGCCTTTTCTCAGGATCCAGGGCAAAGTATTCTGATGTCAACCGCATTGAGAGACAGTGAAGCCCTTTTGGGGTGGTCCTTGCAGCAAGGCGCATTAGATATGCTGCTTGGTTTTTCTGCGCCTGAACTTGTTCTTCTGCGTTATAATTCATGGCACGAAGTTTGGTAGCAATGGCAGGGCAGTTGTTAAATACACGACTAGCCTTATATAATGCAGCTTCCATGGGTTTCACCCTGCGAAGCGCCCTGAAAGAAACAACCATACCAGAGGTTACCATATGAATCCTCTTTAAAAGCACAGTTTTTGTCACTAAAAGGTATTCACTCCGTTTGAATCAAACCATTGCGCTTACCCCTTTGACAAATCTTTATCTTTTGTCGCCTCACCAACAGCCCGTTCCAGCTCTCTCATTCGAGCTCTCAACTCCTTCACAATCTGAGAGTTACTTCCAGGTGGGGCGAAATTCAGGTAGGCTTTAGCTTGTATAATTTTGTCTCGTATCTCTTTTATCTTCACATCTGTTGCTCTATCAGGCTGAACCTTTGTGTTATTTTCACCCTTGGATACAGGAGGTTTGAAATCCGTTTTATTAGCAAGTTCGTTATCTGTTAAATACTGATCCTGACACAAACAAAACAAACCGTAATGTTAAAACTTCTGATCTTAATAAGTTGATGGAAAGCCAATTTTGCCTTTCCTATTCACTAGAACACACTAGAACAACTAAGCAACATGGAGTGAAACTAGGATTTGATACTTGTTTCACAGCCTGAGCACTCATCAAGTTCACGTTATCTATAAATCAGTTGATTAAATACACATCTTCGCATCAGAGCTTACTGTCGTCTGCTGTGAAACGATTATTTGTTCTTCCCTGTTTTTGTGATCATTTCCTGAAACCGGAGAAAACTACAGATAAGAAAGCTGGAGATTTAATGAAAGCGACGCAAAACAAAACAAGATTGAATATACAATCCCACCATCAATTGTTTTGTCTTTCGACTGGAAGACGCCATCACTTTCATCAGACGAATTATACCGAACTACAGAATTAAACTCCCTATCCTTGAAGAGAATTAGCCTTGGCCCCTTCAAGCCTTCTCCATCCTCCTAAATCACAAAGTGAAACAATTTTGACTAAATGAATGTGTCAAAAGAGATTAAGGAGATGGCATTGAGGAACCGGTAACTTCTAGCTTACCTGTTTGATAGCATTAAGTCTAAGGTCGCTTCTCCTGAATCTCTGCAGAACAATGGTAGCATCTCAGCTACAGTATATTGGAATAGAAACTTAAAGCCTAAAAGGTACACTAAGGTCTACCATTTAGCACAATCATGAAAATTTAAAGCAGTCAAAAAGAAGAGAAGAGAACTAAGACAACTTGATTTTATTATCTCTATCAGAGCAGAGAAATCAAAATTGAAGACGAGGATATAATCACACTTACAATGTTGGATAACTCTTCAACGAATTCTCTCCGACCTGCCATAAGACAAATCCGCAATGGAAATCAATAACAAAACTCAGATGAAAAATAATTTCTAGACTAAGAAAACATCAAACAAAAAGCAGCAACTGATGGCGATTATCATGAGATTCAATCAAAGATCAAACAATTCCATACAATCATCCACTAAAATGTAGCCATTTCTGCAAATCAGAGAAAAAGGAATCTAAAAAATAGGGAGACGAAGCTGACCAACGGGAGTGATGCTTGTAAGCCGATTCGAGAGGAAAATAAGCGGAGCGAACACAGATATCGATAGCAGAGAGAGGATCAAAATCCTCTGCCATCGACGAATTTTCTTCATGGATATACGAAACACGAACGGAAAAAAAATTCCCGCAAATATCTCTTCCTCGAGAACTATCCGTATCTCATCAAACCCTGAATCGTTCGCCGGGAAGAAACAGCACGTCCACGGAGGGACTCACAAATCCTGCTTGATCAACAAGCAAAGGAAACGAAACGCTGAACAAACTCAGGGTTTCCACTTTCCAGATCCTTCTGGGATTTTGCTCTTCTCTCTAATGGGAGATTCTATTCTTTGCTTTGATTTTCCGAAGAAGTTTTTAGATTCAGAGCTTCTTCATGCATCATCGAGGGATTATACTCTTTTAATCATTGTTTAATGATTTTTTAATTTATACTAGGTCTAAGGAAATTATGTATATTGGTCGAAAAATATGATTTTTATTTTTTTTGGGGTGTTCGTGGTGAGATGTCAAATGTTCAGTGTGAAAAGCGGCGACCAGAGATGCGGATCAGGTGCGGGCAGGTGCACATGTGAAGGCATGTGATTACGCCGTAGATGAAGCTTTAGGTAATTAATGAGATCATTAATCACCAATTGAAAATAGAGACGTGGATGAACTTCTCTCCTGTCCTAAAAGACAAGCAAGGAATTTAAATTCCACCTGGAAAATTAGTAGATAGTACTATAGTAGTACTAGAGAGAGAGATAGCCTACTATAAAAACAGAAAACACAATTCGCATAAATAGTTTTTAAGAAAATAATTTGCTGGCCACAAAAAAAAACAGAGGATTATAAGAAAACACAGTTGTATCAATTTTTTTGATGAGAATGCCGATATCAATGCTGTAAAACATAGCAAGGTAGATAGGCTACCAAAGAAAACTCATTCTTGTATTCTCTAGTGTGAGAATGGGTGAAATCATGTTCAATTGGATAATCTATTGTAAATTCCATGTAACTAATGATAAATAAGTTGATGTTGGATCATTTATAGTGTAAGTTGATGTTGTTTGACCAAAAAAGTCATGTTATTCTCTTGGGAAAAAGATTAGCAGCGTTGTTTACCGCAGGTGTTATTCTAATAGAAAAACAAGGATAATTTATCAACACACACGAAATCGATTAGTTCAAAGAAATATAGATTTCACCCAATTCTCTTCTCGAATCAACACACACCAAAATAAAAGGCAGAAAAACACAAAGGTAAAACCTCTCAGCACTCATAACCCAAAACCTTCTTCTTCGCAGCGTCTCTTAAAATTTAATAGAGAGCCTCTTCTCTTCCTGTTCGGATCGTGCGTCGATTTTTCCATCTCTCACCATCATTAACCAATAGATCACCAGTGAGCAAGAGAGTGAGAGAGACAAATCTGAGCGTTTTATTTGGAGGGGGTCGCCGTTTTCGTCGCATGCAGTTTTGGGGTGCCACGTGTGACTAAGCGGCCCAAGAGAGAGATGGCGATTCAGGTGAAATGGGAGACGATGAGGGCATGCCTGAGCTGCACACTCTGCGGCAATATCCTCCGTGACGCAACCACTATCTCCGAGTGCCTTCACACTTGTCAGTCTTCTTCCTCCTTCCTCTTTACCCCACCAATGTTTCAAATTTCGCTGCCATGGGTTGAAATTCCCTCTCTACTACTACACTTGTCTTTAATTTCACTTTTCGCATTCTTTCTTCGTTAAAGTTGGCATTTTGCTGCGTATTTTAGTTGGATTCAGATAAAGGTGGCTCCTTTTTTGGGTTTCAGCTTATTTCTAGTTTAATCGAGCTTGTTTCTTCGATTATTTTGCTACATATGCAGTTTGTAGGAAATGCATCTACGACAAAATCACAGAGGATGAGATTGAGTCTTGTCCTGTATGCAACATCGAGCTTCGTGGTGGTGCCCCATTGGAGAAGCTGAGGTAAGCTAATCTTCTCCTGTATGATATATCTCAGCTCCACCATTTCTCATCAAGATTTGGTTTTGCAGTCATAAGATTTCCTTGCTCCTTATCTTCCCCTATCCATAGACTTAATATTAACAATGGACTCAAGCCCTTTGCTTTTCTTGTTGATTGAAATGCACTATAGATTTGGTCCAGAAAGACAAACTATTTATAAGATATTGTAGGAGGCTTTCGAGAGACTTTCCCTTTTCTTACTTTTGTATAGAGAGAGAGCTTTGTAGCTGATTTGAAATGTATGTTGAGGAGCAACTTGTATTCGTGTTTCCAGGTCTGACTACAGATTGCAAGACTTGAGAGCCAAAATCTTTCCTCTAAAACGAAGAAAAGTGAACGCTCCTGAGATTGTGTCTTTACCGGGAAGGAGGAAGGAGAGATCTCTATCGGCTTTGGGTGTAAGCACACCTAAAGTGTCAGAAAAATCTGGAACAACGAGAAGAAGAACTAAAAGCGTCACAAGAAAGGATGATTGTTTGGCTGAGAGAAGTATGAAGAAAGCGGAATCTTCATTTCACGAGGAGCTTACTGGTGGTGATACAGAGGATATTGGGGAAAGCTCCATCAAGGTAAGTCAAAGTCTCGACTTTCTTCTCCCACATTGTTGTTTCTTGTTTTCTGGTATTGATTCACTCCTGGTGCCGGATCAGTTGGCTCAGGAGAACAAGGAGTTGAGGCACAACATCTCTGTTGTTTCTGACGCGCTGTTGGCGTCAAATGAGAGCCTGAAACGCCTGAGTGCGGAAAAGAAGTCTGCTGATGTTCGCCTTCGAGAGATGGAGGAGTTGAAATCTTTGTTGGCTGCTAAAGACAAGGAGCTAGAAGCAGGGACATTACTGAATCGCGCCAAGGAGGACGAGGTTCTCGGCCTTGGTGCCAGAGTAGAGAGCCTGCAGCGGGAGCGAGACGAAGCAGTGGAGAAGGCTAACAGGCTGGACAAGGAGCTAGAGGAATACAAGTCAAAGGACCGGTTCAAGGATGTGTCTTCAGCTTCAGAGGAACTAAAACACATGTGCTATGAGTTTGCAGAGCTCGAGAAGGATATGGAGCTCGCCGTCATTGCCGCGTGTATCACAACTCGGTACCAAGTGTGTCGCGAGTGGGAGAGCCAAGGTACTCTTAGGTGGGAGCTGGAGTTTTCGGCGGAAGACTACCACAAGTTCCGTGAGTTCGTTGACAAGAACGGGACGAGTTACAAATACCCTCTTTTGGAAGTGTATGAGGACAAGTGGAAAAAGTTTGTTGCTCGTCGTCGGCCAATGGAATCTCATTCGACCCTTGACCGTGAGAACATGTCTTCTCCGACGAGTAACTCCAACTTTCACCTGGATGCGCCTGGCTCTGGGACTAGTGATCATGTCGGGAGTTCTGCGCCGGCTGACTGCTGATTATGTGGAACTCTCCCCATCTTTTGGTTGTTTTTTTTGGTAGCCACAGTTGTTTCCAACTGGACGGACTAGTTCGTTGTTTTCTAGTAGTGTTCTTCCACTCTTTTTTCTTAAGACTTGTCTTATTGCTTGCATTAACAACTATCGTAAAATGTAAAGTTACTAATTTTGTTTTTTTAATATGTCATAAGTTTTTAAGAATCATGAATTTTCTAGAAACAGTTTGAGCAAGTTAACTATAAACATGAAAACATCACTTTAACTATGTATTTTGTTTTTAAGAAACAGCTAAATAACGCCGGAGTTCATTTAGAATTGTTAGAAATCAAATTTGGGACTTGTGTGTAAAAGTTTAGCATTCTCGGGTTGAGAATAAAAAAGGCACCTCTTCCTCACAAAGCCTAATAGCGTTCTTAACCTCTTCGTCACAAAACCATTTCTCACAAATATTCCCCTGTGTTTGCTTTTTTTTTTTAATCTAACAACTTCCAAAACTTTTTAAGAATCATGAATATTCTACAAACAGTTTGAGCAAGTTACCTATAAAACATGAAAACATCACTCTGATTATGTATTTTGTTGATTGAATATGTAAACTCTATTTTAAGATAAAAAAAAAAAAGAGAGAAAGGTATTTAAAAAAAAAATACACAAAAAAAGAAATGGAACGTCCCAGTGCTCTTGCTCTGTTGTCGAGCTTTTTAAGACATAAGTTAAACTCAAAACCCTCGTTCGTGTGTTAAATTTAGTACGCGGCCTCTTCTTCTTGTCCGAATCGTACGTCAATTCTTCCATCCCTCTCACACTCAGATCACACCAGCTTCCTTTCCTTTCCTTCTCCTTAGTCGAATCTCTTGCGTCCGTCCAATTAAGGATTTGCTTTATTTGATCTGGGTTTTAAATGTAGCCGTCCCTGACTGAGGAGACACAGAGAGAGAGACGACACAAATCTGAGTTTCCGCTGTATTCGTCGACATGCAGTTTTGGGGATGGCACGTGTGAGCCGTGACTGATTGAGCGGCCCAAGAGAGGGAGAGAGAGAGAGAGAAATGGTGATTCAGGTGAAGAGGGAGACGATGAGGACATGCCTGAGCTGTCCTCTCTGCGACCGTATCCTCCGTGACGCCACCTCTATTTCCGAGTGTCTTCACACATGTCAGTCTTCTTCCTACGTTTTGATTTGGAATCATTTAATCTTCTTCAAATTTACTCTTCAATTTTTATGTCTCTTGCCTCTGTCCGAAGCTTTTTAGTCTTCTTCTCGTTCTATTCACCTGTAGAAAAAGGTACAATTGGGTCAATGTTGACCAAACATATGCAATTTTGACTGCTACAATCCTATCTTAAGTTACTTGTTGTTTTTAGTTGGAATCATCATTGGTCTGTTAAATTTCAATCAAGGATGATAGTATATTTACGCAATTAAGGTGTATGTTGCATCCTTAAATGGTATAGTGACAACAATGCGATTCAAATGATGAGACTTGGCCACATTTCATACAAATCTTGTTGTTAGTTATCATTTACTGGAATGAGATAACGTCTGAGATTATTTTTCCTATGCAGTTTGTAGGAAATGCATCTATGAGAAAATCACAGAGGATGAGATAGAGTCTTGTCCAGTATGCAACATCGACCTAGGTGGCGCCCCATTGGAGAAGCTGAGGTAAGCTAATCTTGTCCTGTATTTAGCAGTGCTTGAGTCTAAAACAGAATAAGAATGGAATCTCTTTTGTACTTTCCTTGTTCATAGCTTTGTAGTTGACTTAGTTGTATGTTGAGGAGCCACTTTCTTGCATGTCGTTTAGGCCTGACCACAACTTGCAAGACTTGAGAGCCAAAATCTTTCCCCTGCGACGGAAAAAGGTGAAAGCTCCTGAAATTGTGTACTTACCGGGAAGGAGAAAGGAGATATCTATATCTTCTCTGGTTGTAAGCACTCCTAAGGTGTCAGAAAAAGCTGGAACAACTGGAAGAAGAACTAAAGCGGTCGCGAGGAAAGAGTCACGAGGTAGTGCTTCTTTAGCTGAGAGAAGTGTCAAGAACGAAGGATCTTTTGGGGACGACACTCAGAATAAAAGTCAGGTAAAGAAGGTGATCACTTCAATGCTCTATCTGATAAGCTTTGCTCATATATTCCTTTTGTTCTGGGTAGTGTGTTTGTTTGTTTCCCATTTATTTAATCTTGTTGTGTTTGTTTGCAGTCATATGCAGAGTCCTTCTCTAATAAAGAAAATAAGGATGAGGACGAACCCTGGGATTCCAAATTGGATTTTCTGGTCGAAGTGGCAAACAGGACAAAGCCCTTGAAGTCTTGTGCTTCTTCTCAAGGGTCAGGCTCGAAATCTGAGCAAAAGAGTAATGCTGGTGTTCCTACGGCATCAGAAACTGCTACGCCTAAAAAACTGCGTAGGACTCGACGCAAACGGTCTGCTGCCACCACCTTTGGTGATTTAGGAAACTCGCCTCAACCAGATGAGTCAAGTGCAAAACGAGAGAGGAGAAGTGGTCCTCTTTGGTTTCGACTTCTGGTGTCCGATGATCAGTGAGATTCTTGCTCTCTTATATATCTGGAAACTCATGATATTTCGTCTCTGCTTCTTCTGTTTGTTTCTACTATCTTGGCATGTTGACAAAGGCTTGGTGATTTCAGGCACGGAGAAGATGCTTGGCCTCAAATTCCAGCACATTTTTTGAGAATAAGGTTCGTTTTTCGGTTCTTGTTTCTTGTTTCCACTTACTTGCCAGTTTGGTTCTTGGATTTGGTTCTTTCTCTTTTTCAAGTTGCCAAGTCAATTTCTTGGACAGTTTAAACACAAATTTTCATTTACTGCTGAATCATTCTGAGCTTTCATGCCATTTTAAGTATTAGTTGCTTTACATATCTTGTGTTATTGTCGCTGCATCTTTCATTGTATTGTAACTCGGAATTTTGAGTCCCTTGTCTCATTCTCTGGCAGGGATGGAAACATTCCAGTTTCTTTCGTCCAAAAGTACCTCAGGGGGAAGCTAGATCTCAAGAGTGACACTGAGGTAAGCATCTTTACAATGACTATGGCCTTGGATGTTTGGACAGAACGTTTACATGTAATGGAAGCTGACTAAATGGGTCTTGTAAGCTCTAAAATGCTAACCGCAAGTTTGGTTGATATCAAAAATACAGATAGAGATAAGATGTATGGGAGAAGCAGTGATCCCAACGCTGAAGCTTCAAGACCTGATGGATCGATGGTTGCAGAGAAGCTTCCAGAGTAGCACGAAGCGCCAACAGCGCCAAGGGATTAATGCATTGGTAGGTTCCTCTGCAGAGGATTATGTGATTGTGCTTGACTATGCTCAGAAGCCTCTGGAGCGAAACTAGTAAAAGAGTTTAAAGACTCTTCTTGTTGCAAGACCAAGATTATGTGAAGACAGTGTCATGTTGTTTCTCTTTTCTATGAAATCTCTCAACGCATTCACAAATGAGATCGTTACTTAGACTGCAGGACCAGTCCAAGGTGTTGTGAAATTATTAGTTGTTTTTATCAGTAGACGAATATGCACTCGTGGAACACTTTTCTGTCCATTAAAATACAAAATTTGCCTCCTTTTATTTGTTTCTTCTACTAAATGTGTCCTTGGACTTGCGTGTAATGTTCTTGTCACTTTATGATCAAGTGTTTCTAGTTTAGACTGATTTCTATGCATTTGTTCGGTGTGTTGGCATCAGAACAATCGGTGTGGAGCAAACAATTATATATCTTGTGGATTCACAAAAATCCTCCATTAATTCTTAAAATTCCAACAATCTTCTCAATATAACTAATGTTAGAACTGGGACTTAGAAATCAGAATATCTCACAAACCATGTTTCGTGATGCTCTCTATACCTCAGAAACGGTGTTTTGTTTGACTAGCCAAAAGGCCCAAAACCAACAATATGATAATCGTATGACAGAAGCAACCAAGAACTCATAATCACTAATTTGTGTGATTGTGAGAACCAATATGTTGTGATTTGATATTGGTGCTCCATTTGTGATTGTGAATATCATGTAGAAATTGCATGGCTAGTGTATATGAGTTCCTCTATCGTGTCGAAAAGTATTAGAGATGTTGTATTAACCGACGATGCGCTCGAGTGCCCAATTGACACCTAGCTATATATCTGAACATGGTTAGTGTACAGGAGCTGGTTTTACGAAATGGAACCTCTATACATCATTAGCTTTATACAGATGTTTCGCTGTTAATTAAATCTGACTGATCACATGGTTAAACTAGTTATCATAATATATGAAATGTAATTAACCCGATCGATTTTCAACATAGAAATATGACTCAACAACAACTGATGTGCTAACATATTCTAGAAGATGGTCATCTTTGGTTGTATCCAATGGAATATTTTTGCATCGAAAAATTATCGAAATTCCACGATTCAAGGTTTGATTCACTCCTTGATTTGTTTAGTTTTAGACCAACATAATTTTCTATGAACTTTTCTATAGCATTATTCGGAAAACCAAATATACTGTAATACTACCAAGAAAAACATTGCTCATGACATATCTTGCTTTAAAACCGAATTGATCTCTGCAGGATAATCCATTTCGCGCGGTTAGATAATCAAAAGAAACCTCACAGAATTTCCTAGACAATGCAAAAAACATAAATGAATTTCGTCAAGTGTATCACGAGTTATGATCAAATCAATCGAGCCTAAAAGCACAGCAAATATGCCCAAAGCATATAATCCACATCCACTGACTTCCTCATCCCAACATTAAAAGTCCCACCTTCTAAGCCGTCGATAAGTATAGATCCAACGACTACTATTCAAACTTTGGAAATGGGTAGTGATCCGCGTGCTCATTGTTTCAACCAATCAGAAGACAGATACGAGTTTCCGTCTAATACACATCTAACTATATAAATTGGACGTTTCCGATCATCTCATACTCATAACTTCCTCTTCTCCAAAACTTACATTTGCGGTTTCTAGCAATCAAATTCAGATCTCAAAATCTACTTTACGATGACATCGCCAGCGATTGAGCAAGAGAATGCTACTGCCGTGGAGGAAATCAACACGTCGGTTGTGACGGCGCCGGCCAACGAGAAGAAGCCTGCAGCGAAGGGGCGAAAATCGAAGAAAGTCAAGGAAGTGAAGGAGAAGAAGAAGCCTGTTGCTGCGGCGGCTCCGAGGAAGAAAACCGTCTCTACCCATCCTACCTACGAAGAGGTATGCGAGATCCGGATCTAGCTTTTTTTTTTTTCTCATTTGTTGTTTTCTCGCTTTTATCGTGCCGGATTCTGAGTCTGAGATTAGAGATTGATTGATTTTGTTGTTTTTTCTATCTGTTTGTGATTCAGATGATCAAGGATGCTATCGTAACGTTGAAGGAGAGGACTGGATCTAGCCAGTACGCGATTCAGAAGTTCATCGAGGAGAAGCACAAGGAGCTCTCTCCTACATTCAGGAAGCTGTTGCTTCTCAATCTGAAGAGACTCGTTGCCTCTGAGAAGCTTGTGAAGGTCAAAGCCTCGTTTAAGATTCCGTCGGCCAAGTCATCATCTCCCAAGGCGGCGGCGGCAACAGCTGCTCCGGCGAAGAAGAAACCCACCACCGCGGCGGTTTCCAAGCCAAAGGGGAAGGTGACCGCAGCTTCCAAAGCAAAGGCGCTGACTAAGAAATCAGCGGCTGCTAAACCGAAGACGGCGGCTAAGGCGAAATTGACTGCGAAGCCTAAGGCCACTGTTGCGCCCAAGAGGAAAGCTGTTGCTGCGAAGCCCAAGGCTGCGGGGAGACCAGCCAAGGCAGCTAAAACGTCCAAGGTCACATCTCCTGGTAAAAAGGCTGTTGCTGCGAAGAAGAAAGTTGCTGCTGTGGTGACGAAGAAGAAGACTCCAGTCAAGAGGGCTGTGAAGCCAAAGTCGGTCAAGTCTCCAGTCAAGAGGGCTTCCTCAAGGGTCAGGAAGTGAAATTAGGGTTTTAGTGTTGGTGATAGCTTTCTCTCTAGATGGTAGTCTTTGTATAATTCAATGCTCTTGAAGTAACTTGTTTGCTTTTTTTCATTTTCTCTTCTCTGTTTCAAAGTTCCTTGTAATTCATGGTTTCTTGGACTATATCTCCTAAATCAATATATATAGCTTCATCCCTTTCAAGGATTTTTGTTTCTTCAACTATGATCAACAAATGTTCTTCCTAAGTATTATATGCAACAACAACAAACCTTTACATTCGATGTATTTCTATCAAGTCTCTGTTATTCCTCTGTTGATTTGACGATTCACTCACTTGTTCTCTTTACCTATCTTTGTTACCTTTTCAGCTTTTGACGTTGGTGTTGAGCTGTTGTTGTTTAGATCTTTCGACTTTCTGAATGGAGTATTTGAGCTCCTGTTGAATGTTGAACCTTGAAGGTGAAAGAACAATGTCTTTCCAGATCGATCCAGCTTCACAAGCAGGGTTTGGTTGATTATAGAGCTGGTAAATTGAGTCTGCGGTCTCGTTTAACCCTCCTACTCTCTTCAAACAATCAATCTCCTCTGGATCCACTAGCAACGTCTTCTCTTTCGCTTTCCAACCTATCAGCTGTCACAAACCACACTCTGATGTTAGGATGTTCTTCTCTAAAAGATGTGTTACAATCAAATATCTTCTATGGTGGTGACTAACCTTTGGAGAGCCTTCGAGGGCGTTGGTGCAGTAGAGCCTAGCACTGTCAACAAGGTTGCAATACGTAGGAAACGCATCTGCAAACCTTTTGTGAGATCTCAGCTGCGATCTCACCCTAACCGCTCTTCTACACATTATAGCTCTCCTAACAAAAAACACTGCACGTTAAGAGACAAACTTGAAAGATGTATAGTTTGTTGCTAGCTTTTGCACTCACCTAATGCCTCTTATGACTGCTAAATACGCATCGCACACGACTCCAACTAGTTCTATCCTATAAGGTTTTCTCCTACGCCCATCCTCTTGTATCTGCTGTCTCTCACCAATCCGTTCCCAGTAGTCCTCTGTGATGATCCCATCATCACCAACCTTGTACCCGATTCCCATTCTGTAATGGTGACGGTGCACGTTCCTCGCCATTGTTATCGTCTGCACCACAAATGGTACCCAAGAGAGTGTCCCATCCATGATCACATCCCTCCCATCGTTCAGAGCCGTCACTAGCAGTGATGAAGCTGCATCTGTTGATGACTGGTGAACCTATAGATTCTCACAAAACATTCTCAGAATGCCAATCTTTTCATCTACTTAACTTGCACAGATTCTTTTGAAGAGTTCTGACTTACCAATTCAGCTGTCTGGATCATGTCGACATGGCCACGAGAGCTTAAGGCTCTGTAAATAACATCAGATTCTTTGAAAGCATCAGCTTCAATCACCACTGTGTCTGCTCCTACCCAAAACGCTCTGCATCCATTATGAAAACAATCTGGTAAGCTTCACCTCCATAATCATATATCATATGTTTAGGTTATATAAAGTGAATCTTGATTTACTCTTTGAGTATGTCTTTAAGGACAGTGCTTTTTCCTGCACCCATGCCGCCGCCCATGAGGAGTAGAACCGGACTCCGGTCTTTGTGAGCCACTGGTGCCATCACTTCTGTGCACTGTGAGTCATCCATTGACGCAATCCCCATTGCTCTCATTTCCTCTACCAAAGTGTTGAACACTCTCGCCACTTTCAAGTTCTTTGTCACTCTCTTGATCCTCTGTTCCCTATACCCACAATATCATCCATGAATCAATTCATCAGAACACACAAACTCTTTCGAATCTTTTGTTCCTTACCTTGTAGCTGCCATCACAATCTGCTTCAGCTTCCTCTTGGGCTCAGCGTCCGCGCACAGTAACTGAGATTCATAACGTTAAATGCTTTTGGCCCACAACAAAAGAAGTTTTTATTCACATACGCATACACAGACCTGACTAATCATGAGATCGGCATGGCTCCAGTGATAAGCAAAGTAGCTAAGAATGCATCTTTCGAACTCCTCAACGAGCTTGATGAAGAGAGAATCAGCGTCAGGCTCTTGAGAGAAGAAGCTGTAAATGTCTTCTTCACAACATTCTGATTTCCTGATGTATTCTGCTGCTAGCTTGCAGAGATTCGGACAGTCTCTCTTGTCCTTGAATCCCATTTGCCTTGCCACGTAATGAGAGAATCTCTCGAGCTTCTCGTGTCCTTTGTGTTTGTGCGATGATCTGAGACGAGGGATGATTTTGGAGTCACGTAGCCTCCTGAGACGGTAATGCACTGCGGCTGCAATCATCAAACCGATCGATGACACCACCAATATCTGCGAGTACGTCGTCGTTCTGTTCCCATAGTATTCTGCAACAACAACAACTACTACTTTAACTTCAGAAAATCCAGGAAGAAGAAAATAAACAAAACAGCAGATATATAACCTCTCTGCATGACGATGGATTCGTTGAGATCAATTGGTGTGTGTTTTGATAAAACTGAGAAGATTGGATTTGGTCGTCGTCGCCATTGTTGTTTCTTGAGTCTCTTCTGCGTTTTCTCCGTATTCTATGGCGAAATTAATGAATCTGGCTTCATCACCATTCACCACCATCCAATTCAGTCCTACGTTACTAAAATAGCTCGATACCGATTACTCCGGAGATACATATATATATACACATTGGTCTAATTATAGGCAAATTCACTGAGTTGTTACTTCAAGCACACATTCACTCAAACATGTCATTGTGATGATAAACCTTGATAGTGAATTATCGATAACAGCTTCTTTCAAGATTTTTGAAGAAGAAGAAAAAACCCGAATATAACTTATATCATTTCTAACTTCTTGAGAGCAGAGATCTCAACCAAAAAATTTCCTAAGAAACCTAGAGAGAACAAAAAAAAAAACCAGACAAAAGAAGACACTAATACTACATTACATGGGAGCAACGCAGGTTGTTCTGAAATGTCCGGTCTGATTACACCGGCCACAGTGAACCACACGCTTCACACGCCCAACATCCTCTGCTCTAACTCTCTTCCTCCTCCGAACATCTCTTATAGCCCTTGGTGTTCTTATTCCATCTTCACCATCAGCATCTCTCTCTGCTTTCCACTCGACTTTCTCTGAAACTGGCTCTACACTCTCCGCATAAGTCCTCCTGTAACTCTCCGATGAGAAACAACCCTCAGCGTACTTGTAAACATCCTCTTCGCAAGACAACAGAGCTCCAACGGCGTGGCTACACGGCAAACCGTGAATCTCCCACCGGCGACACAAACAAGAACGCTTCTCGATATCCACGACGACGCTTCCTTCACCAGTCATGACTTCAAACTCCGCTTCGTTCGCTCTGTAAACTCTGTGAACACGAGACTGCTCCATCGCATCAAGGAGTTGTTTCTCAGCAGAAGGAACGAGCTCGCCAGACCAATGCAAACTCGTTTCGCGGCGTTCTTTGAACAAACTCATCAAACGAATGTGGAAACACTCCATCATTTGGATTATAGGAAGACCTGAGGCATCTTCTATCCAACTCCTGAGCGACTCGGTGATCACATTAGCGGTTAAACGTCCGTACCTTGTTCCTTCAAAGCATGAAGATGCCCACAGAGAAGGAGAGAAGCTCTGGATCCACAAGAAAGCCTCAGGGGATATCTGTTCAATCTTGTTCATCTTCGACGTGTACTCGAGGACGGTGAGAGAATGTGCAGCCTCCCAAAGAAGGCTCACAAGATCCGAGTTGTGGAACTCTCTTTGGAACTGTTCCGTGAGATGATGAACACAAAGGCCATGAAACGCTGTTGGGAAACTAGACTCTACTCCATCAGCAATCTGTTTCTCCATAGTTGACAATATGGTAAGCCTTGGCATGTTGTTCTCAGAGTTGGCTTCAAGGCTCTTACCAAGCTCCGAGAGAAACTGAAACCAGTTACTATCATTCTCTTCGTTAACAATCGCAAATGCTAAAGGAAACACAGCTCCATCTCCATCGAATCCGGTGGCGAGCAGCAACGTTCCCGGATATTTGCTCTTTAAACAAGCCTTGTCCAGTGCGATGAGCGGCCTGCAAGAATTCAAGAAACCAGAGATTGACGCTTGGAAAGAGATGAACAGTTGCTGAAAGCTCTCATCGATCGGATTTGCATGAACCACAGCGACGCTCCCTGGATTAGTCCTTTTGATTTCCTCACAATACTGAGGAAGAAGACGGTACTCTTCATCGAATGAGCAACGGAGAGAAGCCATGATACGCTCTTTCCCTCTCCACGCTTGCTTGTAAGAGAGAGCAATGCCATGGACTCGGTGAATCTCCTCTAGTATCTCCTTTGGTTTGAGATGAGGGTTTTCTTTAAGCTTCTCCGCCAGAACCTCTGCAACCCAAGTAACCGAAGCCTGTTGGTGACCAAGATGTGAAATCCCACCGCACGTGTGGCTCCCGTGGATGGTTCTTATCGTGAAAGTCGGCGCGTTGGGGACTTTGGCGCAGTGGATCCTCCATGGACATCCCTCGCCCATGCACTTGGCGGTGAAGCGAGTCTTGTCGGATTTGATCGTGTGCATCTCGAAACGTAGTGAAATGGCTGTGTCTCTCAGCGCTTTCCTGCAAGCGTGGACATCAGGAAACTCCATACCAACAGCCATTTCGTGATCAGGACCTGCACCGGGGAGAGACCAGCATTGAGAGCTAGGAGGAGGAGGAGGAGGAGGAGAAGGAGTAAAGTCGATGGTGTTATACGCTAAGTCATCATTGTTGATCTCTTGAGATTCTTGCTTCTGGCTCGCTTCAATTACAGTTTCAGAGTCAGGGAAAGAGAGAAAGCTATCACTTTGGTGGTTTCCTATAGCTTCCTTTGTTGCTTCATCGATATGTTTAATCGTCGAGTCTTGAAGAGGCATAACCTTGTGTTCTTGGAAATGGTTCCAGATCTCACTTGCCTCGCAGGAGCCACCAATCTGGAGGTTGATATCGAGTAGCTGCTCAAATGCGGAGTTGTAGTCATGACTAGGATTAGGATACAGTTCATAGTTGTGTCGGAAACCAGTAAGATGATCCTGTCTAAACGAGAAATCACGGTTATCAGGCTTCACAAGCTCGTCGTTTGCCTTTGCCATTTCAATAAGAGTCTAAATCTGATTCTGAATCACACTTGTTGTGTACCTGTGGATGTAAAGACAAGGTATAGAGTGAGTAAAAACATGAAGTCATACGATCATGAGAAGTATAATAAAGTGAGAAACTTTAATCGCCTGAGGAAAAGAGAAGGTTAATTGTGAAAGGTTAAAACAACGTTTCACTCTCCAGCCAAATAATCCAATTCGAAAAAAACCACGAAAATTGATCATGCAAGCACAGACTTGAGAAAATACACAAACCCAAAATCTAATGCTTCCGAATAAATACAAAAAAATTCGAGAAACGAACAGAGAAAAGAAGCCAATTGCAGAGAAGCAACGAAAAAAAAAGGAAGACAATGAAGAGGATTGGAACTCACAGTAGAATAATTTGAGCAGAATTTGAATTCAGGGAAACTCAATTGAAGAAAAGAGGAGAAACGGGAAGTGATTGAGACATTGAGTGTTTCAATTCAAAGAGAAGGAAATTGGCGGGGAAGAATGGGTGTAGGGTTTTACTGTTTAAGCCTTTAAGGGGGAAAATCTGGAGAAGGAGAAATCGCAAAACAAGGGCGATGACTGATGAATGAGATTTTGATAAACAAAGGTAAGAAAAAACAAAATAAGGACAATCAAGGGTAAACTCTGTATTCAAGGGTATTTTGGGCATTACATATCTTTTACTCGAGGATATTTTGGCCCATTAATTGAGTTACTAATGCCCATCAGGCCACCATCGTTGGAATCAATGTGTTTTACACTTTTACTGACTCCATTAGTGGTCAATTGACAAAATGTTGATGACTGATAAAGTTCGACTACCACGCGGGACCTCCTCGTGTATCAATGGGGAACTAAGCACAAACACTTGAGTTGGGAGTCAGCATTTAACAACATCCCAGTTTTACATTTGTTTACTCTCATTTTTAGGCAGACATTTTTGGGATAAAATCTGTAGCATTGGGACTCGAACCAAAACTTACAATTTAGTCAAAAAAACTGGACCATCCAAAGATTTTCGACTAAACACTGCTTAGAGAGTTAGTTTAAGTTTGGGATAAACATTTACTTCGTTTGTTTGTTGGTTGCAACTTGCAACGGTCATCCTACAAAATCAAGACCAAAAATCGTATACAAAAAGGTACCAAACTTTCTCTTTCTTTTAGGTGAAGTATTATCACTGATGTTGTAAGATCAGATTCACTTTCATATGTTCACCTAATACAAATGCCAACCATTCAATCAATTTTACCATCTTCTCAATCACAAGTCTCTATGCAAAAAATCCTGTGAGCAATCAGAGTCGCTCCAAATCACGCCGCCAAAGTAACTATATGTGTCGGAAGATCAAGTTTGTTTCAAATGCATCAAGATGAAGCCTTTACACAACACCTTCCATGTTCAAGCTCTGGAAGCAATTCAGAAACCACCTTTTCCATAGAGACTATCTCCATCTGCTGCTTGCTGCTCCCATCCTTCCCTATCCCTTTTGAAAGAAGACTGATCTTAGGAGATTCCGGAACTTTAGCGAGTAGTTCTTCAAAAAACTTCTCTTCATCATTGAGTTTCGAGGCCTTGACGAGATCCACCACTTGATGCCTTTTTGCAACATTTCTACCAGCTCCACACCCCATTGCAGTTGCTGCTCCAACCGCATTTGCAATTGTTAAGGTATTAACAAGCGGCATGTTGCGTATATAACCCAATGCAATTGCAGCCACGAAACTGTCTCCACATCCAACAGTGTCAACCACCTCCACCTGATGATTGTGTTTTGGAAACAAAGTTTTGGATCATTACTCTTATCATACATAGAGCAACTTCACTTTTCGAGCACCAAAACGAAAGATTGCAAGCAGGTACCTTAAACGCAGGTGCCACTGAGACACTAGATTTCGTCACTAGAATTGAACCCTTTGAGCCCATCTTTACAATCACCCACTTCATTCCCTTTCCATTTTTCAAAATTTCTTGTCCTGCTTTTACAGGGTTCCTAATGCCAGTTAGAGACTCAGCCTGAGTCATTCAATAAACAGGTGAGTGAGAATTGGATCAGTGTTCTTAATATTACCAATAATCACCAGCATAAACTATTCACAGAGACTTTTACAAGCAAATAAAACAGGACTATCTTCCAATTCCAGGGGTCAATGCAACGACCAAAATGGAGAAATAAAGTGTACATGAAGAAACAAAACCAAGTAGAGAGATGTTCAACTCTATAGAGACAAGTACAACGTACCTCCTCTGAAGTTAGTAGAAGAACATCACTCATTCTAAAGAAGTGAGCAAGAGCTCTGCGCTCATCAGGAGTTCCCTTGGAAAGACTCTTTCCCCGTGGTCCAGGATCAAAGAAGACAGCTGTCCCAACTTTGGTAGCATAATCTATTGTTGACATTATGAAACTCGGGCTGAAATCGTCAAAGTCGTAACCATTGCAGAAGAGAACTTTTGACTGCCTGATTGCCAGCTTTACTTCATCAGATAAGTCAGTTATCCAACTGAAGGCAGGCTCCTCCTTGAAATCAGCTCGACTAAAAACGAGAAACAACAAGAGACGTAAGTTCCTCTAGTCAAAGAATTCAAAGAAGTAAGAAAAACTAAGCAGCACCGGAAGCAAGTATGACAATATCACCCACTAGCGTTTACGAGATGTCTAAACAAGAAACCATCACTACCATAGAGAGGCATTTTCAGTGATAAAATCGGACTAGAAAAAGCAGTACCTGCAAAACCCATGCCTCTGCGAAGGATCGACAAGAACCCAGCAAATAAGAGTTTCACAGTATGAGCTGTTATCCTTGGCATTTTCTCCGTCCAATGCAACTGTACTTATTCCCTCACCATGAAGCACATCCAGAAGAAACTCTCCGTAGATTTCATCCCCAACGTGACCAATAGCAACACAGTTAAGCCCTAGTCTAGCAGCTGCTATAGCCATGTTACAGTTGCCACCTGCTTCCCAGTATTTCTATAAGCAAAACAGGCAATAACAAAATATCTTCAGTGCCAGGAACAAAAGGAAGAAGAACAATGAGTTAACCCTAATTCAATTCAAGAAAAACAAAAGAATTGAGCTACTAGAACCAAATCCGTTCCATTTCTTAAAGCTATCAAAAAATTGAGCTACTAGAATCAAATACGCATTATCTTTAAGCTATCACCATTGGAAAACTTAGGAGCAATTAATGTGTAAAGAAAAAGTGGGAAACAACATTTAGTACCCAGACCTTATCTGGGGGAGAAATAGAGAGTTCGTCCATGAACGCCTTGCGGTCTCCGCGAGAAGGAGGGGGCAATTCCTCAACACTGAGAACAATGTCGACGCAGAGATTACCCAGGGTTGCCACATCGATAGGTTTGTCCGCCACCACGATCCCTCCAGTTTCCCCGAGACAGCCAATGGAGGAGCCATCGGCGTACCTAACCGGGGATACATCGGCGGCGCTGCTTCGGCAGCGAAGGCAGACGGAGCTGCTCACATTCGGGACTCGAGCGAACGGCGGGAAAATAGGGAGGAGCTGATTAGGGCTTTGGAGGGAGAAATTGGAGAGGGATAAAGCATAGTGAGGAGAGGAGTGAAATTTGAGGGAAAACGCGTGGTGATGCATTCAGAAGAGCCCAGGAATAAGGAAGAAGGGAGAGATGATTTTGAATGCTTCGTCGTCGCTCTCTCTCAAGTCTTCTCTTCCGTCTTCAATCTTGAAATGGCTGATTCTACTTGTTCTTCTTCACCACTTCAGGAAGAGAGACGCTTCTCTGTGGAATATCGAACCGGAGTGAATAGAATGAGCGATAAAAGCGAACCGGGTGTGATATAAAGCCGGTATCCGGTTTGCCTCCCTTAACCGTCCGATAAGCTTTATAATTAAAATCCGAGGTTTAAAGAAAGGGTTTTTCATCTATACCTGATTACTTCTTCTCGACAGCCACCAAAAACTTTCTTCGTGTTCTTCTCGCTGCAAGCCATGGCCGCCGGCGACGAATTGCTGGGGCCTCAGAGGTCTCACAGGGCTCGCAAATCAGGTCCTACCATGAGGAAGAAAACTGAAAAAGACAAGAAGAAGCGTGGCGTCACCGATACCAAGCAGAGAAACCCTAGAGTGAGCTCCTCTCATCACTTGCCAGTGTCTCCTTTGAATTCCCAGATTGGTGTTTGTCGGAATAATCGAGATTTACTTGGGTTTTGCAGGCGTTTTCTTTCAAGTCGGCTGTGAAGATGAACAAGTTGAAGATTCGCTCTGCGGAGAAGGAACAAAAGCGAATTCATCTTCCGAACATGGATCGTACTTACGGCGAACCTCCTCCTTTCGTCGTCGTGGTTCAGGGCCCACCAGGGGTACTGTGATTTAGACTAATGTCGGATTTGTGAATTTCTATCTTTCTCAGAAGATTTGATTGTTTATTGCCCACAAATGTTGTGTTCATGTAGGTCGGAAAGTCTCTCGTGATTAAGTCACTTGTAAAGCACTATACGCGCCAGAATGTACCTGAGGTTCGAGGACCTATTACCATTGTACACGGTTCGGTGCTACATTTTTCATTTCATTTTTTTTGTTATGTTGTATTCTTTGTGAATTTTCTAGAGTTGGATTGTGTTCATGTTCTCATGTTAGGCTGGTCATGGATTTAGGTAAACATAAACGGATTCAGTTTGTGGAGTGCCCAAATGATATCAATGGGATGGTGGATTGTGCAAAGGTTGCTGATCTAGCTCTTCTTCTCATAGACGGCAGTTATGGTTTTGAGATGGTGAGACTCCATTGACGACTGTTTTTCTCTAGCAAACGAGTGCTTTATTTAGCTAGCATTGATGAAGTGTTTTATAGTGAAGATTTTGGTAATCTGCTTTTTTTTCTTAGTGATATGATAAGCTAACTGTCTTGTAATCTTTTGTTCCTCAGGAAACCTTTGAATTCCTGAATATTATGCAAGTGCATGGATTTCCTAGAGTTATGGGAGTCCTCACTCACCTTGATAAGTTCAAGGATGTAAAGAAGCTGAGGAAAACAAAACAACGTCTCAAGCATCGGTTTTGGACCGAAATATATAACGGAGCTAAATTGTTCTATTTATCTGGTCTCATTCATGGCAAGTAAGTATCTACACTGATAACCTCACCATCGTTGATTACATGTGCTCAACTGATGTTCACCTTTGATTTATCTTTTATTGGCAGGTATACGACACGTGAAGTTCACAACCTCGCCCGCTTTGTATCTGTCATCAAGCCACAACCATTGACATGGCGGACATCGCATCCTTATGTGTTGGCTGATCGTCTGGAGGATGTTACCCCTCCCGAGAGAGTTCAGTTGGATAAAAAATGCAATAGAAATATCACACTGTACGGTTACCTACGTGGTTGTAACTTGAAAAAAGGGATGAAGGTATGCAATCAGATGTTTCACTACTGTTTTCCTTTAATAGTGCTTCGTCTTAGCCTTTTCCACTTTCTATGGCCTGAATCCTTGATCCATTGGTTTGCTTAGCTGTACTTTCTGTGGCGTAAAATACTCAATTTCTCAGGAAAAAAGACCAATTTTTAGATTGAGCCTAGAAATGACCTAATTTGATTTCAAGTTGATGTTATTTATGTGCCCTTCCTTCCTGGTGTTGGTCCATAGATTCTTGGCGATTCACATATTACATCATCTAAAACTAGTTTTTGCATCATGAAAACCAATCATATTGATTCCATATCGATTGAAGTTGTAAGATGAGGAGCATAAATTTGTATACCCTCTGCTACGGACTGACTTTTCCTCTGCTTATTGGGCTAAATGGATGCTTTTGTTTGGAAAATGTTATCTTAGCTGTTGCAGTGGACCTTCATTTTCTTGTACAACATGCATCTAATATAATTTCTTGTGATTATCAGGTCCATATTGCTGGAGTTGGTGACTTCGGCTTAGCTGGGGTCACTGCCTTACCTGATCCTTGCCCCTTACCCTCAGCTGCCAAGAAGAAGGGGCTGAGAGATAAGGAAAAACTTTTCTACGCTCCTATGTCCGGGATTGGAGATCTTTTGTATGACAAAGATGCTGTTTACATCGACCTGAATGATCACCTTGTTCAGTACTCTAAAACTGATGATGGAAACGGAGAACCTACTAATAAAGGTTATTAACGGGATTTCCCAAGTTTTACTGCAACATGCTTGCTCTCTCTCTCTCTATATATATATATGTAGTAGTCTCTTTCGAGCATCTTGCTCATTTTATGTGTTATCCCAATAATAATTTGGAATTTGGTTTACATCATTCTCCAGAACAGAACAGAAAAGTAATTTGTTTTTTTTTCCCTCATTTTTCTTCGTAGCTCTAGGATCTCTGATTATGACATTTTTCTCTTGGCAGGAAAGGGCAGGGATGTTGGTGAAGATTTGGTTAAGTCGTTGCAGAACACAAAATATTCTGTAGATGAGAAATTAGAGAAAACTTTCATCAATTTCTTTGGCAAAAAGGCTAGTGCCAGCTCAGACAGAAAACTTGAGGCTGAAGATGTGAATCAATCTTTGCCGGAAGATGAGTCATCAGAGGAGTCTCAATCTGGTGATGAGTCATCAGAGGAGTCTCAATCTGGTGATGATGAAATTGATGGAAACAGCAGTGACAGTAAAATGATGAGGAAGACTAAGAAGATCCATGGTGGAAGGATGAGGAGAAAAGCTATCTTCAATGATGATGTTGATGAGAGTGACTCAAAGGTAATCTCTTTGCTTGATCTGATTTTTCATAATGGTTCTATATGCTAATTCAGTCACATCTTCAGTTTGATAATACTGGTGACTATGAGTTCAAGAGTTAGTGAATGTGAATCTCGCTCTTCTCTCTTTCATTATTTTGTATTCAATCAACACTTTTGTCAGGCAATCTGGAAAGAAACAGTGAGTTAATTCAATCGCAATTCTAGTGTGATCACCGTAGTTAAATTGTTTTCAAGTAGCAGTATCTATTTTGAAGTGGACTTACTATATTTTCCAACCCAAATGATTTTCTTCATGTCTAATCTGTTTTACTGTTTTTCATGCATGGGTGTGTGACGTAGGACTCAGACGAAGATGATGTTGAGGAAGCAGAAGATGTTGAATCTGAAGATGGCGAAGATGACTCTCCTTCAGATTTGCAGGACTCAGATGGAGATGATTTTGATGAAGCAGATGATAGAGGCCTTGGTAACATATCAAAATGGAAAGAACCCTTGAAGGAGAAGGGCAGAAAGAAGAACCCCAACTTGAAGCAACTTGTGTATGGTGCATCGGGATCATCAGCTACTGCCGTGGTAGATGAGAACCATGAAAGTAGTGATGATGATGAAGGGGATGGTGAAGACTTCTTTATGCCAAAAGGAGAACAAAGCAAGGTTTGTCATTTCAAGACCATACAATCTTTGACCATACAAGCAAGCTTCTTAGGAAGAAATTGTCTCAAACTTCCGTGTACTTTTTTTTCATCTACTTCCAGAACTTAGGTGGTGGATCGGATGTGGGATATGCCAACTCAGAGGATTGTTCCAAATTTGTGAATTATGGAAAACTGAAGGATTGGAAAGAGAAAAAAGTTTGTGAGAGCATTCGTAATCGATTTACCACTGGTAATTGGGACGAAGCTGGTCTGAGGAATAAAAAATTAGGTCCTGGCGATAAGGGAGAAAATGATGAACTATATGGTGATTTCGAGGATCTGGAGACTGGAGAGATGCATAATAGCCATGAGAACATGGAGTTGGATGAAAATCAAAACGAAGATGTTGAAGATGCTGAGCGCAGGTTAAAAAAGCTGGCTCTCCGAGCAAAGTTTGATAAAGAATATCCTTTTATAACTGAATGACATCATTTAACTTAGCTATATATGGTTTAATGCTACTGCTTTAGTTTGTACTTTGACAAGTTACTATTGGTTCAACCTTAACCTCGTTGTACAAGCAATAAATCCGAGTGTGAGGAGGATGACAATGATGAAGGTGATGGGAACAGTCTCCGTATTAGTCAAGCCAAGGAACCAGGATTTGTTGACATAGTAAGTTTTTTTTTTCGGCCTCAGATAAGGTTTATCCTCTTTTTCTTACTCACTCTATTTGTTTTCCAGTTGAAGGAGGAGCTTGAACTAAGAAAACAGATGAATTTGCTAGAACTCAACAATCTTGACGAGGATGCTCGAATTGAGATAGAAGGATTCCGGACTGGAACATACGTGCGGCTGGAGATTCACAATGTTCCTTATGAGATGGTTGATTTCTTTGATCCATGTCATCCAATTGTTGTTGGAGGTATTGGTTTCGGCGAGGATAGTCCTGGATATATGCAGGTAAGGAGGCTATAACCATTTTCTCTTATCTGATCTTTAAAGAAAGTTGAATTGAGTAGTTCATTTCATAATGAAATATCTTTTTCTTATTCAAAAGTACTTGAAAACATGGTTGTTTATTTGAATACTGCTTATTGTGTCATGTTTTCTTGTCCTTAGGCCCGGTTGAAGAGACATAGGTGGCACAAGAAAGTACTAAAGACTAGAGATCCCATTATTGTGTCTATTGGATGGAGACGCTATCAGACTCTTCCTGTATACGCCATTGAAGATCGCAATGGCAGACATCGAATGCTCAAGTATACTCCGGAACACATGCATTGCCTTGCAATGTTTTACGGTCCTCTTGTTCCACCCAACACAGGCTTTGTCGCATTCCAAAACCTGTCGAGCAATCAGGTATGCGAATGCTATGCTGTTTGAGATTTTGATCCAAGTTTATCTTTGGAGTGTGTTTGAACTTTTGTGATAGAGAATCTATAATTGGTAAAACAGAGTGTATCTTCATGAAATGGGTAGTGTAAGGCTTAACTGACTAATAGTTAATACTAGCGAAATTACTGTTTCGTTGCCACAACCTAAAATTACTGTTTCCTCATGTAAACAGGGAAGCCTAGATTTGTTGTATTCCTCTCCCCACTAAGTAGCTCTCCTGGTTTCTGTTTCAGGCAGGATTTAGGATAACAGCGACTTCTGTAGTTGTTGAGTTTAATCATCAAACCCGTATTCAGAAGAAAATCAAGATGGTCGGGCACCCCTGCAAGATCAAGAAGAAGACTGCATTTATAAAGGACATGTTCACTTCTGACCTTGAAATAGCTAAATTTGAAGGATCAGCTGTCCGGACAGTCAGTGGCATTAGAGGACAAGTGAAAAAGGTATGCATAGTTTCGATCTTTGTTGTAGTTCCTAGTTTCCACACCCATTGGCTTCATCTTGTTTGATTGTTGGCTATATCTCCGGTTTTCTAACGAGCAAACCTCTATTTGTCAGGCGGGGAAAAACATGCTCGAGAACAGTGCCCAAGGAGGAGGGATTGTGAGGTGTACCTTTGAAGATCAAATAAGAATGAGCGACATAGTCTTCTTAAGGGCTTGGACCCAAGTGGAAGTTCCACAGTTTTTCAATCCTCTAACTACAGCGTTGCAGCCCCGCGATAAGATCTGGAAAGGGATGAAAACTGTTGGAGAACTCCGCAGAGAGCAAAGTATTGCTATTCCGGTGAATAAGGATTCACTCTACAAGGTAACAAAAAAAAAAATCCCATAAAATGCAGCAACTTGCCATTCTTGTCTTTGATTTCTACTAATTCTCATTCGTTTTGTGTGTAACATTTTGCAGCCAATCGAAAGGAGGCTAAAAAAGTTCAGCAAATTGGTGATATCAAAGAAACTACAAGGAGCTTTACCGTTTAGTTCGAAACCCAAAGATGTACCAGGGAGAAAGAAACCAACACTGGAGAGTAGAAGAGCTGTTGTCATGGAACCGGACGAACGAAAAGCTCATGCTATCATCCAGCATTATAAGCTGATGAACAAGCACAAGGTAATTATTATTGATCTTCTCTGTTCTCTGTTCTTATTGATAAATGATGATTGTGGCCTTTGTTTAACTCTCCAAAACAAAATAAAAATGCAGATGAAGAAGAGAAAAGATAAGGAGCAGGAGAAGAGGAAAGTGTACGAAGCAGAGAAAGCTAAGAGTGACGAAATAGCTAAGAAACGGAACAGAGAAGAGAGACGTGATAGATATCGCACGGAGGATAAACAGAAGAAGAAGATGAGAAGAAACGAAGATTAGTTAATCTTTTACCTGCTTATTGCTCACAACCTGATACCAAGTCTTTTGAAACTGTAATCCTAAAGTTTTGTTTTCTTGTTTGAGTTTACTATCTTTCTTCTGTGTTACACTTTGTTCAAAAGCTTCTGAATCATTTATGTATCGCCAAACTTTTGATACTAGTTTTTCTCGGATCCCACCCAAAAACTAGGCTTCTTTCATGTTTATCTCGAAATTGAGAATGTAATTCGAGAAGAGGAGTTAAAACCAAAACATTAACAAATTTTGATCATACATTATTACACTAATTATCGGAATACACTACATTATTGATTTGCATATTTTGATTACTCTTTGTTCATTAGGTGGGTTCAATTTTTTTATATTTAAAAATTATGCTGTTCTTTCAGTTTGTTCTATCTTTCTCCCCCTTCTTCCTTGTATAAACCCCAAACTTTCTTCAAAAACCCTAAATTCTCAATTTCAGGTTGTGCGATTGATATGAACAAAACAGTCGTAAGATGTCTTCTTTCTCGTTCACATCATCCTCTTCTTCATTTCTCCACCAATTCATCTCTTCACTCTTCTCTTCTCGACAGAGTTTCCACCTGTAGCCGTTACCTCACGGCTAGGTTTATGTCGACTCCTCCGCCAGATGAAATGTATGGATTCGACGATCCTTTCTCTCCCAGCGAGTCGCGGGAAGTGGTCGATTTGACTAAAGAGTACTCCTTTCTGCACGATTTTGACTCTGGAAATGTCGATGTAACTCAGTCATCATCCTCCATTGATGCTAAAGCCATTGCAGATGCTGTCTCTTGTGGCGGCGATGTGTTTGGGAGCAAATCCCAGAAGTTTCTTAGGCAATTTAGAGAGAAACTTAGTGAGAGCTTGGTGATTGAGGTTTTGCGTTTGGTAGAAAAACCCTCTGCTGTTATAAGCTTCTTCATTTGGGCAGGTAGGCAGATAGGTTATAAGCACACAGCACCTGTCTATAACGCTTTGGTAGACCTGATTGTACGTGATGATGACGAAAAAGTTCCGGAAGAACTCCTGCAACAGATTAAAGACGATGACAAGGAAATGCTTGGGGAATTTCTGAATGTGTTGATAAGGAAACATTGTAGGAAAGGATCGTTTAGCATTGCGCTTGAGGAGTTAGGGAGGATGAAGGATTTTAGGTTTAGACCGTCAAGGTCTACTTATAACTGTTTGATTCAGGCATTTCTCAAGGCTGATCGTTTGGACTCAGCTTCATTGGTTCATCGAGAAATGTCCCTTGCAAATCTTAGGATGGATGGGTTTACGCTTCGATGCTTAGCTTACTCCTTCTGTAAAGTAGGAAAGTGGAGGGAAGCTCTGGCATTGATGGAAACTGAAAACTTTGTGCCTGATACTGTCTTTTATACGAAGCTGATATCTGGTCTCTGTGAAGCTTCGCTTTTTGAAGAGGCTATGGATTTTCTGAATAGGATGCGAGCTACTTCCTGCCTTCCTAATGTTGTAACGTATTCGACTTTGCTGTGTGGATGCTTGAACAAAAAGCAGCTGGGCAGGTGTAAGAGGGTACTCAATATGATGATGATGGAAGGTTGTTATCCAAGTCCTAAGATTTTCAATTCTCTTGTACATGCTTATTGCACATCAGGGGATCATTCATATGCATACAAACTGCTAAAGAAGATGGTTAAATGTGGGCACTTGCCAGGATATGTTGTCTACAATATATTGATTGGGAGTATTTGTGGTGGCAAGGACTCGCTTAGTTGTGATCTTCTGGAATTGGCTGAGAAAGCTTACAGTGAAATGCTTGCTACAGGGGTTGTTCTGAATAAGATTAATGTCAGCAGCTTCACACGGTGTCTTTGCAGCGCGGGGAAATATGAGAAGGCGTTCACTGTTATCCGTGAAATGATTGGTCATGGGTTTATACCAGATACCAGTACCTATTCCAAAGTCCTTGGTTATCTATGTAGTGCTTCGAAAATGGAAATGGCGTTTCTGTTGTTTGAAGAAATGAAAAGGGGTGGCCTTGTTGCTGATGTCTACACGTATACTATTATGGTGGATAGTTTTTGTAAAGCTGGCCTGATTGAGCAGGCTAGCAAGTGGTTCAGTGAAATGAGAAAGGTTGGTTGTACACCTAACGTCGTCACGTACACTGCTCTTATCCATGCTTATCTTAAGGCTAAGAATGTCAGCTATGCGAATGAGCTGTTTGAAACGATGGTGTCTGAAGGGTGTGTCCCCAATATCGTTACATATTCAGCCTTGATTGATGGCCATTGCAAAGCTGGGCAGACAGAGAAAGCTTGCCAGATTTTTGAAAGAATGTGTGGCAGCAAAGATGTTCCAGCTGTAGATATGTACTTCCAGCAGAGTGATGACACTGGCGAGAGACCGAATGTAGTTACATATGGAGCTCTACTGGATGGTTTGTGCAAGTCGCAAAGGGTCGAAGAAGCTCGAAATTTGTTGAATGCGATGTCCGTGGAAGGTTGTGAACCTAATCAGATTGTATATGATGCTCTTATCGATGGACTCTGTAAGGTTGGGAAACTAGACGAGGCCCAAGAAGTGAAAACTGAGATGTCTGAGCATGGTTTTACCGCAACCTTGCATACTTACAGTTCTCTAATTGATCGTTATTTCAAAGTGAAGCGCCAAGATTTAGCCTCAAAAGTATTGTCCAAGATGCTTGAGATTTCCTGTGCGCCTAATGTGGTTATCTACACTAATATAATTGATGGCTTGTGCAAGGTTGGTAAAACTGATGAAGCTTATAAGCTTATGCAATTGATGGAAGAAATTGGGTGTCAGCCAAATGTGGTGACATATACGGCATTGATTGATGGATTTGGAATGATTGGTAAAATCGAAACATGCCTCGAGCTCTTAGAGCGAATGGGATCCAAAGGTGTTGCTCCAAATTATGTTACTTATAGGGTCTTGATAGATCATTGTTGCAGAAATGGTGTATTGGATGTGGCCACCAATCTTCTAGAAGAAATGAAACAGACTCATTGGCCTATGCACGCAACAGGATATCGCAAAGTCATCGAAGGATTCAATAAAGAGTTCATAGAGTCTCTTGGGCTTCTCGATGAGATAGCCGAGGATGATACTGCCCCGTTTCTTTCTGTATATAGGCTTCTGATTGATAATCTTGTCAAAGCTCAAAAGCTGGAAGTGGCTCTCAGGCTTCTTGAAGAAGTTGCAACGCTGTCACCGACGTTGGTTGATTACAGTAGCACATATAACTCGTTGATTGAAAGCCTTTGCCTTGCTAACAAAGTGGACAAGGCTTTTCAGTTGTTCTCGGGAATGTCGAAGAAAGGTGTCATCCCGGAGATGCAAACATTCTGTAGTCTTATCAAGGGGCTTTTCCGAAACAGCAAGATCAGTGAAGCACTTTTGCTTCTAGATTTCATATCACATAAGGTTTTTCCTCTTTGACTCTTTCTTCTGAGTTCCTCAAGCTCTTTTTTCTTTGCAACGTTCACATGAATCTATGTAATGTAGATTGGTATGTACTTATGGAATTCCATTGCTAAATTGCCTCAATGTTGCAGGAAAATCAGTGGATAGAAGAAAAGAAAGCATCTGATGGTCCGTAGGCTTACTGATCCATAATATCTAATTCAAAATTGCCTAGCTAGATGGTGCATCTGATATTGAGCATCCACGGTTGGAAGCTATGGATTACGTATTGGGAAGACCACTAGGAGCATGAGGCGCATTAGGTTTTTGGACCAAATCCTCTGTAAGTTCGTTGGTTTTAGATCGTACATAGTCAGATTCTACGTTTTATGTCTTTGGACTTTTGCCTATGAATTTGTGACATGTATCTGTTTATACATGCAGGTTCTGGTCCTGGTTCGTACATGATGTGTATAATGATGTATAGTTGTTAAGACTCTCAATGGAGTTGATTGATCTCCTTTGAATAATCTACAACTGCACTAATGCTTCGGTCAGGTAAGAATGGCTTTGGTAGAGGTTGTAAGGTCTTTGATGAGTGAAGCCAATATAAACAAACTGAGCGGCCTGACGAACTCTCTACGTTCGACACACACGCAGTTCGAGAGCGTATCAACCAAGGTGACGAGTCTTTTCTTCACCCAAACCAAAAAGATTCTCGAAGATGTATCTTGCAGAGAATCGTATATCATGTGCAGAGCTGGGTTACTCAGATAGTCAGATTCTGTATTTTTATGTTTCAAGGGCCTTTTACTGTACATACTTCAAAGTCATGTGACAAATACTTATTTAAACCCACTAGATCAATGATATATATGTGCATATATATATATATATTTGTTGTTAAATAACAGTCGGATTTTTCCCAACTTTATTGACTGGATTGTTTTGGATTTATGTTAATGCTTGTTTCTGTCATTTAAACATTTTACAGGTATATATTCATTTGACTATTTCTAGCATGTCACACAAATTGATTCTCAGTAATCAGTATGGTATGTGAGAGAGAACATTTTGCAAGAAATATTCTGCTATTAGTAGTATCTAACTATCTATTTAGATGCAGGACTTTGATTGAAAAATTACTTCGATAGGGAAAAGTCAAGAAAACGAATCTTATAAAAAAATTCCATACGTGTATTCCAAAAATGCCATATAAGAAAATGAGCATTGTTGGTGAAGCGTAATAAATAACTAGAGCTAAACATTTAAAATAATTTGACTTCTGATCCTTATATAGAATCCAAACTTAAATAGAGACTTGAGTCAAATTTAATTCGTTATAAAACAATCACCATTGACCGGAAAGTGAGATGTAATTCGTTAGTAATTTTTTCCCGTGAGGTTAGTATAATCCGATATCTTTGATTGGTGATAAGGTTTACATATCTGGAAATTGAGTAAGCAAAGAGTTTAAATATTAATATCGAAAAAAATGATTAGAAACAAACAACAAAGCAGAAAGAGAGTAGTGAGTGATTAAGTTCAATAAAAGCAAAATGCCAAAAGAAGGGATTAGATTAAAATTAAACGCCAAAGCTTTGATAAGATATAACTTTGCTTTTCTTTTTGCATTTGCCTAATCTCATTTCTTTCTCCCTCGTCTCGTCTCTATCAAGCAATCCCCCTCTCTTTCTCTCTCTCATCAACGCAGAGGAGACGCTCGTACGCGACGAACCCTAGAGAGATTGAGAGGGACAGCGAGTCTTTAGGTGACGCAGGGCGATTTGACCGGTAACGTATTCTCTTTTCCGTCTTTGGTTTGTATCTGAATTTTGGATTTCGTAGAAACCGTGTGGTCTCTAGATTCATGCTTTGTAGGGCTTCTGAGTCCGTTTTAATTCCTGAATTTGGATTACTTCGAGATTTCCTTTTCGATTCATATATTCGCGCAGATATGTCATCTGGGTTTTGTTTTCTGATTCGTAATTGTTGAGTCTGTTGGATGATCATTGCCTTATTATTCTAGCCGCGTTTGGTGGCAAGAGGACGTCGTTGTCCCTTTTCCTTAGTTTGATTTTTGCATGTTCTGCTGATAAACGTTCTCAATGTTGTGGATGTTGAATCATTTGTGTTTTCCTGATCGAGAATTTTGATTCGATGAACTTTGAATTGCGTGTTCTCTTCCCAGATAACGTGCTCAGAACAATATTACTTAATCAATTACAGGATCCAAAGGTTGTGGACGATCTATTATTGAACAAGTGAGCAAGGATGCGCAAGTGGATCTGTTGTACATGTCAAATAGAAGACTCAAATGAAGAGGAACAACTGAAAAGTTCGCAGCAGCAGTCTGATGGTATGTTATCTATATGCCACCTTGTAGCTGAAGTTTTCTCTAATTACGCACGGTTATTGGATATTGTGTATCTAAGAAGTTGTTTCCTGTTTGTGCTTATCGTGTTGAGTGTCTTCATGTATGTAGCAAATCATAAGAATCCAAAACCAGCAGCTGTTGCAAAGCATGAGGTGCAGAAGGAAGCTCTTCCCATCGAGGTTCCTCCCTTGTCTTTGGATGAGGTGAAGGAGAAGACCGAAAATTTCGGGTCAAAAGCGCTGATTGGCGAAGGATCTTACGGAAGAGTATACTATGCGACACTAAATGATGGTGTTGCGGTTGCTCTGAAGAAACTTGATGTCGCACCTGAAGCTGAATCAGATGCCGAGTTCTTGAGTCAGGTTATTAATCTTCTTCAACCTTTTCTTTCCCTCCATTTTCACTTGCTCTGTAATGAGATGAATCAGTATCCATGCATTTTTTTTCCTGGAACCTTGTGTTACAGCATCCTTATCAATTTGATATATTAATACTTTGCTCTTCCATAGGTTTCCATGGTTTCTAGACTGAAGCATGAGAATCTCATTCAATTGCTTGGCTTTTGTGTTGATGGAAACCTTCGCGTCCTTGCATATGAGTTTGCAACAATGGGATCATTGCATGACATCTTGCATGGTAAGATAAGCTTCCTGGTTTGACCAAAAGTATCTGTGACAAACAAAATTTGTTGATGTAATTGATTGCACATTGTGCGGTTACAGGTAGGAAGGGAGTTCAAGGAGCACAGCCAGGTCCAACACTTGACTGGATAACGAGGGTGAAAATAGCGGTTGAGGCAGCTAGGGGTTTGGAATACCTTCATGAGAAGTCTCAGCCTCCTGTAATCCATAGAGACATAAGGTCTAGCAATGTTCTTCTTTTTGAGGACTTCAAGGCAAAGATTGCTGATTTCAATCTCTCAAACCAAGCGCCTGATAATGCTGCTCGTCTCCACTCTACAAGAGTCTTGGGAACTTTTGGTTATCATGCTCCAGAGTAATGTTTCTTGTACCATTATTGTTTGTGTGTGATGCAAAATGTCTGATTAGCAGCTAATATGTTAATACGCCCCCATATGCAGATACGCAATGACTGGACAATTGACTCAGAAGAGTGATGTGTACAGCTTTGGGGTTGTTCTTCTAGAACTTCTGACAGGGAGGAAACCGGTCGATCATACCATGCCTCGTGGTCAGCAAAGTCTTGTAACCTGGGTGAGTATACATACGCTGTTCCAAATTTAGACCAAGCTTTTTCATAAATCTTATCTCTTGTCCTTGGCTTACGATTTGATGTTATTGGCTCTGCTCAGGCAACACCAAGACTCAGTGAAGATAAAGTGAAACAGTGTATTGATCCGAAGCTAAAAGCTGATTACCCTCCAAAAGCAGTTGCTAAGGTACCTCTCTCCATGCCATTGAACATCTAAATGGTTCACACAAATCTCAGTATCCGAAAGATAACAAAAACCAATTATGTGTGTTATGTGGCAATGCAGCTAGCAGCTGTTGCAGCATTGTGTGTGCAGTACGAAGCTGAGTTTAGGCCAAATATGAGCATAGTTGTGAAGGCGCTACAGCCGCTCCTGAAAACTGTAGCTCCAGCTCCATCTCCAGCACCAGAATCTTGAAACTTCGACAATCATTGCAACTATCAGAATCTATCGTTGGTGCTACTACCATATATGGATCAGGATTTGTATTTGGTAGTGATAACTATAAATATGATATTATGTTTCGTTTGATAATTGGTTTTGCACACAATTTTGCTGTGCTAGAAGAGAGACTATGGCAAGTTTATTGTTGCCATGTGCGTGCGTTGGAGAGAGAGAGAAGACTAACTATTGTTATTATTATTGCCTTCTGATTTGATGTGATCCCTCTTAAGTCTATCTGAGACAGCCTGTTTTGGATAATGACATCAAAAAAGGTTTTAGTTACTTTCACATTTCAGTATCCTTGAATCTTGATCAACTTGAAATAAATAAAAAAAAACTCTTTTGCCTGTATTCTATCGTATTGTAAGAGAGGACGACGATACAAAAATCTGGGTACTTTGTAATTACCTCTAAAATATTATGATTGAATTGGTTAAGAATTGACAAATATGTTAATTAATGGATACGACGTCGTTGAGACGAAAGAATATTCCTGGTCGCAAACGTGGAAAAAGCTTCGAACGTCTTTTAATTTGCGGTTAAAAAAGTGGAGTCGTTTTAAACACATTTGATCGGCCCGCCAACATCCTACGTGTTCGTTTTACCGTCTCTCACCTCTCTCGCAAAAGCCCAATCTCTTCTTCTCTTCCTCTTCCAGCTTCAACAAAATCATCGCAGAAGCAACAAAAAAAAAAGCGCCATGGCCATGGCTGCGCATTTCACCTTCCCTTTCAACTATGTTGTTTCGGAAGGCTCCCGGGGAAGAGGAAGGTTCGTTCCTAAGCTCGTCAGAGCAGTAGCCTCCGGCGATTCCGTGGCTCCGGCGATCTCGGAAGAGTCAAAAGTGAAATTGGGTGGCTCGGATTTGAAAGTGACGAAGCTTGGCATTGGAGTCTGGTCATGGGGTGATAACAGCTACTGGAATGACTTCCAGTGGGATGGTCAGTCCAATTTCCCTTTCTCCAAAATATTCGAATTTCTAATAGATTTTGCATGATTATGCTCGAATTCTCTTAATCTCGATTGGTTTGTTACTTTCTGTGATGGTAGACAGGAAACTGAAGGCTGCCAAAGGAGCATTCGATGCCAGTGTTGACAACGGTATAGATTTCTTCGATACTGCAGAAGTTTATGGCTCCAAGGTTAGAAGGAAACAATCTGATTACTTTTGTATTGAAACTAATCGGAAGTCTCACTTTCTTCTCTCTCTATCTTCTGTAGTTTTCTCTGGGTGCTATAAGCTCTGAAACTCTTCTAGGAAGGTACGTTTTTCTTTTACTGTATCTAAGAAAAATGTAGCAGCGTTTCACCACCATTCCTTCTGAACAGATTCATCAGAGAGAGAAAAGAGAGATATCCAGGAGCTGAGATTTCAGTAGCAACAAAGTATGCTGCATTACCATGGCGATTAGGTCGTGAAAGTGTTATCACTGCCCTCAAAGATTCCCTTGACCGGCTTGGTCTTTCCTCTGTGGATCTCTATCAACTCCATTGGTATGTCTTTCGTAATTTATGTTGGATTACACACTGTTAAGTACGGTTAAAGGGAACAATCTCACTGTTTTCTTTGCTCAAATTTCAGGCCTGGATTATGGGGAAATGAAGGTTTTTCTTTTTCTTAAGAGCGACGTTAAAGCAACTTTTAACAAGAGTCTTGTCATTTTTGTTAATTTTTATATAAACTTCAGTGACACGGTGAATTATGTTTTAGGATATCTGGATGGTCTTGGGGATGCTGTTGAACAAGGACTTGTGAAGGCTGTCGGTGTTTCTAACTACAGCGGTACCAATTTCTCACTATCACTGGCAGTTGAAATCAAAAAGACATTTGAATCACAATGTGTAAAAAAAAAAAAACTTGATAAGCACATCTAATGTTGTTTTGTTGAACTTTCTTTCAAATTTATATCATACTCACTGTAGTTGGTGGCGGTTTTCAGAGAAGCGACTACGTGATGCTTATGAGAGACTCAAAAAGAGAGGAATCCCTCTAGCCTCGAATCAAGTCAACTACAGTCTCATATACAGAGCTCCGGAGCAGACTGGTGTCAAGGCTGCTTGTGATGAGCTTGGAGTCACTTTGATTGCATATTCCCCCATCGCTCAAGGTGATTTTTCTCTTTATCTCCTATGCTTTATTTATGTCCATCATTCTCTGAAAAAGTTGCACGAGGCAAAAAAAAAACCTGGCCAATGAAAATCGAGGTTTTCTGTTTTTTTGTTTCAGGTGCTTTAACTGGTAAATACACCCCAGAGAACCCACCCTCAGGTCCTCGGGGTCGCATTTATACTCGTGAGTTCTTAACCAAGGTAATAGCTTGGACTGCTTGTATTCAACACAGGCCTCTATGTCTGCAAAACTATATTTACATTGTGCTATTTTCAGAAAATACATAACATTTTTATACAACATTCCCACCAATCAATGTACCTGTGCATAAATTATCAAAAGGTATCATAACTTTGCGAAGTTAATTGAAAAGTTATGACTTGTAATTACAGCTTCAACCCCTGCTGACTAGAATCAAACAAATAGGTGAAAGCTACAGCAAAACTCCCACTCAGGTTCTTTCTTTTTTTCCTTATGCTAGAGCACTTGTTGATATCGCAGAGCAAGGCTCAGTTAGAATTTGAGTAAACCGTTAGAGTGAAGCCCTCAATTAACATCAAATATATGCTTTTTATGTATTGTTTGTGCAGGTAGCATTGAACTGGTTGGTGGCACAAGGGAACGTGATACCGATCCCAGGAGCCAAGAATGCGGAACAAGCCAAAGAGTTTGCAGGAGCGATAGGTTGGAGTCTGACAGAGAATGAAGTGGCTGAGCTACGTTCCTTGGCCTCTGAGATCAAACCTGTCGTCGGTTTCCCTGTTGAGTACCTCTGAACTCTTCAAGACTCTGTTTGTAGCATTGTAAAGCTCGAAAGCTGCAATATGAATTTAAACTGGCATATAGATGATGGTAAAATGTCTTAATACATGTATACAACTATAATCTCTTTGCCTCTTGGAGAATTTTAGAGTAGACATACATTTGATTAAAACAAAGGGACTTGTGCACCTTTAGTTATATCATCTTCAAACATGCTTTCTTTCAAATATTTAGAATTGATTTATAGCTTTTTCATGAATAAGTGCCTTGAGTTTGAGTTTGAGCAGAGAACTACCGAATATAGTTATTTGTTCAAAGCAAGGAAAACGAGAGTCTGTTATCACAGGTACACAAGTGAAGCCGCAAAGGTAGCATCATCTTGATAGATCTCAAAAGCTCAGTTTCATTACCCTTTTTTTACAAGAGACAAATGAAGAAAGAAAGCAGAGCATTGTTCTGTTGTGTTGCTTTCATTCAAGCAACACTGAAAGAAGTAGCCGCTTTCTCGACAAATTTGTTGGCTCCCTTGAACCACCTCTTGTCTCCAGCTTGTGCTTTGCAGATATAAAGCTTCCCTCCGTTCACAGTGGCTGTGATCAGCTGATGCTTTCCTCCTTCGTCTCCATCGGCCGTTCTTGTCAACACAGACAAGTAATAGTACGGTTTCCCACCAATCTCCTGAATATTCGTCTCAAGGATGTTTGCTGTTGCCACTGCATTGGCGTCAAAGCCTCCCTGCAAGGAACATCAGATTCACACACACACAGTTATGAACTCAATAAGTCCAAATGCACACATAAGGTAACAACGGTGATACTGAATTTAAGCTTTGTTTGATTTTAGTATTCTATTCTCTTTGTTGTTTAATTCTCATATTCTGTTCATTCAGCTTCAGGTTTCCTCTAAAAAATGGAAATGAGAAGTTTACCTCAGAGGCAGTCTCACCGAAGTAAGCTTGTTTCCCTAGGAGATAATTGACCTGCACACAAAAAAAAAATTCAAAAAATTGAATTCATCATACAATCTCACAATTCAGTTTTGATTCATCAATATGACATGGAGTAAATACCTGAGAGAGGAACTCTTCAGGAGAACCGTAATCAGTGATGGACTTCTTGTCAGTAGGAGTGACCATGACATTGAGATTACTGGTTGCATCGAAGTTGTCTTCGTACCTAAGGACTTGTCCTGGATACTCGATCTCCCTGCTTGGGTTCCACTTAGCTGGCACCTGCACTTGGAATCCATCTCCAGTGTATGCCGTGAAGTCTGTGTTCGTCTTTGGCTTCCCAAACACATTTGCTGCACACAAAGAGAAGAAAAACCAAAATTTGTTTTACAGATTCTTTGTTTTGATAATATCTTGTCTGAAAATGAAACGATCCAAGATTTTTCGGTTGTTCGCACCAGCTTCACCGTAGGCGGCGTCAGCAGGAGATACTTTGGAACCAACGGCGGCGGCACCAACGAGGAGTGTGAGAGCGAGACGGCGAGAGACAGCGGAGTTATCCTCGTCGTGAGGCTGTTGAGCTTTACACACTATGTGGGCGGGTTTGGAGAGTGACACGTAGCGCTGGGACGAGGAGGAAGACGATGATCGTGCGGCGGAGGAGGCCAGTGCGCTCTGGTGTAGGAAACACGCGCTGTACGCCATTTTCTTTCTCTCTGTGTGTGTCTCTCTCTGTTTTGTTAAGTTATGTGAAAGTGTTTTTTGAGGATTGTGGGAGTGAGTTAATGTATGGAGTTGATTCCAAGAGTGAAGATGATTGGCTGATTTCGGATATTGGAGGATCTCTCTGGTGATGTCCAGATAAGGTTGTTGAGGTCTTGTAATGCGCCACGTGGCAGATACGTTTATTTCTTGTTCCACGTCAGAATCATAACCTTCCCAGTAATTATCTCTAACATCGTCTTTCTTTACATGATTACAAGATTTTGCCTCGTTTAGTTAAATGAAAGTTATTATGGATGTAATTGTAACATGACTTTTATGTGAAAACCAAGTGAGAATGCCTCACAGAACTTTACCAATATCTAAATGACCTAACAAAATCGTTGAGATTTCAAAGTCTGTTACACCTGTGTAGATAAATAAATAAACATGAAACCATTTTGAACATTCACGACAAAAACATTTCACTTGTTCTGCTTTGTCATTGCGAGTCACTCATTCTTCTTCCATGTTATTACCCGAGTCTAACTTGTCATCTAATTTGCGCCTTTTGGATTTTGATTTCTTCTTTTTAGGGTCAGGTTGCTCAATCCCTTGAGCAAGATTGCCAGGGATGCTCTGTTCCTCATTCCCATTAACGAGATCACAAGGCGTGTTATCTTCCACGTTCCCCAAATCCAAGTTGTTGGTTGATTTTCGCTTTTTGGACCTTCTTCGCTTCTTCTCTGGTTCCTTAACCTCTGACGCATCAGTGTTTGGGTCTGTTTCCTCATTCTCTTTAGCCATGTCACAAGGCGGGTTCTCTTCTATGTTTCCCAAATCCACCTTGTCCACTGACTTGCACTTTTTGGACTTTGACTGCTTCTTCTTCTTTTGTTCCGTCGGAGCAGTGTTTGGGTCAGGTTGCGCATTTCCATTAGCGAGACTGGAAGACAAGGTCTCTTCTGTGTTACCCAAACCCGACGTGTTGACTGATTTGAGCTTTGACCCCATTGGAGTACTCTTAGCGCAAGGTACATCATCTCTAAGACCCGTTGCATCTACTGTTGAAGCAACAGGTTCCACAGCAACAGTTTGCGCTGAAGATTTCGGGAGGCCATCATATGAGAGAATACAAGCTATGGCATACATAGAAGCTCCGAGATGAGGCGGCAACTTTTCTTGTGGATGTTTTACCTACAAAATGCAAATGAAAGGATGCTATTACCTGAATAACATGTTGAATAATATCTTCAATCCTAGTGATTATATAACTTATATGTACCTTGAACAAAATGGATGCCACTAGTCGCTCTCTCAAGACGTACATTTGAGCAATTTCAAAAGCTGTAATCTCGAAAGGCAGCCATCGATCCACTACAACCTTGACTGAATTTTCCGGTGCAAGCATTATTTTCTCTCCAGGCCCACCAGCTGCTTTATCTATGTCCATCACATTTTCCACTTCGTGGTCTTCCTCGTCATCACAGCTCTCTGTAGGAGCCACAGCTATCTCTCCCGAAAACAGTAACAAATGAACTGTGGGAAGAGCAGTGCAACTTCTTATGTGCACGTCCCAATCTCCTCGAGTGATCTCATCAAAAACGATTAAACCTTCATCATCATCCTTGCTAGAGGACATGTTTAAATGGTTTGAAAGCACACGAACTTTAGCTCCAGTTATAGTCTCTACTAGAGACCTTCTATTGTTCATGGAAGGTGGGCACATTCTTCCAACCATAGGGTACAATCCTACTGCTAGAACAGCACGGAGAATACCCGGATCGTGAGCATTCAGGCTACAGTTTGAGTCATTGCTAGGGATGAGCCCATGTCTTTTAAGTTCCGCCTGAAGCTTGTCACGCATATTATCCAGCATCTTCATAGCATTTGGGGAGACGAAGTTTTGAGAACAAAACTCCTGAGCTTGACCACTTGCTTTTGCATTTCTCCAGCAGTGAAATGCCGCAACAGTCGCAAGGTGGTCACTGTGGCCTCCATAAAGCGCTGCAAGTTCAAGTTTCGCTGCAGCAGCTTTTTTCCTTTCACCTGGCATCAAGGGCATTGTAAATGGGTCCTTGGTGTCTGCTGCACATGCTAGAATCAGTGCTGGATCCAGACAGTTTACTAATATGGCGAAATAAAGCATCTTGCTTATCCGAGGATGAACTGGAAGCTGACCAAACTTCTGTCCAAGTTCTGTCAGCTCTTCTTCAGGTGTCAACGCTCCAATGTCTTTAAGGGTGGTTAAGGCATTTGCAATGCTTTGATCAACAGGCGGGTCCATCAATTTCTGAAGGAAATAATTTACGTTGCAACTCGGATCCAGCATCTTTACCTGAACATATTATTAAGCCATCAGTAAAAAATCAAGAACGCAAGAAGTCTCAAATAGGTGCCTAACATGCACGAATGACATTAAACATCATAGAAAAGGTCTACGTTAGAAAGAACAGTACCTGCAAGCAGAGTTCATCTACTGGCATCCTCCTCACTTCAGGAACTCTATATTCAGGCAAAGAGGCTGCCCGGAGTTTAGAATACAGATGATAACAAATGCCAGGTTGGCAACGGCCTGCTCGACCCTCCCGCTGTTTTGCATTTGCTTTTGAAACCCAAGAAGATTGGAGCGTTGATACATCATTATAAGGATCGTAACTCTTTTCCTTCATCCGGCCACTATCTATCACATAAACCACATCATCGATAGTAATTGCTGATTCAGCAATATTTGTCGCGAGCACAATTTTGCGACAACCTCGAGCGGGACGATTAAAAACTTTCTTCTGTTCTTCTGAAGGAACCCTTGAGTGAAGACATATAATGCTGAATTTAGCACTATCAGCAAAATAGGGGTTAGCAAGCAACCTCTCTTTCGTTTTACTTATTTCCTCCCACCCAGGTAGAAAAACAAGAACGGCACCAACTTCTGAATCGCCGCATATTTTCCTCAACAAATGCACTATAAGACCCACATCTACTTCTTCTGGATTGCTAGTCGCCATATACTTATCAAGTAAGTCTTGTGCTCGCTGAGAATTGGACTGGAAGTTGTCCGCATGCTCCCTAATTATTTGAGCAGCTTCAAACTGATTCTCTTTTTCGGCCAATTCTAACGCTGTCATACCTTCTTTGGACTTCAGTTGACAGTCAGCACCAAATGAAAGCAGCTTACAGACACTGCTAGCCTTTCCCTTTCCAGCCAAGACCATAAGTGGTGTTAGCCAAGTCGATGAGTGCCGGTAATTGTAAATCTCAGGAGTTCCTTCAGAAGAAACTAAATCTACGAGAGCATCAAACTCATCATTTGTCCATGCCAAGTCGATTGCTTCATCTAACGCAACTTTATCTTCATCTTTAAACTCAAGCTTGCCATCTGTTATGTTCGAGTCGGCAAAAAATAGATGATTATTCTTGTCTGATTTCAGGACAGAAAGCACATCATCCAGATAATAGGTTCTCACCTGCAGATACAGGCGAAAGAATCTTATTTTTCCAATACAATGAGATTAATCAGCAGATTCGAGAGAGACGGAGAGAAATTAACTGGGTAAGTGAATCCAGGCACCCTGACAACCGGGCAACCTCCGAAATATCCAGAAAACCTCTCAGCGTCAAGAGTAGCACTCATTAGAATCTGTTGCCACAGAAAGAAAAGAAAAAAATTATTCGTCTATTGTAACTGTATCATAGCAGTGTAAAACGAAGAAGAGTATATAAATCAACTAACCAGTCGGAGATGAGGATTTGAAGGAAGGAAGTCCCTGCAAAGAAAGAAAGTCATCACAAATTGATCTGAGTTCCGCCATTGGTTCACTTTGGCAAGCTGAGCAAGAGAGTGTACCTTATAATGGCCAACATGAAATCAGAGTAGCAATCTCTTTCATGGATTTCATCCTACAAAGTAACAAACAGGTTACGGTGTAATGAATGGAAAAGCATACTTAATATACACATGAAAAACATATCACGAATCAACAATAATGTATTACCACAATAATATGAGTTATTTCAGGAACACAGCTACCACTGCCTTTGCCTACAAGCACCCTCAACAGAATGCCATTCGTGCAGAAAACAACTGATGACTGTCTTCCACCTTTACTTTGCAGCCGCACCTAGATTTGCATCATACGTCAATGATATATTGAGAGAGGAATTTTTACTGTTGCCCTGAACATGTGTGTCTATCATATGGAAAAGTATACGTCAAACAAAAATGACCCTTACCTTATAGCCAACGTTGTCACCTATCGTTTCACCTCTTTCCCAGGCTATTCGTTCAGAAACTTAAGAATAGGAACCAAAAAAAGGCATAAATCTAGGTGTTAGCAGCTTATACAGCATATATTTGAATTACAAAGCTGAACACTACACAGTAGTTGAATCTGATAACTACTAACCTGAAATAGCAGAGATACGACGCGGTTGGGTGCAAATGATTTTGCAAGCTTCTCGCTTACTATACCACATATGATCTAAAAGATATTGAGGCACCTAAAATATAAACAACTGACGCACCTGAGAAACTTTACATATGAAAAAAAAAACATATACAAGCACATAGCACAAATCCCTTCTACCACAACACTTTAATTTCAAATTTTGACAATGCATAAACATTATGTAGCTTTGTAGATGAAAACTGAGAAGCTAGACCTGGAATCAAAACCTATGATGAATAAACTATATTTGCTTCACCAGAAAGAAACAATACAGAAAAAAAGAAGAGTAGCAGTGAAAAAAGTTCAGCGTTTAATTCTAGTAAACTACAAACAACAAGAGCAAGCGTACCTGAGTAGTTTTACCACAACCAGTTTCACCAGCAATAAGAACAACCTGCATTTAGTATAAGAATAAATAAACCCTCTTAAATTCACATCCCAAATTCTGATATAGAAGAAAAAACATCAATCTAGAAACCCATATAACCTGATTGGATTCCACTGCAGATGTAATAGCATCTCTAAACGATGTGATGGGAAGCTTCTTTCGTGCTTTAAGGATCTGCAACATCATTCGAATACAAAAAATATCTATTACTTCCCTCAACAGTGCATGCTTTAGCACTTCTGAAACTGGATTCTGTATAAAGAACTATATCAGCAATCACTTGAAGAAAATACATGAACCACTAACCTCCCGAAAATCTCTATCATTTGCCAGTCTAGAACTCAGAGATGCCACCTTGTTTAAGATATCTTCTTTGCTCAACTGAGGTTTGGAGAAGAAGTCATCTTTCCACCTCCGTTGACTGCCGACGACGTGTCCAGTATATACCCCCAGTGACGTCCCCGTAGTATCTCCGTCACAAGGTGGATAGCGAGTAAACAACTCCTGCAGAACAGGTTTTGCCTCCGGTGGAAATGACACACGTTTGAGCTTTTCTTCAGATGATTGCTTATCTCCTCCCTTGCCATCTCTTCTCCCATTTCTCCTCTCTAAAACTGACGATTTAGCTTCACTTCTGAAAATCGTAAGACACCTTTGATCCCCACTCCTACACAGAATCGACCAAGAGAATCAGAAACTGAGCTCTCAAGTAGTAGCCAAAACCAAAAAAAAAAAAAATGTGTAAGTAGCTTTGTGACTGACCCCGAACTTTTAGAACCCATACCCATCTGACGGCACATCTGATGAATGATGCCACGTTCGGTATTGGAAAGGCTACTATCAAAGTCGTGAGCTACACAAGATAATAAGCAAACACACACACTTACCAATCAATCAAACAAAAACAGAACATTCCGATAGAATCACTGACGTTAACAATAAATTAGAGTGTTGGATTCTGGTGGTGACTAACCATCTTGCCCGGAGGCGCGAAAATCCCTGAGGAACTTGGAGGCCCAATTCCGAGTGGATTCCATATCTTGACCCCTGAGCTGCTTCTTCTTCCCCATCTTTTGTTAAGGTCTCTCTCTCTCTCTCTCTCTCGGCACTAGTGAGCAGAGACTGTACGTCCTGTTTATCAGTGAGCTTCAGAGAGTTTCGTTCTGCTCTCCGCCGCCTCCCTCCTCCGTACCCTATTTTCGTTATTTTTTTGTAATATTTAATTAATTATTGTTCTTTGTGGGATAACTCGGAGGCTGGGCCTTTTGGGCCAATTCTTCGGAAGGCCCATAACGAAAATGCTCGAATCACGACACGTGTCACAATCGAATCGAGTAAGTAATCATTTCGCACGCGTCTGCGATATGCGTTTCATTTCGTGATAAGGAAAGACCCGAAAGCACCTGATTCAATCCCTCGCAACCTTTCGTTTTTCAAATTTCAAAAAAACGGCATTCTATTTCTCTCTCTCCTTTTCTCTCATTTTCTGCGAGTTTCTCGGGAAAATCCCGATTGAAAAAGACCTCTAGGTTTCTCAGACACTGATCCCGCTCTTCAATCAAGAAGTCAAATGATATGAGACGCCTGTTGATGAAGCGAAATCTAAGTCTCTTGTGCAGATCCGTGCTCAGATTTGTCGATCTATCAGCTTGTAGAGCCATGGCTTGTTTTCTCGATTGCTTCCGTGCCAGAGACGACCGGTCTACCGGAAATCTCGTCGCCCGCTCTTCACTCGCCAAGTCCAAAGTAATTCTCTTGATTTTCGCATCTTTTCTTTGCATGATCTTGTCCATTTTGGAGTTAATCGAGCTGGTACAATGAATCGTAGAAGAAATAGGTCCTTCCTGGATAGATCACAATGCCCTATTTGATCCTTGAGCTGGATTTTGTGTATGATGCTTGTAATCTGTTGGATTCTGATGTCTAAAGGCTAAAACAACTAATTGGCCCTCATTTCTTTGCTTTTCTTGACTAGTATCATCTCGATCTGACCCAGAATTTACTTTCCTTAACATCCTTTCTTCTCATTCATCTTCAGAGAGGTCAGGACTCGCAGAATCATTTGTCAGCTTTGTTTATATCTGAAGGTAAATCTTAATTTTGATGTGTACATATCTGGAATAGAGATGATTACTTGCGTCTGTACCGTTCTTGCTAATATAAATTTGTTGCTCACTTGCTCTTGATTTTCTAGAGAAAGCAGCTTCTTCGCCTTGCCTTGACAAAGAAAGATTTGATTTGGATTCTATACATATTGACAAAGGCCTAAGAGATGAGGTATGATTGTTTCTTTTCTTTTATGCCGAACAAAATGTTTGCCATTTTTGCAAATCTTTTGATTACCATAGCTCTTCTTGCGTATTAGGAATATGGGTTGGTCTGTGCTCTTTGTTACTAAGATGTTCATAGTTTTGTTTCTATAGTGAATGTGCTATAGATCCTAGAGCCTTGACCATTCTTTTCTATTTTTTCCCCCTCTGCTTCGTTATCACTCTTAACTCAGTGTTGAGAGTTAAATTTTAAGACGTTTAAATACGTTTCTCTGCATTAGCGCTTGCAATTAGTTGAGTTACCTATGAGAATGCAGGGAATTTGAAGTTCAGAGAATCCTTTCTCATTGTATATATCAATAGAATCTGATTGTTCATTCCTTAAAGAGTTCTTGCTGAGAATCTAACCATGTATTTTTACTTGTGGAATCATAGGCGCGGTTTCTTAAAGCTTGTGGTACTATACCGGAGACACCTATTGAAATTAGGAAAGCATCCCAAAACCTAAGTAGTCCTCAACCTTCTGGATCTTCACGTTTTCATTCATGGATTTCCAGTAACTCTGCGATAGGGTTTCATTTGGATGAGTCCCCAACCCCCATGAAAGCTTGTGAAGAGGTGGGAAGACCATCATTTACATCAGAGCAAACACCAAACAGGTAACATTAATCTCACTTCTTTCTAGATGTTGAATGGATTCATGGATCTGGAATTCACTCTTTTCTCTTTTTTCATGTTAGCTGCGTAATCGATGTCCGGGACACAGTAACGATGCCATCTGTTTCTAGTGATTCTACTGAAGCAGACACTGCATTTAAGGGTGAGTTGGATAGACCTGACAGGCCAATGCTCACAGCTGGAAAGACTAAGTCTGTGCGGTTTGAATGCGATCTTGATCAAACCCACTCCTCTAATTCTTCTGAGAATAGCAGTTCAACAAAAGCTGAGTCAGGAGGCAAAATGAGTTTTTCAGTGAGCTCGCCTAATCCAACCCCATTGAAGCTATCAGATGAGATGCAAACTCCGGGAACCATGTATCCTGCAAACATGGAATCAGCAGGAAAGGGAAAGCCTAGAATCAGGTCACAGTTTGTGCATTCAGTTTCCAATCTAATGGAAAATGCATGCTTGTACAAAGTCCACAATGATTCACATGGGAGCCTAGAACAAGCTAAACAGCAGCTTTACAAAGAGCAGATAGAGGATGAGTCTCCTCCCTCTTCAGCAGCTTATGGGGAAAAGTTGGAAGAGAGCTCAGATGAGAAACTGTCCAAGTTTGAGGCAAGTTTTTCTCCTTGGCTAAACCGGATCAACGAAGAAAGTGACGAAAACATTGCGGTTTTTTTAAACGAGAGGACGCCTCGAGTCACTGCCATGACTCCAGGTGACAGGCCTATCATTGGATTGGTAGCTGCTCACTGGAATGAGGATGAGCAAACTGAGATTTCACCCAAATGGTGGGATGGGAATGGGATCCCAAATTCGACAACCAAATACAAGGAGGTATTATTCACTGCGTTTCATCTTTTTTTTCAAGGCTCTTTTGGTTCCTCTACACAAAATACACAATTGGGTTACATTCTTTTTACCTTGTGCAGGACCAGAAAGTGAGCTGGCATGCAACACCATTTGAGGTCAGATTGGAGAAGGCTCTCTCTGAAGAAGGTGTTCAGAATTTATTCCCTCGAAGGTATTAATCGTAAATCTCTTTAGATATTCCCAAGGAGAAGCGAGGAAAACAACATAAGCAAATCCATAACTGTGTTGTGATGCAGGAAACTTGAAGTGATGGAGGAGGATGAAGGGGACACGGGCACATCACAGCTGCAGCATTCTCTGCAACCAAACTCAGTTGTTTCCTTCTGAAAGTCTTTTTGGTTTGCGTACAGAACAGTATTACTTACATATCGCTATCATCATGACTCATGAGCAATAACAATGATCTTATTTCTGGCTTTTTTGGAACTTTGAAGATATTACAGGATAAAGTATAAACATTGATGTTTATCAACCTTTTAAGTAATATAATCTGCAAATCTGGATATGTTTACAAATATTTTCTTGTCGTATGTATGTGAGAAAGTAGTAGCTCACAATGTTCATATTTTGAAATGGAGCAAAGCAGAGATTCCGTCAAGTCCTTTGGCATTGAAGTAAGCAGAGTAGTCTTTAATGGTGGTCTCTCTGTACTTAGGAGGGTTTTCTTCAGACACAAGCTCTCTAATAGGTCCGTACATTCTAGGATTCGGTCTCACGCCGGTGCTGAAGAAACACGCGACGGAGACTCGTGCTCTTGTGGCTCTGTTCGCCAATACTCTGTGCTCCAAACTGATGAACTTGTCGTTTGTTATAAGCTGCATTAGAACCCGAAAACCCATTAAAAAAAAACCTTTGAACCAAGAAGAAGATCGCTTAAAAAAAAACAAAGTTGAGCTAACAGGCATGGATTGTGAAAACTTGCCTGAAGAAGGTCTCCGATGTTGATGATGAGTGCACCGGGAACATGAGGAACATCGAACCAATACCCTTCACGACAAACTTGAAGCCCTTCGATCTGATCTGGAAGCAGGACGGTAAGGAAAGAGTTGTCGGAATGCTGACTTGTGCCTAAAGTTAGGTCAGGCTCTGGACAGGGTGGGTAGTAGTGGCCAAGCATGAGCAAGCCTTTTGCGCAATCCATGGCATTTAGGTGATTACGGTTTAACCCTAGCGCTTCTGATAAAAGCTCAAACAGAAATTCCCCTAAACTTAACACTTGCTTTGAGTATTCCAACATAACATCCCTGAAACAATTTAAGACGACCGTTCTTGTTGATTCACGGCAGAGACTAGGATCTAGATGAATATAGACTACACGTTATATTAGAGATTAAGTTAAGCTACCTGCAAATCGCTGGCAGGTCCTGTGGTTTCGGAGGATCTGGAGCCATGTAAGAAGATAAAGTGTCTCTCCAATTTGCAGCTGGAGAACTAAAAAGATCGAAATTACTTAAATATATAAACTCTCCGCTGAAATCACGACTGTAGAATTCTTTCCTCGCTTCTGGGGATTGCTCGTGAAATCCACGAACTCCATCTTTCATCTTCTCGAGAAGATCGAGTGAAACGCCATGGTTTATCACCTGGAAGAAACCCCACTTCTCTGCTGCGTCTCTAATCCCTTCAATGGCGTCCTTGCGCGTAGTCGCGTCCTCGAAGACTCGTCCTCCAAGATCTATCGTAGGGATCGTTGTGAGCAGCTCTGGCGAGTCGGAGGGAAGCTGTTTAGGATTTGCTAACTTGACAGATGAGTGGTGGAAGATGCGTGGGATCTTTGAAATTCCAGCGTCGACGAGTCCTTTCACACCTGTCTTTGTCTCGTCGAAAGCTTTGAGCTCAGCGACTCTATCGAGTGAACCAATCTTCGTCGTCTCCATCGGCTTTTTTTTTGTTTCTCAGAAAACAGAACCGTCTGGTACAATTACACGTAAACATAGCTCGCAAAGAACAAGTGGAAACTTTTTATGTGTCCGAAGATGAGACAAGTCGCTACAAGAAAACCATTGATTTGTAGATAAGGTTTGGTAGAAAAAAACAACAGCTTGTGCAAGTGTCTCGCCCCTACAAGTCTTATTAAACAACAAGTTACTACAGAGCAAATCAAAAGTCCCACGCATCACTATTAGACAAATGGCATTTTAAAATCTTGAGATAGAGTTACCTAGAGGATTCTATGGCCCTCCTCAGGCATTCTTTTGATCTCTCTCTTAGTAATATCAATCTGTGAGAATTTTATTGTTCATATTTTAAAAGGGAAGCAAAGAAGAGCTTCCGTTAAGTCCTTTGGCGCTGACGTGAGCAGCGAAGTGATCTCTCTATACTTTGGAGGGTTTTCTTCGGACACAAGCTCTCTCATGGGTCCGTACACTCTAGGATTAGGTCTAATACCATAGGTAGTGAAGAAACACGCAACAGAGACTCTGTTTGCCAATACTCTATGCTCCGAACTGATGAACTTGTCATTTGAAATAAGCTGCATAAAATTTCAAAAGAAAACAACATTTGAACAAAGAGGAAGATCGTTTTAAACAAATTTAACATTATGTAGAAACTTGTGCAAAACAGAGCAAACTTGCCTGTAGAAGGTCTCCGTCTCTCCGATGTTGATGATGAGTGCACCGAGAACAGAAGGACCATCGAACCAGTACCCTTCACGGTGAACTTGAAGCCCTTCGATCTGATCTGGAAGAAGGACGGTAAGAAAAGAGCTGTCTGAGTGCTTACTTGCGCCTAAAGTTAGGTCAGGCTCTGGACAAGGTGGGTAGTAATGGCTAAGCATGCGCAAGCCCTTTGATGCGAAATTTGGAACAATTTGATACAATCACACATTACATAGTATCGTACACGCTTTAATAAAAGGAAGAAAATTATTCATGGGACGCAAAACCACTGATCAAAAAACCAACGGCTTCTTGTGTTGTGTCACAGTTGTTGGCCTGCTGGCTTTAACACAGTCTTATTACAAGAAGATTTCTTTATTAATATAATAATATTACAAGAAGTTATTACAGAGAAAATCAAAGATAAAACAAAGACGGCATTCTCAGATCTTGAGATAGAGTAGTCCAGAGGTACCATCGAATCCTTTGGTTCTGTAGAAGCTGGCGTACTCTGTAATGGTAGTGTCTCTATATATGGGTGGGCTCTGTTCAGACAGAAGCTCTTTGATAGGTCCATAAACTCGAGAATTAGCCATCATATATGAACTGAAAAAACACGCCACTGAAATCCGCGGTCCGGCTCCATTCGCCAAAACCCTATGCTCCACGCTTATGAACTTGTCGTTTGTTATAAGCTGCACAGAATTGCCCATTCAAAGTCAGATATTTTCATTTCAGTCCACTCAAAGACCAAAAAGGGGTTAGTTAGTTAGTTAGTTAGTTAGTTAGTTAAACCTGGAGAAGATCTCCAACGTTAATGACAAGTGCTCCGGGAACAGGAGGAACATCAACCCAGTATTGGTCATGGAGAACTTGAAGCCCTCCGATATGGTCTTGGAGAAGAACCGTGAGAAAGGAGTTGTCAGAGTGTTTGCTTAAGCCTAAAGTAAGGTCCGGTTGGGGACATGGCGGGTAATAATGGCCAAGCAACAGCAATGAATTGGTGCAGTCCATGTCCTTGAGGTGATTAGTGTTTAACCCTAGAGCTTCTGATAGTAGCTCAAAGAGCAATTTACCCAATTTCATCACTTCCTTTGAGTACTCTATCATCATCTCCCTGAAAAAATTTCCCATACAACAAAAAAACAAAAAGCTATGTAACTTATTTATTTGTTGGACTTCTTATGTTGGAGACATATTCCAATTTATAGCCAAACTATTAGACATAGTCCAAAATTTTCAATATTCGATTTTAAGGATTTGAATTTAGATTTGAATTTTTATTTATTTTACAGCTATGTTTGTGATCTTACCCGCAAGCGACGGGCAAGTCCTCCGGTTTTGGAGGATCAGGGGCCGTGTAGCAACCGAGAGTGTCTCTCCAATTCGCCGCCGGCGAGCTAAAGAGATCGAAGTTGCTACTGTAGACCATCTTGCTACTTGGATCTCGAGAGTAAAACCCTTTCTTCACTTCCGTGTCTTGCTCGTGAAACCCGCGAATCCCGTTTTTCATCCTCTCCAGCGTATCTAGAGGGATCCCGTGATTGATCACCTGGAAAAAACCCCATTTCTCCGCCGCGTCTCCGAGCTTCTCCACCAAGCTCCGACGCGTGATCGAGTCCGTGACGCCTCCTTGGAGATCGATTGTTGGGATCGTGAACTGCGATGACTCGGACGAAGGTGGTTTCGGGCTTGCTAAAGTGACCGGTGGTGCACGGAATATTGCCGGAAGCTCTGCGATTCCAGCATCGACAAGGCCTTTCACGCCGGTTTTTGTCTCGTCGAAAGCTTTTAGTTGACTAGAACGATCGGTTGCAACGGTAGGAGTTGACTCCATTGCTTTTCAAGAAACGGAGTGCAGAGAGATTAGCAGCTGAAACTGAAAATGCCATTCCAATTGGTAGCTCAGGTCCCTTTTTAAAAACTTCCGAAATGATTCGAGTCAACGGCGACGATATATATAGATTTGAAAAAAACGAAATGATTCACGTTCCATGTGGGAAAAATAAGTTTCTTTAATTTGAAAAAGTTAGTACGTGTCTAATACGGACAACGACAGATAAGCAAATAAAAAACAAAAAAGTGGAGATGCGGGGTATCGATCCCCGTACCTCTCGCATGCTAAGCGAGCGCTCTACCATCTGAGCTACATCCCCGATGACGAAAGCTTCTACATGTTGTTAAAATAATACAACTATAAGACAAAAACGGCTGAGACGTCGACCGACTCACCCACCAACTGAGAAGAGAAGTAGCTAATTTCATCACGTGTATACTATCTATATTAGTTTTTGGCCCCCACCAGCTACAATCGATTTGCCTTTTGATTAGTTTTGCAATAGCATAATAGACTAGTGTCGAATAAAAATTAGTATGACCTATTCAATATTGTTTTGGTCTTACTATATATTATCAATAAAGTGAATTTGAAGATTTTTAAAGCTTAGGAATAGATAACAAGACTAAAACAAGCTATTCGTTTTGACTTGGTTGTTGTGAGGTGAAGTATAGTTGTGCAGAGGATTAAAACTCAAAGAAGGCCAAACATTGTTCTCCCAACTCCCAAGTACAGTAAAGCTCGTTATCTCTGCTTTAGTGCTTTTGCTATCGATGTACGAAGATCACATGGATGGTCTTTAGCCAAATCACACGGATGGGACAAGCGTACGAAGTGCTAATATCGACGCATATAATGTGTAGTCTTTTTAAGCCACTTGTTGAAGAAATCAGGTTTTGTAAACTTGTACTTTGACACATGGGCTTTGGGCCCCTGGCCTATAAGATACTCTTAACCGGACGGCCGTCGCACGAATTAACCGGTTCCCAAAGATCGAGAATAGGCGTGAATTATTTTCTTTTCAAACCAGTAAGTGCTCACTTTCCCGGTGACTGAAAGTCAAATTTTCAAAATAAATCCCACAAGTGCCCTAATCCCGGCTGCTTGTCGGAGGAAATATCCGGCGAGAGATTGAGCTGCAGAGTGACTCTTTCAGTAGAGGCTGATTGTTCGAAAACGAGCAGCAGAGATGGCCGGATTAACGAGAACAGCAGGCGCTTTTGCGGTGACTCCACATAAGATCTCCGTTTGTATTCTCCTGCAGATTTACGCGCCTTCTGCTCAGATGTCTCTTCCCTTCCCTTTCTCTTCCGTTTCTCAGCACAATCGACTCGGACTCTACTTGCTCTCTCTCACTAAGGTCTGCATTTGATTCACTCCCCTTTTTTCTGCTAAATTGCATTATCTTATCGTTTTCTGTGCAATTTAGTTTAGGTTTAGCACAGCAATGTCGATTGATTCTTGTCACGCCTCTTATAATGGAAGATTTCCCTTGTGCCGAGTTTCTTAATTGCATTTCTTATAGCTTTTCTCCTCTAATTTCTGACTTTTAGTTTGTTGTTACGATTTCGCGGTTCAAATTTGATGAGAGTATTGCAATTTCTATTGATTTCATTATGGAGTGTGGATTTGTTATGTTTTGTGTGTTTTCTCTGACGAGATTGATTGAATTTCATGGTGCAGGCTTGCGATGACATTTATGAGCCGAAATTGGAAGAGCTCATCAACCAATTGAGGGAAGTTGGCGAAGACATGGATGCCTGGCTGACTGACCATTTGACTAATAGATTTTCCTCTCTGTCTTCACCAGATGATCTGTTGAATTTTTTCAGTGACATGCGAGGTTAGCTACTTGCTTGCTTAAGGTCCATGTTTCTTGTTTTCACCATCTTTGAATCTTATTGGTTACCATTTCTTTGTGTGTAGGGATACTTGGGAGCCTTGATTCAGGAGCTGTGCAAGATGATCAAATTATTTTGGATCCAAACAGCAACTTGGGAATGTTTGTTCGTCGTTGCATTTTGGCATTTAACCTTTTATCTTTCGAGGTATTGTCTACTGTCTTTAGGCTGCTGAAACATTAACGTGAATGTCTAAAGAACCGTCCATTCATAGATATGTGAATCTCGTGCAGGGAGTTTGTCATCTTTTTTCAAGCATTGAAGTCTACTGCAAAGAAGCCCATGCAAGCTCTGCTCAGTTTGAGGCATCTAATAGTAATCTGGAGTCATTAACACAATATGATCAGATGGATATGGAGAATTATGCATTGGATAAAGAAACTGAAGAAATGGAGCTATCGAGAAATGCTAGTGGAAGTGTCCCTTTTCACCTTCATACGCCGGAAGCACTTTTCAAAGCGACAGAAGGTATCCCTCGTGGTACTCACTCATTTTTTTTCTCAAAGTATACATAGAGTTTCTCAGGATCTCAGATGCTAATAAATGTTGAGGAAACAGATTTTTATATTCGTGATCAGGCTGCAATTAGATGCTTCTTTCCTCGTATATGGTTTATGATATAGTTTTGCTGATGCATTAGCTTCAGTGGTCGGATCAATGTTCAACCTGTATCATATTTTTACCCGAGGACTTTTGAAGTATTTGTACGAAACTTTTGTAAGCTCTCAACGTAATAGCAATGCACAGAACAAATGAAACATGCAGATTTGCTAGTAACTAGGAGGGAAAAATCAAGAGCCAGCAAGGAAAAGACAGAGGCTACTTCATTTGCTTGTGCGTCGTCAAGCACATTTGAGGATACTCTCGTAGACGAGTCATTATTTCTTCGGACAAATTTGCAGATACAAGGCTTTTTAATGGAGCAAGCTGATGCAATTGAAATGTAAAGCCTCTGTTTCCTTAGTGTCCATATATATCTGTCAAAAGTATTGCTAGTTTTTCAACTTTCATCGAATTTTATTACAGCCATGGAAGTTCATGCTCTTCAAGTTCGATCGAAAGTTTCCTTCAGCAGCTTCAGAGTTTAGCCCCTGAGTTGCATCGTGTAATTTCTTGCTTCTTGATACTTTCATTTCCAGTGATTGCTTTGATATTTATATACATGTTATTTACGGCATGCAATGATGCAGGTTCACTTTTTGCGTTACTTGAATAAACTTCACAGCGAAGACTATTTTGCTGCTTTGGATAATCTCCTTCGTTACTTTGATTACAGGTAAACTGTACCCCTTGCTGTTTCTCTGACAAAATATTCCTGCTGACGGCTTTTATCGCTTGCATATGACTCCTGTAATTATCCAGTTGTGTGTTGCCTTTTGCACTAGTTGTCTCATACATGAGCTTATCCATGATCCATTGCCTAAAAGTGCAGGGACTGAGGGATTTGACCTTGTTCCTCCTTCAACTGGCTGTAGCATGTATGGAAGGTACGAGATTGCTTTGCTATGTTTGGGAATGATGCATTTCCGATTTGGGCATCCTAATCTGGCTCTAGAGGTGAGCATTAATTCTCCCCAATAGCTTCTATTGCTGTAGAATTGTTCTTGACCTTTCAAAACCAGCCTAGACGGACCAAATTGTACATTGGATAGTCTACTAGGCTGTTGGTGAAGCTCATTTGTTATGTATGTTGAGTGGGTTACCCTCACACGTTCCCCATGATAGAATACTTGAAATGATAATGAGCTACTTGGATCATACTTGTGTAAATACAAAATTTACTTTAGAAAGTTGATAATTTGCCCATACAAGCAGTGATGTGTTTGAGGTGGGGTAGAATTTTGCAATTCTTTTGCTGTCGTAGGCTCGTAGCCTTGGTATATCCGTCAAAATCATGGGTAACAAAGATGCAACATCAATCTTCACTTTGCCCGCTGGGAATTGAGTGACTATTGGACTTGCTATCTTAACTTCATATATATAAGTGATCTCCCTTTGTCTTCATATTTTGGTTTGCTTATAATATGGTTTCTCCTCAACTGCAGGTTTTAACTGAAGCTGTGCGTGTATCGCAGCAGGTATATGCTCACTTTATCCATCCGCTGTTAGCTCTGTTTACACTGTACAGATTATTTGCACTTGTTGTTGTTCAAGCGTTAGTTCATTTATGGTATTGAAAATATTTGTTGCTTCTGCAGCTTAGTAATGATACTTGTCTAGCCTATACACTAGCAGCAATGAGCAACTTGTTATCAGAAATGGGCATTGCAAGTACCACCAGTGTTCTTGGATCCTCGTACTCACCTGTCACTAGCACTGCGTCTTCGTTGTCTGTTCAACAAAGGGTGTACATACTTTTGAAAGAGTCTTTGAGGAGAGCTGACAGTCTGAAGTTAAGACGCTTAGTGGCTTCTAATCATCTTGCGATGGCTAAATTTGAATTGATGGTAAAATCTATATTTAACTGTTAATGAATGTAGTTTTTGCCTTATTTATTTAGATTTATCTCTAATAAATCGTGGGAATCTCTGGTATGATTTTTTCATATAGAACCGTGCGTGTTCCCTCATATCTTTTGATGCATATCTTTGTTTTCTAATCTTTGATATACGCTAAATCGGAACACTTATTTTGTAAAACAGCACGTTCAAAGGCCTCTATTGTCGTTTGGTCCCAAAGCTTCTGTGCGTCACAAAACTTGTCCAGTTAGTGTCTGCAAGGTACTGAATATACCAACTAACTTGACTAGAGTGAAATATTCACATTTTCTTTTGAGGTCTAATCACTCCTTGAATAATCCGTGGCAGGAGATTAGACTAGGTGCACACCTAATCAGTGACTTTTCTTCTGAAAGCTCCACAATGACAGTTGATGGTTCTTTAAGCTCGGTTTGGCTTAGAGACTTGCAAAAACCGTGGGGTCAACCTGTGTTTTCCCAGGACTCTGGTTCTAGAAAGAATTCGACTTTTTTCCAGTTCTGTGATCATTTGGTCTCGATTCCTGGATCTGTATCTCAATTAATAGGTGCTTCATATTTACTACGGGCTACTTCATGGGAGTTATATGGCAGGTATGATTGATACTGGCTTTCTGTTAGAAGATGATTGTTACTTTCTTAGAAAGCTCTGCAGCATAACTTTCCATTAATATTGGCACAGTTTATTTCATCTCCTCTAAAAGCTTATGCATTTCACTCTGAAAATGCCAAAGTTCGATTTTTCACTGGCCAAACCCTTAATGTTGACGAACACATTACTTATACATTTCTCCATTTTCTGTCCTTACCTTTCTATCAACTTACCAGAGGAACTTGAGCTGTTTGTTATCTGTAGTTTATTAATCCATTTGTTTTTGTTAGCGCTCCTATGGCTCGGATGAATACCTTGGTGTATGCAACTTTATTCGGTGACTCTTCGAGGTAATTTTCTTTAACTGTATCACTTTCTTGTTCTCCTCTCAGTCCTTCTCTTCCCTTTCCTTGTTCTTCTAAAACGATCCCTTACATTCGCTTTAATTTTTTTTTTATCTATTCTTGCATCTACAGTTCATCAGACGCAGAGTTAGCATACTTGAAGCTCATTCAACATTTGGCACTATATAAGGGATATAAAGGTTAGACTCTGTGCAAAAGATCATGAATGCACTGTTATACCTGTCTCAGTCATTCAATTTTCGAATGAACCAATACAGATGTACCTTGATGATCCTTCATAATAATAAGTTATATCTGAATATCATGTTTCTGTACAAGGAATAAACATGTCAGTGTAGAAAAGTCAGAACTTTGAGCTATTTTTTCTGATTAAATCTAATATCTTGGTCAATTGTTTCTTTTCACCTGTGTTGACGTCTTTTCTGAAATCAATGCTATTGTAGATGCCTTTGCTGCTCTCAAGATTGCAGAGGAAAAGTTCGTAACTGTATCAAAATCAAAAATATTGTTGCTCAAGTTGCAGCTACTACATGAACACGCTTTGCATCGGTAAGGTTCCATATCTCCTATACATGCCAATCCTCTTGTTATACTCTCTCCCGGTCCAGAATGTCTTCATGGTTACGAAAAACGAAGGCTTTGTTTAATCAACTTTTCCTCTCTAAAAGTAACTCCGTACCGGTGGTTCACTATTTAACAGCACTTGTAAATTCTAAAGGACATGCTTCTGTTCGATATTTTGCTTAGGCAAACTCATAATACCATCAAAGTTGGTTATCTGCACTCTGTGAACACTTTGAAGGTTATGTAGATAGATTATAATGCTTTGAAACTGTATATAACAGTTGTTAGGATATAAGCTTTAAACAGAGGCTATCTATTGTGCTGGATTTATGATCTCTTAAGTCAGCTGTTCTAACTTTGATAAATCCATTAGTGGGAATCTAAAGCTAGCTCAACGAATGTGCAATGAGCTAGGAGGCTTGGCATCAACCGCCATGGGTGTAGACATGGAGCTGAAAGTAGAAGCAAGTCTTCGTGAAGCTAGAACCTTGCTTGCAGCTAAACAGTATAGCCAGGTTTGTAATAACTCCTTGTTGACCATCTGTTTTAAGTCTATGTGCTATCTATAACTTCCGGCCATGTGCTAAGATTTGTTTGTGTATCTTCATTTTGCTTTGGTACAACGTTCTACAGGCAGCAAACGTGGCACACTCCCTCTTCTGCACGTGCCATAAATATAATATGCAAATCGAAAAGGCGTCTGTTCTTCTTCTGCTTGCAGAGATCCATAAGGTATGGGATGGCTACAAGAACTTACAAGCTTGATAGCACAGTGATTGGAATTTCAAATTTTCATTGAATTTGTCCCGCCTTCCCAGATTGCAGTAAAAACAATTTGTTTTCTGGACTTTTTTTGCTACTCTCATGCATGTATAATGTATGTCTTCTGAATGTGTTCTATCTCTGCTGCATGGTCTTAGACTTAATGTCACTATTTTCAATTCCTTAACAAAATTTATTTCCGGCCATTTTGGTTCGCAGAAGTCAGGAAATGCAGTCTTGGGTCTTCCGTACGCACTGGCAAGCATCTCGTTTTGCCAATCATTCAACTTGGATCTTCTCAAAGCATCAGCTACTCTCACGCTGGCCGAGCTATGGCTTGGTCTTGGATCAAATCATTCAAAGCGGGCTTTAGACCTTTTGCATGGGGCTTTCCCTATGATCCTTGGCCATGGAGGTCTGGAGTTACGTGCTCGAGCTTACATCTTTGAAGCAAACTGTTATCTGTCCGATCCTAGCTTTTCAGGTATATTTTGTTGTCTTGTACTATTTTGACTTTTGTTCACGCTTCTTAGTTGTCTTTTGTTTGCGAGTTTCTAATTGGTTTCGACTTTTATTTGTTGGATGTGAATATATTTCACCAGTTTCCACAGATTCTGAGACTGTCCTGGATTCGCTAAGGCAAGCTTCAGATGAGCTTCAAGCTTTGGAGGTAACTTATGCCATTAAGAACGCTATGCAGCTTTTGATTAAAAAATTACACCGGACTCTTATAACCCCAGCTTCGGTTTAGCTCATCATAACAGAAAAAAATTGGATCTTAGTACCATGATTTACCGTTGTGTTTATTTTGCAGTACCATGAATTGGCAGCTGAAGCTTTGTATTTAATGGCGATGGTATACGACAAGCTGGGACAGATTGAGGAGAGGGAAGAAGCTTCGGCTATGTTTAAGAAGCATTTAATAGCTCTCGAGAACCCTCTAGAAATGGAACCAAACATAGTATGAGAGTTTGTGACCTTACTTAAATAAGCTTACTGTGCAAAGCTTGTAACTTATATTGTAAACATGTTCCTTAGGAATTCGTTATAGTATCCGCTTTTGCTAGACTCAATTTTTTTTTTTTTTTAACATCTGAAGATATATATATCAAAAGGAGTTACAAAGGGTCATAGAAAAGACCAGAGCTACAGAGTTTAATCTACAAGCAAAGCAAAGCATCAACCATTTACAACTACATCAATAGGGCACAACAGCCGAACCAAAAAACTACACTATTACATAGAGGCTGAACTTTTCTCATTCTCAAATAAACCATGGAGCCAAAAGGGATGACTACTTGCAACATATGATTGATGAAAATGATCCTCCAAAGCACTTTGAGCAATGAGAAATGCTCCTCTATTGGCTGCTCGTGACACTACTTCCACTTTCCAATTTGAAAACCTTACCAAGAACTGATTCAGCTCCCAGAAATGAGCTTTGTAGGAAGGCCAAGCCATAGGTCTTGACATGATTCCCAAAATATCTGCCTCTTCTGCTGCAAAAACTACATGATTGATTCTATGGAACACCATACTCTCCAAGGACCACAACATGCAACACATCTTCGCATCCATAATACTATCAATAGCAGAGAAAGATCTCCTACTATGAAGCAGAACAACCCCTTCATGATTTCGCAAAACCCATGAACAACCAGCCACCTTTTGTATTTTTATTCCACACCACTGCTGTATTACACTTGAGCCAAGGGAAAGGAGGAAGCCGCCATCTTGTTTTATCACCTTTCTTTCTAATCTTCTCCCTTTCTCCAACCTCTGTTTCCACATCCTGAGATAAAAACCATACATTGACCTCCTCCAAAATTTTCTCAATTGTATCATTAGCCCTGTATTTTATCCCTCCATATAGAAACTTATTTCTATTTTTCCACAATCTCCATAGAACCCAGGGGAAAATACGCCGTATATCAGGAGGAACTCTAATGTTTTTACTCATCAACATAAGGTAATGCACATTGACATGGATTGATTCTTGGTGAAAACCATTTTGAGGTGATGGAAAACCTGAGAGCGCCCAAATTTGACGAGCTAAAGAACAAGTGAAGAGAACATGATTAGAGGTTTCACCTTCAAAACCACACAGATTACAGCAAGTTTCAATCTTCACTCCACGGGTAATAAGGTTCTCGGCCACAGGGAAATCATCAGACAAAACCCTCCATAGAAATGTTTTAACTTTAGGAGCAGTTTGAAGAAACCAGATTTTTTCTTTGATCCCATTGAAAGATGGTTGAATTTCAGCTTCACGTTGAGCATCAGACTTGTTAAACTGACAAGCCAGCCAATATGCCGATTTCACAGAGAAATCACCATTTTTATTGAATCTCCAGGACCAGAAATCAGTAGAGTGAACCGCTGGCTTGAGTAACAAAATCCCGTTAACATCTCCTTCGAAAACTGGTCTTCAAGTATTGTCCTGTCCCATGATCTTGTTCTCACATCAATCAGATCACTTACCATAAGATCAATATTCGGATTTTTCATCCAAGGACATCTCATGATATTATCTTCAATCCATGGGTCAATCCAAACTCTTATGGATTGACCATCACCAACCATACGCTTAAGCCCTTTCAGCAACAAATTTCTCCCAAATAGAATGCTTCTCCAAGCAAAAGAAGGTCTGGTACCAAGCGCAGAAGACAAGAACTCAAAATCAGCAAAATATCTACTTTTAAAGAGTCTTGAGAAAAGGCAATCTGGTGCCTGCAATAATCTCCACGCTTGTTTAGCTAACAGAGCTTGATTAAATCTTTCAATATCCTTAAAACCTAGCCCACCAAGCTTCTTTAATAAACACATCTTCTCCCAACTTATCCAATGGATTTTTCGTTTATGATCTACCGAGTTCCACCAAAAATCGGCCATAGCTCTACTCAGTTTTTTAATTGTTGATTTAGGCAATTTAAAGCATGACATCGCATAGACAGGCAGAGCAAGGGCTACAGCTTTAAGTAAAATTTCTTTTCCACCATGAGATAAGGTACGAGCAAACCAACCTGTTAACCTTGCTTTCAAACGGTCCTGAATGTACCCAAGGAGATCTGCTTTTGAACCGCTAAAACATTCAGGCAAGCCCAGATAGGTACCCGCTCCTCCTTCATTAAAAATCCCAAAGGTTTCTTGAATTTTAACCTTAGCAGAAGGATGCACCTTAGAGCCGAATGTAATTGAGGACTTTGTTAAATTAATAACTTGTCCTGTAGCTTCTCCATAAACTCCTAAGATGTTTTGTAGAGCTCTTGATTCAGGTTCAGAGGCCTTGCATAGAAAAAGGCTGTCATCTGCGAAAAGAAGATGATGAATGGTAGGACCTGAGGGAGAAAAGCAAACCCCATGAATCTCTTCTGATTGCTCTGCTTTACTTAACAAGTGAGTTAGACATTCTGTGCACAAAACAAACAGAGACGGAGATAGTGGATCACCCTGTCTCAGACCTCTGGATGGATAAATTCGCTTTTGAGGATGATCGCTGATCAAAACAGAGTAGGAAACTGATGTTATACAGAACATTACCCATTGAATCCATTGCTGATGGAACCCCAGAGCAGCTAAAAGACTTCTCACATAAGACCATTCAACTCTATCATAAGCTTTTGACATATCAGATTTAATAGCCATAAACTCCTCTGATATTGTTGGATGCGTCCTCAAAGCGTGAACAACCTCATGAGCAATAAGAACATTGTCTGATATCAACCTCTCAGGGACAAAAGCTGATTGGGTAGGAGAAACAATTTCAGCCAGGAAAGGTTGAAGTCGCTTTACCAAGATATTTGAGATGATCTTGTAGAAGACCGAGCAAAGACTTATGGGTCTAAGATCAGTCATTTCCTTTGCTTGAGGAATCTTGGGAATAAGACATAAGAGGGTGTAGTTCCACTCAGAAGGAAAAGATCCAGACACAAAAAAGCATTTCACTTCCTTACTAACCTCATAACCAATGATGTCCCAGTATTTCTGAAAAAAGAAACCTGTCATTCCATCTATACCTGGAGCGCTTGAAGGTTTAATTGCAAACACTGCTTCTCTGATTTCTTCATTTGTGACAATACAGATTAACGCATTGTTCATTCTCTCATCTACCTTTGGGACAAAATCCTCAAAAAGATCATAAAAATTGCTCGGGTTTGATGTTGAAAACAAATTGTTAAAATATTCCGAAGCAATCTCACCTTTGGCTTTCTCTGATCTGTATTCAACACCATTAGCATCAACCAACAGTTCAAAACCTTTTCTTCCTCTGTTATCCTTCACGGATAACCATTAGTGTTTTTATCACCTTCTTTTAACCATTTTGCACGACTTTTCTGACTCCAAAACAACTCCTCATCACGGTAAGCTTTAACTAATTCCTTCTTGAGAATGAAGACTTTTTGAGCACCAGGGAAGTTAGTAGATTGTTCAGCTTCTAATGCAATCTGAATTTGAATGATCCGGTCTCTAGAATTCAAATTGTTTTCTTTTTTCCAGATACTCAAAGCTCTTCTACATCTCTTTATTCTCTCAGAAACTGAATTGTCTCGCCAACCATGTGCATTATTCCATGCCTGATTAATCGCTTCCTTGACTAAGGGTTGATTAAACAACCTCTTGTCGAACTTGAAATTTCCTTTATAGACCTCTGAAGATGAAAACAACTTAATCAAAACAGGCCTATGGTCTGATCCTCGTTTGTCCAAAAAAGCTTGATTAGAATCAGGAAAACTTCTGTGCCATTCTTTGTTACCAAAGCACCTATCCAGTTTGCACTGAATCCAAGATGTACCCCGCATACCACCCCACGTGAACGGATTACCACTGCTTGATAGTTCCACCATTTCACTAACATTCAACATATCATTAAAAGCAGAGAAATACGAATCACTTCTTCTTGGCCCTCCTATTTTTTCTCCATTGTGGCATATAGCATTGAAATCACCAAAAAGGCACCAAGGCTTTTTTCTTGAAAGACCAATTCTACTGAGACGTTCCCAAACATTTGCCCGATTCTTAAACAAAGGATCACCATATATATAAGAGACAAAGGTACAGACCTCACCAAACTTTACAAAGAGGTCTATGATATTTTTATCGGCATACTTAATATCTACGGACACCGACTTCTTCCAAAAAACTGCCAAGCCGCCACTTCTACCAACCGGTTCCACCGTATAAACACGCTCATAACCCAACCACACTTGAAGGTCTACTAATATATTCCTATCATGTAAAGTCTCCATTAGAAACAAAATCTCAGGAAAATGTTCGCCACGCATTTCCCTAAGACGGGGAATTGTCAAGTCTTGAGACCGTCCCAAGCCTTGGCAATTCCAGCTCAAAAGGCTCATTATGGATTGGACGGTCCCTCATTTGGGACCACCAATGGTTTGAGGCGCCTGCCTCGAATGCTCTTGCTCTTGACTTCTTTTTCAGCTTTTCTTTTTCCCAGGGCAATAGAGTTACTCACTTGGTCTTTTGACTTTGCATCTATCCCTTGTTGACCTTGATTTTTCCTGCGGTTCATGTGTGGCCTTCTTCTCTTGTATGTTGACAGTTTTTTGATTCCGGAAGAACCAGCTTTTGAATCGCTAGCTCTGTTATCCGTAGGATCAAAAGAAGAATTCATATCAACATCAGCAGTCAAACCAGAAAAGCCTGAAAGACGGTTGAAAACATGGCCCTTTGGAAGATGATTATTCCTCAGAAAAGTCCCGGAAGACCCGGGCTCAGAAAAGCCGAGTCTGTAATCCGTAGAACTTACTGGAGAAGAGTGATTGATGGCCATGAAATTTGCTGAGGCGCTTTCAGTTTGAAGGAGGTCAACATTTGGCTCCCAACTCAGAGCTCTACCCGATTGACTTGAAGATGCCATTCGTTTGTTATCCTTTTGGAACCCAGCAGTAGATATAAGTGTAACTCCTTCTTCATAATCATAAATAAGACCTTTGCCTTTATTTATGTCAGCAGTGATTAAGACCTCAGGTTCAAGTCGGAGAATTTTTTGAGCTGCCATGGGATCTTTTTCTACTTCTTTAATTGTCAACCTGACTCTTTCTTCCCTTACTGCTCTATCTTCGTCATTAGCCGCCAAAAGTTTAAGTCTCAGTTGAGATAAAACATCTTCAGCAATTTTTGGACGACCTGTAGCTCTATCAATACCAACTTGATCATCATTAAGAACTCCAAAAAGAGGATCTGAAGGTGAGAAGGCAGGAACCAAAGCAGCTTTTTCTCTTTGATTCATGTGTTTTTTCTCAGCAGCTTTTTCTTGCCTTTGTTTGACAATGAGGGGACACTGGTCACGCTCATGATTCAGCCTTTGACAAACATAACATCTCTTCTGAATCTTTTCATAGAAATATCCCACTTCCTCTTGACCACCTCCAGGAAGATTGAACACTTTCGATTTTCTGAGAGGTTTTGAGACATCAAACTTTACTTTCACTCTCACAAAAGCATTTTTCTGGACCTCGACAATATTTGGATCAAAAGCCATTTCAATCACAGGACCTAAAGGTGCACACAAACGAGTAATAGCTGGAACGGTATAGTGATTGACCGGAATATTAGATACCCGTACCCAGATCGGAATGAACTGCAAGTAATCAAGAGGAGGTTTAGCAACCCATCTTTCGACAGCCAGCGCCCATTCATTACACGTATGCACTCCTTTCGCTTCAATTTCCAGGAAATCGTGCTCGTTATCAAAGATAAACTGAAATCTCTCTGACCAAAGTGCTATTCCTCTCACTCTGTCGTATTTTTGTCATTTTCTAGGCATATCCAGGATCAGATCTGACATTCTTTGGCAATCTGGGTTGAGGATCCTACCCATCAAACTCAGCTCATTTCTTTCGGTAGAGAAGAATTCAGGACGGTCAGGAAGATCCATCGGTTCATCCTCTTCTTCCAGTGAAAGCGCCATTAGAGCTCTGTCCATAGCTGCAGACATGATGTAAACTGAAAAGACCTTGTGAAAACTGAAGCACTTGGTGAATTTGAAAACCTGGGGATGAGAGATCTAAGAACAGCTTGCAGAAACCTTAGAAGAGAGGAAAGTTAAAGCAAATATCGAGACAAAAGAAACTTTTTGGATAAACTCTAACTTTTTTCTTTGGATAAACTCTTACGGGGACAAATAATGTCCACACAAAGCTCTATTTTCAGAAATTGGGATACTCTAACTGAAAAAGAGAGTCCTAAGACTCAATTCATTAACATTATTATCACCAAACACTAAATTCAATTTTGGCTCATCATCATCACTCATCCATATATCATTGGATAATGTTACGTTGTTTTTTCTTTTCTAGTAATATTTTGATATTGTGAGAAATGAAATTAATATTATTCTAAACGGTTGATAGGTCTTACACGTCAGAACTCCGTAACGGGAACGAACCAATCAGCTAAAGGCCAAACTAGGGAAGAAATCCATCACGGAACGCTAACATTTAACCAAAATCTGGCCGTACACGTGTACAATTAGATGTCAACTAACAAGTCAACATCTGACCTGACTTTCTAAAGACGGTGTACTCCGGAGATAACGAGACTGTGTTGTTCCTTTTTTTACGCTCAAATGTTCAGTTTTATATGTGACGATAGCTCAACGAACCACACTCAGTTCCGTAGCAGAGTTTTAGTCTTAGCAGAAGCTGAATATCAATGGGGCACGAAAACGACGCCGCTTCAGAGAGTCATCAACACGACGGCGCTGCGGCGTCGGGATTTAAGCTCGTCGGATTCTCCAAGTTCGTGAGGAAGAATCCAAAGTCCGACAGATTCAAAGTTAAGCGCTTCCACCACATCGAGTTCTGGTGCGGCGACGCCACCAACGTCGCGCGTCGCTTCTCGTGGGGTCTCGGGATGCGATTCTCCGCCAAATCCGATCTCTCCACCGGAAACATGGTCCACGCCTCTTACCTCCTCACTTCCGGCGACCTGCGATTCCTTTTCACGGCTCCCTACTCCCCGTCTCTCGCCGCCGGAGATACTCGACTCACTGCTACAGCCTCCATCCCCTCCTTCGATCATGTTTCTTGCCGCTCCTTCATCTCTTCCCATGGCCTCGGTGTAAGAGCCGTCGCGATTGAAGTAGAAGACGCAGAGTCAGCTTTCTCCATCAGTGTCGCTAACGGCGCCATTCCTTCGTCGCCTCCTTTCGTCCTCGATGAAGCCGTTACGATCGCTGAGGTCAAACTATACGGCGATGTCGTCCTCCGATATGTTAGCTACAAAGGAGTAGACTCCGATAAATCCGATTTCCTGCCGGGATTTGAACCAGTGGAAGATACGTCGTCGTTTCCACTTGACTACGGGATACGACGGCTTGACCACGCCGTGGGAAACGTTCCCGAGCTTGGTCCAGCTTTAACTTACGTCGCAGGGTTCACTGGTTTTCACCAATTCGCGGAGTTCACAGCAGACGACGTGGGAACCGCCGAGAGCGGTTTAAACTCAGCGGTGCTGGCTAGCAACGACGAAATGGTTCTTCTGCCGATGAACGAGCCAGTGCACGGGACGAAGAGGAAGAGTCAGATTCAGACTTTTCTGGAGCACAACGAAGGCGCAGGGCTACAACATCTGGCTCTGATGAGCGAGGACATATTCAGGACTCTGAGAGAGATGCGTAAGAGAAGCAGTGTCGGAGGATTCGACTTCATGCCTTCTCCTCCGCCTACTTACTACCAGAATCTGAAGAAACGCGTCGGGGATGTTCTCAGTGACGAGCAGATCAAGGAGTGTGAGGAATTGGGGATTCTTGTGGATAGAGATGATCAAGGGACGTTGCTTCAAATTTTCACAAAACCACTTGGTGACAGGTATAGGTTTTTAAACAATCCATTTGATGAAAAACATGTTATGGTTCATGAGATGGTTACAATAATCTCGAAAATTTTGTGATTGTGTGTTGATAGGCCGACGATATTCATAGAGATAATCCAGAGAATAGGATGCATGAAGAAAGATGAGGAAGGCAAGGTTCACCAGAGTGGAGGATGTGGTGGCTTTGGCAAAGGCAATTTCTCTGAGCTCTTCAAGTCCATTGAAGAGTACGAGAAGACTCTTGAAGCCAAGCCGCTTGTGGGATGAACAAGTAAAGGATTTTAATTTAATGTAAAACTGTGCTGTATGTTATAAAAAATACATGATTACACAAAAATGTAACAGGATGTCTTTCCATCAGATCAATAAACAATGTAAGACCACCACTTTTTCAGTTTCTGTGTGCTATGTCTTGGATCAGGGAGCAGCATTTGAGATGGTTAATCCTTGCAGCCGACGCTGAATTTAGCTATAAAGAACCCGATGGTATCGAGCTCCGATGAAGGGTCGAATTTCTGAACCATTTCTTCTTCACCAGGTTTTAACCACTCCCTGCAAAACGGAAAGTTGGTTAGCGAAGAATGAGAGTCATCTCATCATCATCAATGTTTCTAAGATCTGTTTTGTTGATTATCATATCATTCTTATGGTTCTAGAAGCTTACTCGATATATCCATCAGGGAATTCACATCGACCAACTAGACCAGGTCCTCCAATCCTAGGATGCTGCAACAACAAAACAACACATTAATATACATTAAGACGAAGAACAAGATCTCAATGCAATATTTGCCAACATCTTAAGCAGTTTCTTAATGTACATGTGCCCTTTAATTGACAAAATGAAAAGAGTATTTCAGATCCAAACCTGTGGTGCTAAAGAAAGAAACTTGTATTTATCTAGAGCATAGCGAACCACGGCCTCGTTCTCGCTAGGGTTAATTGTGCATCTAGCAAAATAGAAAACAAATCATCCACAGGGGTAAGATTGTAGTGATCATCAATCACTCAAGAGTGTGGGACTGTTAAGGCTCATATGCATAGCTTGGATAACAACGCAAAGTCAGAATTTAACAGAATTTAGAATATGTTTGCACGCTTACGTTGAGTATACGAGAATTCCACCAACGCGAACCAGTTGAACAGCCTGGTCAAACATTTTCCGCTGGTACCTTCCATGGTTTCTCAAAGATATAACAGTCTCCTACAAGAAAAAAACAATGGCAAATTCAATCCACAAGTCACCACCATCTGAACGGATCTTAAGAAATAGGAAGAAAATGTGTACACGTTGTTAACTCATGAGAAGTAGATGCTATGATCACGAAAAGCAGAAGTTTACACAAGACAGCTCAAGTCTTGAATTGATCTTACCAGTCCAGCGAAAAGACGTGGCCTCAAGCCAAGAGCAGAACAAGGAGCATCTAAAAGGACTCTATCAAAACTATTCGGCGGGAAGCCTTGTGATTTTCCAGCCCTTCCACCTTGGCTTTGAGTTCTTCCGCGACCATTCTTCAGCCTTCCCTTATTCTTCCTCATGTCAGATTGGCTAACATTATCCCCTCCATTTGGCTGTTCAGTGCTCGCTTAAACATGGTGATAATGGGAAAATCAACATTTCGAAGATAACAACTAAACCAAGCAAACAGTACACTATGAGCAAAGAGTAGCTTAGTTACCAGTTTCCTCACACAATTTTTCAGCCTCGGATCTTTTAGAAGCAGCAGGTGCCATTTCCTCGTTCGATGATAATTCAGAACGGCTGGTCATGGAACCACTATTCTCATCGTTAACTAGTGTTGTTGAATCACTGAGTGTGTTTGGAAGACGAACAGATTTTAGCGCATCCAATTTGCATGTTGTTATGCAAGTTAATCCCATCTCAGCAGACAATTTCTGGACATCCAACACCTACTTTTTGGAAAACAGTAAACGAACTAATTAGAGCAGGTAATCTTGGAATCCCAACAAGCACTTCTGTCTTGTATTCTAAGCATTCCATGTACACAGGTAAGCAAGTAAAAAAACCAATTGAAATCACAACTGTTGCTTTGTAAGAAACTGTACCTTGTTATGAGATCTATCTGCTGCCACTATCTCTCCCTCATCCTGCATAAGTATAGCGATTGCAGTCGTCTTCCCTCCAGGTGCTGCACACATATCTAATATTCTCTCCCCTTTCTGAGGATCTGGGCGGCCAAGATAAACATTTAGCGTCAAATTTCCTCAATGTTGTATCCCTGACTTCTCATCCAAATCTAGGATCTACTGTATTCATACAAGGGAGTGAATGTATAAAGCATGCGGTAGACTGAAATTTGTTTCACTTACCAAGAGCATGAGCAGCAACAATACTTGGTAGGTTTTGAAGAAATATTTCCCCCTCGAGGACATCTAAGCAGCCAAAAAAGACAATGTGAGAGAGATACTCCATGACAAAAAAAAAAATACCGAGAGTCATAAAGTGTAGGCTGAAGTAAAAAGCAGACCTAGAGCAAAAGAAGAAGCTTACTATGTAAAGAAGGCAATCTAAAAACTCTATTGCTCAAATCCACCGCAACTCCATGAGTAACACGAAACATCCCAGCCCTTGACAACATAGTTGTTCCCATGCCGATGTATAGCCCACTGCGTTCACAATAGAAAGGATCTACAATAACACAACGGCACATGTCAACTCTTTGTCAAAATATTATAATATAGCACTTCCAAGCCAAGCTATTAGTACCCAATACGAATGGATTCAATCTATCAAAATTCAAGTAAGTTTCAGCCTAAAAGCATTCCACAGAGTAAACTGTTTGACTCCTTTGACTGCCACAAGTTGTGATTTATTACTCATATTTAACACTTTTTATCAACCTAACAGGAAGAAATATCTCCCTTAATAAATTTTAAGGACCTATTCTTCGGTTTCAGTTACAGTGAAATAAAAGTATTCACAAACCATATGATATGTGACCGAAGCTAATGAAAAGAATTCTGATTCTTGCCTGTTGGTAAACCCTGAAGGGTGGTGCCACGAGTCATATTAACACTCCAGTCACCGTCATCACCAGGTTGTTCCATAGCAACACAGACAGCAACTGCATCTCCTTTCTCAACATGAGCAGTGCAAGCCAGTACACCTGGAACATAAACCTGCAACAGATCCCATAAGAGAAAGATAACTATGTTCTGTTCCCAGGATGGCCAATGGCCCAATGAGTATCAATTTTGACCCACACAACCTAGCCACTAAAGTTTAACTGAGAGAAAATCTCGAGTTTACCTGGGCTCCTCTAAGAACAGCTTCAGCACACTTCCTGCTCACTAGGACCTCTTTGGGAGGGCTTTCGAGACCAAAGTCGTATGCAATTCTGTGTGGGCCTGAGCCATTGACGAAAACTACATACTCCAAACCAGGTATCTGACACTTGGAGATGGCACTGCTTCCATCTGGTTTTGCTAGCTTCAAGCCATCTTCGGATTCGTTTAAGATTTTCGTAAGCTTCTCAATAACCGCATCACTTGTTGTCTTAACTGTGTTCACCCGAATGCACGAGTAGGAAGATGGGCGTCTGATATGGAACAAAAAAGTATGAGATTATATCAAAATGTAGCAGCAACTAACTGACAAGAACAAAATCGAAACCAATGAGAAATCAATTCGATTTTATTTTTAGGAGAAGTTCGGGAATGAAAAGGCTATCAGCAACGAATCCAGCTTTATGCACGTATGAACAACTAGAATGATTGAAAAGGTGCGAAGATAAGTACGTGAGAGCCTTTGAAATGCGAGCAAAGTGGTCAGGTCCATAAGCTTTATTGAAGTACTCTTCGACTTGAGGATCCCATTGCAATACTGGATCGTAACAGTAACGCTCCGAGCTAGAAGGATCCATCTCCATCTGGCGAGAAACAGAGGAGAAGAAGGTCGTGGCTCTGGTTAAGCAACTAGGGAGGAAAGAGGGTTTTAGCAGAACCCTCGCTTTCTTCATTCACGGGGAGAGAGAGAGAGAGAGAGAGAGCGCTCGTCGAATTGAAAAAATTGCTTGAGAGCTTCAATGGCGGATGGGCTTTGGGTTGCCAGAATTAAGCCCAATAAGACCAGTAAACACAAGCCCAACTTAACCGTATGTTTTGTTTTGTTTTTGTCCGTATACGGTAATGATCAGTATTTATGTTTTTGTTTTTGTGAGTACCCCCTCATAACTTTTTACAAATAAATCTGTAAGTATAAATATGTTAGAAGAATTCTTTGTTTATTTAATTTGAGATCTGCTACTGTATGAAAAAGTAAAATAAAGGAGGGGTTAGGTAGAACTTAGAAGAAGCTGAGAGGTTTGAGGATACTCTTTTCCTACCAAACCCTCTTTTTGATGATTAGCTTTACCTGCCATTTTCCAAATGTCTCAACAAAAATGCTCATCAGAGTATATTATGTATTTGGTTTCTCATTCCATCTCTCACCAACCCCGTTTGCAATTCCCTTCTCAAGGTATCCCTTTCTTTCTCTTTCTTTCTCTCTCATTTGATTTCACTTTAAGCTCTTCAGTTTTATAACCGCTCAATGCACATAGCTTGATCTTTCTACTTTATTATCTCTTCAAAAAACTTTCTGGTCTTGGTATTTGTGTGAAAGGTATGTAATGTAAGCTTTTACTGTTGCATGTTTTTGGAACTAGCGAGTCTTTTTTTTTTTTTTTTTGAAATTACAGTCTTTCAGTTTGATGATCCTATTGATCAGATAAGAAAGTATTTGTTGACGTTTGAGAAAGCTGGAGATGGCTCAAGAAGGTCGAAACATCATCGACGAGCAAGTAATCTCTGTATATTTGAGCCTTTTGTGATGTGTGTTCTTCATCATTCAATTCATTAAAACTTTTGGAATTTGGCATTGTTGCTATAGGTTGTTGTTGGAGAGGAAAAAGGTTGTGTGAGAGTGGCAACTCTCAACCGCCCTCGTCAGCTAAATGTCATCTCTTCAGAAGTGGTATGCTAAGATCTTAGATCAGAAGCTGACAATATTCTCTTCTTCTAGATATATCTACTGAGAACTTCCTAATTGTAATTCAGGTCCTCAAGCTTGCACAATATCTCGAAACGTGGGAGAAGGATGACAAAACAAAGCTTATACTGATCAAGGTTTTTGTTTTGTTTGTCCTGGTGATTCTCTACTACAAGAGACTAATTTATTAACATAGCTTACTTTTACAGGGTGCAGGGAGAGCTTTCTCTGCCGGTGGTGATCTCAAGATGTTTTATGATGGTCGCGAATCAAGTAAGTTTTTTGTTCAATCAAAAGAACACATCCAAAGAGACTCAGTGAAAACTTGATGATGATGATGATGATGATACTTCGTTTATGACAGAGGATTCATGCGTTGAGGTTGTTTACCGAATGTATTGGCTTTGCTATCATATTCACACATACAAGAAAACACAGGTGCCTTTTTTTATTACTTAGTGTTCCACATTCCATTCTCTTGAGGAGTGTTGACTGAATGTATAATTTCGTATAGGTTTCTCTTGTTAACGGTATATCGATGGGTGGAGGTGCTTCGTTGAAGGTCCCAATGAAGTTCTCTGTTGTGACTGAGAAAACTGTGAGTACTCAGGAGTTTAATCTGCTTCATTTTGTGTATCTGTATAATGCTGGTGTAGAACCCAACTATATATGTGTCGTTTGATAGGTTTTTGCAACGCCAGAAGCAAGTATTGGGTTTCACACTGATTGTGGATTCTCTTACATTCATTCACGTCTTCCTGGTCATTTAGGTGACTTCTAAACCGTTTAAAAAACTAAATATTGATTCCAACCTAAGCATTGGCGCATCTCTCTAATGTATATAACACTTTCAGGAGAATTCTTGGCTTTAACTGGGGCAAGATTGAACGGCAAAGAACTTGTAGCAACTGGAATGGCAACACATTTTGTACCTTCTGCTGTGAGTCTTTGAGCTGTTTTCATTATTTATATCTGCAACTTTAGCAATGCTATGATCCTGAAGACAAATTCTACTCATGTTGTGCTAGAAAATTTGAGTAAAATGCATATCATTCACATATTTTCTTTACTGCCAGAAACTGGCTGATCTGGAGGCACGGCTTGTGAATTTAGACTCAGGAGACGCAGAGGTAGTCCGATCCACAATTGAAGAGTTCTCCGAGAAAATCAACCTCAACGAAGACAGCATTCTCAACAACAAGTAACACTCCTTTTTCTGTTACATTATATTTGCCTTTTTTTCATGCTATTTTAACTTTGTGGATATGGCTGATGTCTGCAGGCAGTCAATAATCAACGAGTGTTTCTCAAAAGAAAGTGTGAAGCAGATCATACAAGCATTCGTAAGTCATCCGATTTTCTTGGAACACAAGTCAAGTCCTTCCCCTGGTTTCTTCATAGGTATGTGAAGTATTTGTGGTGCTCTTACAGGAAGCTGAAGGTAGCAAAGAAGGAAATGAGTGGATAGCTCCAGTCATCAAAGGATTAAAACGATCCTCACCCACAGGGTTGAACATAACCCTACACTCGGTATGTTCTTCCTGTGAAATATGACTCTATTCTGTCATATGTTTGCTGTGATCTGCGCCTACGCTCAAAATATCCTTGTAGTGATGTTAAATCTTCTTACAGATCCGTGAAGGTAGAAAACAAACGCTAAGTGATTGCCTCAAGAAGGAGTTTCGGCTCACTGTGAATATCTTGAGGAACACCATATCCCCTGACGTGTATGAGGTAAAGAATAATAACAGATGCAAAATTTGAGATCCATTTCTTGTTTTGCTTTTTATCAAGAAAATGGTAGCATCATGTTCATAACACACAGGGTATAAGAGCTCTGACCATAGACAAAGACAATTCTCCAAAGGTTTGTTTTTACGCTCTAAAATGCAAAATATGTGTCTTACTTAGAAGCGAGATCGTGTCTAACATTTTTTGTGAACTTCTATGGTGCAGTGGAATCCAGCGACGTTAGATGAGGTTGATGACGAGAAAATCAACCTGGTGTTTAAGCCCTTAGAGGATGATATTGAGCTTCACATCCCTGAAACTGAAGAAAACAGGTCTGTTCAAGTGATGATAAACCCAACTCTCAAACTTTCTTTCCAACTGAGTTTTCTCTAAGAAACCAAATCCCTTTGGTATGTTTTTGATATGGGGCACTGGAAATTCACAGGTGGGGAAGCAAATACGAGACTTCAGGTTGTGCATCACTACGAGGATAGAAGAGAACAGAACTGAGCATTCTGTATGTTGTGTTTTTTGCTTTCACACTTCCAAAGACTTTATCACTCCAACAAGTAGTATGTTGTTTGCTTCAGCTCACACTCGGTGCAGCGATGATTAAATAAAGTTTATGTCTGAATCTCGGTTTGGTTTAGCTACATTTCTAGGATATGCTTTTGTCGGTGTCTAAATCTTGAAAATGGTGTGATTCCATTCCACAAGTTCCTTAATTATCATTATGTGGGTTGTCAACATTCAACAATAGTACTTCTTTACTAATTATAGCTAATACTAGTTATCTTTTTCAAATGATGTCTTCTCCGCACAAACAAAACTAATCACAAGTCTATATTAGTGTTAAGTGTTAAGATTAGATAAACGAAGTCACGTTTAGGTCGTTGAAACAGCCGCGGCCAATTTGGACAGCTCAAATTTGCCTCTCTTTTTTCTCTCAATCTTCTCTTCACTATATATCTCTCTTCTTCTTCCTCATAATCTCTTGCGTCTTGACGAATCAAAACACACAACCGAGACAGAGGAGCAAGAAAATGGCCGACTCCCTTTTGGAACAGGCCACCTCTGCTCTCGGTGAAGCCAAAGACACCGCCACATCTGCTCTCGTTGAAGCCAAAGAAACCGCCACCTCTGCAATCGGTGAAGCCAAAGAAACGGTCATCGCCTCTGCTGAAACCGTCAAGCCCGATGTTCTGAAGGATGCAGTGGACAATGTGGTCACAAGAGGCATAGATGGAGCCAAGTCTTTGTTGCACAATTTGGAGGAGAAGAAAGATGAAGTCTCCTCCAAGATCATAGGAGCAGTTTCGCATTTTACCGGTAGCAGCGCCACAAACCGTGACTTACCAGTATCCTCAGACAATCAGGTACGAATCAAAGAAAACCTCAAATTCTTATGTCTTGGGGAAAACTTGGATGAAGGAGAGAAAATCTTATGCTTTCTATTTTTTTTCCACAATTGCAGCCACTCCTAGCGTCGGGTGAGACAACGACGCCATGGTGGAATGACTGTTGTGGAGTTATTGATCTTCTCAAGGAATCATCATCATCTACTAGATGAAGATCATCTTCCATGTGAAGAACAGAGCATAGAAAAAAAGATTTCTTGAGTGTGATTTCAGATTGTCTTTTTTCTTTTAAATTGTTTTTTCAATCTTTTGATTGTTGCCGAGATTATTTGTAATGTTTGTAATGAAAGAAGTAAGCAAACACACAGTAAAGAAAACTCCTAAATTGTGAAACCAATCGAATTCTCAAAGCATATAACAAGAAAGTTTTGTAACACTCCCAAAAAACAAACAAAGAAATCAAATTCATCAAAGTCTACCTCGAATCAAACCCTCTTCGAGTGGTAGATGTAGAAGACAACAGCCGCTCCCGCCACTGCAACTGCAACCGCCGCCGCCGTAGCTCCACCAGAACCAACAGTCACACTCGGTGGCGACCATGACTTAAGCTCAATGCCATTAACCGGCTCAACCACATTCTTCAATCCACTGATCATCTTCTCAGACTCATCCATCTGTCTCTCCAGCTCCACAATCTCTGACTCCATAGCCGCATCTTTCTTCTCCGACTCTCTCAACGCATCCTCCAAACCCGTCTTCTCTGATTTCCACTTCTGCAACTCTGCTTTCCCTTTTGCTACATCAGATTCCAGACCTTTGACCTTCTCTCTCAGCTCATCCATCTCTTTTTCCTTATTGTCAATCTTGTCTCTCATCTCTTCCTCTGATCGGACCTTCTTGTTCCTCTCCTCTAACTCCTTCACCTCCAAAGCATTAAGCTTCGTCTCCAATTCCTTCATTCTCTTCTCGTTCTCCTCCTTCACACTCCTTAATCCAGCGACCTCTTTCTCCAATTCCGCGATTCCATCCCCTTTCTGTGAAATCTCAGACCGGAGCTTCTTCGCCTCCGCCGCAGCCTCTTCCCCTTCCGTCTCGGCCGTGACCAGTTCATGCTGTAGCCGTGCAACTTCGGTCTCGAGCTCCGAGGCTCTCGCAGCTATGGCCTCTAGAACCTTCCTCTCCTCATCAGACTTGTCAAGCTCCCGCTCCATCTCGCCCATCTTACGCCTCGCCTTGGATTCGGCTCCTCTCAGCTCCTCAATCTCCGCTGTCAGGCTCTCAATTTTCCGGCTGATTTCACCGTTGTCACGCGCCAGTTCCTGATTCTGGGACTCGAGCTCTCCGATCTTCCGATTCAATTCCGTCGAATTCCCGCCGTCGTCCTGTTGATCGGAATCGAAGAAACTCTCATCCTCATGCCCAGTCGCTTCGCCGTTCAGGCTCCTCTCATCCGCCATCTCCGGCAGCTGTGAGGAAATGGATAGGAGAATCGAGTCGTAGAGGAAAGGTGATAAACCCTAAAGATGCTCGCTGAAGAAATATGTAATACGGAAAAATGGAGAAGGAAAGGTTCGACTTTTCTGATTCTTGTAAGAAATGGTGAGAGATGAAAAAGAAAAAAGCCAAAAAGGAAAAAAAAAGGATAAGCAACTTTCTGCGATTCGATGCAATTAGGGCTTCTGGTTCTCATAAACCAAACTTAAATTCTTAATAACCGACCAAGTCTGATCTGCTACGAATGGACGGCTGAGGATCAAGGAATCAGTCTACTTTTCTTCTTTTTGACACTCTTTTTTCAGTTTTTGTTGCTTTTTGATCAAAGGCTATAGTTAACAAATAACAACAACAAAAAAGGAAATTTCTACATAGATTATTTCAAATAAACTGTTCAATATATGAAATCTTCAAGTGTAATGGTGGATGGTCTTATTAGAATAAAGTAATTAGCAGACCATCTTTTATCATTTAGATTTGCAACCAAAAACTACACACATTCCTCAAAATTTAATTTTAGAACCACTTGATTCCTAAATATTATTCTTAAACTGCATGATTTACAATGTATACTGCCATTTTTAGTTTCTAGGTAATAAAAAAGGATTGGGTAGTTTGGGTTCTTGAAGATGTTCTTATAAATTAATTGCAATTTGATTAGCGAAACAAGTAACAAAAGTTTAGAAAGTTTTATTGATTGGGCTTTTGAGGCTTTTAGTTAAAACATACTTGATTTTAAAGGCCCATTAATTTCTGTACAGGTCATTAAGGAAATGAGTGGCCCTCTAGTGAGATCTCAAATGATGATGATCTTTGTTCGTTCTTTGGGCTACATTGTCCGATATAAGTCAAACATTTATTAACAAACCAAACCGTATTATACCAAACCATGAAACCAAGCACCAAGCTCGAAGTTTTTGGACAACCTAGAGATTAGCTTTATTTCGGGAAAAAAAAGAACCGAGTTTACTAACAAAAAATTAACAAAATTGAACTGAAAATAAATTGAAAAACCTTTTTTGTCGAAAATTTGAGTTACATATAGTTTTTATAATATTTATATCTAGTAAGCATTAATATGTATGTCGCGATCGCATCTAGACCAGATGCATCATCACTTCATCAGTAGAACAGTATACATACAGACTACAGTATGTATAACTAGAACAAGTTGTGAGATCCGTGATAAGAGGATGTTGTTGTAGATAAATCTAACATTAAATATTCTCTCAAAGTTTGGAATGTTAAATTGTTGCGCAATAAATTATACCAGGGGCCATTTTCTTTCTGTGGGCTATCTACAATTTAAATGAGCTCCCCCAACAGTACAAATTTCACTTATGATCAATTGATCATGCCAGAATTGTTTGACAAAAATAATCAACTAAAGTATATCTTGTCCCATATCCAAATTTTAACAAGAAAACCTCTATTACAAGTTTCTACAAGGACCGTCATCTCTTATCCAATTAAAATATCTAAACTTATATGGAAAAACTTATCGAAAACTAAATGAATCCCATGTAGTTTATCTTCTTCTTATTTACCTTTTCTATTATAAAATGTCACCTAAACATAACATAATTCTTTTTGTTAGAAACCAATTATTCAAAAATATGTTACAAAATTGATTCCGAGCGGTGGATGAAGGGATTGTTATCTTTGTATGATGGGTTGTTAAATGTTATAAATTGTGTGGTGGTTGTGGAAAGCTGTATGTTTGAGCCAAACGCATAAAATGCATGATAAGTACGTAGAAAACCCAAAATGAAATTAAAAATGGTTTGAGTAATGTATTTGAGCAAAACATTCAACGAAATCAGCATGCCCTTAACTACCTTACCAATTATAATATTTGCCGCAACACTTGCATGCACGTTTCTCTGAATTAGATTCTTTGTTCAATAAATTTATTTTATTTCTTCAAGCCGAAAAGAAAAAGGAAATAAATAACTGGACCGCGTTAAAATATATAGTCAACATGCATTTTCTCGTTAGTCACCTACCCGACCAGTCTCATCACTGATATTGTTGCGTTATGTTTGAGTAGAAACTCTTGCCTTTTTTGTATTGGGCGCCAAATTTTTCAAAAATGGTTGATTTAAACCCGAGGGATTATGGTTTTATGGTTTGAGACTTTGAGCATATAGTCTGAATGACTAGTTGGCCAAACGTAACGTTTGAAACTTTCGGGTATGGGAACAAGTATCTGAATTATACTATTTGTAAGATGCCAAGAGAGATTTTATTGTTTGGCTAATGGAAATCTAAGTATAGAAAAAGAAGACACATGCAAAAATATGACTTTTGTCTTGAGTTATTGTAAGGTGTTACTATCTAATGATCTGTAGATTATATAAACAAATAGAAACCAAATGGAGAGTTTTTAAATTAGTTTATCCTATTTTTCTGTCAATAGTATCTTTATTTCTTTGGGGTGAAGTCTTGACGATGGCATGCATGTATCTTTTTTTGGTAACACGCTATCGGTATATAACGTCGGTGCATGTCATCTATAATTAATGGCCTTTCATATCAAAGATAATAATAAATGGCGTTGACTTTACGTGACTATAGATGAGCAGGATCTATGCAATCAGTAGCTCAGCTAGGGTTCAAATACTTTTAATTGATACTGCTAATACAAATATTTTTAACAAGAAAATCCCGTGCAAATGCTATTTATTTGGAGTATACGTTTTGACAATAACAACAACGGTAGTAATTTGTTCATAAGTAGGAAGAATCAAAATGGAGATACGATCATACAACAATAGAAAAAAAATCAAAATAGAGACAGTCCAAAAAATGCCAAAAAGAGAAACACATTGAAGAGGTATATATAGAAAATTTAGAAAATATTCGTCACGTGTACGCATAAACGGCTACGAGTCTTTTCAAGGATGATGTTATCCACTTCTACATACGATTCGACAGCCTTAACATCCAGATCCAGATATGTTGTGTGACTATCTCGGTATCTCTCTTGGTCAGTACTTATACATTATAGGTTTTGATGCGAAACACTAACTAATCAAAGGAAAAAAAAAAAAAACAAATCAAGGTATTATAAGCAAATGAGGTATGGTTTTGACGTAATTACGATTCGATCTGAATCATCTGATGTGTATAACTAACGAACCAAGATAGAAGCATGTCATGATGTATATTATTAATAGCGGCATCTAATTTTTTTCATTTTCATTCTAGGGGCATTTTTTTTCTTTTGACCGTTCAACACGTTAACTTATTTATGTCGTTTCATATATATTGTTATCAGCTTATGGCTTTAATTGGTGACATGTGGTAAGTTTGATTAATGGTCAAAACTCAAAAATGTTACCGATTATGATTTTTTTTTTTTTTTGCAGTTAGAATGTAGTATGGTTGAGTTAAAATTTTGATGTATCTCTTTTATAAATTAGATAACTCAACTCAACATGGAAAATGGCATATAGTAAAGTTTGATTTAGCAGTTTTTTTTTTTCTTTTCTTCTTTCCACGTTTTTTTAATAATTTTTTTTTGCTTTTTTTTTGTTTTTTTGTTAATTCCACAGCAAACTTATCACATAATTTTTACATCAAATTTACCATTTTCTTTAACTCATTTCTAGTACCACATGTCACCAATCAAAGCCTATGTGTATGTCTTTTCTTCCCTTTTCCCAACTATCATAAAACCTTTAATTGGTAACCTGTATTTATAACTAAATATGTAATGCTAAAATGATGCTACGCGATTCATATTGATAAGCTGGCCTAACAAACAAGGAAGTAACCTAAAAAATGTAGAAAAAAAAAGAGCAGTGGCACAGAATCGTAATTACGAGGAAAATATTGACAATTAGAAGAAAAAGTCAAAGGAAGAAAGGAAAGTTGGTAGAAAGAAAGCTGACAAGAGAGAGAGACTCACACGAGGACGCAATTTTTCAAAGCCAGAAAATTGACGAAGGTGAATGGTAAAATGGTGAAGCCCTCTTGAATGTTCACAAATCACAACACACGGTTTATGCATCAACTCTTCCTTCTTCACACTTCTCTATGCTTCATCAATTTCATTTACTCATATGTCTACATCTACTGTTTTGACTTTTGCTCTTACTATTCATGTATATGTCGACAAGTGTCATAAATATGGAATCAGGCAAGAGTTTGATTAAGGTTTCGAATGCTTGTCACGAAGCATAGCCGCATAGGTTGTGTGGTCATGTTGTGTACTATATATGAATATATCAATATGGTCAAAATACTGAAAGGTGATTTTTCATATAGTAGCAAATTTATATATGTAACTAGGTTTAATTTTGGGTTATAGCGATTAAAAGTCATTGCAACTAACTGTAAACGTCATCTTTATTGACGTTTAATTATAATGGATAGAAAAGCAAAAAGCGGATAGATTGTCAAATTATCAGAATCATACAACAGCTAATGATGTTTGGTTGCCGACGGATTAGACCGGTGAGATATGTTATTTTTCTTATAACTGAAAGTTAGTCTATCGTGTTGGTGTCATCTTCACTAGGTTTGGTTCAATTTTTTTAGTGAAAGTAATTAGACATACTCCTATATATATAGGTAAGGTTGGACTTATTGTATTTATTATGATTTGGGATAGTACTTGCATTGCATATCATGAGTCATGACAAAACTTGTCGTTAGCTTTAAGATTTGGAGTTCGGTAGTGACTTGTCTCATTTATTCGCAAATGTCATGTCTTTTGGTTATAATCAATTCTTGTGCCGAAATCAAGTTGGATTAGGCTTTTTTCTGTAATAATAAATCATCTACTTTTCCCAAAGTAAATCTCTTCTCTCATCTACGTAAAAGGTGAAGTGTTTATTAGTTACTCTTGCCTCTGTAACATGTCAAATATTGCACCAGCCATCATTCCATGCATCAACATTTTAATTTTATGCGATTCACTAATTTTATAATTCACAAATAATTAACTAGTAGAACTGAAAGAAAAAACTCTACATTCTGGAAAATGTGGAAATTGTAAAAAGATAGGGCCGGTCACCAACTGCATAACCTAACTTGTTAAAGCTCTTTTATTTTGGATTTGGCAGAAAAAAGTGCAATCTTTGAAACTTGGGGAACAAATCAAATGCGCTTTAATCTAAGCAATCGTGTTCACAACTTCACATAACGTTGTTATGTTTTTGAAGACTTTTGGTAAGATTAGAGGTCTCATATACATATATATATATAGTATAGTTGTATACTCTATGATAGGAACAAATTAACTGTTATCCACTATGGCTATATACTTACAAGGGATATTTATAATGGTTGATTTATTGAGGCTACGTTATATCTTTTTATAAATCAAAGTATAAATCTATGGGGCCTAAGTAAATTGTAAAAAACAAGACATTTGTGCTAAAGAGAGTGACTTAGTAAATTGTATAATCTGGCCTGAGTAAATTGTAAAAAACAAGATATTTGTGTTAAAAGAGAGTGACTTAGCCACCCTTAACAAAATATATGGATCAAATAATGATCTGTTTCCAGAAAAGAGAGGAAACGATGGAGACATCAACTAAAGAAAATAAGGCAAAAGCAACTAACTGCAGCGAGATAATCATGTGTTGACTGCAACAAGACAGCAATACTTTATTATACGATGTAGATACTGTCAATGTATTGTTTCATTCGTTATGTGATACTATATCTTAAAATTTATCTATGCAAATAGCCAAATATAGTAGTAGAATCATCATCAACCGTAACTTCTTGGAAACAAACACAAACACATTCTAATTTACCTTTTTAAATAAAGAGAACAAAATTCTTAGACATTGTGGCCTACAGTTAATGCAAGATGTGTGGGTAAACCCAAAATTTAAAAACAAAAACAATTATGTAAAAAAGGGTCAACCTTCACACCACCTTTGCTCTCGCCTATCATCATCATCCACTATATAAATCTCCTCTGCAACCTCTTTTTCTTCTTCAACACATTAACTCCTTCTCTCTCCATTTCTATATCTTTCTTAGTTTCTCTCTCTCTAAGCCATAGCTATGGTGTTTCCAGAGCTTCTAGTGATTCTAGCAGAATGGGTCCTTTACCGTCTTCTTGCTAATTCATGTTACAGAGCTGCTAGAAAGCTCAGAGGCTATGGCTTCCAATTGAAAAATCTCCTAAACCTCTCCAAACCACAGCCTTTAAACAACAGTTCTCATCATCAGCATCAACAACAAAATCAACAAAGCCAACACCTTCAAGATTCTCTAAACCCTCTCTTCCCAAGCATCACAAAGTATCAAGAGCCTCCAGACAGAAACAGAGCATGCTCTGTTTCTTCCGATCATCATCATCATCATCACACCCTGGTCTGCGACATCGATGGTGTTCTCTTACGACAACATTCGAGCAAACACTTCCACACGTTCTTCCCTTACTTCATGCTCGTAGCCTTCGAAGGAGGATCAATCATCAGAGCGATCCTTCTCTTGCTCTCTTGCTCTTTCCTTTGGGCTCTGCCACAAGAAACCAAACTCAAAATCATCTCTTTCATAACCTTCTCTGGTCTTAGAGTCAAAGACATGGACAACGTCTCTAGGTCGGTTCTACCCAAATTCTTCCTCGAGAACTTGAATCTCCAGGTCTACGACATCTGGGCTCGAACTTCGTACTCCAAAGTTGTCTTCACCAGCTTGCCGCAAGTGATTGTGGAGAGGTTCCTCAGAGAACACCTCAACGCTGATGATGTGGTTGGGACTAAACTGCAAGAAATAGAAGTTTTGGGGAGGAAGTTCTACACCGGCTTAGCTTCCGGGTCTGGTTTCGTCGTTAAACATAAATCAGCTAAAGACTACTTCCTTGATAACAACAACAAGAAGCCTTCAATTGGAATTGGAAGCTCTTCAAGCTCACAAGATCACATCTTCATCTCCATTTGCAAAGTAACTACCTTTTCTCCATCTTCTTTACTTCCTGATTTCACAAATATAGATTGACTTCCAATTTTGTCTAGTTTCCAACAAATCATATTTTCTTATCCATTTTCACAAAAATAGATTTGAAGTTAATAGCTATCAATTTTATTTGAAATTCCCACAATATCTCATCTTTACTCCATTTCCTTTAGTTTCCATTTTCACAAAAATATTTAACTTGCTTTATTTTTTACTTCTAAATTTCAAAAAAGTTGATCAGTGTTACTAACTATTAATTTTGTTCACAGGAAGCTTATCTTTGGAATGAAGAAGAGTCAATGAACAAGAACAACACATTGCCTAGAGAAAGATACCCAAAGCCATTGATATTCCACGACGGGAGATTAGCTTTCTTGCCAACACCATTCGCCACTTTAGCTATGTTCATATGGCTCCCCATCGGATTCGTCCTCTCTGTCTTCAGGATCTCGGTAGGAGTCTTGCTTCCTTACCACGTAGCCAATTTCTTGGCTTCTTTGTCTGGTGTTAGGATCACTTTCAAGTCCCACAATCTGTATAACGGTCCTCCCGAGAAAGGTAAAAGTGGAGTCTTGTATGTATGCAACCATAGGACCCTCCTTGACCCTGTTTTCCTCACCACTTCGCTTGGCAAGCCCTTGACCGCGGTTACCTACAGCCTAAGCAAGTTCTCAGAGCTCATAGCGCCTCTCAAGACTGTTAGCCTGAAGAGAGACAGGAAGAAAGATGGCGAGGCCATGCAGAGACTGCTAAGCAAAGGAGACCTAGTTGTTTGTCCTGAAGGAACCACTTGTAGAGAGCCTTATCTACTGAGATTTAGTCCTCTGTTCGCTGAGCTAACGGAGGACATTGTTCCTGTGGCTGTGGATGCTCGAGTGAGCATGTTCTATGGGACAACCGCGAGCGGGCTCAAGTGTTTAGACCCTATCTTCTTCCTCATGAACCCTAGGCCGGTTTATTGTCTTGAGATTTTGAAGAAGTTGCCAAAAGAGATGACTTGTGCAGGAGGTAAGTCAAGCTTTGAAGTTGCCAACTTCATTCAGGGGGAACTTGCTAGGGTTTTGGGATTTGAGTGCACCAATCTCACAAGGAAGGACAAGTATTTGGTTCTCGCTGGAAATGAAGGCATTGTCAGATAATGTAATCCGGATTTTCATTAGGTTTTTTTGTTTCTGTTACAAAGTTAAAAATCCTATTATTTCAGGACTTAGAATGTTTAATTATTATGGTTGATTCATTGGCAATTTGGCATCATTTCTATTTCTTATCTTCTTCTTTTTTCCCCGGAATGGTGATATTTTCGAAATGTATGCTCATTTATAATTTTGTTTCTTCATTTGTACAGTCTATAATCTCAACCTGTCGCTTTACTGTCATCAGTTTCATTACTAGAACAAATGAAATGATTTCAACGTTGGTACGAACATTAAATGTATTCTTTATGCAATTAAATTATGTGTACACCCATATTCCTCTTGATATCACATCAAAATTTAATGTACCAAGTTAGGAGACACTTATATTCACAGCACACCAAGAAAAAGACTACATACCAAGAATGTTTTCATTTCTTTTGTTGGTTTCGCTTCATTCTCTTCACTGAAATTGAAGCTCAGATCTTCATACAACGTTTCATATACTCACTATCTGATGCTTGACTCTTTGCAAATGATATTTTCAATTCTACAAATGATATTAATGTAAAACTTCCACGGTTGTACAGCAAATAATATGATATGTTTCTTAATTAAATTGCATGCAAAATACATTAAACGTTATTTTAATTTTAGAACGATAAAGAGAGGGAAGTATTAGTTTAATACACGATGGAAGAAGAACAAACTATCCACACAATATGATATGCCTTGCGAGAGGAACAAGGCCCAATGAGCCATGCAGTCGTTGCCTTATTTACACAATACACGTCTTGAGATTTGAGATGTTTGAAAAACTTGCAATTGATTGCTTATTCTCGGGTTGAGAATGAAGGAGAAGCTCTTTCTCACAAAGCCGAAGCCACTACAGGAAAAAAAAAAAAGATAGCATTGGGTCAACTTTTGAAATGGAGATATTCAAATTCAAAACACTTGCAAAATTCTTCAAAATTCGCTGTTCAAACTTGCCTTTGTATGCTTCTTAATCTTAATAGGCCAGTTTCCAGGCACAAGACTCCAATCCTGAGAAGAAAAAAAAGATAGAAGTGGGTCAGCTTTTGAAATGGAGACATTCACATTCGAAGCTCTTACAAAATAAGAAAAGAGTGGCACATCGGCCTTCAAACTTGCCTCGGAGGTGACCCCTTCATAGCAAGACACGTGTCGAGGTACACTAGACCACTCCTGTAAAACAAAAAAATAGTGTTGGGTCAAAACTTTTAAAAAGAATGGGTGGACAATGAAAAAAGAGTAATGATCCATGCTTACTTGAAATGCATGTTCCAGACTCTTGAAATGGCTGATCAAACTTTCAAAGCTTTCGCCAGCAATAGGTTCATCAGAATCAGTAACAAAGCATAGCTGGCAAATCCAACCAGTTCCACTGCACCTCTCCGTAACCACCTTCTCCTGCTTGCCATCCTCAGACCCTGAATCCATATTCAAAACGCCTGAAAACAAGTGTTTCCAGAGCCGCGTTTGCTGATAGTAATTGGGCGAAAATTTCGGAAGATTTCCAAATACACGAAGAATCGTGTATCCCCGGTCCCTTAACTCGGGGATGACCCCACTTGCAACATAGGCTTCTTCATGATCGGATATGAGAATTAACGTTGCCGGAGGTGGATTATTACGTGCCCACGTTAACATATCACTCGCAATGTCCGCCGAACCTGGAAAGATACGGTCAGTCAAACCTTAAATTATATGGATTCACCGCAAAAACAAAAATTATAGAAAGAGATAAGAAGACTCACCGTTGATGACGTGTTTCATATGGATTCCAGTGGAAAAGAGCGGTACCAAGACGCGAGGAGCGACGCGTTTTAGGTTGCCAAAGGCAGAGATGGTGAAAGGAAGGTACTCTTTCAACGCCGATTCTATAGTCTGACGGACATGATAAGGATCGTAGCCACGGGGAACCTGACACGTCTCCATGTCCCACCACACCCCCGTCTTCTGAGCCGACGACTTGTTGTTGTTCTGCATCATCTCGAATTCAAAAAGGGTTTTTACTTTGCCTTAGAGCTTAGAAGAGACACAATACTTGAATTCCTGAGACCAGCTTCTAACCGGAACCGTCTAACCTTTTTATTAATCAAAGAGTTTACACAAACAATCACAGAATAAAAGAAGAAGACTTGAAATAAGAACACTCTCTTATCTCTCTCTTGTTATTTTCTCTCTCTCTCTCTATTGTTCTCCTTACTCTCTAATGTTTTGGGATGATTTAGAATGAGAAGAGGATGCCTCCTTATATAGCCAAAGTCTCTCTGTATTTCCTTTCTTCTTTGTGGAACTTTTCCTTTTTAATCAAGGAAGAGGAAAAGAGCACATATTTAGCTTGTTTCGGATTGGGCCATAATTGACCAAGGCCCACTTGATTTACAAAACCTACGAGAATCAATCAAATCACAGTTAGCTAGGTCGTCTTTAATCTAAAACGGAAATGTTCTCCAATCAAAGCATAACGAGGGATTGACAGGGCTAAATCAAAATCACCGACCTCGCTTCTTATCGAATCTCCAACGACAGGAAATAAAGATGAAGATATCAGCCGACGGAGAGAGGAGGAGACCTGTTTATTGTCTTGAGATTTTGAAGAAGTTGCCAAAAGAGATGACTTGTGCAGGAGGTAAGTCAAGTTTTGAAGTTGCCAACTTTCATTCAGGGCGAACTTGCTAGGGTTTTGGGATTTGAGTGCACCAATCTCACAAGGAAGGATAAGTATTTGGTTCTCGCTGGAAATGAAGGCATTGTCAGATAATGTAATCCGGACAAGTATTTGGTTCTCGCTGAACATGTCGCTTTAATGTCATCAATTTCATTACTAGAACAAATGAAATGATTTCAACGTTGGTACGAACATTAAATGTATCCTTTCTGCTATTAAATTATGTGTACACCCATATATTCCTCTTGATATCACATCAAAATTTAATGTACCAAGTTAGGAGACATTTATATTCACACAGCCCAACAAGAAAAGGACTACATACCAAGAGTGTTTTCATTTCTTCTGTTGGTTTCGCTTCATTCTCAGAGCTTGATACTACGCTTCATATACTCACCATCAGATGTTTGCTCCCTCTTTGCAAATGATATTTGCAATTCTACACGATTGCAAAACAATACACTTCATATCACTTAGTAATACTGCAGTGAAACTTATAAGTAAAACTTAGTGATGTGTTGTTGAATGCATTACCTTTCCCTGATACAACGAATCTCCTCAAGAATTTCTGCAGTCTGCTGAACTTTAAGATTCTTGGGTTTATCTTCATGATTAAGCACCAAAGATGCAACATTCACAACAGTGACTAGCTCAGCTTCGATTCTGCCAAGTTTCTGGTCTATATTTTCCAAGAAAGATTCATAAGAAGATACTTCTCTGAAGTCGATTCCAGTTAAAGCGTCTTCTAGTAGAAGATTGTCAGTGTCGAGAGTTTCTTGGCATTCTTCCTCAATAAGTTGACTATCCTGAGAATCCAAGCCAGTTGGATCACTTTCAGTAGATTCAAGCTTTGGAGATACAATGTGAACACCACCCGAAGCATTATTATCTCTATCTATTTCAGGATCCAATGATATATTCCCAATCAGCTGCGTTTCCTTGATAGATATTGCCTGAAACCAAACCAAACCAAGCCAAGGCTTCTCAAGACATGGTTTGATTGATATAGACAAGTAACATCTCTGGTTTCTTTTTACCTCGTTGAGTTTAGAAGAAAGGGTATCGAGCAACTCGATGCGAGCTTTAGCCTTGTCCAAAGCTTGCATAACTTTTTTCTTCTGAAGAAGCAACTCTCTTGCATCATTCACTTTCCCTGTCTGAACATTTACAGCTGCTTGTTTCCGCAGATTCTCTGCAGCCTCTGACAACCTCAGAAGTCTCAACCTGTTACTATTTGCTGGCACCAACAGAGAAAATTCACATCAACCACTCTGAATTGACAAGAAGAAAAACCATGCTAAATCCCACATCGCATCTTTCTACAAAACTGAAAAGTCTTAACAATTTAACATCAAGATGCAAAAAGAGTTCTAATTTGGGGAATCTCAAACTCGCAAGGAAACGACGATTGATTCACTCTCTACTCATTCCAATTAGTAAGTAAAGATTGGACCTTTGGCACGAGTGGATTCAGCTTCCGCGTGAAGCCGATCGAGCTGGGAACGGAGAAGGTCGGAATTAGAGGTGGAAGCGAAACACCTTGGTCTCCGGAGAGACCGAGCAACCACCAATGGAGGAGCTCCGACGACGCTGGTCGTCACCATCTTTGGTCTTCTAACACGCGTCGTGCGGATTAGAGAATACACCCGGTTATCTCCACAAGCCGGTATTAATTATTAAATAAATCTAAACCGGTCTAAGAAACCGTGGTCGGAATTAGGAACATTCGATTATACCGTACCGTCGTCGTCAATAGACTTTTCTAGCTTTGACGTCTCCGTCCAAAATCCAAATTTGATTTCGCTCTTCAAAATCTGAAGTTTAGATACCATTTCGTAGTAGATCACGAATCTCCCGGCGCTAACACGTTTTCACTCTGAAATTCCGGTTAGTTTTTGAATCTCGGATTAAGTTTGTTTTGCGATCATCGAATTCCAGATTTGCAATCTCTGCCTTTTTCTTTGCTTTTGGTTCTAGGAGGAATTGGATCAGATATGAACTGGGTTCAACGCAAAATCTACCTTTACAATGTCACGTTCGGGCTATACATGCTTGATTGGTGGGAACGATATCTCTTCAGTATCCTTACTCTCTCTGTCTCATCCCTGCTTTGATAAGATTCCTTCTGTTGAGCGATCTATCTCATCTTCTGCTTTGAATTTCGGTTGCTAATTTGAGAACGATTTACTCTTCCATCGTTACAAAGATGAAAGTTTTGATTTGTAAATCGTTGGTGATATATGGTGGCACTGAGCAATGCTCTGTTCAATCTTATAGTGATGTTTAAGAGTTTTGGTTATAGACTTTGCTGATAGGTTTACTAAGATTGAAAAATCACTACTTGTGGAGAAATGTTAAATTTTGTAAATTTATGAGATCTCTGCTTTCATCTTCTTCTTTGGATCTTTGCCTTTCCTCAACTCTTATCAGATGGTTTGGTGGTAGTCTTGATGTGGTTCGTAGTATACAACAGCACGCGCTACTTTTCAGAACTCTTCCAAAGGTAAAAACTTCATCATCTTTTGTCCAGACTCCACACCTTTAGGTTTGTAGGCATTATCAGCCATCTAATTCCTTGTGCTAGTTTGGTCTTATGGTTTCATTAGTGGGGCTTCTGAGGAATGAGCGTTATGATACAATATCAATGGTTTTGTCCTGCTTCGCAGTTTATGTCTCTCTAGGAATATTGCAGAACAAAAGGATAAGTCCAGCAGAGATAGATAATTCCGATCATATGCTTAAGTTCATTTCCAGGAGTTGAATGGATTTGAGATACAAGTCTTTAGTCTGCCTGATGAATTTACTGCTTCTTGATATCAGACTCTGTTTCTTTTTTAGTTTAGTATTCAATATTTTATCCTAGGCTGTTCTGTTCTGCACTCACAGCTTAAGTAGCTTCTTTTATCCTTTGTATTGCAGGCATCTGACATGAAACCAGGTCTTGTTTCTCGCACGGCAGAGCATGAAAAGCCTGGAACTTCCAAAGGCATGCATGTTTGGTTGCAGCGAATACCAGCTAAACCTTTGTGCTGCTTCACCTCTGATTATTTAGCTTTCCTCCAAAGTTGGGCATCACCTAGGACTGTCCACATGTCTATGTATCATTTGTTCCCATGATTTTGGAATTAGCACAACTTATTTATAGACGCTTAAGATTGCAAGTCTTTCGGTTGTATTTCCAATCACTTTAAGACATGACCAAACCAAGAACTAGAGTCACTGTGGTGTCTTTGACTATTTGTGACAAGTGAATGCTTAAGTTCTTCATCCTTTCGATTACAAACACAATACTTAGTTGCAGAAGTTAAAATAACAGAGCATAATTCAAGAAAGGAACTCTGTTCTAAACCTAGAAAACGAATTCAAGACTTGAAGATCTGAGACAGAAGATCTTGATCTCTCTTGTCTGGTCTTTTTGAACCAAACCCTTGACGCAGACCAAGTTCAACAGCTGCTCTTCCTTCTTCTGCTATTCTTTTCCGAATAGCTACCAAAGAATTTTGCTTCTCAGGAGCTGCTTCGTCCTTGGCATCTCCATCTTCAGTAGTCTCTCCTCCACCATCATCGTGCCCGCCTTTCCCAGGCCTTCCCCACCATTTGTTTGACACAGTCGTTAAACCGTTTGACGGGAAACCATACTTGAACTCATCTAAAGCTGCCACCGTCTTCGCCAGATTATTGTTAGCCCATACATTTGACTTCCCACTCTTGTTTCCACCATGCTGCACCGTCGAATGCATCACTGTCCTCGGCTTCGGATGAGGTCAGGAACCACTGTGATCATGCATCAAAAATTAACTAAGAACTCCATTGGCTAAGCAACAGATCAAAGAAGAAAAAGTCAAAAACAGCATAGTGAATTGTGTTGAGTTTGACAATCTCAAAAGCACAAACACAATTAATGTGAAGAAGACCTAGACGAATACTGGAAGAAGAGAAAAACCCTAGAATAAGACATAGAGACTCAACGCTTCCTGATATCAATCTGCGAGGCACCAAATCTGGAATTAGACGGTCTCTGTAAACGACTCAAACCTTATGAGATTCAGAAAACACCCTAATCTCCTACGGCTGCATTGAAAAAATAACTCTTTTTCTTCTAGAGATCGTTCTTTTTGGAGGAATCTCGATGCAGGCGCTACCTAAGGCGTGAGAATGACAAGAAACAAAAGGAAAGAAAAAGCAAAGAGTTGTACACGAAGTACATAGAAATCAATCAGTAGAGAAAGGAAAAAATCGGCAGATTCACAGACCGAGTAAACAAAATCTGATTGTAGAAAAGATATCTAACAGATGCAATTGATACGTGTACATACCGAGAAGGAAGGAGGTTTCGTTTGATCTAATATCTGACCTTTCTCAGTGTTCGTTCTAGTTGAACAGTTAGCTTTTGGAGTGTACCATGTGTCTTGAAGTTAGAAACAGAAGGACCAAAAGGGTAATTTCCATTGAAACCCAAATTTACTTCTTTTTTTGTCATAAGAAAATGAGTCAAGTACAGAGATGGCATTTGTTACACAGAGCAATGAAAAATTTATGCTTTTTGTTTACTGTTTGTGAAGAAAAAGAACAGTGGTACAAAGGAATTGTCATAGGCCTAGTCTGAATAAACAACGAAGTATGAGTATAAGTTCTAAATCATTTTTCTAAGATCTCAAAGACTTAATCAATTAGTAAACAGCAACAACAGAAGAAAAATAATGGAGATGAAGGCGGATGAGTCACTCTACTTGTCACTACTTGGAGGAGGAAGGTGTCTCTTTGTCTTTCTTTCCGGCGAGGATCATAGAGATCTGGAGACCACGACTGAAGGCTTGGTTAAACAGCAGTCTGGTTTGAAACTCAGACACAAATGGGAACCAAGATAAGACTGCAATGGGTGTGAATATCACAAGCCCCATTATGTACTCGTACGCTCTCCCTAGCTCTTTAATCGAGTCCCAGAACCCTAATCCCTTGAGCACGCTACGCAGCGCTTGCCCGATCTTCACAACATAGAAGAAACCACGTTAACAAACTTGTTACCATCAAAGAAAAGATTATTGGGAAAGTTGTGTGGACTTACAAGAAGAATGGCCCATCCGGTTGGTAAGAAAGCGAGGATGGAAGCAAATAGATCTGAGACCGTTAGGCCGCAGACTACAAATAATATGGTCATGACTGACAAGAAACCGAGGAAGAAAAGCGCCTTGAGAATCCTGAACATAACCTGAAAATCTCTACCGAAATTTCGTCTACCCATCGATACCATCTGTCAAAATGAATAACAGATCAATCATCAATGTGAAAAAACAAAAAATCCACCGTTCTAAAACCATAAGACTTGGCTCAAGATTTCCTGGTTTTGAAGGCTTACCTTTAAGACGAGGAGAACTGACAACAAGAATGCCCAAGAGAGTCCATAAACCTTAAAGAAGACAGGTGCAAAGTTATTGGAATTTTGAAAGCTAAAAGATTATGCCAAATAAAAAAAAAAGAGAGAATATTATATATACCAGAAATGTTGTCTTGCGACGAGCGATGTTGAGGTGGTAGACAATTCCATACTGGTAAAGGAGGAAACGCAGAGCGAGAAGTATCTCGAGAACCCTTCCTCTTAAATTTGTGTGCTTGAGATGTTCTTGCTCTGTATCCCACCATGATTCCCAACTTTTGTCAAGAACTATTCCTATACCACCGCGGTTTCCCATCCATCTCTTCCAGTCGGTCCAGTCGTCCACTGTCTTTTGCCACTCAAAACCAGATGGGTTGAATATGAATGGAGCAAACAACCAAGAACACACCAGGAACCACATTGAAAAGGTGATGTATATATAAAGACTTGAGCTACGGTACGAATTTCCATAAACTTGATACACAACTAGTAGCATGACCAACTCCAGTCCCTTAACAAAGTGGCTTCGCGAATATAGTCTATAGTTTTCCGCAAACTTTGCATGGAAAACAACAAACCCTCGACCGGTTGCTCTGTACTTAGAACCTCCATGCAAAATTGTCCTTCCAAAGTAGTGCGCTTTTGTTCCCAGCTGAAACGTGAAGAAAACAGAGGCAAGCTGAAGCTGCATTATGATGAAATCACCCAAGGCCGTGCGGAACCCTTTCTCTAGGCCTATTTCCATAACCATTGGTAGAACCATCAGAAAACCTAACTGGAAAACAGATTGTGCTGCTAATGCCTCTTCAAGGGCTTTGGACTGATGCACAGTTGCACTTTCCAGGATCTCTTTTTCCAATCCGCTCAACACCAGATAAAGACGCCCATAAAGGAACACATATACCGTAAGCACCGTTATCTGAAACAGAAAAGACAGGTCTTATACTCTTCTGAAAATTCCAAGTATAGGGCAGAGCTACAAGAGGAAATAACTATTTGAATGGAAGAGTTAGGCATACCATGCTACTGAAATAGAAACCAACTGTGGTGAAGTAAAATGAGAGCATCCTGTAAAAATCAAACCGGCGTCCAAGTCGGTAAACGTCACGACTTAGTGTTTGTTCTCCATTACCATTCGCAACTTTGGCTTCAAAAAAAGAAATCTGATTCATCCCTACATCACGCCCTTTCCCTGCTTGGATATACTCGTGATGTGTGATGTAACCCCCACGAAGAGTTGAATTGTACCCTGTATGTTAAACCATGATTAGCCACAACAAATACCCAAAAACTAACAAAAAATTTAACATTTGTTAAGAACCGTTATTCACCTGCAAAGATATCTTCGCTTAAGTTTATTATTTTTGAAGCCTTGCTAATGCCTCCCCTTGTGATGTGGAAGATTCTATCGAATATATCAGGATGGCCATAGTGGAAACGCACCCTGTAAAAGAAACGTGAGTAAGTTGTACAAAGCATCCAAGCCAAGCCTTCTTTCTAGAAAAACAAAAAATTCTCGTTTTGAAGTCAGATTTCAAGCTACAGAGGAAGGATTGCAAGGATCTATCCCATACCTCAGAGGATTTGCCAGAACACGTTGGCCAATGGTAACGAAACTTGTTTCTTGATTCGACATGAACCAAGCAAGTGATGAAACACTGTAGAGTCAGAAAGAAATCAGACGAGAAAGATTAAGAAAACAAAATGCTGTAGTGCCAAAATGGGAAGACAAATCAAGAACAAATAAAAAAACTCAGACCTTCCAGTAAAAATGTGTTCACGAATACCCAAAATTGTAGGATTTCTCTTGCCACGTCGACCTTCATCAAATTCTCGTAGCACATTTCTCATTTTGAAAGCCTCTTCAAAGTAGTTGTCCTGAAATGGGAAAAAGGAATAAGAACGTAGTTGGAATCAACAAATTGGTTAAGGGATAGAGAGAAGAAAGCTACCTGGTTCATGTCTATGGTCTGAAGTGCTTCCCCACGAGTGAAAATGATGGCATGGTTTTGATTCTCAGGTTTTCCTTCACCAATTTCGGTAGGAGGACCAGGAAGTTTGATACGGTATATTTCCTGAAAAATCAAGAAATTAGCATACTAGACTTGAAAAGTTTTCTTTATGATCTAAAACAACTCATATCTGTATGAAAATATGAATATAAATTGCCTTCTTATACATACCTCATCTAATTTGTCACATCCTTTAAGAAGCACGGAGTAGAATACTTTCTGTGATTTTCCATTAACTGGTTCCTCCCTTTCATCTATATAGGCAACACGCAAGGATGGATACCTAACAATAATGCATAATTAAAACTATATAAGCTGGAAGAATAAACATGAGATTTTGATTTTAAACAGGATTCTCTCTTACTTTAGCATGAGCTGCAAAATATTATTGTAACAACTCCGGTCCCGGCTATCACTTGATTTTTTCTGATTCCCATAGACCTGACATGACACGACATATGTGAATTTTAAATCTGCAAGAGCTCGAGCGCGGTCCATGAAAGCCTTTTGATCATCAGCATTTGATTCCAAGGGAAGGTCGCCACCATGGGTAGCTGCAAGATGAAAATAGAGCTCATAAAACAAAACTTTCCAAAAAGTTCTGTAGTAGTGGAGGATACTAAAAGAGTGAAAACGTAATAAATTGTAAAATATATACATTCAGTACTGAGAATGGAGAGGAAATACAAACCGTTTTCACTGTATTCCTGGAAGCATTGAAGTTCTAGAGCCACTCTGTAGTACATCATTCCCCTTACTAGCAATAGTAAAGGTGAAAATACATTAGCAACCGCAGATCGAATACATACAAGTAAAGTCCTACAACGTGCTGTGCTGATAGTATACCTGTTCTTGAAAGGGTCTGGCCTCTATAAGATACCCATTGACGGAGTTGATCTGCCTTGTCTTTCTCGTTCAAATTGCGCTTTGCATCATTTACACGTTCCGAATAGTTCGACCATTCCTCTGTCATTCATTTGGTTAACTTTAAATTTGTTATGAAGACGTACAAAAGCACACCAGATAGAAGCTCACCAGGATATATTCTCTGTAGGTAGAACAAAATAGAAATCCCATCTTCGTTTTCCTTGTTCAGTTCGTCCTCTGAATAGAGAACATCCTCTTTGTAATATGGAGTTAAGACACTGGACAAAAATTGTGGAAAACAAATGTTACTTGATTTCAAGATCATCTAAGAGAAGTATCTTCTTCAGGTGTTAAACTATAACATGTACCTAAATGATAGCATGTCACGAACTCGGGGAGCATTTGGCATATTCATGAATAGGGAATTTGCAAAGAATGTCATACGACGACGAGCTTCCAAATTTTGGGGGATATTTATTGCAGATTC